ACCAGGTACGTTTCCTTCATCTCGGTGATATCTCGGTTAACTCTAAAAGGCAGACTGTGTCGCCTTGTCCGGTACGCACGATCATCGATGTCATCCTCAGTGAAAACGTTTTGATTTTTCTCTGATTTCTTGCTGCCTCTCTCGCTGCTGGCCGGCCTGTTTATTCAGACTCTGCAAGACCTCTGCACGTTTTCAAGGACGTGTTTACCTCAAGGCCGATGTCTCGCGTTCAGCTGACTCAGTCAACCTGGTAAGCTCACCCTTCCCTCTCCTCGTCTCACTCACCCATACATGGACCCCCTGCTCAGGAGATGCATAAATACAGCTGAGGTTCGTCGCAAAACCTCAGCCCACTCTAGACTGTCTCTCACTTCACCTAGATCTCGCTCTCGCCATCATTTTATCCACCCACACCTTAATTCTTTCACTATCTCTAGCCCCCCCCTGTCTTTCCATTGTCTACTTACTCGTTTCCTAATCCACCTTCCCTAATGGCAGCTCTCGCCGGTTTTCTTTCTAACTTCAACATTCCAACTCCGTACGACCGCGTCATCCCGAGGCGTGCTCTCCCAGTCCTCGATTTTCTCGAGTGGCCATTCCCGGACGCGCACTTTGCGGAAGAGTACGACGATCTCTCGCCGTTCTTCTCCACCTCCCCGCCTGAGCTCGGCCCGTACGAGCTTCAGCTCATCCCAATCCCCGATTTCGGCCACCTCTGCACCCGCTCCAACCTCGCCCAGCAATGGTTACGCGGCATGCGTTCCATCTGCATCAAGGTTGATGGCGTGCTCCGCCATTTGCCATTCTGGCATGGTCATTACTGGTCTCTCGCGTACCCAGCCGTTGTTGCGCAACGCAAGTGGTCTCGCGCTCATGCCTGGGCTCACAAGCATCTCCACATGAGCCCCGCCCCTACTTCGTTCGCGCACATCCCCGCCGCTGTCGACAAGTTCTACAAGATCATCGGCTGGAACTGCCCTCTCGACGGGACTTCTCTCCATTCCCTGCAGCTCGCCGACCTCTTCTCGGATGAGTACCTACCTGGCGATCTTATCGACGCGTGCATGGCGATGATCCGCGGCTGGGCGTCAAGATCTCCAACCAGCCGCAACGTCCTCATTGATTCCCTCAACTTTCAGATTCCCTTTTCAGATCAGATCCGCCCTCTGGTGGAGTGGGACCAGTTTGATAGTGGGGAGGCCGGGCACCTGACTCATCTTCGCAACGTTGCAGATCGGCTGCGCAGCCGCGATTTCGATGGCATCATCCACCCTTTCCACGACCATCGAAACGAGCACTTCGTGGCAGTGTTCTTCGACACGCGCACCGGCCAGCTCAGCGTCGGTAATTCACTTCGCCCCTTGCCCAGAGCCCCCATCCCACATCACGATCTCACTGGCTATTGCGAGTTTGCCCGCAAGCTCGACCTTGACTTACAGCACACCATCGGAACGATCCCACACTCCATACAATACGACACCTTCTCGTGCGGTATCGTCACGCTCAACACAATCGAGCGATTTGTCTTCCCTGCTGTTCGCCCGTGGTCAAGCAGCACCAGGTATCTAGAGCGTGTCGAGTACGCCCTCCTTCTGGCAACACAATTGGGGACTCAGTTCGATCTTGTAAGTCATCATTCCGATCTTTTTCTATCATTATCAGATCACTAACTCATTTTCTAGTCTGACCTTGGCCTCGACAATGAGCTCGTGCTCCAGCGACACAACGGAGCACGGCTCTACTTTGATCTCCCCACCAGCCCGGACACCAACACTGAGATCGATGAGTCGAAGGACGGCGACTTGGCAAGCATCAGCAGCGAGTCGGATAGCAGCAGTGACTCATCTGACGACGACTCAGACGCCCTCCAACCTCCTGTTCGACCCTTGAAGCCCCTACCCTCTCGCCCCTCGTTCTCCCAGCTCAACCTCGACGCATTCTTCCCGAGGACTTCTCGCAATGAGCTGGAGGCTGAGCGCCTACGCACCAAACCTGATCGCGAGGCTGAGCAACTGGAAAACGCAGAGAGAGCCAGGTGCGAAGCGTCACTCAGGGCCCTGGGGGCCAAGGAGCGCATGAAAGAGAAGGCGAGGCAAAAGAAGATGCGCTATCGGCAGCGCAGGAGGGCTAGAGAGGTGCGTAATTATCTTGATTTTCCTGTGCTCTATCGCTGACCAGATTTACAGGCTTCATCTCATTCAAGCAGTACCTCTATCATCTCCAGCACACAGCTCTCCTCGCCCTCACCCTCGTCTGCATCCATTGCCCTCCCCATCCCTTCCGCCGAGATTTCGCGCCCCCATCGGCAGTTCAGCAAACTGGCAAGATCGGACCGAGATTCACGTGGACGCAAGCGCACGCGTGAAGTCCTGGAGGCGGAGCGGTTCAACTGGACCCACCCTATCCTTTTCCAACAAATCGACTGCGCAGCTCAGGCCGTTGGCTGGTCTCCCACTGCTATTGTTCGCTACCTCCACCTCAACAACCCTAAGCAGTTCTCGAAGCTCACGTCTCAAGTTGTGGGTCGGTGGATCGACCGAGCTCCCGGTTGTCTGCCTCGCTGGAAAGACGTCATCGTGATGCGCGTCTCGGTGGGATACAGGCCCCAGAGTTCATCCACCAGGAGCGGTATCTTGGTACGTGTTTTTTGTTATCTTATCTTGGCAATTGCTAACCTTATCGTTTTTTTAGGAATTTTATCCCGATCTCGTCGCAGCGATCGTTGATCAGCTGCGCTATCTTCGAGCCAGCGGCGTTGCTGTGACGGTCACCTCCATTCGCGCCCTGATTCTCGCTCGCATCACCCACCATGCCCCACAGCTTCTCCGCACGATCGCCCCCGATAAGAAACCCTTCCTATGCTCCAAATCATTCGTCCGCAAATTTGTCTACGAGAAGCTCAAATGGGTCATCCGATCATCGACCCGTGCAGCCCAGAAGACCCCCAGTAACGCAGAGGAACAGATCTACGAGCTGTTCCTCCGCCTCGCTTTCTGGTTCCGTGACACCGACACCCGCCATCCTTCTCTCATGATCAACTTCGACCAGACACAAGTCATCATGGCCGACACCAGCGCGAACACTTTCGACGTCGAGGGCTCAAGACAAGTCTCCGTCCTCGGGAAGGAGGAGAAGCGTGCCTTCACGGCGGTGGTGGGCGTGTCGGCGTCGGGCGATGTGCTCCCGACGCAATTTGTCTTCAAAGGAGCCACCGAGCGCTCTGCACCTTCTTCGACCGCACGAGGCCGAGATGAAGCCAACAACCTGGGCTTTCTCTATTCGTTGAACCCCCTCACGTACTGGTCTGACTTTTCGACGATGGAACTTTATTTTGCCAAGATCATTGTCCCTTACTTCTCCCGACAGAAACAGCTCCTGGGCTACCCAGATGATCAGGAGTGCATCGTGCTCCTTGATTGTTGGTCAGTCCATCGGAGCAAGGCTTTTCGTGCCCTCATCCGACGTCGCTGGCCTTGGATCCAGCTTCGATTCATCCCCGGAGGCACCACCGGCATCTGTCAACCTTGTGACGTCGGTGTCCAGCGTCCATACAAACTTGCAATTAAGAAGGCTCAGCTTCAAGACACTGTCGACGAGGCCCTCAACCATCTCGCCAACAACCCCGATCCCTCCTCATTCACGATCGACTCACGCGTTGGCACGCTCAGGGATCGTTCAGTTTCGTGGGGTGTTGAAGCCTATCACGCGATTGATCACCCCGAGCTTATCAAACAAGTAAGCTTCAATCTTCGTCAACCTCATTCTGTACACTAACGATTTCTAACAGGCATTTGCTCGTTGCTCGGTTCGGGGAGGTTTTAACCTTTCTTTTGAATCTCTGACTGATCCGGCCACTCGCAAGCATCTTCGCGAGCTACCCCGCACGGCCCCTGACCTCTACAAGCGCCTCTCCGAGTCTGTCATCGATGACGAGGCGCTTGAGGTCGAGGCACCTCAATCCGACGACGACGTCTCTCCCAAGGACGTCAACCCTTTCGAAGAGGACGAGGAGCACGATGACGACGAAACCTGGATGGAGCCCGCCGATCTCATGTCGCGGATCCTCCATCCGGGCAATGTCAACATCTCTGCCGCCTCGGTCTCAACTCCCGGCATGGCAGATGATCTCGACGTGGACTTAGATGTCTTACAGGTCCCTGGCACCGAGTATTTGGGTCGAGGGAAGCGCCAGCGAGTCTCTTCGAAGCGTTATGATGAGTTCTTAGGTCATTAGAATACATTGTAGCGCTTTTTCTTAGGTAATTCATCAATTCTACATCATATTTCGCGTTCTACCAAATGTCTACCCTTTTAAGTTCATGACCCCTCCACGAGGGTGGACTGTCCACCCCCGAAAGTTCAGTTCAGAGGGGGGGGTGGACAGTGGACTGAACTTGTGGTCGAAAATCTACAGTATACACATGACTACTGCTCCAGGTAAGGGATACGAATGTGGTTCTCCCCGTTATGAAGGACCACCGCCGAGTCTGGGGTGCTTGAATCGACCGTGAACGCTCGGTATAGCTTGAATAATACTCGGCCCTCGACGACGATGGTACGAGACGCTACCATGTTCGCGAAGGCCTCGGCCTCGAGCACCTCGCTCTCGCCCGACGAACGCACAAAGGTGCGCTCGTACACTTGCTGGACGGTTTTGAGGAACGTCGAAGGATGGAAATACTCGCCATACGAGAAAATGCCATGGGGCTGAGGCCATGGCGGCAGTTCTTCGTCATCTTTGCGGATCTGACGTACTCCGTCACCGCAGACTCCCTTCTTGTGATTGCCGGTCGCGCTCAGCCTCCCGGGGTACATGAGCGTCAGGCACCGGCTGCAGGTCGGCGCCTTTCGAGGTTTCTGAAGATATATCAGTTAAATGGTAATAATAAGTAGAGGACATGAGATCTGCTCACCTTGTCCACTGGTTCCTCCTTCACGAGCTGCACAGAGTTACAATGGCGCGTCCAGAACGCCTCTGTATTCCTTTTTGCTGCATTTAGTTAGTACCAATTACCGAGAAGCATATCAGATAAATGAGACGCACACTTGAAATTCTTCGCATTAATCCTATCGAGAACCGAGCGCTCTATCTCACCAAGCTTACGCAAGAGCGCCTGAGGATGCTTGTCGATGGTAGGGAGTCCCTTTGCAAGGTTGAGCTGGCGGAGGCGGCGGTTGTACGTGTCCGTTGCGGGAACCCATTTTTTCGGTGACATGTTGTACGACTGCCACTTGAATTGATCGCGCATGTCCATGAATAGATAGAATTCAGCGTCAACTGAAATCCGAAGTGCACGGGCATCTATCCCCGTTGAGATGCTGAAGAAGTGCTCGGAACGTGTAAGACCGGGAGGGAGACGGGGGAGTGCCGCTGCGGGAGAAGGTGGGACAGTCGCCCGTCCAGTTGTTGGATGCTGGCAGGCCTCTGTAGCCGGTGGCCGCGCCGTGATCGAGTGGAAATAGTTTTGAAGTGTTCCTGAAAAGCTAGACGCTTCACTGGTGCGAGTAGTGCTAGCCAGCACTTGAAGCTAGTTCAATGAAGAGACGGTTAGCGTCAGGCAGAGCAGACTCTGATAAGACAATAAAACAAAAACTCACGTTTGTGTCGGGCATCCTCTGCTTGAGAGTGCTAATCCCCTCCAAGTCCTCCTTGTGCACACGCTTCAGCTGGACATTGTCCAACTCATAGCTGCTGGCCTTGCGCTTCACTGGAGATGACAGCTTGGAGGCGACCTGAAGTGTCGGTGTTGCCGGCGTACTAAGAGCCGACAAATGCTGAATTTCGAAGTTAAGCGGGGGATCGGGCATAGCAGGGCTTGAAGGGCGACTGGCGAGTGACTCAAGCAAGCGCGGCGGCAAAGAGGGGGCCGGTTCAAGAGGGAATGTGAAGCTGTTGGCACTGGTGCCATCTAGACACGCTTCACAGCATGTTAGTATGGTGGGCATCAATATATGTTGTGAATGATGCTGACCTTTCTGTGAGATACCACTAGGCACCACAACATTGGGCAGAGGCGTTGATGCGCCTGCCAAAATGTCCTTGACGTCTTCAACCTTGGTGTTGATGAGATCAAGCTCGAGGCATTCTTCGACCTTGACCTCAATATTACCGCCGAAGCTGAGGAAATGGTGAGACGGCACAAGTCCGAATGACTCGCCCGAGTCGACCTTGGGAAGGGTAGGGAGGTGAGCCAGATCGTCGGACTTGGCCTCTTGACATGTCTGATTCCAGAGTTTTGCAACGTAGTCGACGAGATGGACATGGTGGGAACCAAAAGTAGACCGAAGGAAGGCGGGCCGGTCCTCGAGGCGGCTTGCGATGCGAACGTTCCTGCGAAGGACGTAATCGTGACAAAGCGCCGATATTGTCTCAAGACCACTCGGCTGCGCTCGATTCAGTGAGTTCCAGCCTTTGTGAGAACCCTCAATGCGGCTCCCATCCGAAGCGATGTCGTCGCGTGGTCTTGTAAGGCACCCGAGTTGGACATGTCGCAGCTGCTCAGCATGTACCTGATCAAAAATCGGTAAGAAAATTAGCCAACATATACTCGCTCACAGAAACCTAACCAGACGTACCTTTGAAGCGTTAGGAGCCCAGATCCCACCTTCCTTCTCGAAACGTTCAAATGTTTGAACGAGACGCTGTTCCTGCTCCTCCTTCGACCAGTACTTGGCATGCTGACTAGTTCCCTCCGCTTTCTGAGCAAGAACACATGAGGAGATGCTCGCTACGACCTCCTTCTGACGCGGGTTTTTGCTCGTACCAATGACACACGCTGAATATCTATTCTCTGGTTAGTCATTTGATCCTCCCTCATAGTCATGGTTTTAGCTTACCGCATGAGAAAGTGCCAAATATCGAGAGCGACCTTAGTTTCGGGGAAAACCTCGTGTATGGCATTTCGAACGTGACAGCAGTTGTCAACGACAACAATCTCCGGGCCAGGAAGCTGCTGTGTGGTGCACCGCTGCTTGAAACCGGCCAGAATCTGCTTGATCTCGGCATGCGACGCTGTCTCGCAAAACCTCTAGACCAAACTGTGAGTATTTACGTGGCTGAATTTAAATGCTGACGCACCCAGCCAACGATCTCATTGGTTTCGTTTAATAGAGATAAGATACCACCCCGCATGGTCTTGATCTTCTGCTTGGTGGAGCTGGTTATAGTTGCCTTGGCGGCGGTTCGGAATGTCGCGTCAAACGAAAGAGTCCTCGCTGATGGGGGGCTCTACCTCAGAAACAGTCTCGGAACGCTTGATAAGCGGGGAGCACATACCGGTGAGCGTCTTCATGTACTCCTTGGATTCTGCCTCCCGCGCCTGAGTGTTGAAGTGCTCAAAAACCTCGGTGATGACCTCTTTTGACACCGGCTTGCTGTAGTACTGAGGTGTGGATTCCGTGTCCTCATTGGAAGGAGGTGCGAATGACTCGAGCTTCGATTTGATGAAGAAATCTTGACCTCCGCTTAGCTTCTTTCGATAGCGAAAGGTGTTCAAATAACTGAGAAACCGTCGACGATATTCAAGAAGGTGAAGCTCTACGCAATAAAAGTGAGTGTATGTTCATGTGGGTCAAGCAAGCGTTAATGTGCTCACGCTTGACGTTCTCCGCTAGACCCCCTGCAGTAGTTGACGGGCGAAGTTCAACGATGAAGTCGAAAAGTTCATGCGTGACTGCGGCACGCTTGAAAAAGTAAGGGATATCCGCTGACGTTATGGGTAAGATACTAACTATGGTCTATCATGAAGGTGAACACGTACATGGCACTCGCCAGTGCTCCCATTGTGCCCAAAACAAGGCTTCCGTGGTGGCAAAGCAGTAACGAGGACTGGACTGGTGCGTTGACGTTGCTTCGTTAACTGCGGCTGTTCTCTTCTCTTGACAGGTGGCACATCGTAGCTGCAAGCCGAGCGCGGACTCTTCCTGATAGAGACCATGCACCTCTCGGGGACCCGAACCCGTCCAACCCTCTGAGTGGACGTCTGTTGAACCACACGCGGGACACCGAGACACAAGCTCAGGGATGTAGAAAGGATGGACTGTGGTGAATGGATGGAGGTACGCAACTTCTGGCTTGATCTCAGCCTTTCCGGGACGCTTAAGGACATGAAGATACTGAGGCGGGATAAACCGTGGACCAAGAAGAGGTATGTCACTCCCAAAGCGAGATGGCGCCTTCATTTTCCTGGAGGTTGACCGGTCGTAGCTTGCAAGCATAGAAACGTACTCGACGATATCAGACTCCCATTGGAGCTGCGCATCGGGACGAGGGTACACATTCTTATTGGCATCTTTCCACTTTGCAACTCGGTTTGAAACCTGGTATAGACGTGGTTAGTGTCTGTGCATTTCCCCTCCGTTGATTGACTGACGTTTGACCGCCACTCATCTTCAAACTTTTGTCGATTACGGCTTGCCAATGACGACTTCTTGAGCATTGCAAGGACAACTTCAGGCTCGTAGACGGACATGACTGGGAGAGGGACAGCACTTGTAGTGAGCGTTAAGGGAGAAGGTGCGTTCGGAATTTTGAACCGGCCTGCGGCCTTGGGCACTCATGGCAACACCAAGTCACCGCTGCCGTGTTCAGGCATGATATTGTATTCGCCGTTGTTGACTCATGAAGTGCCTAGGTCCGGAGATATACTGCGGACCCTGACTACTGTTCGGCAAGAATGGCAAACATACACTTATGGCAAGGCTATCGCAGTACCGCAGACTAGCAGCCGATTCTGCTCTTAAGCTGATCTGAGGCCTTGTATGACCATAGTGCTGTGAAGTATCATTGTTCCATATTTGAGTTTTGACCGACACCATAGTTCATGAGGTTGCGGCAAGAACAAAACTTGTGTATGTTTGAATGCAGCACCGAGCGCAGCAATTGGGCTGGTATAGGAGAGGTGACATCACTTATTTCGTCTAGATACCATGCATGATATGCCCCTAACAGGCACTCTCCTTCCTCAACACTCTCGTGTTTGAACAGCATAAGCTGGAATGGGACCACCTAAACTCTGGAGTGTATGCCGTTAAGTTTGAGTATCTGTTATACCTAACAAGCGAACTCAAATCAGCTGCTATCTCCAAGCCCACACCTCAAAAAGTGCGATCTCAGCAAATATGCGATGGAGAGATTTTGTACAGTTGAAACGGATGCAGGCGTGGAGTGCAAGCTCATGCGCGTTGGGATAGATGCCAGGTATGTATGCTACAGTTGGCTGTTATATTGACTTGTGAGCTGATATATAGCCAGTCCCTGGATGTACGCAGCTGCAGAGGCTACTCGAAGTCAGCATGTCAATAGCGCGCGCGTTGGTCAATGCGCGGATCTCCGAATCCTCACTAATCAACTCAATGACCTTCTTCGCCTCCCAATTCATCCCCTATTTGTGTTTGATGGAATCGAACGCCCCTCGGAGAAGCGCGGAAAGCATGTCGACACTGAGAACAAGCACCGGTTGGAAAAGGGCTTCAAGGACTTCATTCGAGCTTATGGCTTTGATTATCATATTGTTTGAGTACCTATTTCCCCGCTAGTAGCTCATGTCTGACTCCCCATCAGGCCCCAGGTGAAGCAGAGGCTGAGCTAGCGGTCATGAACCGGATGAATCATTTGGATGGAGTTCTAACGAGTGACAGTGATGTAGTACTTTTTGGAGCAGGATGTATTATCCGAGAGTGCGTTTAACTGTGCTACTATGTTTTTCTACTCGCTGACAAGCTTACTAGCCTCAGGGATAGCGACCATCAAGTCGAGATCCACACTGAGGAGTCTATTCGAGCTAATGGCTGGAATAGCCAGCGTTTGCTTCTGGTAGCACTGCTCTCTGGAGGAGACTATGACATGGTGAGTGCGTGCTTCTCAGTGCGATGATCGGACTGACTTCAACCTGCAATGTTATATCACAGGGCGGGGTCAAGGGCTGTGGGATTGGTGTCGCTTCGCAGCTGGCAAAGGGTGAACTTGGCGAAAAACTTGTTCACGCTTTCATGGGCTGCTCGGCGCCAGAATTCTTACGATATTGTACGGAGTGGAGAAACGATCTCCGTGACATGCTACGCAAGAACACGGAGGGAGCCCTTACTCGTAAGCACAGCGATATTGCAGACAATGTTCGAAACACCTTTCCATCACTCACTGTACTGGGGAACTATCTTTGTCCGATCACATCACACTCGCTTGCTCTTGACGAACCTCGAGCGATTGGTGGACTGCGCTCTCCGCAATCCCACCAGCCAAATGTGGCACAGACAGCTTCTTTATTCAAGCACTACTTCGATTGGCCATCGGCAACAGTGGAGAAGTATGTTCGCGACAACATCTGGTTCGGGATATACATGCGAGCATTGTTCCGTGTACGTCATACTGCTGCATGCGGAGACCAGGACTGATGGTGTCGGCTTTAGCTTGAGGGAAGTGTTGGTCACCCTGTCCATGCCCACGCGTTCACAATCCACGGGCGTACTACTCGAGACGGAGTAACCTACTACGAAGTCTGCTTTAACGGCAGCCTGATCAGTGGGGAAGTGAGAGCCGCACCTGATAATTGCCCACAGCCATCCAAGGGCCAACCATCGAAAGATGATCCCGTTGAGGACGACATTGCGAAGTTTGACGTACCTGCCAAGGTCCTGGAGTTCTCTCACCCTCGGGGAACGGCAGACTTCTGCCAGAGTCACAGTCTTCAGATGGTATGTAAACTTATGTCTTTCTCTTGAGGTGCGGCCCTGAACGCGAGCAGGAATCTATGCCTTCGTCAGCAGATCGTGATAATAAACAGTTCTGGGACACGCCTGGAACAGGGTGTTACTACACACCTACCTCCGCCTATCGAGCTATCATGGACGTCTTCGAATCGCCTTCACGATTTATATCTTCTCAAGAACCCGGTTCCTCAAAGAGAAAGGCGTCAGCTCGCGCGAAAATAGGAACGGAGTCGCCTTTACCAAAAGCTGAAGATGATGACACACCTAGCTTGCTGTCTCTTTTCCCAAGAAGCATAAAGCGCTCGGATTCAGCAACCTCGCCTCCCCGCGTTACCAGAAAACGCACGCCTGACATTGAACTAACAACTCCCAGTAGTGACGATGATCAGCACACATCCCGCCCCAAGAAGAAGTTCAAACCCGGGCCTGAAGACGATATCATCGTCATAACGAGTGACGAGGATGATGTTGTAGAGACGAAGGGGACCTAGTACCTAGTATATGCTTTGTTATGTCATAAGATGTATGAGAATATAAAGACTTACCGCAAAAAGACGACCTTTAGTGTAAGATGGACTCCATGGCGCGCACCAAGCGCGCATAGGAAAGGTAGGAGCAACGGGAGTGGAGACGCGCAACCGTTCGCGCCGGCACCTCCACAAGAGCAGGTGTGGTTGTCGATGGCAAATGGTTCGAGCCTGAGTGGGGAGGCGGTTCGAGAGTCGTTTTGGCTTACCATTTCCGCTCATCTCCTGAGCTACCCCTTGGCAGGATTTGAAGGTCCGGGAGCGGAGCCCCTCGGAAGCTTCTCGGCGAGCTTCCAGCTCGCCGACCCCTCCGTATGACCTATCTGCCCATACGCGAACAGGGACGGTCGTTAACGGTTAGAGCCCCTGACTGGATGCTGTCAGTTAGGGGGAGCAGGTGATGGCGTTGGTGATAGCAGTATTCCCCTTCAATACGACCAATAACTGACGCGCATGACGACCCGTTGCCGCCTCCCTTATCCATATCGGGTTGTCAGAAGACCCATGGTAGCAAGAAAACTCTCTTGGAAGTATGCAAGGGTGACAATCCAGCCCACATTGCCGTTGAACGCCAAAAATGCGTCCTCCATGATAAGCTGGGTCGAGTATAGGCTGCGTGTCACAGGTGTTTGACCTTGAAGTGGTGTTGCCAAAGACGATACGGGAGTAGGCGCTGGATAAACATACGGAGACTTCACGATGGGCGCTTGGATCAACCCAGACTTTGCTTGTAGTGCTTGGCGAGAAGGGAAGACAGTGGCCACGCGGGCCATCTGGGGTTGCACATGCGCGTCGGCGTATCCTGCCAAAACGCGGCACGTTTCCTCACGGACCCATCATGTCGCCCAGAAGAATCACCACGACCAGCGTGATCGACCGGAGTTTGCTATCATTGTACACTTCTCATAGGCTTATAAGGTGAGCATCGCCTAGTTGGATTCACGATCAGCCTTAGTCGCTCTCTCATCCCGCGCCGCCCCGTCGTGTTTCAAGATGAAGCTCTCTTCCGTCTGGGTCGCCCTCTCATTGTCCCCGCTTCTCGCCAGCGCATTCCGCGGTTCGCAGCCCGCCATCAAGGAGAGCATCCGCTCCGCACCGCAAGGTTGGACACGGACTGGACGCGCGCCTGCCGACCATGTCCTCTCGCTCAAGCTCGCCCTCGCGCAGCCCAAGTTCAGCGATTTGGAGAAGCACTTGCTCGCATCGAGCGACCCAGCTCACCCCAAATATGGCGCACATCTGAGCAAGGAGGAAGTTCACGCACTTCTCGCACCCGCATCCGACACGCTCGACATCGTACACGAGTGGTTGGAAAGCCATGGTCTGGGCAAGGAGAGCGTGACGAAGTCTGCTGCTGGAGATTGGGTGACGCTGCGAGTCCCGGCGAAGGTGGCTGAGGAAATGTTCAACACAGTGCGTCCACATTCATTCTTGCATTACACCTCGCCTAATGACGTCTCCCTTGTAGCAATTCCACATTTATAGACACGATGAGTCGGGCGATAGCTTCGTCCGCACGACGTCCTACAGCCTTCCCTCCGTCCTGCACCCGCACATCGACCTCGTCCAGCCAACGACGATGTACACCCGCATCAAGCCACTCCGCAGCACCCTCCACTACTCCACCGAGCTCGAGCTGACGATGGACACTGCCTCGGACACGCTCACAGGTCCGTCAGGCAACGCGGTCGACCCGTCGTGCAACAACCAGATCACGTTGAGCTGCCTCAAGCAGCTTTATAACGCCGAGGGATACACGCCGTCGAACACGAGTGGGAACGCGCTGGGAATCACAGCCTATCTTGAGCAATACGCGAACTATGCGGATCTGCAGACGTTCTACCAGAGTCAGAACCCAGCCGCAGTGGGGTCGAACTTTACCTATGTCTCCATCAACGGTGCGTGTCAGTTAAGTCGAGTATATGTGTCCTACACTGACTATATGCGGGTTTACCAGGCGGTCAGAACCTGCAAGACCCGTCACAAGCTGGTGTTGAAGCCAACCTCGACGTCCAGTATGGGTTTGGTATGACATACCCTACTCCCGGTACCTTCTGGTCTACTGGAGGCGAGCCGCCTTTCACTCCAGACGAGTTCGAGCCGACGAACTCCAACGAACCGTATTCTGACGTAGGCTAATCCTTAGTTCTTCTTACAAGAACGAGTTCTGACATATTCTGATAGTGGACCGACTACCTCCTCAACCAGACTAACATTCCGCAGACGGTTTCTACAAGTTACGCCGATAGTGAGGAAACCGGTGCGCCTGTTTTCCTAATCCACATGTTTTCCCCGTTGCTGACTAGAGCAGTCCCATTCAGCTATGCCGATCGCGTCTGCAAGTCCTTCGCTGCTATCGGTACGTCTCCCCGCTGCCATACGCCCTTCTTTCTAAACTAACGCAACTGCGCATACACCCAGGCGCCCGCGGCACCTCTCTCCTATTCGGCTCGGGCGATGGCGGCGTCGGCATCACCGGCCCGGCCTCAACCGCCTGCACCCCCAACAACGGCTCCGACGCCCACGTTTTCCTGCCCATGTTCCCCGGCTCATGCCCGTACGTCACCACCGTCGGCGCGACCGTGAACGTGCCCGAGGTCGCTGCCTCGTTCACCGGCGGCGGCTTCAGCAACTACTTTGCCCGCCCATCCTACCAGGACTCAGACGTGTCAGCGTACCTGCAAGGGCTCGGCGACACGTACGCGGGGATGTACAACGCGTCGGGGCGGGCGTACCCGGATGTATCAGCGCAGGGTGTGAACTTTTTGGTGTACATTGCGGGCAAGCCGGAGAATGTGTCGGGGACGTCGTGTGCGACGCCGGCGTTTGCGAGCATTGTGACGATGCTGAATGATGCGCGGCTGCAGGCGGGCAAGAGCTCGCTTGGGTTTTTGAACCCGATGTTGTATGGGAATGCGAGTGCGGCGTTGAATGATATCACGGCGGGGAGTAACCCTGGGTGTGCGACGGCTGGGTTCAATGTGAGTTGTTATGTTTCTTTGGCTGGCTGGCAAGGATGCTGATTGATGTGGATTTGACGTGTAGGCGACGACAGGTTGGGATCCGGGTGAGTTATTATGCGACTCAAGGTCGTTTCTACTTTGCTAACACCGATGTAGTCACTGGCCTCGGTACACCCGACTTTGGGAAGCTGAAGGACCTCGTCTTGAGCTCATAAATCGAGCTTCGGGTTGTATCGTCGCTTTTCAATCACGAGATGTTATTCGGCAGTTGCGTTTTTAATGCAAGGCTTCTGGCGTGTGATGTTCACACTTCTTTGACAAATCGTGCTCACGTACAATCGAGCTTCGGGTTGTATCGTCGCTGTTCATTTACGAGATGATATTCGACAGTTACGTTTTTAATGCAAGGCTTCTGGCGTGTGATGTTCACACTTCTTTGACATGATCGTGTTCTATCCTTCCTCCGATGACCAAACCGCTGACGCAGCTTATCAGTGACTGATTGCTGACCACCACGTGCTATAGTCAACGCTGACGAAAACCAAAAGTAGTGTGGGTCGGAGGGATAAATAGGAGCTCGCAGCAAAACATGGACTCTCGGTCATCTCTCCCATGAACACTACTCAGCCTCGCGTCTGGCTCGGTGAGCTTACCATCGCACTGTGGATTAGATGATAACTCATGCTTTTCCTTCCAGTCACGGGTGCGTCCACTGACTTTGGGCGCCATATGACGGAGCTCCTCCTTAAGAAAGGAGACATCGTCATTGCCACCTTGCGCAGACCAGAAGTCTTATCTGACCTCACTGCCGCACACCCGTCAAGTCGTCTTCTCGTGCTCAAGCTTGATGTGACCAAAGCTCAGGAAGTGCACGATGCTTTTGAGAGAGGTATTGAGGCCTTCGGCCGTGTCGACGTCGTCTTCAACAATGCGGGCCAGCTCCTTGTCGGCGAGCTGGAGTCGGTGGACGACGAGACGGGGAGGCGTGTTATGGAGGTTAACTTTTGGGGTGCAACGCATGTCACGAAAGAGGCGATCAGAGTGTTTCGGGAGGTGAATAGCCCGCGTGGTGGGAGGTTGCTCCAGGTGTCGTCGCGCGCAGGGTTGATTGGCGCTCCCGCTAATGCGCATTACACTGCATCGTACGTGGTTGCTTTATGGGGTGATGCACCGACTCTGACACTTTACTGCTCTCTCTTGTGCAGGAAACATGGTTCGTCTGCCTATCTCCGCTGATGTCGTGTACCCGGCTGGGATCTAAGTCTTGCGCAGCGCTAGAGGGTCTAACCGAGTCCGTCGCCCAAGAGCTGAGTCCAGACTGGAACGTCAAAGTGCGTCTGCTCATTCCAACGTTGCTTCAATTGTTTCCCCTAGCACTCACCGTACTACTAGATAACCATGATCGAACCCGGCCCATTTCGCACCGAGATCTTCGCGACCAACATCATCCACGTCCAGCAGCACCCCGCATATGCTGACCCGTCCATGCCCGGCTCCCAAATTATAAAGACGGCTTCAAGGGAGGATTTCCCAGACGGAGACCCGATCAAGGCCGTAGAGATCATCGAAAAGGTAACGCACCTCGAGGACCCGCCGCTCAGGCTTCCGTTGCATTGGCACGTTATTGTTGCGCTGCGAGATAAGGCGAAGGCGCTTGAAAAGACAGCGGATGAGTGGGAGAAGTGGTCCGATGGGATATACTTGGAGGGTACGACGTCGTGAGTTTTGTTTGCGAAGACTGTGGTATGCATTGTACCGTAACAAAATCCGAGTGTAACATTGGATGGAGCCTATATGTGAACGTGCTAACAGCTCACCCTTGCTACGTCTATATGCTAGCCTATCGAAACACAACAGAATTGAAGCTGTAACTATTGTTGGCTTTATACTTGAGCGCTTCGGCGGCGGACACTGATTACAGGAAAGCGTAAAGTATTAGAACATGTGGCTCTGTTGGGCAAACAAACAAATGATAACCGTGACTCACCGCTTTCGCACGGGTCTCATCCTCTTCCTCAAAATCACTTTTCGTGAGTGCGATGCTCGACATCTGCTCAACAGCGTGGCTACTGCGTGCGCTCAGTCTCATCTTCAATGCTCCCCTAATTGGACAGGAGAAATCAATGTTAAGGGGTCAGATTAGAATGCTTGGCGAGCGAAAGTGGGACAATGCTTGGGATAACACTGATAAGCTTGCATGAGACCAGCGAATTGCAAGACTTGTGTTGACTTACAAAAGGTGCGCAAACATTCCATCTGAGGTCAGTACCATCCTTGTTTAACATGTCACTGTCGTTAGCATCGATGAGTGTTTGAACGTCTTCCCCTGAAGGCGTCTAAGACAGCCTCTGACGTATCTAGGGGTTTTGTTGCGCGCCGTCACTAGCACGAGGCTAACTGCTTCAGGGATTCCGGTCTGAATCGCAGCGGGTAGCAAAACGATATAAGCTAGGTGACTTGGCTATCAGCCGTCTCATCACTCTACCACCGTTTCCCTCATCAGTTCACATAGACCAACACTCATCATGCAATCTGCCTCATCCTCCACCTCCACCTTGGTCGACGCGTCTCTGTCTCCTATCGACGCAGCTGACGTCGTCAAGTCCATCCCGGAGTCGCCTGGACACGCCGACCTTGCCGCGGTGCTCTCATCCTGCACCGAAGAGGTTCCGCGGGCCGCGTCCCCCGATCTCGATGGACCTCTCCACAAGCCCCTCGACAAGATTGACGGTACCGTTGACAACGAGCTTCTCTTGAGGACGGTTCTAGCCGTCAGTACCTTGAACGCCCGCGTCGACATTCTCAAGGGCGACATTAACGCCCGTTTCGAGGCCTTCGACCACGACTTCACCTCCCGCTTCGACGATTTCCGCGAGCAAGTCTTCTCTCGCTTGAGGGAGGTGGAGAAGGCGCCCGTGGCTCAGTACGCCGCGACTAGAAAGGAGCTGCAGGATGTCCGTAAGCTCGTGATCGGGAAGGCGCTCGAGATCGGCAAGATGAAGACGGAGACGCGCGAGGAAAGGACAACGAGAATGCTTGAAGGCTGTCAGCAGCGGGTTCAGGTGTTGGCGGAGGTAGATAAATCTGCCTCTTCTCGCCGGCTCGCTTCCAGCCTCACATCTCCGATGTCTCCTGTTAGGGGGAAGGTTAAGGCTGGCGAAGCGCATGGTGCGTCTCTTGTTCTCATCTCAGAGCGGTCGATGCTAAACCCTTTCCTAGAGCTGCGCGACATTGCTATGCGCTCTCAAGCAGGGATCGAGAATGTGTGCGATGTTTCTCTCACTTTCTTATCACCACCCCGTCGGCAGATCTCCTTGAAAGCCAAGAGTCGTTTCAAGGCACTGCTGTCTCCCCGCAAGCATTCCACACCGAAGGGGAAGAGCCAATCCAGTGTGATGGCGTCTCCGTGCAAAGTCCCTCCATCGCCTTTACCCCGAGGGTCGATGGCACAGAAAGAGAATATTCTCCGGGAACAACCCCAGAACCGTTCTATGCGGCAAAATCGGCCAACATCTTCTCTACCCAGGCCGAGTGGGTCATCGAGATACTCCGGGGGAAAGTCGTTCTGTAAGCACTCCCCTTGCGTTCACCACCACACACCATCTAATGGCCCTCGTTTAGCTAAGCTCACTTCGAAACTTCGCATGCCTGGAACGTCCCTTGTCAACATGGCAAAGGGCGCCTCAAAGAATCGTAAGTATTTCTCCGTTCTGGGTATTTGAACCTTCGCTCAGAGTACATCTCAGACTCGAATGGCCCCTCGTACACCGACGGTGTTCTGGAAGAGGTCTCATTCGTTGTTGACGCTCCTCAGGACGACGTAGCCGATGACTCCTTGTGTCTTCTTGACAACGCGCTACGTGAGTTTGAGGATGAGGTCATGCTAACTAGCACTGCGCTTCCTCGCTCTTCTCAACGCGGTAAGCCTTTACGTTGTTCGATGGCTGCAGCGAATATTAATGAACATGTACCCTCAGCTGGCCCTTTAAGTTTGCAACGTACGCGCCACCAGGGCTCGCGCGATGAGGAATCCTTCCATCTTCCCGAAGAATTTGCGAAGAAGACGGTCAACCAGACGTTGACCACTATGCCCCTCCCTCTTCGCGGTAACGATTCGTCCTCGTACCTCAGTATCCAAAAACGCGCCACAAACGCCGCGTCGATGCTGACCTCTCTCACACCCCATTTCCCTTCCCTGCTTGTGACCAGCCCCACATTCGAGTTCTGAACGGGAAACGAGTGCGACGTTTCTCTTTTAGTGCTTGTGTGTGAGATTTGCCACGAGTATTCCCTCCCAATCCCTTTCTTAATCTATGGCTAGTGTTCCATGTGTATTCCGAATGGGTGGCGCTCATACCGCCACCCATTTAGCATATACTTGTAAGGCTAGCCATGGGTGTATCTTCCCGCCATTCCTTTCCCCGTGACCAGGCTCTCGTATGCATTCTGAGCGGGTGACAATCGCACTGCCACACGTCCATAATGTACACGAGAGTCTGGCCACAACTATTTCATCCCATCCTTCCTTGACTTTTGCTATCCTTTCTTGCGCATTTTGAACGGGTGGCGATCGCACCGTCAGCCGTTCAGCATGTGCTTGTTAGTATAGCGACAAGTCTTTTCCCCCTCCCATCTTTTTATGCGTGAACTTTGTCCTGGTACGTTTGAATTGCAATGTCCATATTAATTTCCATACCATAATTATCTCGACGTAACTACGCTAAAGCGTTTGGCTAATTCTCCACTCGATTGTTTCCTTTATTCTACTGACTGATCTAAAGATCCTTGCATTCTCAACGTCATAGCGATTATCAAATTTTAACTAGTTTAGTAGACGTCTTGATATGATCTTCATGCATAATCTAATGTCTATATAGACACACATGTACTAATAGTTTTGGTTTGTAGTCACAGTAACTCGTAAACACAATAAGTTCAAAAGTTCGAATACGTGGTTGTTTGGCTGTGGACGTGCAGATGCGTGCGCAGGTTATAACGGGCTTATGAAACTTTCTACTATCATAAACCCCCAGATCACTACGAACACGCTCCAGAACACGTTTTAGAAGAATCCCATGCATTTCGATTGGGGCTGGATGAGACTGGCACGGTGCGTCATGTCGTATGTTACAGATCTAAGGCCTTCCTAGCTGTTCCTCAGCTCCTCGTACGAGTTAAGGGTTTTCACTTACCTTGAACTCCACTAGAGATTTCTCACCGCTTATCACGTCGAGACGAGGTCTAAACTGACTGTTCTTCGAGTAAAATAAGGGCTTTTGCTAGATGTCGCAATGTCATCGGGTCTCTGTGTCTGAGACCGTTGGTCTGAGTCGCGATGGTTCAACGCTCTCTACGTCACAGTAGCTTCTTGTTATTATGAAATCGCTTTCTCCGTATTGTTCACTGGCGTATACCCTCTCTATCCTCAAACCGCGTCTCACCCATGCCGTCCACTCCGCCTTCAACTTCACCACCGGCTACGGTCAGCGAATACCAGCCACCACCCCTTCTCTCTCCCCGAGCTACTAGCATGTCCAACGAGTCAAAGCTACTTGAGGATGCCTTATCCGCCGTCAAGGTCCTTGAATCTCGATTCGATACCTACAGGGCAGACGTTGACGCTCGCTTCGACACTTTCCGCAAAGAAGTTCTCGGCCGTCTGACAGAGGTCGAGACGGCGCCTGTTGCCTCCAACGCGGCAGTCAGGGATGAACTTCGTGTCGTTCGTCGGCTTATGACTCAGAAGGCGTTGGAGATTGGAGAGTTTAGGCTAGAGTCAAGGGATGAAAGGGTCAACAGGATATTGGAAACCTGTCGACCGCATGCTGAGGATGGCGCGGAGGCCCATCAAACCGATTTGTGGCCTCAGCGCGCTGCAGGCACCAGGCCAGCAACAGCTCCTGTCATGACCGGAGGTAACTCTGGGAATACCGAATATCGTGGTGCGCTCTTCTTCTTCTTCTTCTTCGAGCCTATCCTAAGCCCCGTCTCTATATTTACCATTGTCTCCAGAGCTGTTTAAGACGCTGGGGCACCGCCGGACCCTCGTTGTGAGTAACGCCGAGCCCTTTGCCGATGCATGGTGCGACTCTTCCCCGAAGCAATCCTCTTTGCCCCGTACCCGGAGCCGTTACCGGGCTTTGGTGACTCCATACAAGCGCGCGACGCCGTCTATTCCTCGAGTCACCAAGGTACGGAGAAAGAACCTTCAGGTTCAGTACGAGCGGGATCAGGTATACCCTCGTGGCATTCAAAGTAGCCAAACGAGCTCGGCTTTGCCTCGGCTGATGGCTCTGGCTGCACCTTCTTTCACGATATCAAAGTCAAAATCCTCTTGTGCGTGTGTTATTTCTTTCTTCGCAGAGGACAATGTCTAACTGATGTCTTTCAGCTGATATCGAGCCTCAGCTCCAGTATTACCATTCTTCCTTGACGGCTGAATGCAAGGTAGCTTCGCAGACAGGTGTGCTGTTTCGCTTCCGTGACCTCCATCCCTATTAACATCGAGGTTCTTCAGCAACGAACTGGACTGATGATACCCAGTGTTTGAAAGCTGCCGAGTCGGATTTAAGTGTCAGTCGGGATTCATCACAGCTTCTCAGCGAGCGTGAGCCTGAGACAGACAAGGAAGAGATGCTGACCAGCATTGTGCTTCCTGACTTACTCTGACCAGTGAGTTGCATCATTCGCTCGTCTATTATTTCGTCCTTCGAGGTTGAATCGACTGATGGCTGCTTTACTGCAGACACTTCTTAACGCGCCTCGATTAGGTTTAGATATTCCTCGCTTTAAGTGCCTACGGTCTGCCACGTATATAATGAGTGCTTTGACCTCGACGTGACTCCCATGTTTATACACTCAGTAGTGTGTGGATTGATCATCTTATTATACTTGCGGACGCACTTATGCTCTTTAACTCATGTGACGCTAATCACCGATATCCACTGTCAATCTCTCTATGTGGTACTAAATGGTGACCTCAAGCACGTCAATCCTATTAAGATCTTCGGGGGAGACATGGATGATTACGATGAACCCCGATACGAAAGATTAAACCATCAGAATGCTGTCTGATTGGTATTATATAAACGTTGAAGGGTTGAGGTGCTTCTTAGTCTTACCGCTCGCCATCGGAGTGGGGTAGGTACTCACATGCGAAGCTCAAATCAACTAAACGGCACAAGATACTCTCAAGACCGGTGGCACCTGGTAGCATCCCATTTCTATGAGGCATCGGGATATCCATGAGAAAACAAACTAAGCTATCGTATGTACTAGAAAATACATCGAGAAGAATAGAAAAGGTCTGGAACGAAGGAAGGGTTACAAAGTTGTTTAGCTGTAATAGTGCGGGTATTAGAATAAAAATTAAAAATGAATGAGATCAATAAGCTCATGATAAACTAGAGAGCCCAGGGCTACGTAAGGGTATAAAGATGAGACCATAGGTTGTAAAAGCGATCCCAAGCCCTAAAAAGCCACATGAAGAGGACGTTGTTGGAATTACGAGATCGTTTTTGACATACGAGCTTCATTCCATACGATACCTACTCTCTCGGCGCACTTCGGCGCTTATCTTATCGCTCCCGTTTGACGTCGCATCATGTAGTATTATCTTCGGTAGCTATCTATGTGTACTTATACCCTGTCTCGTCGAATCTATTCATCATCGCGTTTGCCAGCGCGTTTTCCTCTCCCTCTCTCGCGCTCGAATTGTCACAGACGTACATGCATAGGCCAACGATGACGGCGCCTGTGACACTGGCAACTGCGATAATACCTCCAAGCTTAGGAACCGACATGAGGGTGCAGAGCAGCCACTGACTTGACCACGGATAGCAGGCCTCGTCTGATTTACTGAGACGAGGTAATACTGTGGTGCTGTTTTATGGTCCGTTGAAGATCTGGATTGACCCGCTAAGGCCCAGGTTTTGTCCACAAGCCCTGGAGTGGCGACTTTCTCACGCCACAGTCATATCTTGCGGTGGCTGGCGCTTGATTGCATACGCTCATCAACAAGCTCTGTTCGCCAGGGCGTCTGCCACTTGACCGCAAGTATGATCTTCAGATGTCTTCTGCAGTTCAAATCTGAGTTTTTATGTTACACAGGAAGGATCCTGGATCCCTTAAACGAAGATACAAGTCCATCATACCCCAAGACATGCCCGCCTCCTCGTTGCCTCATGACCTCCTTGAGTGCATCTTTCTGGAATGTGTTCACCTCTCTCATAATCAAGATGGTTTGTCCTGGCAGCTTCATATATGCGAGCCTAGATGTCTGTTGGATTGGATACAGGTTACCCATGTGTGTCACGAATGGCGCGTCGTCGCGTTGGGAGAGCCGAGACTTTGGGCACGCCCCGTGATGATAATGAGGCGATGGGCAGAAGAGATGGTTGTCCGCTCAGGAAGCGACCGCATCCGTTTCTCGCAGAAGGCAGAAGAAAGGGATGTTCCACGCTTGAAGAGAATCCTCGGTCGTATGAAAGAGTTGGTTGTTGAAGCCCCACTCGATCCACTGATCTCCTTGTTCGATGAACTCAACGCAATGCTTGAGCCCTCCCGAGAAGACGTGATGCTCGAGAACCTAAGCCTAAAGCGTGCGACGGATGGCCGTGGATGGAGCGATCGGGACCCAACAGCCAAGTTCTCCTTTGTCGACGCAGGCACAGTGAAGAAGCTTCACCTAGGGCGGTTACTTTTTTCTCTACGCCCAATTAACTTCTTCAGTGGCATGGTGAACCTTCGCGAGCTCACTCTCCTCGACAGTGTTGGGTCCACAGTCAGCGACTTCACTGGTTCACAGGTCTACCTACCCAGTCTTGCTCGGCTTCACCTGTCCGACCCAATCGAGTTTTGCCGGACGTTCCTGACCTCACTCCACCATCCAAATCCTCTCCAATATCTCGGTATAGACGACGCAAATGAGCGATTCCAGCCACCCCAATTCTTACACCTGATCCTTAGAATGCTCTCCGACCATCATATCCTTGGAGGATCTGCCACGGATACACCACCGAACTTGTCCGAGTGCAACTGCGCTCTCAGCATCACCACGAGAGTGTCGCTTCGAGGGAGGCACGCACACCTCGGTTTCGCCGCTTGGCCAAATACAATCATCAGCGGACCCGATCTTATATCTTCCATCAGCGAAGGCCTGTCCTGGGGATCACGCCCCTACGCAGCGTTGACGCCCGTCGAGTTCTCTACGTTACTCACGTCAAACCCAACCTTATTCATCGGCGGTGCCTTCCGCAGCTACTTCCACCACGTCTCAGAAGCGCTACCGAAGTCCATACCACTCCATACCGTCGCCTGCGCCGTCATCAACGACCCCACTGATGTTGACAATGACATCGCTCAGGACGGTTTGTACGAGGGAGCGCTGCTTTCGGAGATGCCTTCCCTACTATACCTCAGGTTGAATCATGCTCGGCTCGTCAGCGTCATTAACAGATTGCGCCCAGCGGACAACAGCAATTCTGGCATCCTAGTTCCTATTCTCGGCGAACTAGCGCTCGTTTTCACCCCGGATGTTCAACACGAGAAATGGGTGTCACCTCTCGCGGCTTGCATCATAGCACGATCGGCCCATGGCCATGGGTTGAAGAAGCTTCACATTCGAGGGAATCCACATATTACAGAGGACGAACGCAAGATGCTTGAAGACTTACCAGTGATTATTAACTGGCGTAGTGTATCTGAGCTGTAGAAGGTACGCTGTTCCCACCGCGTCTTCTCTTATTCAACTCATTCTGGGAGCTTAGCAGCATAGGAAGACTGTTTACGTCATTTGACGACTCTGAGATGCGCAAATTCCCTAGCCTTGTGGTGGAAATACTTCGGTATTGGGACGGTTTTACATCTTGTTTGTTTTGATTTTGTATTAGTAGCATGTGCGACGAATGCAGCCCATGTATCGCGTTCACTTGAAGTTATTTTCAACCCATGATGGGTTACGAAGAAAAGCGTGTGCTTCCGTTGGCCTTACAATACTTCTTAACTTCGACGGGATCAGTGCGAGACCTACGACCTACACTTTTGGCTTTGTATTCCTTGTTGATCACTCGCTTTTGTCTTTGTGGTCTTGCTCTTGCTAGGCTCAATATCATCGAGGTCTGCAGCGTGGTTACATTGTGTTTATACCGGTATGCACAACTGTGTCTCTTATTGATCACGAACTCAAGCCTCAATCAAAGTACAAGTCATCGCACCACGAGCCATACTCGTCCACGGTCTCCGCGAAGCTCTTTATCTTATCCCGCGTGCGCTGCAGCACGAGGCTGTGCAGCGGTAGCCGGACCGGAGGGTCCTCGAGGCGCGACAGGCGGTCGATCACACGGACCGCCTTCTCGGTGTCACCGCTCGCCGGGCCGGTGATGTACTTTTTGAACTTGGTGCCCGCCATTTCTGGGTCAGAGTAGGCAGGGTGTGGGTCGACGATCTTAACGTTCTCGTTCATGATACGTGTACGGAAAGGGCCTGGTTCGACAATCGTGATCTATCAACGACGAGCTGTTAGCAACAGGAAGGAGAAGAAGTAGAGTCAAGATCGACCTTGATGTTCCATGATGGGTCAACTTCTTTTATTGCTGCTTCCGTTAGACCCTCGAGTGCTGATGACGTGTAAAAGCCAATACCAAGTAAAAGGTGACACGGTCTTACCAAACTTCCTATACGATGGTCGTTGGTATTTAGCATAGTTCCGTCGTAGCTGATGGAAAGGTATCTCACGTTGCAGAATAGTACCCGTTCCCGGGACTTGCTCCTACCCCCGCACCCGACGACACCTGGAGTAGCCTCCCACCAATGGGCTTGTTCACCTCCCGGAAGAACTTCAATGCCTCCTTGGTGACATGCGACGCGCCCCAGAAGTTCACCTCGAACATCTGCCTTGCGTTCTCGTCATCCATCGCCTCAACCTCGCCGAGCGCCATTATGCCCGCGTTATTGAACACCACGTCAATCCTCCCGAACGTATCCTTAGCTTTGGTAAAGGCAGCGGCGACATCCGACTTCTTTGTGACGTCCAACTCAAGAACCAGGAGCTGCGAGGCCGGATACTGTGCGACGAGGTCCGACAGCATAGAGGGTTTTCGAAGGGTCGCAATCGCGATCTCCCCGTTGCGTAAGAGAAGCTCAGTCATGCATCTACCAAAGCCAGAGGAGGCGCCCGTGACTATTGCAATATCCCCTTGAGCATATCGGTGCGAGCGTGGGAGATGTGTGCTTACTGAACCAGATCCTTGGAGAGGCCATGACTGTCGAAGTGAAGTGGGAGATGTCTGTGAAGAGGCGAGGAGGCGGCTTATCTGCTGAAGGAGGGCGAGCGAGTGAACCGCCGTTCCGTGGCGGAGAGCGCTCTCTTATACCCACTGTATTTTTGGACGCAAGACCATTGTCAGCTCTCGTGACAAAGCACATGACATCATAGGTTCCGGTTTGTCATTCGAGCAAAGTGCCAGCATCTCGCGGTGGGCAACCGCAATAGTGAACGTGCGTAGATAGACAAAACCTGCCCAACCCCGAAGATTAGATAAAGACTGTCTTGATTACAACTTACAGTGACAAAAGCGCACTGGTGATTAGTCGATATGATACAAATCATCAGTCCAGGATCCGTACTGCTCTACCGTCTCAGCGAAGTGCTGGGCTTTCTCCCGCATGCGCCCGACGACCTTGCGATGAAGCGGCAGACGCATCGGAGGATCCTCGAGCAATGATAGTCTGTTAATGACCGCCACAGCTTTCTCGGTATCTCCATCCGCGGGATCGGCAAGTGCGTTGCGGCATGCGATTCCAGGCAGAGTAGGGTTATCATACGCTGGATGAGGCGGAACGACAGTGACGTTGTCAGTCGTGATGTTGGTTCGGAACGGGCCTGGCTCAACGATTGTAACCTTTGGCATCATTAGCACAAATTTGTAGGGGATTGTCGTACATAGAATGCTGACCTTGATATTCCAAGCTGGGTCCACTTCACGGATCACGGACTCAGTGAACCCTTCAAAGGCTTGAATATAGCCAGGTCAGGGACTTGTTCTCCAAAGCCAATATGACCCACCAAACTTTCTATGGAGGGTAAGCTGATATAATTAATGGTGAGTAACAATAGACGTACGATGCAGTGTAATACCCATTCGACGCTGGCCCCCTTAACCCGGCGCCAGACGAAACCTGCAAAAGTCGTCCACCCATTGGGTTGTTCACTTCGCGGAAGAACTTCAGTGCCTCCTTGGTAACGGAAGCTGCACCCCAGAAGTTGACCTCAAACAGTTTTCTCGCTGTCTCGTCATCCATAGACTCCACCTCTCCTATAGCCAGCACCGCGGCGTTGTTGAAAACGACATCGATCCGCCCGAAAGCCTCTCGCGCCCTGGAGAACGCATTCACAACATCGTCTTTCTGCGTTACATCAAGTTTCAGGACAAGAAGGCGATCCGATGGGTATTGCTGGATGAAGTCTGCCAGCACTTCCGGTTTACGTAGAGTTGCTATCACAACGCCATCGTTCTTGAGAATGTACTCTGTCATACTCCTACCAAAACCGGAAGATGCGCCCGTTACTGGAGTTATTCGTCAGAAGATACAACTCAGTTGGGTCTATCCTTGCTTACTGAACCATACTCGAGATGAAGCCATCGTCAATTAGGAATCGCGTGGCTTATCTTCGCGAGTCTGCGTAGTTCCAAGGCTGAGCGGGTAAGGAAGCGCTTTCTATTGGACTTAGAGAATGGTATTAGCTGTAGTGGTTAAAGAAAGAGGTGAGAGGGTGTGTGTGTTACACTGTGTTTAGTGTGCGCTGCCCAAGACGCGTAGTCACGGTTGTCTACTGACACCGTGACACATGCACCGTGACAGCAGCGTCGCGTAACGCGTTTTATCACGCCACTGTGACAATGTCGCGTACACTTGCATACGTCACAAATTCGCGCATTTACTCCTCCCATGCCTTTCGCCAGGCTGAACCCGAACATGCATCCATAATGTCTTAAACTGCAGTCTACGCAGACACCATACGTCACTGATTATATCACGTATAAAGCGCGGAATTATGGTCTCGTTTCGCCAGAAGTTCCATCTCCCGAAACCACCAACGACTCTCAACGACTTCACTTCATGCCTGCCTCCATAATCGTCAACCTTAACACTGGCGCTACTATGCCAACTGTCGGGCTCGGTGGGATAACATCCTGATAACTCTTCGTTGTTCCTATTGGCTGACATATGCCGCGATAGGCACCTGGAAGGCAGAGCCGAACAAGGCAGAGCACGCCGTCGAGTTCGCCATCAAGAACGGCTATAGGCACATCGACACCGCGGCCCAGTATGGCAACGAGGCCGACGTTGGCAAGGGAATCAAGAACTCCGGCGTCCCTCGCGAACAGATCTTCCTCACCACCAAGCTCGACAACCCCGACCATGGCAATGAAGTTGAGGCTCTCGAGACGTCCTTGAAGAAGCTCGATACGCCTTACATCGATCTCTGTGGGTACATGCTTATTTCCGGCACGTTTTAAATGGCTAACTGTTTTACTTAGGGCTCATGCACTGGCCCGCCCCATTGAAGGACGGCAAAGTAGACGAAAGTCGTGATTGGTTGGATACATGGAAGGCGATGGAGGACATCTTCCTCGCTCATCCCGAGAGGGTTAAGGCTATCGGTACGCTTTCTTTTCACTGTAGTCATCATCTGACTCACGATCAACTAAGGCGTGTCCAACTTTTCTGTGAAATACCTCGAGCGACTGCTTCCCGTTGCGCGCATCGTCCCTGCAGTGAACCAGATTGAGATTCACCCGTGCGTACTCCCATTTATCGTCCACTTTCGCTCAACTTGGTCAATTGTCTTACTCCTTTGGACAGTTCGTGCCCACAGGCTGACATTGTCGGTTTCTGTCAAGCCAGGGGCATAATCCTCACTGCATACTCACCGCAGGGATCGGACGACTCTCCCCTGCGCGAGAACGACGTCGTCAAGAGGATCTCCCACAATCACTACGTCCAACCCGCGAACATCCTCATTTCATTCGCTGCTAATATTTCCGGAACGGCAGGTCAGCCTTCTCTCTGTCTTGTTCCCGAGCATGCGGACACGCGCTGACCTTGATTCATACCTTTTGCAGTCATTCCCAAATCCGTGCATGAGTCGCGTATCGTTAACAACCTCAAGACTGTTGACCTCTCAGGGGCTGAGATCCAGGCACTGTTTGAGATCCACAAGACAGGCAGCTTCCGCGTCGCCAATCCTGTCAAGATGGGGTGGGGCAGCCTTGGCTTTCCCGACCTTGAGTAATCTCTCAGAATATCCATGGGTAGCTGTCCCGTGCTGTAAATGCACTGCACTGTAATATCAATATCCTCATCCCATGCGTGTGACGGAGTGAACAGTGCCTTCCCTCCTAAAGAGTTACGGAGCGCGATTGGGTAAGCTGTGTTCCTCAACAAATTCCGACAACGTTCGTTTGAGCAAAGAGATAATTGACATCCGTCCTCAATTACAGCGAAGCTACAGTAATATGATATCAGATATTAACCACCCACTCATTGCCGGAGTTACTTAGTGTTCGTTATCGCTCGCATCATGGCGTGTCTATACTGTCGTAGATAGTCGAATCCTTCACGCGATTGCCCTTTGGGCACCCCTTGCCCGGGACAAACGCGCCGTGCGTCGTCGCGAGCCCCTGCTACCTCGAATTTCTACACTCAGATGCAACTAGTCCGTGTCATATCCATGCCAAGGGCGGTCCATTACTGTCTCAGTCACAGGTCATACCGCGATGTCATCCATCATTTCGACATCATTAATAGTCTCCATCGTTTTGTGGATCTCGATATGATTCTAAAAAACATATCATGAGCATTCGATGATGCCCATCCCTCTTGTAACCTCACGATTGGGTTTGTATTTCCCCGCTTCATGTTGGCACTGTTGTGCGAGCGGGACATGACAAAGTTGTTGATTCGAATCGAAGACTGTCGAGTGGCTTTCGCTTTGTCGAGCATCGAATTTCTCGAGTTGAGTCTACAGAATTTATTGGATATCAGGTACTGACATGGCGAATGAAGAAAGTCGAACGCACGATGCTAGAAATGAGATGCCATAGACTGTATAATTAATGCTTCTCAGATAAGTAGTTGATAAGGGTAGCGAATATACTTACGCTTGGTTTGTACCTGGAGCACACCAATGAACGCGAGGGATGTAGGAAGGCAGAGAAACTGTGTTTGCAAGAAGGTCACCGCTGCCTTTAGCAAGGAGTAATAGGTCCCTGAAACACGCAAATCTTACTAGTATGAGTACTACCAACGCTCCAATGCTGAATAACAATTAGGCACATCTGATTTTCTGTGTTTGAGACACTTACGAAGTCAGTACGCCTGTGTTGATTGTATAGATGAGTAGGTTGTCGATCATATTGTCCGTTCTTTGAGTTAGATAGCTTGAGGGATGCATACCGGGACATCATCTCAAGTGAGAAACTCACCGCTTTACACCTGTTCTTAGGTTATGCAGAAGCCAGCACAGCGCAGCCGCGAGCAGCGCATCGGCAAGCACAGACAAAACATAGCCCGCGACAATAGAAGCCTGCGAACGCCGGTCAGGGGATACTTCTCCGAGTTGCGTGCATCTAGAAGAACGCACAAAAGTCTTTGCGCGGAAATCCTCCCACAGCGTGTCCTCAATACTACACCAGCGCTTCAGTCTCATCACGGAACCAAGTTGCAACGAAAAAAAACATACGCGAGAACCGAGTTCATCCAGCCGACAGCTGAAACAACAAATGGACGGATGGCGTGAGCAACTACAGAGACCTTTGGAGCAACCGAAACGGGCACGTCTCGCGATTGGCGGCCGCATGCGCACCTAGCCGAGCAATTGCCAGGACAAGCTAAAGTGTTTCGAACGGTCAGAGAATTGCGTCAGAAATCCGAGAAATCCTTTTTCAAATGGGGTGCGTGATTTGCGCTCACTAGGGTCGTGGAGAAGATCATATTCTGGGACACTGGGAAATGCACGAAAGGTGAAAGTTAGCACAGCCTATGTTATGCTGTGTAGAGATAAAGACCTCGAGGAAGACGGGATGAAACTCACGTCTCCAGAAGCGCCAGATGAAGTACCTAAAACAGAAACCGGTCAACTTCCTACATTCCAAGGGGACAATGGAGTGGGTGCGAGCTCACACATTTACGAGGAAGGCGACGAGAAACTAAAAAAAAATGAGGTCAGCCCTATCGTAATCTATCAGGACATAAAAAGACTCACACCGACGATGAACGACACTGGTACACCCCTGGGCTACCCATTAGCGTCTATGACTTGAACATCTTTGTAAGGTTAACGCACCAGTTGACATGAAAGAGGTTGCCTTCATTGGAGAAGTTGACGATCAAGTAGAATTCAACGAAGTAGATCGACAGGACTGTGTGTAGCGTCTCCAACGTCCTTGAGCGGCACCGGTAGATGAGACTTTGCAGCCTATGCCCAGTGGCACGCAAAAACAACACGCACCATATAACGGCCACCTATGGCGCCACCATAGCCACTTGGTGAGCAATCGAATATACGGAAGCCAGACTGACAGCGCGTACCAAAAGTTTCATGCCTATCCTATCCTCCTGGTAGTTCTGCAAATAGTAGAACACCTGCATGCACCCAATACCGTAAAGGAACATGGTGAAGAGCGTGCCTAGCAGCGGAGCCTGTGCCAATGAATCAGCCGGCGTGCCCATAACGATCCTGTATTATTGGCAGCTGAGGCGACAGAGATCAGAGGAGAAAGAGGAAGACGGATGGACAGCATTCGTCAGGCACTCCTCCTCATTGCATATATATACAGAGGGAAGCGTACAGGCTTTATATAGTTGCCGTAACGCGGCATGGTCGGAAAGCGACTTGAGAGCTGAGCGTGCGAGACTACGGCCACAGCTGGATTTTCTCTGTAGTCAGGGATCAATACTATACTTATTGCGTGCTACAGCACGCGGGTCTGATACCAATGTAAAGCACTGACGGATCCAAAAGGATGTATGAACCTTGTGACGGTGTCGAAATGGAGTTTTCACGCGTGGTAGACGCTCTGGTTGTATGTACGCTGGGATTTCCAGCACAAGGAGTAGGGCACCAGAGATTGAAACGAATGGACAGCGAGCGAGGTACATGCCAACGGCAATGCATTGAAAGATTTCTCCAGATGCGTCCTGTGCGAACATAGAGCCAGGATGCAGTACGAGCTGTTCGCTGATAGAGAGACTAGAATGGGATCATCAGCTCGTGCGTTGATAGACTGATGGGAAGGTACCACGGCTGCGACGGTCCGCTAAATGTGGATCGTCTGGTTGCTCCTGGTTGCGCATATAAGCTCATATAAGATAAATAGACGCATCCACGGTTCAAACCCACAAAGATAAAGGCGTGCCTGAGGAACACAGTGAGGTCGGGTATCATACCTAGTCCCCCATTATCATGATGCTGCTAGAATGTTATCCCTCAGCGTGCTAATGCCGGTGAACATACGGATACCCGGGTCCTCCACAAGCAGCTGGTGTATACTTGCCGAGGCAACACTTACCAGATGAATAAGAAGAACTCGAAGACATACTTCTAAAAGTGCTTGTCCACGATCATGACAACGGCATCAACGAGACCCAAGTTATCTCCTTGAGGCTCTGTACCTCTTTTCTAGAAGTCTATTTCAGAGGCACATGCACACACACGGTTCGAAACATGAGATCGAAACAGACTTCGAGCGAGAAAATAGAAAGATCCCCATAGTACACTCTAAGATGCGTCAAATCTATGGGGTGCAGACGTGACGATGAAGTTACTGCACCTTAGCCAGTGACTGCGTCCAAAGTAAGGCAGCGCAACATAGCAAGACACGGTCTGCCCGGGCGATGCCAGAGAAGCACTATGATGAGTCAAGGGAATCAGAAGAACTTGATATAGAACAAGCAATGGTTTCGCAAGGCTTTGATGCCGGAAAATGAGTCCAGTTTCGGAAGTTGTGCCAATTTTCCCAGGTCCGGCAACTGCCGAAAGACCCCTCGTTCCATTCCTTCGCAGGGTTTCCTTACTGGCTACCGGAGGCAAAAGCTTCATTCTCTGAGCCAGACACTTGGAAATACTGACCGAGGGTTGCCGACGATCGATCGTTGTCAGAGTCTCCGAAAGCTTAAATGACAAGACTTCGAGCACATGCCATGCCACCCAATGTGAGAGTGGCGCCTGGCGGTGCTCGTCCGAGTCTGTCCTGACGTGGCATGCTGCGCAAGTCCCATCCTTCGTGGAGGCAACGTGGAGGTAACCTAAATGATCTCAGGCTTTCATCGAGTAGGATACGAAAGGGATGCTATTAGCAGCGATGGGCGTATGAGGATTTTGCAGAGGCACAACAAACAGCACTAGGGAGTAAGTAGAGTACAGGGTGGTCGCTATTTCGGAAAGAGTGTGACACTGTGCATAGCAGTGTGGGTCGATAATAAAGAGATTGCGGAGACGAAGGTATAAGACGCAGATAACATGATAGCAAAGGATCGTAAAGTGTTGTAGTTTAAATATAAGAGACACAAATAACAAAACGAAGCCCATTAGCGAGCGTGTCCGTGCTGGACCACGATCGGCGCGAGCCGCGGCCGCTCCCCCGATGCGGGTCGCAGAGGCGAGCGCGGGCTTGATGGCGTCTCGGGAACAGACAGCGTGGATCGTTTAGCGTCCCGCGACACGTAATGTTTGCGATCCTGCGAGGAGAGGGCGTCGTCGTCCGAATCGCGGATATCGTTGCCATCGACGTCGCCGCGCTCGAGGTACACATCCGTCACGGTTGTCCGCTGGATCTCTATCCGTGGCTGAAAGAATGGCGGCGACCGTAAGCGCAACGAAGCCAATGAAGACGAAGATGGGAGGGAGGAGATGAATGCTCACGAGAACTGGCTCGGACATGCCTTCCCCGCTCTTGCGCATACTGAAGTGCTTGAGAAGGCGCGGCGTCTGTGGGAGCGTCGCTAGCGGGGTGCCTTCGACCGTTGGCACTTTGCGTTCCGCATGTGCGATTGTGGACTTGCGCGAATTAAGCCTGCACGTTTGCACTAGTCAGTATCTGCTCTTTGCCGAAGGCAGACGGATAAACGCACGAAGCCATGAAAGAGATTGAATACACTACGAAATGGCATCAATTACGGCGAATAATAGCGGAGAAAGACACTAATGGACTCACGCTTGGTTTGAACTTGCAAAACACCAAGGAACGCCGTCGACTTTGGCAGCGCAAGGAACGCGACGGGGACGAGAATAGCCCCTATCCTGTAGCACAAAAGTACAAATTTCGTTCAGCCTGCTTTTTCTCATGACCTGTGAAACATCAAGAAACTCACGAAGTCAAAGCGCCCGTGTTGATCGTGTACATCAGAAGACGGTTGATGATGTTGTCTGTCCTGTATATCCCACACGGGGAAAATAAGAAGTTTAGTTACCGCGCCGGAATTTGGGGCTGGGAAGGTGCAGTGCTTACCGTGACATGCCGGTGCGTCTGCCGTATAGGTAGAAGGATAGGGATACGGCGATCAGGATGTCGACCACGGCTGAGAGGAACCAGCTGGAGATGATCGTCCCCTGCATTTGGTTCGACGGTTTATGAGCACGCCTATTTTTTTCTTTTATCTTTTGGTGCAGGGGAGACTCACGAATGCGGATTCACGGAACTCTAGCCAGGTTACACTCGAAAACGCAAGGATGCCGTTCACCCATCCCAGAGCTGTGAATGCGGTGAGCCTGACATTGCGCACCGGAATGGGCGTCCACCTACCAAGACGAGTGAAAGCGAGCACAATCTACGTGCACGCGTGGGCTCAGCATGCGGTGCTAAAGGGACTGAGAGAATGATTCAAGGCTCACCAAGGAAATCGTGACCCAGTACTTCCCCTTCTCGCATACTACCCGCCCTCATGTTAGCAACTAAACAGAGGCTTGGAAGACCTGGCACTGCTTACTCCGCCATATTCTCCAGATGAAAGCGCTGTCCGGCACCATCATCAGTGGGTGGTTCATCTCCACAGCAGCTGCGACATCACTCACAGGTTGACAATGAACGCCACGGTGAAGCCGACTAAAAAGGCGGCAGGCACGCTCCTGTGGTCGGCGAATAAATCAAGTCTAGGTCAGTATAACCGCGTTGATGATGCACGTCTGAGGACGCCATGAAGACGCCATGGATGAGAGGACGCACCAGACGGGTTTCTCCAGCATTTGAATGTCCGTGAAGTGTTCAATAACATAGAACTCGATGAAGTTGATCGAGAGGCCAACAAACACGGTCTCGAGAACCCTATTGGCAATTCCACCATCGGTTAGCATTCACACAAAAGTGAAGGGTTGGGATGTCCACGAGCACGGGAAGGCAGAGACATGATAATAAGAGGGGGATGAAAGAAAGTACTTACCAAATCCCCAGGACGAGCAGCCTCAGCGACATCTGGTCGTTGTAGTTCTGCGAGTAGAAGAAGAGCTGCATGCAGTTGACGCCGTACAGCAGCAGGATTGTGAGTGTGCCCAGGAGCGGGCCCTGCAGGAACGCAGTCGCGACGGCCATTTCGGGCGTCATATTGTTTGCTGCGCGGGTGCGTCGACGCTGAGGGAGCTGATGTGGAGGAAGGAGGAAATGTACAAGGTCGTGAACGAGTGTGCGTGGTGCTGGCTGCGTAGACTGTGACTGGTCTAGGGCACTCCGAGCATCAGCCGGCAGCGCGAGCGCGGCTCGCGTTCTTTATACTACCTCCTCAGGCAGTTGTGCAGATGCGCATATCGAATCATGACTGCACGCACAGAGTTTATTCGTGCAGTGCCACGCTCGCGTAGGAATATGCTTTGCACCCATCTGCGCCATCTCTTCGATTGTCACGAGTGTCGTCGCGTGGGATTCTGGGAGAAGCACCGGCCTGAGAGAGTCCAGAGAAAGTACGATCAACGCGCCGTGATGGGGGTAATGGTCCATCGTGGGGATGTGTACAAAAGAATGTAACACTGGGATGGAGAAGGCGGATTGGGCTCCACGGGGATGGGGTATCCGCGCCCCCGAAGCGAGACGTCAGACATCGCGGTTCGCTCGCGCTCTGCGGGCGGCGTCGATCGACGCGCGTGAACAATGAATTGACGCCGTCAGAAGCTGTCACCCAGTGATGATGTGGGGATGGACGAATGGGTGAGAGAAAGTCGAAGGCGGTGGCAAAATGTCGATGTCCAGCAAGATTTGTTGGACGGCGTGGTATAGATCCAGATGTGCTTCGCCTCGCTAGGCTTCACTGGCGCCGGCACGACGGCACCGACAGTGTTTCGGGACCATAAGAGTTGGAGAACCACACCTTTGCCCGCAAGTGCACCACGAAGTTTTCGTGGACCGTGGCGTCGGCACAGGCGTATCGGCAAGCGTTCCCCGCCGCGTCTGGAAATTTGAACCTTGAATGATCTTCTTCCATGTCAGCAATGAGATCAATCATGTTTGCATCCGCATCATCATATCAGAAGGAGAACTGACATCCGTATTCACGACCTGATATGCAAAAGTATGCAGAGCCTGATTAGAGGTGACGTCAAACGCAAAGAGCTAGCTCTATGTTGGTGTTCGCCACTATCATCTAGGGGGCGCAAATGAGGGTAAATGCCAGCATCAGCAGTGTGTGCTGTATAGCCCATTGGTCTACTGCATAGAATAGCTCGAGCGCTCGTCATTTGAACGACATACGCACTTATGGATATGTAGATCACCGTATGTCATATCGGCAGATACAAGTTTATGAGCTTTTGATGGGACTTGCTCGGAGACAAAGGAGATCCGAGGAATGTGGTGAGCTGTGGTGAGTTCGCCAAGTTCTGAGTGATGCGGTGAAGAAAAAGATGCGAGCCACCGAGTCGGACACACACCCCCGGCGCCGGCGCCAAATCCCGAGACCCGGTGTCCGGCGGTGTGCGGGCCGTACAAAGCCACAGCTCACGTGGCGACGCACATTGGCGGGTTCTGTTGCCCCGAACGTTGGTCAACTCCTGACCTGCGCCATTGTGTGTTGCAGTCTCCTGGACAATGTATACTTTGCCTTTTCTTTGTATGATAATCTACCATTGACAAGCTGTTGTAGGCCACCGAAAGGCGCAGCGAAGAAGAAGGCCGCAGCCGCACAGGAAGCAGTTGCCACCGCCACCCCTCCTGGTGAATACGAGCCAGTGCGTATCCAGTCTCCGATTGCTCTTTCACTGCATGTTTCCTTTGTATGACGCTGTTCTAACCCATGCATCCGCGTAGTAGACCCTCTCGGAGCAGCTTTCTTACTTGCAATATGCGCGCCCGTTCAAGAATCCGAACTACACCAAGGGCGTCGGGAGGCGCACCAAGATTCTGAAGACGGTGCTTGGGCAGGAGCGAGAGCGGGAAAGGCAGGAGCGCGAAAGAAAGAGGCTGGAGCGAGAGGAGAAGGAGGCAGGGGAAGGAGAGGCGATGGATGTGGATGTCAAGAGAGAAGAAGGTGAGAAGGCGAAAGCGAAAGCTGCTACTCCAGGGGTGGTGGTCGTGGAAGAGGAAGTGCCAACCTGTGAGTGTTCTCCTAAGAGGCGATCTCTATGGCTAGCCGCGGATGGAGGCGTTGACTGGGGTGCTTAGACTTATCCATCGAGGCGCCGCCTTCGCTTCTCCCTCAACGTCACTACTGCGATATCACTGGTCTCGAGGTGTGTACATGCGCCTCCATCTCAGCTTTACGAACACTTCTGAGTGATTGTATGCTAGGCTCCGTACACTGACCCGCGGACAAATCTGCGATATCACGACAAGAGCGTATACGAGCTTATCAAGAACCTCGTGCGTTGTCTTTGTATTCATACCGGTGCTAAGCTAACCCGCTCGCTGTTGTCATGTAGAGTCCCAGTGCAGCGAAGGACTATCTCGCTGCCAGGGGTGTCAACCCCATCGTCAAGTAACAGTCTGACCACATCGTTACTCTTCGCGTGTGCGCAGAGAAGAGCAATTTCCTTGGGCACCGTTCTTATGGTTTACGGTTCCTCCGACACGGCCACTGGATACCGGGCTTCTGTCTGTTTGAGTGCGCCGAGAAACTCTTACGCCTGATCTGTCGGGGAAGCCGTGCTGCGGACACCGTTCCAGATTGGCTTAGTGTATTTATACAAGGCGTCGAGTTGTTATCTTTAGGTTTAGTGGAATGATAGAGTTGAAACCAGTGCTAATGATTGTCGACGTTGACGTCGATGTTGAAAGGCAAGGAGGGGGAACGGTCATGCAATGTGGGAAGGGGAAGAAAGCGCGTCGTGGCAATGTGGCAACATCAGAAATCGGGCGACTAATATTCCGCTCGCTTGTTCCTTTCCTCCCTCCCTTGTCCTCGACATACCCACCCAAACATATCCGACTGAGCTACACAAACTGGGTCTGGGTCGACCCCCTGAGCCAGCGGACCAACATCTACGTTCTTTTGCTACATCTTAATCGACAGTTTTGACGTGCCTGCATTTTTCGGACACCGCAACCAGGTCTCATATTCTCATCACCAGCCAACTTTCGCCGCATCAATTCCTCTCTTTTCCTCTCACTATCTCTAACTCCCTCTCCTCCCTCCCTCCATGTTGCCGCGGTGGCTAGCCCTATCGCTAGCGTCGGGCGCGGCTCTCCCCGCCGCCCTCGCTCAGCAGGCCGGGTCTTTCGTCCAGGCTGGTAACACCCAAGTCAGCGCCATGATGGTACGCGTTCTCTGGCCTGTTATACACGCTTGAGATACGATCTAACCGACTCTTTTCCCTCATTCGACCAGATGTTCCTCGGGAATGAGGAAAAGGTGTACATGCTAGACAAGTCGGAAGCGAACGCTGCAAAGGTCAACGGGCACCCCGCTTGGGGATCGGTATGGTGAGCTTCCGTTCACACCCTTCGGCCATCCTTTCCCGGTCGCTAATCCGTGCCAACCCGTTTCCCTCTCGACGCGTTATGTCGACCTCGACGCGAACAGGGACCTCAATACCCACTCGGCCACCACCATGGACATCTACTCCAACACCTTCTGCGCGTCGGGCCACCACCTCCCCAACGGCTCCTACGTCACCTTCGGCGGGAACTCCGCCGTCGGCCCGCCCTCCACCACGCCGCAGAACACGACGTACGACGCGACGTGGAAGGACTACGACGGCACGCGCGCGATCCGCATCCTGAACCCGTGCACGAGCAAGGACAACTTCAACAGCGCGAACTGCCAGTGGTGGGAGAACGCCAACGTGCTCCAGATGCAGAAGCAGCGCTGGTACTCGGCCGCGGAGGCGCTCGCCAACGGCACCATCGTCCTCATCGGCGGCTTCAGGAACGGCGGGTACATTAACAGGAACTATCCGAATACGGATCCGCTCTACCAGGGTGGCGAACAGTGGGGTGGGGCTGAACCGACGTTCGAGTTTTATCCGAGCCTTGGGACGGCGCAGGTTATGAAGTTTATGGGGACGACGTCGGGCCTGAATGCGTATGCGCATACGTTCCTTATGCCGTCGGGCAAGATGTTTGTTCAGGCTAACCTTTCGACGGGTGAGGACCATCTTCTCTCTTCCATGATACGTTTTCGCTGACATGACGCTACCAGTTCTCTGGGACTACAACGCCAACGTCGAGACGCCCCTGCCAGCCATGCCCAACGGCGTCGTGCGCGTCTACCCCGCGTCGGGCGGCACCGCCATGCTCCCGCTCACACCTGCGAACAACTACACCCCTACAATCATTTTCTGCGGTGGCTCTGACATGCCCGACCAGTACTGGGGCAACTACTCGTGGCCATTCTATAACACCTGGACATACCCCGCCTCGGACGACTGCCAGCTGATCACACCCGAGCCGCAGGACGGCTCTGCCCCCAAGTATACGCAGGAGCAGTCCATGCCTGCCGGACGCACGATGGGCCAATTCATCACCCTGCCCGACCAGACGATGCTCATGGTCAACGGCGCAGCCAACGGCACGGCCGGCTTCGCTGACCGCACCCTCCAAGCAACCACTCAAGACCAGATGCCGTACTTTCAGTCACTCGCAGCTGGTCCCGTTGGTCTGCCTGCGCTCTACAACCCCAGCGCGCCGCAGGGCCAGCGGTGGAGTACCGCCGGCCTGGAGAACACGAACATCGCGCGGATGTATCACTCGAGCGCGATGCTCCTCCCTGATGCGAGTGTGCTTATTGCGGGCTCGAACCCGAATATTCTGGCCAACACGACCTCGGTCTACCCGACGCAGTATACCGCCGAGATCTTCTACCCGCCCTACTTCTCTGCCAAGACGCGTCCGTCGGTGTCCGGCCAGCCCTCGACGCTCACGTACGGCGGGAACCCCTTCAATCTCACGATCGCCAAGGGAACATACGATGGCGCGCCGAACAGCGTCGCCGCGAACACGACGGTTGTTCTCACCCGCGGCGGCTTCACGACGCACGGGATGAACATGGGCCAACGTCTGCTGCAGCTCAACAACACATACACGGTCAATAGCGACGGCTCGATCACGCTGCACGTCGCACAGGTCCCGCCGAACCCGAACCTGCTCACGCCCGGCCCATGCTTGCTCTTCGTCGTCGCGGACGGGATACCAAGCACGGGCGCGATGGTCACCGTCGGCTCGGGCAAGGTCGAGGACCAGCCCATGCAGGCCGCCTCCGTCCTGCCCACTTCCGTCACAGCCACGAACGGGGACAAACCCGTGTCGGTGTCGTCCTCGGGGACCTCGCACACCGCGATCATCGCGGGCGTCGTCGGCGGCGTCGCCGCGCTCGCCATCGTCGGCGTCGTGCTCTGGATCTGCATGGGCCGACAGAGCCACAAGAAGGCTGCCGCGCGCGACGCGGGGTTCGCGACGAACGCGGGGAACCGGATCAGCGCGATGGCGGGCACGCTGCGCGGCCCCTTTGGCGGCGGGGGTGGAGGGTCGGGCAACGGGCGGAACAGCGATACGAGCGCGTTTGTGCCGCTGCAGGAGGCGCCGAGCTCGAGCCAGGTGTGGGGGCAGCATCCGCCTGGATCGCAGCCTGGGGGCGGGGCGGCGCCGGCGTACGATGCGGGTAGCCCGTATGGTGTGAGCAGTCCGTATGCGCAGAGCACGGGGGCGATGCATCAGCCGTATGGGCCGGGGTCGCCGTATTCGCCGCAGCGCGCGCCGTCGCCGTACCGGGACTTTGAGTAGAGCGGTGCGAGGTACGAGTAGAGCGGTGAGCAACCAAAGGGGAGGGGTTGAGGCGATAGGGAAGGGAAGGGAGAGGCGGCGGCACGGACCCTCTTTTGGTTACATGACGGGTAGTAATCCATCCAGCAGTACTTGCTTACACACGGACATGGTATTAGATCTTTGATGATTTGCACGTAGGGCGGATTGCTAGTACTTGGTCTCTCTTTTTCTTTTCTTTCCCTACTTCATAAGTGTTTTGCTTGACTTAGCCTTTCTGATATATCAGTCGATATTGCAATCCATACTCAGTCGTGCATGATACGATACAGAATTGGCCGAAAGGCTGGTGTTCGCGTTGACGCGTCGCGGTTGGCTTATCTGAGTCCACCACCTTCCCACTGCCAAAGTCGAGTTGTAGTAGCTTACACTCCAAGTGGAGTCGTGCTCACCTTCGCCATGACCCTCAGTGGTGCCGTTGCGATTCTGACTAGTTTTCCAGCTTCGTTTACGGATTTCGTTTCGCATCCCCCCAGTCCGAACCGCTATGGCGACCGCAAAAAAAGGATCGCTCCGTTCTGTCTCGCTCTTCTCTTTCATCTAAAGCTTACCATCATTCTCGCCATCGCCGTCTAACGAATACAACTAACCAGTCACGCCCTCGCCATCTTCTATATACTGATGGTACTCATGCACTCACCCGACCCCGGACGAAACTTCGGCACGAAGGGCGACATCGAGGATAGCCCGCCTCTGCGGGCGACATCATTTGCCTCCCTGTTAGGAAGCATGCAGAACATCTTCCAGCCCGCTATCCGCTCGCTCGCCTTCAAGCGCACTGACGAGCTCTTCGCTCGAGAACAGGACGCGAGCCTAGAGCACGATCGGTCGAGCCTGCGTGATGCGATGGCCAAGGCGGAGGCTACAGTCACCGAGCAGGGAACGCGTCTTCGATCGATATCCACGGACATGGCGACAGTGAAGACCGATGCTCTGTCTCTGCGGGATGGCAGTGGAACCCGTGGTCTCACAGACGTAGACGACCCGTTTCGGGGTTCTTCGATACCGAGGAGCCCGTTACTTGGAGAGTCGACGCGGCCGCGACTGTCGCTGGGGTCATTTGACGAGACGGTGGTTTCGTCGACTGCGTACGATGACTCCGTGATGGGGTCTTGTATGTCGCCCTCCTCGGATGGATCGGCCACGTCCGTTCCGTCATTCTGCATCACGGTATGTTTTACGCCCGTGCACTGACTTCGACTAAAGTCAAACTTGCAAACGCTAGTCTCCTGCGTACCCCGAGCCAACTCCTACTCGCCGGCGCGTGTCTTCGTTGTCGGCAAAGCGCAGCCTCTTCTCGATCAACGAGGACCTGCTTCGAAACATGGTGGAGTCTATCGTTGACGAGCGGTTTTCCGAGCACGAGAAAGGATTCCGACAACGTCAACAAGTCCGACGCGACGAGATGTACGCCGACGTCGTCGGGTGGGCAATCAAGCTCGAATCCGAGCAGCGGAAAATCGTGGATCGAGTCGCGTCGGAGGTCGAAGAAGCTCGGAAGCAGGTATCCGAGCTTGCCGCGTCCGTCAGGCAGAACGTCAGCGGAGACCGAGGAGACACCCCTCCCCCTTGTTCAGTGATCTACTCCATGTCTTTGACTCCGTCTGAGTCGACAGCTACGGTGAAATCACGCGACCACCTTGGCGATGCTGGCCATATTCCCGCCAAGGGCCGTCGCAAAACTGAAATAGGCGCGAAAGGTGAGTCGGTGTGCAGCTAATCGGGCTAAACTGAGATGCTAATTCAACTTCTAGTGATTAAGCCTACAACTGCCAACCCAGTTCGCCTTCGCGCGACGAACAAAGGCGGGGCTCACGGGGGAAAGGTAAGTATCAGCGGCCTTACGGCATCTCCCAATTATTGTTTTCGTTTTTTTTTTGCGTTTGTTCCTTGTTTTGGGTTTTTTGTTAAACTACTGACTCCATCGTTAGCCTCTTTTAAAACCATCTGCACCTCGTACGAAACCGGCTATAAAGACCAGCATACATCCGGCTCAGAGTCATAGTTAGTCAAGCTTCCTTTCAAGGGCGCGAGGGAGTTTACCCACCTTATCTCTAGATGCCAAACTCAGGAAAGAAACAAATTTGCGCCCTAAGGTCCAAGAGCAGAATGACTCCATTGCGAAGGCATCGGACGCTAATCCAGCCAATCACGGCTGTCTCTCTCAGACCCGGATTCCCGAGCCATCGAAGGGTGTTCCGTCTGCTACGTGCTCTGCGCATAGGCGTCGACCTGGAAGCCAGGAGTTGTCATGTATGTTTTTACGCTGAGCGTAATCTCGGTGCAGTCGTCGCTCACCAAAGCTACAGTTATGTCAGTTGCATCATCGCGTTCTTGTACCCCTACGCCCGCCGGATCATCGTCATTTCTGGCCCCCGATGTAATAACGGCGCATGCTTCCTTGCGTGCCCGGTCTACTTCACGCGCTCGCTCCCCAGCATTTCTAGCAGTTTAACTCATTGTACACCGTTGATTGTCTTTGTAATGCTACATGTAATCAGATCATTGCCTGTTTACGGTGGAGACTGGGGATCTACTTCTCGAGATACACGTCCTCGGACCACGACTCCCACTTATCCGCCACCTCCTTCCACTCCTGCGACTTCGCCCTCGCAGCACCAATAGGGTCCCTGTGAATGGGAAACCGCAAGGGAGGACTGTCCAAACGCGTAAGCTTATCAATCTGAGCAACCGCTTTGATAGTATCGCCGTCCTGAGGCGAGGTGATGAACGCGGCGAACTGGTTGCCCGGCATCTTGGGATCGGCGTAGGCTGGGTGGTTCGGAACTCGCTTGATGTTCTCCTTGACCATCTTTGTCGCAAAAGGACCCGGCTCGACGATTGTCACCTGGTTAGAGTAAGCATGACTAAGGCTTAGTAAATAAAGACACACGATATCACCTTGATGTTCCAAGAGGGATCAACTTCCTTTGCCGCGGCTTCGCTGAAGCCTTCAAGGGCAAATTTGCTAGATTACGCGTCAGCTCGTTAGTCATTAGGGATGTGTCAGACGAACGTTGCGCAGTAGTAAGCATTCCCAGGAATACCGACGATTCCGCCGGCGGAAGAGACGTTGAGGAGGTGCCCGCCCGCAGGCTTATTGACCTCTCTGAACTGGCGAAGAGCTTCCCGGGTGACGTGCACGGCTCCCCAGAAGTTGACCTCGAACAACTTGCGCGCTTCGTCCTCGGGGAATGCCTCGATCTCGCCGATGGTCAGAAGACCTGCGTTGTTGAACACGATGTCGATTCGACCGAACTTTTCGTAAGCCTGCGTGAATGCAGCGGTTGTATGCTCGGACTGGGTGACATCGACCTTGAGCACGAGGAGGTTGCCAGTCGGATGCAGAGCCACGAGATCATCCAATGCGCTGGGGTTGCGAAGGGTGGCTGCAACTTTGTCGCCGTTCTTTAGGGCGAGCTCGGCCATAGCCCTGCCGAAGCCGGACGAGGCGCCAGTGACTGCGATAAACAGTTGAATTTAGGGCTTGAAAGAGGTGGGTGAAATGGTGACCCACTGAGCCAAACTCTATGAGAGGAAGCCATTTCAGCTGTGAATCTGCCAAAGGGATAATGGCGGAATAACACGAAGGTTTGAGTTCGAAGTCGGTCTCCTCTTCTGCATTTTATAGGCCCGCAGAGCGTGGACTCCGAAATGGGAAGACTCCTGATAAGCTGGACGAGTCATCTTATGACGAAGGTTATCGGTACCGATGATCTCCGGAAAACAACAGGCCGCGCGTCGCTCGTAGCCCTGGATAAGCCCACTTTTTTCACCAGTTTTCCACACACTGCGTGAGTTTCGTCGAATGTGGTCGCAGCGGCGGCACTTGCATCGGAGTCCAATGTTACGGCACTTGCCGAATACAGTATCGTTGGTGCAGTTGTATGCCATTGCTGCGGCATTTTTTTATGGTGATAGCAAGGATTCATGTAGTAGCTCTGTGGGAGATAAATCAGCACATTCGTTGTATTTGATTGAGGAATAGTCGAGCATGAGTGTCAGGCGCTCAATCCAGTGTGCCTGCGGAAACCCCTAATTCAAAATGATGTACTTACCTCAACTGAACTTTGACGGGGAAAGGTTGCAAATGACCGCGCGACACATAGAAGCGTATGAATATTTGTACCATGCTGTGTATCGCGCGTAGAAACATGCTGGACGTTGAAACACGTAAAGATAGCATTACTAACCCAGGGCATGGTGGAGCAAGACCGCGACTGCAGTGCACTTTCTACGAATACAAAACGTCATCGTAAGTACAGCACACGGGCATATCTCTGAGCACCCTCCACTCGTCTGTCGTAGCCTTTATCTCTCCTCGGATTGAAAGGCGTTTCAACGGGAAACCGCGCTCCATCCGAGCACGTATACAAGCCGCAAGAGGCTCCACCCAGTCTGTTTCAAAAGAGACAGAAAAAATTACAAGTTGCAGAAGGTCACGGGCGGGGATTTCAGAATCCGATTGATCATCCATGGGGTGTAATGCACGGATAACACTGGCTATCTTGTCAGATGCAAGTTCTAGGTATTGAAGGGAGTGCATCTTCGAGATAATGTCCACCTCGGGACATTCGCTGCGCGTGCGACCTACACAAAATGAAGTGGAGCTGTTGATGGTGGCGCATGTGACGTATTGGAGGGGTATCAAACCACATACTACCGAGGAAAGTTCTTGGAAAGAGCTGCCAAAGATACTGCTTATAAAGATGTCGGGCCTCGACTTGAGTAGAGTGGATAGCTCAAGGGGAGTCAAGCTTCCATCATCGTTGTATGAGCTCGAAAGTATACCAGCTATAAACAGAGGAATGAGCTGGGAAGCATCCGTGGTGGCCTTGGACCAGGCACCGAAGTCAAGTTTTGTGCTAAATGTCCCGCCCTCCACAGGTGTGATTCTAAGCGCGCAGTGACACTCGGACAAATCGAGCGACCTGTTTTCGTTGCCCTTTTCTACGATATGGCGGTGGGATACACTGTTAATGATACCAGATAGAAAAGTAGACGGTGGGGTGAGCTGATGGACATCTTCTATCCCGAAGTACTCCAAGGGTCTGGAATGGCGAAGTGACCGCAGAAAAATCGTACAAGCACGGAATGAATTGGTCACGTGCAGTCGAGCGAGGTTGGGGAGGTGAATCTCTGGCATCACAAAGTATACGGGGAAATAGAGGCAAGAATGGAGAGAGAGCTCCCGAAGGTTGGTCATTCCTTCGAGAAATGTGAGGAGCCTCCGGCCAGCTAACAATGGCCCGAGATGTAGGCGCTTGAGGTTGCTAGGATTGACGAGACGAAAGTAGGGGTCCTGCTCGTTGACGATCGCATCTAAGCAGGTAACTGATAAACTGAGAGACTCAAGGTCTGCGAAGGTCTGTGTTCGACCGTAGCGTGTGTCCAGAGTGCGGAGCGAGGACAGCAAGGTACGGACAGGGGCTTTAATGACCAATTCTGTCACCCGTTTGACGCTCTTCGCGAAATAATCACCGTGGAGATGTTTGCTTGTTGCAATAGAGAGCGGAGCATCTCGAGACCGCCCGAGCATTTGTTCAGTCCATTGTCCACATCCTAGGGGTGGGCGAGCCCACAGCTTGACATAAGCCAACGCGACGGCACGCCAATGGCGACACACTTGTGTGATCCGAACCCAATCTAACAGACATCGAAGTTCGCAAACGTGATATTGCCACAGAAGGCCATCGCTAGAATGAGCCTGTGTAACACATTCAAGGAAGATGATTTCGAGCAGCTCGGAAGGAAGTGACGGGGCTGGCATGATGGTGTCGATATAGTATTGGAGAACACTTGACACAACGCCACTCAGTATACGTTGACATCTTTCAGTTAAGCTTATGTTTGCTGACTTACATATGTTTCAGCCCTATTGTCAAGGCAGTTCAGCGTAACTTTGCGACTGGTGCAGTGAATGTTATTGCTTGGCGAGGAAGAACTTGGAACACGTGGGCCCCACAAACCCTCGGCCTCAACGTGTGTTGAGTCTCACGGTACAGCCACAATGCTGCTCAGCATGCCTAGGATCGTCAAGAACCTCATTCAAATATGTATTGCATGTCGGTAAATTAGCAAGCCATAGATAATAATGGCGGTATCAACGAGAGTAGCTGCGAATACGCAGTTAGATTGATTTATGCCATAGAGTAGAAGTGGATTTAGTCCAGAATGTGGATTATTGAGTTTGATACAAGGACTCGGAGCAAGCCGTAGATGTAACGGCTGTCTGCCACCTCGAAGAACAGATTAAGAACTCATTACCACATCCTTCAATTTTTCGAAGTTTGGTGTGCCGAGGCCCGTAACTGACCCCAACGTCAGCATAACAGGCTGAGCGGCGAAAAGACTTAGACTTACCTGGATCCCATCCTTTCGTCGCCTGTAAAGTAGTGGAAACGGTTAGCTTTTGGTTTGGAGCCTCTACATAAAGAAGTGTCGCACATTGAAACCAGGTGTCGCACATCCAGGGTTGTTCCCCTCTGTAACATCATTAAGTGCCACGCTGGCATTGCCATACAGAATGGGGTTGAGGAAGCCAAGGGAGGACTTTCCGGCTCTGAGTCGCGCATCATTGAGCATCGACACAATCGCTGCAAATGCAGGCGTTGCAGCAGATGTGCCCGAGACGTTATGCGGCTGGCCGGCGATGTAGACCAGGTAATTCACTCCCTGCGCGGAGACATCTGGGTAGGCGCGGCCAGATGCGTTGTACATCCCCGCGTACTTGTCGCCAAGCTCGGAGAGATAGGAATCGACGTGCGACTGCTGGTAGGACGGCCGCCCCCAGTAGTTACTGAATCCACCACCAGAGAAGTTGGCCGCTGCTTCGGGAATGCCGATGGTCGCTCCTACGGAGGTCACGTACGGGCAACTACTTGGAAACATGGGCAAGAACGCGGGAGCGTCAGAGCCGTTGTTACGGTGGCAGGTTTGATTCATTGCGCTGTAGAGTAGTCCAACACCGCCATCGCCGGACCCAAAGAGGAGGGAGACACCGCGGGCACCTATATTGGTTACAATCGACGTTAGCGAGGGATAGAATTAAGACTGGGTTTACAGACCAAGAGCTGCAAACGATTTGCAGACCCGATCGGCGTAGCTGAATGGAACTGCGCTCATCAACTCATAATTCTAAGCCAGCTGGCATAAGCAGCACTTACCTGTTTCCTCGCTGTCCCCATAGCTCGTCGAGATAGTCTGCGGGACATCGGTCTGATTGAGGATATAATCGGCCCACTACGTGAAATAACCATCTTCAACTGTCCGACATAGTTGGCGCGAATTAAGACGAAACTTACGTCAGCCCAAGGAGTATTGACATTTGACGGGGCAAACTCGTCAGGGATAAAAGGCGGCTCGCCCGCAGTCGACCAGAACGTGCCCGGAGTCGGATAGGTCATACCAAGAGCATATTGAACATCCAGATTCGCCTCCGTGCTGGCATTTGCTGGATCCTGAATGTTCTTGCCGCCTGATAAACAGAGGAAAACTAGTAAGCTGTCGTCACTGGTAGATAGTGATCCAAGTTACCGTTGACAGATACGAAGGTGAAGTTAGACCCAGCCGCAGCGGGGTTCTGGCTCTTGTAGAACGTCTGCAGATCTTCGTAGTTGGCATACTGTTCGATATAACCTGTAATACCAATCGCGTTCCCGCTAGTATTAGAGGGGATGTATCCCTCGGCGTTGTAGAGCTGCTTGAGACAGGTCGGAGTGATCTGATAACTGCAAGACTGATCAAGGGCGTTGCCCGCCGGCCCAGTGATCGTGCCGTTGTCGCCTTCAGCGCTGTACACCAGACCACCAGAGTAGCGGTACGTGATTCGGGCGGGCTGAGTGCGCGCATACATCGTCGTCGGCTGAACGAGGTCGATGTGGGGATGTAGAATGGAAGGAAGGCTATATGACGTCGTACGGACGGCCGTGTCGCCGGATGCCTCGTGGACGTAGGCGTGGAATTGCTGAACGAGAGCAAGCACGTCAGCGAGGTTACCTCAAAAGATTACGAGACTCACCGTGTCGAACATCTGTTCTGCAAGCTCCACAGGCACCTGAAGAGTCACCCAGTCGCCAGCCGCGGACTTTGACATACTCTCCGCACCGACTCCGTGGCTACTTAGCCACTCATGAACGATATCGAGCGTGTCGGCTTCGGGCGTCAGGAACGCATGGACCTCTTCCTTGCTCAGATGAGCGCCATAGTTGGGGTGCGCCGGGTCGCTGGCTTCACGGAGATGACTCTCCAGGTCTGCGAACTTGGACTGGGCGAGTGCGAGCTTGAGCGAGAGGACGTAGTCGGCGGGTGCGCGTCCCGTAGGAGTCCAGCCTAGTGGAGCGGAGCGGATGCTCTCCTTGATAACCGGCTGAGAACCTCGGAATGCGTTGGCAAAAAGGGGGGATAGCGCAAGTGCGACAAAAATGGAGAGCTTCATCTTGGAAGCAATGAGATAGCAAAAAGCGAAATAGCAAAGTCAAAAGATTGGAAATGAGCAGAGGAAAAAGGTAGTTGGTGTTGTACACAGAGTTTACCATGACCTACTTATATATCTTCGCGCCGGTGAGACTTCCCAACATGTTTCGTCTGCTGGACAGCAAGCGGGACGCTCAAACACACAAAAATATGCTTGGCGACGTCGATCTCGGAGCCAGCTCGTCCATCCTGTGACGAACGTCAAGGCTCCAAGGGAGGGTCGGAATACCAGAATGTCGATTCGCCGAAACGCTTTCCGTGCTTTGACGGGAGCGCGCATCCAGCTCGGAACTTCCGTGCTGTCTTGATGCACCCTGGGAAGCGTCAACACAGATCGAGCACAGCAACGAGACAAAACGCGCCTTTGCGGGTATCACGGCCCATCGTCCTGTACGATGGTCATCGGCAATTCCCGGAGCATCGCCCACTCTTTACTTGAAAGCCCCACCTGTCCCCGAATACAAAGCTTTTGCAGAGGACTACCACGACCAGCACGAGATCTAAGACACAATGCGAGCCCTGTCTCTGGAGTTGCTATGCGCTCACTAGCTGAGAGCACCAATTCGACGAGCTTGGAGAGAGGGACACCAGAGTCGCCTGCATGTGTGTCCGAAGACGGGCTGAACGCGTCGACAAGGCAAGCTAGATCAACGTTTGCCATCTCCAGATACTGGAGAGATGGTAACTCTGAGAACAACGCGGACAAAGCGTCGCAAGTGAAACTGGCAGGACTGACAGAATCTGCGATGACGGCGCACACAACCGTCCGGAGCGAAAAGGAGCGATAGAGTCCTGCGAGAATATCGAGCGGTCTGTTGAACATTCTGAATGTCTGCCATAGGCCACCAATGAAGAGCGATGGGTTTGAGTCGAGCAGCGCAGACGTCGTATACGGAGAAATGTCGGAGGATGGGATTATGCGGAACAAGCCGGCTTTGCATAACGTCGCAATTTCTGTAGGATGAATTGCGGTCGTCGGCCAGGCAGCAAGGTTGTAGTCAAACTTGAACATAGAGCGACCCGCTTGGGTGTGCTGCGTAGAAAGCGCGACGCCAACGGCGCAACGGTGCTCGGTGAGGTCTATGGGCGCTACAGATTCTAGCTGCATGGTTTCACCGAGAACATGGTGACGATTGATGATCTCGTGGGCAGCGAACAGGAGTTTGGTAGTCTCCAGCGGCTCTTGCACATCTCGAAGTCCGAGGTATTCGAGGGGATGGGAGTAGTGGAGGGACGCTATGAAATCCTTGCAGTCATCTATGTCATCGATGAGATGAAGACGGGCAAGGTTGAGTAAATGGATCTGCTTCTCCTTGTCACCGGTCAGCCGTCGGAGACAGGACCTCAAAGACAGGTCGCGGAGATTCGACATGTCTTCAAACAGAGATTTACTGAAGTCGAAGTTGAACGGTCCGAGATGTAGACGCCGCAATCCAGCTACGCTGACGAGATGAATACCGATGGGCAACTCCGTCGACCCTTTCGTGAAGAATCTTTGAGCCAGACTCAGTGATTCCAGCTCCGAAGCTGACCCTGATGAGGTAATTTGCTCGCTGATTTCGCCGATCAATGGCACAAGGAGACGGAAAGGCGCTTGAATGACAAGTTGTTTGGCGTTCTTAAGACTTTGCTTCCACTGTTTATCGCCGTCGCCGTCAAGACGCACTGAAAGGGTGAGACGAGCTCTTCGAGATCGAGCAAGCATTTCTTCGGCCCATCTCCCACAGGCTACCACCGGATGCGACCAAAGCCGTGGGCATCCCAGCGCGACGGTGCGCCAATGACGACATACGTGGGTGACCTGTACCCAGTCCAAAATGCAGCGCGAAACGCATACGTGGAACTGCCAAGAGAGTCCATCGTGATTGTGCGCCCGTAGAATGCATTCCTCGAAGATAATCTCGAGAAGTTCAGGGGGCAAGGATGAGGCCGGCATGGTTTCGAGGGCTGAGCAAGGCCGACGTAGATTGTTAGGTAAAGTCTCCCTGAAACCTAGCTTCGAATGTGGTAAACGGGCTTGAGCTTGACGGAGGATGGAAAACTGCCGCGAAACGTACACACTTGATACTAGGGGGTGTGGATAAGCTTGGGCTAGCTAAGCAGAAGGTTCGGACGCCCTAGTAAATAAGCGCGCATTAGCCATACCCACGGAGTAAAAATGGTCAGCCAGGATGACTCAAGCACAAGTAAGTTGTCCTTTGTCAATGAGGGATTTGTCAACGTAATTAGTCAGAAGGCCACCGTAGTGTTGGTTGGACCGAGTACACCTGCTTGACAAAGCCGCGATGAGAAGTTCCGATGCGCCAGCTTTATACGACACCATCATGGCATAGATGTCAGAGATAGCCCGCCGCTTCGCTCAGCAAGGTAATCTAGTAACTGCTCTGAAGGTCACAAGTTGTGCCGTGATGATTGATAGTTGGCTTTGACGATTACATGCAAAGAAATCCTATCAATTAGTGTCGATCGAAAACCTACTTCCTGAACCGATCCAGTGCGGACGGTTTTCGTGGCACTATCTCGCCCTTCTCGATCTTGCGCGCAAGCTGCTTCTCTGCCCGTTGTTTGTCCAGTTTTGCGCGGATCGCGACCTAGATAAAAGAGTATCAATCAGTCGCCGTTCATCGTGACGCGGGGGAGGGGGCATGGAATGGATTAATCAATCCGAAGACGAGAAATACGTGAAATGCGACAGAAACAAACAAAAAGAAGTCAGGGTGATGATGTATGTAGGGAATTCGCAAATGCAGCGAGCCGCTGGGGGGAGGATCCGACGAATTCAAAGAGCGGAAGGGTGCATAATGAAGAAACGTAGCGTAGAGAATACCATGAGAACAGGTCAAGCAACGATGCCCAGGACGTTGCCATGGTTGCCGTAAAGGCACGAAGGATGAAGAAAGTAGGGGAAAATGCTCACCGCCGTTGGGTCCACCACATTCTTCCGCTGCTTGCGCAGGTATCTATACACCTCCACTTTCAGCTTTGTGCTCGTCGTGACAAAAAGTTCTGCTACTCACCGCTTCAAACTCTTGCCCTTCCCTCGCTGCTTCCGCTTCTCCCTCTCCTCTCTCGACTGCTTCTTGCCATTGGCCCCGCCTTCTCCATTCTCCTCTCCATTCCCGTCCTCATCCATTCCATCCATATCCGTCTCATCCGCCCTCCCCTGCACCCTCAACCTCTCCATTCTCGGCAGCTTCAAGAACGGAATATCGTGCGTCTCGTTCACCGCAGTCGTCAGCTTCTTCTCCGTCGCCATCCGTCCAATGGTATCGGGGTCGAGCGTGATCGCGTCGGGCGCGACCTTCTCGAGCAGCGTGCGCACCTCGCGCTCGCGCCTGGCCTTCGAGCGCTCGAACGGATCGGCTTCGGAGCTGTCGAAGTTGGGTTCGCCAGCGCCGGGAACGAGGATGGAGGAGAGGCCCGCGGAGTGTCCGATGGTGAGGACGTCTGTGTAGGGGCAGAAGCGGAGGCCGCTGAGTGGGCGCGAGGGGACCGGGTGGGTGAGGTAGAGAGGGGGCGGGGCGGAATTCGACGTTGTCAAGGTGGGCTTCGTGTAGATCTACACGGGTTCGACGCGTAAGAGACACGCATACATGCACATACAAAGAGAGAGGGAGAGAGAGACGCACATTCACGCTTCCACCCGTTGCCACCGCCAACGCGCCTCGGGCGCTCCACTCGACCTCTCCTGGCCCGCCTCTTGCCCGCCACGAGCGTACCTCTCCCTTCCAGTTCCGACAGTCCCACACCTTGACCATCCCGTCTTGACCCATCGTCGCGAGATACCGCCCTCCTTCCCCACCGCCAACACCTGTGCTTCCACTTCCGGCAAACGACCCACCAGGGTCAACGCTGAGTGAAACAACTGGTCCGACGTGCGCAAGCAACTGGACGGCGGGATGCGGGAGGTTCGGCGTCCAAAGCGTAACCTGCCCGTTGGTGTGTCCCAGGCAGAGGACACCGGTATGCGGATTTTGACCCAGGGAGACGGTTGGTCCGAGTTTGGTGCGATGCGTCGCGACGATAGCCCCTGTTGAGGTATCTTGGTATGTCAGACTTGAGTTGTTTCCCTACAAACGGAAGTGCGGTGATGCCATAAGTCGAGAAATCCTATATATGGAAGTAAATAGGACGTACAACGCTAGCGAGCAGCCAGTGGAAGGGCAAGAACTCGAGTCGTGTAGGTTCGATGTGCGATTTCAGCCGGTGGATCTCGACGCCGTCCCGGTCGTAGATGAAGGCGTACTTCTTTTGTGCAACGGCATAGAACGAGTGGTCATGGAGGAAGCTGTCTCCAGCAAGTCAGTCTCATCCTGGAATAAAGAAAAGGGTGACACATCCGCACATACGTTATATCCCGACAAGTCTCCTGGAGCTGCAGCTCCGAGTGCATCGTCCCCGTCTGCCAGTCAAACGTCGCGACGTGTCCCGACTTGCCCACAATCGCCATATGTCTGTGCTCAATGTCATTAGCAGACAAGCAAAATGTATAGAAACACTCGAATACGCACCTCCCGTTCCGGGTATACCGACACCTATAAGGGCCCCCATCCAACCTCCACTCCTTCCTCCCTTTCGCAGCCTCCCCGCCCGCCCCCTGCGCAATCTCGTCCTGACCGACCCGCCAAGTCCGCTCCATATCATTCTCGACGTGCAGCCGCCCACCATCGTTCGTGAGGAGCAGCTCCGCGTCATCGCGCATGCTCTTGGCCCGCGCGGCATGTTGTGCGGTGCGGTTGAGCTGCGCGCGGAGCTTGAGGTTTTTGATGTGCGAGTGGCTCGACACGCCTTCCAGGGCTGGATCGTCGTCCGCATTTCGGAGTGATTTAGGGAGAGCCGTGCGCGCGGCGACGGAGGTGAGTGTTTTGTCCTGGCCGCCAGCAGACTTTGAGGTTTTTGAGGACGACGCCTTGGCCTGATTGTATTTTGGTGGGTGGCTGCTCCCGCTGGCATGGCGTTTTCGTTTCTTATCGTTCGAGAGTATTTGAATCGCATCCGCCTTTGCGATGAGCGCGTCCATTTTGTGTTTTTGCAGAGACTCGTTGCCCTGAGCGAGGCGTCAGGAGGAAAAATCAGGATTTCCATCTTTGGTAACTCGTCGGACGGTTTGTCCTCAAAATTTACAGGGGCTAATTGGGGAAAGACAGACAACAGAAACAAGACAATGTACATTTGTCGAAAGATGTAAACATATACATGTGCTCTAATATACGCTTAAGATTACAGAAGCTGTTCTACACGTATCCAAGGTATCTTTTCCATCCATAATCACCTGAGGGCCCCTGATAAGTAGCACTCATGCCTTCTCGAGGCTGAGCGAGCCCTTGATCAGCTTGATGCGGTAGCCGTTCAGCTCGTCCTTGATAAAGTTATCGATATGCTCGATGTCCTCGGACCGCATCACCTTGCGCGCCGTCATCCCCACAGCGATGCGCTTCTCCCGCTCGTCCAACCCCTCCATGTCCGCGTTCCCGTTGCCAACCACGCCGTTTGCGCTGCCGTTGCCGTTCATAGAGCTGTTGATACCATTGACGTGCTTCGCGCTCGCGTTCTTGACAGCCGAGAGGTTTCCGTCGAGCGCCTTGACAGCCTCCTCGATCTTGAGATCCCCGACGCGCGCCTTGACAGCCGCACGCTCCTCGGGGCTCGACGGCTCGACGTACGCCTGCGTGCAGAACTCGATCGTCGCCTGCAACTCGCTCTCGCTCATGTCCTTGCCCACGTCCGCGTTGCCCTGGATGACTGGCCGGAAGTGGGCGAATGCACGGTCGAAGTTGTCCTCGTCGACGTCCGAGAGCACGGGAACGCTCTGCGACCGGATCTGCCGGTACGCAGACCAGACGACAAACAGGAAACGCGTGTACCCAGTCCCGACCTTGGCGGTGTGCCATTCAGCGGCGTCGGTCTCGGAGACGTCGCCCTTGATGGAGGCGCTGATCGTCGCGGCAGCGGAGAGACCGCTGGAGAGGGCGAGGTGGACGCCAGAAGAGAAGTAGGGGTCGATGAAGGCTTTTCAAGGGACTATCAGCATCCTCATCTCGGAAAGCGGAGCAGATGAACACGTACCACCAGCGTCACCGACGATTCTGTAGCCAGGGCCAGCATAGGACGAGCCCGAGTACGAGTAGTCACTCGCGCTGCGGACCGTCGCCGCGCCGTCCTTGCTTGCGATGAGCTTGCCGTCGGCAATGAGCTCCAGGATGCGGGGTGCAAGCTTGAGCTCAGTGAGGTAGTGGCCAAGCAAGCCCTCGGGGATGGACGGGTCCGCGGCAGCGCGGAGCTCAGCCTTCTTCTTGTTCGAGATCTCCTGGTCGATGACGAGACCGACCGAGGTCGTACCATCGTGCAGAGGAATGAACCAGCACCAGCCCGATTCGTCTAACATATTGATAAGCACTCGTGCTTCCCGAAAGCCGAATAGACCTGGGGTGCTCACCGGAAAGCGCCTCAAAGAAGGGACTACCCTCGCGCGTCGTCCCGGGCGAATACTTCCCAATGCCATCGCCCTCCCAATACGCCCAGCACGCGACGTTCTTGAGACTGTTGTTGAGCTTGCGGTTCTTGAGGTACTGCGTGCTCAGTATACCCGCACGGCCACTCGCGTCGACGACGTAATCGAATGCGATGCGTCCGGTAGCACCGTCCCGGGTCTTCCAGCTTGCAGCTATGGGCCTCGCGCCGCTGGGTACAGGTTCACCTGCGGCGGGAGAAGGCTGATCCCACTCGACGGAGGTTACCTTGACGCCATCCAAAGTGACTGCACCGCACTTGGCAGCGTGACGGAACATGAGCTCGTCGGCTTGGGAGCGGACCTGGGGAAGGACCAACGCATGTGGGTGAGCGATCGGGGTCCTGGGCCGGATCAATGGAATTGGAGGGAGGGGAGATTAAGAAGCCGAGAGAAGAGAAAGGCGGTACGAAATCAAGAGATATGGGAGAAGATAGAACATACCACATTCCACGAATAGTTGCCTGGGTCGCGCGAGACGAAGTCGGTGTCTAGATGTGCATCGTTAGCGTGCGTCGCCTTTAGCGGAAGGGGGGACCTGGTACTCACATCCTTCGCGTTTGGTCGCGTTGAATTTGAAAGCGGCACCGGCCTGTCGGACGTTGTCATATCAGTGATAAGCGCAATAGCGTGATCATGGTTCGCGAAGCGCGCACCTTCTTCTGGAACCCGTGTTCCTCAAACACACTCTCCAGGTCGACAAATCGAAGGAAGTGACGCAGGGAGGCAAGCATGCTCTCGCCAATGTGATATCTGTGGCGAGATGAGGCGCAGTGAGCGCGGGTGCCTGGAGAAAGGAATCAGGCAAAGCTGACCTGGGGAACTTGTCGGCCTCAAGGACGACGACATCGAGGCCCTCCTGGGCAAGGCACGCGGCAGCGTACGAGCCACCGGGGCCACCACCGATGACGAGAACCTGAGTCTTCTCGGGCTATATGCGCATACATGCAAGTCAGCGTCGTTCGGCGAGTCACCGAGAAGGCCACGTACGATTTGGCTAGACATAGTGATAAGATGGGTATGCGAGCAAAGTTTAGGCTTCCTCGGGGTCTATAACCACGAAACGGACAGGTGAAGAGGAACAGACAACGATGGTGCCCTTCGAGATGTTCGCTATTGAGGACCTAGGCGAGCTAGGCAGAGTTGTAGTACTGGGAAGAGGTGAGTAGTAGGCAAGCTGGAGAGGCTTGGACGTGGAAGAACCCTCCGAGTAATGGCATCACGGAGTATATATACGCTCGCTCGCGAAGAATTGATCGCTATTCCAAAAACATTTCTTCAATTGGCCGCAATTCCGGCAGCAAGGGGGGAACGTTGGCGGAGTCGGACGACCCCGGCCTAACTTGGTGAGGTTCTGATGAAGTTGATGGAGAGATGCCACGATCAGATAGACCCATATAGCGCCCTCCCAGCTCCCATATCCTCTTCCTCGACTCGTCCTTTCGTTCTCAAGCATAACGCGGTGAGCTCCCCGGTCGATGCGCACGCGAACAGTGCCATGGTTCGATTGAATGGTTGTCGGGGAAGGCTGAAAGGGTAAGATGATCAAACTGTGGGGAACCGGCGCGAGGAAAGTCGCAACCCGAGCAACCAGGAGAATCCAGGTAAGTAAACCATGCATTCTTTACACATTATTTACCATATGACCTTCCGGATCCTGTCCAACTGCAATAGCTCTTGATGTTTGCGCATGCAACCTCATGCAACGTTGAGGCCTAAACGCGAAAAACGATTTACCCTCGCAGAATCAGTCGGAAATGTGTCAAGCAGCTGTCGCCTGCCGCGGCTCTTTCGGGTCTGTTCCAATGACACGTGCCACGTGGTGGCTCACGCTCTATCTCGTGGACCATCCTTGCCTTTCTCGTGTCATACTGAGCCGCACTGAACACTATCATCTGAAACACTTACATATTCATTACTATCTCTTGTAGGCGTTTATCCACAGGAAGTTCATCTCTTGCGCCAAACGAAACTCAATCAGGGCGTGCACAGGCGTGCACTCACACCTTTCGCTTGGCGCGCACCCAGTGGTACCGCCATGTTGATTCCCAGTGGTTTGCGGTGCGGACTCCACCACCATTGGGTCGTTCTGGACAATCGTCCATGACTTCGGAGGTACTCGCTGACAGCAGTTCGTCTTGATAACAGAAAGTGCGGGTCCGGCTGCTAAGAACACTTCTCGAGCGCCCGGAGCGAGGGGTCCCGATCGGATGGATTCGGCGAGTTTCGGTGCGTTTGCGTAGCGGGTTGACAACACCAATGACACTGACAGATTGTGTTACCGCTGATTACATGCTCACGTTTACTAAGGAGTGCCTCGCCGTTTCTTCGTTCGCTCATACGAAAATACCGCCCATTTGCTGTTAATCTCCTGGAAACTTCGTGTATCGATGCCAATAGTCGAAGATTAGTCGAAGAGTCCTGCGAATGCCTGAGAGTCAGGGCATTTGCACGAGGGATTGTTACAGTGTCACGGTATCTTTCAGCGAGCTCTTTCTTCGAGATCGTCATCGCCAAACTACATTATTCCAAACCCATAATGAAGTTCGGCTGCTCACTCCCAGGCCAGAGTCAGCGCCGCTCGGTGAGCCTTGACACTGTATCGTCATTTCACTGAAGTCGGCTGATGAGGGGTCTTGGATCATCAAGGCTGTCTGCACTGCAACGACTACCGTGATGATCTCAACTCAGATCCTGGCACTTACTTAACTTCGGCTGGACTAATGCTATCTTAGGACTACCATATGAACACTAGACTCACATTCTAAATGCTCGACCCTCGTTCTAGCCTAGCAACCTCTCACACTCACCGTATCAGCTATTCTCCGCCTGTGTACTTGAGCTTGAGGTGTTTTACCATGTTCTTCCAAAAGTCATTCTCATTACCTTGATTGTCAAGATGGCCCTAACAATCCTCCGCAGGCATTCATTGCAACATGGCGATTCACAGCTTCACATCAATGATGAGTATCCTACTTAGAACATTCAACTTGCGATCTCCGTTCTCATCAGACATTGACTAAATACGTGAGATTGACAAGGTTTCCATTATACCAACGCCACCCCGAGCGTCACGGACCGGCGGAAGCCTGCGAACATCCTTACTGTTTCCTGCCCCCACATGGTACGAGAGATGAACTCGGAAGCGACGTCATCTCATCAATGCATGCCAAGACAACGAGAGCGTTCAAAATCGCCGATCCTTCCTGAAGGCCTGATCACCACGCACTCTCCGATGGGCAATGTTTTCTCCACTTTGTCCTTCTAATTCGTGTTCAAGGCTCTCTGTTGCCAGTATCAGCGATATCATGTCGTCTCACCCTCCAAACTCGCAGCATTCACTCTCTTCCTGTCCTTATACTACCTTAGGCCTGATTTTGCCGTTTGTGGTATGGGTCGGACAAATCTGCCCGGAGACGCTGACCTTCGCTTTGTTTACCATGCCGCCCCATGTATCTCAGGCGTACTGACTCGCATCGCGCCTCCACACAGTTTTCCACGCCGACTTTGACCTCTTCATCTTCTTAAACCCACACGGGTTCATGTTAGAAGTAACAGCGAATGATACACAATCTCTATCACACGAAACAGGCGTATTACGATTGGTATGGCAGTGCGCTTAATGGAGGCCGTGGAACATCCTAATGACTAGTATTTAACAGAAAGAGGCGGATAAACGAAGCTCACGCTTGCTTCCGATTGAACTTGTACATTTCTCCTAACACTGGCTCGTTGACCAAGGTGCTTCGTAACGCCTGCTGGTCATATCTTGTATCAAGAGAGTCTGCAGCTCTGATGGGGGGATGAATGCGGCCACACGTCATCCACCGCTTCGAGGAGGGTGGGATGATCGGCGATGCCAACCTATTCGAAGACCCTGATTTTTCCGTAGCCTATGGTTTCTTCCCTAGAGCGTTTCGCGCTCGATAATGTGTCATTTGCTCGTATTAGCGCGATGATCATACGCGGTAGAAGACATTCCTGTTGTATGAGTTGAGCTTGCTCGACTTGTAGCTGCCGCTCAGCACCTTGACAGGTGGGACACTTTTCCTGGACGGGCATCCCCAATGCACAGTGTTCTGCATCCTGTGGATCGCAGACTTACCCGCCGGGGACCTTTATTTAGACCGTGTGAGCTCGTGACGAGTAAGCTCCCCCGTCGCAATCCTCTTATTGCGTATTGACGCCCTGCTCTTTTTTCAGCGCCTAAGTCCTTTACTCCGGTACGCATGACGACGACTTGAGGTGGCGACAACCTCCAACCTGGTGTATGGTAACTCAACTGTCACTGCCTCCTTGCAATGGCGATACGAGCATCCGTTGGTGAGCACCTTCTACCCCTCGCTGGTTATCTCGCACTCTCCCTCTGGGATTGCCAACAATTTTTGCAGGTACTAAGATCAGACATCATATGTGACGGCATACGAACTTGAAGTCTTGTTTTATCCATGCTCACCACGGTTTCACCTCACTTGACGTTCACACACTTTCACGGCCACGCGCATGCCCGACGGCACGACGGCCTTTAGCACTACTATATGCCACCTACAGTGATAAGAATGCCGTCGGCGCCCCGAGTCGGGGGAGAGCGCTCCTAGCCGCGCGATCTTTTCTCACGGACTCCAGATCAAAGTACAAAGTCCTTTTTCCATCGTATGCTACGTCCAAGTCGATCGTCTGCCAGTTTACCATCGAGCCATCTACGCAAATTGGTGTGTATGGTATGTACTGGAGTCGGAGATCCGCGGGTGGATGATCCTCACGTCGACCCTGTAGCGTGCAAAGATCGTCTGGGGGGTGTACAGTCAACTCCCTCTTAACCCATACCCCTTCAATCCCATACTCCCTATTAACCCATGGGTTTTGCTACCCATCGTGTTTTGTCCCACCCAAATGGGTCCCGAAACCCATAATCCCCTGATACCACATACCCCATGGGTTTGAGGGTGAAAAAACCCATACATTCGGTACTTTTAGCAGTAATAACTATCCCCAAATGTCCCCAAAAGGCATACTTTTCAGGTCATTAGGGGAAAATTTGGTTGTGTTGTCAAAAAACTTTATGAAAGTGTACTAAAACCCATTGGAAGTGGCCAATATCACCGAGGTCTACTGTATTTTTGACGTGTTTTCTTCCATGTATTCCAAATGTATTCGGCCAAGCATCCGAACTTGCGCCAAGAGGGGCTTGAAGCGGTATGTGATTGCACGGTACCTCGACAACTTATGAACGATCCAAGCACTCAAAATTGTGATGTTTTCCTGGTTGTCGACGCGTCAACTTCGGGCAGAGCTATCAAAGAGAATGTCAACATCGAAGATTGATAGTTGTGCTTCTTCTAAGGCTGCTCATCTACATGACCAGGTTACTATTGCCTTTTCCAAATATATTTATTTTCTCCGTATTTTCTACATCTATTTTTAGTACATTCTCCAAACCCATACTCCCCGTTAACCCATACCTGTGGGTGTCCACGAAGAGGTATGGGTTAAGAGGGAGTTGACTGTAATGGGCGAGACAATAAGTGAACAGGAACTCGTTTGGTTACAGCGGCTATACTGTAACCTTTGGGGCAACCCCGCCTTGTCGGGCCCGTGGTCGTGCCCAAGCTCATATGGAGGGCAGATCACCGCTGTTGAAGTTTTACGAAAGCGCAGTTACTATCTCTGTCACCCCGGTTTTATGGCTCTACGTCGCTAGAGAAAACAGGCGACGGAGAATAGGTTTGACTCAAACGGGGTTGGCACAGAAGTACATTTTCCCGGAAGAAGGCTGAGTAGCTCCTCAAGGCCTCAGGTTCGAGTCGCTTATTGTAACAGGGACTAATTCCTAATGTTAGTGGCACAGTGGGTTGCCACTCCTCCCAGAGATGTTTCGGCGTTGTACTGGGAGCTGGGAAGGACGCCGACAGACGTCAACCCCTTCGGGGAGGTTACCGTGGGGCGGGACGGTGTTCCAGAGGTACAATGGATCATCCGAGTGAGAAGTTGGTTGCGGTGGAGGCTGGTGGAAGCTTGGGAATAAGCCACTCGCTTACGATCGGCGAGTGAGTGATTAAAAGTCCGCAACCTGCACAACCCTTATGGTCAGTCTCGACTTGCGAAGCCGAAAGTGCACAAGGCTCATTATTATTTGCATACTAGAGCCGATCATTCTTAATTTTGACCTCCGTTGAGGCAATATTTGCTTCTCCTTGATGATAGAAGCCAGGAACATCAACTCACTCTATGATGCAGAACGCACGCGAAGTTCTTGCTTTGGGTCAACGGATTGATACTCTTAATAGGCTTCAACAGAATAACATACATAGTAAGTAAACGCGTTCTTCAGCGAGCTTTGCAAAGTTGACGTCGCAGTGGCGGAGTCGGCGACGCACCAAAGGTACAGCGTTTTCGTGATATCCTGTATGTTCGTACCAATGGATTTGGGTGGGCCCAGGCTCGATTCTTTCCCCCGGAGAAATCTGAACATTGTCAAAGTCCTAAATTGGATTGCTTCCTGGATGATTGAGAGCCAAACTTTCGGTTTGGCAGAAACAAGCCACGAAAGCTTAATCCTACGCAGCGGCATCTGAGAAGCGCCTAGCCGATGGGCAACCGGTGTGAGAGTACGTCTTTACCTTTACTTGCACCTTTGCGATATTGTACGAATGCGTTCAAATTTAGTGGCGCTGTTGAAACCAACGATGCAGATCGCGTTTCCACGCTTTATGACAGACAAACAATGTGTCCGAGGCTTTGGCGCTGATGGATCAGTATTCTATATCTGAAGGCAAACAGCGAGTTGATGATGCTCGAGATCACTCAGTAGAGCTGATTGAGGTCCAACTCAAGGCGATCGTACCTCGGCAGGCTTCGGCTAGGATTCGGCATCGTCTCGGCTACTACCGACGGGGCTTCAAATCAGACTGAAACGCGGGAGCAGGTCTACAGGTTCCGTCAATCTACTTATGTGCCGACTTACACGCGGTAAGTCGCCCTTCGCGGAACTTCGGGCAATGTCGAACAGTTTCACAGAACATGACGCTCACCATCGCGGCTGCGAACTGAGGTCAATCTCAATCATCATCACGCTCAAGAATAACTCTCCGATCACCGTCGATTGTTAGCGGTTGCTGGTTGCGATCACGAAGCTATCACCGACTGAATTGAAAGCAAGTATGGGCGTGAGTTCCCATGAGCCGCATCGAGTGACGATTCTTATTCAATGCCGCATCAGGGTCGTTGAACGGGTTCTGTGTTCTCGATAAGACATCGTGGCACGCAAGAGTTCATTAAACAAATAAATGAAAAACGAAAGCCGAGGTCGCGTTCAAGCGAGTTTTGAACCTCACCTGAGCTGTGTCTCTTATCCGAGTCGTTCTGTCCAGAGCCGCTGCAGTGTCTTTCAAGCGCTCGTAGGTCGGCTTATAGCTTCGTAACGACCCTCCAACGGTACACTGTTGATTCCACTTCCTGCTTGAAAAACATTTACAGGACCATGTGGGCTCATGAGAGCATGCTTTCCCCCGTGGATGCGCATTGAACCGCTCCAACACCCTTTGCACCCCGCAAAACTTCACGGCTTCGATCAGGAACATGATCCTCCGTGTGAACTCGGAAGAGATTGACAAAGTGATGAAACCTGGCAAAGGTACCGTAAGACGTGGTAACTCTCCATCACCCGATACGGACCACCGTCGCAAGCACAGCAGGTACGCTATAATATGCGTGCACTTCGGGATACCGCCGGATCCCCTCTATTTCAGCCTAACTCTCTTCCCGGGTTATTTGTGCACCTCGCCTGACGCTTCTCTTCGACTTCTGCTGCACTCACTAGATCGAAGGGATCATCATGCCTGAAACAATCGCGGAACTGATGTACGTTCATGTTTTCGGTGCAGTCCATGTCGTTCGCTGACGGGATGCACTTAGCCAAGGGCCGTTCTTCATCGGCATCATGATCAACGTGCTTCTCCTTGGAGTCCTCATCCTCCAGGTGTACCTCTACTTTGCCACCTACAAGCAGTGTGTCTCTTGACCTCACCCACCTATTCCGGAGCTGACCACTGATAGGGACAAAAAGTGGATGAAACTCTTCGTACGTCCGCCTTTCCTAGCTCCATAGTGTAATGACTTACTCCTCCCAAGATATGGGTCCTGTTTATGCTGGACTTTGCCAACACCTTGTTCTTGGTGGTATACATATACGACCGGTTAATCATTGACTTCGGTGAGTCCAGCAATGGACATGATAAGCTCTTTTACCAAGTCTCCTCAAAAGGCGACGACGCAAAGGCAGCAACGGAGAACTGGGGTGCGTGTCTGTATTACCTACCTTGATTGAGGTAGATGACTGACGGCTTGTTCAACAGTCTTTTCAACAGGTATTTATCCTACAGGTGCAAGTTCGAGCATTCACTAACTACGACTGTGATCAGATCCAATTTTAGCGGTAAGCTTTCTTTTTGTCACCCTGGTACTGGCATTTGACCAAGACATTCGCCATCATACTAGGGTATCATCACGGCAATGGTGCAATGTTTCTTCGCATGGCGCGTCAAAGTTATCACAAACAACATCTGGGCCGTGATGGCCATTTGCGTCTGCGCCGCTGGAAACTTTGGTACGTTTTGTTTCCCTGAACGAATTCTTTGCGTTATCCTGACACCTCGCCATCATAGCTGGAGCACTGGCGTCGTGCATTTACAGTACCTTCATCACCAGCTTCATCGACTTCACGAAGTTCGAGAACGTCGTCATCCTCTGGCTCGCTGCATCTGCCCTCGCAGACATCATTATCGCCTCCGTCCTAGTTTGGCACTTAGTACGCGGCCACGATCTGCAAGACGGATCAGCGCTAATTTGACTTTGAAACACAGCGCACTTTGCGGACTGGCTTTGCGGCTACGGACGATGTGATCAACCGGGTGGTCAGGCGTAAGTCGGCGTTCACGAGAACTAAACTCGGGTAGTCTGCGAAGCACCGCTAACGTCGGGTCCTCTGCAGTCACTCTCCAAACCGGTCTCTTGACGGCAATCTGCGCGACTATCAATCTCATCATCTTCTGCTCCGTCGTAAGCATCTATCTCATTTACGCTGTGCTTTTCAACCTAGACTAACGTGTCGCTTTATGTAGCCCTCCGGGATGTAAGTGGTTTCGGTTCCGGGAAAAGACATTGCTCACACTTCTGCAGTTACTTGATATTCAACATCCCTTTGCCGAAGTTGTACACAAACTCCTTGATGTCCAGCTTGAACTCACGCAAGGGTGGTGGTTTTGACGCATCTGAGCGCTCTGCTAGTGCTCAGGTCAAGTCAACGGGCGTAAGAGTGAGTCATTCCGCCGACACGCCCCGCCGCGGTCTAACAGAAAATTGTCCACAGACCGGCCAGGCCCAATCTCGTGCTCAGGTACGTCGCACCCGTCATATCAGCCTGTTTGAAATTCTTGACGCTGACACGCCAGCAGGTATTCGTCAACGTCGAGTCGCACGAGCTCGCCGAGGTCGACACCAAGCACGACCCAGGCTCAGACGAGGCTATCGGGAACCCAGGGTACAGCGTCCACCCGTTCGGCAACGGTCACGGTGACAGGTCGCAGTGGAACACCGGCAAGCCTTCCGGGTTTGACGATGTACGAGTGTAAAAACCACCACCATCATTACTTTTTTAAGCTTATTTACTACACGGTCGTGTGTATATCTGTATTTGACAACCAACTTCGCACCCTCTCTAGGTTTGATTGATGCTTTCACACATTCGCGCACAGGGGGCGTCTTTTGCTTTGTCTGGCTATGGCTGCCGGGCTTTTCGGGTTTATCTTGCTTCGCAATCAACAACCGTTTCTTTCGACACCGCATTCTCGAGTTTCGGGTTGGCCAGACATTCACGCGTGATATGACTTCGGTGGATACTGCTGTACGTTTCATCTACTATTCAGTCTTCGCCTGAGCTACAGACAAATTACCCCGCATTCTTGCCCAACCGAAATTGTATGTGCTGGCTACGCTGCTGCCCCACTTCAGGACGCTCTACATGGGCGTACCGAGCAAGTTCTCGCTGCGGCCTCTAATGAAAGAACTCGCCCTCACCACTGATCATCATGACGCTATCAAGCCAGCGTGAGTCCGATGTGTCGGTCCATAGATATCGCGCGCCGAGAAAATGGCGGCTCATGATTGAGGTGTAAGATATACCATGCGTATGTAACACCTCCAGAGGATCGCCGTGGGTGGTTTGCACAGCAACATCGTGATAAACATGAGCAGTCCCAAGCTTGGCGCATGTCATACTTCGATCAAGCCGCTAACCATTGTCAGAATCCGTCACCGGCGTTTATACTATCATCTCCACCAGGCCGCCGGTACCTGACATACGACGAACACGCCACTAATGCAACCGAGATCGGCCTAGAAGCAACAAAGCAAGGAGTGAGCGCACCAGTATTCTTGGGATCAAAGCATCAGAGCTCCTGGATCACAGGACCGTCTGGTGATGATGGGGCTGAGCAAGTAGATGCGTATCGCTTGGGAGACGATAGACCTGTGTGCGGAATATCTCTTGAAGCCACGGGCCGGAAGTTATGATTGAAGCCGTCCAGCAATATGAAACGCGAAGTGTTGCTCAACGAGTGAAATTGAGTCCGAATAGAGGGAGCATTGGTAGAGAGCTAAGTAGGAGGATCTTTGATTCTAGCTCATTCTGCTCGGTCCGAGACAACGAGGTGACAAAACAATGAGGCAAGAGCAAGCACTGCAGCTGCCTACAAACCCACAAACCTCGAATTGACCCGCCAAAACCGCCAGCGCCCGATTGCACCACCACATCCCACATCCGGATGCGCCCCTAACTTGTGCAGTAGACCAGCATCAAATCTCGCTCCCAATCCTCGCGCTCACACCAGCACCTCACACCAAAAGTCACCATCAACCTAAAAACCCAATACAACATAAGCCCAAAGAAACAAAGAAACAAAAGACATCAGCTAAATACCACAAAGACACCCCTAACAAACGAGCGACGACGGCAGCCGAAACACATACAACAAGACGGCGCAGAGCACGAGCAAACGAGCGTGGTCTCGACGAAGACAACAAAGTAAACGCTCGTCTTTAGTCCGTGTCGTACCGTACGTATTGCATATAGCTCTAGCACAACTAAGTAGGTAAGAAAGGAATAAAGGGGGATAAATTCGCCTGTCCATGAGGGTGTATACCAAAACCAAGTCTCCCCGAGAAAACACATCACCAAGCCCACATCACCAAAGCCCTACACTGCGCAGTACAGTGCCTACTACTCCTAGTCAGTCAGTAAAGTGTAACAGATCCAATCCGTCAACATCAACGACAACGACAACAAAAAGAAGAGTCAACAGGGTAAAAACATCAATCCACAATGTCCACGAGCGGCCCTAACCATAACCGATCAGAAAGAGAAAAAGAAGAAAATAGGGATGTTAGGGGAATTATGATAACCGCCCGCCATTACTAGCCATATACCGCTCCCAGTCGTCGCCCGCACCACTGCTGCCAGGTGTAGGCGTAGCACCCGCGCGAGCGCCGCCGTAAGCATAGCTCCCGACATCGCTCGGCCGCTGACCGAGGCCCGCCGGATCGAAGCTCCCGCGCGGCGTTCTCATCTCGTGCTCGTCGCGATACCCTCCCGCCAGCGGCGCCTGCAGACTCGCCGTGCTCCCGCCGCCCCACGCCTTGTCGTTGTATGCATTATAGACCCCCTCAGAACCCTACAAACAAACAAAACAACACAAACAGAGTCAGCACATTTCTATCCAACGCCAGAAAGAAAACGATGTGCGCCCACCGAGCGCGTGCCCGTCGGGCCCACAGGCCCACCACCCGCACTTCCGCGCGACAAGGGGGCCTGCCGACCCGCCGCCGCACGCCTTCGCCGGGCAACACAGACACCAAATAGCGCACCGAGGAGAGCAACGGCAGCGACACTGCCGATAACAGCGCCGACGATCGTGCCGGTATGCGACGACGCAGCGCCGCCCGAGTTGCTGCCCGAGCCGGAGCCCTGGGCGTTCGAAGACGAGTTTTGTGCCGAGGGCAGCGTCGACTCGTCACTCGTTGCCTGCGTCTCGACCTTGCCCGAGCCGAGGATGACGTACGACCCGTTCGAGGGGATGCCGTTGATGTTGACGAACAGGAGCGCCGGTCCGGGTTGGAAGATGTTCGGGTTCGGGTGCGGCTGCGCGACGTGCATCACGTACGACCCGTCGTCATTGACCGTGTACGACGTGCGTAGCTCCATGTGGCGCTGACCCATGTTCATCGCGTGGGTCGTGAAGCCGCCACGTACGAGGACCACACTAGTGTTAGCAGCAGCGGCGTTGGCGGAGCCGGTGTACGAACTGGAGGGAACAGTAAGGTTGAACATGTTACCACCATACGACAATGTCTGAGGCATGCCAGATGGCTGAGGGCGGACGGAGGCAGAGAAGTAAGGAGGGTAGAAGACCTCCGCGGTGTAAGTGGTCGGGTAGATTGTGGTCCAGTTGACGTCAATGTTGGGGTTCGAGCCAGCGATCATGACAGAAGCGTCGGGGAGGAGGATAGCAGACGAATGGTAGAGGCGAGCAATGTTACTGTTGCCGAGGCCGGCGTTCGACCAACGCTGACCCTTGGGCATGTTAGGGTTGTAGATCGCAGGGGTGCCGACAGGGCCAGCAGCAAGAGATTCTCCGTAAGCCATATCACCGAAGTTGGGTGTCTGCCCCGTAGCCTGGGCGTAACCAGCCGTACCGTTGCGGCCACCGTTGACAACCAACATAGTACCGTCAGGGAGTGCGATGAACTGACCCATGGTACGGCCCTCCAGCAGGTCATCGTCCTGCTCGTACGCGGGAGTAGAGCCATCCTGAGGCTCGGGAGTGATACGTTGGCAGTCGGTGGATGCTGGGTAATTCCAAGTGTTGTAATTAGGGAACGAGTAGTTGCCCCAGTACTGGTCGGGCATATCGGTACCACCGCAGAACAGGACGGTAGGGGTGTAGTTGTTGGCCGGGGTCAGGGGAAGCATAGCAACAGCACCAGAAGCGGGGTAGACACGAGCAACATTACCAGGCATGTTGGGGAGAGCGGTCTCTTCGTTGGTATCGGGATCCCAGAGCACTACGCAACCCTGTCAATAATGGTGGACGGAAACAAGGGCAAAGGCGGCTTACTCGTCGAGACGTTAGCCTGAACAAGCATCTTTCCTGAGGGCATGAGGTAGGTGTGCGCATACGAGTTGAGACCAGATGTCTGGATCATGAACTGCATGACAGTAGCAGGGCCACGCGTGGGATAGAACTCGTAGGTGGGCTCGGCAGCACCGCCTTCGTACTCGGGGTCGGTGTTGGGAGTATTGCGGTTGATGTAACCACCGTTGACGAAGCCACCAATGAGGGCGATAGTACCGTCACCAAGGGCCTCAGCTGCCGAATACCATCGCTGCTTCTGCATTGAGAGGACGGTGGCGTTGTCGAACCACTGGCACTCGGCGCTGGACATGTCCTGGCTGCTCGAGCAAGGGTTGAGGATACGAATAGACTTGGTGCCGTCGTAGTCCTCGTAAGTCGCGTCGTAAGCGCCCGAGCCGGCAGAGTTCTTGACGCTGCCAATATTGCCGCCGGGGCCGATGGCACCGTTACCGCCAAAGGTGGCAAACGAGCCGTTGGGAAGATGCATGCCGGATGCGCAGAAGGTGTTGGTGAGGACCTCCATCACTTCGGCCTGGTGTGAATTGATATCCCTAACGACGTGACGTGTCAGCAAGAGCGCCGACGACGGATGGATGGGAGGGGGGAGGATAAAGAGTGAATGACGCACCAGACGGAACCCCATGCTGGGTGGCCATCGATGGTGGCATTGTTACCCTCCGTCTTGTCAAGAATGTAGACTTTCTCGTTGTTACCGAGGAACATCTGACGAGACGATGAGATGAGCATTGGAGGTAAACGGTGGGGACCTGGTACATACCATCATGGCGCTAACGAGGGTGCTGCCGACCTCGACGATAGAACCGGCCTTTTGGGCATGAACATAATCGGTGGATGCAGCTAGCCCGAGGGCCAGCAGGGGAAGGGACTTGTACATTGCGATTGGAGTCGTCTCGCTGTGGATGAAAAGAGTGCCTGTGTTGAAAAGTGGATACTAGAAAGCAAGAACGACGGAGGCCGGGGAGGAGGAGAAGGAAGGGGAGGGGAGGGTGAGAAAAAGAGTGTGAGGGAGTTGTGTGTCGAGGGAGATCCTTAACAGGCGGCGATGGATGGCCTCTCCGTCTCACTTGCCTTTTAACTATCAACAAGGACCCCGGCATAATCTCAATTCTTTTCACACTCCGCACACACCCCGTCGTCCTCGCCTCCCCATTCCACTCCAAGCCCAGACCTTCATTACTCCTCGCTTATGTCCCCAATTATTCATCACACTACACCACTCGTTCCGCCATCTCTGCTCGACGCTAGACATATCCTTGAGTGGGGGGTCTTGGTCGGCACCCGAGTGTCACCCATCGCCGGATTTGGATCCAAATTTGCAGCCGTCGTTCTCGCTCCATAATTAGCACCAACGACGTCTATTTCGGATCACCCAGCACCGCCCGCGTCGTGGCAACCTCCTTGGCCGTCTCGGTGCCGTCTCCCAGGCACGCGTCCGTCTCGTCCGTTTCTTGTCCCTCCTTGTTGCTGCTGCTGCAAACCACTTGCCATCCCTCTGCCTGCTCGATTGGCCTCTCTTCGATTTTTGGAGCGCGAACGCTAGCCGTACAACACAACCATCAATTTATTACATCACATCTTCTAGAACACCGGCGCTCCTTGGCTCAAGCCGCTTCGCCGAGCCTTTATTAATAGCCGGCTTCCGGGGCTTCCCTGAGCTTACCCGTGTCGCTAAACCGGCCGACGGCTCCTCATGACACCCTGAGGCATTTCTGCCCACAACGATGGACACACATTGATCGGCGGACCAGCGGCACGACAACATTTGCAAGGTGAGAGGAGATTGTTGCGGGTTGCTGCATGCGTTTTCACAAATTCCTTCGGCGACGACATCATCTTTCGGAGGAGGATTGTATTGCATTTGTAATGTGCCAAAAATACTGGATGTTCTGCACGCTACGCCTGCGTCGAAAATAGATCGACACCTTTCCAGTCATATTCGACTCGTTGCTTGCTCGCGCGACCTTGAAGGTCCTCAGAGACTCATGAAATGCTCATGGCCTCGCAGTCACGCAAGTTCCGCCCCCTGAATCGCTTCTATCTACGCTGACTAGAGCTAAAGATAGAGGTAAGCTCAGCTATCTATAGACTGCACGTCCTAAAACAATTTCCTCCATACAGCGTCTGAGATGGTGACGATGAACATGCTCTCAGAGTCTCCCATGAACTATTTGTAGAGGTGAATTATTCTAAAAATGAATACAAACAGCTGCACCTGAAGACTTCCATCATGCACATATCATCAGGGCAGTTATGCTCACTACCAGTCTTTGGGTACAACACGGCCCCCTCCACGCAGACATATCTTAAGGTTTGGCGTAGTACTCGCGCACAGTACTAGCGAGCGATATCGATAAGGTGTCACCATTTTCTCGCTTGTAATACCTTCACAGCCCCCATGCAGCTTATCAGAAGCCCCTAGACAAAAACAAACACAAAGTTCCCCGCGAAGTTCACCGTTCGGTACCGCGGAAGTCGCACTTCGAACGTCCACGTCCGCGCACACCCGACGCCGAAGGTACCCGTCTAACAGTCGCCTGTTTCTGAAGCACGCTCAGGACGGCACCGCGAATGGAGATCGCGAATCTCGCCTCATGTTTGCTCGTACTCGAGCGCCTGGGGTCCAAACACCGCGTCCCATCGTGAACCGCTGAGCTTGCAGCTTGGCGGGCGGACAACGATGGCCATGGTGTGAAACCATCGCACTTGTGTAAGCGCCGGCCAGGGATATGTCGCACCTCCGTCGCCACGTGCGCGAGCGTCGGGTATGCTGCCAATGTTGAACGTTGCTTACCCGCTCATCAATATTCCAGAATCATACGGACGTACACTCGACATGTCCTCGTCGTCCTCGAGTTGACATGCTCAATAGGTTGATTTCTCTTCTCGGCAGACCTGCTGGTTCGCTGTAGTGAAACCCCTGTAAGGGCCATCAAACGCGTGTTCTTTAAACAGGCCCGCAAGTCTTGTAAGGGTACCTGACCGCAAGAGGAAGCAACACCTCAAGTTGTGGCACAGAAAATGGTTTTATAAATCTGACACATCATGAGACACTGCAGTAGATAAGCCTATCCAGAGCTCTTCACGTTCGAGTGACGGCAGAATTCACTTGAACTTCACAGTCGATGTGTTTAGACGCTGATCTTGCGCGTATAGCGGAACAGTTGTAAGCTCGCGCAATCCACAAATAGCTCAAGTGACACAGTACCGAACCTCACAGAACTCATCCGTCCATACTATTTACGAGCTGATTATCAGCCAGCACAAGCACGTTTCACTTCCCTCCCCTCATAGATGTGCCCAAGATAGACCACACCCTTCGTCAGGCTCCCCGGACCTTACACACCACAACATCGGACAACGCAGCGCGTGCCATATACGTATGTAAACTATAACCTTCGGCGACTACATTTAACCCATGCCACGTCCACCACCTTACCTTGCTCTCCATGCACAGTGCCGAGCCTCGGCGAAGCAATTACCCCGGCCACCTGGCCAAATGCCTTCACCCTAAAAATGCGTCAATACTAGTACTAGTAATACTGCTACACACCTCCGATCGGGCCACGCCCGGCCTCGCGCCAGTGGCCCACATTGGGTGCATAAAGGATGCGGCGTTGCGCCCGCGTATAACGGTGTACACTATGAGGTGGACAGCCTTTGGGTGCTTGGTGAGGTCAAGGTGAGGTCACCACCCCCCATAATGCAGACCTTCTGGCAACCTTCTGCTACTCGCACGCGCCGGGATAAACCTCGGCGTCCGCTCGCCGGCGCTTGCCGCTATTAATTCCCACGATTACCATTGACCACAACCGCGAGCGTCTGACATTGGTCTGACACTAGGCTGCCCTCGAGTAGACGTTCTCCAGAGAACGACAACAAGCTGTGTCACTATCTGAATCTGCTATCACCAAAAGCCGGATGCGATGGAGTACTGAGGCGCGATGTGTTCGCATGTCCCCACCAGAAACAAGGCGACACAGACTGTATATTCCGTTCTGCTTACTGATCTCAAGCGCTTAAAAGCGCGGCTCGATCCACGCTATTTGGGTCGAACACCGCCTGCAGAAGCCGTTTGCTAGATACTGCCCTCCAGGTTAATATGCAATAGATCAGAAACCTCTAGTCAATCTCTAGTACATCTCTCCAGAACTTCCCGACTGGACAACCCGTCGATGCGTCTCCTGCTTCTCTTCTTCGTCCTTCGGGTGTGCCGACAGCCATGCTCATGCCTTCCGACTCTCTGGTTGGACCAAGCGCGACGACATTCGAACGCATGCACGAGCCCTCGCCTACCGCATGTACGGCAGAGAATACGACAACCTCCACCCTGGCGGCGTATACGTGCACTTGGTAGCATGTGGCCAGATAGAAGTACATATTATCGCATAATACTATACATCAGTGTAATCGTACAAAACCTTTCAGTTTCTTCCGTTCTCCTGGTCAAACCGACGCATCGTCACCATGACCGGTATCATGCTCCGTCTCGACTGATTTGTGGATCTCAATGCGGCTCTACCATCGCATCTTCAGCGCCTGCGTATCGTTATCAGGAAGATAGATTCACTCACAACATGGTTCCCACCACTCCGCTTGGCGCTGAAGCTCCGTGTCGGGGACATGGCAAAGGTGTTGTTATGGACCATAAGCGACGACGTGTAAGGTTGCGAGGCGCTGAGCGTAGAGTGCCTCGAATTGAGGGACGCGAGGAGCGAGATAGCGTACACTACGAGGACGAGCATACGTCAGGGTCCCTCTCAACCGTCAGATGCTTCAGGATAACAACGGCGTGAGATGCTCACACTTGCATTGCACTTGTAACGCGCCGATGAATGCGAGAGATGTGGGCAGCGTGAGGAACTAGATGAGTTTTCTCAGGGTCGCACCGTCAATCGGAAATACAGAGGCACACACCAGGATGAGAACGAGGATTGCCCCGAGTCTAGGCGGTAATTAGTCGACTGGATGAGCAACCACGATTAGAATGGCTCACGAAGTCAATACGCCTGTGTTGATGGTGTAGATTATGAGATTGTCGATAAGGTTCTCGGTTCTTCGGCCGAGTCAGGTAAGCATCCACAAACAATGCCACGATGACGTACCGCTTGATGCCTGTCCGAAGACTATGGAGAAGCCAGCACAAAGATACGGCGATAAGAGCGTCGACGAGGACGGAAAGGACGTATCCCACGACGATGAAAACCTTGAACGCGCCGCCAGTAAGAGACTTCGACGCGAGAACATATGCGGGGAGGAAAACACACAAAATCGTTGGCTCGGAAGTCTTCCCAGACAGCGTCTTTGATTCTACGTGAAGGTCAGAATCAACATTGGGGTACGTCAAGAAACGTACTTACGCACGAACCGAGTTCAGTAATCCCACCGCTAAGGAGACCACCACGTTAAACTCAAAGGCAGCCAACCGAAGAAGGTGATAGACTCACCGTACCGAGCGACGGCTAGCATAAGCTAAGGCGATGACTTAGGATCATTTCAAATTGCATATGCAAAAGCCGGCAGCGTACCAGAATGACAGGTACGACCCAATTCCTCGATACTGATCGGACGCAGACGTAAGAGCAGGGCCCAAAGAGGAGAAGAAAAATGTATGATCAACTCACACCTCCAAAATCGCCAAATGAAGTACCTGTAGCGGAAGTAATGTTAGACTTCATAGTCGAAGGTCTAAACGTTATCACGGACTGACAAATTGACAACGAAAGCGACGGTGAACTAGGCACGCCGCTCGTCACACAAACTACCTCGCGAAAAGCAGTAAATGCACTCACGCCGACAATAAACGACGTAGGAATACCCCTGATGAGGAGTTAACGGAGCGCTATTTTTCAGCGAAGATATGCAGGAAAGTACGTACCAATTAACAAGAAAGAGATTCTCTTCATTGGTGAAGTTGTTGATCAAGTACCATTCGATGAAGTAGATCGAGAGGACAGTATGAGCCGTCTCCAGCAACCTTGAAACCATGGATGGATATGCAAGTCAGGAGTTCCAGATGTCGAAGGCGCGCACCATACAGCTGCGACCTTCAGCGCGAAGGTGGGTCAACAAATCGCGGTACGAACATAGCAGACTGATACACATACAACAAGTTTGACCCCCATTCTATCATCCTGGTAGTTCTGCGAGTAGTAAAACGCTTGGACGCAGGTAATTCCGTAGAGGAACATGGTGAACAGAGTCCCCAGAAGCGGGGCCTGAGCCATCGCCTCCGCTGGCGAGGGCATACTTGCTTGAGGAACTTACGAGCTCAGGGGAGCGGGTATACTTGGATCGTGGTGGGCGTCAAGGAGAGGAGACGGTGAGTACTGGCGCATTTTGGATATTCATGCGCGATGTCTCTGTTCCTGTACATAACTGGATGGACAAGAGCAACATGCACGGATAGGGGAATGCAGGGGGAAAGTGAAACATTGCGTTCGGAGCTTATATGGACGACCCACCGCGCCCTTCCGAACTCCGATCCGCTCGGCCGTCGCTCCAATTTGCTGCGACGACGCGCGCGTACTAAACGCGAACCCGTTCCACGTCGTCCTTCGAGAGACGTGCAACTTTTCACCTGCCCAGAGAGCACTCATTCAATCAGCAATCTATACTAAGGAACTCGCAAGCTTGGTTGCGTGCGGTCATCTACCGAACATATCCTCCGTATTCCTCCCACTCGAGCTTCTCAACCCCGTCCTGCAGCACCGAGTCTGCTAATAGTGCGTCTTCTTCCTCTCCTCCCCATCAAGTTTCACGCGTGCTTCAACTTGAATCCTTTGTTAGTGTAGTCTCAGGTCGCAACCAACTTATGCTCAAGAGTTTTGCTTGTTGAGGGAGGGAGCGACAGAGGTCAATAGGTGAGTACGCATGTTTCTTTGCGTCTCGAAACCAGGATGAACAACGTGTATCACGACTTCGTACATCCGACACGAGGCCGCTGGCGCTTGTGTATGACCTGCAACAGTTTTATCTTCTCTCTGATTTTTCCTGTCTACGTCCTACAAGTCATTAACTGACTTATCAACTCTTTAGGTTGCCACTTTACTGTAAAACATACACATGCCCCTACTATATGCGTGCTCCCGTTCCCGAAAACCCCTCCGACCAGCTTTGATACGCGTCCGCATCCTCCTTCAGCCGGGTTGCGCGTTCGCGCATCCTGTCCGCCGCGATCACATGCAACGGGAAGCGCAGCGGCGGGCCCTCGATGTGTACCAGCTTCTCGACGACCTTGACGCCCTCGGCAGGGTCTGCGAAGATCGGTGGCGGATTCGTCAGGAAGTGGCGGAACTTGGACGAGGCGGAGTCGGGCGCGGCGTATGCAGGGTGTTGTTCGGGTAGCCACTGGTTCGTGCCAACGAAGGAGGTGAGGAAGGGACCAGAGCAGATGACGGTTACCTGAACGGGAGCAGAAGAATGCTCGTTAGATGAAGTGGGGGGAGAGTGAAGAGCTGGAGGGAATGGAGACAGCGCACCTTGATATTCCAGCTCGGGTCAAGTTCTTGGACAAGCGAATCGCTGAGGCCGTCGAGTGCTACAGTTCATCGTGAGTACATCATCCGCGACACCTACTCTTGCGAATCGACTCACCATGCTTACTACCAGCCCCGACCCCCTGATCAGCCTCCGTCCTGTCCGTGACATTCAAAGCACTCACGAAGCAGCATAGAACCCCGCGCATGGCCTCCCATTGACGCCCAACGTGCTCGACGTTTGCAAAAGCCTCCCGCCATATCCCTTCGGATTCACTTCTCTAAAGAACTTTACCGCCTCCCCACTCACATACGCAGCCCCCCAGAAATTGGTGTCGAAAGCCTTCTTTGCATCCTCCATATAGCCCTCGTTGTCCATCAGGCTCTCTACCTCGCCGAGAATGTTCACGCCCGCGTTGTTGAACACAACATCCAGCCTTCCGAACTTCTCCTTGACGTGTGCAAACGCAGCGACAACCTGCGCGCGCTGCGAGACGTCGAGCTGGACGACATCAAGCTGCGAGGAGGGGTACTTCGATGAGAGATGGGAGATGGCGGAGGGGTTACGGAGAGTCGCGATCACGGTGTCGCCTTTGGAAAGGAGGTACTCGGTCATGGCGAGGCCGAAACCTGAAGAGGCGCCGGTGACTGTATTCAGGCGTAGATGAGGAAAGGTGGTTACATGGGCACGTCACGGTAGATCGATGAGCGGACTGCGCTAAATTACTACTTACTGAGCCAAATTTTCGAACTGTTCGCCATGAGATTGAGGGTGATATGCGTCGTCGAGTACTGAAAGGAAGGACAAGTTCAGGGTAGTATCACCTCGCCCGCTGTCCCTCTTATAGATATTGGACGCGGCACAGGTCGTCGAACCCCAAAAGCTCAACATGGAAAAGACCCACGACATGGAAACTCACGACCACCGAGAATCAATGGCGAGTCGCCAGGAGTCGCCCCATGATCTCGTGAATGTCGATATCACGCTGATGTCACGCCCGCGGCCTTGCAATCTCCCATGGACGCGTAAGGCGTCGGCGTCGTCGAACACATCAGCGAGCTGAGGTCAAGATAGACTGATTTGTCAGCTCAGGGGTATATTTGCCTTTTTTGGCAATGACTGCATTAGAGCGGAACCTGCTCGTCAACACTCAAAGCGCCCCTCAACATCTTCTAGCGGCCCCGAGGTATTGCTCCAATTTCATAGCCCAAGCTGTTATGAAATCCAATTCCTCTCATGACTCTGTTTAGCTTCATTCTCTCGATCGACTAACAGTGATCAGCCTCAACCCAGATGCGGCTGAATCCAATTTCATCTTGTGTCTTTGTCAGTTGTTGCCGAAACATGAGCTCGATCACCTTGATCGAGGGGAAACTTTTAGACTGCAAGGGCTATCGACAACTGACGTAGGGCTCAGCTTTGTCTCCGCCACCGAGACCTATCCACTACGAAGCTGTGACCCTATTCCTCGGAGACGCCTAAAATAGAGGGCAGAAGGCTGCCCAACACCATGACTCTTCCTTCTTACATTCAGCGTACATCATGTCGTCGCGTATTCCTCTCATTTACGTGCGTAGCTGTTTGCGTGATATCATTCATCCCTGCCGTTGATTCCTTCCAACTTCATAGGGCTGTGGTCTTTTCGGCAAAGAGGGCACCCTATTTGCGCAGATACATGATCTGGAAGAATGCCAGAAGATAATCGATGGCTTTACCGCTAGGGGTCACAAAATAATGGACACGTCAAGAGTTTACGGGAATGGATCAAGTGAGGAGGTGTGTCCAAGGCAGAAGCGTGCAGTTGTCAGCTACTTATGTCGCGAACTCAGTTCCTCGGTCTGCTAGACCTGAACAAGGCGATGGTCGATACGAAGTGCAGATGTCTTTTACAACATCATTCCGTCAAAATTCTTATCGAATGTTAATTACAGAGCGTATCCAGTTACTCCCGGTGACGCCGCTCCGGTCAAGCTACGCGAATCTCTCAACACCTCAATTCGTGTCCTAGGACCTTATGGCAGGAGGATCCGCGTTTTCTTCCTACACGTTCCGGACAGGAGTGTACCTTTTGAGGAGACGTTGAGTGAGGTGGACAAGATGTACCGAGATGGCCTTTTGTGAGTTCACTAGCAGCCGTCAATACCTCGCTACTCGTTGCTCACGAGGATCCAAAATGCCGAAGCGAGGAGTTTGGCCTCAGCAACTTCTACTGTTGGGAGGTCGCCGAGATTGTTGCGATTGCAAAGGCAAGGGGATGGATTCGGCCTACGGTCTACCAAGGCCCACACAATGCTCTCGAAAGAGATGTCGAGTCCGAGTATGCCTCTTTCCTGTACGCTCGTGAGCTGTTTAACGGATGTGGACAGGTTGATCCCCTGTCTCCGCAAACACGGGATCAGATTTCATGCGTATAGCCCTATGGCGTAGGTCCACTTGTTATCGTCTACTTTTATTCACTCATTTCATGTAACTTAGGCGGGGCCTGCTATCCGGCGTCAAGCCAATTGCTGCTCTGCACCCCATAGCGAGCGCGCGCTACTCACCTTACGCCGCCGCTTTTGACCGATATGTTGAGATACTAGTAGGGCAAGCCACGATGTTATATTACTTACTCACTCATGCTATGCTGGGGTGCACTTTTTAGAAAAAGTACCACCTCACTGGCGCACAAGTGGCGCTCCGATGGATTCAACATCATAGTCAGCTTACACCGGATGACGCTGTCATAATCGGTGCAAGTACGATCACCCAACTTGAGGAAAACCTTGATGCAAGGTATGTCATTGAAGTTGTGTCTTTCGCATCTTTTGACGCGTTAAATATTTAGTTGTAGCGAGCAAGAGCCCCTGCCACAGGAGCTTCTTGATGCGTTATCTGAGCTGTGGATGGAACATCAAGGGCGCGCTCCGTCATATGCGTTTCCAGTTGTGCACCGAGGCAAATAATTACCATGTAATAAGAGCTGAAAAAGAAGGATCACAGGTGCTGTCCTCGAGTTAACATTGGTATACTCCGAGAGCCTAGGCGCGGATGTGTGTTCGAACTTCGAAACATCCTCCTGGCTTTTGTTTCCGAGCTCCGATTAAACTCCGATCCTGCGGCACGTCGCTCTGACCCGAGTTTAAGCGCCCAAGCAGAGCGCTGTTAGCTTGTCACTCCCTCTGATGCCTCAGGCCTCCCTCAGGCCTCCCTCAGGCCTCCCTCAGGCCTCAGCCTTAAGGCCTGTAAGGCATCGGCGTTGTCTGGCGGCCCAACGCATCATCCAACCTCACCAATCGCCAACTACAGTACTCACCTCAAAGCTGTATATGACTCTACGTCGCTTTGTCGATTGGCACCGCCCGTTGATTCATGCCCAAATACGGCCCAATTTTCCCTTGATCTTTGTCATCTCCCGGCGAAGCCTTCACTTGGGTGTCAGTGGTTTGGTTATACGCCGACGTTGAGGGGCTTTGGAGTGGATGTTGATGGCTAACGCGTCCCTCAGCATTACTCTCTCCGCAAGGGCTTGGCCTACTTCAATGCCCACGATCCTAGTTGATGGAGGTGGTTAAATAGCTCGAGTCAGCTCGAGCTTGCACTCCGACTGCCCTCAACATGTCTTCTCGCGTCCCTCTTATCTACGTGCGCGCTCATTTGTACATCATCGTTCCCGTTGCTGACCACCTCCACATTCGCAGGGTTGCGCGTCCTTCGGCAAAGAGGGTACACCCTCTACACGCATTCACAGCCTGGAGGACTGCCAGAAGATGATAGATTGTTTTACGGCGCGAGGCTACAAAGCACTCGACACGTCGCGTCGTTATGGCCTTGGAACGAGCGAAGAGGTGCGTCCTCTAGACAATCCACTTACATCGTCTCGCTTACTGATTGATGGCCGTAGTTTCTCGGTCAGCTGGATCTGAAAGATGCCATACTTGACACGAAGTACGTCCTTCGCGTTTCATCTCAGAGCATATTCTTACATCTTGTTTCGCAGGGCATGCCCAGTTGTTCCAGGCGATGCCGTCCCAACAAAACTTCGCGAATCACTTGATACCTCTATCCGTGTCCTTGGGCCTCACGGCAAAAAGATCCGTGTCTTCTTTCTGCACGCACCAGATAGGAGCGTTCCGTTCGAGGAGACGCTGAGCGAGGTGGATAAGATGTTTCGTGAGGGAATGTTGTGAGTTCAGCGCAATTCCTCACTTCACCTGTCGCTAACGATGACTGCCGAAAGCGAGGAGTTTGGTCTAAGTAACTTCTACTCCTGGGAGGTAGCCGAGTTCGTCGGAATTGCGAAGGTGAAGGGGTGGATCCAGCCCACGGTCTATCAGGGCCCATACAACGCTCTCGAAAGAAACGTTGAAACCGAGTATGTAAGCTGGCAACCTCTTTTGAGATGGGACTAATATAGACACAGGTTGATGCCTTGTCTTCGCAAGCACAAAATCAGATTTCACGCGTATAGTCCTTTAGCGTAGGCCCCATTCATGATGTATGCTTCATATACTCACGATACGACGTTCAGACGTGGCCTATTGTCCGGCTCCAAGCCAACAACAGATATGTCACAGATACTGAGCATGCGATACTCGCGTTACACAGCCGCTTTCGATCAGCTATCTGAACTGCTGGTGAGTCAAACGATGTTTCGTTACCTCTAATTGTACTCATCGATATGTCTACCTCAGCAGAAGCACGGCCTAAGCGGCCCCGAGGTAGCGCTCCGATGGATGCAGCACCATAGTAGACTCACACCAAGCGACGCTGTCATCCTCGGTGCGAGCAGTGTCACCCAGCTTGAGGCAAACATCGACGCCAGGCAAGTTATGTCTAGTCCCCGTTCATTCCATATTTTTATACCTGCTTCTAGCGAGAAAGGGCCGTTGCCGCAGGAGGTCGTCGAAGCACTGTCTGAGCTATGGACGGAGAACCAAGGACGTGCTCCTCCGTATTATGTACCTATCGCGTATTGAGGCGCACAAGCACTCTCTAACCTTGTCCCGGGATCGCTAAGTAATGTGATCGCATATGGATAACCTTCCAGATGACTATACCGTGACCATCGAATCCTCACGGGGAGGAGCATTTAAATTATGTGACTCTATGACCTTACTGATCGCGGTTCTCCTCTACGAAACGTGGGCATAGGGTGCGTCAAGAATAGCACATAGAGCCTCCGGACCGATATTCCGATAGAAGTCCAAGCGCCATCGGATACCCGCGTTGAGGATCCCTGTGATAAGTGCTTTCATCACTTGAACATTATGTCTCTTCCTCCCAGTCAGAAACGTCCGAGAGTATGGCTTGGTGAGGACATCCGCAAAATCCACGGTGTTGGTGTCACTGACCATTCGCAAGTTACTGGCTCATCTTCCGGTTTCGGGCGTTACATGACGGAACTCCTCCTCGAAAAAGGAGACATCGTCGTCGCCACACTGCGCAAGCCCGAGGCTCTGTCTGACCTTACAGCTACATACCCGTCTGACAAGCTCCTCGTTCTTAAAGTCGACGTGACCAAAAGCGAAGATGTGCAGGCAGCGTTCTCGCGGGGTTTGGAAGCGTTCGGATGTATCGATGTCGTGTTCAACAATGCTGGCCAGAACATCCTCGGCGAACTCGAGTCGATGGACGAACAAAGCGCAAGGATTATCATGGAAGTCAACTTCTGGGGCGCAACGAACGTCACGAAGGAGGCGATTAGGGTGTTTCGAGAAGTGAACAAACCTAGCGGCGGTCGGCTGCTGCAGGTGTCGTCTCGAGGAGGTCTAGTGGGTATCCCCGCGTCTCCGTACTACTCTGCGTCGTGCGTCGATGTTCTCGTTAGAAATGAACTGCACTACTCACTCGCACTCTTTTACTTTAGGAAATTCGGTGTGTAGCTCACCCCTCAGCGCTCAGTCGTTACTGCTTGCGTTCGCTGACGAAGCGGTCCCAATCTTCAGCGCTGGAGGGTTTGACAGAGTCCGTCGTCCAAGAGCTGCGTCCAGAGTGGAACATCAAGGTGCGTTGTTTCCTCAGAGGAAGCCCCCAGAGCGAAAGCTAACAAAGCGGCGACTTGCAAGGTGTCAATCATCGAGCCCGGTCCGTTCCGCACCGAGATTTTCACGGTGAACGTTCGGGACGTACCGCAGCACCCCGCGTACGCTGACCCGTCCCTGCCTGGATCACAGACACTCCAGCGTATCAAGGCGGGAAATCCAGACGGAGACGCTCGAAAGGCGGTGGAAGTCATCGAGCGGTTGACGCATCTTGAGAATCCGTCGCTTCGGCTGCCGTTGCATAGGAAGACGTTTGCTTCCCTGAGGGAAAAGGTGCAGGAGTTGAATAAAACGGCGGATGACTGGGAAAGTTGGTCGGATGGCATTTATCTAGAGTAACATACTTTCATTATAGCGAGTAAGTGCGCGATGCTGTCAAAAGCCCATCGTAACGCTAGTGGCATTTGAAAATCCGATTCCCACGCCATTTCCGACGGTCTTCATGGTTTCCTTCTTTCGAGTCGACTCCTTTCCGCTTCGCCTGAAGCTCTTGCAGAGCACGTCGGTCTCAAGTAGGGTGAGTAGGCAATGTTTCATCGTAACGCACCCAACTAAGAATATTGATAGCTTAGCCAGCTCGCAACATGTCAGTTGCCGGCCTGCCCTCGGAGCTGCTCATAGCAATCTTTAAGGAGTGCGTGGCTCTGGCTCACGATCAGGACAGATGTGCTTGGCAGTTCCACTTCTGCGAGACATCATGTCTCTTGTACTGGATCAACGTCACCTATGTCTGCCGCCATTGGCGCGCCGTCGCCCTTGAGTGCCCGGCGTTATGGACCCGTCCTGTTATCGCGCTTCCCCGGCGGGCGGCTGAGATGCTGTCCCGCGCGGGGAGTAGCCATGTTCAAGTGTCGGCACATCTCAGGTTTCAAAACAAGGATGCTGTAGAACTGGTGCTAGCAAGCACAGGTTGCACGGATGAACTGGTCCTCGATGTCGACTTTGAATCGCTCACCGCAGTCATCAAGGAGCTCGTAAAACAAGGCCGTGCGAATCAAAGCAGGGAGGCATGCCTCGAAGCACTAAGCTTGAGGTGTACACCAGGCTTTTGGCCACCTATCTCCGAAACTCAGCTGGTCGACACTAGCAGGCTCAAGCGACTGCATCTGGATTCGCCAAGCTTCGATATTGATTCATGTTTTCTGGAGGGCATGTCGGCGCTTGAAGAGCTCGCACTTTGTTCGGCTCTCGCACAGATAAAAGGAATCGAGGATCGTCGTCTGGAAATGCCGTGTCTGAAACGACTCCACGTCATGGATTCCATTTATCAATGCCAACGTTTATTGTTTTCCCTTCGACTTACCCGTCCCTTGGACTCCTTCGGGCTAGACGACGCATATCGCTCTACTCCTCCGCGTCCATTTCTTTCAGCCAGCCGCGAACTTTTTGTTACGCACCATTCCATCACGGGACTCGCTGATGGCACAGCTCTCGACCTCTCTGGGTACCATTCCGTTCTCTGCCTCGGGACACCAAGGTTCCGCAATGATTCCACCAATCTATATTTAGCCGCTTGGCCGCAGAACCGAGCCACCATGAGCGCTTCTCGGCTCGTCTCACTTGCTCACGCCAGCAAGCTAACACCCTCCCCTCCCCTTTCCAGTCCAGCCTTTGACGCTAATTTGACCACTCCTTTCCTTGAGCCGCCTCCGTCTATTTATATGGGATCAGCCTTCCGCGGTGAGGCTATCAACATAGTGGCAGAGCTGTCGCATACATTTTCGCTGCGTTCTGTGGTGCACCTCGATATCCAGCAGTCGGGCCAGCGCTTCCCTGACTTTTCATACGCAACCCTTTCCGCAATCTTCAGCTCAATTCCCTCGCTGATATCGTTGAAAGCATCACACATCAATCTCGTTTGGCTCGTCGACGCCCTTCTACCTCCGAAAGGTTCTCCCGCGGATGACGTTCCGGTACCGCTGCTGGAGGTGCTCTCGCTGCCCGACGTCGATTTTGCGCCCTTCGGACAACCTCACGTTGATTCTCTGGCATCGTGCATAGTTGCTCGCGCTGCCCAAGGATGCATTCTACAAAGATTGACTGTTGAAAGATGCATGAACATCGGGCCCGAAGCATGGCCCACGCTCGAGGCATTACCTCTGGTGCTCGAGCCGCGCGAGCTCCAACCTACCAATTGATATCTAATCTAACGATGTACTATCACTCTTGGTTCTTCAAAGTATTGCCGGATATTGTTCACACATCGTAAACTGCGTCAGTGAAACCTACTTTGCGGCTTCTATATCAAGGTCATCCGACCACGACTCATAACTATCCAACTCGCTCATATACCCATGCACTTTTTTCCGCACTATCGGCAACAGCGTCTTACCCAGCAGCAAGCGCCGGGGCGGGTTCTCGAGACGCGAAAGCCGTTCCACCTGCACAATAGCCTTCTCTGCATCGCCCGTGACCCTCGAACTCATGAGAAACTTGCGGATCTGCCAGCTAGCAAACTCTTTGCCGTCATATGCTGGATGGTTTGGAGTGATGTTGACGTTTTCTCCGAGAATCTTCGTGCGAAAGGCGCCGAATTGAACGATGGTGACCTGAGCATGCCAGATGATGGTGCGTGAGCCTGCCTAAGGACTACGTGATTGAGCTGTAGGTTCACCTTGATGTTCCAAGAGGGGTCAACTTCGTCCATTGCTGCCTCACTGAGACCCTCTAATGCTGGACAAGAGTCAATGACCAGACACCCAGATTCTGACGTTTGCGTACCGTGTTTACTGCGAGCTTTATGTTAAAGACCTTCTCGAGCGTTTCATAGAGCAACGGTCACTCACGTTGCACAATAATACCCGTTCGCTGGGGTGCCCAATGCCCCTGCCCCTGACGATGCCTGAATGAGTCTTCCGCCCCGGGGCTTGTTTTCTTCCCTGAACACCCTCAAGCTCTCCTGAGTGACGTGGGAGGCACCCCAGAAATTAACCTCGAACATGGCGCGTGCATCCTCTTCGCTTGTCGCCTCAATCTCAGCTAGCAACAGCACGCCTGCGTTGTTGAACACAATGTCAATCCGGCCGAAGTGATCGAACGCCTTCGCAAATGCGTCCTTGACTTGATCGCGCTTCGTCACATCGAGTGCGATGGGTAGAAGTCTCTCAGCAGAGAAGACAGAGGTAAGATAGGCGATGGCGTCGGGCTTGCGCAGCGTCGCAACGACTTTGTCGCCTTTCTTGAGCGCGAGCTCGGTCATGAGGCGTCCAAACCCAGATGATGCGCCAGTAACTGGTGGGTGCAATTGATTCTAGCGCATGAGTACCCTTGGCTCCTACGCTGCGAAATTGGCACGTACTGAGCCAAATCCTGGAAGAATCCATTATGGTATGGTATGCTATGGTGTCGTGTGTGCAATGATCAGTCGTTTCGATAAGAATGTGCGCTATTTATGAGTTAGCCAGCACTCGTGCAGCCGTATTGACTCAACTCCGAGTCATTGATACGCTAGTTTGTCAGCATACATTAGTCATGCAGAGTGGCAAAGTCCGTTATGCGAGGTCAAGTCTCGGGTCAAGTGCGACGTTGCCCGTTACCAATATCGTCAATGGAAAGGTGTAGTAGCTTTATCATAAAGCGAGACAAGACAAGACGTGGGCATGAACATATCCGAAAACACTAAAATCTCACCAGCTCTGCCAACTCTTCTCCGTCTGCTTGTGCCCCGCAACGCTGATCCTGAAGTTGCCACCAGCTCCGGGTTGAGACACGGCTGGTCGCACACGTAGCAGCAATAAATGTCTGCGTCATCATCCAACGCGGTGGTGTCAAACTTCACGCGCACTGCGCATTCCTTCTTCTCCTGAGCTTCTCTGTGTGTTGGGATGGGGATAATAAATCTCGACTTCCTGCGCTGGGGATGCAGCACTGTGGGCGGCGATACTCCGCAGGTGAGATAGAAACAGAAGTTCGAGGCGACATCGCATGAGTAGTATGTTGCGAGACCTGTATTGCGTCAGCAAGCCTCTCTTCAATCGAGATGCCAGAGGGGGATGGAAAATGGAGATGCGGAGGGAAAGAGGATAATGCGGAAGGAAGAAGGGACGCACCTTCAGCTAGAATCAATCCGCTCTTCTGCAATTGCCCGAGGAGAAGCGTGTTTGCACGCGGTGAGCTCCTTCCTGCCCCACTCCGCCTCAGTCCCACTGCGCGCGGCGAACTTGGCATATATGACGGCGTGGATGAGGTTCCCGTGGCTCGATCTATCATACGCCCGATAATTGTGAGGAGGTATGCTACACGAACGTACAGCTGGAGAGGCGTACCTGATCCCAAGTTCAGAGGTAGCGTCCATCGGTGGTGTTTGGTCCTCGAAGCCTGACCGTCGTCTTGTTCGTATGTTCGTCCTCTTTCCAGTCGGGTACGACCTCAAGGTTGATAATCTTTGCTGGAGGTTCACTTCGGTCACTTCGGGCATCCTGGAATTCTATGAGAATGGTGGGCTTCAATGCGCATTCCCAACGTGAGCGACAGCTGGATAGGCACCTCTGGGACACACCCGACCATTCACCTCCTTTTGCTGGTGCATGATGCTGACGGTAAGCCGATGATGTTATTTCTAGAAGTACGTTCGGACGTGCTGCCGCGCATTGCTAAGGCATCCGCCGTTTGGCACATGAAACGCATGTCTACCCCGCGCTCATCGTCCTGTTGGCGACATCAAAGTACAAAGGGAGGCGTGGTCAGGCGAGGTGACTGGGTAAATAAAGCGAAACATGCCTTGCTATCGAAGCACTTCCTCATTGTGTACAGATTCGATCCCGGGTTTGAGAAAGGCGGGACATCATGGATGGTGCTCAGCGTCATTAGGGGTCTATCACCTAATTCTCGCGGGCTTCGGATGAAGCGCCGATGTCCCGACCCCAAACGCGCTGTCCCAAGAATACTCCCGAATGGATCAACCTGCTAGTAAACCTAGCTCTTGTACGACACACTCAACATGGGTGGATCGGGGAATACGTTACGCAGGCAACTCGACGAGATCCCTCCAATCTCACTTCCTTCTTGACTTGCCCGGCATCCTTTCCTTGGTACAGCAATCTTCGATTTCCACGCAAATGAGAGGAGCAAAAGCGAGTAAGTGGTACAGCACGGTAGGTGACACATATCGTCCCTCGTACGAGTTCATCCTTCTCTACGTTCGAGATTGGCCAGCCCTTAACGTGCTGAAGAAAAGTAACATGGGATGCAATGCATCGCATGTTCTGTTCAACTCGTGGCGTGCGCGCGCGCGCTCGCGTGGTGCATATACATGATGGACGTAATAGGGGTTCAGCGCTCCTACGAATGTTGAGAGTTGACGAGTGCGGTCGAACATATTCGAAGGCAGATATTCAAGGGTGAGTTGTCCCATGCGAGCCTCTTCTCCATCTTGTTCCTGCATACGACAAATCCACGCATAAGGCCTTTTCTCTACCTGGACTTGTCTTCGCTTTTACGGCCTCGGTCAACCCTTCCTCGCGAACAATGGATTGATCCTCACTGAACGCCCTCATTTTATCCAATGATACTATGCACGGTAATCTTGATCAGTCACGCTAACAACAACGTCCTCGATGCATTTATGCGTAGCTCGTTTGTACCTCATCCATTTCTCCATTTACTCTGATCAAAATCTGGGCCAACGTGCAGCTTATTCTAAAACTATGGTTAACGATGTAACATCTTCATGGCGTCGCACGGGTGACAAGAGAATGCCTGTTAGAAATCGCTATATATACAAGGTATGCACTCCATGCACCGCTAGTTGGGTACATCAGCGGGAATCTTTCAAACTTTGCCTATACGAACCGCCTCTTTCCCCCTTTCTACCTCCAGCTACCTGCCATTCACCACGTTCACGCCGTCATCTCGATATTCTCTTCAGCTTGACGATCGCGGCCGCGGAACCTATCCAAATTCAATCGACTCAACACAGCCCTCACGCAGCCTACTTTCATCTCAGTCTCCTCGAGGCCATTGGGCCCTTCGTTTTCATGCTCGCTGCCATCTGAGTCGCTATCCGAGTGATCTTCCTCTCGGCGAGCCGCCCTTCCCCGGCGGGTATTCCTTTCTGGAGAGGGCGCGGCGCGAATACGCTGTGACTGCAGTGTGAGTCTAGGTCAGTGAAGTTTGAGTGGGGGCGTTTACCAATCTCATTGTCGCAGGAGATACAACGACGGGCATTGCAAGTCGCGAGCGCCAGCGAGTAGCGAAGTTACTGGGCCTTTGCGGCTCCGCTGCTTCCTGTCCCGAAGCAGACGCGGAGCTGGAGCGATCTTCGGTCAGTAGTCTGTCGACGAAATCCCAATACAATGTCTACTGACTTAGTGAATCTGCGCGCGCGACGGGTGGACCTGGAGTTTCTCGAGTTCGTCTTCTTTCTTGAACAGCGGTCGCCCTGAAAACCATGCACCACGTGAGTACTTCGCCACCCGGGCGGAAACCATGCGGCGATTGTCTTACATCCTGACCCTCAATTTGAGCTATGAACGCACGATGTCGCGGTACTGCTGACATCTGTAACAAATTCCCGGACATATGAAGCGCGCATTCAAATGCACGAGCAAGACTCACATTCATGAAGCTCTCGATGGAATCAGCCCTCTGCCAGCTCATGAGGTAGATTCCGAGTGGTGGAGCCAATGTTGGGCTCACCTGCACCCGTCTGGAAGGCGACACGGCATCTCGGGCGGAGGTTCTCATCGCCGCCTTCCTAGGGGGCAATGGTGTAAAATCAGTTTCAGCTAGGTGAAAATGGTGGTACTGCGGCTCCACCTTTGGGAGAAGAACACTCCCCGTCTCGACGTCCCACAGTCTGATATCTCCTTCCATGGTGCCGCTCACAATTTCTGTGCCATCGGGAGAGAACGCTGCAGTTTTAACGGTTTGATCGTGCCGTATAGACTGATAGAGCTCCCCGGTATTGGTGTCCCATACTTCCAAGGTTTCCCCGACCACGCTCAGGAACTTGGTTCCGTCGCTAGAGAAGTGCACGCAGTTGACCCACTGGTCGCCTTTACACAAACCAAAGTACGGCTCTCCGCGTGATAGGTCCCAAATATTGACCGCATTATCTTCCTCTTTGATACGTTGTAACCCGCTCAGCAACTGTGCTCCGTCAGGTGAAAAGCAAACTGATGCAACTTTACCGCCGGAATGCAACGGTTCTGCCACTGCCGCATACGTCTGAAGGTCCCAGACTGTATCAGTGTGAAGGAGAATGTGAGCTCACCAAAAATTTGTACAGAACCAATGTTGCTCGGCAGATCCTTGATGAGATTTAATATAACATAAAGATGAGTCGTTTGATAACGCGATTTTACTACTCTTACAAAGGTGGAAGTATGAATGGTTTTCGGTATGCCATGCACCAATTTTCTGCAGTCCTCAGTGTTTTTTTCGTACACGATCGGGTAGTAACTAGGCGTACTGACCACTAAGGCCATGCTTGTCACCCAGTTTCTCCTTCAAAATGCTGCCATTTTATGAGGCCATCCCAGCATTCGCTGTAGCCGCGTCGGTGCGACCGCGAGGTTTGGGAGAACGAACGCAGCAGAAGAGAGACGCGATGCATCCAGCTTTCTGTCCAACGTCACCTGCTTGCTGCTCGTGCTCATCTTCTCCACTTTCGTGGCTATCTAAGCTGTATACGTCCGGTAATCGTTCTCTAGGGCGTGGCTGGCTAGACGACGATGCGGCAACGTTGCGCTGTAAGGTTCAGCTTAGCAATGACCAGACCACAGTAATGCAGGGCTTCTTACTGGATTCATCCTACCCGGGGAAACTGTCACTGGGAGCGTGATGTGTTGACTCCAGCGAGGAATAATCCGATTTATCCAGCGAGATTTTGCTTTTTCCTCGGCTGAGTCGAATGTAGAACTGTGGAGTGTTAATCAGTAGCTTGCCAGAACATCTTTGCGACGTGGTATACTGACTCAGGCAATCCGTCCCCCCGCCTGTTGGGCTTGAAAGCTTTGGTATTCCCTTTCTTCTTCGAGTGGCGAGTGCTCTACAACCATGTTTAATATGGGTATTTTTCCCCAACGCACAGAGTTCACGGATATCTTACGTTCGGAGCTCCAACTTGCCCAATGAAATCCCGCCTTCGTGGAATAGCTGGCATCTGCGAGGATTTCGAGCTGTAATCCGGATACACAGAGAGAACATGCGTATGAAACTTACATTCATGATGCTGTCAGTAGATTCAACCCTCTGGCAGCTCGTCAGCTAAAATCAGAACGGCAGGGTCAAAAGTGGGCTCACATGCACCCGTTGGGAAGGCGACTTCTCATCAATGTCTTCCTAATGGGCAATAATGTACGTTTAGCTAATACTCGGTGAAGATGGTAGTACTGCGACTCTACCTTGGGAAGAAGAAGTCTCCCTGTCTGGACGTCCCACAGACTCATTTCTCCGCTGTCTGTCCCGCTCACAACCTGCGTGCCATCAGGAGAGAACGCTGCAGCGCCGACGTGGTTGTCGTGTTGTATAGACTGAAGGAGCTCCCTTGTATTTGCATCCCAGACATTCACTTCTTCCATAGATGCGCCCAGAAACTTGGTTCCATCCCTAGAGAAGTGCACACATTGAACTTGTGAGGCACGTCTGACACCAAAGATAGTTTCTCCTGGTCTGCGCGAGAGGTCCCATAGATTGACCGTGTTATGTGCCCCCTCGTTCTTACGCGACCCACTCAGCACCTGTGATCCGTCATGTGAGAAGCAAACCGACATAAGTGTGTCACCGGAATCCGCTAGCTCTACTACGACCCCATACGACTGAAGATCCCATATACGGATATTTTTGTCGTCGGATGCGCTCGCTAGCAGGGAACCGTCAGCCGAGATGCTGAGCGAGGTAACTCCCTTGGTGTGGCCATTCAAAATATGCAGAGAGGATCCAGAGCGGACGTCCCATATATATATATTATGATCCTGGCATCCACTGGCGAGACGGGCCTCATCCGGAGTGAAACATACAGCTCGAACACCGGATGGTTGCTTGAGAGAATGTTTGACGACAAATGTCTTGTGTTTGACTTCCCAGACGCGCACTGTCTTGTCCAATGACGCACTTGCCAAAAGACTTCCACTGTGTGAGATGTCTATATCCTCCACTGAGCCTGCGTGCCCAGCGAGAGGCTTGCATATCTCATATCCCTTTTGCATGTCCCATATACCGACGGTGTCATAAATTGTAGCAACTGCAACTTGCTTTCCATTTGGGAACCAAGAGATGGCGTTGACCTGGCTGTAAGCATTCATACTGTATAACGCGACGTTGAACCATCATACAATGTAGCAATATTACATTGAAAAAAGACACATACGCTAGCGGTTTGTGGATCTTCGACATGCTTGTGAGTATCTACGTGAGGGATTTTGTGAGATATACTAGACAAAAGTATAATCCAAGCCTGACCTTTGGAAGCACTGGCTCCAGTGTACGCATGCTCCAGATACGCACCGACTCATAGGCGAACGAAGCGAAATGCTCGCCATCGGGCGAGCAAGTGACTCCGGGTGCACCATGATCATGTCCATAGAGCGGCTTCAATTTCGTGTCTCCCCCATCAAGCTCCCAGACACGGATCGACCTGTCATCCGAGCAGCTAAGGAGACGCGATCCGTCGCGAGAGAACGAGACGCCATTGACACAGCTCCTATGACCTTCTAGTGGATCACATACTGGTGTGCCCGTGAGAGCATCCCAGAGACGAACGGTATGATCCTCCGAGGCACTAGCAATCACACGGCCGTCTGGAGAGTACTGGACACTCTGAACGCCGGCCCGGTGACCCCATGTGGGCTCGAAAACGAGTGTATGTCTGTCAACATTGTAGACGCGGATGAGGGAGTCATGGCACCCAGTCGCAATGTGGATACCATTCGGAGAGAAGGAGATGGATCTGACGGGATTAGGGTGTTCTATGGATGCAATGCACTTGCCAGTATTTGCGTCCCAGAGCTTTAGATAAGAATCCGACCCTGCACTTGCGATGATGGCACCGTCAGGAGAATACTGAACAGCTGTAACCCAATCCTCATGCCCTTCAAGCGGTTCCATGACCATCTCGTGCGTGTTTGTATCCCAGATTCGAATAGATTTGTCGTCGAAGCTGCTCACGAGATGTCTTCCATCCGGAGAATAAGCAATGGCGTTGACCGACGCAGCATGCCCGTCCAGAGGCTTCCCGAGCTGACGACCTGTATTAGCTTCCCATATCCTGATTGTCATGTCATCAGAACCTGTTGCTATACACTTTCCGTCGGGTGAGTATGTGAGTGTCAAGATTTCGTCTGTGTGACCTTTGAACGGCTCGAATGCGTCACCATCCATCGAGCACTGAGCTTGTTGGGAAGATTCGAGGGGGTGACTGATAAACGCTGCTGATGAGAACGAGAAGAGATCGAAGGTCGAGAGTACGAGCGGTGAGTGTTGTATGCAGAGCGCGGTCCACGTGGAGCACACACAGTCGCGCGGGACGGTTCCAGTGTGAGGTTCCGCGCGATGAGTCGCTAAGAAGATCCCAAAAGTCGGAACACACAGCAGGTGTTATTGAAGGTTGGAGTTCGAGTGAGTCGTCAGACGAGGGAGGTAAGATACGACTCTGTTAAGAGAACTAAGGCTAAGTACTACATCGTGTATTCAATAGTGGTTACACACTATCTACTGTGTAACCAAGGTAATGGACTACAAGGGAATCCGAGAATAAAGAGTACAAGGTCTCAATGGCGACCTTGTTCGAGGATTTGTTTCTTGTAACGATTCGTCTTCGACAGACGGCTTGTATTTGAGGAACGCCTTGTTCACTCGATTAGCACTAATGGCTGTGCTCGGATCGTTGGGGCGGGTCACCGACCTTACATCCAGCGCCTATTACCTGCACTTCTGGGCGCTTATGTGAACAGCAGCGCGGTCATGTACAGTAAACACACCATGATACTATGTATGTTCTCCGTGATCCTTTGCTATCACAATGTATCATACACGCTTTTGTCAAATTTTTATCAATGCGGCCTTGACTTCTTCCTCGCCCCAGCCAGTACTTAAACCTGCTCAAACACATACATGTAAGCCAGCCGCTTCAGCTCATCCACACTCTTCTACGCGATCGCAGTTAGTGGACGAGAATTATGAGTTTAGATGAAGGAGAGGGCTTACCGTTTCCCCGAGCGCCTTACGGGCCTGTGCCTGCGTGAAACCTATCGAGACCAGCATCGCGGATCCACCAGCCGCTGCGCTTCCAGCTGCTCCACCAAGATCAAGTGGCGCATCAATGTCTACGCCTGCATCAGATCGTATTCAAAATTCTATTGAGTAGATGAGAGACACACCAGGATCCTCCATATGCCCGAACAACCACTCCATCGCCGCCTCAGCGCCAATGTTGCCCGTTGCGAACTGCGCACGCTGGCACCGGACCGTCAGGAATCCCATGCTCTCAAGCTGCGCGAGCGCTTCTGCGTCGAATTGCGGCTGTGACGCCACAGCGGGGTTATCTGCGGGCTCCTTCTCTCCCGGCTGGAGGCCACGTCCGAGATATGCTCATCTGCGACCTTGAGCATCTGGCACTCGACGCACTCCGCTGAGAGCAACTCCTTGCACGCTGTCAGTGTGCATCTGCCTTTGACGCGCCAAAATCATAGTACCGCGACGGGAAGGCGGGGAGTGAGAAGAGCGTTTGCACGACAGAGGCTATGTAGCAGCTAAATGATACGATTAATTCAGTTGAGAGAGACGCAAAATGTAGAAGAGACAGACCTTTTCCCAAGACTCGCGAGTCCCGTGTTGCCAGGGCCAAACACGGGTTCTAGTGCGGATTCGTCCTCGGTAGTGAGAAAGTTGAACGCGACGTTTGTTCGATTTGCTGTCACCCAAGCTACTGGTCAGCTCATCCTCGAAGATGACAGCACAGATAAGAAGAGGTGGGCAGATAGAAGCAAGGAGGGTAGATATATACAAGCAAGCAAGAACAGAGGGTGGATATATGTCCAAGTACCGAAAACTCACCAGCTCCGCCAAACTTTTCTCCGTCTTCTTCCGCAGTGCCACGTTTATCCCAAAGTTCCCCAGGCGCGCCGCGAGCTCCGGATCCAACCGCGGCTCGTTGCACGCATAGCAGCAAATGTCCGCATTGCCCTCCGGCGTAATCATCCCCAGCTTGACGCACGCTGCATGCTCTTCTTCCCCCAAGCTGCGATGGGTATTAAAGTGGGCGAGAACGTGACCGTTTCCCGGGTCCGGTATGCCGTATTGCGGGCGGCCGTAGCCCAGTGCACCATAGGTAAGGCAGAGCCAGAGATTGGAGGTGATGTCGCACGAATGGCACTTTGCGAGGGCTGCACGTCACGGTGAATGCAGCGTTGAGTCATAGCATCAAGAAGGGATGAACGAAGGATGAAGGAGAGGGATGCACCTTCGGACGGGATCGACCCGCTTTGCAGCTGCTCGAGGGGAAGTATGTGTTTGCATATAATGAGTTCCTGCTCGCCCCATACCGCTTCGGGTCCACTGCGCGCCGCGAGGTTGGCGTCTACGACGGCTGTGACGAGTCTCTCTGTACGCCCGGCTTAGCATCCGCCCGGAAAAGTTGAGGATGTATACGATGCGAACGTACAGCTGGAGAGGCGCACCTAGTCTCCATTTCAGACATCAATGTCCTGCCCGTCGGTAGTGTTTGGTCCCTAAACACTGAGTGTCATCCCCTCACTAGAAAAATACTCCAATACAATTTGCCAATTTAGTTAAAATACCATGGCTGAGTAGTTTAAATAATCTTTGCATACCTGTCCAAAAATTATCTGATCCAGGCACCGAGTTTTATTTAAAATAAAGTTTGTGAAAGTATGCTTATGATTCTGTGATGGGTGACAGCAGATATTTAAAATACAATCTGGTATAGCAGCCGAGTCATGAACCGGACTGGGCTGTCAAATGTGGCTCAGAATCTGAGCCGATTGCGGATTTTTGACAGCCCAGAAAGGCTATTAGCCAATAAAAACACGAGACAAGGAAAATCAAACAATTTTCATTGGGCAGCAAACCATTAATCAAATGCCTGTCAAACACCTGTCAAACACCATTCAAACGCCCGGCAAACACCTGTCAAACATCAGCTTGCCAGTTAAATGCCAGTCTATTGAACAAATATATTATATTGATTGGCATTTAACTGGTGTTTGACAAGTATTTGACGGGTGCTGGGATGATGTTTACCGGGGGTTTGACGTGCGTTTGATTGGCGTTTGAATGGTGTTTGCTGGGCGTTTGAATGGTGTTTGCCGGGCGTTTGAATGGTGTTTGCCGGGCGTTTGACAGGCGTTTGACAGGCGTTTGATTAATGGTTTGCTGCCCAATGAAGATTGTTTGATTTTCCTTTTCTCATATTTTTTATTGGCTAATAGCCTTTCTGGGCTGTCAAAAATCCGCAATCGGCTCAGATTCTGAGCCACATTTGACAGCCCAGTCCGGTTCATGACTCGGCTGCTATACCAGATTGTATTTTAAATATCTGCTGTCACCCATCACAGAATCATAAGCATACTTTCACAAACTTTATTTTAAATAAAACTCGGTGCCTGGATCAGATAATTTTTGGACAGGTATGCAAAGATTATTTAAACTACTCAGCCATGGTATTTTAACTAAATTGGCAAATTGTATTGGAATATTTTTCTAGTGCCTTCGTATACTTGTCTTCTTCACGCTTGGGCATAAACTCGAGCTTTGACGTCTTTCCTGATGGCTCGCCCTGACCGTCCTGACACCACAGACATTTTTGCATTTATCTCTGGGAAATATTGCTGAAAAGAGGCACGAAGATGGTAAACTTTTTCTATGAATTTTCACATTGGGGATAGGTGTTTGAAAAGGGTAAAATTTTCAATAGCAACCCGCGTATTTGAGCACAGAAAAGGCTTTCGAGAGCGTTGTTTGCCATTTTGGACGGGAAAGTTTATGATCCGACTCCGGATTAGGTATGCAGGGTGTCAAAGCAGTTTACCTTTTCAAATACGAAAATTTTGTGCAGAAAGTTTACCATCTTCACGCCTTTTTTCAGCAATATTTGCTAGAGATAAATGTGTAATTGTCTGCGGTGTGAACAACGAAAGAAGGAGGTATGCGCACACATTCTGAGAGGAACGTAGATGCGCGAGAATGCAAGTCACGTACCCTCCATTAACCTCCTTTCGTCGGCGCCTGACATTGTCTTAAACAGATGGTCACGGTGTTTCTGGAAATGCGAGCGGGCGTGATGCCGTGCTTCGCCGAGGCATCCACCGTTGAAGCAAGTCAAGTACAACGTCTATCCCTCGCTAGTCATCCTGTTGTCGACACCAAACAAAAACGGAGGCATGATGAGGGTGAAACAACCGGACGAGTATGATGAGTGAGACATGCCTGACTATCAAAGCGCTGCGTATACACAGCGGGAATAGCCCGATAAGTTCTCGGGACTTATGGTGGAAATATTGAAGACGTATTTTAACTTTGTTTTGCAGGAAAAGCGAGACTTATTTGGTACTTAGCGGGGAGATATTCTGATTAAATTATCTTTTGTGACCAAATTGGCCGTGTCAAGTGTGAATCGCCAAAATTTATTCAGAATGCGTCCTTGGTAAGTTCCAAAATAAGTCTCGCTGTCCTGGCAAAATTTCATTATATTGCATCCACAATATTTCCACAATAAATTCTGAGAACTTATTGGACTACTCCCCCTGTGTATACACATCGTTGTGCGCGTAGTCGATTCCGGGTTCGGGAAAGGTGAGAGTCGAGACAAAACTGGGCACTGGACGCGGGGTCGCCGGCGTCTATCGCTTAGTTCTCACGGGCTTCGGATGAAGCGCCGATGTCCCGATCCCAAAGGCACGCAGCCTCACGCAGCGCCAGCCCGTCCTTGCTTGGCAGCGCCAACTCTGGTACCAACTGCAGGAGTTGCTGACCCGCGTATATTCTCGACTAAACCTGACTAGACCACTCAGATTCTCTTGGCACTTGTACGACGAGCTCAACATGGGCGGCATCGGGCATCGAGCATTTCATTGAGCACGTCACACAGTCGACTGCTGTTGACGTGACCCCTCCGACCTCATTCTCTTGTTGACTTGTCTGACACGTTTCCCATGATTCAGCTATCTTCGGCGTCCGTGCGCATGAGAAGAGGAAAAGCGACTAGTTTATGTAGCACGGTAAGGGACACATATGTCGTCAGCATACGAGCTCACCGTGCTTTATTACAATATCAGCCAGTACAGAATGCTCTGCATCGCAAATCTGAGTTGATTCATGGTATGTTTGCGTTCAACGCTAAACGTTTGTCTGATGAGGATTGGTGCCCAAACGACCACTGCCCTGGTAAGGGCTCAGATCTGACGAGCGCCGACGCTCGTGTCCGACGTGGGCATCTTCAAACGCAGACATTCAACTTGAAGCATTAACGTAGTGTGTTCCCTACCGCGCTTTTTAGCACGCCGAAGCGCTGCATCCCGCAAACCCACGCGTAGGTCCATTTCACCACAATCCTGTCCTACGGCCTCGGTCGCTGCTTCCCTATTTCATACAGCGATACTACCCACGGAGGTACTGTACTAACAACTACCCACTGGGTACTTTCGTGGTAGCCCGTGCGTACTTCATCCGCCTCTGTGTTCATGCTGGTCAAAATCTGGATCCACGTATAACTCGTTTCGAACCCACGCCTAGTGGCGAACGCCGTATGCAACAGTGTGCGAGTGATTCCAGGAGCTTCTGCTGCAAATCGTCATGTACACAGGGTATGTATTTCCTCCACTGCCAGCGGGGTACACCAATGGAGATTTCGTTAAACGTTGCCTACATAAGCCATCATTTCCCCACGATCCACTTGCATAAGCCTGCCATTCATATGTTCATGCTCTCATCTCAATATTCTCTTCAGCATGACCGCCGCGCCCGCAGAGCTTGCCAGGATCCAACCGACCCAACGCAGCCCTGATGCAACCTATCTTCACATAAACATCCTCGGTGCCATCTTGTTCATCGTCTTCGTGCTCGCTGCCCTCTGAGCTGCTATCTGAGACATCCCCACCTTGATGAACAGCTCTTTCCCGACGGGTAGCCCCTTCCGAAGGGCCCCCGGCAAGATTTCGCTGTCAACGCCGTAAATCTGGGTTGTTTAAGGCTAAATGGGGCCACTTACCAGTTTCATAATGGCAGGGTGTACAATAACAGGCATGTTAAGTCGTGAGCGCCAACGAGAAACGGTGTTGGGTTGCGGTGTCTCTGTGCCTTCATGACCAGAAGCAGACCGGAAGCTGGAGTGGTCTTTGGTCGGTAATCTGCCAACAATCCTTCACGGTGTCCACTAACTTGCTCGACTGGCCCGCTTGCCGGTTTGACCTAGAATTCCGAGTGTTTGTTTTCTTTTTTGAACGGCGGTCGCCCTGCAAACCATGTGCCATGTGAGTGTCTCGCCGCCAACGCGGAAAACATACAGAGATCGCCTTACGCCCTGACCCTCAACCTCAGTTATGAATGTACGATTTGGCGGTACTGCTGGCATCTGTGATGATTCCCAGTTTTATGGAAATGCGAGTGTTTGACCCTCGACCTAGGCTCACATTCATGAAGCTCTCAACGGAATCAGCTATCTGCCAGCTCGTCAGCTAAAATCCGAGCGGTAGGGCCAAAGATGGGCTCACCTGCACCTGTCTGGAAGGCGAAGACGCATCTCGGGAGGAAGTCTCATCATTAATATCCTAAAGGTGCGATGATGTACGTTTAGCTTCAACTCGGTGAAAATGATGTTACTAAGACTCTACCTTGGGAAGAAGAAGTCTCCCTGTCTCGACGTCCCACAGTCTGATATCTCCTTTGTCTGTGCCGCTCACAATCTGCGTGCCATCGGGAGAGAAAGCTGCAGTTTTAACGCTTCCGTCGTGCTGTAGACACTGAGAGAGTCCCCTGGTATTGGCATCCCATACTTCCAAAGTGGCCTCTACTGCGCTCAGGAACTTGGTTCCGTCGCTAGAGAAGTGCACGCAGTTGACCTGGCTGCCTTTATGTAAACCAAAGGATGGCTCCCTGCGTGATAGGTCCCAAAGATTGACCGCATTATCTTCCCCTTTGACAATGTGTGACCCGCCCAACAACTGTGCTCCGTCAGGCGAAAAGCAAACCGACGCAATTCGACCTCCGAAATGCAATGGCTCTGCCACTGCTGCATACGACTGAAGGTCCCATATACGGATGGACTTGTCGTTGGACCCGCTCGCTAGCAGGGAGCCGTCGGCCGAGACACTAAGGGAGTAAACCGTCTCGATGTGGCCTTCAATGATGTGCAGACACGATCCAGAGCGGACTTCCCATATGTGTATGGTGTGATCTCGGCATCCGCTAGCGAGACGAGCTTCATCTGGAGTGAAACGGACAGCGTTGACGCCATCTCGATGTCTGAAGGAATGTTTGACGACGAAAGTCTTGTTGTTGCCTTCCCATATACACACGGTCTTGTCCCATGACGCACTTGCCAAGAATCCCCCACCGTGTGAGATGTCTATATCCCATACCCGGTCTGTGTGCCCAACGAGAGGATTGCAGTTCTCGCCTCCTGTTTGCATGTCCCATATAGTGACGGTGTTATCAGCTCTAGCCAGTGCAACTCGTTTGCCATCTGGGAACCAACATACAGACTTGATGGGGCTGTAGGCATTCATCCTGGACAAAACGACGTTGCACCGTCAACCAAAGCAGTACCACGATAATGTAAATTACCCACCTTGACGGCTGATGGAGATTCGACAAGCTCGTGAGCAGCTGCATGAGGGTGCTGGGTGAGAAATAACAAGCAAAAAGCACAAAAGAGATTGATGCCTGACCTTGGGTAGCACTGGTTCTTGTGTACGCATGCTCCAGATGAGAACTTCTTTCTCGGAGAACGAAGCAAAGTGCTCGCCTAATGGCGAGCAAAAAACCCCGGAGATATCATGCTTGTGTCCATAGAGAGGTTTTGAAGCCATGTCTTTTTCATTTATCTCCCAGACACGGACCGACCCGTCTTGCGAGCAGCTAACGAGACGCAGTCCGTCGCGAGAGAATGAAACGCCATTGACATAGCTTTTGTGACCTTCAAGTGGACCACATTTTGCCGTGCCTGTGAGCGCGTCCCAGATACGAACTGTGTGATCCTTTGAAGCACTGGCTATGAGACGGCCGTCGGGTGAATACTGGACACTCTCAACGCTGGCCCGATGACCGACGATGGGCTCAAAAGCGAGTTGATGTTGTTTAACGTCGTAGACGCGGATGAGAGAGTCTTCGCATCCAATTGAAATATGTATGCCAACTGGGGAGAACGAGACGGAGTTGACGGAATCAAGCTGTTCTATAGATGCAATGCATTTGCCAGTATTTGCGTCCCAGAGATTCAGAGTAAAACCCTGATCTCCACATGCAATGAAGTTGCCGTCAGGAGAATACTGAAGGGCGCAAGGGGTGATTATATGTCCCTCAAGCGGCGCCATGACCGTCTCGTGCGTGTTGGTATCCCAGATTCGAAGAGTCTTGTCGATGGAACCGCTCACGAGATGCCGTCCATCAGGAGAATAAGCAACGGCTTGGACAGAGCTAGTATGCCCTTCCAGAGGCTTCCCCAATTGACGGCCTGTCATAGCTTCCCATGTACGGATCGTGGAGTCCAAGGAACCTGTCGCTACACACTTCCCGTCGGGCGAGTACGCAAGTGCACTAATATCGTCGGTGTGTCCTGTGAATGGCTCGAATGTGTCGTTGTCCATGAGGTGCTAAGCTTGTTGGAGGATCCCGAGTGGAGTCCTGCTAAGGGCTGCTGCTGAAAACGAGAAGACGTTGAAGGGTGAGAGTACGAGTGATGAGTATCGTATGCAGAGCGCGATCCACGAAGCGCACACGCAATCGCACAGGATGGTTGCAGCGCATATTACCTACACTTCTGGTCGCCTATATGTTCGGTGGCGTGTTCCGCCCCATACGTAACTTACACCATGAGATCATGCCGTTCTTCATGAATATTGTATACCAAAATGTATCGTACACGCCCTCGTTTCCTCTCTCCATGCGGCCGTGGGTTCCTGCCAGCCAAAACCCATCTTCAAACCCGTTCAAACACATACATGTAAGCCAGCCGCTTCAGCTCATCCACACTCTTCACGTCCGCCTTGACGACCTTCTCGTCGTTGAACAGCACCCAGCCCTCCTCATCTTTATCGACGTCCATGCCCTCTCCACCCGTACCGGCCGCAACTTTGAGCCCAGGGGCGCGTACATGGGCAACGTAGTGCCCTGAATGCACGCTCGGGCCCTTGTGCGACACGAACGCCTTGAGGCGGTATCGTGCGGGGAGATCCGTCGTTCCGGGTGCCGCGGGTTTCGCAAAGTCCACGCCTGAAGAGGCTGGGGCAGGGGCAGTATCTTCGCCGGTATCGTCAGGGTGGCTGAAGACCCAGTCGACTGCGCGTTCGGTGTCGCCGCCCTACGGACCGGTAGTAAGTAAGAGTGCGGCGTGAAGTACACAGAGCAAGGGTTCACCGTTTCCCTTAGTGCCTTCCGCGCCTGTGCGTGCGTAAAGCCCATCGAGACCAACATCGCGATCTGTTCCTCGCTCGGCTCGGATCCACTAGGCGCCGCACCGCCAGATGCTCCACCAAGATCAAGTGGCGCATCGATGTCTACGTCTGCATCAGATTGTATTCAAAGTTCAGTTGAGCGGATGTGAAACGCACCAGGATCGTCCATATGCCCAAACAGCCACTCCATCGCCGCCTCAGCGCCAATGTTGCCCGTCGCGAGCAGCGCACGCTGGCACCGGACCGCCGGGAATCCCATGCCCTCAAGCTGCGCGAGCACTTCTGCGTCGAATTGCGGCTGTGCTGCCACAGCGGGGGTATCTGCGAGCTCCTTCTCCCCCGGTTGGAGGCCATGTCCGAGATATGTGTCCAGCGTGAGGGTGTCGTCGTGTGGGAGGATGACGGGGACGTCTGATAGACACGACGTTATCTCGAGGTCAACAGGTGAATGCTAAACGCTGACGTACCAAGCTTAGTCGGCACCCAATTCACAAGCTGGAACTTTTTCGCATGTACAACGAGCACCTCCGGGAACGTAGCCATGTGGACCTGCCTGTTTCAACATGTTCCATCAGTAACATTGATTCACGCCAAATTCGGACTGGAAAACACGTACTTGAATGCGGCGCTCTTCTGCCCGCATCCAGGACACTCCCACCCTTCCAACCTTTCCTCCCCACCCTTGCCCAGAACATCACCAATGCACCGCGTGAGCTCAATCGGTGCAAACGCTTTCCTGATCTCGCCATCCTTGTCGTCGAAAGCGGGCACCTCGACGGCAGGTACCGCCACACTCAGCACGTCCTGAGTATCCACGCGATACCGCACACCGCCGCAGGAAGGGTTACCGCACTGTAAGCGCTGTTCGACACCAAATGCAAAGATTTCCGTCGGTTCTTCGCTGCCTATCATTGCACTCGTTCGACTACCCGAGGTTCCGGTGCAAGCGAGAGGATAGAACACACCAGAAGCACTAGCTTGCGCATGATTCGACCTCCTCAACTTCGTGAGCAGATGCCCGAGGAACTCCTCCGCGTCCTGCTGACGCATGCTCGAGAACTCTGCGTGTCCTGCCCCAATGAGGCGCTTGAGACCCGCAGGACGCACCCCGGCCTGGTGCGCAAGCGCCGGGGATGCATCAGCAGGCGCCGGATGCAGCGGGGCATCGGTTGTTTCCACATTGGCAGGCGGTCCTAGAATTAAACATGGATGAAAGTCGGAATACAAAGGTACAAACGGACGTACGTTTAACATTGGGGTCCGGCTTCGCATATCGCCCGCTTAGCAACCCATCTGCGACCTTGAGCATCTGGCACTCGATACACTCAGCTGGGAGAGCCTCTCTGCAGGCGGCCCAGTGCGCCTCCGCTTTTGATAAACCAGAGTCGTAGTACCGCGACTGGAAGGCGAGGAGCGAGAAGAGGGTTTGTACGACGGAGGCCATATAGCAGCTATATGACAGGTTGAATGGGACGAAACGCAGGTTGCAGTTAAGACTAACCTATTTCCCAGATTCGCAAGTCCCGTCTTTCCAGGTCCAAACACGGGCTCAAGCGCAGAGCCGTCCTCGGCGGTGAGAGAAAAGTCAAATGCGAGGTTTTGTTCGATTTGCTGCCACACAAAGCTACCTGTCAGTCTTATTCTGACTGTGACAGCACAGACAAGAAGATGCGGATGCATGTATGCAAAGAAAAGTGGATATATGCGAGCAAAGACAGGTGGGGGATGGGTATATGCGCAAGCAACGGAAACTCACCAACTCCGCCAAACTCTTCTCAGTCTTCTTCTGCCCCGCCACGTTTATCCCAAAGTTCCCTAGGTGCGCAGCGAGCTCTGGGTCCAACCGCGGCTCGTCGCACGCGTAGCAGTAGATATCTGCATTCCCCTCTGGCGTAATCGTGCCTAGCTTGACGCACGCTGCGTGCCCTTCCTCTCCCAAGCTGTGGTGTGTGTTGAAATGGGCAAGAGCGTGTCCGTTGCCCGCGCCGGGCATGCCGTACTGGGGGCGACCGCACCCGAGTGCACCGCAGGTGAGGCAGAGCCAGAGGTTGGTGGTGATGTCGCATGATTGACATTTTGCGAGACCTGTGCCACCGTGTACCCAAGAATGAGAAATGAGAGATGAAGGGGTAACAGAAAGGGATAAGCGAACCTTCGGCAGGAATCGATCCGCGCTGCAATTGCTCGAGGAGAAGCGTGTGTTCGCAAACGGCGAGTTCTTCCTCACCCCACGCTGCCTCGGGTCCACTGCGCGCCGCGAACTTGGCATCTACGACAGCGGTGATGAGACTTCTTGCGCGCTCGGCCTAGCATCCGCCCGGAAAAAGTAAGGATATATGCTATTCGAACGCAAAGCTGGAGAGGCGCACCTGGTCCCCAAGTTCAGAGATATCAATGTCCTGCCCGTCGGTGGCGTTAGGTCCCCAAAATCTCAGAGTCGTCTCCTTCGTATACTTGTCCTCTTCTCGCTCGGGTACGACCTCGAGTTTTGTGATCTTTGCTGGGGGCTCGCTTTGACCATCCTAGAGATAATTAGATTCTGTGCATCTGGATATATCTGTGTGGGACACGTCGAGACGCACCCGTCCGTTAGCCTCCTTTCGGCGGCGCCTAATGTTGACGGTAAACCGATGATCAGGGTGTTTCTGGAAGTGCGAGCGGGCGTGATGCCGCGCCTCGCTGAGGCATCCGCCGTTGAAGCATGTCAAGCACACGTCTACCCCTCGTTCGTCATCCTGTTGTCGACATCAAAGAACAAAGGGAGGCATGATCAGATGAGACAAGTGAGTAAGCAGAGCAAGCGAGACATGCCTGGCTATCGAAGCACTGGGTGCACTCCTCGTTGTGAACGTAATCGACTCCAGGTTTTGGAAAGGTGAGGCTTTGAAGGAGTTGGATGTGCTGAGCGGCCATGTTGTATCGTGTTGAAGTGATAACGCAAAGAAAGAAATGGCTCTCGGGGCGATGGGCGTGTTACGTCACGAGACCCCAACCACCTTCGCACGTGAAGCGCGCACCTTACACCATCCTATTCTCGACAGTGTTGTCCAACTCAGCATAAGAAACCATTAAGAGAATAAAATAAAATGGGGGCTTTCTAAACACAACATATGTCTCAAGACGAAGGGTTAGACAAACCAGCAAGTCTTTGAACGCCCCTATCTCATTGCCATATCAGGTAATGCCGCCATCTAGCCGTGTGGCAGTGTCCTGATCAGTTTTCGCCATCGCCCAAAAATCTCTGAGAGATCCTTCCTGCAACACGTTCCGCCCTTTCTCATCCCCAATTCCTCCTCCCCAACTCAAAAAGCCGTCCAGATGGCAGCACCAAACGGCAGCATACCAAATGGCTCTGCCGCTGCGGGAGACACCGGCGCCCCTGCCGTCGTCGGTATCAACTTTGGCAACTCGTACGCATCTATCGCTGTTCTCGCCAAGGTACGAGGTCGTGCTTGCTCGGATCGAGCGTTTGCGCGCTTTTATGGTGGTACGGGTATGCTGACGCGCGATCGGAGGACAGCGAGGACTGGCCGAGTGCATAGCGAACGAAGACGGCGAGCGCCAGATTGCATGTGCTGTGGCGTTCCAAGGCGAGGAGATGGTGCGTATCAATCTGCTGGTTATCTGTCACATAGCAATCTTCGGGCTTACGCGTGCTATGATATAACGAAAAATAGTACCTCGGAAACCAAGCAAAACACCAGCTCGTCAAGAACTCGCAGAACACGATAACGGGTTTCCGTAACCTCCTTGGCAAGAAGTGCGCCCTTCGCGATCCACGCGCATATATCTCAGTGTACCCGTGCTAATCACCCTCCAGATTCTCCGAAATCCCCCAATCACAAATCGCACTCTCCGCGCCCGTCATTCAACACCCCACTGAGCCTGACGTCCCCGCCTACCGCGTGCAAGTCCTCCAACCCGCACCCTCCCCCCTCCCTAAGTCTGCCGCTCACACCCCTGCCGCATCAAACGTCGCCACCCCGCGCTCTGAGCCCATATCCGCCGAGCGCATCCTCTCCGTCTCGGAAGTCACCACCATCTTCCTCAAATCGCTCCTCCAGAGTGCAGAGGATTTCCTCGGCAAGAAAGTCTCCGGTGCCGTTATCAGCGTCCCCGCATGGTTCGACACCCCCGCGCGCGCCGCCCTATCCAAAGCTGCTGAAGACGCAGGCATCACCGTGCTCCAGCTGCTCGACGAGGCGGGCGCCATCAGCGTCTGCACGATCGCGCGTGACGCTGACCTGGAGAAGGACGATGCCGCATCGAAAGAGGATCCCACTCCAGCCGACCGCACCGCGCTCATCGTCGACATCGGCGCGTCCGCGCTCGAGCTCGCGCTCATCTCTCTTTCATCGGGGCTCTCTACGACCCTGCACACGTCGACCGTGTCCGACGGCAGCGTCGGCGGCGACGCGCTCGACAGCGCGCTCATTCGGTTCTTCGCCAAGGACTTTACCAAAAAGACGAAAGCGCCTCTGAGCGTCGCGCCGTCCACGGAGCCGCAGGACAAGCGCGCGGAGGCGAAGCTCCGCCTCGCCGTCGAGCACACCAAGCGCACATTGTCTGCGTCCCCGGGTGCGGCTACGTGCAGTGTCGAATCGCTCAAAGACGGTCTGGACTATACGGGCTCGATCAACCGCATGCGGTTCGACATGGAGGCGCGCGCGGTGTACACCGCCATCGGGCGCTCCATTTCAAAGCTACTCGAAGAGGCGGGCGTGGATGGGTACGCCGTCGATGAGGTCGTGTACGTCGGTGGTTCCGCGTGTTTGCCTGGCGTAGACGAGAGCATCGCGGACGTGTTCCGCGAAGACGTGCGCACACCGTTTAAGGCGGGCACGGTTGTCGGTGGCGGGTCGGGCGATCCGACGACGGTGCTGGCGCGGGGGTGCGCGCTGCAGGCGGAGCTGCTCACCAACATCGCGAGCGCGGGTGGGGAGAAGGTTGATGAGATCACGGGGTCGTTCGCGAGCGGGAGCGAGCACACGCAGGTGAAGACCACGAGCCGGACTATCGGCCTCCTCGTCCCCGTTGCTGCAGAGTCGGCGGAGGGTAGCATCGCGGAGCTCGGCGGTGTCTTTGTTCCCCTTGTGCGCAAGGAAACACCCCTCCCTGCACGGAGGCGCAACGTCTTCGCCTTTGCCATCTCCCCTGACAACGCAAGGGTGGGCTTTGAGCTCTGGGAAGTCGCTGAGGGCATCAAGATCGACCGGATCAAGCTCCCCGCGCCCGAGCCCGAGGAAGGCGAGGAGCCGGAGGAGGAGGAAGATGAGTACGAGGAGGTGAAGAGCGTGACACTCGCGAAGGAGAAGTACCTCGGGAGCGTAGTGCTCGAGGATGTGAAGGGCAGCAAGGAGGCGAAGGTCGAGGTGACGGTTTCTGTTAGCCAAGAAGGCAAGGTCGAGGTGAAGGCGCGGGAGGTGGCTGAGGGTGGGAAGGAGACGAGTTTGAGTGTGGGTGCTTAGGTGGATGCAGGGGCGGGTGTTGTATTCCACGGGTAGATATCGATACATTGTGACATGTACATCACGGTACTGGTAGGATAGAGTCCCTCCGAGACTTCAATCATGCTCATGCACGTTTTGCTCAGCTTATTTCTCCTATGTCCTCGTTCCACTCCTGCATAGTTGTGAGTGTCATCATTCAAACGACATACTCTCATGAGGACAACATACCTCAGGTTTCTCCTTGATAAACCGCGCCATGAGCTCCCTGCACTCCCCGTCCTGCAGCACGACCACCTCGACACCTGCGCTCCGGAGCAAGTCTTCTCCCCCGACGAAGTTGGTGTTCTCGCCGATGACAATGCGCGGAATGCGGTACAGGAGAATTGCGCCTGTGCACATGCTGCATGGACTGACCCACACACGTTCAGCTGAAGTCAAAGGCCGTGATTCAGACAATGCATGGCGATAGCGCACGTACCTCAACGTCGTATACTGTTCCCATACGCACCAACCCCCGTCGTCAGTCAACAAGCTCTCGCAATCCGCCAAGTAGATAGATGTCCATGGCGCACCATTGTACACCGCCTATACACCCCGGCACCCAACCTCCCCGCGTCCTCGAGCGCCGCGATCTCCGCGTGCAGCGTCGGCGAGCACTTTTGAATGCGCGCGTTGTGCGCCGATCCGAGCACCGCTGCTCCTGAAGATAGCGACAGTGCTGCTACACCTTCGTTTCCCTGTGGTGGCGGTTGTGATGCTGATGAGGAGTCGTTTCCGTGGAAAACTAGCGCGGCGCCGATGGGAATCCCGCCCTCGGCATAGGACTTGCGCGCTTTCGCGAGGGCGGTGGCGAGGCCGAGGCGGTCGAGCGCGGTACGAGTGTCGGATGGTGACATTAATGATACGAGCTGTGTGGAGGTTTTTTCGAATAGTTTTTGCAAGAACGGTAAGGAACAAAACGTGTGTGTGACCGCGACTGTGAGGAGAAGAGGGAAGATAGGATAGGATAGGATAGGGGCTTTGCGGGCCGGCGGGCCTGGAAGGTTTGCAAGCCATGTCGCAAAGTTCATTTTCCGGCTGCAGCCGGTCGCAATCGACTACAATTACTGTTCAGTCAGAATAATTTAATAGTATTTTATGTGATTGGGAGCACATTGCAACTGACACGGGCGATTGCAATCCACTTTGAGGAGCGTTGCAACCGCTTGCAGCTTAGACGTAATAAAATCTCAACCATAGTTGCTAAAAATACTTTAAAATCCGTGAGACCTCCGCTGCATTCCTGCCTCAATTCAATTGCAGGCTGGTTGCAAGGCACCAAAATCGGAAATGGCTGCAATCGAACTATTAAATTTGCGACAACTCAGGGCAGCAAGTTGGGGAGCTCATGAAAAATCACAAAGGACAGATTCGGGCTGTCGCTTTTTCGCCTGACGGACATTGGCTGATTAGTGGCTCAGACGATGGAACTTTTGAGGTATGGGACACGAGGACCCATCGAAAGGTCATGGGGCCGTGGGTGGGCCACGTCAACGCCGTTCGAGCTGTGCAGTACTCGCTGGATGGCAGACTCATTGCAAGTGGAGGTGATGACAATTTTCTCAGGATTTGGACTCCACGCTTTGGTACCTGCGTCGCAACAATTGAGCACCCCAAACCCATAAACTTCCTTTCTTTCTCACCTGATCGGAATCACGTCGCGACCGCGTGCGATGACTGGCTCGTTCGTGTCTATGACCTGGAAACGCACAAGCTCGTTAGCACGCTCGACGGACACCTAGGCCGCGTTCGATGCGTTCAGTACTCTCCGTGTGGCGCCTTCATTGCTAGCGTCTCTACTGATCACACCATCCGGGTCTGGGACGCCCTCACAGGAGCTCTGGTCACTGAACCTCTCCGTGGTCACAGGTCGTTTGTCTCCAGTGTATCATTCTCTTGCGACAGCCAACATCTGATCAGCTCCTCCTACGACCAGTCCATTCGAATTTGGAACGTCATGTCAGGGGTTTGTGTCATGGGACCGATGTACGGGCACAACGAGACAGTCAATGCCGTAGTGTGTTCTCCAGATCGTCAGCATTTTGCCTCCTGCAGCAGAAATGGCGTGCAGATTTGGGACATAACTAGCGGTGTTTCAATTTTTCCGCCTGTGAGTGCTAGATCTGCTCAGGTGTATATCTATTATTCAACCGTACAAGTTCGCGCCAGCGGCTACAAACGATATCATCGCCACAGAAGATTACACGTACGTCTCTACCTGACAGATTATAAGCATCAACTCTTAATGAGAATAGAATGAAAACATACTCCACGGTCCGAGCTGTAGCATGGTTCTCTGACGGTGTTCGGTTCGCGAGCGCCGGAGACGATTGCGTTACCAGGATTTGGAACTTGCAGACGTGTGAAGAGTGTGCAAGTCCACTCATGCTGCACGACGTGGATGTGAGTGATTTGGACATATCACCGAACGACGAATATCTGGCTAGTGTCGGCGGACGCCTGGTTTGCATGTGGGACCTCGATACTTACAAACTTGCCGTCGAGCCTCTTTCTAGCCAACTTGCCGATATATATACTGTCGGGTTCACACCTGACGGCGTACTCCTCATCACCGGAGGAGGAAATGCGACCATCCATATATGGGACGTGAAATCCGGCGACTTATTGCACGTTATCACACACCATAGTCATTTCTCAGGTATAAGGACGCTCAGCATTTCACCAGATGGAACTCGTATAGCCAGCGGACCCGGGTCTCGATATCACCACAATGGTGTCTGCATTTGGGACATCAGCTCACACGGAAGCGTGGGCAAGCATCTCGAACACATCGACCACGAAAGCCCGGTGTTATCGGTTTGCTTCTCGCCTGATGGTTCTCTATTGCTGACCGGTTGCTCGGATGGCACCGTCTGTATACGGAATATCTCCGAAGAAAGACAGATTTTTGTAGCCAAGCATTCAGACGAAATTGGCTGCGTACAATTTTCGAGGGATGGCTCTAAATTCCTTAGTGCGTCGAATGATGGAACAGTCCGTGTCTGGAAGGTCGGAACATGGGAGTTTCTTCACTCCTTTGATCACGCGGGAACTGGGGTCAACGCCACAGCATTCTCGCCAAATGGATCCTCGGTTTTGACTGGAGACGTCGATGGTGATTTACGTTTATGGGACGCGAACGCAGGGCAGATGATTAGGCTATCGAAGGCGAGCTTTTAGGCATGAATGACGCCAAATGACGGACAATCTGATGTTTCGTTTCTGAATGGCAGCCTCCCGTTGGTGACAAAGTCATTGCAGAAATTGGCTCATCCCGTGACAAAGTAAGTGCAGCCGTTTTCTGCAAAGATCTTTTCTTGATGCCTGGAACGGCCAGAGTCATGGGGACAAGGTAGAGGATCCGCTCGAACATGACATCACCTCGAAGGTAAGACTGGACATGGTATTCTTCCCTCGTTTTTGGCTAAAAAAATAACCAGGCAAGCGAGTCCGACCAGGAAAGTTTCATGGAGGTACAGTAAAACTCGTCAAGGTGCGATACCACCAGCTAACTATATGAGATATGACAGTGGTCTGCAATACCTGCTAGTCGGAGAGACGATAACCGAAGATCAGATACTTTCTGGGAGGGGATTGAAGAAGAAAATGTTCGTCCTTTCAATAAGTGTTTTGATACTGAGATATATAATATCTTTCCAGTATGATGCGTCTGGGAGAGACGATGTACGTGCACTGCATCAATATTCTGAACCTCGACTGACGTTGAGCTGTTACATTCACCGTTCAAGCCTGACCTTGTTGCAGGCGATGTTGGGAGTGATCCCCTCCGTGATTGCCTGAACAGGACACCAAACATGTTCCACAGAATCTGGGTTCGTACACCGTTTCCAGCAGCCTAAGCTCCGGCCCATCGGCACCCTGGAGTGATCATAATCAACTAATTTATGGCTTGAGCAGACTCGCACAGCAACTATGTTAAAAAATAATGATAAAAAAAGCAACAACAAATCAGTTAAGTTAGAGAAGCGCTCCATACACCCTATAGTCCGTGTCCGGCGCATCTTGGACATAGTATTTCCGGCATACGGCTCACCGGTATGCAAATTTGTTCCGTGATGCGCTATCCCTGCTGACAGGCAACTGGCTGTTTAGCGCATTGTGGCTGCGCGAGAAGATGTAGGCAGACGTCGCCGCAGAGACGATTCCCATATGGATGAAGACACGTCCAGCACAGACTCGGAATCGACAAGTTCAGATGAAAGAGGACAACGCGCCGCGAACGCAGGAGAAGAGGCCCACACACGACCCGGAGGACAAGCTTATGAGTCTAACACCCGCCCAAACGTAACAGATATAGAGGAGAGTGACTATCCGGCGGTCAACACGCTCTGCTGCTGCATCTGGCCTTCGGCGTTTAGTAACCTGAGACCGCGAGCTGCGCGGAGGCATGAAGGATCGGCTCCAGGGCGCCAGCAAATGAGCGCCGATCCCCCGTCAGGAGTCGCCGATTCGCCCTCTGCTCGCATGCAAGTGAGGTCTACGCATGTTCCTGACCAGACAGACACACCGTCAGCTCCTCAAACGGAATCAATACCTGTCTCTGAACATACATATCCACCTGCTGCTCACGTTCGGACGATGGAGGAGCCTTCGATCTGCATCCAAGCGCCTCGCGATTACGTCCCGCTGGCATTAAGATAGGCGAAGCAGGGATGAGGGAGCGCGGCAGTGCGTGGAGCAAGACGGAGAATTGAAAGTGTGATGGGCAGTCAGGTGGAGAAATGCATGGTCACATCAAAGTATCAGTCGTCGTGGGTCATATGAATGGATCTGAATTTGCTGTGACATCAGATACTGCAAAACTTGATGCAAACACGCGTATTGCAAGCTGGTACTGTGAAAGGAGCTAACACATTGGACAACGGATAACACGATGCTATTTGACAACTTAGTAGTATAGTGGGAAACAATTATTCAAAATCAAAATGCGTACGAGTCCGTATAGGTGTAAAAAGTCAATCATGTCACTATTTCCAGCTCACCGTCGTCTCCTGGTTCAGATCAAGTCCGAGATTACCCAGCACGAGCTCCTCCGTCTCCGGCAGATACGTGACATTACCCACATTTTGTCCCTGCACACTTACCGCGCCCGGCTTCTGCGCGACACCAAGGATGGTGACCGTCTCGAGCTTCTGCTCAATATTGTACGCGCCCTCACTCTGGATCTGCAGCTGGCCAGGGCTCGCGACGAACTTGAGCGTGCGGCTGTCTCCCGGCGGATAACTCTCCCCGTCGTCGACGTACGCGGTGCCGAACGCGCCCCCAGCCACTGAGAGGGACACGAGCAGCTCGTAGGGGCCCTGTCGAGTCTCGTACGTCGTGTATGCAGGCTCCTGGTGCAATAAGAGCGCAGAGTTGTCGCGGACGTGCACGTTGATGGTGCTGATGGGCGCTGGGAGCGTCGTGTTGCCGCCCGATGTGGCGTTCACGGCGGCGTGCGTCCACCAGTCGCGCCAGGTGACGTGGCCGCGGCCGGGGAAGACGCCTACACCAACGTATCAACTCTGTTATAAGATATCAATATGGTGAGAGGCACACACCATCAACTGTGGTAGCACCGGGCTCAAGCACGGGAGTAACAAGAATGTCGCTGCCGATGAGCCATTGCTTATCTACGGCGAACAGTTCCGGCTCGTTCGGGAATTCGTACCACAGAGCACGAACGGGCGGAGTACCGGTTGTCGAAGAGTTGGCGAAGAGGGTATACTAGCGATCGCACATCAATAGTGAATAAAGACCTCGACAAAAGGTTTAAACTCACCCAATAAGGAAGCATAGAATACCGCGCAGCAATAGCAATGCGCGAAGCATTAGCAACACTATCCCATCTGTAAGGCTCTTGCGATAGGGCAGCATATGTGTTGTGATTCCTGTAAAACGGAACGAAAGCCGACATCATCATCCAGCGGTTGCACAGCTCCTCATCTGTGTTTCCGACTAAATTCATATCGAGTTAGATATCCAACTTGGTTGTGGCGCAGTAAAGCATCGCAACGCACGGAAACCGCATGAGTCAGCACCAACCATGGGGATCTGGAAGAGCTGGAATTGAAGGATGCCCTGGATACTGTAGTACATGTACTTCCACGTGCTGAAGTTGTCGCCCAGCTAGATTCGACACCATCAAGACCTTAGCTTCATAGATCACGTCACGAAACAACCACAAAATAAAACGCACCCAATGTCCAGACCACTTGCCCGAAGACGGGAACGTCGAGCGCGAGATCAAGAACGGCCGTTTGCCCTTCAGAATCGCTTGCACAGCAATGTGCGTTGCTTTCTCCTCCATGAGTCCGAACATGTTGTGTAGGTCGAGTTCGAGGTATCCGCCATGGTGCGTCGCGTTCGTCGCGAGTGTCTTATTGTACAACGGTCCGAAAGCTGTTCGGGCGCAACTCTAGTGAGCGTCCTATATCGAGAGATTGCGGAAAATCAAAGGCATGATGAGACACGCACCGTTGTGGATACCGTACGGTGGATAGTTGACGTTAACACCAGGCTCGTCGCCCGCGCCAACACCGCGAGGTTCGAGAATAGACATTCTTTGAGGGGCAGCGGAGCCGTTCAGGCATGAGTCCGTGTTGGTGCCATTAACCGTCATGTTGCCGCTGCGACCAGAAAGTGTATCATTGTAGCTACATACCGGGTTTTTCATTCAGAGTCCGCGGCAGAGCGATAAGTGAACATATACGCACCATTCAGGCCACCCATCCATGACCTGCCTAAGCGGGTACGGCGCCAGCGCAGAAAAATTGGCGCCAGTTCCACTTGAAAAACAGGTTCAGTTCGTCCGCTCGAGCCTCCCCAGTGGAACCTGAGCGCTCACCAAGAATAGTTGCAAAACGAGCTCGGCTCATTCATGTCCAGCCAGATCCCGTCGAACGTGACACCGCCGTCGCTCCAGTTCTGAAGCGCCTGGGTCCACCACTGCTGGGTGTTTGGCGCGAGCCAGTCCGCGAAACCCTAATCATCACCGCGTTAGGGCACAGTCATGGCTTGAGGCTGAAACTCAAAGAACAACGCACGCTGTATCCAGGCCACACTTGACCCATGTAGATGGAGCCGTCGGGGTTCTTGATCCAGACGTCCCTGGGATGGTATTAAGTTCATGCTTAGATGAAGAGAAACCAGTAGCACTTACTGCTCGACACCGCTGGTGTAGGGATCGTACTACATTTGTCTGTTAGTACAGAGACGAGGCCAGTCGACGTCATAAAACTCACTACGTCCGTGTCATTCGCAGTAACCGCCACGCCCGCGTCCACAATCGGGATATCTACATCATACGCGTCAGCAATTCCGTCTCATGGAGTAAAATAGGATCTGAATACAGACAGTGCTGGTGGTTCGAAGCCTATGCAAGGAGTCGTGATGAAACATGTACCAGCAAGCGCGACGAAAGAAACGCACCAGCTCTACAATGAAATCCCGCATCTCGTCACCGGGGAAACTCACAGGGTCGGACGTGAAATCGCGGAAATCATGGTACAGATCAATGTCGTTCCACTGAGCTACATCCGAACAAAGGTCAACCATGCAATATGAGCACGCCAAAAACATCAGGACGCACTTTCAAGTGGAATATTCGCCTCCCGCATCGCGTTCACCACCTCCCTATTCTCCGACACATTATGCCATCCCCATCTTTTGAAGCAAATAAGTCTCGCTGCGTCCATCGAATGTTTCTGCATAAAAAGGCAAAGGCGGCTGCGTACCTGCACAAATGGAACCCGAACGCCCATGCGGGCTGCCACGTCGGATACCCGATCATCCCGCCGTACTGCTCCATGACGGTGGACGCCGTGGGCCCCGCGAAGAAGTAGAAGTCAAGTGTGCCGCCGACGACTCGGTATTCAATGAGCGAGACATTTGATGAGGGCGGGGTCGTGAGAATCACGTCCATGGGACTTGAGCTGAGCGCGAGATAGGGGTAGATGGATTGAGCGGGATCTGCACGCGACAGACGGGTTGAAGGGAGGGGACGTACCTAAGGAGCAAAACACCATTCGTCGACGACGTCTGCGTGCTCTCGTCGTACCGATGTTCCATGTAGATCGGGTGCGAGCCGTACCTGCCGCCCAACGACGCGTCAGCACGCGCAGAAATGCTCTGCGGAAGGTAACGTACATATTCTGGTCAATGGGATCCATCATATCGCGTCCCCAGAACGCGTGCATCGTCCCGTCTACGTCGATGTCGCGCCTGAACCCGCTGCTCGATATAACCTCGCCGAGACCATAGATATTCGCGCCCTTCGGAAGAGCCGATGCGATCTACCCAGGAGTCTTCTCGTCAGCACCTGGTGCGCCCAGGGCAAAGACGCGCAAGACGCACCTGGAGATATTGGTCCTCAAACACAAGCGGAAACGCATCCAGCGCGACGTCGTACCCTCCTGCGGGCGTCGACGGAATAGGGGTGGGCGGGGGTGGGCGGCAACGACCCTGTGCGCGTATCAAAGAGGGGCGTCGCGTCCGGCTGTGAGCGGCGCGTAATCCAGAACGCGAACGGGGAGGCGTCGTAGTTGAACTCGAGGTCCGAGGTGTTCGTGTGCGAGGTGGTGGGGGCTGCAGGGCGTTCGATGACGGAGTCGGGGATGGTGAACTGTTGGTTGGCGGCGTCGAAGATGTGTACGTGTAGTCTGGAAGAGCGTACGTATTGCGTGTAAGATGCGTCAACGCGGTAGGGTAAGGGCCTGCAGGAAGACACACCTTGACTCCGTCTCATACACGACCTCGATCGTCAAGTTCGCGATATCGTGTCCGAACGCGTTGCACGCGTCGCCTGCCAGGCTGAGTGATGCCTGAAGGCCATAATCGTTCTGGATGAGGTTCTGCAGCGTGTATCCTGTTTCCCTGGCATTTAGTCTCTCAGCATTAGGCACCTGAATAGGGGCTTACCAGGACAACCTGTAACGTTCTTCGCGAACGCCCCATTCCCGCTTGGCCCGTCTGCGTCGGTACTGAATACGCGCGCCAGGGAGGTCCTGCTGCCCCACACGGTCTGCGAGGCAGCCAAGAGAACAGAGACTATGCCCAGCGGCAACATGACGGAGATAGCAAGGTATACAACTCTTCTCCCTTTCTTCTTGCCGTACTGTTGATTGTGCGCTTGGACTACAGAGGCAGGAGAAGGGAGCGAGCTAACGTCTTCTTCGCTGGTGCTCAGCGCTTTATACGACCCAACCCTGAGGTTTGTCATCTCCATGACAGATCTCATGGCCAGACGCAATATCCGCCTCGGAGGGCGCTCCACTTGCAGTACTGAATGGAGCGGGTTGAGAGCGGTCGCTGGGCGCTCTCATAGACCATGAGCGACAGTGAACAGCTTTCTCTGATCTGGCAGGTATCAGGCCTTTGCGGAAGGTGTATTGAGAGATTTAGGAGGCGGTGTACCCAAGTCTGGTTTGCAGCTTTTGAGATACCATAGTGCACACAAGTGAAGTAGAAAGCCCCTTGAGCAGGAATAGCTCTTTAGGGCAGGTCAGAACCAAGCATCGCTTCTGGAATTGGTCCCGAAACCATCTAGCGCCACAGCAGCGTTATTGCCTCAATTTGTCTGATCGCGCCCAGTGCGCCTTCGAGGGTGGGATATATCATATGAACACCCGAGATCAGCCAAAAGAAGAGCGAGGGTTGCGTTTGTGGCAAAAACAAAACCTTAAACAAGGGAAGCAAACTCTTTAGTTAGTGGTGTATAACCGCAAGGCGTCGCTTCGCGCGAATCCAATGTGAATCGGGGGGTTAGCTCGGTGTTGGTGACTTGATGACAGACAAGAAATCTCATTTGGTGTGTGGTTGGTGAGTCAATACCATAGTTTGGAATCATAAGAATGAAGTGAGATGAGACAGGTGTCGGCGTCATGATGTCAGCGCCAACGCGTCCGGCTACTAGGCGCCGAGAACGCATTGTCGTGCGCAGCGTTATGCGATGTCCAACATGGTGTGTTTGACTCATATTCAGACTGCTTACTGCACGTTCGTAACGAGTATCGGACGAAGGCTCCATCCCGAGAAGAAGAAGAAAAGAAAGCATCCGCACACTAGTTGGGGAGCTGCTGGTGTTTGAAGCCACTGTAGTGAGCCAGTGCACTGTGTATACGTTGGGGTGCGTTTCTCCAGCTTATGTTCCGATGCATCGAGAAATCGAGGATGCAGCAGCCACAGAAGTAGATCAGTGGTTTAGAGCAAAGAAGAAGAGGGAGTGAGATTTCATGATCGCAGAAGAATAAGATCAAGATGGCCGTTCGGAGGGTGTGATGTTGTGGCGTACAATATCAGCGTGCTGTTCATCCAAGGCTATGAACGTCTAGCACCAGGAAAAACATATGACATGCTATGATTCGAGGCTATGAAGGTCTTCAGAGCGCACCTCAACCTCGGACAGAATGCTGGCCGTACCTAACCCGGGAGCGTAAACAGAGAAATTATTGTGCAGCCTGAGAGACTCGAGCAAGGGAGACGCCAGACGCGGTCTACGAAAGGAACCTCCAAGTGAAGTTCAACTATAATTAGTATTTCTCTCTGTAGAAAGGCAATCGAGACAAACACATAGGAAAATTTGAATGTACAGTATACCCAATATTCCTTCCATTAATATTACACCTGTGTGGCCGTGACGAACAGCGTGATCCGTCCACGTCCAATTGAACACACTAGCGATGCTGCGTGTGCGATATCCTCTTAGCACTGTGGGCGGACTCGAAGGATAAAGTTCATCTGCCTATCGACGTTCAAGTCGTGCTGTCGCCATTCGGCAAAGTTCCGTGGCATTTCGTCGACATCGTGAATATTTGTCCGATACGTGGTACGAATGTCTCGTTGTGTGAACAATTTCTGTTGTGGAACGTTTAGTGTAGTAAGCTGGCTGACCGGCATAAATGGAAAGATGACAGAGATCACAATTGCCGCTCGAGCAGAGTACTGCATTCGGCCGTGCTTTGGGATAGAACATTCTCCAATCGAAGTACAATCGAGAGTCCTGATGGTATATCTCTAGGGATATGCACATAATCTGTCGCAAGCGATCTATCCAACTTATCATATAGGTATATCACCCCTGGAAAAACTCGAACTTTACCAACACACACCTCACACCCGCCTCGCCGCCCCCGCCTCCTGCACCCTCCTCACCGCCTCATCCGGATCCACAAACGCCATCGAATTCTTCACCGCCAACCTCCCCGTCTCCTCATCCGCCGGGTTCTCAGCGGGTATATACCTGCGCATCACCCCGTCCACGTAGTCCGTTGGAACGCCCATTGCGAGCCCGTCGCGGATCGCATGATTCATGCGCACGATGTACTCTGCCGCGGGGTCGCTGTCCGTCGCGTCTGTGTGGTTGATGTAGACAAGCATCGGGGTATTGGACAACGGCGGGGCCGTGGCGTTTGATGAACGCGGTAATGGGGGTGATGCGTCTAAGTGGCTGGGGTATTTTGAATCTGAACTCGGACTTGGGGGAGGTGGGAGGGAAGCCCAGAAGTCGCACGGGAGCCACGCTTTCTCATACGCGATAGGCACGCCCTCGTTCACGTCGAGCGCGGCCTCGTCGGCAGGGGTGAGGTGGTATACGAGGCCCCATACCACGCCTCCAGCATCGTCCTTCTTGACTGGAGGAGGAGAGAGGGCGACGTTGGCGTAGTGCCGCGAGTTGATGAGCCAGCGGTAGCCGTTCAGCCGCGCGATTCCGAGGTAGGTCGAGTGTGGGCAGCGCCGGCGCATCTGGTCGAGCCACATATTGCTTCCGTAGCCGAAGTAGATGGAGCCTGGCGCTGGCGCAGAGGCGAGGGTGGACTGCGGGGTGAAGGGCATGGTGTCTAGTGTGGGGAAGATACGGATAGATCTCGCGCTATGTGATGAGCATATCAGCTGCAGCAGCAAGAGCAGGAGGGAGGCATAGGGAGCAGATGATGTCGTAGTAGTAGATCATGATGTTAGTGGACGCCGCAACTAGGAGCTCCTGACCAGATGTGCTTACCGACGGCTACGTGGACGGAACCAAAGCTCTTATCTGCGAGCTGGGAAATCGGGCGCTGGGGGTATAACATCCGGTCCGGCTCTCCGACGGGCGCTCGTTGCGGAGGTATCGTACGATATCATGTGCAATCCGAGGTTGTGCCTAGCAGCCAGGAGAATGCTCTGCGAGTCGTGATGGCTATACAATCCAACATAGTCAACGGAATAACCTGAACTTGCTCAGGCACATGTGGAGGCGTTCAAGATGAACCGGTTTTACGTCTGAAATATGGATGCATAAAGGCGACTATGAGGAATGATGAGACGCTATTGACTGGTGCGTGCTCTTGATGATAGGAAAAATGCGCACTTGTTCCCGACATGGAATGCTGATTATCGCACACCTTCTTTGCATTGCTCGTCCACGTAAATCTCAACGCAATCTCAACGTGCAGTTCATTTCGGACGCGTTTGCGTGGCCTGGCCACCTCCTTGCGACATTGTATCAAAGTTCTTCCCCGAGGACATGAATGTGTTGCCTGACGCCAGCCCGCAGACGCGCCCACACGCAGTCAAAAACCAGACGCTGCGACATAAGCGGGGTTGTGCCGTGTGGCCTCGTGGTCGGCAAGCTCCGAAACTCCGCCAGTTGCGGCTGCGAGGGGGGATAACGCCAGCTCTGCCCAACTGATTTTCGTGTCAGCCAATAAATCTAGTCCTTTCCTCCCACTTTCTCTTCTTCCCCTCCCCCATCGTCTCATCGCCGCACCGCCGCGTCGTCGTCGCACCACCCCTAAAAACACCCGCATCGTGTCCACCGATCTCGCTCATCCGTCTATCGATCCATCTAGCCATGTCGAACAACGTCCCCATCAACTCCCAGGGAGGCTCAGACCTCACCGCGCCCACCCCGCAGAACACCCCGCTCAACCAGGCCCCGATCGCACAGGGCCTCTCGCGCCCCACCGTGCCTGACATCTCCGAGGACGCGGAGGAGGAAGGCGACGTCGAGGGCATCAACGCCCCCGGCGTGCAGCAAGCCATGCTCGGCCTCGTCCAGGGCCGCCTCGCGGATCTCGTCGGCAAGAGCTCGGGGTACATCGAGAGTCTGCCGGTGGAGGTCAAGAAGAGCGTCGAGGCCCTCAAGGGCGTGCAGGTCAAGCAGACGGACCTGCAGAACCAGTTTAAGCGCGAGTGTCTGGAGCTGGAGAAGAAGGTATGCGTCTTTTTCGTCATTGTATTCGTCATATGTCTATTTTTTGGCGTCTTTATGTTGTCGATTATCACTTTCCTCCGCTCCCCCTTGCTTTTATATTTCTGCATTCGGGTGAGATCGGCCGGGCTCGCTGACACACCTCTCGTTATCTCTCCTCACAGTACCTCGAGCTGCAAAAGCCGCTGTACGAGCGCCGAAACGCGATCATCTCCGGCAGCTCCACCGCCACCGCCGACGAGATCGAAGCTGGCGAAGCCCAGTCGCTCAAGGACGACCCGGATTACACATCCCTGCCCAAGGACAACGGCTCGCCCGCGCCCATCCCCGAGTTCTGGCTCACCGCGCTGCGGAACCACGTCGGGCTCGCGGACCTGATCACGGAGCGCGACGCGGGCGCGCTCAAGCACCTGCTCGACGTCCGCCTGTCGTATCTGGGCGCGGAGGACCCAAAGCCGGGGTTCAAGCTGACGTTTGTATTTGAGAAGAACGAGTTCTTTGATAACGAGGTGCTCGAGAAGACGTATATGTACCAGGAGGAGGTGGGGTACTCGGGCGATTTTGTGTACGATCGTGCGATCGGGACGGAGATCAAGTGGAAGGACGATAAGGATCTAACGAAGGAGTTTGAGATTAAGAAGCAGAGGAATAAGAGTGCGTTTTTCGTTTGCTATGCTTTTTCTGAGAGCTGACGTTGGCGTTGGGGAGCAGACACGAACCGGACGCGGTTGGTGAGGAAGGCACGACCGGCAGAGTCGTTCTTCAACTTCTTCTACCCGCCGACGCCGCCGAGCGAGGATGCGATTGAGAATGGCGATATTGATGAAGATGATCTCGAGGAGATTGAGAACAAGCTCGAGATGGATTATCAGATCGGCGAGGACCTCAAGGAGAAGGTGCGGTTTCCTCTATACACCCCTATCCCGTATTTCGCAAAGGTCTTACGGTACTCCCGTGTCATTTCTAGATCATCCCCAGAGCAGTCGACTACTTTACGGGCAAGGCGCTCGAGTACGACATGCTGGAGGAGGAAGACGACGAGTTTGACGAGATCGAGGAAGAGGACGACGACGACGACGGGTTCGAGGACGAGGTATGAGCTGCTTGTTCTCCTAGTACGCCCCTGGCGACACTTTTGTTGGGGGATATGTGCTAATTGACTGCTTCTCTTTTTCCCTTCTTTTCTCACCCGCTCGCATCTGCCTTTGGCGGCGGTGGCGGGGTTACAGGACTCGGAGGAAGAGCTGCCGAGGAGGCGGGGTCCGCCAAAAGGGCGTGGTGGTGGCGCGGGTGCGGTGAACCCCGAGGAGTGCAAGCAGCAGTAGACGGATGGCGGTGACGGTTGAGATCGACGAAGACGAGGTCGTCCCGACTATATCTGTTTTCTCCTTGTGATACGGTGTATCGTGCTCATCTAAGAACTGGTGTTTCTCCCTCTTCCTACTTCCTCCCTTGCCGTTTCTTGACGCTTCTCTTCTCCTCTACTCCGTTTCAAACCTTTCGCTTATGCTCACTTGACGCAATTCTGGGGCTGGGGTGTTATCGTGATCGCACAGTGCCGTTGGCCGTTTTGTTGTTTGTTTGTTCCCAAAAATCCCATGTATCGGAGAAGAGATGAGTCGAGATTTAGCCTCCCCTCTTAAGTTGATAGGTTTCTGCATGTTTTGAACGGTTTTGTGTGTCGTGTACTTTACGAGTACATAATAATCGAGATATGTGTTGAAGGTGCCTGTGAGGATTGGGTGTGATGGGTGACGTCACGCATAGAAGCCTGCCTTTGTGTGGTGTTTATGTTTCAATCGCGTAGTATTTCGGTTGTACATAAAAATTCAGTGATAAAAAACGAACTGGGTAGGATGCGTTGATTGTCGATCCCATTGATTGAGACTTTGCAGCCGCCGAAAAAGCGGAAAGGAGGCACCGTAGCGGAGGCAAAGAGGCGCACTGCTGTGGCTGCGCAAAGTCACGGGTTGAGCCGAGAACGCGTCGCGATTGGCTGACTGGATGTTTTCTCGCGGTCCACATCGTCAGCCATTTCCGTTTACCCCTGCCCACCCAGCGCGCCCCAAACTCAACTTGCCTATAGCGCGGTCCACCGTCGTCGTCGTCGGAGTCGCGCTCATCGATGGTCCATTCGACGTATAGCGAGCTTGCGAATTGGGATGGGAGGTTGTCGGTGGCGGTGGGTAGGGCTAGGGATGGGGACAAGGGGAAGGGGGAGAATGTGGGTAAGAGCGAGATAGAGGAGGGGCGGCGCTCTAGGCCGGTCAATGTTGGTTTGCTGGGGGGTTCGTCTTCGTCCAAGTACACTTTGCTCAACAGTGAGGAGGGGGAGGGGGAGGATGATATCGTGGAGGTGGTAGCGGTTGACGACGCGGGTGCAGATGAACGCGCTGCTGAAAAGGTGCGTCGGACGCGTCTGTTGTGGAATCAAAACTGATCGACGCTTTTGTCCCTTTTCGCTGGTTCGCGTTGGGTAGCGCGGGACGATGAGGTCTAGGCGTGAGGAGAACGCGTTGATCAGTGTGCTGCTTAGTCCTGCGCGGTCGCAGGCGCAGACGGAGGGCGGTGGCGGTTCGCAGGCCCCTGCCAACAGTGTAAGTCGCCGCTCTCCGCCCTTTTTTTCTTTCTCTCTTCTTCGTTTTCCTTCTTTCTGGCGTTTGCTGATGCGGCCTCTAGAGCGACACCATGCATACGCCCAAGAAGCCCTCGTCCCTATCGCGCATCGACACGCACACAATCCAACCGACGATGTCCTTTCAATCGGCCGGACGCGACGCGTCCTCGCCCATCGTCATCTCCTCGTCGGCGGAGGCGTCGCCTGTTCTCGGGCCGTCCTCCGCTACCGCACGGGAGGCGTCAGTGCAGATACTCGACGGGACGACGGGGACGATGTCAGACGGGCGGCACAGCGAGAGCGATGAGATGGCGGTCGACGATATGCTCGTTCTCGTGCGTCCGTTCTCTCTACATCGCATCGCGGTGTTCATGTGTATCGTCTAACTATGTGGCGCTATCAGGACCCGACAACGCCGAGCGAGCCGGAGGATGTGCTCGAAGTGCAGCTCACGCCCAAGTCTCGCTCGAGCCCGGTGAAGAGCGCGCCTAGGAGGCGGAACGTCGTTCTTTCTCCGTCGGCGACGCCTTCGCTGCGCTCGTCGCCCCCGCTCGACAAGCACGCGCCGCTGTTCTCGCCTAGCCCCTCACCGGTGCCTTCTTCTCCTCCCGTTCTCCACGCCAAGTCCCGACCGCGGCCCCGATTCCCTCCCCTTCCATTATCATCGTCATCACACTCCAAGCCGGCGCCGGCGAAAGCGAAGAAGCTGCATACTCAGTCTCACGTAATCATAAAACACCCGCGCTACGGCCCGCGCAAGCGCAAGCGCCTCCCGACGCTCTCGCACGTCGCTGTGCCGCCCTTTCCAAGCGGACTGACGAAGGCGGACTATGCGCCTGCGTCGCAGGCGTTTCTCGAAAAGGTCGCGAGGGCGGGGCTTGCAGGCGGTCGGAGTCGCGGGCCGCAGCAGTTTACGAGTATGGCGGACGCGCTCGTTATGTCGCTGGAGAATAACGCGAGCTTGGCGAGGAGCGATAAGGGGAAGGGGAAGCAGAAGGCGAGGGACGGGGTGGGGGTAGGGAAGAAGCGGAGGGATGTTATTGTCATCGACGATGATGACGAGGACGAGGATTACGTGGGCGGGGCGGGCCCGAGCGCGCCGAAGAAGAGGAAGATGGCGAATTCGAGCCCGGGTGGGCATGTCGGTACGAGCGCGAGTGCTAGTACCAGTGCCGCTGGAAGAGTGCCGCAGCAGAAGACGAAGGCGTCAGGCGCTCAGCCGCGCAAGCGCGGGCGTCCGCCGAAGCTGCCGCCCGAGTCGAGGTTCTCTCGTGCCTACCATGCCCCGGACATCCACTTTGAACTCGACCCGTACTCTGCGCTCGCCGTGGGCCACCCGGCGCCGCCACTACTCGCATCTCCCTCTCGGCCCCCCAACCGTTCTTCGCCGACAGCACCTGTCTGCTCCACACCACCCCCACCGCCCATCGCAGCCCCGCCATTCCCTGCTCCTGCGAGCCCGGAGCTGCCGCTCGACAAGAAACAGCGCCGCGCGAACGCGCTCATGGATAAACACTTTCCGCCGCTGGTCGAGTTCGCGACGGACGCGCTGGAGGGCGAGCTGATCGTTCCGGAGTACGTCGTCGCTGCGAATCTGAGGTATCTGCGCCGCGAGAAGGCGCGGATACGGCCTGCGCGTGGTAGGGGGCTGGGCGCGGTGTGGGAGGCGGGGATGGGCATGGGGTTGGGGTTGGGCATGGAGGATGGGGTGGAGGAGGGCGAGATTGTGCCGCAGTGGCAGCGGTGGGAGGAGAGGAGGGGGGTATGGGCGAGGGCGGCGTGGGATAGGGTGAGGCTGCCTAAGGAGGAGGAGGAGGTGTCGGCGCCCCAGGCGGAGGAGCAAGAGGAGCCGCCGGTGGGACATACACACCCGCACCGACCTCCACAACCACACATGCACGCGCACCTGCACGGTGCGCCTGAAGCAGAAGAAGACAGTATGGACGCGTACATCGACACGGGCGCGCTGGCGTCTGACTCGCCGCTCAAGAGCCTGCCGTCGTCCGCGTCGTCGCGCGAGCGGGTGGGCCTCGGACTGCTCTCGACGTCGGCGCCGCCGTACCCGCCTCCCCATCCTGAGCATGCGCATCCGCGCGAGATGAGGAGGTTCTCGTTGGATCCGATGCTTAGGCTTGCGAGTCCGCATCCGCTGGATGTGGGGCTGGGAGGTGGCTTTTTCGGGGTCGGGTCGGCTGGTTTGGGTGGTGTGCCGTCTATGGGCATGGATATCACGATGACCATGGGGGACGTCGAGCGCCGATTTGATGACTCGCGCATGCCTTTCGATGCGGAGGGCTCGACGATGGCGGAGCTTAGCGCATGGGATCCTTCGCCCGGCGGTCCTTCTGGTTCCGGCGCTGGCTCGGGTCTTGGACACAGCGACGACATGCCCAGCGGCGGTATCGGCGCTGGCACGGGTGTGGACTCGAGAGGAACGACGATCGACCCGTCCCTGCTCGGCGGGGACCGCCATTCATCCCAGACGCGGTCGTCCGTCTTGACGCGCGCACCCCTCCCAGACGCATCGTCGTCTTCCTCTGCACCGGCGCACCCCCGCGCCGGCTCGTCGTCGACGAGTGCGCCCGCGGTCGTGTACCTGCGCCGCCCGTCTGGGATGGACGTTGCTCGCAACGGGCGCCCGTTGTCGTTCGGGAAAGGGCCGTTTGGGCCAAACGTGAAGGTCAGGTATCGCGATCCCGATCCTGATCCGGAGGTGTCGTCGTCTCCCCCGCCACAGCCGCCGTTGCAGCTTCAGCACGGTACGCAGTTCGGAGGCGGGCCCAGCGGCGAGGACGATAAGGGCGATGAAGACCTGGACATCGACGTGATGGCTATGGATATCGGTCCGATTCCGGAGCCGGAGGACGACGGGGAGTATGTTCCGCCCACGCCCAAGCCCAAGCCCAGTCCGGGGAAGCGCGCTGGGAAGCGGTCGGAGTCGGGCAAGGGCACGGGTAGGGGTGGGGATGAGGACGAGTACGCGGAAGGAGCGGACAGGGAGGGCGCTGCGCCGAGGAGGAAGAGGAAGCCGTCGATGAAGATCAAGCTTGCTATGGCATCTGCCGTGTTCGACGATGAGGACGGCGAGGACGGGGAAGAGTGGGTTAGGGACGAGACGAGCGGGAGTGTGGCGAAGGTCGGTCCGCCCAAGGGTGTGAAGAGGGCCAAGGCGAAGGGTAAGGGAAAGGCGGTAGATCAGGACCCAGGCTCGAGCACGGGCGCGAAGGGTACGAAGGCCCTGAAGAAGACGAAGACGAATGAAGACTATAGCGGCAATCCGTTGACGTATTGTCACCAGTGCCGCAATAAGACGAATCGACCGAAGATGGCGTGCGCTGGGATCGACGGGGGAGTGTGTAATCGGCTGTGGTGTATTCGTTGTTTGGAGTTTCGGTAAGCCACCTCTTCGCTTTTCCATGCATCGGTGCCAGTGCGCGGAGTGTCGGCTGACAATTTTTATTCACTGCATCCCTCCAGGTACCCCGAGGTCGAGTTTGACACAGCCCGCACCGACTTCGTCTGTCCAGCCTGCTCGAGCTCGTGCAACTGCTCTGCCTGCGCGCCTCGGCGCGGCGAAGCCTTCATCTCGATGGAGTATCGCCTCATCGACGGCGAATGGCGGCACCGGGCGCACAATACGCTCCCTGGCGAGGTGCTCCCCGCGTACTCAAAGCCAAAACCACAGCCGCGCGTCAAGCAGGTGTCCATCCCCCACACCCATTCTCGTTCCCAGTCGCAGTCACAGTCTCAATCGCAGTCGCAGTTAAAGACACTGAGAACCCGCCGCCGCGCGACTCTCTCGCCCTCGCCGACTCCGCCACCCGCGTTCATGCCGACATCGGAGCCGGCGTCGATGTACTTTGGCGCGGTGTACAATGCGACGACCGGTGAGCGCATGGGCACTGCGTTTGGGAATAAGGCGCGGGACAGGGTAACGCTGGACCGGCGGTCGGAGGACGACCGTGCGTATTATGACTATGGGCGGCCGAGGAGACGCGTTTTCGTTGGCGAGGTGATTCCGTGGTGGCAGATTAAGCCGGAGAGCGTGAGGTGGTTGGAGAAGGCAGAGGAGGATGAGGTGTTGGGTTTCGATGCGCCTGTGGAGCGGCGAGAGGGAGGTGGGAGGGCGGGTGAGGCCAATGCGTTCAAGGAAACTACTGGGCTTGGAGAAGAGGTCAACGCTGCCGTTGCGCTGGTCATCGACGCTCCTGTCGACCATGTCGAAGCTGAGCACGCCGTGCCCAAGAACCTCGAACATGGAGAACAGGTCGCTACCACCGCCAACGCCGAACCAAATCCCTCTCTTGTCGCTAATGCTGATCTGGATACCTCTCGCGCCGCTACCAACTCGAACCCTCCTCCGGCCCGCCCCCAGCGCCGCCGACGCATATATGTAGGAAACCCTGCCTCTCTGCGAGAGCCTTACATGTCCATGGATACCTACATTACGTCGCGACTCGCTGCTGCTGCCGCCATAGCATCCGCCGCCCCATCTACCTCTGTTGCTGGAGCTAGCTCGCGCCGACCATCGACTCCACACGTGTCTCACCATGAATCCGACCTTGACGCCGACGGCGAGACAGACGACGGCGAGGACCTTGCCGATCCTGACTTCCGCGTACCTTCGACTCCATCGAAGAAGAACTCGAACGGTGTGCACAACAGCAGCTCGCTGTCGCCGTTGTCCTCGCTCGCAGACGGCGACGGGGATGACAAGGAGGATGAAGGCGCGGATGAGGACTGGCCGCAGCCCGCGGTAGGCGAAGGCGTCGCTTGGGAGCCGGGGAGGAGCATGAGTATTCCTCAGAGTGCGCATGAGGGGACACCAGGGTTGACTCTGCCGCCTCCACCTCCGCCTGCTGCCGCACCTGCGTCTGAGACTCCGTCGGTCGAAGATCCGTCTGCAAGTATGTCAACGCTGGCGCCTCCGTCCCCTGACCACGCTCAGGAGAGCGGTGTTTCGATCGCTGATGAGCTGATAGAGCCTCTTCAAGATGTCCAGATCTTCGATATCATGGAGCAGGAAATGCCGTCGCAGGATGGCCCCCCTTTCGCGGACGTGCCATTGCAGATGACCGACTTGATCAAGCAGGCCATGGCGGCGGTAGGAGCAGCCTTAGATGCGGGCGCGTCGTGAGCGCACGTAATATACTCTTGTCAACAGCCTGATCATCGTTTGGTTCTCTGCCAATTGGTGATCACCTTACCTTTGCCGATTTATGACCCTGGTTTTGACTTGGCTTCGTTTGGTTTCGGTAGACTCTCCATCGTATGGATCTTATCACTTGCATTTTCACGAGTTTGATTTTTGTTCGAGTGATCTTTTGTTTCGTGTTGTTGGATACATATGCTACCTTTTCTCATTTTGATCTACTTTAAACATCCCTTTTGACCTGATTTCTTCTGAGACGAGGATACAATAGCTAGTTAGTCATACTTACACCGCTCACACAAAATAATTGACCTTTGTCCAGTTCTCTTTGCTCGTGCTCCAGGTTCGCCTGAGAATGTGTTTGAGTTTCGGCTTCGGTCAGCTTCGGCCTCGGTGTCGATGAACGTTAACCTGACAAAGACGACTGGTGACGTCAAGCTATTCCCATGGCGTTTATAAACCCCTGAGTTCCGTCCACTGGCGCTTCCCAAGCATCCCTCGACGGCAGCTCTTCATCAACCTGTTCATTACTGTTAATTGCATCGCAATGGCTGATGCACAAGATATTCTCGCTGGTGTCGATGCGCTTGTCTTTGATGCGTTCGGTACTACGGTCGATTGGTACACCACGCTGACAAGGGAGATACCACCGCGAAGCCATGGTATACTTACGGAAGGTTCGTGGAGACGATTGTTCCATTATCTTTGGAAGCTAAGTCCGTGTGCAGGCACCCAGGACACGCATGACTTCGTGTATGAATGGAGACAAGGATACCTAACAAACACGTGGGTATGCTAGGCTGTTTAAGGTTCACAATGGAACTGACATGTGCGCTCGAGTGCACAGGGCAAAGATCGCAAAGGGGGAGATGGGCATGATTCCTACGGATGCTCTGCATCGACAGGCACGTCTCATGTTGCGCACCGATGGACACAAAGTTAATTCACAAGGTTACGCTTAGCTACTCGACGTTATGCTTGCGAGCGAGCGCTGGAGGAAGCTTGCGGATGTATGGGGAGATGAGGAAAGAGCTCAGCTAACGATGCTTTGGCATTCTCTAGATGGTAGGCACCGTATTCAGTCCGAATCGTCGAGGTCGTGAAAGCGCTCAAATGTGATGTGCAACCTTGGTAGGGTACTCGGACGTTTCGCATGGGCTACGAGAACTTGGCAAGCACAAGTTGGTCGTGACGCTATCCAATGGTAATGCGAGACTTTTGATGGACATGGCAGGTCTCAGTTGCATGAGGCTGCAGAAGTGTCGGAGCACTAATGTTCGAGTAGGCAAAGCACGCTGATCTGAAGTGGGACGCACTTTTCTCGACCGAGTTCTATGGCGCGTACAAGCCGTACGTTCACCCACTCCTTTCGTGGTTTCATCTACCACTCAATGACAAATATTCTGACGAGTTTGTGTAGGAACGTCGAAGTTTATAGCAAGACAGCCTACCACCTCTCCCTCGACCCGAACAAGATCGCGATGGTAGCTGCGCACATCTGGGATTTGCGCGCCGCGGCCCAAGCAGGGTTCAAGACGGTGTACGTGTCCCGTCCAGCGGAAGATACGCCTGAGATTAAGGCGAGCTTGAAGACGAAGAAAGACGGCGGGGAAGTGGATGTCATTGTGGGATCATTCGGCGAGCTCGCGGAGTTGGTGGAAAAGAATGCGATCTAGAACTTTGATGGTCTGCATGATACAACCAGATTCATCGTCATGGATTCCTGGATTCCTGAAACGCCATAAGAGCGCCGATGAGAACCTCCGTTGAAATTTAACTTTCCAAACGATGGATCGCTTTTTTATGAGTGTAATGGAGATATGGCAGAGTGACTAGAATTGGCGTGGATAGGGATATATGATAGCACAGCATTTTGGATAGGGACATTGCTGTGCCTGTTCAATAGCTTCCTTGGCTCAGCTGGTTAGAGCGCTGGTCTCATAGTGACTATGAGGTTGCAAAGGTAACCGTAATCCAGAGGTCGCCAGTTCGATCCTGGCAGGGAGCAAGTTTTTTGTCATCCCTTCTTATCTTGTACCTATTTACATGGCCGCAATGATTGGATCGTGGCTTAGATCACTTTGTTCAAGCATTCTCGATAAAGAGATTCAGAAGTTCCCTCGCCTCGATAGTTTAATCAAGGCAAATATCATCCGGCCATGGCATGTGCTTCTCGAGCTCCGTCCTTGTTGCGTCAAGCTTACTCTTCACCATGTCCAATGTAAACTTGTGAAGGGGAAGGCGAAGAGGCGGATCGTCCAGTTGCGCAAGCTTGTCCATCGCCTCGGCTGCTTTGTACGGGTCGCCGTCTGAGAACGCCTCATCTGCGCAAACATTGAAGAGCTCGCCTGCCATGACCCATGTTTGGGTCGGCGTATGCTGGGTGCGAGGGAACATATTTTATTTTGGTGTCCATGATATTTGAACGGAATGGACCATGCTCTACGATTGTGACCTGAGAATGGCCCTATCAGCCGAATTTTTTGATGGAAGAAGAAATTTGGAACCTTGATATTCCAAGCAGGATCAACTTCTTCCACGGTCTGCTTCGCTTAGGCCTCCGCTATAGTTTCATTCGATTATAGGTTAACAACGCGAGCTTCCTAGAGATCACAAACTGATCAAGTTTACTTAGACAGTAGTTAGTTTCTTAAAACATCGCAGACATCGCTACACGTACGTTGCAGTATAGTAACCAAACCCTAGCTCAGCCTAGACTCCAAGGCAAGACGAGACCTGTATCAGACGTCCTCCGGTTGGTTTGTTCACCTCACGAAAGAACTTGAGTGCTCCGCGAGTAGCGTATGTGCAGCGAAAGTGTGGCATGGCAATATTGACGCGAACGCCACTCTACTACAGGTACCGTACTGTAAGCCGAAACTAGTGTTGCATAGCCAAAAGGTTGAATAGCCAAAAGGTTGACTTGGTAGTGCTCTGTTATTTCAGCGAGCGCTACTAAGTAGTACTACTACAGCATGCCCTACGGACCGTCTCCGCACTTGGGAAAATCACCACGCCCACCTGGCCCTTTGCGAATCAATAAATAGCCTCATGGACACATGTACTCGTACATGATGTTGGTAGCAATGATTTTGACAGCATCCCATTAATTCCGGCTGCTCGCAGGTTAAAATCTAGGGCCTTTGTCTGGCGCCCACTCCTGGGGTAGAAACAGATCCGCGTGCGCGACACCCGTGGTGCGAATCCAGAATGACCCGTCCATGAACTTGACCTGCTCCAAAGCTATTGTTAACGTCCGGACTCGGCGGCGATCAATTTGACAAAACACTCAGCGCTGCAAACACTTACCCGGTTGCATCTGCACCAACCCGACCAGCACAATCACTCAAGTTGAGCTATGCGCAATCACCATCCACTTTGTTATTCCAACCCAACAATCTTTCCTTGTGCGTGCAAGCGGCCCGCTCGGCCACTCACGCGATATCCGGCTATAGAAACGACATGGACGTCCTATAATTATCGACACCGCGCGTGTGAGGTCCTCGCCCATCGCAGAACACAAACAATGATAAGTGCTATGATTAGCTCACAGACCTTACCGTGATTATCGCGTTGGCACAGACGCATCATCCTCCGCGAATCTCGCACGACGCCCATTCCCACATTTCGGAATTGCCTTGCAGTATGTAAGCCTGCCGCATGCGTGCTCGTTTCTCCCCATATGACTAGTGTTGCCGCGATTCGAGTTCGATTCGAGTTCGAGTTCCGAAAGCGGTAGCTTGATGTCAACTCAACTCGATCAACTCGAGGCAACTCGAACGGGATCCCCATATGGGACGCCTGGGTTGTTGCTTGTAAATGATCCGAAACTGTGTTTCTATTGATATAGCTGTGGTAGAGAAAGCTTGGAACAGCCTTGTAAATTAGCGGCTCGGCGTCAGCCATTCCTTTTCTTTGCGGGCCTCTCGAGTTCGAGCCGATCTCCCCGTCTTTTCTCATGAAATTTAACAACTCACAGCTCCGCACATGAGAGAGCAGTGCTTCGTCACTGTATTTAAGCATCATTGATTGCTTTAGCTACATTACCTAGTTCGATTGCGGCACACCAATTGTCGTGAATATCGTTCGAAAGAGCGCACCGCAAAACCTGGAAGCGAGGCGGCAAAATCCGGTGTCAACTCAAGTGCGGCTCGATGCTCCTCAGTTGCCCGTTTTGGCGTGACAGCTCGACTCGGACTCAGCTCAACTCAAAGTCAACTCGAATCGCGGCAACACTACATATGACATCGGCATGCTCGCAGATTGGACAGCATACAGTAACATTGCTATTCACTCCGTATGCAACTCGGCATCGCACGAAATCATCCCTGTGGCGTCTGGCATTCTCCGCAACCGTAACATGAAGCGAACTTCGGCGACTTGATAGCATGCCTTAAGTAGGCCATCTAGACATGGAAGAACATAGGACTTACGTTCAGCACTTACGGCGCAAATGCGCCCTTGCATCTACCATTCACGTCCGGATACCTCCGCCGAGAGCAATATCGTGGCTCCGAAGTTCGAAGCACATAAATTAAACCTACAGAAGCAGCCCGCCTTCTCGCGCTTCGCCAGGTCCAATGCAGGGAAGCACCCCACAATCCTGAGATAGACGCGAAGATACGACGAACATTCTCCCCCCGACCAATAGCACAGACACACACATGGCACATGGCACACGCAATGGGCACAACATACACGCGCTTCTGATTGACTACGAACGTCAAACCATCCGCGAGTAGCAACTACAAGGTGGTACACATTGTGGCCAAATAAAAGAAAAGGAAAAAAAAGTGGCGTGTGCAAGATGAGTGCAGCGCGAATGAACAAGAGGCAGTGGATGCGAACACTGGTGGCTGGGGGTAAAAAGGGTAAAGGGGTAGCCATTATACGGGGAATAGTAGAAGGTATAGAGGGGAATCAAGCACGAAAGGAAGAAGAAGCCTATCTCATCTCATCTCGATGGTATCCGACTTTTTGTAGTCGCCGTGGACCCAGCTGTCCCTGCGTGTAGTGGAGGGACAATGCATGGACACGGAGAAAGGCAAGCGAACGAACGAACGATCAAATAAACGAACGAACGAGCAAGCTCAGTCGACGCGACGCTGCGGGATACCACCGAGCGGCAGCCCGAACCACGACTCGGCGGGGGTGAGAAGCTCAGACAGGCCGCAGTAATACGCCGCGAGCGCGGCGATGATGCCGAATCCGCCGCCGGCCTTGGTGACCGTCACGCTACCGTTGAACGAGCCGATGGCGAGGAAGAGGAAGGCGAGGTCGAGCGTGAAGAAGAGGAAGATGAACCCGAAGTTGCGGCGGAGCGCGGCGATCCTGTACGGGACGCACGCACAAGCGGTCAGTCAGTTTTTGTTGAAGCGGATATCAGGGTGATGCGACGTACAGGAGCAGCGAGGTGACGATGAACCAGGTCATGAGGTAGATGCCGACGGCCTGGTCAAACTCGTCTTTGCTGGTGTAGGCGACCGAGATACCGGAGCCGGGGACGAAGAGGGCGGCGTACGACATCCAGAAGACGCCATAGGATGAGAACGCTGCGCGGCAAAACAGATAACACGTCAGCTTTCTCCGTTCCTCCATTCATTTTCCCAACCAGAGGCCAAAAATAAACAGGGTATTGGATTAGAAGGAAAGAAAGAAAAGACATAGAAGGAATCGACGCGAATGGCAAGCCGCAGGTTCAGGGCATCACCACACAGCCGCCCGCTGCGGGCTTCTGCATCATGCAAAGCTCTGCATTCTGCGTTTTGCGTTGCGGGGCCCAGGGCACCAGAACAGAATTGAGTTTCGCCGCTGGGCGCCATCCCCATATCCGCCGACGCCAAACCCGAATGGGAACGATCACATGACCCGAAACCCCGCGTCCGAACCAGCCGCTCGGTGTCCGGCTGATTCGTAATCGCGACTACCCCAGACCGCACAACAAGGTCCGTTCCCCATGATCAGGGACACAATGCGCGCGCCGGTGGCGCATTGTGGGTGAGACACCCCACATTGCGTCCACCGCGAGATGGCCGGTGCCCGCGCGCCGCATTGCGCGAGACGACAGGGAAAATGGAGAAGTGATGCGAACGGATGACGGGGATGATGACAGAGACGAGGGAAGAGGAAGGGGAAGGGCTAAATCCGAAGAGACGTCGACGTGAACAGGAACGTACCAGTGCCACCGAACGTGTTGCCGCGGGGGAACTCCCACATGCCGGCGAGCAGCTGGGCGAGGCCACCGCAGAAGATGGCCATGCCGACGACGACGTTGGGTGTGTTGATGCCCCGCGCATTGACGTTGTAGAGCGAGAGGATGAACGTCGTCGATGCGAACGAGAACAGGCCCCTGTGTAGCGCGATGACGAGCGCAGCAGCGAGGAAAGATGTGAATATGAGTGAGTGACGCGTGCCTTGCGGTGCTTCTCATGGAGTGGGGTAGATGACGAAGCAGAATTTTTGCTTACAGGGCACCGGGGTTGGCTATTCTCGTCGGGCGGGGGGCGAAGGGCCCGGTGTAGTCGTAGTTGTTGACCAGGTTGCTGCGTGCAGCGGTGGTGGTGGCAGGACCAGCGCCGGCAGCGGTGTCGTTAACCTGGGTGGTTTGACCTTTCTCGATGTCGGACATGGCTTTGGCTTTCTTTCACAGTAGTTGGAGGATGAGAGCAAGGAAGGGTAGCCTGTGACTGTGAGGGGGCACGAAGCAGAGGGCGAATCGAGTCCGGGAAGAAACCTGGGTGACGCTCGCTCGTCTGAGGTTTATATTCCGTCCGATTGTGACCTCCCGAAAAGAGCAAAAAAAGAAGTCGGCTGACTTGTGAATGGAATTATATACGATGACATGGGGTTGTGGCTGTCAATCTCTGCATGCCTCCAGATTCCCTCTGAATCCGCCCGGGCCAGATCTCACAAATTCAGATCTCCCACCGAAGTAAACAAGGTTTTTTCATATTCATAATTATGTACGCCTGTTTATCCCCTTTCAAGATGCAGGTGGCGTCCCCGCAGCCCATGGCCAATTGCGACACGTTCTTCCATGCACACTTTTAGTCCTCGAACGCGTTTTGGGCGTTATCAGCATACCATGTCCTGCACCATCGCACGTTCCTCACCCCGCTTCAGTTTCACCTAACTTTGAGCGCGTCTAGAGTGTGATTTAGGTGAGAAGATATAGGAAAATAAACTCTGCGTAAACGGGGATGGCGCGGCCAAGTTGGTTGCCCGCCATCAAAAATCAAAGGCCCATCAGTAGTGTTGCCGCATTTGGCGAACTGGCTGGAACCAAGCCGAAGAAACTTGTGCTTGCACTTGTCATCAGTCCAGATAACACACCTCGTCGCTGCGTAGAGACTAAAAACCGCGAAGATTAACACTTGCTTGGTCGGTATTGTGACAAGAAAGTGTGTTTCAAGGAGTCGGTTTGAGCTGGTTTCCCGAACCGCGGCAACACTACCCATCAGAGCGCGTCGGGTGGATGCATCTGGATCAGCGCGCGCCAGCTCCGGTCCAAGCGGTGTGCATCGCGGGCAAACAACCAGTCGACAGGAACGCAAGGGGCGCGCGTCGGCTCGTTCCTCTCAACCGTTCTCAACCTCCCATTCGTTTCTCGTGCCTTTCAAGCTGCCTTTGCCATTGGCGCAGATGTTCCATACTACACGGACCTGCTGTATTCACGCCAATGCCCTACGAGCGCATGGCGTTCATGCGTTCTTCGGACCCGATTGCTCACCGAACTCCAAATCACCTCTGTATCACCAGCTCACGTACATGGGCATGCACGTATCACATCGCACGCGAATAATCGATGCGTGAGCGCCTCGTCTTCTACAGTACTAGGAGCTCAAACGCACACGGTTGACAAGCGCAATATAATACGCCTTGCGGACTGCATCACTGGCAAACACTTCCCCGACGTCTGCCTGACACAGCCTGACACGCAGGCAAAATAGTTCTACCAGCGTTCTGCCAAGCTCAGATCGGGGTTCAGCATGTCAGGAATCAGGATGCAATTGTGCCCTTCCCGGAGCCTGTTGATCGGATGACCTGCCAGTGGCGGTGATGCATCAATTCCAATGACGTGAGCGGCGGCAACCCAAAAACCCGCTGATCCATCGTGTCTGCTTGTTTCGGAGATGCTCGTCCACGGAGAGGTCCGTGGCGTTCGCAGGTATGCCAGTTTGTTATTGTGTTCGACCGCCCGTGCATTACTGTAGGAGGGACTGTGATCACCGAGGAGGCGAACTTCATCTTCGTGATCATGCTAGGAGGAAATTCTAGCGCGGCGGTAGCTTTCCATCATGGGCACGCTGCGTTTATGGCTTCATCAAGTGCCGTTCATTTGACCCGTCTCAGAAAGTAAACGTCTAAACGCTCGCGCACCACGGCCTCGTGCTCGTGCACAATTGTTATGCCCTTTTCCTCGTCTGGACGTCCGCAGACTAAACAACCTACCGACGTCAAATCGTATACGGCAGTCCCGCTCCAAGATTTTGCTTAATGGATGGCAGAAAACTACCCGGCCCGCGGGTAGACCGGAGTCCAATGCCCTCTCACATCGGCCTCAGTGTACGACAGGACCCGCCAGAACGGGGTGCTGCCTCACGCGAATAACCTCCTTCAGTGTTCGGGGCGTTGGCGCGAGCCTTGTTGCTCCGGCAAGGGCGACGTCATGCACCAGCAGAGCTGCGGTGTCGTCGCATTTTGAGGCGCTCGGTGGGATTTTTTGCTCTCTCCACTTGCTTACATATAAGTTCCTGTTCCACAGGTATGGAGACTATTTCGGCTTCGCAGAAAAATGATCCACTTCATTTGGAGAATCTTAATATAGGCAGGCGACATGCGAGGCCGTCGCAGGAGCGTTCGCCTTCTGAACATCTTCAAATGGGGTGAAACTGCGAAGCATGAATACCTGGAGCGATAGAGCATAGTATCATTACCGAGAATAGACGGGCGAGCTCTATGGTAGGTCAAGTCCGGTGCGTCAGGTACCTTATCCAATGTCGATGTCAGACGCCGTATCTTATTCCCCGCCTTCTACGTCTGAACCTTCGAGCCGTACGGTCATAGAGATCCGGATATGATTTCGGCGGCAGACGCGGGTTGATAGTGCCCCAGTTTGCACGATAGCGCATGAAGACGAGCCCTCACATCTGTCAGAGACCCGGTTTGTGAGTGATAAACACAGAGAGATGGCCGGTAGACCGGATACGTACGATCCATATCCATACTCTCTCGATAGCGTTTCTCGATTTAGGTTCGTCATACCTGCCCACAAAGTTCCATCAGCACCCAATCCCAAACGAGACACAGAGAAAAGAACTACGAGCGAGCCGCGAGAATGAGGGAGAATCAAAAGAAAAACACCCACGTGAGAGCATCGATCTCCGCGAGGTCGCTCACAAAGTCCATATCCCGAGCGCGCACAAACGTCGTCTTGCGCACAACCTTGCACCCTATCCAGAGAATCGGGTACAGCACAATGGGCAGGTAGTTCGTCACGAACGTCGCCGCGTTCCAGCCGCCCGTGAGGAACACCTCGTACCCGCTGAACTGCACGCGCGCCGTCAGCACCGCTCTGCTACATGTCCCTCGGGAACGGGCGCGCAGAGAAACACGCACGATCATGGACAGCACACACCCGATGACGACCCACCACGCCGCGTACGGCTGCAGCACGCTCTTGTACGGCAGCCGCGCGGGGTCGAGGCCCTGCGCGCGGAAGCCCTTGCGGAAGCGCAGGTAGGTGATCCCGATCGCGCACCAGCCCCAGAGCCCGCATGTGGCCGTGAGCGAGGAGAGCCAGGTGAAGACCTGGCCGGAGGACGTGGAGACGCTCATGAACGCGAGCAGCGAGAAGCACGCGCAGAAGGTGACGGCGACGTAGGGGAAGCCGCCGCGTATGGTGCGTTTGAAGATCGCGGGGGCGTTGCCGGCGACGGCGAGGCCGTCTGTGGGTGCCATTGTTAATTAGTAAAGGGAATAGAGCTAGGGAGACGGTGGGCGTACAGATGCCGCGGGAGGCGAGGTACAAGTCGCTAGACGCAGCAGACCACGCAGCCGTGAGCAAGGCTGCATTAATGACCTAGTAAATGCACCATCAATCACCAGCCCGCCTCACGCCTCGCTTCCAACACAAACACGCACCGACGTCAGCCCCTTGATCCCCGCATTATCAATCGCGATCACGAACGGCGACGCCGACGCGTCGCTCGCGTTCAGATTCAGCCGCGGGTCCGTCGAGGGCACCAGCAGGCCAATAACAAACACCCCGCCGATGTAGAACACGAGAATGCGGAAATACACGCGGCTGATCGCCTTGGGTAGGTTGCGCCGCGGGTTCTTCGCTTCTGCCGCTGCGATCTGCCGTCCGCGTGGCTCTCATCAGCCTCCAATAACGAGGGTGGGCAGAACGAAGAGAGGGGCAGAGGAACCAAGGGGAAAAAAAAAACACGCACAGCAACAGTCTCCGTCCCCGCATACGAAAACGCCGCCTGAATAACGACGCGCGACCAGCCGACCGCGCGCCCGGTCGCGCCTGCGATCCCGCCGTACTGCACGAACGGGCCCGGGTCCTTCCAGTATCGGAACCCGACGCGGTCGTGGTTCGGCCCGCCGCCGAGGTCGAGCACGATGCCGAGGATGATGAGCGCGGTTATGGTTATCACCTTGATTGAGCTGTGGGGGGTGGGGTGGGGTGGGGTGAGTGTGGTGGGTAGGGTAAGAGGGGACGGAGTGGGCACTGACGAGAATATAAACTCGCTCTCGCCATAAACGCCTGCCCAATCATAATCGAATCCAGATCAGCCCGAAAATCGCGTCGACCCGAGGACAGGCAAGGGCGAACACGCACCGACGCCGCACATGTTGATCCCGATAGCGACGGCGAGGCATATCGTGATCCAGACGGCGTTGCTCACGCCCGGCTTCCAGAAATCGATGAGCGTCGCAGCCGCCGAGAGCTCCGCTGCAGTCGCCGGCCAACGAATTCGTCACGTTAAGCGTCGTTGCGAATAAAACAAAATAAAAGGAAGACGGTGTGATTCTGGAATGGGAATGCTTACTTGGGAGCGTGAGCTTCACATCGAAAAGAAACGCGCGTGAGCAACCGCAAGACTGGGCCTGACGCCAAGAGAAGGAGAGAGAGAGATAGGAACGCACCGTCCAGCCGTACCAGAAACTCCAGCCATACGCGAACCCGAACGCGGGATCCACAAAGCGCTCCGCGAGGTTGATCTGGCCGCCTGCGATGGGCAGGAACGCGATCATCTCGCCCACCGAGACCTAAAAGAAGAGGAAATGAATTGGGCCGCTCGTTTAGCATCGCATTACATAGACAGACAGACAGATAGATAGATAGATAGATAAATGGATGGATGGAGGAAGGGAGGGATGGAAGGGAAGACGTCGCAGCATAAACGAGCAAAGCAAAGCAAGGGAAGGAACGCACCATAACGCAATACACGATCGTGCCCATGAACATGTACCCGAGCAGCGCGCCGAGCGGGCCGCCGCTCAGGAGCGCGGTCGCGCTGCCGAGGAAGAGGCCGGTGCCGAGGACGCCGCCGATGCTGGCGGGTTGGTCAGGCCAATGTCAGCATGTGAGTGTAGCGACGAGGGAGGGTTGGGGAGGTCGGATGCGGAGGAGAGAACACGCCTGATCATAGCCACATGCCGGTTCTTCAGCTGGCGCTTGAGCGCGAGGTGCGGGTTGAGCGCCTCCTTGGCGTTCAGATTCTCCGCGTCGGTCGCGCTGCCGATGTCGGCGTCGACGTCGCTTGCTTTCTCCTTCTCCTTCATCTGCGTCTTCTCTGGTGAGCTCATCTCCGACTCTGGAGTGCGGTGTGCGGGAGGTACGCGGGATGGGGTATGGGGTGTGTACGGGCAGGGGAGCGGAGGGAAAGACGAAGATACGAAGGGGGGGAGGGAGGAATGGAACCAGAATCCCAAGACCCTCCACCGCGTCACAGGCCATCTTGATATATACGCACCACCCCCCGGCTCCCACCCACCCACATTAAAAAAAACAATACAAAGCGCGGTACGCGCCCTTGGCGTGAACATTGTGGCTCCGAGATAGAGATAGGAAAGAAGCGTTACCGGGTTATAGCTTGTTCCCCAGTGCAGCCATCCCGGGGGCTTCTTCTGCTGGAAAATGCCTCAGTCCGGTGATGGGCTCCAATCGGTATGCAGGCGATATCGATACGCGCTCGTACTGTGAGAGCGCCATAGAGGCTCGAGAGATCGCGCCAGGAAGATTTAGAGGTGCCCGTAGATTGAGCTATAGCACGCTGGGAGGGCGCACGGCGACATTCGGTCTCGTGAGCATCTCACGCGAAGAAGGCAGCCACAGGGGCTGCGGCGGTTGGGCGATTGGAGATTTGAGATAGGCGCGTTGCGGTTGGCCGCGCGACTCTGCTCTGAGATCTGATGTATCACCCCGAGGGTTCCGGTGAGCCTCGGAGAAGGGTAGAGTACAGTATCAGTAGGGTCTGGCGGTATAGAGTTTGGGTTTGGGTTGTGTGGCCGCCAGGGATAATTGGGGGCGGGTGGGGAGGTGGGGTGGAATGACGGGAGAGTCATTCGTTGACGTATTGTTGGTCTGCGCATGTCATGCGAGCAGCTAGGTGTGTGGAGAGGTTGCGCTGGTTCCTCGGCCCGCCGTCTTCGTATTCGGAGGGCCTAGAAGTGCGATGAAGAAGTTCGGTGATTCGAGCGATAACAGTTGTCAGCGAGACGCGGAGTCCACGCGCGGACGTCGCGTCTTGCACCCATTCCACGAGACGTGTACTTGCCCCAGCATCTGGGCAGGTAAATTAGAACATGTCGAACGAGGTTATCTCACGTGGGTATAACCGTGGAAGCGGGAGTCTCCACGGTGTGGGTGTGCGAGCAGGCTGGAGTGTCATGCAGTGCAGCGGGTGTGATTCTGGTGGTTCGAATGCTCGGTGCTGGCGAGATAAGAGGCGGAGGATGTGAGAGCGAGAGTGATGGTCGTGGTAGTTGTGTGTGTGTGTGTTTCCAATAAGAAGAGACAAGGAAGGGGCTGGGATGGGGGGCGAGGGATTCTCGGAGGATGGAATGGGCAGACAGATTTCGACGAGTAGGCTGGAGAAGAAGTGGCCGATGAGAGTAGGTTGAGATGCCGGAGTGTGCAACAGTGTAGAAGAAAAACTGGTGAGTTAGATTGAAGAAATAGCGATTTTGGTATACCACGGATTGTCCCATTCGGTGTACCACTGAGGGTAAAAGATTCTCAAATGCGCCTCAAGACTCTTGCCGAACCCCGACGCTTGGGCCCCGACGACCCGACGACCCGATCGCTCCAATGTGGCTGTGCATAATTAGATAATGAATTCTCATGACGCAGGGCAGGTGGACTTTGTCTATTCTGGATTTGCGATCGTCAGTGGTTGTGCCCCAATCCCCAACGTTCCCCAGTCCGACATAGCCTTGTATAGACTCTCTCTTTCTTTTGCTTGAACAACGGCCAGCCCTGGTGCGGTAGAGGCCATGGCGTCCATCCGCTCCCCATCCGTCCGCAGTCTCACAACAACATCCAGTCCGTCTCCTCCTTTCTCTGATGATCCTTTGTGTGCTCACCGTGTTCTCTGACCAGACACCAGCGAACCACTATACCAAGTCAAGCTTCTAGCTGCCATCAGAAGTGGTGCGTCTCCCACCAAGCCCATCTCCATCATCTCACCGTGTCCGCTTCCCAGGCGATCCCGCCCTCATCCATCCATTCCTCGCCGAAATCAGCAAAGAGCAGCGCGCGTCCATCGATGGAAACCTCGACACCGGCGCCGCAGCCCTCCACCTCGCCATCCGCTGTGCTAACCGTAAGCCTCTCCCTTCGCCTGCGTCGTTCATTCTGAAGCTGATTGGCATCGCAGTCGACACCGTCCAGCTGCTCCTCTCCCACCGTGCCATATCTCCCAACGGCGTCCACCCACCCGGATCAGGCACGAGCCCGCTGCACCTCGCCGCTTCCCTGGGCCGCGTCGACGTCGTGGCGCTGCTGCTTGACCAGCCTGGGATTGATGATACCATGCGCGATGCAAGCGGGCGCACCTGCAGAGAGGTCGCAAGGGGGCGGGATGTGATCAAGGTTCTCGAAGGTGCGTTCATATACAATATCTACTCTACACCAGCCACAGCCGGTACTGAGTACTCAACTTCCGGCACGTAGACTCGCGCTCGTTCCTCAACGCCTCCTACCGCTCGCTCCTCCGCGCATACATAAACTCCCCACCCTCCACCCCCGCCTCCTCCCTCCCCCTCCCTCCTCCCCCCTCCCTCCCTCCTCTCTCCTCCCAACCGCACCCGGATACGCGTCACCCGGCGACGCCCTCCTCGCGCTGCTCGACTCCCCGCGCGCGAAACAGCTCGATCTGAGCTACCTCGACGACTACACCGGCACCGCGCTCCTGCACGAGGCCGCGCGGCGCAAGGATCTGCGCCTGATCGAGAGCGCCGTGCGCGCGGGCGCGGACGTGTTTGTGCGGGACAGGGGCGGCCGGATGACGCACGAGGGGAGCGGCAAGGACGATCGTGTCAAGGTGTTTCTGAGGCAGTGTGAGTCCGCACGTGTTTTCGTGTTCTGACGAACGTGTGATATCGGGGTGCTGATTGGCTGCATTGATTACTCTGACATGGCGTTGATTTGCAGTTGCGAACAGCGACCAGACGCTCGTCGATGCGGGCGCGAGCGGGCCGGTCGTGCTCAAGGGCTATCTGAGCAAGTACACGAATGTCGCGCGCGGGTACAGCACGCGCTGGTTTGTGCTCCAGGACGGTGTTCTCTCGTGTACGTGTCTTTCCTCCTATACCATGTTCATCACCCCACGGCCCCGTCTCACATCGCGATACGGCAGACTACCGCCACCAAGACGACGAGACTGTCGCGTCGCGCGGCGCCATATCGATGAAGACAGCGACCGTGCGGTATACCGCGGGCTCGGGTGCGGGCGGTGGTGCGGGCGGGGGAGGAGGGGGGGGAGAGAATAAAAGGGGGTTCGAGGTGCAGAGTTCGGCGTCGCATGGCCATTCGCAGAAGTGGTATGTGAAGGCGAATCATCCGGTCGAGGCGGCGCGGTGGATGGCGGCGCTGCAGAAGGCTGTGGCGCAGGCGCAGGATACCGGCGAGGGCAGCCCGCAGCAGCAGGGTGTTCCGCAGCAGCAGCAGCAGCAGCAGGGGACGTTGACGCCGCACAGCAGCGGAGGAGGTGGGGGAGGAGGGAAGATGGCGAGGACACGCACGAGCCTCGGGAACGTGCCGCTGCTCACGAGGAAGATGACGGGTATGAGCGTCAAGGGCGGGACCGGGACCGTGGCGGGGAGGAAGAACTCGCTCGGACAGGGGTCCATCGCGGAGAGCCTCGGCGGGATGGGCGTCAGCGCGAGCGGGAGCTCGATGGCGCTCCTGGACCCGCGCGGCCGCGCTTCGTCGGACGCGAGGAGTCTTGTGCCGAGCCAGATCTCGAGAGAGGGCAGCGCGAGCGACGAGCTGGACGATGCGGCGTCCTCGATGATGGACGGCGCGTCTGGTGGAAGGGGCCCGCCGCACGGGGAGAGTTTTGAGTTGAGCGGGAACGCGGCGGGTGCGCAGATGGAGATGCTTGTGCAGCTTTTGGCAGCGTTGGATGATGCGCTTCCTTCTGACGGCCAGGGACAGAACAAGATGCCGACACTAGGGAACATGAAGGAGCTGAAGAGCGCGCTGCTGGAGACGTGTGCGGCCGCGCAGAGCACGGTCGGCGCGTACGTCGGGATGGCGCGGGAGCGCGACGAGTGGTGGCGCGCGAGGCTGCGGCGCGAGCGGGAGAGGCAGAGTGTGTGGGAGGAGAGTCTCGCGACTGTTGTGAGGGAGGGGGAGGTGCTCGAGCGGGAGCTGAGGGCGCGGGCGAGGGAGAGGAAGGGGGTGAGTGTGTTGGGTGGTGTGGGTGGTGTGGGTGGCGAGGGAGGTGCGGGGCAGGGGACTGTGCGGAGGAGGAGCGCGATGCAAGGACCGGTGGCGGTGGCTTCGCCCCCGCCTTCGGGGATGCCGCCGGCGGGGGAGGAAGGGGAGAGGGCGTATTTCCCGCCTGCCGGCGTTCAGCCCGTTATTACGACTACGGCTGCTACGCCGCTTACACCGCCGGGCGCCTCTGCCGCCGCTCCTGGACCCGCGACAGCAACGATGGCGCCAGTATCAGCAGCGGTGGAGGACGACGCAGGCTCGGACGGAATGGACACGGACGACGAGGACGAGTTCTTCGACGCGATCGAGACAGGCACGCTGCCGAACCTGACCGTGTCCGAGATCCTACAGCGCCCCGCGTCCGCGTACGGCTCCACTTCGTCCTCTGCCTTCGTCTCCAGCGCTGGCACCGTCACCCACGCCCGAGACGACACCGCGCACTCGGACACGGACACGGCGCCCACCCTCTCCCCGCCCAGCACACTCTCCCCCCTCGGCCCGCGCATCAACCTCGCCCCGCTCAAAGCGTACGAGCGCCTGCGGAGCGCGCTGCCGCTCGGGAGCGACACGCGCCCGCCCGCGAGCCTGTGGAGCGTGCTGAAGCATAGTATCGGGAAGGACCTGACACGGATCAGTTTTCCGGTGTTCTTTAATGAGCCGACGAGCATGTTGCAGCGGATGGCGGAGGATATGGAGTTTTCGGAGTGTCGTGAGTTTCTTTCCCCTTATATTTCTGTTATTTTGGGGGGTTGGGTTTTGGCTGTTCGCCTTTGCTTTGGCCTGTTTTTTTTTTTTTTGGCTTTCGCTATGGGAATTGTGTAGCTGACGATTGTGGTGTGACAGTGGATGTGGCGGCGCGGGAGAAGGACGCGCACAGGCGGATCGCGTTCGTTGCTGCGTTCGCGATGTCGAATTATTCGTCGACGATCGGGAGGATTGCGAAGCCGTTTAATCCCATGCTGGTGCGTTGTTTCTTGTTATATATATATATACCTTGAACTCGGGTAACTGACGTGCTGCATGTGCCAGAGCGAGACGTTTGAGTATGTGCGGTTGGACAAGGAGTATCGGTACATGTCTGAGCAGGTCAGCCATCATCCGCCGATCTCGGCGTGTTGGGCGGAGTCGCCGTGTTGGAACTATTATGGCGAGGTGTGTTCCGTTTGAATGATTGTGCGTGTATCGGCTGACGAGCTGGTGCTGCCGTGTAGGTCGACGCGCAGAACAAGTTCATGGGCAAGTCGTTCGAGATTCGCCCGACGGGTGTGGCGCATGCGGACCTGTTTCTGCCCGAGGAGTGGGCGCCGAACTATCCGACGGCGAAGGGGAAGAGCGTCGCTGCGTCGGCGGAGGGAAAGGTGGTCGAGCATTATTCGTGGAAGAAGGTGACGACGAATGTGTCTGGGTTTATCCTTGGGAACCCGACGATTGATCATTATGGGGATATGGTGGTATGTTTCTTGTCCCTTCTCTCTGTCGAATCAGGTTTAGGGTGAACATTTGCTACAGGTCACGAACCACCGCACGGGCGACGAATGTGTGCTCACCTTCAAGCCGCGCGGGTGGCGCGGCAAAGACGCATACGAGATCTCCGGGTTCGTGCGCGGCTCGGACGGGTCTGTGACGTACGAGATCGCGGGACGATGGAACGCGCAGCTGATCGCGCGCGCCGTGGGCACCGGCAGCGGCTTTTTACACCCAGACGTGTCGATCGGGAGCGGCCCTCAGTCGCCCAGCTTCGCGCCCGAGTACATCCTCCTCTGGCGCAACTCGGAGAAGCCGCGCGCGCCGTTCAACCTGACGCCGTTCGCGGTGACGCTCAACGACTGCCCCGAGGACACGCTGAGGCCGTATCTGTGTCCGACGGACTGCAGGCTGCGCCCTGATCAGCGGGCGTTTGAGAATGGGAAGTATGAGTTGGCGAACGAGCTGAAGCAGAGGCAGGAGGAGAAGCAGCGCGCGACGCGCAAGGCGAGGGAGGAGGGCAGGGTGCCGGCGCATCGGCCTAGGTGGTTTAGTGCGCTTGTGGATGGGGATACGCGGGAGAGGGTGTGGATGCCTGCGCGCGTTGGGGAAGGGGATGGCGGACACGGTGACGGTGATGGCGCAGGAGAGCTGGAGTATTGGGCGGAGAGGGAGAGGGTGTGGAGGGCTTTAAGGGATAGGGCGCAGGGGGGTGAAGGCGAGTGGAGAGATGTGGATTCTGTTTTCATTGATAGTGGGGTGGTCGAGGAGCTAGAGATGTAGGTGGGGTTGGATGGATGGGAAAGGGGACGGGTTTATTACTCGTATATTCAAAATTATGCCCGGCTTGGCATTGTACATGTTTGGCATTGTGGCTGTGGCATATCTCGCGTTGGTGCTCGGGATTTGTATACGATGTAGGGTTCTGGACTGCACGACAGATATCCACGGGCACTGTGTCTACTCGTGTTCGAGTTTTCGTTTCCAGTACAATGGGATGGCGATTCCCATAGAGCGACATAGTAGGGCAAGATCCCCAAGTGCCGTAGCGCAGCGAGGCTGCCTTGTACCTTATACCAGTATTGTTGTAACTTGCTTATTTTGGGGTCTTGTATATAAACGAGGATGGGTTACCAGGCAAGATCAGAGTTATCTCGTTAGCCGTTCTTGCCACTGGGCTCAATCCGAGAAAAGGTGTTGTCAGTGAGACAGGGGCTCTGGCTTTCGTCTCCTATTTATCAAGCTTTACTATGACTGAAGCTGGATGGCCACAGATCACTTCCGGACGACTTTGAACGGTTCTACCATGTCCACCCCCGTTGCTCCACCTCCAGAACTGCTGTCCCTCATCTTCAAATATTGCGTAACCATCGCCCACGATCCGGACTGGTGTCCATGGCAAGATCACAGCTGTACCGCCCGATGTCTCCGAAACTGGATTCCCGTCACCCACGTCTGTCGGTATTGGCGTGCTATCGCGCTCGCAAACTCGGCGCTCTGGAGTCGGCCTGTGCTCGCGTGCCAGCCATGGGCTGAGGAGACGATTGCGCGCTCAAACGGTCTGCCCCTCGCCATCTCCAGTCCTCAACCGTGCGCTCCTTGGTGCAGACGCAATCCTTGCGTGGACCTGGATCGCATGCCCGATCCTTTCTTTAACCAAGTAATCACGGACAACATCGGGAGAATTAAGGAGCTTGTCGTGCATCAGCCGTGCATCACCATATCCGACATCATCACGGAAATATCCCGCCCTCGAGACAGCGTCAGCGAGAAACCTCTCGTGCTCGAGTCGCTCAGTCTGTGGTGTACCGGCTCTCATAGGCGATGGTCCGCCCCGGCTGACATCGGGTTGCGCCATGTTCCCGAGCTCAAGCGGCTGCACATCTGCTCGCTCCCCAGCCTCGCCATGCTACCGTCCACGTTGAACGGTATGCAGAGTCTTCGTGAGCTGTCGCTGGCGCGTACGCTCGGGCAATTTGGAGCCCGGAGTCGTATTAATCTGCCACGACTCTCTCGCCTCAATATTGAGGATCGTGTGGACCGCTGCCAGCGCTTTTTGGGCATACTTTCGACATCGCAGCCTCTCGAATACGTCGGGATTGATGCAATTCGGAGTTCTTACAATCGTTCGTCCGGCCTCTTATCATTCCTGCGAGATATTTTCAGGAGCAGCCATTATTATTATTATTATTATGATTCCATTTGCGTCCATCGGGGTTAGTCACCCCATGTCGGACGATACACACGTATTCTACGAGACGAATGAAAAGGGCCCATTGCCCGATCCCACTCAGCTCCTGAGGGTTCCAGGTTTGGCATTGGACAGCCCCCCCTGATCAGCCCGTTTCCTACGGGGTTCCCCAGGTCACTGTGAAGAAAGTGAGATTAATCTATGTTATGTCTTCGAACATGATAGTGGAGGGTGTCGTGGACACGTCTCCGGAGGGTGGTGTAATGATTCTGGTTCAGCTGTAGCCTGCTACGCTTGTGCTTGGGGACTCTATTGCCAATGGCTGACGTCGTGTTGTGATGCAAGTCTCCACCCTGAGCGTCCGGCGACCGCCTGCGGTCGGCCCACGAGCCCTGTAGATAGCGCCTTTCGGCGGGCCTGACTAGAGAGCAGTACTTATTATTTTCCTGAATATAGCGTGTGACGTACCGAACCGAATGTAGACCTAAGTCTCCCGGTCTGGTCTACGAATTTCATAACTTCATTGATTCCGGAGGGTTTTTTGAGTAGGTAGGCTTCTGAGAAAGCCTCTCGACCGAGCGTGCACATGAGAGCCTGACGAGCTCGCCCCCCACGAGGGCAAGTAAAGAGGAAGTGTCTGACGGTTTCATCTCGGTCCGGGCAGTATTCGCACTGCGGAGCGTCGCGTTTTCCAATGCGGTGGAGGTGTCGATTCAGAGGGAGGCGTCGGGTACGCAGCTGCGTTAAGACAGCCGTTTTTCGTCTGGGGAAAGAACTGATCAGCTTCATATAAGAGGAGCAGCCATTTATCAGAGACATTCACAGCAGAGGAAGGTTCGCTAAAGTCGCTAGATTACCACTACGCAGCCGCGCTCAGTACTGACAACAAGTCCCTCGCCATGGGTCCTATGGCTACATATATGTTCGGTGCTGTTCATGACGACGCCTCGCTCCCTGGTCTCCGCGACAGGATCGTCGCCTCTGCAAACTGTTGCGGTTCTCGCGGCCCGACTTGTCCAACCCCGGGATGTTCGCCAGCGGCTCCACCACCATGAACATTTGCCAGCTCACTTCAGAAATGCCCAGGTTGTTTCCCCTCCACGCTGTTGTCTCCTTATACGTGCTCGCCGGAACAGATAATCGCCCCTGCAACGTAGACTACATCAATTGTCGCGAACTTGCCACTGTACTGCGGGAGACACCTTGTATCCGGTATCTAATAACGTACAATATCCGCCTCGAAGAAGTTGCACAGGCGCTTTATCCCTGTTCATCAGCAGACGGCACTCTTACAGTCCTCGCTCCTCATTTGGAGGAACTTACGCCTGACTACCTGAGCTTTCTTCCCGAGGAACAGTATGCGCAGCCAGATGAGTCGAAGATTTTCTTGTCCTTGGTGCCATGTCTCGTCGCCCGCTCTCGTTGCGGTTCCTCGCTGGATAAATTGGAGCTAAGGGGATGCCGCCACCTCAGGGACAAGGAGAGGAAGGGGATCGAGGATCTCGGTATCACTCTGAATGTTGTTGGCCAAAAGAGTTAGCGTATAAAATAAGGTTCTGTAGCGCCATAAGCGCCACACGTTATTATCGGAATATTGGTCCTAGTTGCAAAGAGGAGACGTGGCCCAAGGTAGATGTCAAGGATACAAGTAAGGTTGATGAAGATTGTCGGAGATGACGCCGGAAAATCAGTCACGTTCACAGTATAAAACAAGGATTTACTCTCAAACAGAATTATTTATGTGGTTTCCGCCCTACAAGACAGCGTGACAGCAAATATACTACATGCACGGTGTCGTCGAGTATACAGTGTCACTCCCACTGCAGGCAAACGGCGATTCTACCCGAGATAAAACCGAGAGAAAGAGGCGGCGAGATAGGCCCCGGGAATCTTCTGCCAACGTCTCTCCGCCCATTGGCATATTATATGTCCAAATTAGGAAGGAGGGTCTCTCCGCTATTGGCATATTCGAGAGGTGGACAGGCGGAAATTTACCGACGTCTCTCCGTAGCTTGGCATATTTCAGAGGACGGTAGGTTGATCATCAATGTCATGGCATATACCTACAGTAGCAAAGTAACATATAGCCTATTCATGCCAACTGTTTGCTGGCTCCCGAAGCAGCCCGACGTCCTGCCTATCTGAGAAATCGCCGATGGTGGAAACTTTTTCGCGTTGAGTTCGCCGCTCCCCTTCAACCTCATCAGGATTCAATTCAGTCCCTACCCCGCAAGGCACTTCCCACAATGCCGCCTTGGAAGGTTCGTAATATCGAAGTCATCCCAAGTGACTTAGACTGCCTGCAGCCCGGTCATCACAAGCGCAAAGTACCTGGAGTCGTCATTAATGCATATGGTGCTATACTGCAACAAAATGAGGGAGGCGCTGGTGACTACGCCTTCCTGTCCTCCTACCTTGGAGCCGTGGTGGGCAACAATGATCCTCCGAAGGGGTTCGGCACCATGGAAGAACATATCATTGCAGCGGTGAGCACATCCGAGTACATAACACTGACGATTTCACTCACTTTTGCCCAGTGTCCATCAAAGGTCCCACAGGAGCTTGCATCCCGCCCGCGATGGTTCATTCCAATGTGCGGCGGTAATCCAGCACATTGGGTGCTTACTTGGGTCGACTTCAGTCAGCGAGAATACGGAGTGTTCGACAGCTTACCCCAGTTCCACTCCGAATATTGGGCAGTCCCGGTGCGTTACCTTTGCACAGTTCTTAGCGTGCATTTGACACCTGTACAGGGGCTCAAGTCAGTGGTGGACACAGTGTGCGAATTCATCAATGGCGAGAGCATACCTTGGGTAAAGTGGACACGGCGCATGCAGGTACCACCAACGAGTGAGCAGCAGGTTGATGGGTGGTCATGCGGCCTATTTGTCCTCCTGGCCATGGCTACGTTGTGCCGAAAGCAGGACCCCAACCTGATTGGTCACAGTCAGCTGGAGGCGGCGAAGCAGATGGTGCTAAGAGAGATCCAAACCGAAATGTGAGTAACATTTCACCGATAATAACAGTGATGCTTACGATGTCCTAGGGTCCCGACTGAACCATTGGCAGTGGTTATTCACTTGCCTATGGTTAACGCGTGCAATTCTTCGGTGGTTCTGTGAGTACCTTAATACCTATCGTGAGCTATGCTGACACCGGATGTAGTGGCAAGCGAAAAGAACCACCTCTTGATGATGGCCCAGACGTCAATGAAGGAGAGGGTAATGGTGGCCCGGGCATAGGTGACTCGGGAGGAGGTGGAGATAGAGGTGGGAACAGCGGTGGGAACAGCGGTGGGGACGGTGGTGGGGACGGTGGTGGTGATGGTGACGATGATGAGGGTGACGATGATGAGGGTGACGGTGATGAGGGTGACGGAGAGGATGAAGACGAGGAAAGCGGGACGCACCGACGCTCCGAGGCCCAGCGTAGAAAAGACCTCAAAGACGATCCATATACGGATAAGGTCGAACCGCACTCCGTTTTTTGTATTGCATGCCAATCGACGAAACAGCTCCACAATGAAAAACGATACCACGACGCGAACTGGCTTGCCCATAAGAAGATTTGCTGGGCCATTACTGGGAGGAAAACTGTCCGGGTTAGAAGGAAAGTTGCAAAAACCGCTATACCTGTGAGTCGTCCTACTGATATCGAGACTGAGCTGGGCTTACCATGAGACAATTAGCCCTCCGGCAACACATCGCTTCTGAGCTTCTTCCAGCCGAAGCAAGGATCGAAGGCGCGTGTGTCTGCCGCATCAGTCCAGCCTCCGGCGAGCAGCACGGAGAAAGTGTCCTACACATCTAAAACGGTCGCGGCTGTCAGTAAATAAGTATAGTAGAACTGCAAGGCACCTAATAAAACTGTTTCACCAGACTCCCTCAGTGGCGGCCATATTTCCTGCCCCCGATCAGCGTCGCGACATTTCTGAGTTCACTCCATATATGTCTACGCCAACGACCCATATCTGTCAGCAAATACGAGGCGAGAAATACCAGGAGTACATACTTCGGACACGCACTCGCCGTCTGGGTGGGATCTCGCCAGAGTTCCGCGCCCACTGTGAACGATCCCTGTTCCCTCATAAACCATTCCGACCAATGAAGTCAACTCGAGTGTTCCCAAGGATCGAGGCGGTAGTGAACATAGCGCACAAGAATGACTGCTTGAAGGAGAAGGATTGGACGGAAGACGAGTTGCGTACATTTGACGAGGGCTTGAGAGCGCACGCTCGATGGGAGGTTGACTATGCAAACCGGGTGGTTCGGGCAGTACGATGCGAAGGAAGGACGGAGAAGATCAGCAGGATATGTGACGCCTGTGAAAATGTCATGGCTGACGATTCATTCAAGCACGCTGTACGAGACGTAAGTGTGTCACTTACTGATTTGAGCGTCTTATTCTGTACTGACAGTTGTGGTTGCAGAAGACGGCGGAAGCAAAATTAAGCGCTGAGGAGCAGCACGCGATCGCACAGGCTCGCGAGAAGTTCACACCCCTAAACCAGTCTTCGTCGGACTCACGCGAACTCAAGGGCAAGCTTTCCGATCCCGCCATATTCAAGGTCCTGCAGCGGTTGGAACGCAGCAAGAATGGGTTCTTTTGTTTCCTGTCGCTGTGGCATGCGTCTCTTGAGCATAAACTTGACAACTACGAGACCTTTGTTGATGTCTGCCAGGTCTTTGAAGAGCACTTGGAACGTGAACTCTCGGACAACCCACACCTTCTGAAGGGGATACGTTACAGCGAGAACTACAATAACTTTACGATTCTTGTCCGTGGTGGCGGCACTAACTCTGCACGTCAGTACAGCATTATTCGAAAGGAGTTGAAGCTCCCGAGTGCACGCTCGCGCAGGTATGCTCATGTCGATTTATTGCTTGTAGTAATGCTCATTTCTGCACAGAGCATTAGTGGCCAAGTCGGCTGACGCGCTCCAGAATCCTGAACTCCATTATGAGAACCTCGCTCGTGTAAGGCGTCTTGTTGATGCTGTGGGGTACACCGGACCTATTGGGGCTGGTGCAGACAACACGGTAGCCAAGAAGCGACTGACATACTCAAACGACTACGGTAGTCATGTCCTTGGATCCATCTTGCCTTTGAGTGATTGCGAGGTAGATGATGGTGAGGATATTGACAATGTTGTAAAGAGGATACTCCGCATGAATGCGGTGGCGACACAGACTAGGGCCATCCTTGTCAAGGTAAGCTACATGTACACCTCACGTTTCCTTGTATCTTCTCACAAAATACAGCCTTTAATACCCGAAATCCCACCTATGGTCGTTGCATTGATACCAAGCAACGGCAAGGACACCGCTGCCGAGGCACATCAGCAAAAGCTCAGCTTCCTCCGCATGGCTGGCGCTCTCAAGCTGCCAATCATCTCATGGGCATCCGATGGTGCAGCATATGAGCTAAAGGCACAGGTGATGATGGACAACGAGGTGACCACCCAACCGCCACTGGTCTACAATAACCCACTGTATGGTGTCCACTTGCAGACACCTGTCTTTCCAGACACTGGTCCCCTCATCTCAATATCCGACCCAAATCACGGAGCCGGTAAGACTTCTCGGAACCAGCCTCAGCATGGTACACATGCGACGAGCCTTGGGAAGGGTTGCCTTGTCAACAGGACTCTGGTTGATCTCCAGAAACGTCCAAACTCGGGGCTTCGAGTGCGAGACGTGAAGAACGTAGATAAACAAGATGACGGCGCTGCTCGGCGGCTATACACCCACAAAGCCCTTGTAGCAACCACTGACATGGATAAGGATGGTGTACGTACAATCCACAGAGGTTTTGAGGGCCTCTTTGTCTGGCTTTTCATGTTTGGTACGTGTTTGCCTGCATATGTCAGGTTTCGAACGTAATGTTCTTTTTAGGATGCCTATGGGAGGCATACATGAACCGCTCAATGACACCGGGTCAGCGAGTCTTGGCCGCATTCCGTGTTCGATTCTGGCTTCATATTTGGCTCCTCCACATCCTTGTGTTGTGTGCCACCTTTCCTGACCTCTATTCACTCTCTCGTTCGTTTATCTCGCCGGCTAGCTTCCATATCTTCAACCGACTATGCGACACTTTGGTGCTTCTGGTAATTGCTCACGGAAAATATTACCCTAATCACCCCTTCTGTCCTTGGCTGGTTGGAACCGATTTTATCGAGCACTTTTTTGGGCTCGCTCGCATGGTTCTACCTGATTTTTCATATGCAGAACTCCTCAAAATGACGCAGAATATCATGGTCCGGCAACGCATACTTCTCACCACAAATTTTGACGATCGTCGCGAACGGCGTGACTCGGCAGCAGGGTATATCCTTGACCATGATCCCACCCCACTCTCCCCGGCTGAACGTATCAACGCGATGGTCAATCTCACAACACATGATATTCACGGCATCGTTGCTACAGCGTATCTTGAGGCGTCACAGTTCTGCATCGACATTCTGGGAATACGGGCTCCCGCGCTTACAAAGCCTCTCGCGCTTGTAGCTCTTGGTTCCCCCCCATCTAGTGCACTTCCCAGCTCTCGCATTCTCGTCAATGGCCCGGATGATGAGGATGAGGACACCCACCCCGAACATCCATCTCTGTGTGAGAACACTGACCTGCCGCCATCAATTGCTGAAGCGGCCGAGGAAGTCGCACGGATGTATGCCCTTAGTGAGGACTTGGACAAGGCCATGGACGAAGACATAACACTTTCGGAGCAGGCTCGCTGGATTACGGTAGCATGTCCGTCACCACTAGCTGCTAATGTCGTATTCAAAGGTGAAGCCAAACTAATTCATCTCATTAACCTAGCCACGCCTGTTCTCACCGCACTATGTTTAGACCCGATTCTCTCGTCCGTGGGTCAAAGCCCCGCCTCCCGTAGCGAAATTCTCGATGAAAACGGCAAGATATCTGTGCCTAAAGTCCTCGGTGCTCGCTTGCGCTATCAGTCACATGCGACGGTGCATTCTGAGAAGGAGGCTGGACTCAACCCAAAATTTGCGACTGACACATCGCTGCAAAAAGTCATTCAGACGCGCGAGGAGACCAAAAAGATGTCTATGCAAGAGGCGTCTCACCGTACCCGTGTAGCCCATTTTGAGCATGAGGATGCGTCGCAGGTGGGCCCGAGTGCTCGGCTCATGCGTTGGATTGGGACCGCGCACAGAATTCGCGAAGCCATTGGCTCAGACGGTGGTGCGTTTAACTGTGTTTACTACTATATCCCGTTTGCGCTGATGCGGCCCGTGTCTTTTCTCTCAGGCTTACCGCAGCTTCAGTCACGAAACGTCTCTGCTATGTATCCCGTTGTCGTTGGCTCACACCTTATCCTTCGGAATTATGAACGTATCTACATTGGCGAGGTGCTCGACTTCTACCGAAAACCCGACTCGAAAGGCAGCCGACACAACTCACTTGAATCAGTGGATAGCATAGATGAAATCACGTCTCTGGCGGTTCGTGTTTTTCTGCCTTTCGACCCAGTGAGTCCCGGGCATCTTTACCTCACAAACTACAATACAAACTCACTGATTTCAGGTTTCTACAGAGTATTCGGAGGAGTTCATGTACGACGACTCAGGTGACGACATCCCCGGCCCCGTCCTTTTCCGCCCGTACCATCACAACCATGAACTACACACGTATGTTGTGTCTTCTGATGAGATCTTATATCACCTGGGTCTCCTCGCGTTCTCCAAGCGATCTGCTGGCGAGCCCTCTTCCTATCCGCTGAGGCTCACCCCCGACGCGGCTTCACACTGGAAGGTTCTCACAAAGCCAGCGATTCGACAGGTTTTGCCCAAGATCAAGATCCCGGGCGGGAAAATGCGCTCTTTCTCTTCTGTGGTAAACGCGGATGACACTGTAGCAGTGCCATCTTCGTGATTGACCACTTGTAGCGCGTTTGGTGAGCTCCTGTAGGACTGTAGTCATTAGCATTACGTCATGCAATTGTACCTATCACGTGACTGATGTCTCTCCGAGTTGGCATATTTGACACAAGGATTAGACCTTCAGCGTGGCATATTTGAGACCAAAATACTATGTTTTGACGGAGAGACATAGGTGGGAGTTTCACGGGGCCTGGCGAGATGAAAGCCCTTTCCTCCGAGTTTTGGAACCCCCTTTTGCATAGGAAAAGGTATTCTTTTAGCCGACATTTGCGTCAGTTTTGCGCAGGTAAATTGGGCAGGTTACCAAATTTGGACTCCATCTTCCTGATTTGGACGTGTTTCTATCTAATCTCCGCACAGAAATGGAAACTCCGAGACAAAAGTTTACCTTTTCAGTAACTTTTCGCGAAAAAGGCTTTCATCTGTCCGCCTTCTTTAACCACTTCTCGTAACAGAAAAACAATTGCAGAAACATCGCAGTTTGTCTGCAGTGTCCGTGGCAACTCCGGGTAGTGAAAGGTTGTGGCGAATGAAATATATGTGCCTATTGTCGCTCTCGTTGCGCAGTGGTGTGACTGAACTAATGGCAAGGTATGGCGGATGGATCGGCGCTCGCAGCTGGGTTCTTCCAAAACTGTTGAATATTTGAAGCTTTGAAGATGGCGATAGAGCAATCCAAGGGATTAAATTTCAATCTCCGACGGTGCGCCGACGAACTTTAAGTCTCCGCATCTGATACGGCTTCCATCCCGGTTTCCTCACCTCACGATCACCTCCCACAGCACTGACAAGGTCACTAGAACGCACATTAATAAAGGTAGCCGTCGTTCTTGTCCGCTCAAGGGTCGTATCTGACCTTTCTCAGCTCTACATCTAGCACAAGGATCTTCCATCGCCGTGATCAGTACGCCCGACCGTACCCCCAGTCCACATCGATAGACACGACCATTAGGTAGGCTCGAGTATGATCGTCACAGTCTAGAAGAGCTCATCTTACGCTCCCTCCTGAAACAGAGCAACCTCACTGCGAGCTGTTTCCATGGCAGCGGCTGATCTACCCTCAGAAATCCTCTACGCCATCTTCGAAGAGTGTGCCACGCTCGCCCACGAGCATGATCGCGACGATCGTCCGTGGCAAGCTCACTTATGCAAGCCTGAATGTCTTCTGGACTGGATCTATGTCACGCACGTCTGCCGACACTGGCGTGCTGCTGCTTTTTCATGGTCTCCGCTCTGGACCCGCCTGGTCTTGGTTTCTAAACCATGGGCAAACGCGCTACTATCTCGCTCCGGAACTATACCTGTTAGCATCTCAACAGATTTCAAGGAAAAGGAATGGGATAGAGACATTGTTTTGGAGAATCTTAGTCGAATCAAGGAGCTCGTCCTTGGAACATCCAACTTTGCTTCGCTTGAAGAGATTTTCAATGTCCTTGGAACAAGCGATCCCGATCACGGCACCATAATGCTTGAATCACTCAGCATCACGACCGTAGATCCCAGTGACTATCCCAACGTTATGCATGTTTCACCCAACGTCAGCTTTGCTAACGACCACAAACTAAGACGACTGCACCTTGACTTCTTCCCATTTGGGCTTCATTTCATGGCATTGGATGGCATGCAAAATCTCGTCGAGCTATCAATTTCAGGTATATCTATGGCTGATTGGTTTGACGAACTCGAAGGGCGGACTATCCATCTTCCCCGGCTTTCTCGGCTTCACATAGCCGATGGCTGGGAAGAATCCAGCGCATTTTTGGCAGCCCTCCAATATTCCAATCCTCTTCATTACCTAGGGTTGGATACAGGCGGCGGAGCTAGCACAAAAACTCTGCTGCAGTGCATCCTCATCACTCTTGGAAGATATCATGCGGTCAAGGCACACAAACCCTGGAAATTCCCTCTCACAATATCTGGTTATTACTATGCTCTTGGCATAGACGTGGCGATGGAACGCACAGGTGACAACGAAACAAGCCATTCAACAACGTTCTGCATCGAAGCTATTCAATCATCTCCTCTCAATAGCTCCCAGCTTCATGATCTCCGTAAAAAGACTATGCGCGAGAACTACCCTCGTTTAACATCCGTGTCGGATGGTTCTCCGGGGTTTCATTTTAGCAGTATGAGCGCCTTAGATGACGCTCTTCGCTTTTTCGGGATCCTTTCAGCAGTGTTCCCGGTCAGCTCTATCGTCGCGCTGACCATTTCCCGTAAGCGCGGATCCGGGGATACTATTTCTGCCTCCGTCCTTTCCATTATACTCATGTCTCTGCCAAATCTGGCGACTTTCTTGACATGCCGTACTCAGCTGTCGAATATCGTGCTTGCGCTTCTTCCGCGCCGGACCGGCTCCAAGATCTGGCCGATGCCTGCTCTCCGCCTACGCGAGCTTTCACTATCCTGTATAGACGATGTGAGTGATATAGGCGTTGATTGTTTAGTAGAAGACCAACCCCGTTACAACCTGCCGGCGACGCTATCACTCTCAAAGTGCCTTGCGTACCGCTCGAATTGGACGTCACTCGACAGGCTCTCCCTTACTCGTTGTGCCAGCATTGACGAGAATGAGCGGGTGGCTCTCCGAAGGCTGAAGATGATTGTGATCGAGGATGAATTGCTGAATCATTGACTAATTTTCTTGTCGATTGTAAATTAGTTGCCTCCGCCTTGTTACTCACGTACGCACAGTACGTCTAATGCGTACATATATGTCTGTATCATTGCTGTTTTTATAACAAAAGCGCTTCCTATATCGTCAGACACTATTCCTAGCAACTGCTGCCTGATAGTTCCGCAGTGATTTCGAAACAAAGGTGTCTTTAGTTTGCGCCAGAAGATAGTCGACCTCAGACGTTGAAGTGCATCCTACCCGTGATACACATCATCGGATCATGACCCATACGCCTCCGCCAACCCTTTCCAGTGCTCCGCGATGAATGTTCGTATTATCCTAGTTATGTCATTTATCCTCGCACTAGGCTGGTCTGGTGCGACTAGCTTGTTTGAAAACGAGATCTTCTTGTTAGCTTGCTCTAGTAAATGTAGCGTAGACACAATGATATACTGATCTCACGCCCTCATTGGTAAAATCGTCGTATGAAATCTATCTCGTCGATAAAGAGGGGGGCCACACTCGTGTCTGAAGGCAAGTCGGTACCGTGCGCCCCGTCAATTACGAATGTTGCTAAAAGATAAAGTGAGCGAGATCACTGTAAAACATTACCACGGGGGCTTAACGAAACGAAGACGATATAGCCAATGCTGAAGGTGGCGCGAATACGGAATCGAGCAGACCATAAGGTCGTAAATACAGTGCAAAGGGAAAGAGAGTAGGAAGGCAAGGAAGAATCGAGACAAAAACGAAGAGGACCGATGGTACGCACGGGTTGATAACAGCATGATCCCAAAGGACGCTTCCAGCTAAGCACAGACCTAGCACTCGTCTGATTCGCCCTCGAGCTTGGTTTCCGTCCTTATGCTGGTTGTTCGAGTCACATATACTCAGTTTCTCCCCACACGGGGAGAAAGGAATGAAAGCGTACGCGTAAATGTCGCATTCAAGAAAGGAGAGCGCTGCCTTGGCGATGGGTACTGTTCGTTGGCGCGACAACCAGGAAAGCGATGGTACATCGGAACCATAGTCGGAATGAACGTCTCGCTCGTATCACCAGGGGACACGCTTAAGCAGAATGTGAAGGAGGTGAGCAGAGTCAGATGATAGCAAAATCGCAGTATGATTAATACCGGGAACTGAACATCAGGATAAGAATGGGAGTAACGGAGTTAAAGGAACATGCGAAGTATGGACACTGTGAAGGTGGATATACCTGATTATAATGGGCACCATTCGGGTGTAAAATCCATAGTTATCACTCATTAGATACATAGTAACACTGAGAGTTCGTCGTGATAATCAGGTACTTGCTCGAAAATCAATCATTGTCATTTTTGTGTGATTCAATTGTCCGAATCACCTTAAATGTACCTGATTTTGTCGACGAAAATGCGAGACCACATGCAGAATGACTAGTTTTCATGGAAGAAGAGACCATTTATCACACGACAGAACATACAAGAATCAGGTCAAAATCAATTCTATTAATGCACTACACAACAGATAGCTAGCTGCAGGTTTACCGCAATACAGCTCCTGAACCCGCTATGACTATAGTTCCCTGTGAACTCGCTCAGAATGAGCGGCCGGTGCCGCCCCTCCTGGCACTCGACGAACCTGTGCGTGCGCAGCGCCATGCCCTCACGCAGCGACGTGACGAGGAACACATCTGCGATAGTGAGCAGCGCAAGGTACTGCGAGAACGTGAGGTCCTGCGTGTGCAGGAAGACAATGGGCTGGGAGGTGAGCATCGAGAACTACGAGTTGAGACGCACGACGACGTCGGAGAAGGCCCTGGCGAGCTCGTTGGATTAGGCAGTCTGCAGGGCGACTTGAATGAGGACGACCTGAGAAGATACAGTATATGAGTGACAATGTATAGGGCGCAGAGAAGGACATGTCATACCTTGGCCTGCGACTCGGGGTATCTGCAGCCGCTCGTTGGTCGCGAGCATCGTGTCGTGCATCAGGCTCAGCCACAGCCCCCTGCCGCCGGCGGACAGCCGGTGCTGCCGCAGACACGTCACAGTCTGCGGCAGCGGGTCCGCGATGATGTCCAGCGCCGCCACCCGTGTCGAGATTGCAGCGGAGCTCGCACTCAATCGTCTGCGGTGACAATGACGACGACGCTGCCGTCGTCATATCAGCGCCAGCCGACCCCGCCAACAACGGCACCAACAACGGCGGACTCAGAATCCGACAACTGTCCACCTTCTTGTACTCCACACGGAGCATCCTCTGCTCGTGGTCATACCACACTGAGCTGGATCGAGACAGAGATGTGAACTTACCCAGGTCCTTTGCACTTGATGCCCTCGCAGACGTGTTCGACAAGAGCACCTGCAAAGTTGGGGAGTGAATCGACTTGAATTGTGTCCCGCAAAACCGCGTTGAGGCAGACGGGCGTGCGGGGGAGCTTGGTGTGGTGCATCAACAGACCTGCATCAGAAGACCGACTTCCTTCGCACGTCTCGACGTCAACGCGCTGGATATGAGAGACGGCGGTCGGCATGGGGTACGACGTGCAGGCTGGGCACAAGCATGGAGGCGGCGGGGTGCTATGATACCGGTAACCTTGAACTGGATGGGGGAGGTGAAGGACCTGGGATGAGACGACTTGAGCTTGCATGTGGAGCGAAAAACGGCGAAGTGAGCATGGCTGGAGCGAATATGGCACAGCTGAGGAGATGGTATTGATGTTGGTCGAAGTGTTGATGGGCTTGGGCTCTTCTGCTATGGCCAACGCAGTGCTGGATGGGTGTTGAACGTAACATTGAGGCCGTCGTGAGCGTTGCAGGCCGCTTGCTACGGAGTTTGAATTTTCTGCCCAAAATTGGTAAGTCCACTCACGCTTCAACGCACTTCGCGCAGCATTTGTCCTGATCGATAACCTGCCACAATCACTCACAATTGCAATACGTACTGCTACATATGCCTGGTCCCAAAGTTCTCCCTTTGTAACTTTATTTTATTTGTGTCTACAACCAGCATCGGAAAATGACAATGATTTTGCGGTTCCGGGTAACAGTACATGATTTTACATACCAGGTACATGTACCTGACTTTAAATTCATGTCAAGAACACATGATTTAACAGAATGAGAAGCCACGTACCTTGTGCATACCTGAAAATCAGGTACATACGTTTTTGCAGTGTGGAACTGCCGGAACGGCATGTGGGTTTGCCCTCTCCACCGTCGTGGAAGTATTCGTGCATCCAAGAAACCACAGAAGTACCTGGTCTCACTCATGGTGGACTTGCACGCGCTGGAGCTCATGCGATTATCATAAAATACGCAGGAAATTATGAGACTTAACTGTTGTTCGACAGCCGATATGAAGTAGTGATGCATTGATAAATGAGAACGAAAGAACGCGTGCGTAATGGGGTCAGGAAAGCACAATGGTGAGTATCGGAAGAGCTGAACGTTTGCGCGTACTTACCTGGGCACGAAACACTGCTCCGAATGCGCCAACGGTTGTACCTCTCCAACGACCGTTATCTCTGTCCGGGTCGCGGATTGCGTGCCTCATGAAAAGCTAGCCTCGCCCTAGGCACACCATAGTTACACGGGTATACGCGAACCACAGCTCATCAGCGATTACAACCCACGCCTGTGGGCAACGATAACGGTGGCAAACCCTACGAAAGCGGGCCGATCGTGAACCCATCGTATACTGCACCGCCGGCATCGTCACCTCCCCCCTCTCGTCTTCTTCTATCGGAGATTGCATCGCATTGCCTCTTCGCCTTAAATTCGATGACTAACGCACGTTGATATGTCCTAAATAGTTCAGCTCAGCACATTCCGTGAACCATGACCGGAAAACCAAGTACAGGACGCGCGTTGGACGGCGGGACGAGCATCTCGCTGCGAAGGCACCAGGTAGCGAGCAGTGGAGAAGGGGTTCAGCCCAAGCTCGGTAGGACATGTCACAAAGGACGCGTGGTGAGGCTAGAACAGTTCGGGCGGCGGCGATAAGCCCGCTACAAGCTTCGAGAAGGACATGATAGGTCAAAACAATCGCAGGGGTATCATCGCATGCCTATCTCATCAGTAGAGGGTCAGGAGACAAACGAAGGGAAGCACCAGACGCAAACTCCATGGCAGCAGCGAGATTTCGGAAAGAACACCGTGGGAACGCTCCATTTGACGTTCCGGCTCTCACGGACTTGGTCCAAGACCACCTACTATCCGTAGTACATGTCCTTTTTTCTTGGTCTATATTCCTCACTCAAGCTCTTGCTTTCCTCGCGTTCCATTTTTGTATATCAAGGAACTCACTATATAAGGATAAGGAGTATAACAAACGCACAGGACAAAGTACTGCATTTAATCGAGCAAGCTCCTTCCAAATCGGGATCCGAAAGTTTTCTGCCCTCACCACGGGTTACATATGGACCCACAACGAAGGACAATCGCGGGAATCGTCATCTCAGCGCCTGGTGATGCCTCGTGCATAATGGCTCCGCTGAGCTTTTGAACGTCTACCTCCCCACCCAGTCAACCAGCGCGATAGACGCTGCAGCATTTGCACACCAGGGTAGCGCCACCTTCCAACCACACGATGGAAGACGCTAGCTTCCAACCGTTCGAAGGGCATTCCGGCGACATCACTACTCTCGCTTACTCCCCTGACGGCGCATTCCTCGCTACTGGCTCACTCGACAAGACCTTGCGGATATGGAACGCAGGCATAGGCCGTCAAATCGGCGAGGCATTTGAAGGACACATAGAAGGGATCAGTTCCATCGCTTACTCTCCCAACGGGCAGCACCTGGTCAGCACATCTCACGACAGAACGCTACGAGTGTGGGACGCGCACACGGGTCGAATGGTTATGGGACCGCTTTTGGGCAACACGCGCGGGGGGTTCTTGGCTGTGCAGTGGTCCTCGGACGGTACGCTCATTGCGAGCGGGGACGGCGATGCTTATCTGTGTTTATGGAGCGCCCATACGGGCGATCAGATAGCGACAATCATACACCCGATGCGCGTCAACGGTGTCGCATTTTCTCCCGACAGCAAACAAGTCGCGACTGCTTGTCACGATCGCCTCGTCCGTGTCTATGACGTCGACCAGCGCGAGCTTGTTCACGAGTTCAATCTACACAGAGCCGCTGTTCGATCAGTGCAGTATTCACCTGATGGTTCTTGCCTCGCCAGCGCCTCGAATGACCTCACTGTACGCGTTTGGAACCCTCACACCGGTGATTGTCTCTGGGAATTCCAACGGCACGAACATCATGTCACTGGCCTGTCGTTCTCGCCCGATAGCCGGTTGCTGGTCACCTCCTCAAAAGACGACTGTGTCCAAGTATGGGACCTGATGTCTGGGGATTGCATCTTAAGGCGTCTGTATGCACACAATGGGACGGCAGCAGCAGTCGCCTACTGTCCAGATGGAACGCACTTTGCTTCCTGCGGCGGTGGTAGCGTGCGTATTTGGACAATGCCCAAGGGAGAAGTTGTGCTTTCCGAAGGTGAAGCGCATGCACGGGAGCCACCCGAAGGAAGCATTGTGCTACCAAAAGTGAGTACCGTTCATGTCGTGATTTCGATGCATATCTTACGTAGAGCTTCATTAGTTGGTGACAGCTGAGAGTGCTGAAAGCGTCGAGGAGAAGCTTGAGTAAGAATTGTTATAGCGCCCGTTTCTGACAGCTCACATTATCTAACACAGACTCAACGCATATGAATCCGTTTACGCCGTAGTATGGCTTAATAATGGTCAACATTTCGCAACTGCAGGCAACAACGGCATTATCAGAACCTGGGACGTGGAGACAGGACGTGGGGCGAAACGCCCTCTCACATGGCACAACGACAGGATCAACGACCTCGCGCTCTCAGTGGATGAAAACACCCTTGCCAGCGCCGGGGAAGACGAGATTATTTGCATCTGGGACCTCCAGCAGGAGGACATGGCCTTGAAGCCCCTCTCTGGGCACTGGGGACCCGTGTACTCCGTCGAGTTCACCCCCGATGGTGAGCGCCTGGCGAGTGGAGGGTACGATAAAAACATCCGCATATGGGATATGAATGATGGTGCTTCCCTGCATACCTTTCAGCTTCATAACCGTCGGGTCCGGGACCTCAGCATTTCCGCTGACGGGTCCTACCTGGCAAGCGGGTCTGACGACGGCACTGTCTGCATCTGGGACCTCAAATCTAACAAACAACTAGGCGAATCTCTGGATTATGGGAGCCGGGTGTCGTCGGTCTGCTTTTCGCCTGACGGCTCGCATTTACTTAGTGGATCATGGGACGGAATGGTACGCTTGCTGAACATCTTGCAAAGAGAGCAGGTTTACGCCAAGGATCAACAAGACGTTGTTGATGGTGTCCGGTATTCAGCGATGGGTGACAAGTTTCTGAGCGTGTCGGCTAATAAGCTCCGCGTTTGTGACGCTAGCACGGGAGGGGTTCTCCTAACTCTACGACACGATAGCTTGGTTTTAACGGCAGCATTTTCACCGGATGGGAACCAGATCCTCAGCGGATCCAGTGGTGGAACTCTCTGCTTGTGGGATGCGAGCTCCGGGATGTTACTGCGCCCTAAGGTTTGTCTATGAACACTATGACTTGATGGCATGTTAATAATTCCATTAAACAACAGAGACTTGTCGATCTAATGCAGAGCGAAGGCGATGGTCCTCAGCCGCCAGCTGTATGTTTTACATTTTTCACGCTATTCTATTGCTTACGTAGCTCAAAATCAGCCAACGACTGAAGGAGGCATCCTAGCAAACTTAGCTCGCGCTTTTCGCCGCTTCGCTGGAGACAAACCAAGCGATGACCTCCCCGAACAGGAACAAGAAAGCCATAACCTCTCTACACTCGAAGTACGTTTCCATAGCTGCAATCACACGTATATACTGATCACTGTTTCACTTAGGATACAAATGACGCTCAGGCAAGCACCCCAATCGCGCAATCCATGTCGTCAACCCACCTAATGTATAACATATTAGAACGACCACCGTGTAACGGAGGTGCAGGACGCCGCACCTACAGAGCCACAGGCACGTCCTTCGTATACACCCTCTTCGCCTGACTTCACATGTGCTATCAGGCTCCTCAAGTAGCGCCCTCACAAGGCAGTTCACAAATTGAACAGGGGGCGGGGAGTGGCAAACGTCCGACACAACAGACAAAAAACTCGAGCTTCCCGGTGATGTTGTACCCTCTGCATGAAGATATCCATAACTCATGCGCGTATAGGCATCTGAATCTCGTGACAGTCTTGAAAGCTTCATGAATGTACGTTCCTAGTATTTATCCAGCCATACGCTGCTAATTACTGTTTCTGATAGAGACCAGCAGTTGTCTCCCGAAAGAACAATAACGAACGAGCAGGGGACTTTTTTGGCGACGTCGATGATGTAAGTGTGAAATTTCCGCTCATTGGTCGATAGGTTGATAAATCCTGATACGTTGACATTCAAGAGCACGCAACATCTGCATCCTCCAGAAGGGACGTCCGAACAAACCCAAGACAATCCTGGGCCTGAACGAGGATATTTGTCCGGCACCGTAACTCGTTCTTTCATCGCATTCTGGGAGCGTACTTTAGGACCTCGAACCAATAACGACACAAACGTAAAATTTCACTCCAATCTTCGAACACTGGCTTAAATTGCGTTGACCTCCATGACAGCGGTTTGAATCACAAAGCGAAACTAACAGCGCTACAGACCAACGGGATAATGTCCATAGCATGTTTAGGCGAGCCATAGTGAGCATGTCGCACATATCCATTTGTTGCCACCCGCTTATTTCCTTCATATTAAATGCGCCTATAGAATCGCATGTCTAGCGCTAGAAGAGCCAACACCGAAGGAGAGCACGGTCTCACAGGAGAGGCGCAATTCTATCCTATGAGCACCTTCTCTCGCCATACCAGCTGGCGTCGCCCAGTGATCATATCTCCCGCATACGGTAATCAGGTATACCCTCTACTCCTTTGTATATTACCGTCTAACACTCGCATGATAGCGCATCATGGCAAGCGGAGACACGCCGGGCAGACTCCCCGGTGGAGACACGGTCGCCGTCGACAGAGACGTATCTCCCACCACCTCAGACTCGGCGAGCTCAGAAGACCATTATCCGACGATCGTGGAAGTGCTGTGCTTTTGCAACTGTTCCCTGCTTTTCACTCGCTGGAAGAAAAACCCCTCTGCTCGCGGCGGGAATGAGGTTGCCTCCAATATGTCGTAGTAGCATATTTGAAGTTTCTGACATTGATATCGGATTTGACCTTTACGCCACTAGCTAGGAAACCTAAGGATTATATATATCCTTGTGGCAGACGTAAATGAGGAACACCACCGCGTTGACGGTCTTATGCTATGTACGCACACGGCGCATAGTGAAATGATGCGATGGGAGTTTCGTTCGCGACAGAGACCTCCGTGACGCCCAGTGATGTCAAGGCGGTGAAGTTGGAAATCGTCAGTGCGTCTTTTGCCGTGAGAAACGACGTTCCGGTTCGGCTTGAGCGCGGCCATCGAATGTACGCCGAGGACGCTTAAGTAGTTGCATGCGTCTGCTGGTGCTTAACAATGAGTTTGATAGGCAATCGCAGAGAGCGCAGCGAAACCAACCGACGGCCGTTTTAAGATCTCGGAGGTAATGAATCGATATCGCCTCTCACTGCACACATGATTGACCCACTAGGCTTGTAGTCAAGCGCCGCTGAACTCCAAGGCAGTGTCAAAAGTAGAGAACAGCATGAAGAGTCACAAACATAAACATATCGCATCCTTAACGTTCCCCACGAAACTTCACGCCGCCCATCAGCGTCCTCTTTGCCAACAACCCGGTAAGCTATCTCAATACAGCGCAGGAGCTCTCTGAGACTTACGTCAACTAGCATGTCGTTACCAGCGAGGGTACAATTAAGCGATGTCCTGCCAGAAATGCAGTACACACGGAAACTGACGCTGACGATGTTGGTGACTCTGTGTTCTCAGAGAGCTATGGTTCTCTCTTTGATGCGTCATCTTGAGATGCCTATGAGTAACGTGACACTTCTTGAAGAGTTGACCTTCTTATTATTAGAACTCATGGACTAATGGGTATGCTGTGCTTTTTAGTTAAACGGCGTGCATGTTCAAGAAAACACATATACATACACAGTCTGCATCAGCATGATGTGCTCTATCCCGTTACGGTAACTGACGATCTGCCACGGATTACACAGTCTGTTCGGCGGCTGTCGGGGGAAGCACCATCATTAGTAAAACAAAATGATGATTCGATGGGGCTGAAATCTCTCCGGGAAAGGACAGACCAGTGGGTTGAGCCAACACGTCTCCCTCCTTATCCACTGTACCTCTCAGCGCAACTCGGCTGCACGAGAAGACAATGGAGGGTGACACAGAGGAAGCCGTACCCAAGCTAACGTGGACGAGACCGACACAAATTCGGCTTTGAGTCATTCGACAGAGCCTGCCGATGGTGGTCAGCACGCATCATGCATGAGGGAGAGTAAGCCTACTCACAGCTAGTCGGACATGATGATGGCATGTCGGATGCGCGTTCCGGTGCAGCAAGAACAGATGAGAGCGGTCATCCGATCCGTGATGCACTCTTCTACTGCATCTGCCTACTGCTGTGCATTTCCCAGCCAAAGAGGTTCGGCGGTGACCGACTTTACGAGTTTCCTTGTCAGCAGTCTGTGCGAAAGAAGAAGAAAACTGAGCAGAGTACAGCGCGACCCGGGTTATATGCGAGAGTGGCTTGCATTTGCCGGATGACGACATCCGCGACGTGCAATCTTCGCACTCATGCTCATGCTTTCGTGCATCGAGGCACATGCACGTTCATCTATTGTTTTCACCCTCTTCCACCTCCACCAAGTCCACAAGAACGGGTGACCATGGCATAAGAGTCATCTGATGAGCCCTCCGCAAAACAACAACTCACTCAAGTCTCCAGCTCACTTCGGAATGAACCTGTCAAGAAGCCCCACCAATTCCTCAGTCAGCTGGTTTGGTCAGAGTCTGTAGCTCTCTCACGTCGCATGAGTACACTAGACATCGAAGCTACCACCTTGTCCCACAAGTCTGGTGCGTTTCGCATCGTACCCACCGTTGTTTATCACCATCTGATACCATCCTCCTTCGGCGCATTGAACAGCGAAAAAGGAGCTCAAGCAGCTGATTACGTACACGTTTTCGTAGATTGAGAAGTCATCAGGTGTTGGACTGGCTCCACTGGTAAACCCGGCAGGATTGAATCTTGGATACAGAGCGGCGAGCGCAAGTTCTATTGGGAAGACTCCTGTGGTATAAAGGTCAGTCAAGTGAGCATGCTGACGAGTTCCTATTGAATCGGTACATAGATACAGCGTTGTTTGAGGACTATGCAGTCCCTCTTGTAGTTTCTTAGCCTCATCTGAGTATAATCCTGTCATTATCGTAAATATAAACATGCACCAGTGATACCGGCTGTGGTGATTTTGATGACTACTATATCGGCCTATGAAGGTAAGTAGTTTGTACTACATACCACTATATAGTTCATAATCGGTGCGAATAGCTACATTTACTATATAACACTACCTAAAACGACCCGTCCCAACCAGGTTTTCTCCTTTTCCTGATGAGGTGTTGATGACACTCAGCTGCCAGGAATTAATTTCCCATGAGCCAGGGCCATCCTCAGCAACTGAGTTATCCTTAGAGAAAGCTGAGGACAATGGTATTGATGAAATGACTGTTGAGAAGCATGATGATGGACTTGGAGACTTAATTTTAGGTATTTCAGACAATGAGAACCATTGGGATTTGGATGAATAAGTGTTTTTTACTACAGTAATTGTTGCGACACAATAAAAAGTCGATTTTGTCACTGTTTTCTACTGTCTGATCAATCCTGATAGCTTCATTGAGTAGAAAACTGACTGCTCCAATTTTTTATGTACATAGGAAGCAAAATACACAATTTTATAGTGAAAGCCCTGACCTAGGCCAAAGCCAAGCCCTGGCCAAGCCCTGGCCCTACATCAGGGCCTGGCCTGGGTTTTTGCAAAGCCCGAGCCCTCAAAAGCCGGGCCAAAGCCAGGGCTTTCAGGCCAAGCCCGGCCCTGCACAACACTACTGGCAGATGTGAACGCCACCAGGCCAAACACTATCGACTTCATCTTCACGGCCATTGAAGCGATGCCTTTGGATCATGGCCCGAAACACGACTGTTCTTCACCTATCCAATTTCGCGGCACAGCAGTGCGTCCAAACTTTGGTGTGATATGACACGGGCGAATCAACTTAGATAGTCTTACCACACGGGCCCACAGTTGACCTCGGTGCGTGGCTCGCTTGAACTTGTACATCCCCGAATCTTCATCCATGGCACCCAGTTTTCGAAATAGGTGGACATAGACGAGTGGTTCTTCCAACACCGGCCGGGATAAGTGCTCAGGCAACTTGAATATAGCACGTATTTGCACGACACGAAGACCTAATCAAGCCAGAGATTCGGTTTCAGTTATGGCACATGATCGTGATAAGGAACTACGTACCATTGAGCCCACCAAACTCTGCATAGGCGTCGTGATCCTCTTCTAGAAGAGCAGTATCCCATCTTGGCAGTGAATGTGACTTCCTGGGACCGTTTGAGTGTGCAGCTGTTGCTCGAATACGCATTCTGAGCAAATTGGGGTTTAGGTGTGCATCGGGGCGGATATGAAGAACAGCGCCGTTGTAGAGATCGAAATGATCATATTCGTTCGGGTGGAAGCCGTGTCGAAGCCGTCCCTCTTCCATCAGAAAGGTGGTTAAGGTGGCAACAAAGCCGAATGCGCCATAGTCCGCCTCAAGAGTAGGGACCGAAACTCCACGGACAGGCGGGTGCTTTGCCACTTCAGGTGCTGCGGGAAGCGTCGGGTTGTGTGGATGAGCGACGCTATCGGATGGCATGTCTTCCGTGTCGCTGAGAATGGGTTCTTCGACGTCAAGAGCCTCAGTGCTCTGGGCCAGTGCGTCAGTAGAGGGGAATCGCCAGTCCAGGTACGCTGACCACCAGGCGACTGACTCGCGTCGTTGAAGCCATCGCGCCATTTGGAAGACATAGTCTTTATGGTTCGTACCTCGCCATGCTTTCTTAGCAAAATCAATGTGCAGCCGTTCCGTGTTCTCAGTGTTGAGACCGTCGAGCGAGCCAAGAGCGAGGATTGTTTCAAGGTAGTGAAGAAGCGAATGAAGCTTTGGGATATTGAAGTGATCTTGAGTACGCGCATTCAATGCGATGAAGATCTGCTTGTTTGCGTGGAAATCGGTCAGTGATTGCCGCAAGCGTGTGAGTGTTTCGGTTGTTTGGGAATGGTACTGTGCCACCATCACAAAATCCAGAAGCGCTCGTACGGCCTTCATCGCGCGCGAGTCCACAGAACCGGCCAATGCAGCGACAAACACACGCTGGAGCTGTCTATGTTCGCCAGCACTCCACTGCGTGATAGGTGAGATGCCCTTCTCGAAGTGTCTTAGCCCAGTATATGGTGGCATTGACTGCAGGTGTTTGTCGAGTTCGGTCGCACCACCAGCCACAAGAGCAGTGCACCACTGGACGAGGTGATCCTTGAAGACTCCGTGGTGAAGCTGATGCAGGAGGTCGGACGAGATACAGCGGAAGATATCTGTGTGGGGAAGATCAGACCAGAAGGGAGAGTAGACTTCGTGGAGACCATGGGCGACAAAATCTGGTGGGTATTCTCCGTTCTCTTGCATTGCTAACGTCTCTAGTGTCATTGCCTGCTCTCGATGCTCGAATGGCGACGGGCTCCCGCGATTGTCTCGGCCCACCAAGCACTTGGGACATCGATTCTGCATGCAGCAAGCGACTAGGCACTGCTCTGGGTGGTCTGCAATGTACGCAGCCAGGATCGGGAACACTCGACGAATGTAGCCATCCGCACACGTCATCTCAACTCCACGCTGGCCAGCGTCAGTGAGGGATCGGAGGATTTGCCGCATGCAATAATGAAAGAGTCGATACGCAGCAAGAGACGGGTTTTCGAATGTCGAGAGTTTTGTGGTAGGCAGATATCCAATCAACACTGTGGCATGTTTTGATGGCTGACGGCGGACACCTTTTGCTATATTCCCCAGAGTTAGATACACAGGGTAAGCAACCTTATCACCACGAAAGGACGACAGCTGTGTTTTGTCTGTTGACAGTATCACGCTCGCAATGGTTCCTCCATCCGGAATCTTGTCCTAAACGTATGTCTAAAGTCAGTTTCTGCTCATCAGTTATGGATTGCTTAATGGCTTGCCTGCGTTTGCCACCACCAATCGGCTGTCCACATCTCATCTAGCTTCCGGTTCTGCCCGCCAGCATCCATGTAGACACGCTCAGGAGCATAGGCTAGGTGATCCTTGAGAGCTGGATTGCCTATCAGCTCACGAACAGCCTCCACCGGATCGCGCATCCACATCTCAAACGTGTCCTCATCCGGTTCGTCATCTTCTGCTCTCTTGTCTCCAGTGGCTGACACGCGGACACATTGCCACTCAGGGCTGAGTCGACGTCCATCAGGACCAACATGCAGGTCGTCTATCTTTTTGAGCCATGTGTACGAGCTGGTAAAGCTCGGCTGAGTACGGTTTCGCGTCTAATGCAAACTGTAAGTGGGGTGCCTGCCTAATGATGTACTTTGCAAGCTTACGATGTCTAGCTTGAGGAACTCGTCGACGGCCGTCTGCGTGACGTTCTGCATGAGCCAACGCGAGAGGTCCCACTCTTCCTGGTCCCTGAACGGCCCATATGGACTCAAACCCTTTGCCGCTTGCTCATTACGGATCGATTCGAAGCGGGTGGGCTGTCGCTCTCCATATATCCATGATGCTCTCTCCCCGTACGGTTCGACATAGTGGGAGGGGGCCGGAGAAGCATCACTATGAAGGTCGTCATTCTCGTCTTCATCATTGTCGAACCTTGGCTGATGCGATAGATTTTGGCCAGCAGTTGCGTCTGTCTCTAGATTATCCAAGGGTTCAAAGGTTCGTTCAGCCTCCTCCATAGCCTCATCAATGTTGACATGGACATCAGGGGATGGAGATTCAGACCGGGAGTGTTGCCATTTGAGTGATCTTGGTACAGCGATGATAGGAGCCCCGGCATCGAAGGCAGATCTCTGAAGCTCTGCCTCCCATGCAGACTGACACTCGGGCTTCTGTCTTCGATGGCGCTTGAGGTCTGCCTCGGTCTTGAAAGGTGCGTGCTTACAGGTACATTTGTGCATGACAGATAAGCAGTGGTTCACAAAAACCGCAAGCGTCTGGTGTAGGGGCTTGGATATTGGCGCGCTGTCCGGCCTTGGTCAGCCACCCGACCCCCTCTCGTCAGCCACCCGCGTTTCGGCTGCAATCCAAATTTTGCGCCTCTTCACTCTTACCGCCATGTCAAACACGACACAGTGGGGAGCACGGTCCCGTGCACAGACGTGTACGTGTTTGTTGATTCATCCCTTTGTTTAATGCTGAACTTTATTTCCATAGCCACGCAATCGTATAAATACCTCAAGCACCTTGAAGGTGTGTCTCATTTGTATATAAAGCTGATACCGCCCATTTCTCTCCCCTCATCTGAACACCTTGCTACACCATCATGGCCAGCAGTACCCGACGAGCCTTAAAGCCCTCCCAGCGTGTGATAGCCAACAGTATGTACAGTTTCCCCCTTTATCGTTGCCATCGCTGACTCTGATCGTCCATCTTCCACTAGCCGAGAACGTTGAAGAGGATCGTCGCCGACGTCTTGATGAGGAAGAAGCTCGTGCCATCCGGCGGGTCGAACGTGAGGCAAAGAAGACTCAAAGGCGTCTTGCAGCTGCTGGACAGAAGTGTATGTTGTCTATTCCTCATTTAGCTTATCGTCGCTGATCAGTGGGACGTCTAGCTATCACAAAGACAGTTCAACCTCAGGGCACCACCAGGATCTCCTACGATCACGCGGTACAGTCTACATCCCTCCTATAATCATGATACTAACTTAATGTACTAGTTCACCGCGTCAAACGTTGGCACTTTGCCATCCATTCACCATCACCGTGCAGCGCCGCTTAGTTTAATGCCACGAGGATCCAGCATCAGCCTTGCAACTCTGGCGCCGCAAAATTTTGCGCCATCAACCGTGATTTCCAACCGTCGGCTTAGTCCTGAGGTAGCTCAGCGACTAATTCGTGAATGTCAACTTGGTACGTGTTCGCTTTTGTCAGCGATTTCTATGCTTAGATTAGAATTGTGCCTGTTTTAGCTCAGCACACTTGCGTGTCACCACCCAACCCCAACACCATTAACGCGGCCGCCGCATCTGAGGAAGCGATGGAGGGTAAGCACATGCGCAACATTCGCTATTTCCACTGTCTCACTGCTATGTCAGCCCGCAAGCGGGCACGTTCCCTTATGTCTAGCGACGATGAGCTCGAAGATGACGATGAGGAGGATGATGGTGAGGATGAGGACATGGATGACCAGCGCTCTGTCCAGGTCCACAAGCGCGCACGCACATCAGCAAGCCCGATTGATGAACCTAGCGACACTGCCTCTAACACCTCCACCAAAGGACGCAAGCCTCGCGTGAAGGCAAACGATTTCCCCGACGACGAAAAGGACACTATCTACTTGGCCATTCGCTTCTTTTGCAGTATCCTTTCCGGCGAGCACGCTTTCCCAACATCCATTCAGGAACACCACTGGGCGACATTGGTGTGGCAGAAGGCATGCAGTTTTCACGAAGTTAATCTTGCCTTGACACCCGTGTTCAGATCGTTGGTAAGCCCCAAACCGTGCTTCATCTGTCGGTATCTACTAACAATTTTGGTCCTTTCCCTCTTCCCGCCACTTTCACTACGGTTCGTCCCTCCTGCCGACCACTCGTTCGCTGCTTCCGTCCCCATCGCCTGTCCCCGGCACCCTTGTGCCATACCTCCTTCATCCCCCTCGTTTTCTTCGTGCCGGTATGCCAGGTCACCGAGCGTACGAGTACGTTCCGTGGCGAGCTGAAGACCAAGGCACGAAGCCTTGTCATGAACGCATTTGGTTTTGAGCCAAGCGCCAACGAAGCGGTGCAGGTGGCGAACCGCAAGCTAGTGGAAGATTTGAAGCGCGATTCAGCGTTTATATACCGTGTAAGTTACATTTTACTCCTATTTTCTTGTCTTATGGCTAATCCATATCTGGCAGCACCGGGGCGAAACGTGCGCGGAGCACCGTGGCATGTTTCTCTCGAAGGTCATCCAGCTCCTCATCAATCAGGTCTTCTACAAGAGTCGGAACGCGCTCGCGGTTGGACCATGCGAGGAATATTACCGAACGTTCCCTCAGCCAGGACTAGCATTGGTTCTTACTGCAGTAAGTGACATCGTTCGAGCTTCTCATGTACCACCCTCACCACTATCTCTATCCTAGATCGAGGGCGCCATTGATGAATGGGCCACGGGCTCATTCGTCTCAAAGCGATTTGATGAGGCTAGTTACAAAACCGTCTTCGAGACTCACCTCAAAAACATTGACAACTTCGCGCATCATCGGGAGGGATCGGGAGACGTTTTGGATCGATTCCTTGTGCGCATCCACGAGAATGGAAGGTGTGTAGCTGTTTATATGTTTTCATTATCACTAACTTATATCAACGCGTTATCCAGGAATTTCGTTGGCCTTTCCCCAGAAGTCCCGGCTCCGCAGCTTATCGCGCCTGCAGCACTCGACGCTGCGATGGCTGACCTGCTCGAGGACTTAGATAACTAGTAGTACACCCTCATGATGTCGCTGCCATAATACCAATCAAATTTCGTTGTTTTTCATCAATATGTGATACTATCAAATGTTATAATTCACTATAGACAACTATTATTATGGAGTAAGCCGCACCGTAAGCAATTAGCTGTTCGGTGGCTATCACGGTAGTACTAGATATAGCTATTGAGACGTATGCGTGTACTATACTGTGATATGTAAAAGGGGGGTGTCCACCAGTACTATGCTACTATGTATCTTATGTAGCATCTGATAGCGACTATGATTTTTGCTGATGCTGAATAGCTTCAACAACATCTCCACCAATGTGATTGCACCTTTTTGTGATTATTTCAGCAGCTGCAGAAAAAGCACGCTCACTGGACACTGAAGAGGCCATAATAGACAAGCAGCTGCTTGCAAATGATCCCCAAATAGGGTACAAAGGAAAATTCAACTGTAGCACTGATTAGAGTCATAAAATATGATACAACAAGATGACTTACACCCCACCAATGGACAATAGATATCTCTTTTGGAAGAGGCGTCACAGAGCCAAGGTAAGCATAAAACTCTTGAGCCCAAGGTGCTGAGGCATTTTCAGCTTCACTGTTTGCACCAAAACTGTTTTCAGGACATTAGTAACCTGCTGAGTCAAACATCACATAATCACTAACATAACTCTCAAGGCTATATTCTAATAATAGGGCAAGTGGGTCAGATAATGCCATAGCTAGATTAGGACACAGCACACTTTTGATTAGGATTTCCCACAGTCAATAGAAACATTGTACACTATCTAATACTTAAGTTCAAGCTATACAACTTTTTGTTACTAGAGTAATTGTACAGTCATATCAACATTTTTCAAAATTTTAGCTACAGGCCCTGGCTTAGGCCCTGGGCTCGGGCTTTGCAACAACCCAGGCCAGGCCTTAGGCCCTCAAAAGCCCTAGCCAGGGCTCGGGCAGGGCTTGGCCTATACAGGGCTTGGCCTGAGGGCTTTAGGGCTTCAGGCCTGGCCCTGCACAACACTATCTGCCAGTAAGACGCTCGGCGTCAACGCCACGTACTCGTATAATGTCACGAATTGCCCTGGTGAGACATTATTTGGCGCATATATGCATTCGTCAGTTCACCATATATGCAGGATACACACTGCAGGACCTCAAGCAGTCCGACACCGGACTCACCGCGCAACTCAACCTTGCTGGGGAAGCATGCAACGCGTTCGGGAACGACATCCGAAACCTGACCATACAGGTCACCTATAAGACCGAACAGAGGTACGTATTTTCGCTCACCAACTCAGCTCCATCCAATGTTCAAACCTGCGGAAGGTTGCACGTCAACATCTTCGACACTGCGCAGCAACAATACACCATCCCCTCGTCGGTCGTCCCCGTCCCTAATCCACCCCCGACGTCGTACACGAATAGTTCCGACCTAGTCTTCAACTATGACGCGACGCCATTCGCTTTCTGGATCACGCGTCGCTCGGACTCGGCAGACGCGATGCCCCTATTTGACACGCGTACGGCGTCACTGCCCAAGGCGCCCATTGCTCCTGTGAACGCGACGGACAATTCGACGGCACTCGACAGCTTTGAGGTTGTGTTTGAGGATCAGTATCTCCAGGTAATCAAAGCCTCATTTGCTCGTCAAACCTTCTGCGATCGAGAACGCTGATGTTGATGGTGGTGTCAGCTGGCTTCAGCTCTGCCGAAAGACACGAACATCTATGGCCTCGGCGAGGTTGTCGCGAGCAGCGGTTTCCGACGCGACGTCGGTGGGAATGGCGGATCTGGCACCATCCAAACGCTGTGGGCACGCGACTCCCCAACCCCGGTGGACCAGAATATATACGGTTCGCACCCGATCTACATGGAGCACCGGTACGACGAGAGCAACAACTCGTCCGCGACGCACGGCGTCCTCCTCTTCTCGTGCGTCTTCTCACCTTTCTCCGTTCCACCGGACCGCTGACTTGGCGAGTTAGTTCGAACGGAGCCGACATTCTGCTGACCACCCCTCCCAAGTCTAACGTCTCGCTGATCGAATACCGCCTCCTCGGTGGCACGCTTGACTTCTACTTCTTTTCTGGTCCATCGCCCGTATCGGTAATCGAACAATATGGCAAGATGATCGGATGCCCGGCGTGGGTGCCCGCATGGGGCTTTGGGTACCATCTGTGCAAGGATGGATACGGCAGCGTTCAGGCGCTGAGGGACAACGTGGCGGCAATGCGAAATGCGAATATTCCTCTCGAGAGTGCGTCAAATCTTGTCGATAACGGATATTAAGCGGCTAGTCTGACGGTGGCTTCAGCCCAGTGGAGCGACAGCGATTTGTACGACAACCAACGAGACTTCACGATCGACCCGATCGGCCACCCTGCCGACCAGATGAAGGCGTTCATTGATGAGCTGGTATGTCACGTTTTTGCGGATGCGTCATTCGTATTCCGAGTTTCCGTACTAATGGAGGCTGTCCGAGCAGCACGCCAACGGCCAGCACTGTACGCCGTTGCTCCTAATCGTCGCTGTGTTTTCAGGCCTGATGACTTCGACCTTGTCTTTGTAGTCATCCCGATTGTGGATACTGCAATCGCGACACCGCAAAATGTGACTGATATCGTGAGTCCAATGCTTACTAAAGAGATGCGCGTTCAACTGACTCTAGCGTCTATAGTACGCGCCTTTCGATGACGGATTCGAAAAGTTAGCGAAGATCTTGATACCTTTGTTTCAACATGCTCACCCAGGTCCACAGGGAGGTTTGGATAAAGAACCCGAACGGCACCATCTTTGTCGGTAAAGTGTGGCCTGGCTTTACAGTACGTTCATAATTTCTCCCTCCTTCCTCTTGCTTGCTACGATGCATCAGGCATATCCAGACTGGTTCGCTCCCAACACACACGACTGGTGGATGCAGGCTCTGAAGAACTGGAGCGACCTCGGGATCGAGTACGACGGGCTCTGGTTGGACATGAACGAGCCGAGCTCGCTGTGTGCCGGCTCGTGCGGCTCGGCCAACTTCAGCCAGTCTGGTTTCCCGGGTGCGAAGCGCGCGCTAGGGAATGAGACGGGCTTGAACGTCATGAGTCCTCCGTATGCGATACACAACGGTAAGCTCACACTCTCTCCTGCTCTCACTTTCAAGACAGCGTTGACGGGTCGGTTTTTTGTGTGGTAGGTCATGGACCGTTGGACAATCAAACGGTCTCGCCTGACACGATGCACTCGGGCGGGTACAGCCACTATGACACGCATAACATGTTTGGGCTGATGGAGGAAATCACGACACATCGGGCGCTCCAGACGCTACGGGCTGGCAAACGTGCGTTTACTATTGCAAGGTCGACGTTCCTCTCGGCAGGGAAGTGGACTGGCCACTGGGTACGTCCTCAACCATTGATTATAGTAACACAGAGGTTAATTGTGATCAAGCTGGGCGATAACTACAGCACGTTCCAGTCGATGTATTACAGCATCCAAGGCATCTTGCAGTTCCAGCTATATCAGATCCCAATGGTTGGTTCGGATACATGCGGTTTCCGTGAGTAGTAGTTATCCCATCTTTGCCAACTCGAACTTCTGACTGTCCCTGACTCTTCCAGTTGGAAACGCGACTGAAGAGCTGTGCAACAGATGGCAGATGCTTTCTGCATTCGCACCCTTCTACAGGAATCATAATGGCTCGCCGACCCGGCATGAACCGTATCAATGGGCTAGCGTTGCAAACGCAACTCGCATTGCGATCGCTGCACGGTATGCACTGTTGCCGTACTGGGTAAGTATCCTCATCTTATCTTTCGCCAATACTGATAAGAGCGTGTTCATCTTGCAGCAAACTCTCTTCGCGAATGCGTCGACTCAAGGTTCTCCCACCGTGCGTGCGCTGTGGTACGAATTCCCGAACGAGCTAGGGCTCTTCGGCATCGACCGCCAGTTCCTCATCGGAAGCGACATTCTGGTCACACCCGTATTGGAAGAGGGCGCCACGACAGTCGATGGTTCGCTGATTACCACAATTTCCTCAATATGTACCATATCCTGACGTATGTTCAGGCATCTTCCCCGGCCGCGGGAGCGTCACTTGGCGCGACTGGTGGACGCACACTGCCGTGAACTCGAGCACTTCGGGTGGGAACACGACGCTGCAGTCGCCGTTGAGCACCATCAACGTGCACATCAGGGACGGCTCTGCGCTCCTCCTGCATGCTAAACCTGGATACACGATCAACGAGACGCGCAGCGGACCGTATGGGCTGCTTGTTTCGCTAAATAAAGGCGGGAATGCGTTCGGGACGGCGTACGTCGACGATGGGGAGAGTGATCCACCAGGCGACAGTCGCATCTTGAGCTTCGTTGCTCAAGGTGGGGCGTTGACTATCTCGAGCCAGGGGAGCTACGACATCGAGCAAAAACTCGAGAGCGTGACGGTTTTAGGCGTGCAGAAGCCGAGCAGTGTGAGCGTTGGCGGGCAAGCGGTGGCCAACTTCACGTACTTGGATGCGACACAGGAGTTGGTCGTTGGGAGTGTGACGATGGATTTGAACAAGGGGACGACCATAACATGGCAGTGATTCGTTACCACAGTTGATTCAAATAACATTACTCTACATCCTCCTGAAGCTCGATATCTTTACGACGAAGACAGTCTGACATAGCTGTCTTCGATCTTCCAGAGGGTTCTATCAACCAAGTAGGTAAACCTTAGCGGCATATCATTGAGTATCCGTTACTTATCTCTCGCACAGGCGATCAGCCTCCCGCCTCCCCGTTGTAGCCGACAATACTTCAGCTTGGGCAAGACATCACGCGCATTGATGAAAATCAGGTGCAAGCCTCAAATCACGCTTCCCACGTCTCTGTCTCATGCTCCAGGCGGATATTAGACGTGGTCTTGAGTAAAGTAGCCATGAAGAAACGAAGGTACTGCGCCCGCAGCATTAATTGAATCGCGCGGTCTTACACCTGGTTCAAATGAAACCCGTTGATCCTCGCCGGCGGGGAAGCAGTTTAACCATTCGTGGCTGTTGGTCACGAATCATCCTGTGGGACAGATCACCAGGGCTAGTTGATTGGGGATTGTACATATACTCGCCAAGGTACCCTTTTAACACAACGATAGTGGACTGGAGGACTGAACAGAGTGCTCGACAGTGGCTGGGCCCTTACCAACGCAAGTTTATCAGATATAGATGCGCGAGCTGATATCATCTGGCCTAAAATCGCTGTATGTTAGAAGCTAAGTTCCGAGGTCCCTAGACCATCAGGCGTTCAACATTTCGGGAAGACGAATAGCGACGCAGGGCGTGCAGAGCTATTTAGGTACTAGCGACGCTTCGGAATAGGAAACATGTGAAAGAATGTGTGAAGACACCAGCCGTAAAGAATTAAACGCTTAAGCAGCCAGCTGCGGCCTTGATGAAAGCACGAGGATGACTTGTGGCCGTGATGAGTAGGTTGTGTGAGAGAAGACGAAGAGTCTTCCATTCTCCAGAGCTGCGCAGAAGTCCAAGAATAGGTCTACAGGGGAATCTTCCTGTTGATGTACTTATGGGGGAGATCAAAGTTACGGACAATCTGCTCATCGATGCCGGATGGAGGCTGCCGTCTAACGTTTATGTTGGGCAATGGAGGGATTAGAGATCCGTGTCGGTGTTCGGAATTCAAGACCCGATTTGGTCCGGGTCGCGGCGACCATCGGGAAGCCGCCAGCAAGTGCGCCCAGCACGGGCGTCGCGCTTCGGTAGTTTCTTCGCCTCCATCCGCCTTTCTTCTTTGCTGGAATACAGCATGCATGGATAACGCACGTTTATTATATTAACCGCTAGGGTCTTATGCTTCGCACGACAGGGTTACTCCCAGGATGCGAGGAAATCATCACTTACAGCACTGCGCAAGGTAAAATAATCACGCAACCAACACGACGTTCCACCGTCCCCGCTACGGACTTTCAAAAGCATTACTTTATTCCGGAGTGAAGCTATCCGCTGAGCGTCTGATCATCCTCCTAGCCTTGTCGTGCTGCATCTGCGATCGAGCTGGATGATCGCTGTAACCTGTATAGCGGGATCGTCGTCAAGACTAGCGCTGGCCAGCGATGTCCGATTGCTGCAACGAGGTGAGCCAAATCCTCGGACCGTAATTCAGATGGTGGTGACGACGACTAGATGCTACCTGCTCGTCACTAGCGTTCGTACTGATAATCTTGTTGTTGGCCCACAGGGGTTAAACGGCATTCAATAAGAAGGAATCAACCTCAGGCCGTCGCTCTGACCCTGAGGCGTCTTTATCTTCTCGCTGGAGCGGACGTCAGATCTCTTCTTTATGAATTGATTTGGAGAACCCCTGCAGCTTGTATTTTTGTCCCCGGACCACGCTTAGGTGCTCTTTTGTTTTCGAAAGCGCGGACGCGGAACAATGCGCTCGGCTAGCGGGCCGCCTTCCTTTTTTGGGACATTGTGTCTTAGACGTGTGGCTCACACGAGGCGAAGGTGCCTTGGGAGTGCCGCACAATGGCGGCCTCTTGGCCGAGATGACAATGGCACGACGCCGGGGTGATTGTCCACGCGCGCACAGGCTTTTCATGAGCTCTATATAAGGCCCATCAGCTTGTCGCTGACCCCTTTACTCTTCATACCCGACACTTCGCCGCTGCGACATCTATTAAGGCTCGCCGGCGAGTGCACACGATCCACATTCAATATCGCTCTGCGCTTTACTTTACCAACGCGCCCACGTCTCTCTTTCCACACCACACCAAACATGGTCGACATTCTCTACTTCGCTCTTTCCATCTTCGCTTTCATCCACACGGTCGCCGCCCACGGCTACGTCTCCCAGGTCACCATCGACGGGACCGTCTATAAAGGCAATGTGCCTGGCAAGGATGCGGCTGCCAGCGCCATCCGTCAGATCTCGACAATCGACCCCGTCAAGGGTGCTTCGAACCCGTACTTGAACTGCGGCCAGGATGCCCAGCTTGCTTCCCAGGCCGCTAACGCCAACCCCGGCAGCAACATTCTGGTTCAGTGGGTCGGTGGTGCAACTGGTGGGAACAACGTCAGTCTCTATTCCGATCTGTTCAAGACATCATATGCTTACGATGATGTAGTGGCCTCACAATGTCGGTCCTATCATGGCATATCTTGCCAAGTGCGACGGCGAGTGCTCTTCGTACAACTCCTCGAACGCGGAGTGGTTCAAGATAAGCGAGCTTGGACTCAAGCCTGGCAACACTACCTGGTACCAGGCTGACATAAGTGAGTCGGCTTCGAACGGCGGGGTGTTGAATATCAGTAGCTAACATATAACAGTGGCTGGCGAGCCCGCCAATGTCACGCTCCCTTCGAACCTTGCCTCCGGCCAGTACCTCCTCCGCCACGAGCTCATCTCGCTGCAGCTCGCTGTCTCGGAGGGCGGCGCTGAGTTCTACCCGTCTTGCACGCAATTGAATGTCGGCGGCTCGCAGTCTGGTACTGTCTCTTCGAGCGATGAGGTCAAGTTCCCTGGAGGATATAGCGACAGTGACCCCGGCATCTACGTACCTGGCGTGAGTCTCATCAGCTTTCACTGACGGAGACGGCTTTGACTGAGATGATAAACTTATCACAGGTGTACAACACTCCCCTGGACAATTACGTCTTCCCTGGTCCGGTCATCCCTTCAACGCTGGATATCGCAAGCGGAAATAACGCCGGAGGTTCCTCCGGATCCGGCTCCTCAGGTAGCTCGAGCTCTGCCTCGGTTGCGTCCCCAAGCTCAACGCCTTCTTCCCCCTCTGCCTCCGCTTCTGGTACTGCGTCCGCCTCTTCCATCCCCGCCTCTGCCTCTGGCACCGGCTCTTCTCCTTCCCCTTCTGCTACAGGCTCTACCGGCACCGGCACAGGCTCGTCGACGACCAACACGTCCTCCGGGAGCGGTTCATGTAAGCTGAAGAAGAAGAGCGTCACCGAGAACACAGTCCAACGCCGCCATCCAAAGGCGCTCAGCAGAATCATGCGCAACCTCCTCTGAAAGGATTTCCTCCTTTCTACCCCCTCCATCACCCGCACGCTCTCGTATCTTATACCTGCATACCCCCACTCAGGTGCACTCTAAACTATCCATGTGTCTCTTCTTACCCGCCGCTCGCGCACTGTGTGCACGCTGGGCGAACGGTCACGCATCTGAGCAGTGCTCGTGCGTGCTGGAGAAGCGACGTTGGCGCTTTACTTATCATGCTAACTTATCTTAGAGTGGAGTCAAGTTCGACTCGACGTTCGGGCTCGGCAATCAGGATTGCGCTAGAGGGTAGATCTCTCAGCTATTGTATCGCTATTTACTCGACCATAAAAGAAGATAAATGTATTAGCAATCATTATGTACTCGAATGCACATCCAATGTGAACGTATCCGGTGCGAGTTCCCCCCAGCTGAGTGTGATGCGTCGCCAAGATGAATGATTTTTTGGTACTCGGAAGTGTAGCTATCCTCGATGGAGAAACACTCTCACTGTGGCTTCGTCGTGCTGACAGTTTGCGCAGATAGAATCAGAAGCAACAACATTGTCCATTCCCAAGAAAACAGAACAAGTAGTAAGTACTCGACGTGAGTCCAAAAAAGTCCAAATGTAACAAAGTCCAATAAGTATCAACTGTTCGTGCTACCCTGTACCGTCGACTTAAGAGCTGCTGGAGGTCGCAGTGACTGTGACAGTGATCGTAGGCGTGCCGGAAGCGGTGGAGGTAGAAGCAGGCACCGAGGTCGACGATGGGGTCTGAGTGGAGTTTTGGACCCTGAGAGTGAAGCCAATCGGTCACTGTCTGCACAGATGAAAGAGAGGATCAGAACTTACTGGACGAACCAACGGCCGTCGTTGGCGACGCAGTTGCCGCCGTGCGCGTTTTGGGTGGACTGGCAGTTGAACGCGAGGTAGTTGGTGAGCGAGGCCCAGTCATCGCGGCAGTACGTGAGGTTCGTCTGTGCCTGGTCGACGATGAAAGTCTCGCAGGTAGAATAGGTCATTGCGATCGCGGAGCCGTTCTGTCATTTCGAGTCCAATGTCAGCATTCAATGCTGTATTAACCAGGGGAGAAATACGAGACGTACACCAGTGAGGTTGAATTGCTGGCCTGCAACATCGCCATGAGCATCCGCCATGCCAACAGAGACAGAAAGAGAAGACTCGCACCGTCGGTCGAGTTGCTGTAGTTCAGGGAGTCCGCGATGACCTGGCAGTCGTACGGGTTCGGTCCTCCGCCGGACGGGTTGAAGCAGTTCGTCGCGCACTGCGCACCACAGACGTTGGTTCCATCGTCAGCCGGTTGAGGGGCCGCGGCGGGTGGTGGCGCGGCGGAAAGTGCGTTAGAGCACGAGAGGGACTCGACCTTGACCTTGCCGATGTACGAGGTAGACAGGACCTGCTTGTTCTCGCAGGCGAACGCTGTACGAAACGGTCTCGAGTCAGTCCCCAAGGCCGAACACGAAACAAAGAAGGTCAACGTACGTGTACCAGGGGCAACTGCAGCGCTGGCCAAGGGCAGGAGAGAGACGGCGAGGGCAGCGAAGGAGAAGAACATGGCGGGAGGTCGTAAGGTGCGGGGGCGGAAGTGAAGCGAGGAGGGACCCGATCGACACTACTGGCGTCTCAAGTACTTCCCCAATGACGTTGGCTTTATAGCTCGCAGGCAAGATGTGTCCACATGACAGAGACAGCTGAAGCTATATGTCACGATCAAACGGGTCTCATAATTTGAGCTACTAGTGCTCCCGTTAGCAACTCATTAACTCGTGAATGCTAATTCCACCCCAAAACTAGTATCACGGACCTTGAAGGAGCTTGATCCCCGCGGCGAACTCTAGCTCTCGTGTGTTTTTGGGTTTGCAAAGCACGCTTTAAGGTCAACGGACTCGCAAGTTAACGTTGCGAATCTCACAGGGCGGCAACTGGCTGCCGTGAATGGGGATGATGAGCTGGATATCTCGTCGACGAAGGCTTGATCAAATTGACTCTATGCTGTGGCGTGAGATCATTGATGGCATCGTCCGCGAACCCCCGCTCCCTCATCTACTTTGACATCGATGGGGTGGGTCTCAGAGCCAGAGAAGAGCAGAGGAGGTGACAGATTTTAGTATACCGGCGGGAAGGTCGACAGGCATGACCACAATGTCTGAACGCGGGGCCGAGAGATGACGAATGACAACACCTCCCGCAACGGAACGGGTCCAACTGTCGCTGCAGGATCTGCATCATGTCTCACAGCCCGAAAGAAATGTTTGAAAACGCGTTTCGAGGGCCAGGAAGGGTGTCTCAGCCCGAAGAGTTCATGAAGAACCCTGGGCATGTGTTGCCAAGGTCAGACGACGGCATCGAAGTGTATCACGGGCTTGTCAGCACCACGTGGATATGGAGCAAGCTCGCCTGAACGAGCGATGGAAGCGAAACAACGTTGCAAACTGTTGTAGGACATCCGACCAATGGGAAGTCTCCAGGGTAGCATCCGCGGCGACCAAAATGTGCAGTATCTACCTGAAACTGCATCGCATGTCTTCGTGTCTGAGACTTGAGTGCAGATGAGTAGAATCAAGAACATGAAAGAAGAGATCTCACGGCCACACTCGGTCAACTCCCCAAGACACAGAAACCTCACTAAACCTAAGCCAAACCCAAGGAAGACCAGCCACACTTCCAGTATCGCCATTGCGTGAATAATTTCTGATGAGAGTGAAAGTCAGTCCGTCATGTCGAGGTGTCGGGCGACAAGAGTCAATACCGTCTAGATAAGTCTCATGGTCAAGCGGGGCCAAAATCGGAGCTAGACTTTACTGCTCGGCTTTGTCGGCAGTCCCCCATTAGGTGTACAATTTAAGCGGCGCCTTGTTATCATTCGCCACCACCTTCACTTGCATGCGCCCCTACCATGACACCGTCACTTAACGCGAAGCTTAGTCGAAGGAGTCACGACAACAGGCATGTTATTGCCTCTAATCGCCCCTCTTCCATTGCACCGATGCGACTATCCCGTACGTCTTCATCTTTGCGTCCGTGAGAGCCTGAGATTCACTCGCTTTAAAGTCTAGCTTGATTCCTGCCATGGCAGCAAATCGCGGCTCTTAAGTCGAGAGGCTGTTGCCCTTGACAGTCAGCACACATACCTGTGCCAAAACGTTGCGGTATGCGCGACGTGGGCGTGCAAAGTACAATGGACACCGGGACCAAACCGCCGCCGTTCACCACGAGGCCTTCCTAATGCGGGGACAACAATAATCTTATCAAAAAATTGATTGAGGTACACACCGGATCCGGAACCTGGTTTGTTCACCGCCTTTGCGTACCGTCCACGATGCTTCCGTGCTTTTTGCCCGCGTCTGGGCCTCGCGCGACCTCGCGCTTATTGTCTCTTGCTCTCGTCGCCATTTCCGTCCTCGACGCCTTGTTGACGGTACGCATCCACGTTGTTCAATTAAAAGCTATGGTCTCATCAAATTTTGCACGCTTTGACCCTTCTTTTCCCACTTGCCTCAGACCACATCACGGACCCGCATAGCTCGTGTTGCCCACACCCTCTGGTAGGGAGCAGCTGAGATTCTCACTCTTGCGCCTTCCTTGGTACTCAGGACGTACGCCTCGCGATGCTCCACTTCGCTACTCTTCCCCTCCCGCTGCTTCTGCTCTGCTTGAACTTTGCTTCAGTCGTGTATACTCATGGCTATGTCGCCCAAGTCACAATTGACGGCAAGACCTATCAAGGGAACGAGCCGCAAGGAACATCGAATCCTTCCATTATTCGCCAAATCAGCACCATCGACCCCGTTATGAGCGTCAATGACAGTAACTTGAACTGCGGGTGGAACGCGCCCAAGGCGACGCTCGTCGCTGATGCGAATCCTGGGAGTAAACTCACGTTCACTTGGTCTGGCGGGCCTGGCGGATATCCTGTAGGTTTCAGTCTTGGATTCATTTTTGACCGAGTTGTTGACGTGTCTCGTAGTGGCCACATAATGTTGGCCCGTTCTTCTTCTACATGGCACCATGTGTCAACACGACCTGCGACCAATACAATTCGATTAACGCGGAGTGGTTCAAGATAGCTGAAGTCGGAGCCAAACCGGGAGGCGCAGAATGGTACCAGCAGAACATTAGTGCGTTGTTCTCTTGCAGATACTTCAATGGAATCAGCTAACCATGAAATAGTGGACGGCTATCCCGCAAATGTAACGCTTCCGGCCGACCTCGCACCAGGCCAGTACCTCGTCCGCCACGAGATCATCGCGCTACACGAAGCGACCACGATCGATGAAGCCCAGTACTACCCATCCTGTACACAGATCAACGTCAAGGGCAACGAGACTGGCTACCCGACGTCTAACGAGACGTGTCCATTCCCTGGGTGCTATAAGGACACCGACCCCGGGCTCTACGATCCCACTGTACGCTCTCTTCATCTTCATCTAGCTTCACGAAATACTAACATGCGCACCAGGTTTACAATACACCCATCCAATACACCTTCCCCGGACCGCCGCTCGCGACGTTCGTCCTTGCTTCCGCCAACTCATCCGATCCGGGCACGAATCCTACCGGGTCTGGCAACGGCTCAAGTTCAGGCGGAAGCTCCGGTGCGGATCCCGGTGCCGACGGGAACAGTGGCAACGGGTCCTCCACCAGCGCAGCTAGCTCAGGCAAGGGCACGTGCAAGGTCGTCCGACCAGATGGCGAGTACTTTGTTGTGCAGCGTACAAGGCATAGGCGGAGCGTCAACCAGGTCTTGCGGAGGTGGTTGTCAGATACCAAGCGGGTGGTGATGCGGTATTAGACAAGTCATGGCGAGCGGTGTATTATATTCAAACGACATTGTACAATACGAAGTCGCGATTGCGCTATGTAGTATTCGGCGTGTACGATATACTTACACACGACTTATCTTGTGATACCAATACATTCCGGGCGGCCGAGTCGGTCCGAAGATGCATCCTTCATAAGCCTCTCGTGCACGATTGTCGTATTCGTCATACGCCATGGCTCACTTCAACCTTCGCCAAGTAGACGCATTGACGTTTGACGTCTTCGGCACGACCGTGGACTGGTTTACCACCATTAGCAGAGAGGTCGCGAGACAGAGCAAAGGGCGTATTGCTGAAGGTGCGTAATACGTCATCCCAACTTTCGGAGACTTCCGTTTCCGCGTGTCGTCCTTTGACCGATCAGCGCGCCACCGGACTGATGCTAGCTTCATAACCACATCAAACAGGATCTAAAGACGCTGAAGACTTTGCGAAGGAGTGGAGAGAGGGGTACTATCGCGGGACGTGAGTGCTTCACCACATTGATCCCGAGGCTGTCGTCGTATAGCCCCTATGTTCGCAGGAAAGCAGTAGGCGCTGGCGGTCAGGCATCGTCGCTCAACGTCGATGTCATGCATGGAGATGTAAGTAGCCATGAATTATTCTACAATCTACATTGGGAGTAAACCCATGTTACTTTCTATACAGATACTTGAGACCATGCTTTCGTCCGAGCGATGGGAACACCTCGGGGAGGTGTGGCCGCGGGATGGCGAAGAGAGGAGGGAGCTAATTATGTCCTGGCATAAGCTCGATCGTACGCTTCCAAAAAATACGTGTATCAACGTACCAAATGCTGACCGACATGAAATACAGCATACCCCGACACGGTCTCGGGCCTGACCAAGTTGAAGGTGCAGAAGTTCGTCATCGCGTTCTCGAACGGCAACTACCGTTTGCTCCTAGACATGGTCAGCCAATCGCATTGACTTATACGACTGGTGGACCATCTGGAAGCTAATCAGTCATACTTGTATAAATTGGGCAGGCGAAGCACGCAAACCTACCTTGGGACGGCATCTTGTCCGCAAACTTCTTCGGAACTTACAAACCGTAAGTCCCCTTTTCGCGCTTCTCTCCTCTCCTCTTTCCATTCCTGTTCCTGTCTCCCTCTTACTTGGTCGCTAACTTGCGCCACGGGATAGAGCTCCTGAGGCCTATGCGTCGGCGCAGCACCACCTCGACCTCCCTCCGGAGCGCATCGCGATGGTCGCCGCGCACATCCATGACCTACGCGCCGCAGCCAAGGCTGGGTTCCGTACTGTGTATGTCCGACGGGCCGCCGAGGATGTCGGTGTCGCCGATAGCGTGAAGCCGAAGAACGAGGGTGGTGAAGTGGATGCGGTCGTCGGGAGTTTCGAGGAACTCGCAGCACTGCTGAAGGCGGCGTGAGATTTGAGAGGTAGGTGAGGGTAAGTTTGGGTGGCTGGTCCGTATCGTTGTACCTCCTTGACTGAAGGTGCCTACGAAAATAGAAAGAATTGCGTCGAGCGAGGATCTGCGAGAACAAAAACGTACAATGGCGACGTCACTCGTTCGTTCTATTCGGGCTCAGTGAGCGATTTTTGCGTCCTCGTGAAGTGCACTCTGTGAGTTTATTGGTCCCTCCATGCTATTGACTTGGGCAGTGAATACGGGAAGGGCCTCGAAGTCGAGGGTCCGCCTTGCGAACTATAAACGTCGTGCAGAAGAAGTGAATTCTTAAGTTCGTTGACAGCTCGCGCTGCACCCCATTCGAGCCATACCTTTATCCAGCGTCTTCCTAAACCTTGACGGTAGTAGTCAACCTTGCTCTAGCTCCTTGAGGCAGCGCACGACACCCTCCGACGAACGGCGACGCCGTGAGGTAGCTTCAGTGTTGAAGGGATTATTCGATCCTCGGCCCCGTTCGGGTCTTGGGTGGTGACATGCATCATGGCTTAGGCGAGATGAAAGAATGGGGCTCGTCGGACAACTGGAACTGCCCGGCCGCAGCCGCTGTGCCTTTTTTCGCTCGTTCATCGGTCGCAACAAATTTCCGCCCCCTCCTTCCTCGCTTTGCGACCGGTTGAGAAAATTCGCGTTATGTTTTTCACGATCTTCAGCTCACGCCACCGACCTACCATCCAAGAACTATGGGAGCCTAATGTTAAAATAATCTTTACGGCTGGATAAAGTGGCGGTTGTAGCACCGAGGAGCGTACCAGACACAGTACGATTTCTCCCATATGTCCTTTGCGTTGACGTAAATATTTTGTGACAGCCTTCACATCCTATGTTGAGTCCTCGACGATCTCAAAGACCGCGTCGAGGCTCGAAATGCTAGCCGATAGCAAGGGAACCAACGAGTCGGGCGAGAAATCTCGGTAGGCGGCCACCTCGAGCCTGGATTTTTTTGCGATGTGAACGGGGACGTTATGTCGACTTTTTTCCGTTGATGTACGCCTTGGCAAATACGACGCGAGCACTCCAGCCTCTCGTAGACCACTCGATTCGACATCAATGGTGCATAGTAATACCGATAGACATAGCCACTCTACATCCCTTTCCCTTTCTCTTCTGCTCCCTTTGCGTCTCGAAAAACGCTTGACCTGTACGGCCGTCGGATATCTTGAAAGGTCATGACAGACCCTGCAGAAATGATTGAAAAGTAAAGTCGCTGCGTATGATTGCTTATAGCGGCCGAAATAGGTTTGCGCCTCTGGAATACTATTTAGAGCACACAGAATAACTGGTAAAAGTACGCAGATTGCACCTATTCCTGTACCGTCAGCTGTTCCTGTGCAGCTACGCAACCATTATTGTTGGCGCTTGTAAGAGGAGTCAGGCTCGACGGTCATCAAATGCTGTCACGAGTCCGAAGGACCTTGATCGATAACAAGATACGATGGGAACATTTCCCCCGGTATGCGGACACGTTCGATCTACCAAGGAGGCGACGTCTTAAGCCCCGCAAGGGCAATTCGACTACACCCAAACTCGTTGGGTTCCATTCAGCAATTCTGATAGAACGTAGGGTCCAACGATGAGGAGACTGCCGCAAGAAGCGTATATGAAGTTCCGTATGTCTCTAGTCTTAGTATCATCTAATGCGCCCAATAGCTTGCGAAGGGACCCGCGAGCGTGGTTCATGTCCAAAGCCCTGCCTTGCAGGTAACGGAATGGAACCTCAAATATTCGTCATATTCGAAGCCGAAAGCCTAGAATATGGTTGTAAAACATGACGCCGAGTACAAAAGATGTGGTGTCCTCTTATTGGCAGGTTTGCTCCAGGCGAAAGATCAACCTTTGTCTGCTTCGGTAGTGTGTTTCTAACTCGGCGTTAAACGTCACGGTGTCTGTCTAGGATAAAAAGGGTCAATGGAGCTGAACGGCCTCCGGATTGACGGCACAAGGGACAGTAAGACGCTATCGACGAGACAGTTGCCGCAAGTTGGACAGACGTGCGAGATGGTGGTTCGTTAGCGAATCACAACTGTGGCGAGCCTTGAGGAAGCGGTAAGAAGCCGTCTCTGCCCTATAGTATCACAAAGACCCCCATATTTGAAAAGGAAAGATGCATGACTTTGCGAATGACATCTCGGAGAACGTGGCTGACTTCTACGACTAAGTTAAACAAGAATAACGCAACACGGACTACTCGGACAGGCTAATTCCTAATCACTTTCTACGGCCATTCAATTTGTCCATACCTAAATGCGCTATGGCAATCCCGTTACGTGCAGAACCCACCGCAGTTTTGCTGAGGACCATGCCAATCGCACCCCTGCTGGACGCGTAAGTAGTACATAGCATCGTTCGAGACGTCAGAAGAGGGATGGTTTGCGGCGACCATCGCACCCTCTCAAAAGGTTGGATTCACCATGAAAGACAAGCTCAGATAAGAGTGTCGAGTGTTTGCTGCGCTTACTGTACTATGTATGATAAGTTTTCTAACACTGAAGCATCCTAATGAAGCTCTCGCCGCCACACAACAAAATGGAGAACACTTGAGAAATGAACTCCGTTGAGCCTGTGGCGCACAAACAACGCTCGGGGAAAATATGTCACTGCTGTCAGATCATTCAGGGCGGGCGAATAAAGTGTCCGCTTAACTCCCGTTTTGATCGTCGGGCAAGACACGCACTGGCTGGCTCCTCGGCGTTGCGAAACGCTCTGAAAGCATGTCAGGACATGTGGCAGGACTGTGGCAGAACGTAACGTTGCCTTCCATCATTCTTCTTCTGTCAGCAGCCCCCTCGTTGAGACGGGGGCGCGAGAAGGTGCGAAAAAAGTTTGGGCTGCACATGCGCCCACACTCCAGGCGGTCCACTAAGCGAGCGGTCGCTTGGCATATCTTGTCACCTGGCGCTCAGCCGGTCCCTTCCTCTTTCGGGAGACGACAGCGGAAGCAAATTCGCAGCAAAGATCCTCGCCCGATCGCGGAAATGAAAGTTCATGAATTTTCATTTTCCTCAGAATCAACCGCCGTCGACCGCCACAACATGCGCCTACGAGCTGTTATATATCCAAAAGATGTTTTTTGGCGGCACACGACAGAAAACATGCTCGAGGAGCCAGCACAGGCGCATTTTGCGAATGTTCTAGACATTTTGACACGGTTGCACGGCCAGTCCAGAAAGACCGCTTCGAGCGTCTATCATGGAGATGACGTATTGCGCCCGTCGGCTTAAAGCCTCTTAAGGCTCACAGGATGTCGGTTCCCGCTTCGTCTGGGTCCGAGAGGAGGATAGGGCCCTGTCGACTTGGAGCCCGGCGGAGATCACCCTCGATACTGCGGAAAGGACAGGTGCATCGGGCCATCAAAGACAGTGCTCGGAGTGAGGTTAACGTCAAAACTTTTGATACATTGTGTGACACGCAGACATTAGGATAATTTGACAAAACAAGTGGGTAGAGTGCAGAGAAAGCATGAGAGCAGTTCGAGAGCTATGTTATCAGCACGAGCGAACGAAAAGATAGAGAAGAAAGATGAAAAAGAAATAGAGTCCCGTTGAAGAAGCAGACAGTCTAAGGCGTATGGGTTAACTAGATGAGTCTAAGGCTCGTCCGCGAGTTTATCTAAGATCATGAGCGACCAGGAAGGTCCCCGCGCCAGTACGGCATCGATTGCGATCCGTCACCACCAGCGGACACCGGGCTTGACATACTGGGGCTGTAATTGGAGGGACGTATGGGAGGAAGCGATGGGAGGGTCTGGCCGGGGTTATGGAAGCCGTGGTGCCCGCGTGCGTGCGGGTCGTCAGGCACACCAGCATAACTGCCATGCACGCCATATTCTGAGGAGGCATATCCGCCCCCCGGGTCCCTCGCGAACCCTCCGCCGGTCGGAGGAGGTAAGCTGAGGGGTCCGCCGTACCCACCTGTCGTTGACAGCGGCGAATGGGGAGCATAGCCGCCGCCGTTGTCTGCAGGGAAGGCGGCCTGAGGGTGGCCAGAGTGCCGCGGCGGGAAGGGGGGACTGAGACTGGGGAACGGCGGTGGGCCAGTGCTTTGCTGGGGGAGGCCCGGTGCACCTGCATCTGGCGACGGATGGTTACTGGGCCAGCCCCGGGTGGGCAAGTACTGCCCGTTATTGCCAGAGCCGCGATCGGCACCTGGAGACCAGGACTGATGAGAAGCGCGCCTTGAGTCACTTCCTGGGGGCCACATGCCTCCAGACTCTGGGTAGAACGCGGATTGAGAGGATGAGGGATAGCCAAAGGTAGAGTTCGAGGGTTCCGTATCTGGCGTGCGCGCCGAGGACATGCTGTGGGCGGGTCTGTCGTAGGGCGAGGCCATATAAGGCATCCGCTGGTCTCCGATGGCAGAGTTGGGGAAAGAAGGCGAATGATGCGTTGGGGGCACGTTGGAGTGCGACTGTCGAACGTCCGCGTCAGGAGTGATGCCTGTGGAGACGCTCGAGTAACGATGCTCCTGCCGGCTTCCGAGCATCCGGGTCTCCTCAAGCTCGGACGGGTCTACGACAGGAGAGACGTCACTATACTCGGGGGTATGCCCGTCATCGTGGGAGGCGTGGTCTGTCCCAGAATCCGAACGGCGCTTCCTACGGCTATTGTTCGGGCGGCGGCGGTATACATAGTCGGGGTACTTGAGGTTGAAGTTGTCCTTGAGCTGCTTAGCTTGGTCTAGATAGAATTGCTTTTCGGACTAGTCGGGCGGCAAGTTAGTGATGGACAGATGGGGGAGCCGATGGGAAGGGAAGCGTACTATTGCCATCTGGGTCCACTCCTTGCTCAAAATTTTACTGACTTCTCCCGTGCGCAACGATTGATTCTCGGCTGCGACCTGGGGACGGCGTCGGCGCGCGAAAATCATGAACGCGTTCATGGGACGCTTTGGAGTGCCGTCGGCATTCAGAGTCTGCGAGATGAGAGCTGCATTGGAGTCGTCTGTACGGCACAGAGGATCAGGAGGCGATGAAGAGGGAGAGGGGACGTGAACGCACCATCCATGTCGGGCTCTAGCTTCGTACCATCCGGGCCAGCCAAATAGCTCGCATCCTCCTCCGAATCGGTCGGTGAGTGGTGATCTTCGCGTTTGACGTCTTTAAGAGAGGTCCTATAAGTATCTGTGACTGCCATTTTGTCGAAGTGATCTGGGGTGCGGTGGTGGGTCATAGACGGGGGAAGGAAGAAGCAAGAGGGGTATTTTTGAGCAAGAGCCGAGGTCTTGAAGGAATGAAGGGGCGAAGTTTGATACGATCGGCAGTCCGCCCGTTTCAGAACCGGCTGAGGGGTCGATGAGTCTGTTACGAAGGCGCTGCTTCCGCTAGTGCGCCCAGAAGAAGGGAGGGAGGTTGTGACGTACTGGAGTCGAGGAGACAAGGCATGAAACAAGAGGCATGACAAAGGTTAAAGAGGCACGCACATCTGATCGAAAAAAACACGCTTGGCTGGAGATCTAGGTTCGCGGAGCTCATTAAGACTACACAATTTGGAAGTTCGAAGGGTCACATCATTGGAACCGAGCGGCTCACAGGCACTTTCGGCAAGTGCAACCATTTCTCCGTCCTCGAGGAACCTTGCAGAGGCGCCGTGATGCGAGGTGCAACCAAAGATGGCCGCATGGGTACCCGTAGTACGAGAGGTTCGTGTCGATTCCTGAATCCCTGCACCCTCTTCCGGCTAGACCCTACAGGAAGGGCCTTTCCTTCCAGGCCCTCAAATGCCCCCCCTCCGCCCGCTCGCACGATTCCGAGGCTCGTCCAGAGAAGGATATACTTGCAGAGGCAGGACCCTTGTTGGACGCGTGACTATACTTGGCTGTGGATGTCACAGGCCAGGTGTCGCTTCGCTGTCGTGAAGGCTCACAAGATCTGGTCACTGACCTGGAGGCAGTAGTAGCTCTCTGTCAACCTGGGCGCGTTTACCTTAAAACCCAACGTATCTTCTCTCGCCGCTTACTTGCCATGACAGGCACTAGTCCGTTCTACTGGAGCCGAGCGGAGATTTCTGAGATGAATTTTGGCATCGCGCGAAATGACTTTTGCTTCCAGCTCACATGCCCGCTGACGGTGCGCGGGTCCAGGTGTGCCCGCGTCGACCCCAACCCTGGGGTTGTCTCTGTGTACGCAATTGCTCTGGCAGACGATTTGTCGTATCTCAGATGGGACGGTTCGGAGCCCGTGGTCGTGGTTTGCGTCCTGAGGTTTACGGCAACGTCCGATGCGCCGTATGTTCCTTTTGCCTCCGCCAGCGCGGAGGCTATGTTGGCCCAGCCAATCCATGGCCAGGCCCGAAGTGGGTCAGGTATAGCAACACCCTAAAAGCCACAACAAGGTTGGGGTATTTCTCTTCATGTGTCATTAGTGCATGTCTTCTGCCGCCGATCAAGGACTTCCTCATACACCCTCGCAGTAGCTCGCCTCCGCCTCCTTCTCCTCGTTCGCGGGCGCGAGCATCAGCTCAGATCTAATATACTCGATTAACTTATCATCCTATTCATTTGCTCCGGAACATGCATATTCACTAACCCAGCGATCTGCGTTGCGGATGATGTCGAAGCCTGTCCAGATTTCAAATTCTCAAACCTTTCTCATGCGGCGCCTTTACGAAACCTCCCCATCTTCGCGTTCCCATTTCCCACCGCCAGCAGCCGACTGACAGATCCAAACCCAGTCCAACGGCCCACAGTAGCCCACAGTCTGATTGCCCTTTATCTCTCCTTCTTACTTCCTGCGCTATTCGCACTCTACGCTCTCTACAAGGTTGTGGGGGTTCACTTGGGGATATCTGGGGACACACGCGCAACACGCCGTCATTCTTTGGGACTTTCGTCATTCCGCGTCACTAGGAAGTCCAACTACGTCCCCAGTGGACTATTGACGCATCCGCTGGACAGTTGACCCCTAAACGTGATACATATTATCACTCGCAACTCGCGAAACGAGGACGTTCATAAAGTTTTCATTGATCAATCCAGATCATGCAAGGAAATCATACGAGATTCGCCCAATAAACTTTCAAGGGCGACTGCGCTTCAGATCTCGGACGGCCGCCCATGTAATCTCGGAGTGTAAGTTAGATATCCGTCTCCGAGAGACTGGCGTCACTGCACCGAACACCTGAACGCCGGGATGACCCGGAGGAGTGGACATGGACCGGAACGCTAACGTGAAGCATCAGCTGCCCCATCCGCTCTGTATGATTGGCGCATTGACCATGAAACCGCCTGACGGAGAGTGATGTGCCACAGCTGCAGTCCATCGATCAGACTAACTGTCCTTCATCTCTCAGGGGCGTTTTGGGGCGCGGAGGGTTTCGTGTCGCCGGTACTTAGACCACGGGCTATGAACGGTCTGGAAACACAAAGAGGGATGCGATAAACCAGTCGACCTACCCAGAACCGATCTTCGGGCTGATGTTGCACGCGGTGAAGCAGGAAGCGCCTGTCTAACGCGGGTTGTGCGTCCCGCTATCGGCTCTACTTTTCCAACGACGAACACAGAGGGCACTTACGTTGCTATCTTCAGCGGGAGCCGTCTGCTCTGAGCTCTGAACTCAAAAAGGTGAGTCGCACGTTATCATAGGTGTCAAATACTTACGTTGGACTTCACCCCAAATGCGTCGCTTCTTCCTCAGGTCGCCGGTAAGCTTCACTTTGCATGCCCAATTTACATCGAGGTGACCCACGACATTAGGTTTATGATTTGGACAACGATCATAACGTAAAGTTCGTGTTCCGGCGCCAAGCTAGCCATTCTTTGCTCTGGTACCCATCAGGCCGAAGTGAGGTACATCGATGTCGGACAAGACCAGCCGGAACGGGGGCATAAATGGTAGACCATGATGAACCAGACTGAGAGATTGCTGATCCCTGAAAGCCTTTGGACAGCGAGCAATGGCTGTCCCAGGCAACATAGAGCTCGTCCGGAAGCACACGATAGCCAAAAATTTCTGCTCTTCGACAAAGAAGGGGCCCGGCCGCTGTACCGATGGTTCGCGCGCTCTGGATTTTTGGCTTTGCTCAGCCAATAAAGAGACTCTGCGGAGCCAGCATTACGCTATCGTTGGCAACGTTGCACAGAGAACACGCATCGGCCGCAGAGGGCGTGAGACGAGACACACGGACGCGAAGGTTTCCGGTCGTCCTCGTCCGAAGGTAGGCCGATCCCATCGATGCGTTCGCCTTTTGCCCACAAGGCTCCAGAAGCACAGATGTCCGCATGGACAGGTCGCCACCATCTCAGGTACGAACAAGTCGTCGTTCGCAGGCTGGCTCTGTGTGCAGATGGGGACGCAGAGAAAGGAAAGCCGGAGGCGTACTCGGATGCTGCCTGATGAGATGAGCCGACGAGCACATAGGACCGTCAGGCGGAGGAAGACTACACGAGGCGTCGGCGCTCGGAGTCGAACTGGAGAAGATGAGGAGAAGGCACACCCGGGCGAGGTGCTGCTGGTCCTGTGAACGAATCTCGAGATAAGCGAATCGATGGTGGGACATGGAACCGGAAGGAGGACCGCACGATCGCGAACGCCACTTCGGGTGGGGGATTTCATATGCTCTGAGCATGTCGCCTCTGGTCCAGCGTCAACCCCGCCGATCTGTAGGTAGGGGATGGATGGATTTGGTGGCTGGTAAAAGGTTAGTGCGATGTTGAAGGAACAACTTTGGGACGCGCGCGTCAGGAAGGTGGCGCTTAGTCATCTCTGCTGACTCATCCATTCTGACTCCGCGCCATCGCTCACTGCGGAACGGACGAACGCGTCCTCGTCGTCACGGTCTGTGCTGGTGAGCATCGCATACAATCTCCATTGGTGGTATCTATCTACCCCGCTCATTGCAGGCTGGAATCCAGTGTCAACGTTGCAAGAACGCATACAGGCACTTAGAAGGGCGGACACATGAAGGACCTTCTCACCGATGCGAGTCAGTCGCTCAAGATAATCTCCTATTATCAGCTCACGCGCCCTGACTGCGCCTTGCCTTCTTCGAAACCTTGCAGACTTCCCAAAGACCCAGGATGGGCGAGTGTATCACCTGGGCATCCGCGCTGGCGAGGTCGCCAACCGCATCGTACGGGAGTCCCCTTGAACTCTCGTATTTCTCCGGCGTACTAATCCATGGCTGCGTGCTGATCCACGGCTTTGTGGTGATTTGAAACATGCAGGTCACGATTGGCTCGACCTCGCGCGCCCATCGCATCGCCGCGATGCTGGATGCCGAGCCCAAGAGGTTCGAGCTATCCTCCGAGCGAGGCTTCCTGACCATCACGGGCCGCTACAAGGGCGTGCCCGTTTCGATTGTGTGTATCGGTATGGGTGCTCCCAACGTGGACTTCTTCATCCGTGAAGTGAGAGAGTGCATCGAGGGCGACATGGCTGTCATCAGGTTTGGTTCTGTCCCCCATCTTTCCAACAATCCGTCTTTCTCGGTACTGATTATCTCGGCGGCTGTTCTGTCCCCCTGCGCACGCCCATACGTGCATACATGCATATGTGTTGTGCTTTGTGTTCTTTCCGGAAATCAGGCTAGGCTCGTGTGGCTGCCTGACAGATCTCCCGGTGGGCTCGCTGGTGCTTCCGACTGCCAGCGTCGCAGTAACTCGGAACTTCAATTACGATTTCGTCGAGGGCGATCCATGGGAAGTACCCTACCATGTCTCTAGGCCCGTTCGTACCTGTCCGGTTGTTTACATCGGGAGTGGCCCCCGAGCTAATTAGTCCTTATGCATCAGGTCCAAGCAGATCCTCTCTTGCACCAGACCGTACGTCGGACTGTCACTCTAGCAGCCGATTCGCTCGGAGGCACTGAGTCCTTCGTAGCTGAACGACGCGCTGGCGCGAGCGCGTCCTGCGGACTCGAATACGGCCATATTTGCGGACGCCGTAAACGCCTCAGCAGATAGGTATGCATACTTTTCCGGCATCGCATCTCTACAGCAAAAGGCTTGGTGCTGAGGCGTGATCTCGAGCTTTTACTCTTCTCAGGGGCGCCAAACAGCGTTCCACGACCACAACTCCGACTTGATCGAGAACCTCAAGCGGGCAGTACCCAAGTTAACGACCCTTGAAGTACGCTCTTTCCAAATCCTCTCCCTGCCCCCTCGAACTTTGGCCAACCTCCATTTCTCTGTCCATTTTACTCCACGGAATTCGCCACGCTGCCATTATGAACCCAGTACTAACTCCTTGTGGTCTCGACCGAAACAGATGGAAACCTTCTACGTGATGCACCTCGCACGTTCATGGCGGGGTAGCACCGACCTCTCGTCGCCATCGTCGGCCCCTCCGCTCACCGCCGGCCCGGTGCGCCCCGCTGACCCCGCGGGCAAGCCGCAGGGCCAGCACGCACGGGTGGGTTCTCGTAGCAGCGCCGCCCGCGCGAGCGTGATCAGAGCGGCTGCGGTGCACATGGTGTTCGCGAGCCGGAGCTCGAGCGACTTCATCACGCCTGAGAAAGTCGCCGAGGCGGAGGAGTGGACGGGGCGCGGGGTGCTGGAGGCGCTGATTGCGTTTGATGTGCCTAAGGGGGTGAGTCGGTGTTCATATTCATGCGGACTGTAGTTTTGTCTTCGGAGCCGGCGGCTGAGAATGTTTGGATGCGCGTTTCTTGCAGAATCTGCATCCGGAAGAAGGGTCTGTGTGGGATCTGAATGGGAATTGAGCCGTGTGCTTGATTTTGAAGGATTTAGACGTGTATAGGTATGTAGTAGACAATGTCACAACTCATAGAGTATCCTGCGAAGCGCAGACAAGTGCAAAACAAACGTCTCCTGTTTACGCTTCAACTCCACCCCATCCAAACTCTGTTCAATCACGGTCAGCCCAAAGTTCATGTGTATAATCGATTACGCCAAATTCGGCCCCAACTTTGTCGATTGAACGACACCTTAGCCAACCCGCTGAAAGGTATCATTGCCTATGTATTGAGGGGTGATCAAGTTGCCTGTACATCGTCGACGAGATTCCGGCCCATTAGCCCCCTAGTCCTGGTGGATGTCTTCGGGCGGGATATGCGATCTTCTGCTTCAACGTCGTGGAATGAGGTTGAAAGTTGGTGACACACGACATTTAGCTCTCAATTAGGCGATCTTCGTTTCCCCCTTGCTGTTGTCACCAGACATCAGAACCTCATTATCTACGCACCCAATAGCTTGTACTGCAAGCATTTCTCAATAATAGTGGTATTATTACTTGAAATTTGTTTCAAAGATTAAGGTGAACATGTTTCAATCATTGGTTCCTCATTATTTGAGTTATTATCAAAGACAAGAAAGGAACACGCCTGTTACTGACAGCCGAACAACCCTGTTTTTAGATAAAGTTATCAAACAATGAGGAACTAGTTATTGAAAATTGTTCACCTTAATCTTTAAAATAATTTTCAAGTAATAATGCCGCTATTATTAAGAATTGCTTGCAGTGTAGATGACCAGTAGCCACTAGGATTCCCGCGTTCAAAGATACCACCACCGTTTTCGAGATCAGCCAGCCTTCTTTCCGTACATCCATGTCTTCACCCTCGTCACCTCTTACACTGTTTACCCTCATTATTTCACGCTTACACCCTTGCAGAAGAAATGCGGTACTGGGAAAGTGTCTAGTACGATGATGAACCGATGGTAAGGGAATAAAAGCAAAGACCTCGCAACACGCCAATGACCAACTTTCGAGTGACAATCAGACGATTGAGAATTTTTTTTTTCATCTTTCATATGGGTGGGTGATCGAGCATCGAACATTTTTGAAACTCCTCAATCTAGGTAACACAATGAGCAACTCTTCGTCCTACTCGTAACTCAGATATCAGAAGTTTTAGCTAGAGATTTCGAGTATAAGTATCAAGTCTCGGCCTCTGCGTGAACGGTGACTGCCGTTCTTTTTAGTTAGAAAGACTTGCGTGTAGTGTAGTATCACAACCGCCGATAAGCTATCTATCAATACATGGTTTTCTCCCGTTGTGTGATCAGGAACAGATGTCAACTCGTAGTGCAATCGTTCAGTTGTACTACTGTACCTACATGACCGTAGGTTCGTCACGCCTCACGCTTGACCCGTAAAATGAACTTAAGACCTGGCTCGTCACCCATTACACAAGAGAATGAACCTCACTGCGTGACGAAAAATACTAATACTATTACATTCTGATGTAGTAAAACCGTTCGCTGCAGCGAGTGTTTTCTGCATTCCTTGCACTGTGAGGTTAAATTTTTCGAGACCCTTACCGCGACCGCAATTGACTGGAGATGAGATGTCGAGCTTCCCACTAGTGGCAGGCTTTAATTAGTCAGTCATACCGGTGGCGAGGGCTTGAGATGTTTGTGTACAAGCCTGATGGACGAGGAATGCCGGGACGCTGTAAAATGTGGTCCGCGTTGCCTTCTCCTTCCAATGAAACATCCTCTTCACCTTCATTTTATTAGTTATGTCTTGAGGATGTCACCAACCACCCTGGTTCAAAGTCACACGTTCGCCGGACGTTTGAACTTTGGCCTCATCGGAACTTATTTTGATTCCATGTCACGCAAAAATCCCTTGAACCTACGGTCGTGTAGGTACAGTATACTCGATGGGAGTGATCTTTTCCCCGCTGTCTTCAATATTCCATTTGATATTATAACTGGAGTGGACACTAGCTAATGCAAATGCCGGAACTCAGGCCTCAGGTTTTGGAAAGAATAATATTGGCATGAAGATACACACGGCACTGAGAACATTCATGAGGAGCTCTAGAGGGCCTTACATGGCACAAGGTCGCGAGATACCTTGTGAAGACGCGTATGATTGTACGTGTTGAACGGAGAGCATTTGACCAAATTGATTGCGTGTAACAAATGGGACAGCTTATTCTTTGATATTGTTTCCAGGCAAGCTATCAGTGTTAAAGCTTAAAGAGGCAATCGATTCGAAGAGTGGGAAGAGACGTAATAGTGGAGACTTTCGAGGCAATGTGATCAGGTTGCGAGGCAGGTCAATTCGGATCAAGCTGTTTGTAGAAAGAAGGTTTGATGAGCCAGTAGTTTTTGCCTTCTCGTCCCCTTGATCACCAGAAAGAAGTCTTTTCTCAGTTTTCTATATGATTCAAGGGGTTGTGAATCATACCAGTCTCATGAGTTAGGTACGCTTCTATGAAGGTGTACTCTGACGAGAAAACCATCGAACACCAAGTGAGAATGTGTATAGCCAGATGTGCCTGAAACGATTGGTAGCAATTGACCTACGAGCGCGGAGTGTTGACCGGCAACTCAAATCAAAGAATGAATAGGATACCAAGGTCCGAATTTAGCGCTATCAGCATCGGTCAACGCGTCCATTTTACTGTTGGCTTCCGTGATTTCACTGCTTGTTCAGTGCTCATGGCTTTCGTTGGGCAGGCTGGATACAGGACACAAGCGGCCAGCGTCAGGCGGTATTACAAAGACTGAGAAGTGGGTCATGATAGTACGCTGAGAGGATGGTTACTTTACTGTTATCAAGTTAAGCTATCAGCTGAATGATGCTGTTCCGAAGCGTGGTTCCTGTGGCGTCAGGGCGTTACTCCAAAGTGATAGCTTCGCACCATCACAGCGAAGGGCGACTTTATCAGCACTGCGTCATGTCAAATGAAGTTCGCTTTAGCTAGTTCGGTAAGCTAACGTTCGTGCACGTAACGAGCACATTCGGAATTAACAGCGAGACAGCCGGTTTCAAAGTCTCCGAGTCCAACATCTTCCGGTTCGAGATTTTGGCCACCGCCCCTCGCCCCTTGATCGGTTGGCGGATTACGAGACGGAAGCAAAATTTTGTCAAGGAACGGATTCAAGGGACGTCCAAGAGAGAGGATGGAGAGGCTAATTAAAGGTGACGATGATCAACGGCCAGCCAACAGGATCGCGTGAAAGCCAAAGCCCGCCTGAAATGAAGAGCCCCTAGCCGTTTGTAGCGTTCTCCCGCCTTATCTCTCGTACATACACGCTCCTCCGGCGCCGCTGATAGCCCGGTCTGCAGATGCTCAATCGAGCCCAAATGACATCCCTCAACGCCTCACAGGGACAGACGCTCGATAAAACCCTATAATAAACAAGCCACCAACGCTTCTTTTGATAGCTCCCAACTTTCCTCTCTTTCGACGTCATGTCTATAGAGGATGAAAACCACTTGTCCTTCAAGAACGAGAAGGGCAACGTTGACGTGCAAAATGTCGAGGATGGCGGGTACACGGAGCCTACCAATCAAGACCTTGCCCTCAATCGGCAGCTCAAAAACAGACATGTCGCCATGATCAGGTTCGTTAGCTATGCCATGCTTGCATTTGTCGTTGGCTTACAAATGGTTGTTCAACGTGTAGTATCGGTAGTGTCATTGGGACGGGACTCTTCCTCGGAAGTGCAACCGCGCTCACGAGTGGTGGGCCAGTCGGCACCTTGCTCGGTTATGCATTCATGGGGACCATCGTCTGGTGTGTCATGGTTCGTACCGCCCACGCACCTGTGTATATGCGCCTCTATAAGCTCGAAAACAGGTCAGCATCGGCGAGATGATTGCTTTCCTGCCTATCGCTGGTGGTCAGATCAAGCTCGCGGGGCGGTTCGTCGACCCAGCCTTTGGATTCGCAGTCGGGTGGAGCTTTTGGTACGGCTGGACGGTACGTAACTTTTACTCTGTTTTCCGTCTCCATTCTACGCGTTCCGTTATCTGTGCCTGGCGAACGTTTCCCGGTTACTACGGCATACGGAATTGACGCTCACCTTGACATTCACTGCCTCCCCCAGATCGTTCTCCCTGGTAAGCATTTGCATTTTCAGGGATTGGAATCCAGTGCTAGCGGACGACGCTAACGATAGTGCGTTTGCAGCGGAGCTGTCTGCAGCTGCGACTCTCATAGATTTTTGGCAGCCGGGTGTGAGCAATGGAGTATGGATAACGATTTGCCTCGTCGTGGCAGTAGGCATCAATATGAGCGGAGTAGGTGAGCATTTCGAGAGTTTGACCTACCGCATACATCCATCCCTCCTTATCGGTTCTGCACTTCCTACTTCCACGTCCCAACTTCATGCGAGGAGATCCACCCATCCCTATACTCACCTCATTTGTCATTTTGGATAGGCGTATACGGAGAATGCGAGTTCATCTTCTCGTCAGTCTATTTGTTATCTTTGATGTGACTGGCACGTCGACTTACCCTCGTCACTTTTGGCCCTCTTTGTTTGGACTACGTGTCTTGCTCTACGCAGCTCAATCAAGGTTATCACCATCACCGCGCTCATCATATTGGGGATCATCCTTGACCTTGGCGGTGGGCCGACGCATGATCGCATCGGCTTCCGATACTGGAAAAACCCGGGCCCATTCGTCCAGTTCAACAATATACCAGGAGGCACCGGACGCCTCGTCGGCTGGTCGCGCGTCGTCATACAGGCTGCTTTCTCCTACGCTGGTACTGAGACCGTTGCCGTAAGTCATGTGCCATCCAAAAGCAGAGGGAACGCTGATTCGACCGAGGGGGTAGATTGCGGCAGCAGAAGCGAAGAACCCGCGACGCAACTTGCCCAAAGCGATTCGGCGCGTGTTCTTCCGCATCGTGGTGTTCTACATTGGCGGCGTGTTCGTCGTCGGCCTGCTCGTGCCGAGCAACGATCCGCGTTTGAATCTTGCCGGGGACAACGCGACCGCAAGTCCGTTCGTGATTGCGATGGACAATGCGGGAATTAAGGGCCTGACTTCGGTGTGTCAACGTTGAACTCTGGCTTCATCCTGTAAAACATAAAAGAGTCTGACGGACGGGCGTGCTCGTCCTGCAGGTGATTAACGCCGCGCTCCTCACGGCAGCTTGGTCCGCTGCTTCGAGTGATCTGTACCTTGCCTCCCGTGGTCTTTGTACGTACCTTTATCCTTCCATCCTCCCTTCCGTACAGTAACTCACCTGTCGCTTCACTAGATGGCCTCGCCACCGCCGGCAACGCGCCCAAAATCTTCACGCGCACGATCCGCGGCGGCTTCCCCTACGTCTGCGTCAGCTTCTGCGCAGCCTTCTCGCTGCTCTCGTTCATGAGCCTCGCCTCGTCCTCGGGCCAGGTGTTCCTCTGGCTCTCCTCGCTCACCGCGACGTGCGGCCTGTGGGGCTGGTGCGCGATCGGGATCACCTATCTGCGGTTCCGCAAGGGATTTTTGGCGCAGGGGATGGACAGGAGCAAGCTTCCGTACACGAGCGCGCTGCAGCCGTACGCGGCGTGGTGGGTTGTGATTGGGTGTGTGCTGTGTATGATCGTGCGTTTTTTCATCCTTCCCCCCTCCACCTCTTCAAGTCCAGTCTACTTTTGCGAACGGGTCAGAGCTGACTGGTGCTGGATGACACAGTTCAGCGGATATGAGGTGTTCCTCACCGGGGGCTGGAACACGGCCACCTTCGTGACGAACTATCTGCCGATTATCTTGTTCCCCCTTCTATGGGTGGGCTGCAAGTTTTACAAGGGGACGAAGTTTTTTATTCCGCCGATGGACATGGACTTTGTGAGCGACGTGAAGGAGATCGATGCGATTACGACGGAGGATCCGCCGCCAAGGAATTGGGTGGAGAGGGTGTGGATGGCTATTGTAAGTTTTTTTATACTTTTGTTGTCTTTGAGGATTTTAGGCGCTGAATATCGCCTCGTAGATGTAAAGCGTGCGCGCAGAAGATCTGGCTTGAACATAGGATCAATAGGCGGGGCTGATCTCAGTCATGAATTTCACGACCGTTTCAGCATTGTTTCTTTTACTTACGTTGTACGCTATCAGCTGTTTCTTCTCGTTGCATTAACACGAACCTTACGAGGAGAAAATGGGCGGGCTTACCACGATTTTAATAGTGCTTTGTAGATAAGTACACTCAATTGATAATGCTTTCTTGGTTTCGTGAGGTCATGGGATGGGAGAGTGGAAGAAACCGTCCGCATCGTTGTCTGCCGAGTGATGGCTCCAGTGTGAGACGCGATGACGCGACATTTGTTCTTGCTTTCGAATGTCTTGTCTCAAGGGAAAGCAACCACTGCGCGGCCACATCCTGGACGGGCTCGCTGACGGTGATAAGCTCAAGCGCTCAAACTCAAGCCATGTCTTGACTACCCAGCAACATCGGATAATGAGTCACTTACGCCAACCATCCTTTCCCAATGGAGACGACGTCTGTCAGCAATGCCCTTTCGTTTCGGTCCTCGTTGACATCGCCCTGTAAGTACTCTCCTGTGATCCATTCCTGCTCTATCCAGCTCTGGATTGCTGGCTCCTCTCAGTTTCTAATTCTTGTTACGGCAGAGAGCGGTGTTGACTGATATCTGATCTCATAGCATCGACCACATACACTCCAACTTAACGAGACAAGGAACTCATGCCCGACGCGTTCCACCCCCCTCGACGCGTTCTCATCATAGGTGGAGGTCCATCTGGACTCGCGACGCTTCGCAACTTCAGGGAACACGGAAAATTCGAGGAGGTTCAGCTCGTCGAGAGGAGGGATGCGATTGGGGGTGTTTGGTGCGCCCATTCCAACAGATCCCGTCCTTCGTAGCCTCGCCTGATGTGAATGGCTTCTTCACAGGTACCAGCCTCCTCTACCGACCGCACCTGAAGCCAAACCAGAGCACCGCGACAGATGGCCACGGCCCGCGTATCCGGGGCTCGTGGGCAACGTTCTCCCCGAGTTCTTGTCTCTCGCTGGACATCCATTTCCGGAGCCGTTGAGGCCTGCACAGCCTTTCCCCATTCTTGAGGAGACGAGCACATATGTCATGGACTACGCCCGTTCGGAGAACTTGTTCGACTCCAACGAGTCGGGCAAGTGCAGAGTGCGGATACGGCTGAACGTCGAGGTGATTAGCGTTGGCGAGCTCGAGACAGGAGGATGGAGAGTCGTGTTGAAGGATTGGAGCAAGGGCGAGGAGAGCGAGGAGGTGTGGGACGGGGTGGTGGTTACAACGGTGTGGTATGATAACCCGCGGTATCCGGTTATCGACGGGTTGGTGGATGCGATTAATATTGGAGGGACAAATGGAGCTGCGGGTGCTGGAAAGGGGGGAAGGCTTGTTAGCCATGCTATCCATTGGGATGGTGTGGAGGACAATGGGTATGAGGGCAAGGTACGTTTGTTCAATCGGAAGGTGGGAGTCAAGTCATGATAGTGTCCTTCCCTCTAGCGTATCGCCGTCATCGGTAGTGCCAACTCTGCCAATGAGATCGCAGCAGCGCTCGCCAACGTGGTTTCTACTCCTATCTTCCGTTCAGTCAGACGCGTATCAATATTCCCTTCGGTCCTGGACGACAGGATTCAGGACGTTGCTCCTGTACAACGCGTCGAGATCGTTCAAGATTCTACCTCAGGTACACCATCGAAGCTCAACCTACATCTTCGAGCTGAAGATGGCCAAGACGGAGAGATCCTGAAGGACATCGACCACATCATCTGTGCAACTGGATATGTACCACATGTGCCCTATCTGCGTGTCCCCTTCCCTTCCAGAGCAGATGAGGCTATCCCGAGTACGCTCAAGCACCTGACAGGCCCACACGTCGCACCTATGCGCGTTCCATCACTTTACCGACACACAATCTACGCGCCCAACCCGACCCTCGCATTCGTCGGCGCCACAATCTCATTTGTTCCCTTCGTCCTCTCCGATCTAACGAGCACCTGGCTCGCGCTCGCCTGGCACTCTCAGCCGTCCTCAGCCTCGGACACCAATCCCATCCCAGTTCCCACAACCACAAGCGCCCGCCTCGAAGACGAACAGGCCCGCATCCAGCAGCTCGAAGCCGTGCGCGCAGAGACGGACAACCCGTCCGACCTGCTCAACTTCCACTTCCTTGGCCGGTTCGAGCTCGAGTTCGCGCAGCTCATGCGCGACGAGGTGTACGCCGCCGAGCCGGCTATGGCTTCGCCCGAGCGCAAGGGGAGGCCGCAAGCGGGTGGGCTGCTGGCGTGGGACGAGGAGCAGGACGGGCGGAGGTGGACGATGTATAGAACTAAGTTGGAGAGTTTGTATTGGGCGGTCGGGAAGGAGTCGCCAGCGAAGGAGTAGGATGTAGGATCTGAGTGGGTGGAGTAGAATATCCTGCTACATTGCTATTGTACACTGATCATGTCGTCTAAGAGTGAAATATATTGTTGTCAAAACTCGGAATCAAGTAAGCTGTACGAAGCATGTAGGAACTGGTGTGTATTCAGTGTATTTCTCCATTTTTGGCTGCCGTTCACGCACCAGGAGCATTGTGTTCTTATATCCCACTTCTATAACCTACTTGGACCGCGCGTTAGAGGCTTGATCATGACCTGAAGATCGCTGTGGCTGGTTTGTGTTTGTCTGCCTGCGAACAGGCGCTGATCCTGGTGGTTGTGATAACAGTAGGCACTCGTTTCCTTGCCTTCCGAGTGAGACCGTAGGAGAGTGCATTCCCGTTAAGTATCGAGAACTACATAAGACAATATATTTTCACTAAAGTACACTATCTTTACGAATTACGACCAGGTCACTTTCGTTCCTTGGTTCAAATCCACCGCCACATTCCCAACCACCAACTCCTGCGTCGCATCCAAATACGTGAAATTGCCCACCACCTGCCCACCGACGCTCACACTACTAAAACCGTCACGCTCTCGAGTTTTTGCTGGATGTCGTAGCCTCCCTGGCTCGAGATAGTCAACGCCCCACCTTGAGCGACGAAGCTCAAGGTACGACTGTCGCCTGGCGGAGAACTCTCCCCGTCGTCGACATACGCCGTCCCGAACGCGTTCCCACCCTTATCGAGAGAGACAAGCAGCTCGTATGGTCCACTACGCGTCTCATTGATCGTGTACCCTGGCTTAGCATGCAGGAGGAGCGCAGAGCCGTCCCGGATATGCACGTTGATGGTGCTCGGTGGTGCCTGCAGCGTCGTGTTCCCGCCCGAGGTGCTCGCGTTCACGGTGGCGTGCGTCCACCAGTCCCGCCAAGTGACGCTGCCGCGACCGGGGAAGATGCCTATGCGCTGACCAGACTATGAAATGATACTCTTAGATAAGCTGACGCACCATCGACTGTCGTGGCGTTCTCTTCCAACACGGGCGTGACCAGAATGTCGCTTCCAATGAGGTACTGACCATCGACGCCGAAGAGCTCTGGCTCGTTCGGAAATTCGTACCACAGCGCGCGATGGGAGAGCCTTGAGTCGATGCATTCGCGAAGAGGGTTTGCTGTATCGATACGGTCGCATTAGTATGAGTGGAAAGAGGGGAAGAAGTACGAACCCAGTACGGCAGCAGCGCATATCGCGCAGCAATCGCAATGCGAGTTGCGTTCGCAACGCTAGGCCAGCGGTATGGTTCCTGGGGGTTAGATCCGCCGTTGTGGTTCCTGTAGAAGGGCGCGAACGCAGAAAGCATGTGCCATCGGTTGCACAGTTCTTCAGTCGTGTTCCCGACTGGATGGATGACCCAGGCCCAGTCAGCGGTAGAACTTGGCAAAAACAGTGACTACCGCTCACTGAAACCGCATGTATCCGAGCCAACCATGGGAATCTGATACAGCTGGAACTGTAAAATGCCTTGGATGCTGAGGGACATCGACTGGAACGTGCTGTAGTTGTCTCCAAGCTTTATCGAGTCCAATCAAGCTCTGCATACATTCGGGGACAATGATAGAGGACGCACCCAGTGGCCAGCCCACTTTCCAGCCGAAAGGAATGTCGACCGCGCGATAATGAATGCGCGCTTTCCCGCTCGGAGCGTCTGAAGCGCGCCATGGGTCGCGATTTCCTCCATCAGCCCATACATGTTGTGGGTGTCATAATGGCTGTACCCGCCCGCATGCACCGCGTCGGGCGAGACCGTGCGGTTGTCCGACGGGCCATGGCCTGTTACAAACAACCAACTCGTCAACAGGCTATTTGATGACGTGATAGCGGACAGCAACCACGCACCATTATGTATCGCATACGGCGGACTCATCACATCCAAGCCCGTCTCATTCCCCACCGCGCGCTTCGCACCCGGGAAACCAGACTGGGAGAAGTTAGCCGAGCCGCACGAACCGGCGCACAGCGAGCTCGGCTCGTTCATGTCCAGCCAGATCCCGTCGAACTCGATGCCCGACTCGCTCCAGTTCTTGAGTGCCTGCGTCCACCAATCTTGGGTGTTGGGCGCGAACCAATCCTGCCAAGCCTGATGCGATGCGTTGCATCACGGTCAGTGGTTGCATGCATGGGAGATAGCACGGGCAGATAAAAGGGAACGTACGACGAATCCGGGCCACAAAGAGCCGACGAAGACAGTGCCGTTCGGGTTCTTGATCCAGACGTCCCTGCGGGTAAGCATATGTGAGTATGCTGGATCAACAAGGTCAATGTGTTTGGCTTACTTCTCGAATCCATCGACGAAAGGTGCGTACTGTCGACACCGGTGGTCAGCTCTTAAACGCTTATCTGGACCAGGCGTCGAGAGGAACTCACGAGGTCGGTAGAGTTCTGTGGTGTCGCAATCGCGACGTCCACAATTGGGATATCTACAGTGCCACAACCCGGCTCATCAGACGGACGCGCTCAAGGCACGTATAAGTGTTGCGTACAGTGCTGTCCATTGGCGTGCTGAGCAGACCATCATTATCGGCGTGTAAATCGGTATACCGCTCGATTGAAAGAAACATACCAGCTCGTCAATAAGTGCATTTACTTGATCAACAGGGAAGCCGACCGGATCGGTTGTGAAGTCTCGGTTATGGTTGTACATGTCGATGGTACCCAAAGCCCCATGCGGGCACCCACGCCGGGTACCCAATCATCTCGCCATACTGCTCAATCACCGACACGGGCGATGGGCCGGAGAAGAAGTAGGAGTCGAGCGTGCCGCCGAGGAGGCGGTACTCGATCAGCGAAACATTAGACTCGGGAGGAGTGGTCAGCAGAATATCGGCTCCGTTCGAGCTGCCTCGCTAAGTTAGCGGTCCAGTGTAATGGAGCAGATGACAGAAAATGGGAAGACACACGAGAAGAGAAGACACTACAGGCAAATGCGATAATTCTGGACCCGAAAATAAGGAGGAAAATGCACTGGAAAGTAAATATTTTCCTCCATATTTCCCTTTGACCAATAGAGGCCGAAAAAGTTTCATGTTCCAGTGAATTTTCAGGCGACAAAATCAAGCTTAACTTCCATTTATAAACATTAAGCGCTGGCGGAGATTCAACTCCTGCTTCAACCTGCCTTTTTGGGCCTCTTTGCGCACCAGAAAATGATAACTTTCCGCGTGCTTATTCCTAGCCCGAAAATCTGTAGGAAGATGTTTACTTTCCAGGTCATTTTCCTGCTTATTCTCGGGCACAGAATTAGCACATTTGCCTGTAGTGAGAACCCCGTGCGTCGCGGACGAGTTGTTGCTATCGTCGTACCGGTGCTCCATGTAGATCGGATGCGAACCGTATATGTTCTGGTCCTCTGGAGTTGGGGAGTCGCGTGTCCACAGCGTCTGGATGGAGCCAGGTCCACCATTTCCGCCGACGTCGCGTCGGAAACCGCTGCTCGCGACAACCTCGCCGAGTCCATAGATATTCGTGTTTTGAGGCAAAGCTGATGCCAACTGACATCATCAACGGCATTAGCGACTGTATGAACAAAGACATGGTGAAACTCACCTGGAGATACTGATCCTCAAAAATAAGCTCAAAGCTGTCCAGCGCAGTCGAGTTGTCCGTCGCATTCACAGGAGCAATCGGCGTCTTGGGTAGCGACGCTGTGCGTGTATCGAAAAGGGGCATCGAGCCTGCTGGGTCAGAGCGGCGTGTGATCCAAAACGCGAATGACGACGCGTCGTAGTTGAACACGAGGTCAGAACTGTTTGCGTACGACGTCGTGGGCGGTTCAGGGACGGGGACAACCGAAGAGGGGATAGTGTACTGTTGCTGTGCGTTGTCGAAGATATTGACATGCAACCTTCGACAGCGTTTTAGCGCGGGATGAATTAGAGTCGGCGGGGAAAAGCATGCACCTCTGCTGGGTCTCGTACGTGACCTCAACGGTCAGGTTTTGAATGTCATTCCCAAAGGCATTGCATGCTTCTCCGGCAAGGTTGAGGTGCGCGGTGAGTCCAGTGTCGGATTGCTTGAGATCCTGCAGAGTGTATCCTGAATATACGGTAAGCAAACGTGCATATATGCGCTCCATTTGGCTTACCAGGGCAGCTCGTTACATTATATGAGTACGTAGAGTTGGAACCGAGTGCCTTACTGGCAGACGCGAGCGCCACCAAGCAAAGCGCTAGCGACTTCATCTTTACGGACGTTGCAGCGATTCCGTCACGTCACGGTGCAGATAGACAGTTCCCTTCTGTATACCACAACGGTCGATTCAGTGGGCTGCCTGATGTGCTTTTCGCTGATCAATGCGGTGAAGAGTATGGTGTAAGATGGTGACAAGCAACGTGAGCTACGACGTGTAACGCACCAGTCTCAGAGCAAGGCCGCGCTCATGAGGTCGCCCTTGACCAGCCTTTATATGCGGCGCGAGACAGTCGCACACGCTGAGCGCAACAGAGCGTGCCAGCTGATTCAGAAGATTGATGGGGCTCCTTGACAGGTCCATTCCGAAATGAGTTGGAGACTTGAGTGAGCTGATGTTGATGTTCTGCTCAGAGCTCGTCAGATGATTGTTATGTTACTGTGAGAAGGACCGTAATCACCTTCCAGGGCTCCTTGGGGGTTCAGTCCCTATGAAAAATGACTCCGTCGCCACTCTTTGATACTCTTTCGTACTTATATCCCAACGAGTGGCAATATTCAAATTTCCCTTAAAGTAAGCCAATAGAGTACAAAGAGCAGCAATGTTATTTCGAATCGAAACTGTAGCGACGAAATGGTAGTGAATGGATCTATTTACACTCTTTGACGATCGTTCCTACCTGTTGCCAAAGAGTACGAACGAGAGCCAACGAGAGCCAATGAGCAATGAAAATGAAAGCATAGCACCGAAAATCTCACCGAAACAAAATAGTACGAAAGGCCAGCAAATGATAGCAATCGGAGAGAACGAGTGAAAAAGAGCAAGGAAAGTCGAATGAAGCAGCGTCGAATGGAAAGGGATGGGATCACATTGTGTTGCGCTTGCGTTTTCCGAGAGCGGCTTTCGTCCTTCGCGTCCTTGAACTGCTGCTCGTAAATCTGCCATACAGATGAGCATTGCACGCAAGAGGGGCACCAAGACGAACCTGTTATGGGTCCTCAGAGAGACTGCGAAAGTCACGACCAAGTACATGTCTTGTCGAGCGCCCAGGCTAAAATATATGCCTATAAACACCATTAGACATGCAAAGGGGAAAAGGAACATGGAACTCACATAGTACATATCTCTGTCGGCATACTAATCCATCCAGTGCTTATCTTCCCGGTATCTTTAGGCCCTTCTTCTTCCGAGGCATCTCCTGAGACTGTGTCACAGACGTGCTGGCTGACGTGTTCGTGCGATGGGTTTTCGGGAGCCTGTAATCAGAGTAAAATGTGCATTCCAACAGAAAAATCTAAGACTTACCCCCAAAATGGAGCAAACGTTAACAGGGGCAAGCGAAGTGCACTGGCCACGTTGAGATTAGAGGCATTGCGACAGAACACACCACTTACCTCAATCCCGAGTTGCTTTGCTACTCTTTCTCCCTCCATCCTGTTTTCCCCCGCCTCTATCGTCTGTTTGCTTCTCCAGATGAGACACGCTAGTAGGCTTGTCTACATCTGTGACATAATGACTACTATTTCTATTTGCATACTTTATTAGCACAAGTAGTCGCAGGTGCACGGGAAATAAGTAGTACTCACATACCAGGGAGAAACCATGCTGTCCGTGACCGATGCAGAGGGAGAAAACGTGCTGAAACAGAGGCAAGACGGCACCAGCGTTGGTGCTAGCTGGGCAAGGAGGATGTCGTCGAGGGGAGTGGGAGACGTTGGGGAGAAAGGTGCATTTCAACAAATCTGCTTTCCCCAACGCGCCTTATCACGAAGTCAGGAGCACGACTGGATTAGGCAAGTTCTTTCAGACCCCGCAGTGGCGCAGCCCCCATAGGATCTCATAAGGCAGCAGGCTGTTGTCTTCGGCTTTCACTGTTACTGCTGCAACCGGCTTGTTTTATTCGGAATTGACACTGAGATAATTAGAGCCACCTCAATCTCAGATAACCTAGTTAAAGCAAAGCTGGCATTGTATATAGCTCCCAGTGGATATAAGAAAAGACACCACCCTTTTACCAATCAGGATTAATGGTGCTACTGTGCCAAGTATACCGACATCGACGTCGCGACTCTTAATAGAACGGATTTGTGTTTGCACTGACACGATTTGGTTCAAGGGGATTCGAAACGGAGCCAGAATCAATATCATAAGCTAATATTCAGATTGGAATCGAACACCAGGTTGACGATGTTTGGTATGGAATTCAAATTCCATTCTCGCATTTTGACATCTTCTGTACTATTTCAGGCTATCATCTGGGCCCAATGGAGTAGAATGAGTGCCAAAGAGAAGGAACCTACTACAATGAGTAGCGACGGAGTCATTTTTCATAGGGGTTCAGTGAGGAGTCACTGGGGATGGATGAGGCATCGATGAGGGTCGAAGCTGAAGCGTGACGCGTTCAAGGGATGAGGGTGTTTATGCCCGGACGCTCGAAACGATGGGCACGAAATTGCGAAGTTTGCATGTCGTCATGTGGTAAACAAATGCAAAGCCACGTGGACATCCCCGATTCCGAACCAATCCCGAACCAATCAGGCGCTGCTCGGGCCTAAAATTGCAATCCCGCCTCTACATCCTTGGGTCCTCTTGCTCGCTGTTCACAGTTGGACGCACCCAGCGCACGGAGGGAACATCCTTCAACCTGTTCCTTTCCTTGCAAGTCTCCATAGCGTGCCTCGCTGCTATACTCGAGGGAGTGGAACTAAGCAACGCGTTCATTCCTTGCCTAAGCTTCAGCTTCTGTTGTCTCTGTCTTCAACTCACGTTGCCGCTATTTTCTCTTCCTATGATATACCATTTCTCTTCTTACCCCATGCTAGTCCGTCGACTTTATATAATTTCCTCAACAGTCGCTATATCTGTTCGCTTTCACCATGCCGCCCTATCACAAACTCCTCGAACCAGTCAACTACCGAATCGGGTCTTTCACTTTCGAAGTGTAGGAATCTCATGCTCTCCGCATCTTAGTCGCTCCATGGTGTCGCCTCTTGCCTGTCCACAAAGAACATTCCCGGTCGAAATAACGTTACGTCAACGTAGGCTTTCTGGGTGGTGCATAGCATTTTTCAAACTCGAATCTAACGATCGTACGACACTGCAAAGGGTTCCTTTCCCCAGGAGTCGGTATGAGTCTGTCGGACACTGCTGCGGAGGACTGAAACAGAGCAAAAACACGGATCTTTACTTTGTGGATATGGACTTAGCAACCGGTACGTGTTTTATCACCATTGTTACTGTTATATATCGTTTTGGTTGATCGCCAGTCATTCCAGTTCCTCTAGTTCCTGTTTCACCGAGAGTCATTGCGCCACCCAACCCGTCTATGTTTGTATCATAGCTTTCCACCATTGGTAACCCGTTTTTGTGTACCCGTCCAATGATGTCGGTGTCCATGTTGATCTGCGCGAGAATTCTCCAGTATTACAACGAGTTCTGACACGCCCATGCATTCCACGTACCGGACAATTTTCAAGGCCTCTTGCGTTAATTACGCGGAAGCTGGTTGCATTCGTTCGGGTACGTGGGCTAAGCTCTGACCAGCCGCACCGGTCGGCTCCGCAGACATACGAGTAGAACGAGACTTGGTAGGTCGGCGCAAAAAGCAGATACAGCAGCCGAGCACAAGACCATTTGGATAGAAGCTCTCCTCCAACCTTGCTGCACTTGAAGGGGTGCCAGTGACGTCAATAGGTCTTTCGGGGCGTCCGTCTGCATGTGAACTGGGGTTTTCCCTTTCCTCCACGATACGCTGATCGCCCTCGCCAGTATCCGTCAAATGACTCGAATCCGATTCCGTGTCAGTGTCCTCCACGTTAGTTTGCGTACGAACCCCTCTGTGTCGCCTTCCATTATCTTCTCGCGCAGCCACATTTCGCTGAGAGGACGACGTGAGACAGCGGATACAGAGAGATGTGGATTGAATGTACGTACTGGTCGGGCATAGCCAGGAAAAATTATGGCCCTGACGCGCGAAGCTTGGCGTGCAGGGTTTTTGGAGTGCGATTGCGACCCCGCTGGGCCATCTTTCCTAGTAGCATCAGCCCTCTCCCAGGCTGACGCTGCGCGGGCCTATATGGTACACGGCAAGCCGTCAGCTTCGTAACTGGAAAGAGCATACCATGCTAAGGAAAATTGCGTACCCATGTTTTCTTAACTGTTTCCACCGCCTTATTCGCTTGATCTTGGAGTGCGAAACTATGGTCGCCGGATGCTGAAACATCGGACTCAGACTGTTCGGACCATGAGTTGCTATGGGATAAGGGTGTAGAGCCAACGTACTTTGTCTTTTTTATTGCTACGTAAAATTACATTCTTCAAGAGCAGGTTGAAAGTCGTGATGATCGGAGTTGTTCTTTCCGGGTCATCTACAGTTTTCTTTGCTGTATCTTCAGGGGAGCGTGGCCGCCGAGCGTTCTTATAGGACAGCGCATGAGATGAGCTTCGATAAGACTGCTACAACTGAACTTACGCCATCAATATCAACCTCAGCAAAGAATCCGTTCATATCTTGATTTCTATTTGTAATGACGGCTGGTCTCTGCAAGTGAAAGTTCGTCTCGCAAAAATTCCTACTCTTAGACTGAAATTGACGTACATTCATGAAGCTTTCCAAGCTATCGTTAGACCCAGACACCTGCCAGTAGGTGAGTTGAGAATATCGTAAATACGAAAGTCTGGCATTACCTGTGGATTTGATCTTGACTCTTGCCCCCTGCCTTCATCGTCCGCCGCAATTTCGGACTCTATCAGACTTTCCTGGGAGGTTAGGGTCGGAGATTTCTGAAGGGTATGTAAATTGGTCAAAGTGTGTGGTGGAGCCGCCAGCCGTGATTCCTGTAACGTGTGGATAGCTTCTCTCGTTACGCTCCCAGCGTCTTGGTCGAGTGAGACCGGAAATCGGAGGGATGGAACTTCAAGAGAGATCAGAGTGTTGACCTCGATATCCTCTTCATCCTAATAAAGCGTCAGGCCCAGCAGCGTGGATGAGAAAAAGGCAAACTTTACAGGTATGACATTCGTTGGCTGAAACACCAGTGTCCAGTCACGTATATCCCAAACCTGCATATCGTTGCCGCTGCAAGAAACGAAATGCTCTCCATCTGAAGAGCATGATACCGATAAAACCGGCCCTTTGTGCCCGTAAAGCGGGCCCGAGATACACTCCCCTGTTGCCACGTTCCATATGCGGACGGACTCGTCATAAGAACAGCTCACCAGCTGCCAACCATAATGTGAGAATGATAAGCCAGAGACGGAGTATTCATGGCCGCGAAGAGATGCAAGGAGGTGTCCTGCCGATGCGCTCCAGAGCCTAATGGTGTGATCATCAGAGGCACTGGCAATGAGGTAGCCATCTGGAGAGTGTTGAACGCATCGTACACAGTCTTGATGTCCAGTGAGCATAAAAACAAGCTGCTGTTCATCTACGTCATAAACACGGACGAGCCAATCGTCACATGCTGTCGCAATTCGCTTGCCATTGGGTGAGAATGAGACTGATCTCACGGCTTCGGGATGCTTCAATGTCGCAGTTGAGCTGCCTGTACGTGCGTCCCAGAGCTTGAGGACACGATCATCCCCGGCACTTGCAACGAGTGAGCGTGACCCATCTGGAGAGTACTCTACAGATTGGACTCCGTCTGTGTGTCCTTGAAGCGGACCCATGATCGTCTGGCGGGTGATTATGTCCCATATCCGAAGGGTCCCGCCGTCATCGCCGCTGATCAAATGTCGTCCATCAGGAGAGAATGCTAGTGCGCGAACCCAGTTCGTATGTCCTTCCAAGGTAATCTCCACTTGACAACCCGTCGCCACCGCCCAAACCTGTATAGTTGCATTTTTCATACCCGTAGCTATTGATAGCCCATTAGGTGCGTATGCACACGCGAGGATGTCGGTGTCGTAGTCATGCAGCGGATGGGTGACAGTAGTACCTTTGACGATATGTTGCGGTGCATGAGTTCTGCCACCAGATGGGCATTGCAGCGAGGCTGGCTGGTGTAGAAGGACTTGGGCGCCATCACGTAAACTCCAAATACGTACGCCTCTCTCGCTGCAAGAAGCAAAATGCTCTTGATCGGCCGAACAGGATATTGCCCTAACCGGCCCCTCATACCCGTGGAGTAGTTTCAAGACGCATTCCCTAGCAGAGACGTACCAGGCTCGGATGGTTCCGTCTTCAGAGGAGCCGATCAGCTGCCGACTATCACATGTAAATGCTATGCAGGAGACGGAGGATGTGTGCCCACGGAGAAATCCTTTGATCATGTCTCCTGTTGAGGCATTCCAGAGCCGGACGGTGAGATCGTCGGAAGCACTAGCAATGACTTTACCATCTGGGGAATACTGAACGCAACGAACGCTGCCTTGGTGCCCACTGAGAGTGTGGATAACCTCTTTTTGAGCTACATCATAGATGCGAACGAAGCTATCATGGCATGCAGTGGCAACATGCTCGCTGCTAGGTGAGAACGAGACTGAGTTCACGCTCATGGGATGCCATAGTTCCGTAGCACAGTCAAGCGTATGGGTGCTCCAGACCTTCAATAGGTTGTCCCGACCACCAGTTGCAATGAGCTTGCCATCCAGAGAGTACTGGACAGCTTGAACACAGTTCGGAGGGTCGTCGAGCAGTCTTGCAACTGTCTGGTAGGTGTTCGTATCCCATATTCTAAGGGTCTTGTCGTCTGAGGCGCTAGCTAGATACCGTCCATCAGGAGAGTAGGCAAGTGCATGAATTTGGCCAGTGTGCCCTTCCAACGTGTCCCCCGCTTGACGACCTGTCTTGGCCTCCCATATTCGAATCGTCGAGTCTACTGAGCCGGTGGCTATGAAAGCTCCACAAGGGGAGTAGGACAGCGTGCAGATGTGGTTGGTATGACCTGTGAACGGTTTCAAGATTGTGTCTTTCATGCTGTGTTGAGTCGTAGTCGGAGGACTGCTTTGACTTAAGGAGTGAGCTGCAGAGAGCAGAAATTTTACTTCCTGTGCGTCGGTGTTGGGCCGGAAGCCAAAATCCCACGCCTCGTCGCGCGACACTTGTGCGGCACTCAGCGTTTCCGCAAACGAGAAAGGCGTGAAGTTGTTGCAAATGTAGGTTGCGACCTGTTGTGACATTCAATTCCAAGTTCACCGAAGGGAACATTGAGCGCGGTCATTGTAGAGCGCTCATGCCAATGATTTCTTAGAGGACGTGCCTGCCTCGGGCTACGCTGCTCGCGTTCAAAGTGTGTCCTACGGCGCATTTCAACCAGTGATTTACACTTTTGCGTATTGGTCACTTTCCCCGGGTCATAACATGATGATTCGTTTACTTCAGGGCATTGTTCGGGTTATATTGAAGTAACAAAGAAGCAAGGCATACCCCGATATATGTACGAGTCTGTAAGTTGGTGATAAAAAGGATAACTCGTCAAAGGATGATATAGTCCTCGTGGTAACCATCTCATGATGACGCATCAAAGAGAGAATCATGACTGTCTGATAATACAAAGTCAACAGCATCGTTAGCGTTAGTTTCCAGTTTCTGTGTGTACTACGTTTCCGGCGGAATGTCTCTTAATTGTACCCCCGCCCGGTAGCGGTATGCTGGCGGTTGACGTAAGTCTCAGAGTCTTGCGTTGCATTGAGAGGGTTTACCGGTTTATCTCTTGGAAAAGATAGCGATGGTGGGCGATGTGAAGTTTCGTGGGGAACGGTTAGGATACGATAGGTTTGCGTTTGTGATTCTTCACGTCGTTCTCTACCATTGAAACCACCTTGAAGTTCAGCGGCGCTTGACTACAAGCCTAGTGAATCAATCATGTGTGCAGTGGGAGGTGGATGACTACCTCCAATTCTTTTAAGCGGCCATCAATTGGTTTCGCTGCACTCTCTGCGATTGCCTATCAAATCCATTATTAAGTAGCAGCGGATGCACTGTGAACGCAATTGCACCACTTACCATAGTCTTATCACCGTGACCGACACTGTAGGTAAGTCAAATAGTTTAATAGATTTATGACGAGGCTACCTTGAGCGACGAGAGATAATGCCCCTTGGCTCCGAGGCCGTTGTCGATATTGCTACCCAGGAGCCATCGGAAAGCTTGGGTCATGGTGTTCAAGCTAATTCGGCTCTATCATCCCAGATTAGCAGACAAACAAAACGGGGCTATGAAGGGAACAACCATGAGCCCAAGGTAACTCGCTTGAGTGCTGTGTTTGGTATCGACAACCTGCTGTCATAGAATTGAATGACTGAGCTCGAAAGTATAAGAATATGTGTATTCACTTACCTTAGGAAGCAGCAGGTTTCCAGAGATTACGTCCCACATGCGTAAATCTCCGTCGTTGGACCCAGTCACAACTCGCTCTCCGTCTGAAGAAAACGCGACTGCCGCAACCGGGTGATCATGCGACCAACCTTGAATAGGCTTCCGCGTGCCAGCGTCCCATATACAGATGCTCATGTCAGCAGATGCACTCAAAATCCTAGTAGCGTCCTCCGAAAGTTGCGCGCACTTTACATCGCCCCCATGCTTGAAACCCACCACTTTCTTTCCGAGCAAGGTATCCCACTGGTAAATCTTATCGCCACAGCCGCTCAGCAACGTCGAGCCGTTTGCAGAGAAATAGGCCGATGAAACTCCGTGTTGATGTTTGAGAGGCTCGCCGAGGGCTTCATATGAGCGAAGATCCCAGATGCGTATGGTCCTATCGAGTGACCCGCTGGCTAGCTGGGATCCATCGTGAGAAACACAGAGCGTTTGAATGGAGTCACCGTGGGCTTTTATGACATGTAGTGATGCGCCCGACTGAACGTTCCATACACGAATAGTTTGATCTTTACCTGCGGACACCAGGCGCTTGCCATCGGGAAGGAATTTGACGGCGTATACAGGGCCGCAGTGACCACGAAGTGGATCCAAGGTTACATCCTGGGCGACGAGGTGCCAGACGCAGACCAGGGCGTCGTCTGCACCACTAGCCAGAAGCTCGCTACCCCATGACACATCAACACTGTTCACCGGCCCGTCGTGTCGAACGAAAGGCTTTGCGGACTCTTGACCAGTCCTCGCGTCCCATATCCTGACAATATGGTCACCCCCTGCGGTCGCGAAGCACTCGCCATTCGAGAACCACGCTATAGCCTTGATTTGAGCGTAAACTTTCAATCTATTAGAGTGTTAGCTATTATTAGAATAGCATAGTGAAACATACAGGTATTTCTGTGCGACCTCGCTCGCCGCCGGGTTGACCTATTATATCTATAAATAACGGAGGTACACAGCTAGAAGAATAATGATTCACCAATGGAAGAGCCGAAGTTCCATCGTTTATGTTCCAAATGCGTAGGCTGTTGTGACCAGAAGACGCGAAACGGTGCTTGTCCAGAGAGCAGGATATTGCTATGACCGGTTCCATGTGTCCATATAGTGGCCCGAGGAGACATTGTCCTGACGCTACATCCCAGACTCGGACAGACTCATCCTCCGATGCGCTGACTAGCTTCTGACCATCATAAGAAAATGAGATGCTGGAGACGCAGTTCCTGTGACCACGAAGAGGGCCTGTGATGGGGTCTCCTGTCCAGGAGTTCCAAAGCCGGATGGTCTGATCGTCCGAAGCGCTAGCAATAAGGAGGCCGTCCGGAGAGTACTGGACACATCGCACGCGGCTCCGATGACCAGCGAGCACCCCGACAAGCTCAAGTTGATCTGCATCGTAAATGCGAGCGAGCCGATCACCACACGCGACAGCGATGGTCCTGCTATTCAATGGCGAGAATGAAATCGACTCCACAGCTTCGGAATGACTTAGCGTTGCAACACAGTTCCCCGTACGGGCGTCCCAGAACTTTAAGAGGCCGTCGTCGGCGCCGCTTGCGATAAGTGCGCCGTCCGGAGAATACTGCACAGCCCTTACCGGGCCCGTGTGGCCGTCGAGTGGCCCTATGACCGTCTCTTGGGTGTGCATGTCCCATACAAGAAGGGTCCCGTCATCGGACCCGCTAACTAAACGAAGGCCATCAGGAGAATAAGCAACGGCGTGAACTCCATGACAATGCCCTGCCAATGCACGTCCTACTTGACGACCTGTGTTCGCATGCAAAATTCGTATCAACTGGTCCGCTGAGCCTGTGGCTATGTATGCTCCGTTGGGTGAACAAGTGAGTGTGAGAATATCAGTGGGTGGAGCCTTGCGTGCTTTGGAGAGGGTGAGGCGCATGGTGTCCTGGAATAGAAGACGGCTGTATGGGGCTTGTGAGTGCCTGCGTTACCGTAGTCTGTGTTTGTGCTAGCCGATACAACGTACGGGGGTTTAAGATAGCACTGGCAGGTCGAATGCTTTGCGGGAGAAAGAAAAATCTCAGATAGTAACAAGCTTGGAGGATATTGATGACAGAGAGTGTAAGCAAGGGCAACGCTGAGGCCGAGACCTGACCGGCATGCAGCTACTTAAGCGTCCTCGGCGTACATTGGATGGCCGCGCTCAAGCCGAACTGGAACATCGTTTCCCACGGCAAAAGAGGCACTGACAATTTCCAACTTCACCGCCTTGACATCACCGGGCGTCACGGAGGTCTCTGTCGCGAACGAAACTCCCATCGCATCATTTCACTATGCGCCGTGTGCGTACATAGCATAAGACCGTCAACGCGATGGTGTTCGTCATTTACGTCTGCCACAAGAATATATATAATCCTTAGGTTTCCTAGCTAGTGGCGTAAAGGTCAAATCCGATATCAATGTCAGAAACTTCAAATATGTCACTACGACATATTGGAGGCAACCTCATTCCCGCCGCGAGCAGAGGGGTTTTTCTTCCAGCGAGTGAAAAGCAGGGAACAGTTGCAAAAGCACAGCACTTCCACGATCGTCGGATAATGGTCTTCTGAGCTCGCCGAGTCTGAGGTGGTGGGAGATACGTCTCTGTCGACGGCGACCGTGTCTCCACCGGGGAGTCTGCCCGGCGTGTCTCCGCTTGCCATGATGCGCTATCATGCGAGTGTTAGACGGTAATATATAAAGGAGTAGAGGGTATACCTGATTCCCGTATGCGGGAGATATGATGACTGGGCGACGCCAGCTGGTATGGCGAGAGAAGGTGCTCATGGGATAGAATTGCGCCTCTCCTGCGAGACCTTGCTCTCTTTCGGTGTTGTCTCTTCTAGCGCTAGACATGCGATTCTATAGGCGCAATGCACGCAATGGCAATAAGCGGGTGGAAACAAATGGATATGTACGACATGCTCACTATGGCTCGCCTAAGCATGCTATGGCTATTATCCCGTTGGTCGCGTGCTGTGGTGCTGTTAGTTTCGCTTTGTGATTCAAGCCGCTGTCATGGAGTTTAGCGCAAGGTAGACCGTCTAAGAAGGTTGAAGTAAAAATCACGTTTGTGTCGTCATTGATTCGAGGTCCTAAGGTACGCTCCCAGAATGCAATGAAAGACCGAGTTACGGTGCCGGTCAAATACCCTCGTCCAGGTACAGGATTGTCTTGGGTTTGTTCTGACGTCCCTTCGCGAGGACGCAGATGCTGCGTGCTCTTGAATTTTAACGGATCAGGGTTTAATATCAACCTATTGACCAATGAGCGAGAATTTCACACTTACATCATCGACGTCGCCAAAAAAGTCCTCTGCTTGTTGGTTATTGTTCTTTCGGGAGACAACTGCTGGTCTCTATCAAAAGCAGTAATTAGCGGCGTACGACCTGATAAATACAATGAACGCACATTCATGAAGCTTTCAAGACTGTCATGAGATTCAGATGCCTGAGCGCATATGAGTTATGGGTATCTTCATACGGAAGGTACAACATCACCGGTAAACTCGAGTTGTTTGCCTGTTGTGTCGGGCGTTTGCCACTCCCCACGCCCTGTTCACCTTGTGAGCTGCCTTGTGAGGGCGCTACTTGGGGAGCCTGCTAGCACACATGAAGTCGGTTGAAGAGGTGTATACAAAGGACTTGCCTGTGGCTCTATAGGTGCGGCGTCCTGAACCTCTGTTACATCGTCGTTGTTCTGAAACATTACACATTAGTTGATTTGACGATATGGATTGTGTAATTGAGGTGCTTGCCTTGGTGTCGTTTATATCCTAGGATAGATGGTAATCAGTACTAATGTGCGCTTGCGGGTATGAACACTCACATCGAGTGTGGACAGGTAATGGACTTCTTGTTCCTGTTTCGGGGGGTTACCGTTCGGGATGTCTCCAGCGAAGCGGCGAAATGCGCGCGCTAAATTGGTTAGGATGCCTCCTTCAGTCGTTGACTGATTCTGTGAACTATGTAAGCGATAGAGGGACTTGGAAAACGTAAAACGTACAGCTGGGGGCTGAGGATCAGCGACATCTTTGCTCTGAATTCGATCGACAAGTCTCTATTGTTTAATGAAGTTGTTAGTACGCCATCAGACCATCAAATTTGCTAGCTGACCTTAGGGCGCAGTAATCTTCCAGAGCTCACATCCCACAGACAGAGTGTTCCATCCCAGGATCCGCTGAGGATCTGGTTCCCATCCGGGGAAAATGCCGCCGTCAAAACCGTGTCATGGTGTCGCAGAGTCCTGAGAAACATTCCCGTTCTGGAATCCCAAATATGGACCTGCCCAGGTGCCACGCTCAGAATTTTGTTACCTATCATCGAATACTGGACGCTCTGGACAGGCTTTCGTTGATTGTTGGTGTACACCTGCTCTCTTTGCGAGACGCCCAGCAAGCGTACCATCCCGTCCCATGACCCACTAAGTAAATGCGAGCCGTCAGGTGAAAAGCAGACCGACGATACCCGGCTCCCATAATCCAGAGATTTGCCCAGTTGTTTGTTAGATTTGAGGTCCCAGATGCAGACAGTGCCGTCGTCAGACCCACTGGCCAGGTGGGACCCGTCAGCGGAGATGCTGAGGCCCCGGACGCGACCGTTATGCAACTGAAAGGTATGCAGGGAAGCACCATCGTTCATATCCCATATGCGGATGGTCTTGTCGTACCCTCCACTCGCCAGGCGCTCACCATCGGGGGTGAACTCGACGGCGTAAACGGATCCATAGTGCCCAGATAGGGGCGCCAAAGTCATGCCCTCCTGCTGGAGGTCCCAGATGCAAATGATCTGGTCTTCCCCGGCGCTGGCAAGGGTATTTTCGTCCGCTGAGAGCGCTAGGTCGTTGATCCTGTCGTTGTGCCATGTGAGAGGGCGTTTCGCCCTACGTCCTGTCTCCACGTCCCAGGTTCTGATAATTCCATCGTTGCCTGCGGTTGCGAAATGTTGGCCATTATTAAGCCATACTACGGCGTAAACAGATTCATATGCGTTGAGCCTGTGTAAGATAGTATGAGCTGTCAAAAACGGGCGCTATAACAATTCTTACTGAAGCCTCCCCTCAGTGCCTTCAGCACTCTCAGCGGTCACCAACTAAGAAAGCCCTGTATAAGATATGCGTTGAGATCACGACATGAACGGTACTCACTTTTGGTAGCTCGATGCTTCCTTCGGGCAGCTCCGATACATGTGCTTCACCTTTGGGAAGCACAACGTCTCCCTTGGGCACTGTCCAAATACGCACGCCACCCTGGCCGCAGGAAGCAAAATGCATTCCATCTGGACAGTAGGCGACCGTTGCTGCCGCCCCATTGTGTGCATGGAGATGCCTCAAGATGCAGTCCCCAGACGTCAGGTCCCATACCCGGACACAGTCGTCTTTTGAAGAGGTGACCAGCAGCTGGCTATCGGGCGAGAACGACAGGCCAGTGACATGATGTTCATGCTGTCGGAATTCCCAGAGACAATCACCGGTGTGAGGGTTCCAAACGCGTACAGTGAGGTCGTTTGAGGCGCTGGCCAGGCAAGAACCATCAGGTGAATACTGCACTGATCGAACAGCGGCTGTGTGTAGGTTAAACTCGTGAACAAGCTCGCGCTGGTTGACGTCATAGACGCGGACGAGGCGATCATGACAAGCGGTCGCGACTTGTTTGCTATCGGGAGAAAACGCGACACCGTTGACACGCATCGGGTGTACGATTGTCGCTATCAGATCACCCGTATAGGCGCTCCACAGACACAGAAGGTTACCCCAATCCCCACTCGCGATGAACGTACCATCCGAGGAGTACTGCACAGTCAAGAACCCCCTGCACGTGTTGCCCGAAAGAGGTCCCATAACCGTTCGACCCGTTTGCGTGTCCCACACTCGGAGGGTGTAGTCTTGAGAGGCGCTGACCAGGTGTTGCCCGTCGGGAGAGTAGGCGATGGAACCAATCCCTCCTGTATGTCCCTCGAGCGCCTCGCCGATTTGGCGGCCTGTTCCAGGTTCCCATATCCGCAAGGTCTTATCGAGCGAGCCGGTAGCGAGGAATGCGCCGTCGGGGGAGTAAGCGACAGTAGTGATGTCGCCGGAATGCCCCTCGAACGGTCGGAAGCTAGCGTCTTCCATCGTGTGGTTGGAAGGTGGCGCTAGCCTGGTGTGCTGCAGCGTCTATGGCGGTGGTTGACTGGGTACTGTGGGGAGGCAGACGTTCAAAAGCTCAGCGGAGCCATCGCGCACGAGGCATCAACAGGCGCTGAGATGACGATTCCCGCGATTGTCCTCTGTTGTGGGTCCATATGTAACCCGCGGTGAGGGCAGAAAACTTTCGGATCCCGTTTTGGAAGGAGCTTGCTCGATTGCAGTACTTCGTTCTGAGTGTTTGTTATACTCCTTATCCTTATGTAGTGAGTCCCTTGATGAAAAAGCGGAACGCGAGGAAAGCAAGAGCTTGGCCAAGTGATTTGGACCAGAAAATGCAAGAAAAAGCGCTACGGACACTGGGTGGTCTTGGACCAGATCCGTGAGAGCCGGAGCGTCAGCCATTGCGTTCCCACGGTGCTTCTCCCAAATCTCGCTGTGCTGCACGGATGCCATGTCTAACTTGCGTCTGGTGCTTCCCTTCATCTGTCCCCTCATCCTCTACTAGATCAGAACTTACTGTCTGTCATGCTCGTGCTCGGATATTCACCGTATCTACTCGCTCTCAACACGCCTTTCCGTCTTATGTTCACGTTCGATGAGACCCACGCGTTTCCAGAAACCATGCACTTCCGGGCCATGACACTCCGCCGGAGCCCACCGTGAAGCTCAAAAAGTGCACTCGTCAAGCGTCAAAGCCCTCAGCCGCGACTCTATGTTGAGTGTCTCCATCTCAGTCTCTTTCAGGAGGGAGTTCCGCTGCAGAAAACCGAAGTATGCGGAGGGCGTCCACTTCATCGGACTGGAGAAGAAGGGAATGGGCAAGAGCACAGACCCGTCGTGGAGGTGCGCTATCCCCTTTTCCATGTCTCTCCTCATGCTTACTTTATCTCCTCGACTTCATGCGAAAGATGTCAGATACGTCCTTTGATACGCACCGCCAGAATGTCGTCTATAGCGAATAGAGGTACACCACTTGCGAACTCAATCCAAGAGACACATTAACCCGACGTCGCTCGGCCAATTTACACTCAAACGTACACTGATGAGAGATGAGATAGGCATGCAATGATATCCCTGCGCTTGTTTTGGCGTATCATGTCCTTCTCGAAGCTTGTAGCGGGCCCATCATCGCCGCCCGAACTGCTCCAACCTCATCGCGCATCCTTTGCGACATGTCCGACCTCGTTGACCGAACGTGGGCTGAACATCCTTCCCACTGCTGGACACTTGGCGCCTTTGCAGTGAGATGCTCGCCCCCGCGCTCCAACGCGCGTCTAGGAATTGGTTTTCCGGTCACGATTCATGGAACGTGCTCAGCTGAACTATTGAAGACATATCAACGTGGGCTAGTCATCGGGTTCAAGTTGAAGAGGCAGTGCGATGCCATCCCCGATAGAAGAAGACGAGAGGGTGAAGGTGACGATGCCGGAGGTGCAGATCACGATGGGTTCGCGATCGATCCGCTTTCGTAGGTTTCGCCACCGTTATCGTTGCCCGTGGGCGTGGACCGGAATCGCTGACGAGTCGAGGTTTGCGTCTACCCAGTAATTATGGTGTGCCTGGGGCGAGGCAAGCTCTTCGTGAGGCACGCCATCCGTGACCCGGGCAGAGATAACGGTCGTTGGTGAGGTACAACATTTCTTTGACGATTCAGAGCAGTGTTTCGTCCCCAGGTAAGCACGTGCAAACGTTCAGCTCTTCCGATACTCACCCTCGTGCTTTCCTAGCCCCATTACGCACGCATTCTCTCATCATCATTCATCAATGCATTACTACTTCATATCGACTGTCGACCAACAATTAAGTCTCATAATTCCCTGCGTATTCGATGATAATCGCATTAGCTCCAGTGCGTGCAAGTCCACCATGAGTGAGACCAGGCACTTCTGTGGCTTTTTGGATGCACGAACACTTCCACGACGTCTTTCGACCCTATACGCTCTCCTGGCCAAAGTGCAGCTCCGTGTGCCAGGTGACGCTCACGATGTTATTAACGCACAGATACGAGATCCTGCGAGGGTGAGCTCCGCAGTTTGCTTTGGGGTGTTGCGTGTTCTGGCTCGTTGATGAACCCATTGGCAGCCCGACAGCCACTGGTGGAGAGGGCAAAACCTCAAGATGTTCCGGCAGTTCCATACTTCACATGCTCCTTTAACTCTGTCGCTCCCATTCTTATCCTGGCGCTCAGTTCCCGGCGTTAATCTCACTATGATTTTGCTGCCATCTAACTCTGGGCGCTTCTTCCACATTCTGCTTACACGTTTACCCTGGTGATGCGAGCGAGGCGTCCATCCCGACTATGGTTCCGACGTACCATCGCTTTCCTGGCTATCGTGCCAACGAACAGCACCCATCGCCAAGGCGGCGCTCTCCTTGCTTGAATCCGACATTTACGCGTACGCTTTCACTTCTTCCTCCCCATCTGGGTAGGAAATTGATTACAAATAGGTGAAGTGAACAACCAGCATAAAGTTGCCAACCGAGCTCGAGGGCGAATCAAACGATTCAGTCAGTGGCTGCTAGGTCTGTGCTAAGTCGGAAGCAACCTTTTGAGTCATGTTGTTATCCACCCGTGCGTGCCATCGGTTCTCTTCGTTTCCGGTCTTCCTTCTCTCCTTGCTCTATTTCCATCCGCACTGCATTCACGACCGGCTGGTCTACTTGACTCTGTATTCGCCCCGCCTCCAGCGTTCTCTTCCTTTCCGACGGCTGTTCTTTCTTATGTCTTTTTTCTGCCATATACTGCGCCTTGGGGTACGCCTTGTTACGCTTTGGTCTGTCTATCCGGTATCTTGGTCGTCGGTCCTCATAGATATGAAATATGCACTTTTTTTCTGCCCTCATGTTATCCCGCACCACCTCTGTCTATCGATTCCTATTTTTTAGGACGCTTTTTTGAGAGTACTGTATCTTGGTTGTGTCTTCTTCGTTTGGTTAAGCCTGTCTCGATCAAGCTTTACAGTGATTTAGTCACTCACTTTATCGTTTAGCAATATTCGTAGTTAATGGGGCGCACGGTACCGACTCGCCTTCAGATATAAGCATGGCTTCCTCTTTGTTGACGAGATCAGATTTCATACGACGACTTTACCAACAAGTATCTGATCTCAGTATACCATTGTATTCATGCAAAATTGACCAGAACAAGCCAACATTTAAATTTGAAATTTCGTATATAAAAAAGCTAGTTGCACCGGACCAGGCTGGTGCGAGGATGAACGACATAACCAAAGGTACTTCAAACAGTCATCACAGCTTAGAGAAATCCTCATCAGAATCGCCCGCCTTAGGATACTGAGCTCACATACCAGAGAATTCATGGACATACTCTTACCCGACTCACGCAGAAGACGACTTCTCCTGGCTGCGAGCGGAAGGCGCACCAGCGTTCTGTGCACCAGATCTGGATGATCCCTGGCCGCGGCTCGAGGGCTCCCCCGCAGCAGGCGAGCGCGCAGAAGGTGGGTACGTGTGCATCGGAACAGAGGCTGACCCCGTGTGCTCCTGGGCAGGTATTTTCTTGGAGGTAGGAGACTGCTCCGCCTGCCTGCGGGCAGGGCGTGTCTCATCTTCTCGACCAAACAGGGGAGAACACCTGCAAAAAATGAGAGCATCCACAAGGGGATGGTAACTTTCTTCTGAACCCGACGAGTCTGAGTCACCATCCGTGTCTCTGGCAACGGTGTCTCCTCCACGTTGTCTCCCTGGAGTTTCTCCTTCAGACATGATTCTCTACGGCGAGGTCAGTGGTGAAGCAAATGGTATCGGATTAGAGAACCGAACCTGATTCCCGTAAGCAGGGTAAATGATAGCTGAGACGCGTGATACGTTGTGCATGACGCGCATGGCATATGATTCACGAGCCTCCGTGTGGTCTTGTGCGGGAGTCGAGTCCAACCTCCCTTCGAGCGTTGTGCGGTTCTGTGAAGAGTGAACAAGTAAGTCTAACGCACGGGATAATACAGGTAGATACAAACCAAGACATTGCGGAGTTTACTTGTCACTCTATTGAGACGGTCACCAAGTGCGACAGGTTGAGTGCGGTCGACTGTAGGCTACAGAACCACCGCGGTAGCTCAGGGCATTGACTGAACATAATATTTAATGCACTTACATGTTCGTCTGAGTTGTTTGCACGAACTCTCACGCGCTCAAACAATCGAGTAAAACCGAACAAAGACTTGATGGTGAAAGACTCTCTTCCGGGGTTGGATTGAGGCACCTTTTACGGATGTATGATGCGTCAGTATGTTGCAAAATCCTGCGCAAAAAACTAACGTTAGCCGTTTCAAGATCGCGGAAGAAATCGTCTCGTCGGTGACCGTTTCTTCGCGTCACGACAGCCGGTCGCTTTAATTTTCGCGGTGAGTCGTTAAACCAATATATCTGATAATATCCACATACCAGCATGAAATCGTCCAGATCATCATCGACTACCTGCATGCTCATCAGGGAAGATATATACAATCATCGCAGCCCTACCTACCTTTGACGTAGGATCACCCCGCCGACGACTTTGTCCTTCATTAACGTCAGGATTCTGAGGGTTTAATACCTCAGCTACAGTCCAGTCAGAACGAGGACACACCCACGTCAGAACCGGAAGTATCTTCCTTGGAGGCGTCTATAAGTCGCTGTATGGAAACAAGAAACATGGTCATCGCATACGTTACACAAAGCACAAAACGGTTTCGCCAACCTTCGGAAGAAGGAGACTCCCTGTTTTCGCGTCCCATAGACGTAAGTCGCCATTATTGTCCCCAGTTAGTATCCGTGCTCCGTCCGGCGAGAACGCGGCCACAAACACAACAGTCGAATGCTGGAGATACTGGAGACGCTCCCCCGTGCGGGAATCACAGAGACGAACGGCTCGATCGTCAGACGCGCTGAGAAACCTGGATCCATCCTTGGAGAACTGTACACAGTTGACATCTCCGTCATGTTCCACTGCCAGTATCTTCTCCCTTCTCGAGATATCCCATATGCATGCCACATGGTCAGTCCAGCATCCGGTGAGCAACTGGACACCGTCGGGTGAGAAGCAGACCGAATATACCCTGCCCTCATGTTGCAAAGACTCTCCAATGGGCTCATATGAGTCAATATCCCAGAGGCGGGCCGTCTTGTCACCAGTCCCGCTTGCTATTCGGGATCCGTCAGGGGAAATGATAAGTGCTGACACGGCGTCATTGTGCGCTTCAATGACATGCAGCGAAGCACCCGACTGCACGTTCCATATCCGAATAGTTTTGTCTTCTCCTCCTGTGATCAGACGAAATCCGTCGGGAGTGAATTTGACGGCCCAGACGGTGCCAATGTGACCGGAAAGAGGCTCTAAGGCAAGATCATGGGTTTTGAGGTCCCAGATGCAGACGAGGGCGTCATCTGATCCACTAGCCAACAGTCTCTCGTTCTTCGAGATATCGATCCCATTGACTGTATCGGTATGCCACACAAGAGGGTCTGTGGACTCTTGACCTGTTTGGGAATCCCAAATCCTAATGGCGCGGTCGTCTCCTGCGCTCGCAAAGTGCTGGCCATCGAAGAACCATACTACTGCGCGAACCCTGCCATACGCCTTCATTCTGTGCTCTTTAGTGTACAAATGCCGACGAGCTAAAACAGAACGTACAAGTGCTGTTCTGCGATTTTCGCATCCTCATCCTCCGCATTGGTCTGACGTACGTAAATGAGAGAAAGATCGGACACCGCAAATATGACACCCACTCGTGGAATTACCGATATCCCGTCATGCATATCCCAAATGCGCACGCTTTTCAACGAGCAAGAAACAAACCGATCTTGTTTTGAAGAGCAGGATACCGATACGACTGCCTCCTTGTGACCGTATAGCGGTCCCAAGACACATTCTCCAGACGCGATGTCCCACACGCGGATGGACTGGTCCTCGGATGAGCTGACCACCTGCTGACCATCACGAGAAAATGATACGCCAGAGACATAGTGTCTATGGCCGCGAAGAGGCCCTTTGTCAAGTTCCCCTGTCGAGGCGTTCCAAAGCCGGATAGTGTGATCATCTGAAGCGCTGGCAATGAGAGAGTCATCTGTGGAGTACTGAACGCATCGAACGCATGCTCGGTGTCCGGTGAGCTCGCGAACAAGCTGACGTTGATTGACGTTGTAAATGCGCACTATCTGATCCTGGCATCCAGTTACAATACGCTTGCTGTCTTGAGAGAAGGCCACAGATATCACTTCGTCGGGATGCTTCAGCGTCGCAAGACAGTCACCCTCAGACGCATTCCATATCTTCAGAAGCCAGTCTTTGCCACCACTTGCAATATGTACACCATCTGGGGAATACTTCACGGCGCGAACCCAGCTCGTGTGGCCCTCCAGTGGACCCATGGCGGTCTGGTGCGTGGATGTGTCCCATACTCGAATGGTCTCGTCGATGGAGCAGCTAACCAGGCGCTGACCGTCAGGTGAGTAAGCGATGGCAAGAACCCAATGCTCGTGCCCTTCCAATGGTTCCCCGACTTGACGACCTGTGTTCGCCTCCCATATTCGTATTGTCCTGTCCCCTTCGCAGGTAGCAATGAACGCTCCGTTGGGCGAGTATGCAACAGCGTAGATGATTCCTGGATGGCCCTTGAATGGTTCGAAGGCTCTTTGGTCCATGATATGATGCCGTGGAGTAGGCTATGTGTGGACTGTAAGAGTGACTGAGTGGGATTGAGGAGCGAGCTCGCGCGCGCGCGCGGGGCAGGCGAGTGTGTATGCTGTACAGCCGTTTAACACGAGGCAAAATTGACGCTGGCTTGATGATAACGGGATGGCCCTCGCACCAGCGCTTGCGAACATGCACCGTGTGCCCCAATGAGAAGGCAAAGACTATATGCATTCGTTGTGCAAGTTACTTACCTTGCTGCAGCCGCGTGTTAGAATATGAGGTCAGGCTGGAGGGGAACATGATATGACTTTTGGACCCAACGACGCGCACCATCACTAATAGTGATCCGTGCACGGAAAGGCGTTTGGAAATGCGGCCCGAGCCGACCTGCCGAGAAGAAGACACGACCGCACGGAGGAATGGTGTCCAATACAGAGAAGGTGTTGGATGCGAAGTTGGCTTATCAGATAAACGAGCGATCGCGCTTAAGCTTATCAGGCACGGAGGTATTGGGGCTATGCAGCGATGTTTCTGTTCGAACGTTCCGCTCCAGCAGGCAGTCAACCGATTCCGGCCACCCGTCACCGGCCTCGACCAGCCTCCGCCGCGACGATGGCAGCTCGCTCTCTCCTCTCCCACCTCCATCGCACAGCAACGCTCAGCACTGGGTTTCAGCTGCAGAAACCGCCCCAGTCAAGAGCACGTGCCTGAAACAATCCTCGGTGAGTAGGGGCTCCTATTCAAACATGCTTGGGGTGCTCGATCGAGCGAGTGGAGGCACGTCATGATGCAGATGCCATGGCTTATGGAGGCGAACTGGCAGCCAGTGGGTTGGGGGACGCGCTGGCCTCGCTATTGTTAGCCGGCTCTCTCCCCACAGGCGCTTTCCCTTGTCTCTGTATTTATCCGTCATCGTGCCCAAGTTGTTGACTGTTCTTACGTCTCAGGAAAATCATCATCCAGGGAGAACCACACTCCCCATTCACTTTAACCGGATTACAGAAGACCACTATTTGGTCGCGCGTACTCCAAGATGCTGTCAATGAAAGGCCTCTCGATCAAGGAGGCACTCCTTCCGCAGCCTCCGTCGTTTGAGAAGAAGCAGAACTATGAGATACACGAGGTCCTCGGGACAGGTACTTTCGGCAAGGTCATGGTACGTGCCTCGTGTCCCACCCTCACTTGTCTCCAATTTTCTGTGGTCTTACCCTCCATGCACCATTGTCCAGCGTGCAACATGGCATATACCCCCTGAACAGGAAGCTATCTCGCAGCATGGTGCCGCTGCCGACTCCCCATCGTACAGCCTGCCACCCTCTGCAGCGGCCGCGATTCCTCTCTTCCACCGCAAACCCTCGTCATCGAACGTGAACAATGGCCAGGCAAACGGAACATCACCGAAGCCGTCGCGCCCTACGACACCCAATTCTCCCACAGCGCCTCGGCCAACAATGGATGTCGCTTTGAAGGTGATCTCGAAAAAGCGCGTCAAAGGGAATGAAGAGGCGGTGTGGGGCGAGATGGACGTGTTGAAAGGGCTGGACCATCCTAACATCGTAAGTCCTCGTCGCGTTGACGCTCGCAGCACCCAGTGCTTACTTGGCCTGCCCGGACCCCTATCAACAATGGTTTGTAGGTCAAGTTCTACGAGTGGTTCGAGTCGCGGTCGAAATACTACCTCTCGTTCGAACTCGCGTGCGGTGGCGAGCTTTTTGACAGGATCATTCACCAGGGCAAGTTCACGGAGAAGGATGCCGTTGGTGTTATCAAGTATGTGACTCCATCTCGTTATCACTCCGATTGGATGCATATATGCGCCATTCATTCTGGAGCAAGGATACCACTTACTAAATCGATAACCTAGGTCTACCCTCAAAGGCGTAAAATATCTTCATGACCACGACATTGTCCACCGGGACCTCAAGCCTGAAAACATAATCTACCGGGAGAAGGACGGGGACGCACATAGCGGCATCGTCATATGTGACTTTGGCATGTAGGTTTCCGTATTTTCACTCCATTTTAGTTGCCTTATGACTCGTTCAGCGCAAAGCATCTTACCACTGCCGACGAACGGCTCACGCAGCTCGCTGGCTCTTTCGGCTACGTGGCGCCAGAGGTCATCAACAAGACCGGTCACGGCAAGCCAGCTGATCTATGGAGTATCGGGTACGCCTTTTAGCTCCGCATAAATTCACCGATTTCGTTACTGAAAGCTCTCGCTTCGTAGTGTCATTACTTACGTTCTCCTGTGCGGATACTCGCCATTCCCGGACGACCCGAAGGCGCTTCAGAAGAACGATATACGGGTAGAGTTCCACGAGAAGTACTGGGGAAAGGTGTCGGATGAAGGTATGTTCCATTATATGCCTTTTATCAGCATCACCTAGTGACTGACGGTTGCTTGTCGGATTTTTTCAGCAAAGGATTTCATTAAGCAGCTTTTGAACGTTGACCAGGCAGAACGGCCGACGGCTGCTCAGGCTCTCAAACACCGCGTATGTCGTTTATTGCACCGTTGTCACGCATACACTCACGTTTCCCATCGGTCTTTCTTCTTGCACTCTTTTCTTTCTATCTATCCTTGTAATCCATAACCCACTGTCCGCTTCATCTCGACAGTGGCTCACAGAGCACGAAGCGTCGGACGAACACGATGTTTCCGAAGGGCTCCGCGCCAGCTTCGACCCACGCAAGCGGTGGCGCCAGGCCATTCTCTCCACCGTCGCTGTCTCGCGCCTTGGCACGCGTAGATCTTCAGCCATGTCGACCGCCTCGGGCGGATGGAAGGCCGACCACGCCAACGGCGACGGGGATCCTGGCTCGCCTGGCTCACCCGGAGGACGGCGGGGCAGCGGCGCCGGGGATGAGTCAGACGATGAAGGCGGGTGGAAGGCGAATCATGTGGAAGGTGTTGGTGGGGATGCGGACAAGAAGGCGGATATTAGTGCGAGTAAGAGTGGAAGCGGGGAGGAGAAGCAGGGTAATAACGATGGGCAGATGCGCTCGCTGAGTCTCGGAGGTGGGCACCCGGGCTCGAATGAGAACGTGAACGTTATCGCGCCGCCCGATGAGGAACAGCCTTCGTTCGCGGTCGAGGATGAGGGTGGGGCTGGGACTGGGACTGGGACTGGGACTGGGACTGGGACTGGGACTGGGACTGGGATGGAGAAGCAGGCGGGGACTCGGATTGGGGGTAGGATCATCTCCCGGAAACTTATGTCGCTCTTCAGAAGGAGTTGATCATCTTCTTCGGTGTTTACCTCGTAGCCCCCAATGGAACCGCAGAACGCGAAGCCAGCCCGAACACGAGCGCAAGCCAAGAAGCGAAGCGCACAGCCGCAGATCAAAACGAGGTTTCGAAGGCATCCCCCGGCGCGCAACGAGGCGTCGAAGAAGGACCCATGTCCGGGCCCGACGGCACCGGCCATGGTTCTTCAAGCAGCCCTGACGCCGAGCCCGAGCCTATTACGCGCACGGACACGCCCGAGACGTTCACTGCCACGGAGGCGAACGACGGCGTCGGCGAGCTGAGGATGAATATCCCAGGCACGCTCTACCACCCCGACGATGAGGGCGACTGGAGTCCATCCCCGACTGCGAGGCATGGGTTTGGGGACAGGGGTAGGAGCCGGACCTGGATGGATGTGTTTAGGGCGTGGAGAGCTGGTGCGGAGAGTGGATGAGCGATGACGCTCGAAGGGATCTCAAGGTGAGCGTTTGATGCCTCGTCTGTTATTATGGTGAGTTACTGATTGGATTAGGAAGAGTGTAGGTGTTATATGGCGACGTCCTGATAACATTTCTGGATGGCTTGTGGTATAGGTGATGCCGATCACGACCATGGGGCTTGGTGTGTAAGATCTATCGTACGTGCTTTTGCTGTGTTCCAGTGCTCCGACGATCTGCTGTGCGGATGATATCTTTCGTTCTTTAAGCTTTAACGTTGCTCCTTTTTATATCTAACTTTTGTTGTTCTTCGATACTTACTCTTTTGTAATACTTCGCACTGCTCTACAGTAGAATCGTTATGTGCTCCCCTCTTACAAGCACTACCGGGTTGATTTTCGACAAGTGTTTGCTTCGATACTACTGAAATAGAGAGCCGGCATCTGCGGCCCGAGCATCCGAACCGTGGGAGCAGCAAGTTTTCGTGCGACTCCTCTTTGAATTTGAACATTCTAAACCCACGGTCAAGCTCTGGCGTTGGTGTCAAGCAGCTCACATCAATGTACCAGAGCGCGATCGAGCAGAAAATCAAGTACCTTGGAATAACCTGTCATTGTTCTTCCGATGATAACTGTGAGTTGACGCTTGATCAAGCGTGTAAGCCTAACACGCTGCAAGCATGATGCGCCCGTTGAACGTTGATTGATGGCGCAAGTAACCTCCACGTGTTTCATTCTCCGTCAAGTGCCCTGGTGCATCAGCCTACCAGCACAAAGGCCCCTGATCTCATCGTCCATCGCACCTTGTTCGCCCTTTGGCCTGCTCGTACTTGCATGGAAACCACATTCCCAGCACCATTCAAGACCGATTCTGCCAGCCTGGTCACGGCCCTGGCGTACTCTCCCGACGGAAAGTCTCTGGCTACTGCTTACAGCGATAAAGCGATCCGTATATGGGAGACGGGAACGGGCCACCAAATTGGGGATGCGTTGTATGGGCATAGTATGGCGGTCAGCACCATCGCGTATGCGCCGAATGGACGCCGTCTTGTCAGCGGGTCCTCAGATTCGGCGCTTCGGGTATGGGACACAAGCACGTATAGACGCGTAGTGGGCCCTGCCAGAGCGCACGTCTGCTCCATCTTAGCTGCTCAATGCTCGCCTGACGAAACACTCATCGCGAGCGGGGACAGGAACGGCTATCTCAAGTTCTGGAATGCGCGTACGGGAGCATGTGTAGCGACCATCAAGTACCAGCCTCCCTCTGCAGATTCTCGGCGAAGCCGCAGAGCTATCAACTCGCTCTCGTTCTCACCCAGCGGGAAGCAGATCGTGACCGCGTCAGATGATTGTCACATTCGCATTTACGACGTTCACCGTCACAAGCTCGCGCTCGAGCCCATCGCCGGACACAAAGCCCGAGTCAAAAGCGTGGAGTATTCCCCAAGCGGCACGGTCATTGCCAGCGCTTCGGACGACCACACCATCTGCCTATGGAACGCCTCGACAGGAGAGCTTATTAGACCTCCGCTCAGAAGCCACGAAGGCTGGGTCACCGACCTGTCTTTCTCTTCGGACGGGGTTCATCTTGTCAGCGGCTCAGCAGACAGGTATGTCCGTATATGGGACGTCGCTGAGGGCAAATGCGTCTTGGGACCGCTGATTGGGCACAGGAAGGCTGTCGTCGCAGTCGCTTGTTCTCCTGATGGGGAGCACTTTGCTTCTTGCGATCAGGAAACGGTGCGAATCTGGAGTATATGTACGGGCGAGGCAGTACTTCCCCTAGTAGGCGCTACGTTTGCTTTGCGGGTATCCGATGCTGATCCACGTTCTGTTCAGGTCACTGCTGACGAGCATAATGTGCTGGTTGCGGAAAGGTAGCCATTCGTCCAACTTTATCCTATCGTCGCACTGATGTATTCAGAACGAGGGCGGACCACTTTGCGCGCGCAGTAGCCTGGTTTCCAGATGGCCTGCGCTTCGCAAGCGGTGGACATGATCGCGTCGTCCGGCTTTGGAACGCACAGAGCGGAGAAGAATCCTCCCCTCCTCTCGTATCTCACTTGAGCAGTGTCACAGCCATAGACATATCTAGCGACGGTGCATTTCTTGCCAGCGGTTCCGACGACTTCACAGTATGCATTTGGGACCTCAAACATGGAGAACTTGTCACGAAACCCCTTCGTGGCCACTTTGGCAACGTTTTTGCTGTCAAGTTTATCCCTGGCGGCACGCACCTCGCTAGCGGAGGAATAGACAAGATGATTCGTATTTGGGATACACAGACAGGAACCACTGTCGATACCATCGAAATAGAGACCAAGGCCTGTGTTAACGCTCTCAGCGTCTCTTCGGATGGATCCCGATTAGCAAGTGGACACTCAGATACATCGAACAGGGTCCAAGTATGGGATCTCCGCTCGAACACACCAGTTGCGGAGCCTTTCGATCACAGTGACGAGGTTCTATCAGTTGCTCTGTCTCCCGATGGTTCCCTGGTACTGAGCGGCACAGCAGACACTGTACGGTTATGGGATATATCTCGGCGGGAGCAGCTCTTCAGCTTCAAACACGGAGATTCTGTCCGATGCGTGCACTTCTCAACGGATAGTGCCAAATTTCTCAGTGCTTCGTACGACATGACAGTCCGCGTCTGGGACACTGGCTCTAGGAGCCTGATTCATTCTCTACAACACTCCACAGCCGTTAGGGCATCAGCATTCTCCCCTGACGGACTGAGGGTTTTGAGCGGATGCGATGAGACCAGGCTCACGCTGTGGGACACCATTTCTGGACAGAAGCTTCTGCCGAAGGTGAGGTCTTAGTCTCTCGAGACCATGAGCTCAAGATCTGATGGATAAAAAGGGCACTGGCAAAGATAAAGCACCCACTTCGACGCGTCAATCAAATATTCACGCGGTGTGTTATAACGTGCCTCCATTCGAACCTTGACTTATGTTCTAAAAGGTGCCAGAGTCTGTCGAAAGTCTACTGAACGTGAGTTTGCTGCTTTGCTTTTTTGTCTTGAAATGGCGATGATGGGGCGCCCGCAGATAACAGCAGCACCTCGGCGACGTCTTGAAGTTCATGCACAAGAACAGAACGACGTTAACAACGTGAGTCTTATATCTCAGCGTGGTTGGGTTTTTGCTGATTATCATGTGATCCTTTAGGAAAGCGAAGTCACACAAAGGAAGGGTTCGAGCATACTTGCACGAATACTCAAGCGTATTCGTACGCGTGGATCCAGAAGGTCTCATGATACTGCAAGGGCCCACCCACTTAGGCGTCTACTGGCTAAAAATCGGCAGAAACCCAAAGTTGTATCACCAGCTTGGGCGACAATAGTACGTTAATCCTCTCATAAAATACGACCGCATTCACTGGTATCCTACAGCGAAATGGCGTGCCTGGCCCCCTTAACGAGGGACGGCATCATAGACCTCGTCAGGAGGAGTCTGAATCAGAGAGTGACTCGGACAGTTTTGAGTATGACGATGACGGTGTTAGTACCGGGTGTATGCGGTCGATATCGTGTTTCTTCGAACCTATACGGCCGCGCCAACACCAAGATTGAGGTACGCAGACAACATCCTCGTTTTATGTCTCAGATACCGCAGACTACTCGAGTACAGTGCACATACAGCTAAACTGGCGAATTGCAAAAAATGCGAAAGCTGGTTCTGTCAAACAGATATATTTATTCTATAAAGCTAACCCAATGACATCGTACAATGTTGTTTTATTATATGTGAATTGGGCAAAGGGTAGCTTAGTGACTCAGTTGCGAGCGGAGGACTCCGGCCTTGTTGTTTCTGTCTGCTCGTGAGCAGGGGTTGGTTTTCCTTTTCTACGAGCAAACGAGCCTTTGCCTGACGGCGAGCAGGAAAGGAAGAACAATCGCAAAAAAAAGAGTGCATCCCACAGCGGATGGTCACCGTATTCCGCGCTTTCACCGTCTGAATCTGATGGACATACGTCTTCGTCTAGGGGAATGGTGTCGCCACCGGGAGTTCTGCCACGTTTGTCACCTGCCGCCATAATTCGCTGCAGATAATGGTCAATAAGGATTTTGCTGAACAGGCAGAACAAATACCTGGCCACCATATGCTCGGTGGATGTAATCAGAGATGCGTGATGCTTTGGGATGTTCCTTGTTATCCTGTCCATTGGCGCCCTTTCTACCCCTGAACGTCACTATACGAGCCTGAAATATTAGCCAAGAAAAACGTCAATAAGTTATTCGGAAGACAAGGACAAGCAGACGTCAGTAGAAACAGTATACTCACTGAGAATCGATGTGGCATGCTCGCTTCCCCGTTCAAGCGCTCACGTAAGACGATATCCTTGCAGTTGTTTGTCAATGCAGCGACCTTCGGACTTTATCGGATAAGTAACGACAGCTGGCACACACCAAGGAAGAAATTGCATACAATTTCGTCTATCGTCTTGCACCTGCCAATCACTCTGAGTGTGACCTTCCAGCGCAGTTTCAGTTTGACGACCCGTTGCCGCATCCCAGATCCAGTGTATTGGGACCCGCTAGCGGGATTATGCACCGTCAGGCGAGTAGGTGGTTGTCCAGACGAAGTCAGCATGACCTTTGAGCGAATCGAGAGTCGCGCTTGATATTGCACGGTATGATGTGGAAAGCTGCTGTGTCTGGTGCAGATGCTGCGATCGCTTCCACCGGGTCAAGCGTGGGATTACTCGTATTATTACTCGTATATTCATACTTTTGCCTGGCCTTTGTTTGCTCATGCTTGGCAGGAATCTATCCGAGGGTTAGGGAAGTTAAGATTAGTGCTTGAGATCAGGGGCCAAAGCGTAGCGGATGCACACAGGGCTTTCGAGTTCCAAATCAGCCGCGAGGTAGTAAAAGCGCCTGTATTGGGTATGCGCCTACAACTTGCTGTGTACTCGCACTTTTGAGGACATGTGTATTACTGCGTTGCATGTGCGCGCAGGCTCTGTCTCATCTACGTTATGTACATATACTAGTTCAGGTCGCAATAGTTTCTTTATCGTCACCATAGCCTGTAGTCACTTTGTCGCCTTCGGTCGGTCGAGAGTATCCACACTAGATAAATAAACATACCAAAAATTCGGCTTTGAACACGACAAAGGCGAACTCATCTTTATCCCCTAACATAGTGATACGTAATGTACTCCCAACTCTGTCTCACAACGGAACGGGATAGATGGAGTCATATCATAGGCCAAAAACAATATACCCTGACTGCTGGACATTAACTAAGGAATCAACACGAACTCGGTTGGGAACGGGCTGAGTCCCCCAAAATAGGCTGCACATTGGGTAGCCATACCCGGCGTTGCATGACACATAAAGGCACCTTGGATTCCATCGAGGGTAGCAGCCCCAACATTCCCTCCGGCGCAGTACATCTGCTGCTCATTGATGACGAAAAACGTTTGATATCCAGTAGTGCCACCTCCAGGAGTGCAGACGAAGGAAACGTACACGGGCGCAGATGAACCACCTTGCTGTGTGTTGAGTTCCAAGAGATAAGCGCCAGCGCAACCTTGTTGATTGTAGGGGTCAACAGCAGTGGCTTGAATGTAGGAGACTGCTCCGCTCGTAGCTGATATCACGCCCATGCCATAAAGATCCTGGCAATTGCGCGTTAACCATCGATGATAAGATGAGAATAGAACCGCAAATACCGTTCTTCCAGAGCCGAGTATTGTATAAGGTTGTGTGATGAACCCGCCAAGGCCATCGTTTGGGATTGTAAAATAAAGGTAACCATATGATCCTGGTACGTTGCATCGTGGAGAAGTGGGCTCAGGAGGAAGTAGTGCCTTTGATGACATTGGTATAAACCACCGAGACACACTGAGAAATTAAATTGAACGTACCTCGTAGTTAAATGTAGACGGGTTGTACTACATTGACTTAGGTTACGCAAGGAACGGCTGGGAAGTCATAAAGTCTAGTACATACCACGTTATTGACGTATAGTGGTATTGTACACATATCGTCAGCCGTGAGGATTCCTTGACTTAAAAGGACCTGAATGCAGTTGGACCTATAGTAGTTCCAGGAATTCTCCGCTCGTGATCTTGGATCGTGACCCAGTTCAGGCTATATCTCCTCCAAGAGCTCGTAGGGAAACTTACGTGCAGCCTGCCGGATATGCAGCAACCGTATTGCGAAGCCATGTGTTGAATATTAATGGTATACTCGCTGTTGAATCCGGTACATCCGTGGGTGTAATCCACGACAGCAAGTTCTGGATGCGCAAGGCGGTGGCCTGGAAGACTGAGGCAGTCTCTTGAAAGTCTTAAAATCACATGTGTCCATGAGCGACGAAGCGAAGAAAAGATCAATGAGACGTACATTGACCGAGCGCTGCCAAATTGCGTAGGAATGTTTCCAATTGGACGAGATCATCAGAAATGACGACTCCTCCGCCATCGACTATATATTCCATGGTAGAACGCTGCGGGGGGTTGCCGGGGGTATAGCAATTGTTGTTCACGACGTTTGATTTGGCTGTAGTGAGCCATAACACATGTGAGCAATTAAGCTTAAGAAAGGCACGTGAAACCCTCAGAATGCAGACCTTGATTCATCGGAACATCAGCCCACACCATATTCTCGGGCTAGAACACCGATGAGGATCAGCTGATCCAAACGTCCAGACTATAACGACCTACAGTGTCAATTGCGGCTAGCAGTGCTGAGGCTAATGTCTGTCCATTAGGTAGTATGTAGTTGAAGACATTGTCTTGAATCCTAGAGGAGGCTCAACATTTGATATCAGGCTGAAGCGTGCAGCAACGTACCACTGACACCCTCCAGCAACAGTTTGATTTATCGGTGCTTGGGTAAAAAAGTTGTTGATATAGCCGAGCCTGCATCAGCCATAAGAACATGTTAACCGATGGGGAACAACGTGTGTAATTTCTTACTCAAAAATGTGCTCCTCTAGTTGCGTAATTTTGCTACTAGTCAGCCATGCTCAAATCAATGTTGTTAGCACTTACGAACTGTAGGGCCATACGTGCTAAAATCGGGCCGAGTAGTGAGCACGCTGATGAGATCTGTGCTAGTGTATGATATAGGATCGAGATGATAATATGGACCTGCATATAACGAAACAAAATCAGGAGAAGTTGTCTGATTGCAACCTTGCACCGCTATGTCTGCTCACGGAAAGAAACACCTGGATAAGTAAATGGAGTGTAGATATAGCTGTATGACATACGTCTCGGAGTAGAAGGATACCGCGCACTATGTTGGCTAAAACCGCGTTTGCGTGAGTAGCTGGGATCTGTGCCTTCATCTTCCCAGTCGACATTCTCGGGATCGTCAGGAAGGTTATAGTTTAAACTACGATCTGCAGATCCTGTGCAAGTTGGTTCGGATGTGCTTGTGCTGGTGGATGTACTACTTTTCGATGTGCTTGTTGTGCAGCTAGCAGCGGCTCTTCTATGGTACTCGGGATATCGTTTATCACCTTCGGACAGCTCGTAATCGCAACCACCGTCGGGATCCCCAGTGGGTATCGGATATGGGTCTGACCATGGTCCCGTCCACCCAGGTGGGCGAATTGCTTGAGGTGTAATACCTCCTCGGATGCCAACATCCAGAGGAGGACACCCGCTGAGAAGACCGCCGAAGAGAAGCGACCACGTATTACCAGTGTTACAGCTATTGTGATCGCCAGGAGGCCCAGTGACGATGGAAGACTGAGCAGTAGATGTTGGAACAGGTACAGTCGAGGACCAAGTGGGTGGCGATGTCAGTGGTGCCGTGAATAAGACAACTGACGCGTTTGGGGTGGGGCTAACATAATTTGCTAATAATCAAACACATTTTAGAGGCCATAAATCAAACTTTGCGTAGCAACTCCACTTACACCATGTCGGGGTGATAGCGCCTACAATCACAACACCAGTGGGAAGGGGACTGTTGATCGGAGTTCCTCCCGCGTTGAGGGTAATGACATCACCACCAATAGTGATAGTGGTTGTCTGCGTTGGAATTGGTATAATGGTAGTGGACCCGGAGTCGATAAAGGTTTCTGAAATAGCGGTTGAGGGGGGATAGGGATTTGGATCTATTGGAATTTTATGAAGTCGAAGTTTAGATTAGTGCATGCAAATTTTGACTTACTCCATGTAATGTATGTGTATATGTTTGTCGGACCGATTGTGGTTACAGACTAGGCAGCATTGAAGATTGAGTACTCGACTCAGTCACTAGAAGATATATTTTGTACTACTCACGTGAGGTGGTACTGGATTAGTCCATGCACCAGTCCAATCAGAGGGAGGTATCGGTGTTGGCGTTGTGCCCCCAAGTACACCTACGTCGCTCGGAAGACACCCAATAATCGATGGACCATAGTCAACGATCCATTTATTGGTTCCATCACAGTTTGTGTCGCCATTGGGTCCGCTCACTGTTTGTGCGGGGTCTCCGGGCGAAGTGGGAGCAGCTACAGCACTTATATACGATGCAGGTGAGCCAATGGGGGCGGTAAATGTCACTGTAGCTGCACTGGTGGGTGGGATAATGTTATAAGCTTGATTAAAGAAAGAGAATAAGTCGGAAATGGCACAAAGAAGATAAATTAACGGACGCACTCCATGTAGGGGTTATTGCATTGAGCAGGGATACACCGGTAGGAGGTATGGATCCTACAGGTGTCCCGCCAACTCCAACGGAGATGGTATCGGTGCCTAGAATAATCTGAGTTGTACTAGATGGTATGGGAATGACGACTGTGCTTCCAAATCCCACAAATGTCTCGGACTGAACGTTAGAAGCTGGATAGGGATTGGGGTCTAATGGGAATAGCAATGAGGATCAATACTGAGTCGGTATTTTGAGTCGCTTACTTACTCCATTCAATTGCAGTGTAAGATCCAAGTGACCCCGCGCCTCCCCCAAGGCTGGTTGATCCATTGTACCCCTATTTGCGTGTGAGCAGAAACTCGAGGAGCTTAGGTTAAAAGGGGCGTACTGGGATTATCTGATCAACAGACCTAGCAAATAAACCACATGTTATGCGTCAAGAAGATTATTCAGGCTATATGACCTACCAAATGAATGTTCCTCCGAAACAGGTCTGATCTGCAAAAGTTACTTTGTCTCTGAAGAGAGCTTTAGGATCATCGCGAAATGTATACTTTGTCATTTATGCGAGCTTACTGCCATGTATCTGCTTGATCAAATGTGACCAAATCTCCGTTCTGGAATCTGTCAGATTTCGATCTTTGCAAGATGTTGCGTATCTCACCGAATCGTCAAACCAGTATGTCTGGCTCCCAGAATCGTAAATAGGAGTGTTTCCATTTGCGATCATCTCTTGTATCTCAAACATAGCCAGTATCCCCGAGGCCGCAGTACAGACACCTGGTGCCCCACCGCCAACCATCTGTGAATCACGATGTTGAGAAGAATATCTCACTATAACAATCCCGAGCGCTTACAGTGCAATTATACCCTTGGCAAGATGTGTCACTTAGGTGGAACGTTCGCCCATACCACGCTAAACCTGAAGTAATGTTGGTTATTCATGGGTACACCCCTGAAAGCGTACCACTACATACCGAGGTTTACTAGGATCAAGATAAGAAGCATAGTTTCAGGTAAATTATGGGCTGAAACAGAATTTTGACGCACCGATAGAGAGGTCTATTCCAGCTCTTGTATACAGAAGTGCGCTTGTAGTGATATCTACTATGGACGTTTGTGGATTGGTCACGGGCGCTTGGTCAGTGACATTGGTATCCCAAGGCCCATGATAGTCTGTACGCTAGCAGTGAGCACTATTTTGGACTTTTCTCGCAGTATGACCACGAACCATACGCTACGTCCGGCATTCGTGAGCCGAAGACTTGAGCTTCGTTACGAGTGCGATGCTCAAAGAACAACTTACACATCATATTCATATAGGTCACATAACTGGATATCTTGTCAATTTCAAACCCCTTCAAAAACCAGTAGCCAGCAGGAGTCGCTATATCGTTCGTCAAAAATTTCCCTATAAAACAGTGTTATAGCAGTAGTTACCGATGGAGATGATTGTAGTATCCGGAAGCGTCGACTTGACTTGTTCAAAAAACGCGGTTAGATTTGGCGTATCTTTGCTCAAGGGTATCAATATGTTAATCAGAAGAGGATGTGGTATACTACCTGTCGCCGGTGCGTCTCTCTCAACTGCTCCAGGGTACTCTGACGAAATGGTCAGTATGAGCGCGTTAAAGGAGAAAAAAGTCTTCACCGAAGTCTATATCTATGGAAATGTTGTGAGCTCAGTCAACTACCAGAACCGCGGGAATAGAAACAGACCTATTCCATCGAGACCGTACTCCTGAATAGTGTTCTGAACTGAAGAGATGAATGTTGTTCTGGTCGAAGCGTTGGCGATCATCAGGGAGAACAAATCACGTGTGGGGTCTGCCTCTCTACACATGTAGCATAAGGCGCAAAGTATAGGCCCAGTCAACACATGACTTACGAAAACGTCCATCCCCCAATGGCCAAGACGACTTTCAAATCACTGTAAGTTTCTTTGAGGGAGACAAGCTCGCTGATCAGCGATATGTCACTCTCGCCGATTACTTTACATGTGCCTTATCAGTACATAAAAATTCGTGTCAATGCATTATGATGCGCTTACGGAGTTGAAAGGTTTGTGAGATTGTTGCGAATGCATAGTGAGCATGCGTATACCCTGTCCAGTCGATCTGAGACGGAGAGACAATGCCACAGGGCCGTTGCATGGCCCAGCCTTCGTAGTATCCTATCTTTCTAGGCGATGTAGGGTCACTGCACGATGGTAGAGTTGGTATAAAGCAGTTTGAGATGCTGACAAAAAATCCAATGTTAGATGGACGGGAGCTAAGACGATCCTACATACCATGGATTCGGACCCTGATAATATTGAAAACCATTAACATGACTATAAATATTGCTCAAAATGTGAGCTATCACTTACCGAAGTCGAGCAAAAATTGTCTGTAAGTCCACAATAACCAAACGCGCTGCAGCATGCGTTCAGTGGACATGTCGCATTTCCAGGACTCTCCGGACCGCATTCCAAGTTTGGGTTCACTCTGAAATCTTTCGTATACAACAATGAAAGAATAACTTCCAAGTCACTTACGGGATGGGAGGCGGTGTGCCTGATGACACACACATCGTAAATGCAAGTTGAAGATCTGAACATCCTATCGAAAATGCTACATCGATGAATGTTCAGATATATATGGTGTAAATCTCGTACCTGTCCACTTATACGTATCCTCGTTCCAAGTCTCAATATCCGCGACAGTGATGTCAAATTCCGTTGCGATCGCTGTTCAGAAGTTAGCACAGGGCTCACGGACGGATGATGCTTATTTTCCGCACTCACAAAAGCAACTATCGCCAGAAGCAGTAGTGTACATATAACAAGTACCGTTGGGATACGGGGATGGGGCGTCCGATGGTAATGTTCCCGGAGAAATGCAAACCTTCTGTCCTGCGCTCATGTTCAATACACCATAAATGTCAAACGATGAACTTGTACCAATCTGAAGCGTGGAGCAATCCAGACCAGGGTTATAAGAGTCGAATTGGGCCTCGGTAAGGCCCGCATTTGTGTAAATATCGTAGCTGGGCGCGCGTGAGGTGACCCGAAACCAGTCATGGATTGAATAACTTACCAGTCACTGTATGGGGAGCCGACTGTTGCGGTAGTACAGTCTACGCTCGTTTAATCAGAAAAAGTGAAGGTATGGGGTAAGTCACCGCACCAGTAGTTGTCGCACCCCGGGACAGCGTTAAAACGCGCAAAAAAAGCCAGCCGTAGACTAGCTGGATAAGAATCATTCTGGCTGTGGAGAGCGGTCTGAATCCTTTGGGTTAGCGGGGAGCGTTTCACTTTATAGGATATATTCAGCCCACTTGCCGAAACCAGATATCAATCTAGGAACCGATAGAGATGGGGAGCCACATGCTCTTACTACGGCACATTAACGCAGAAGGCCAAGGAGGGTGACGTTAAAGAGTCGCCTTTTGTTCTCAAAGAGCTAAGGAGTTTCTTTGAATTGCCGTTGCATAGTGGTCGCATATGTTCATCTCTTGCATGTGCCCTGAGATGATCCGACATGTTCCATAAAAACTTGGTCGTGGGAATGAACTAGTATGATACCTTGGCACATAGATGATGGCCTCTTTCCATTCGTAACGTAGTAGAGCTTACAGCACAAGGTCATTCACCTCTGCTGAAACCCGACTCAGGGCAGTTTGATGGCTTTAATCATCTATTGTTCAAGTTGTGAAGTAATTTTAATTACAGAGTTAGCGGGCATTGTAATAGCACAAAATAGATGGTACAACTAACCTTTAGGATCATCATCATGGGTTGCACCATGGGTACCGAGGAGTACCAACAATACCAATGGCTACAATAGATGTCTATTTGAGTCTTCGGTATTCAATGCAGTGATTCGAGTACGCCACTGCCCTGACCCATGTGGTCGTAATCAACTTGATAGGGCGGGGATTTGTCCGCCTGATGCGGATGCATCAACTCTGTAAATGGAAGATTACTACAAAGATTTGGGTTCACATAGGCACTGATTCATCAGTGAGGGAAGGTCACAAGTATTCGTTGTAAGCCTATGTAAAGGTAGCACGATCATCTAGCCACAACAGATGCCCTCTGTTGCGTCGGAAGCTTCCCCGCTGTGAACATCTTTTCGAATTGACGTAAATGCCTACTCTGCGACATAAGAATAAAGAAAACCTTTGAGTGATTAGAACCGCAATATCATCCACAACATGCTCCTATAGTCATTCAACGGAACAAGGTACCTTCTCATGCACACGGACCTGACCACAAGCTTGCCTGATACAGGGGCAGTGTCCGCGAGGATCAGAGAAGTATCAGAGTTGAGCCGATTATCCGGGAGTGTCCCATGTCCCTTAATGTAGCCCGTATCTCCCAACGGGCAGGACGGACTTATGATTAGCCCAAGAACTGCTTAAGGCGTACTTTCTAAATGGGTGGATCTTTCGGAGAAAGTAGGATACAAGAACTTAGGCATCAAAATATCATCCAGCTTTCTGGAAAGCTGTTTGTTCTGCATGTGAATGCTTTTCTTAGGGTTAAATTTAACAGCGCTTTTCATTATTGTAATAATGAATAATAATGAATAACCAGAGAACTACTCGAGAGCCTGGTCATTAATGGATTCCAGCTGCTTCACGCACCACCACGTAAATAGCGGCAGGCCCACGGTCATTGCAAGAATAAGCAACGCAACGGCGCACAGACATTTCGTGTATATCGCAGCTTGTGGAAAGACGCGACAGCAGAAGCCAATGAGGAAGCTTAGCATTCTGAAGTTTGGTATAACAAATGAGTTTTCGAGGTGTATGAATAAAAATGAAACACAACACTTACCCCCACATGAGAAGCGCGAACGGCATACTGTACATAATGGCTAACAGCTCGAGCCCGAAAAGCATACTTACGGTGTCGAGCAGGCCAACCTGTGGGGATTGTTATAGGTGAGCCATAAAGCAGGGTACGAAGAAGGCTGAAGAATGCATACAGCTTTAGAGGCTGACTCTGATTTTCGCCGTCGTGCATCCGCAGATAGAAGAAGCGAAAGCGTCATGGATCCGACAACCGCGATTATCGAGACGTACGTGGCGACCGTCGATGCATCTTCCTTTCCCAAACTGGCGAGCTCAACGTTGGGGACGGCCAGGAAAGACACATCAACGGCAAGCATAACCGTTGACTGTCAGAAAGCATTACCGGCGGAATAAGCGATCAAGGAGTGGAATGAATAGCTGAAAGAGGCATACGTAAAGTGTCAATCCCATGAACTCGTCGTACACAGTCGAGATGTATTCCTTCCATCTTGCGGAGTTTATCGTACGATCTACCCAGACGGTGTTCAGCCGCTCAAGCTGTGAATATGGGGTACCAAACATGAAGATCGAAAGGCTGATGAAGGTCCAGTGCATGTTCAGCGTGTCGTCGGGCCACACAGATTTGTCAGCGTCGAGGCGAGCTTCGGGCTGTCCGCAGAAGTTGTGTAACCGGGAGACAGCTGGAAAGAATGAGCGTTCTTGATATAACTTTGTAAGCCATGTTTCGTACCAAATGAGTGTGACAGTCGAGCTATCATGTCGACCGTTGAGAACCATATGTCACATTGAAGCTGATGTCCGCTCACCAAGTATGCATACTGCGTATGGGCTTTGTTTTCCCAGTTGATCTGGATACCATATCAGCACTACGAACAATAGTTTATCGTCGACGATCACCTTGCAGAGAGTCCAAGATATCACGAATCTTGTCCAGTTCATCCGCATCAAAAGGGGATAGCGACGTTTTGCTCGTTAGTCGCTCTATATGCTTGTCAGCACAAGCGCCGATTCTGAGGTCAGCGATCAACGCACCGGCACTGGCATGAAGAACAGCATGGCTGAGCTCGCGATACACCTTTTCCTCCAACCTTCTAGCGAGTGGGAACGTCTCGACATGGGCCCTGCGGCCTGTAATTCAGCACTGAAAACCAGTGAAATGATCATGCTCACCAGTACTGTGCCTCCATCGCATATCCTAGAGACATCAACGTTGAGTAAGAAAGAAAGTTGACAAGGCTTACTGATGTGTTCCATGCTCCGAACGCCCTTGACGTTCTCAGTGATGCGTGTCTCTGATAACTTGAGGGTGTTCGCCCATATCATACAGCGAGCCTGGACGTCCACGAAGTAGTAGCCGATGATCTTGTGCTTGATATTAGGGCATAATACCAGCTCGACGTCAGCCTTGAGTTCGCTTTCAATAGCCTGAGCGAGAATGACATCAATGGCGTCGTCTAGATGTTTACAGACACCTCGTTCTTGGCCCCTCACGTCTGCGTTCGTGAGGATTGTCTGTAACGGACCTCAGTGATACATGAACAAGCTCGGTTAGACAGCACCCACAAGGTTTGCCCCCTTCAGCAGGGAACATGAGATATCGATATTGAACGAGAAAGACGATGGGCTGGACCCACCTCGTTTCGTGGGTTTGTGCGAACAAAATACAAAGCGCCTTCGGGATGTACACAGTTTCTCCAACCGGACTCATTGTCACTAACGTAAGAACACGTGGCGTGAGCTTCATCCAATATACCGTACAAGCATCCAAATCAAACGACCTACTCAAAGAACTCCGTCCTCCCGGCGTCGATTTCGAGATCTAAGGATAGGTCCTTGCTGACCAAATGATTAAGTACAAGTCAAGTAGACGTAGGCTACTCACGCGAAACGACGTCGTTTATATCTCTGCGCCATGACGCCTGACGCTGTGGTTGGTTCTAACCTCCACCCATCCGTCGTGATCGGAAGTTGTGGGTGCCCCAATGAGTCCCTGTCCTCCTCCTGAGTGGGATCGGGATTGCCCGCCTGATTTTGGGAATGCGACTCCGAACTCGGAGGGTCAGATGGCAGAACTCCAGAGGTCGAGGGTTGGTTGTCGCCTTCACAGGGAGCATCGCTAGGTGGAGATGTACTAGATGGTGTGCTTGTTTCAGGTCCTACTGCGGCAAGAGGAATGCGTTCTGAGGGAGAAACAGAGCAGTAATAAGGCTGTGGAGCTGTTGTCGCTTTTCTGTCGGTAAAAGTTCGAATTCTACAGAGGAACCATTGTAAAAAGCGAATGAGGGCCTTCTTTGATTGGATGAGCAGCTTCTTGAGGAGACATCCTATCAAGTGGAAAGTGTTAATAAGAACGCGTAGTCTTGTCGACATGGTGGCTTAAAGCAGAGATGAACAAGCGTATACAGCATGGTGACTGCGTAAATCTAAAATGGGCGTTTATCAGTAAGGTGAATAACTTTCATCCCTTAGGCGCGCTAAAGAGGGGCTAGTACCACTTACGCAGACGGCACATGGGATGAAAGAGAGATTCACGGCTGAGCGAGTGATAGAAAGACTACGAAGCGCTCACCATGACCACTTCCTCTCAACGTCAGACTGTGTACGGCGACGAGGATTGCAGAATGCACTCAAATTGAACCGGGGATCTCTTCGCCTCGCGTCCACCACGCGCCATGTTGGCAACGAGTCCAAGCGTGTCAAATGGCATGCACATTCCTGGCACAAGGGTTTCGGCACGTTTGGTTCTCGCAGGCCCTTTCACCGAACATCGTCCACCCCAGTCCATCCAAAGCATAAGAAGGTCAGTGAGGGTGCGTGGCCTAGACTCGTAACACAGCCTCTCTCACGCGGCCTAATAAGGCAACGAACCTGAGGGTTCTCGCGTCAGAGAGACTGGGACAAAATGTCGAGTCGCTGGCAGGCGACCGACGGAGTTTGAAAATTGGCTCGGCCCGAGAGAGATCGCCGTCCGAAAGGGGAAAATCAGCCCCTGTAGATTAGATACGACGCGTCTGAACGCGCTCCCCACCTCATTAACGCGTATACCGCTCGTACTTATGTCCATACCCACCACACCACTCGTTTAAATAATGAATGAACACTATATTACCACTCTCCACGCCCCTCTTTCGAATAACGGCCGCGATTCCCTCAAGAAACTGTCCCGATCATTCCTCGACAGCCTCACATTCGAGCAAGTGGAAACTGTTCTCTGGGCGACTATCTGGTTCGACGCGCGATTTTCAGGCAGCCGAACGTTACGTCAGTTTCAGCTAGAAGCTGCTATTAATCACCTAGCCGGTAAGCACGTCGTTGTACGCGCTGGGACAGGGTATGGCAAAACTATGGCCATGATCCTACCCCTCGTCCTTGCACACCCTCGCAAAATCGCAATCACGGTTTCCCCACTCAAGTTACTCCAGCAAAACCATGTAAGTGCTATTGTTGTATTAATCGCTAACCTTAACGCTTGATAGGTCGAGGAGTTTAATAGTTACGGCGTACGTACTATCCAAATCAATGAAGACACGCCGGACAACAAGGAGCTTTGGAACGTACGTATATTTCGCGCATACAGCCACTAATCTTTACTTTTTTCTATCTAGGATATTGCTCGAGGCGTCTACCAGAATATACTGGTAGCGCCCGAGCAGTTCTTTCGATTCAAAGGCCATATACCTCGCCTCGCCTCGCTCATCATGCGGGTGCAATCATTCAGCAAGAACGTCGGTCATTTACTCGTCGACGAAGGTCATTCTATCCACACGACTGGGTTCGTTCGCAAAGGAGAGAAGGCACCATTTCGGCCTGCATACAGCCGGCTCAACGAGGTCAGAGCCGCTATCCCCTCGTCGACTCCAGTCATGGTTCTATCGGCAACACTCCCTCCTCCGACGCTCTACACGGTCCTTGACAGCCTTCGTATTAATCCCGAGACAGTCACTAAGTTATTCCTCTCGACAAATCGCCCGAATCATTTTTATGCCGTCCACAAGATGCACAACGGCCCCAGGACGCTCAAGAATCTTGATTTCCTCATTCCTGTCTCCTCGAGCCCGAATCCGTTGCCAAAGACTCTAGTCTTTGTCGACACACGCGATCGAGCGCAGGATATCGCTCATTACTTACGCAACCGCTTTCCCCAGCAGCTCCAGACAAAGCGGATCGTTTCGCACCTCCACTCCGGCATGTCGGAGGATTATGGACAGGGCGTATTCAACGACTTCAAGAATACGAACGAAATAGCGACGGTCATTGCCACCAGCTGTGCTTCGAACGTGAGTTCCTTCACCTTATTATAACTAACATATTGACAGGACTTCAGGGTGTTGATGTCGCATCAATATCACGACTAGTATGCTACGGCCTACCACAGACACTAATCGACCTGTGGCAGGAGTTTGGACGCGCTGGACGCCTGCCCGAGCTGCAGAGCATCGCGCTCATCATTGCTGAACCATGGGCCTTTAATACAGAGGACAGCGAGAAGCCGTCTACCGCTGAAAAGCGAACCGACAGGGACGTTCGTGAGTATGTTTCGTTCAAGACATGCAGGCGTGCATTCAAAGCACAGAAGGACGGTGATGATTCGGACGAAGGTAATTCCCCATCAACCTCTTATTTCTCAGAACTAACTATTCTACAGCACTAACTACGAGATACGGGTTATGTTGCGACAACTGCAATGCAGATTTCGACCTCGGCCGTTTTTTCCCTCGACCTCTGTACGATCCGACCCATGTGGCTGATAATTCTGGCCAGAATGCGACGCAGACAGCGAGTCAAGCGACTCAAGTGAAGCCGAGGAAGTTCGCTCGCTCGAAGGCCAACCAGGAGGAAATCACGGCCCGCCTTCAAACGTGGCGAACAGAAACAATTCGGACCTCAACCTATGCTGGTCTATGGCCACGAAGCCATCTGTTGCACGACAAGAAAATTAACAAGATCGTCAAGTCGCCTCTCGGCTCTCTCACCTCTCTCGCAAGCGTCGTCTCGCTGCTCCAAGAAAGTGACGAGTGGGCAGAGCATTTTGGCAGCGGTGTTTTTGACATCATCCAGGAGCTCGACACTGCAGCACTCGAGGATCTCCCACCTATCAAGCAAGAAGAAGAAACCGATGAGGCTTTTTCACAGAAGAAATATACGTACCAGATCAAAACCAAGGCCTGGGTGGCCACTGACGCCTCCAAGTTTCGGAAGGAGTCCGACACTGTGGCTCCAGGTCCATCAAGCTCCCGCCTCGCCGATCCTATACCCGACACTCCTCAGACCAGAAAACGGCAGCGGGGCGCAACATCGCAGCCTGACGAATTTCAGTTTGTATTCTCCCATTACCAACCTGACTTACAGCCGACTCCTGGACCATCTCAACCCAAAAAAGCGCGCAAGAAGGCGCCTGCACCCACGCCGTCTCAATCTGTTAAGCCCGCCCAACCTGGTGAACCAACTCCAAGTCAACCGAAGAAATCACTCCCAAAGCCGCGCCAGAAGAAGGCTGATAAGTAGTATATAATTGTATGATATAGTAGCATGAATAAACTACATGTTGAGCATTTGTGTACCGAGTGAAGAACTAATGTCAGTGTTCAAATTATATTGTAAGGACGTGAATATGTCAACCGAATCGTCCTCGTCCTCATGTCCTAGAATCATCCTTGCGAGAGCCAAGCGCTCGTCTTCCACAGAGGTTGTATTATCCTCTTCGAATGACACTGATGGTGCACCCGGGTCCAAGCTCACATGGTCAATCAGCGTTAGCCATGCCTTACCATGCCGCTCGACACCGCCGTTCATTAATCGATCAGCGCCTTCTTCCTGAACGTCAATAGTCTCATCCTCGACAGTACGCCCGGGAATATATTCGGCCAAGCGGAGGTCGTACGCCTTGTCCATGAGACGCCTGACGTGCGACGAAGTATCCGGGACGGTATGGTTCATTCCAGTCCAACTGGCGCCGTACCACCTTGCAATTTTGAGCTTGATTGGTCTGTAGATTGGTAAGTTGATCGCGTATACTGAGAGCTGATCCCAGGACGCGTGTATTCCCTTAGATGAGTAGTAGAACTGATAAAACATAAGATAGTCAGTAGACACAGTATGACAGAAATAAAACGAACCTTGAGCGCGTTGATGATATGTTCAATGTTCAGATCGGTACCCATGAAATGACCGGGTCGATTTACTGAAGGTATCAGCATACTCTTTCGCATCAGATCACTGTAATAAAATAGTTAGAGCATCATACAGAAAGAAATAAAAGAAACATACGCGAATTCGGGCGTCCAGATCTTCTTGAGGTGCTGTATGAGGTGCAGACACTCTGAAACATAGTTGCTGCGCCCACCGCCAGCGAAACACTCAGTGAATGTACCTAGAAATAATTCGATCCGTCCAAAGTCGCCCGATGAGATCGCCTGACCGAGCTCGAAGAAATACATAAGGTCCCTGTTCATAAAGACAATGTTGCGAAGCTGGCCGTCCGAAGCTTCGCCCTCAGCAAGGTTTCCAGGGCAGAAGAACTGCGTATGAATTTTCTGAGCGGTCTCGAGGAGAGTCGACGCGCTGGGCTTGTCTTTCGCGAGCTCCTGGAGCGATTTACCAGTGGCGATCTCCCAGTAAACTAGAACGTTAGCCTGTAGCACCGTATTGAAGAGCTGGACCATCGTCTGATAGTCCGGCTTCTCCCCGTGAAGTCTCTTGAGCCCTAGGATCGAGATCGTCCACGCGAAGCTGCCTGGAGTGTCGACAGAGTGTTTGTGAATGTCCATGTTCTGCCAGGCTAAGTTCAGCTGTTTATGAAAAAGACCCATGGCGAGCTGCGGGTTTTCGATGCGATCGAGCGCTGAGACATCGTCGAGGCGCATGTGTAGAGCGCCTCTGAGGTTCGCATTCGTAGCATGGTCGTTGACGGAAGGTATGGGCTTGTCCTCAAGTTGTTCCTTCGAAAGGGCGAGCTGATCAATACAAGTTGTTCGCAAAAACTCGATGACGCCGTCCTTGGTCATCTCGTCGACTTTTGTGGTCGATAGCGGGTACTCGTCGACCTTCATGTCGTGCGGGAGCGGGCAATATTGCTTTGGCTGAAGCTCCTCGGGGTCGCCCAGATAATTGTATGCGTCGCCCGAGGATCGCCTGAGTATCTTGACAAGATTGAGGGCGCAGTGGCGCTGAATATCCGCGGCCTGAGAGATCGTCGGCCGGACGTCCTTCTCGTACGTGATGAGCTCGCCGCGATTGCGCCGTTCGATTATTTCGGCCAGGGAGTGACGAACGTTGGCTGTGCCGTCGTTCGATCTACGATATAGAAGGCCTTGAGTGCCCTTGAGGAATTTGTCGGGGCCGAGTTCGCGCTGTGTCCCATGCGGACTGTATATGATCTGAACGTTGTCGAGCGATAGATAAAAGTCCTTGAGGGCGGCTTCCTGCGCTCGCTTGAGCTGAGCCTCCGAGAGGGAAACATTCATCGCCTTGAGCGACGACCATGAGGGACAGAGGCCGACCTTGGCCATTATTTCGACCGCCCGCTTGGGAATGTTGACGCTGAGCAGAAATAATCCGAAGATGCTCTGAAAGAGCATGTTCTTTTGCGATCGGAGATGGGCCATCTGACAGATAAGAGTAACAATAACCTTCGGAGCATGTTAGATAGAAATCCGAGGGTATAATGATAACATAGCTTACCACAATCGATTCCCGAGAGAGCTCGTCCGTTCGCTTTTGCCGGCGCTGTACAAGAGAAGCGACGAGATCAAACGCGACTGGCATGAGTTCATGGACTCGATCGCAGAGCTCTTTGTCGAGATCGAAGCTATCTGCGAATTCAGGTGTAATATCCTTGGTAGACCTGAGAAAGAGCTCTGCAGATGCTCGCTCCATTTCCTTGTCGACTACAGTGAGTATATGCGCGCTGGAACTCTCGTGTAGGTAGTGATCTAGCTTCCCTTGCCAGCCGTCGAGCTTCCCGAGGACGTTCCAGAGGTGATCGAGCGCTCTGCCCTGGAAGAAACCAGATCGATAGTTGCCGAGATAGCCATTCGGGTCTGCAGTTATTATTTTGATGAGTAGGTCAGTGGCCGACAGAGAGGCCTTCTTGACGAGAATATCCATAGCAATAGATATCTTGCTCTCTTCATTCGCAAAAGATGGGTGTGCGTAGACGAGGTCGATCGGTTCGACCCCAGCCTCCGAGACAGCGCGCAAGAGTTCGTTCTTCCTTTGTTCCATAGTGAGAGTCCCTAGCCAGTTGTAGTCCCAGGTGAGTGGTCGAGCAGTCGCCTGAGCGTAGGATGAGCCATAGCCCCAGTACGTCGCCATTAGAATGCTTCACGCGGGGAGGGAGAGCATGTAAAATCGATTATATTAAGCTAACTAGGACGCGTCGGTGGACGCGTCGAATACCCCTGAGCCTAAGATTAGATTACGGGCGTCGATCGCCTCGGCACCACGATGCCGGCTTCGCGAAGCTCTTACTAATCCTTTCCCATCCGCCAGCTTTCACACTCCGTCGGTCGCCTGCCAGGGCCTCGACATTTTGTCCCAGTCTCCCTGACGCGAGAACCGCTGGGTTCGTTGCCTTATTAGGCACGCGCCTGGGAGACTGGTTACGAGTCTATGCGTGGCCTCTCGACAGCTTTATCCTTATTTCGGAAAGCCCTTTCGGCAATATTAGTGGGCCGGCACCCGCGACGCGACACACAACCACCCGACACGAACATACGATCTCACCACACACAGCTGGCTGCGTCATCCGCAGACTCTTCTATACCATATCGCATATCGTGCACACACTATTATTCTCGCACACGACAGACTATGATTGCACCCCTGTTCTCCGCCTCACACTCGGCCAAATGGGAGGGTGGCACACTGCAACACGATGACGAGGGACACGCGCTCGCGGGCCCCAGCACACCTAGCACGAGCGCCAGCAACAGACCCATACACACGCGATACGCGTCTGAGCCGACATGGACCTTGGGAGGGTCGAGCGCAGGGGCACGGAGGGAGGGCAAGAGGCGGCGGACGCGGTTCGGGGTCCAGGGCGAGCTGGACAGTTCGCCCTCGCCTTCACCTCTGGGAAAGAACCTGGAGCCTTCGGGGCCTACAGCGCGCGTCGAACTCGGCGCAGCGTTTGCGTCGCGATTGTCACAATACCACATCGCCTCTCCGTTATTGACGCCGCAGCAGGACGTTTATGATGAGTGGGGAGGGCAGGAGGGCAAGCACGATGACGAGGGGTTCCGTTGGGAGAAGGCACCGGCGGGCACGGTGGCCTCGGCGATGCCGGGCGAGGGCGGCGGGGTGTGCCGGTGCGGTTGTCATACGTTGGCCAATGGGAAGGGCGAGTCGGGGACGCGTGAGTAAAAGTTTCTTCCAGCGGAGCAGTGTGCTGGTTACTGACCCCGGATCTGCCGATTCTCACTTGTGGGACCATAAATACCACGACGACGACGTGCTCTATACCACTCGATTCTCCACGACGACTTATTCAAACTAACGGACGCGAACGGCAAGCTAGACATGTCAGGCACCGGAAACACGAATGGTACCACCGGCAGCCCGAAGACGTACTGGTGGGTTAGCGGCTGGTTCCTCCTCACCGCACCTATCATCTTCTGGGATGCATCGTACTGCCTTATGAGGTGTGTCTTTTCCTTTGATTTCCCGTGTAGGATACGCGAAACTAACGGTTATGATTGAAAAGGCCGCGTTCGATGGTCGGGGGCGACCTTCATTGGATTTGGGAGCCGTACTCGATCTACCAGGAGGTTGACTACGTCTACGGCGTCAAGGCGCTTGAGGAGAACAACGGGTTTACGAATGCGCAATGTGCGTGTCTCTCTCTCTTCGCATTCTCTCCTTCCTACCATTCTCCCTTTGATTCCTCCGTCGGCTCATGCACCTGTTTCCGATGCAGCCTTCATGAACATCGTCGAGACCCTGATGAACGTCGCCTACGCATACCTTGCGCACACTGGATGGGCGCCTGCGCCGGTCTTGGGCATTGCGGCAGCGACGATGACGCTTTCCAAGACGGTGCTGTATTGGCTTGTCGAGTACTACTGCGGCTTCTGTGCGATTGGGCACAACACGTGGAAGGATCTGGTGGTCTATTGGATCATTCCTAATGGGTGGGTTAAATCACATCGACGTATGCATGGTGGAGCTGATGGGCGTTCAACAGATTCTGGCTGGTGGTTCCGTCTTTGATTATCTGGCGTCTTACGAGGGACGTGGCTGCGGCACTCAAGGGCGCGCAGGTCGCCGAGCGCAAGGCTGCGAGCGGCAAGGTGCTATAAGCTAGCAACTGAACACATTGTCTGGTGATATTGCCAGACATTCGACTTGTTTTGGAATGGACTTCCAACGAGATTCAGACGGGAGACGGGGCGTATGCCTCGACTATGTTTCATTGAAGGACAAGCGAGTTCAGCGACGTTTTATCTTGCATACCGGGCTCGGGCATTGCATATCTACACTTTTCTATTTTCATTCGTTTGGATGTGTCTTGTTTTGTAATCGATGCGTCTGTAGTCTATCTTTTTTCCGCTTACTCACTGTATTCGAAGCGCGTTCTGGCCTGCCCTGAAGAGCACTCTATTGGCTCCTTGTCTCTCCATGAAATCTCGTCAGATACCATCGTAGCGCGACCAACGGAACTCTTCATGATCATGGATCATCCTGTGGTCACACTGTTCGCCCATCGCCATTGATCACTACCGAAAGCTCGCGAATAGCACGGCTTGCTCTATTCAAAAGACTCCACAAGGAGCGCCCAAGAATAAACGCGTCAGGCGTCAGATGACCGAGGTTCACAGCAGCTGACATGGTGGGTCTAAACATACCTCACCTTCTCCACCATCATCAATACACAGGAGGTCTCGAGCGAACTGACCGTGGTGTTTACGTATATGCGCCACGCGCTCCAGGCTTACAGCTGACTTGCGCAAGACTTGAATGACTCACTCTCGCATTCCCCTTCCCCTCCCATTCGCCCTTTGACGACACCTTTTATCACCGGTTCAACCGTGCCGACTTTCTAAGCACCAGACATCTTTTCATACCTCCTACACGCTGATTCCCGATTGCCGGGGCAGTTCGGTCCATGAGAACGGAGATGGAGAATCTTGAGCCTCATGATGATCACCATAGCCCCGGTCCTGTGTTCGGTGGGTTCGACCATATAAAGCGCTGGGGCACGGACGTTAGGAACGGCTCTCCATCTTCGCTCGACTCGAACCAGGGTTCATATACTCGGCACCGCGATACAGCAGCAGCAAGGACAGCGTATAGGCGGATTATTCCTGCGATGCTTCTCACAGGTGTCGTTTCGGTCCTTCTGGCTGTCTCGCAGACGGCTTGGGGCAGTGGGCCCTCGCAGGATAGGGGGCATGTGCTGAATGTTGATGCGGAGAGTGTTAGTGGCAATGGGACGTCGACGTTCTCGGGGACCGTTGCGAACTGTCCTGGTGAGTGCTCCTGTTCGGCGTTATTAGGTGGACACGATGTTTGACGGGAGAAACAGGATACACTCTGCAGAACCTCACTCAGAATGATTACGGGCTTACGGCTTCGCTCAGCCTAGCGGGCGATGCGTGCAATGCGTTCGGGAATGATATTGCGAACTTGTCGATTCAGGTGGTGTATGAGACGGACTCCAGGTATGTTTCTCCATTCTCATCTCACCCCTATACATACCCCAACTCTCCACTTCTACACCCCATGTAATTCATACCGTACTAAACAAAGACCACCTTCCCCAGACTCCACGTCCACATCTACGACACCGCCAACCAGCAGTTTACGATCCCTGACTCCGTCATCGAGCGCCCCGCGCCTCCGGTCCTGTCGTACACCAATTCCTCGGACCTCGAGTTCAACTACGACGCGTCCCCGTTCGCGTTCTGGATCACGCGGCGCTCGCAGCCGGATGCGACGCCCCTCTTTGACACGCGCAAGCAGTCGTTGCCCGCGACACCGATCCCGTCGACGCCTGCGAACGGGTATAATGTCAGTTTGGACGGGTTCGAGTTGGTGTTCGAGGATCAGTATCTCCAGGTGTGTGCCCAGTTATTTAGGGAGAGTGTATAATGCTAATGGTGACGTTGGCGTAGATCGCATCATCCCTGCCTAAAGGCACGAACATCTACGGTCTCGGGGAGGTCGTCTCGAGCAGTGGCTTTAGACGCGACATCGGTGCTGCACCGGGCGAGAACGGGACGCTGCACGCGTTCTGGGCGCGCGATTCGGCGGATCCTGTCGACGAGAATATGTACGCTCAGTTTCGCTTTGCATCTTGTTGACACCGGTGCTGACGTGGATGCGGTATATAGGTACGGTTCGCACCCGATCTACATGGAGCACAGGTACGACGAGAGTACGGGGACGTCGTCGACGAACGGCGTAATGCTTCTCAGGTATGTTTACCTACTCTATTCTCCAGACCCCTATCTCACGCAGAGTTCACGCAGCTCAGATGCAATGGACGTGATACTCACCACCCCTCCCGGATCCAACGTCTCCTTGATCGAGTACCGCGTCGTCGGTGGCACACTCGACTTCTACTTCTTCGCAGGCCCGACCGCGAGCAGCGTCATCGCGCAATACGGCGAGCTCATTGGATACCCGACGTGGCAGCCCGCGTGGGGGTTCGGGTTCCATCTCTGCAGGTGGGGATACCACAACGTCTCGGACGATATAGAGAACGTCGCGGCGATGCGGGCGGCGGGCATTCCTTTGGAGAGTGAGTGGTTTCTCTAGTGTTTTGTTGTGGCAGGATGAGCTAACGAGGCCTGTTTTGTGTGCGTAGCCCAGTGGAACGATATCGATTTGTACGATGCTTTCCGCGACTTTACGTCTGATCCTGTCAGTTTCCCGGGCGACGAAATGAGAGAGTTCATCGCCGACCTTGTGCGTTCTTTTGCTTCGTCTAAACCTGCATAACGCTGACTGAATGTTTGCTCGTGTAGTCGTCGAACCACCAGCACTGTTGGTACTCTGTCAGAGCTTGCATATTCAGAATGCTCACGAGAATAATGGCGCAGATATCCCGATTGTGGATGCAGCCGTGCCTGTTACGGTGAATTCATCGGATGTCGTAAGCACTCTCTATCTTACCTTATCCGCGTCTCCCTGTTCATCACGCTGTTGCCAGTACGACCCCTATACCAGCGGAATTGAACAGTAAGCACCATCATCACCTTTCATATGTACTATCTTGCTCACACTGGTCTCAGAGACGTATGGGTCAAGAACCCCGATGGATCAATGTACATCGGCCAAGTCTGGCCCGGATATACCGTATGCCCACTTTTCACTCCTTGAATATGGAAGGTCTCGGCTAACTGTGATGTGTGTGCTTCCCAGGGCTTCGCAGACTGGTTCGCGCCCAACACCCAAGCGTGGTGGACCCAGGCGTTCCAGAACTGGAGCGACGGTGGCGTCACGTTCTCTGGAATTTGGCTGGACATGAACGAGATCAGCTCGTTCTGCTATTATTCTTGGTGCGCACATTCCCTTCCACGCTGTGTATGTGTGTTTTCGAGAGGCTCAATACCGTGTGATCACAGTGGAACGGGAGCGAACCTGTCAGACATACCGCCTTACACGCCTGCGACGTCCGTGGCTGGGTGGCCCGAGTGGTGCGTCGCTCTCTCATTTTTATATCAATCCACTATGAGCTTACAATGGCTCGGTTTGCTCCCGATCAGCTACAACGAGACGCTTTCCGGACCAAGTGGGAACATGACCGTCAACGGCACTAGCACTGACTCGTGCACCACCGCCTCTGGAGCAAGTAGTGCTACCCCTCAGAAGAGAGCATCCGTCTTTGACATTGACCGGCGAGGCGTTGGCGCCGGTGATGAACCTGGCGTTAATCTGAATAGCCCACCATATGCGATTCGCAACTGTACGTTACCTCTCTTTTGCTGCCCTCCTTGACCGTTACGCTGTCCTTTTTGTACCTTATTCATGTTATCTCATGTTGCTCATGTCTGATGGCTAACACAACTACAAACAGCCTATGGAGCACTCAACTCACACACAATTGCGACGAACGCGACGCACGCCGGGGGATACGCCGAGCTAGACGTGCACAACATGTGGGGTCTCATGGAGGAGAAGGCGACGCATCTCGCTGTTCAGGCTGTCCTCCAGGGCAAGCGACCGTTCTTGATCTCGCGCTCGACGTTCCCGTCCTCGGGCAAGTGGTCTGGCCATTGGGTAAGCTTTACCCTCCATGACCATCATGATCGCAGGGGATTTATGGTTCATGCATGGTCTGGCGCTGACACTTATTTTCTAGTTGGGCGATAACTTCAGCACGTGGCTGTATATGTATTACAGCATCCAGGGCATCCTGCAGTTCCAGCTATTCCAAGTCCCGATGGTCGGAGCTGATACGTGTGGATTTAGTACGTTTCCTTTCATGCTGCCCGTAGATCTCGCCCGGTATCTGATGTCGTTTGGGTTCACAGACCAAAACACGGACGAGGAGCTGTGTAACCGCTGGATGATGATGTCCGCATTTGTGCCGTTCTACAGGAACCACAACACCTACGCTGCGCTATCCCAGGAACCCTACAGATGGGACAGCGTTGCCAATGCATCGCGTATTGCTATTGCTGCGCGGTACTCAATGCTTCCGTATTGGGTGAGCCGGCTTGATTACGTGGAACGGTTTGGGATTGATCAGTCGTCGTTAGTACACCCTCTTCGCCAACTCGTCTACGACCGGTACGCCACCGGTTCGTGCGCTGTGGTACGAATTCCCGAACGAGCCTGAGCTCTTCGGCGTGGATAGGCAGTGGCTCGTCGGCAGTGATATTCTCATCACTCCTGTGCTTGAGCCCGGTGCCACTACAGTCGACGGTTCGTACCTCTCACTGTCACGCATTTCTCTCACAGAAAATCTAATTATCTGATTCAGGCATTTTCCCTGGTCACGGCAACGTCACCTGGCGCGACTGGTGGACGCACGCCGCTGTAAACGCTACCTCGGGCGGGAACACTACGCTCTCGGCGCCCGTCAGCACTATCAATGTTCACATCCGCGACAACTCTGCCCTTTTGTTGCATCAGGAGCCAGCATACACGATCTACGAGACGCAGCAGGGACCGTACGAGCTGCTCGTCTCCCTCTCGGCTTCAGGTGGTGCGTTTGGCACTGCGTACGTCGATGACGGGGAGAGCTACCCACCGGGCGATAGTCGCACGCTCAAATTCGTCGCGAGCCCTGGGCAACTGCAAATCCAGAGCGATGGCGCATACGATATCGTACAGAAGCTCGAGACGATCACGGTCCTCGGTGTCACGCAGGAGCCGAGCGATGTGAGCGTCCAGGGCCAGACCGTTGGCAACTTCACGTATCTGCCGGCGACGGAGGAGCTCGTGTTGGATAGCTTGGGGTTGGATTTGAACGAGTGGACGACGGTGAACTGGCACTAGTGCCATAAATGACTTTTTTCGATACACATACGTGGACTTGTACTCGCTCTTGCTTTGACTCTCTTACTTTTGAATGTACTATATGTGCCAATAATCCTTCACGGGCGCGCTCTTATAGCTCTATGACCTAGTGAGTCACCGTAATGCTGCAATTTAGGGCAGGTCCGTACACGGCGCTGGTCCTGGTCCTGAGCGCGGGGCTCGCGCAGCGCGTACAGCATCCCAAGTTCTTCCCTTTCTCCACGCTTCAGGGTAGTAAGCTATCATTGGTAGTACCGCGAGGCCCGGGTTTCACTGAACCCAGACCCACCATCAGGTACGAGGTGTGCTTCATGGTAAGGGCCTTCATCAAAACGTACGCCCCACCTGAATAATAACATACTGATGATCACGCATTTTTGACGAAAAAGCCGGCAGAGATCATGATGGAGAAGGGGTTCCCGCCGCCTGATGCGTCTAGTAGCCAGGGCAGACAGGCCGTGCGCGAACATCCTATACTCTCTATCCCAGGGGAGCTCCTTATCAAAATCTTTGATTTCGGGATTGCTTTAGCTCGTGAAGACGTTACCCTGGGAGAACGAGAAAGAAGGCTTATCTTCACGGTCTCCCAAGTGTGCTCTACATGGCGCCAGCTTACCTTGTCGACTCCTTCGCTCTGGTCTTCGATTCTGTATCTACGCAACGACTGGCGTCCTAATGTCGTTGACATCATGGTTGAGAGGTCAGGTTCAAGCCGGATCGACTTGATGTTTCTTCCACCTCATCTTCGCCGTGATGACGAGCACAAAGTCGAGGAGCAACTACAAATAGCTATAAATCTTGTGGACCGTATCCGGTTTCTATGTCCACGCCTGAGAAGCATTCAATGGGAGATCCAAGAACTTGGCGTACTGGAGACACTGATTTCAATGTTGCAGTCGAATAATCATCCCGCACTGCAGTGTATCGATCTCAGAGTACCGGAGCATCCAGGCGGCTGCGGGGTGCAGAACTCGCAACCTTACAATCGTCACCAGATGGAGAGACTCATGAAGTCAGGATCAAACCATATTTATTCCTCATTATCTCGTATTATCTTTCAATACGTCCCATTGTCTTACTTCCCCACCGACATGTTCTCGCACCTTCGTCATGCTCAGCTTTCGTTTCCCGGACCTTCGCTTCGCTTTGTCTCCCTCACCACTCCCCAACTTATTCTCTTCCTACAGAATACGCCTCATCTCGAGGAACTAGAGATCGACTCCAATGCATTCTTCGGCAAAAGGCTCGTTCCCTCTGAGCTGGACCTCCCCGTTTTATTGCCCTGTTTGATGCAGTCCGTGTGGAAAGGAGCGCACCCGGACTCGGTCCACAATCTGCTAGCTCTCCTTGATCTTCCGAAGATTCAGCTCCTGGATGTAACCATTAATGACCACTATAATCCTGTCGTATTCCCGATCGACGACCCACCGCACGTCACATCCCTATTGGACCTGCGGGAGCTTGTTGTACGTTTTCAAGAGCGAGAGAATGTTGACGTGATCACGTCCAAACTCTATCTTTCAACACTCGAGCGTCTCGAGCTCGCCTACATTGGGAAGTACATCGGTATCTCGACATCGCAATATCCTTGCATCCCCGCCTGCGGATCCGTCTTCGTTTCCTCCGGTGGAAAACTTTCCAACCTCACGGAACTTATTCTCTCCGATCTTGCGCTACGCAAGGTCCCAAGCGAGGACACTGCGTTCGAACATCTCCCGCTGAGGTCGTTGACACTCATCTGGTGCGTTGACGTCCAAACCTTCCTTCGCTCTCTAGCAGAGCATACCTCAATGAAGATAGGGGCGAGATCGTGCCCGAGGCTTGAAGAAATAGCGCTCATTAGCTGTCCTGACGTCTTGTACTGTGATCTAGTCAAGCTCATCGAGTTCAGATCGGAGCGGTACCAGCGAGGAGCCATCGACGAGATACGATCAGAAAAGCTGATCGCTGGATCAGCTGTGTCGTCGCAAGCGGGACGCAAGATCAGGCCTCTACCCAAAATGAGAAGGACCGCCGTCGTCGCACCAACAGTTTCGCCAGTGTCCGTCAAGCAAGGAGAGATTCTCGATTACGAAAACTTCTTGCCGGCTCGCTTAGCGCAGATGTATATCAGGGATTGTCCTTTGATTTCAAAGGAGCAGGTTGATGCGTCTGCAGCACGAGAACTTGGGACAGTGGTATGCTCTCTTTCACATAGCATAATCTAAGCTGAAGGCCCAACACAAGATTCATAGGTACCCCTGCCCTTTTCTTGTACACCATGTACTCGAGTATATCAGTGGGTACTCTTCTAAATGGCAAGATGTTGTTTTGTAAAGAGGACGATTCGCAACAGTCTATCTCTATAAGCGGAATGCTGGTAAAAAGAACGGCGCGGCCGTCAACGGGCTGAAGCTCCAGACAAACAATTCATATTCACGTATATGTGACTAACTTCAGACCACTCACGGCCATCTTCAACGTTATGACGCTACCGCGCCAACTCATACACGTACGTAGGTCTAGCTAGATGTTAACTTGAACTGCCCACATCAGAACGAAGTCCTGAGAGGACCCCACGTGAGCCTGCGATAGCCCTAAAATTTAGGACTTCGTAAGGCAGCGGGTTCAACGGAGCTTTATTATGGATCAGCTGGGACCACAAGAAGGAGGAACAGAAAAGAATCGCACGTTCAAAACACAGCCGCAAGAGCCACGTTTAAACCCAGCGGCCGTTCCATTATCAGCGGACTACATAGCGGACTTTGAATAAACAAGAACTATCAAAAGTTCCTGTCACTGCAGACAAACTGCGATTTTTCTGTTACAAAAAGTGGTTTAAGAAGGCGGACAGATGAAAGCCTTTTTCACCCATCTTTTGCTGTGCGAAAAGTTACTGAAAAGTTAGCCCTTTTTCTCCGGAGTTTGAACTTTTGAGCGGAGAATGGATATAAACACGTCTAAAACGGGAAGGTGTTTACCAAATGCAGTAATCCGTACATTTTACAAGAGCAAAATTGACCCAAACATCGGCTAAAAGGAATCCTTTTCCTGTGCAAAAAAGGGCCCCGAAACTCGGAGGAAAAGGCTTTCATCTCGCCGCCTCTTTCTCTCGATTCATCCCGGGTAAAATCGCTGTTTGTCCGCAGTGTGTTGAGCTAATGTTTGTCGCCTGCCGTCCTCCCTCTGCATCCCAATGGATCTCCAAGGCATGCCCTTGGTCAGCCAATCTCCTGCTTGAGCTGCATAAGTCTCAACATCTCAAACAGGCATACATCGTTCCCAGTGCGGCGGATGTGGTAAGGTAATACAATCATCATTGGGCGCCAATCTGTCAAGGAACTAAGCGTCGTTAAGCAACGCCGCTTCGCCGCGAAGTTGAGTACAACAAGCACCCACAACTCCGTTGTTTCCTTCACCAATTTCTTTCACGCAGTCCCCGCTTCGCTGAAGAGTCGACTACTCCCTCATGCCGACTGAAACTCCTCGACCACTCGAATGTACCACCCAGGTCAAATGTATAGCTTACTCTCCCGATGGTCAACACATCGCTACAGGAGCCATGGACAACAAGACTGTGCTGTGGGATTCGGCGAGTGGCATGCGTGTTGGAACGCCTTTAGTGGGCCATACCCAGGGCATCACAGAAGTCGTGTTTTCATCCTGTGGACGACGGCTGCTTACTTCATCGTATGACAAAACATTATATGTGTGGGATGCAGACACCTATCTCCCAGTGCTGGGCCCTCTTCGCGGACATCAATGGCATGTGAACACGGCTCGCTTCTCTCCAGATGATAAGCTGATAGCAAGCGGCGGAGACGATTCCCTGTTCAAGATTTGGGATACGTCTTCTGGAGAGTGTCTCGCAACGTCACAACTCCCTGGATGGATCAAGCAGCTTGCATTCTCCCCTAACGGTGAACACTGCGCACTAGCAATGAACAACAGTAGCATCTGCCTTTACGACGTGTCGCGAAGAGAGATCTTAGCCGACTCGAATGCATTCGTTGGACATAAAGGCGTAGTTCATACCGTTGCGTACTCACCCGACGGACGCTTGCTCGTGAGCGGCTCTTCAGACCATACTATCCGCCTTTGGGATCCCAACAACGGGAAACCTATCGGTGCTGTTCTCAGGGGACATCGTGACACCGTCAACTACGTCGACTTCTCCGTCGATGGGACGGAGCTGATCAGCACCTCTAGCGACCACACCTGGCGGATATGGAGCACCACTAGTGGCGAGTGCCGCCTCACGATAGGACCTTTCTACCAGCTATACTTATTCTCTAGCCGAGTGGCATGCTCCCCCGACGGAGAGCACTTTGCTTGCTGGAGCGGCAACGACAGCATCTATGTGCGAAGCATCTCAACAGGCAAAGTCATTCTCCCTCAGGTACACGCCATTTCTACTGAGAGAGCTAGCATGTTTCTGACCTTGAATGGCGATGGCAGGGAGTGAAAGAAGAACCGTGTTCCCCGGAAGAAGATATGTATGTCAACAAGCCAACACTGCTGATGTATCTATCTGATTCTGACAAAATGGCAGCATGGGGCGGTTTGAGATCCCAATCGCATTAGCATGGTATCCTGACGGTGAACGATTTGCCTCTGCTGGAAGCCGTTCTGTGGTGCGAGTATGGGACGCTAAGACGGGTAAAGATCTCAGCACTCCTTTCGTCGGCCACCCATTTGATCCAGATAAACATCCGGACATCCTCTGCGTTGACATCTCATCCGATGGCACTCTGCTGGTAACCGGCTGCGAAGATTATACAGTAGGCCTGTGGAACACAGAGACACAGGATCTTGTGTACCCTCCTTTCAGGGAGCACGACTATCACGTCATGGCAGTGAAGTTCTCACCCGACGATTCTCTCGTCATCAGCGGTTGTAGACTCGGATCAATTGGAATCTGGGATACCCATACCGGAGACCTGGTTCACGTCATACCGCCGCTCACGCCAAAGACAGCTGTGTGGGGACTTGACGTCTCGCGGGACGGTCGACGGATTGCCAGCGCATCGCTCGACCACAATGTCTACATCTGGGACATCGCCACCTACACGCTCCTTACTAGCTTCAATCATGGGTCCCCTGTACGTTCAGTCAGCTTCTCGCCCGATGGGTCCCACTTCGTAAGCGGTGCTGAAGACCACGTGGTCCGCGTATGGGACATAACGCGTGGAGATAAGGTACTAGAGCTGCAGAAGGAAAAGAAAACAAAAGCGATCGAAGATGAATACTTGGACGTTGTGGCGTATTCTCCGAGCGGGCGCACATTTATTGTGGGGTCATGCAACGACATATTATGCGTTCACGATGCGGAGTCCGGCGGTCTTGTTCATGCTCTTAAGCATGAAAACAATGTTCGGGCGGCTGCTTTTTCACCAGACGGCGCTTTCATTCTGACCGGGTCTCAAGAAACGCACCTGAGAGTTTGGGACGCTGTTTCCGGAACCCAAGTTCTCCCAAAGGTGCAGTTGTCACCGTCGTTACACTCCAGTACGCATAGACTCAAAGACTGCTAACACAGTTAGCACAGGTACAAGTCAAGAAAGCATCTCAGGCCGGAGGGGGCACGTCGCGTGGAAGGGTTAGTACCACGACATTAGAGCCTAAGCTAACGCGTGCTCATTTCGTTCAGGCAGACATTTCATTGGAGAGTTTACTCAACGTACGTCTTGCAAAGTTGACTTCACGCTCTCGCTCAATTGGTTGGGATAAAGATGCCGGCAACGATATCGCGCGACGCAAGAGGCCGTAGACATCACCCTCATCGAGGACTTTTCACTGACGAGGACCCTCTGCAACACGTGAGATTTTCCTCTCGCTGTTTGACGTTCCTGATCCGTGTCTATGGAAGGATCCGCCTGCGCCTAGACACAACGATCCTTTGCGACGAGGCGAAAACGGGTTATCCCCGGCGCCTAAAAAGGTCAAATCGACGGCCCCAAACCTCGGTATACTGAGCAGATTATGGCTGCACTCCCTTCATCGACACAGAACCGATCAAGAGGGTGGAAACGAGGAGTATCCTCTGGAGAATACAACAAATGTACGGCGTTCTTTTGGCCTCCCAACGATTATCAGCACTGCAAAGGCAAAACTGGTGAGCCTCTTCCGCTATCAACGTTAGGCGTCCCCCTTTTCATTGTACCAACTTCAGCGTAACGTGGCTGCCGGCGATACCATTAGCCGTCGTAGAAGAGCGAGCGAGCGAGAGGACCCCGATTCAGATTCGGGTAGTGAGTCGGACGTTAACACTGCAGATGCCAGTGTGCAAGGTCGAGAGGGCCAAGAAGTAAATGACGAAGGCGATACAGAGCCAGCATCGATGCTTTGCTTTTGTATACCAACCTCGCGTCAGAAGCGAGGAGAGAGGGGGGAATAGTCTCACTTATATCTTTCACTTCCAAATGGGAGTCGTTCGCAGATCTATAAAACAACAGATATATTCTCAATGCTATGTGACTATGCGGAGTGGATTAGAACCCTGAAAACAAAGGAGAATGCGGCCAGACTTGAAAAGCTTGCCCAACGGCATGTGGCCTCGTGCAGTTAAAGGAGCTTGGGAGATTACGTACAAGCTGTGACGTCTCGGAGCTCTCAAGTGCCGAAAAATCCCAAAGTGCACTCGCGCAGTCCCGTAGATCTCGGCAACGCCGTAACTTGGCTTTATCTGATAAGCGAGACCCACTCCTAGCACCTCTCATCAAACCTTCGTTCTTACCTTCCACTTTGTTTGTCACATACTGAGTACTACTCCACGCTCCCGTTCTTTCTCCAACGACCCGGCTCGCCGGACTATGGCAACCGCAGCCTGGGTATTTCAGTGTGATAAGCAGCCGTACAGCACTCGTCGGCACTCGCCGTCCCTGTGAGTGGGTGACCAAGTTGTGCGGGTGCCTGATTCCATGCACATACATATAATACCTTCCCGCTTCACCTCTTGCAATTAAATCACATCCCTACCGCAGCTGGCCCCACATTTTGTTGAAAGTTCAACATCCTCACATTCGTTTTCTGAAGCATGGGCCTTTTCTACGACCACATTCCTGAAGACCTCGCCGAATGGATGCTCAAACAACCCATGTTCTGGGTCTCCTCAGCACCTCTCAGCGGCGAGGGGCATGTCAATGTATCGCCAAAGGGAACTCCGGACAGTTTTCATATGACCAACCCGAACCAGGTCTGGTACGAGGATCTGAGTGGAAGCGGTGAGTTCTTCGCCCGTGCTCTGTGCGAGTGTTACTCTAGTGTCGATGTTGTGCCGTCCGACGATCACTACTCTTCTTCGCAGTGATGCTGACACTTATGCGTATGCAGGCGTTGAAACCATTTCGCATCTCCGCGAACCCGGCAACGGACGTACCACTGTCCTCTTCCAGGCGATGGAGGGCGGTCCTCGTCTTCTGCGACTTTTCGGCAAAGGTACGCTCGTAGCTTGATTGAGTGAAAATATCTCTCGGAGAATATCAGGTTTAAGTTGCTGACCTCAATCTTCAGGCAAAGTTTCTGAAATTGGCACGCCCGAGTACGAGTCCCTCATCCCGCGCGAAAATCGCAAAGCCGGCTCACGAGCAGCCATTGTCATTGGTGTCTAACAAGTCGGAACGGTACGTCTTTAACCCGTTCTACCTCATCGCGATATCCTCGTCCTCACGAGTAGCTAATACTCATCTTTTAGTCCTGTGGTTTCGGCGTCCCGAAGTACAAGTTTGAATGTCACCGCTCCGCCCTCGAAGGCTGGTGCGAGACTCTCGAAAAGTCGGATCGCACTGCAGACCTATCGGGCGTCCCCCTCGGTAACAAGCCCGCTCCGTGGAAGTCCGCACGAAGGCGGCAACACTGAATTCGGGCGAGACTGAGCAGGACGACGATGTATATCGTAGACGAGTAGAACGTATACAGGGAGGAGCAAGAGAATATGAGACGAGGAGGAGATGCCGCTCCAGTAAGGGAGCGGCGCGTATAAATAGATAAAGTCCGTGAATGTCAAAACTGAATCGAGCGAATGAGAATGTTCGTCGGTGCGGAAGTATAATCCGAGGAAGCAAGAAGTGGAGATCGCAGTCGAGATATCGAGACTGCGGTGGACTGGAATTCGATCGGTGACTGGTGCGGTTGTGGCGCGGTGTGGCGTAGTAAGGACGAGGACGGGCTTACACTCCGAAGGGGTTTGAGGACGTCAAAGGTGTGCGCGACTGGTGGCATTGGCAGAACATGGAAAGTATCGACGGCCTGCCTGGGCTGAGCGCTGGGGTGCTCGAGCAGCGCATTCCCATTAACTCGTTTGACCGTAGAAGCTCGGCGTATGCGACCGTAAAGAAGGTGCCGAATGCCGTTGAGGCGGGTGTCGAATCTAGTACAGAGACAGAGAGAGGGGCTGTGCCGGTGGATGTGAAGACGGTTGGTGCATTCTTACTTGGCGGAGTGTGCATGGCAGGGTTATTCGGGTGGAAATATATCGTTGAGTCTGTTGGAGCTTTGGGGAGTAGGCTTCTCAACTAGACTTCATCACGCCATGTAACCATCATAATTCTCTAACAGTATCAGTCTACCCTCATTGCATTAGTGGTGAACCGGTATCTCACGCACCGCAGTACTTAGTTCGATGTGGCTGATGGGGATACTGCTGGCCGTTGCGAGAGGACGAGAGGACACGCAAAAAAACCAGGACGTGGAGGAATACCTGACGAAGACAGGACTCAATGTAGAACATTGAACCCACATCCAAGTCTTGCTGCTGTATACCAGCTTCAAGTCGTAAACGGAAGCCTGATATAGGTACAATTTCGCGTCCGGAAATACAGTTAAGTAGCAGCTGTTCACGAATTCACAGTTATAAGTAGACTCTTCTGTGGACCCTTACGTTCGAAGCTTTGTCTTTGCATCGTTTTTTCTGGATAATGTCATACGAGCACTCATAACGAATGCACTGTAAGATCAGATTTGTATCCCACCGCGTACACGTATCTCGTGTTTACAAGGATTGCATGCCTGGCTGCCGGTTGACCCCCGTAAGCTAACGAAGACAGTGGCGAGTAAGCCAGATGACAGTCCGCAAATGTTCAACCCGGAATGCAGCAGCAGCAGCCACCTCTGAGACTCAGATCTGTCTGTATGAAGGATATTATAGTTAATAGGCATGTTTTTGTGTTCGTAGAAAGGTTTAGGGTATCCGTTCGTTGATATTGGCGTTGGGGTCAGCTAAAGCCAGGCGCTCAGGCAGCTATCGGAGTTGAAGTGCATTTTCCCACGATTAACGTCATCAGTGCTCCCGAGAATTTCCGACGCGCCTTCCGTTATCACGCTCTCCTCGGTCCAATAAGTATCGCATTGACTTCATTATTCATTCCTACTACTATCAGCTCCTTCTCACTCAACTTCTGCTTCTGCTTCACGCGTTTCAGTAAGGCCACATATACAAGATTCCGCCCTGCTCGCCCTCTCGATCCCATGCATGGGTCAGCGAAACGCTCGGACTCCAAGCACAGTCTGGGTCCAGCATGCCAATATCGCTAGGCAGCCGCGCAGCATTCGTCAGCGCTTCAGCTTCAGCGCTGGCTATCCCCGTGACCTTGGCTGAGTTCTATGATCATGCGCTTTCCTTGCTCCTTCCGCATTTAAGGCGTCTTCGTTGATTTGCCTCTTGAGTTCGAACCACATCTTTGCTACCCTCCTTCCGTGCACAAGGCCTCCTCTGTTAAAACAGTTCAACACTTCCACACAACTCGTTTCCTGAAACTCTTGGAATAATGGGCCTTTTCTACGACCATATCCCTAACGACCTCGCCGAATGGATGCTCAAGCAACCCATGTTTTGGGTTTCCTCGGCTCCGCTCAGCGGAGAGGGGCATGTCAATGTCTCCCCCAAGGCCACCCCGGATAGCTTTCATATGACCAGCCCGACACAGGTCTGGTATGAGGATCTAACAGGAAGTGGTGAGTCCTTCATCTGCGTTCTATGCCCCAACAGCCCTAGCGTTGACATGTCGCTCGTTTTCTGGTGCTGTTGAATGTCGCTCTTTCTCGCAACGACGCTGACGTTGACGTGCTCGCAGGTATCGAAACCATTTCGCACCTTCGTGAACCCGGCAATGGGCGCGTCACCATCCTCTTTCAGGCGATGGAGGGCGGACCACGCCTCATGCGTCTTTTTGGCAAAGGTATGTTCCTCATTTACCCCAAAATCCATCATCGCCTTGCGGTTTTCCAGCCCTCCCTGCCTGCTCGGGGCTAGCGCGAGCCTCAGGCCCTTTTTTTACACGTTTGGGGCGCTTTTTGGTGTGATATTGGTTCCGTGATGCTGACCTTCACCTCGTAAAGGCAGAGTGCACGAGCTCGGCACGCCCGAGTATGAGACCCTCATCCCCCGAGAGAATCGCAAGGCCGGGTCGCGAGCAGTCATCGTCATCGACGTCTACAAAGTCGGAACGGTACGTCTTCAACCTTGGCCCCTTTTCACCCACTTTCACCCCACTATCCCCGGCCTCGCAGCGCGCTGAATGTCTTCCCTTCTGCAGTCCTGCGGCTTCGGCGTCCCAAAATATAAATTCGAAGGCCATCGCTCCGCTCTTGAAGGATGGTGCGAGAACCTCGAAAAGCCTGATCGCGCCGCCGACCTCTCAGGTGCCCCTCTAGGCGGAAAGCCCATCCCACAGGGATATGACGACGTCAAGGGCATGCGCGACTGGTGGCACATGCAGAATATGCAGAGCCTCGACGGCTTGCCCGGGCTGGGCGCCGGGGTGCTTGAGCAGCGTATGCCAAACAACTCGTTTGACCGGAAGAGTCCTGCGTATGCAACCAGCAAGAAGGCCCCAAAGGCCATCGAGGCTGGCAATCAATCTAGTGCAGAGTCACAGAAGGGGGTCTTGTCAGTAGATGCAAAGACGGTCGGTGCGTTTCTGCTTGGTGGTGTGTGTATGGCAGGTTTGATCGGGTGGAAAGACGTTGTTGAATCCATTGGATTTGTGGGAGGCAGGCTCTTCGGCTAAACTTCATGATACGTTGTCAATCATAAGAATTTTGTGACGACTATTAATTCATCCTCAATGTCGCAAAGACAATGCTCTGATACACCGGCGTCTTGACCCTAGTACGCTGACGTGGCTGCTGACTCGGATGAACGCGCTGTGACATATCCAGCCTTGTGTGACATCACAACCATCGAAAGGAGCTTGCCCGATGTCATTGGCAGTGACGCATATTGTTCCCACCCTCTATACCTGGGTCGTCTCAACGTCCATCCTACGTTTCTCCTTCCCTTTCCCTTAACACAGTATGCTAGCTCTCAGATTCGACGGCCGTAGTCAACCGATCAAGTAGGGTTTCTATCCCAGTAACTCTTGCTCTGGGCCGACCCCGACGCGCCGACGAAGGATGGTGAAGTCATGTTTTCCACGTTCAGGTCAGAATCTATCATTGGAACATCCTTCGGCCGTGCTCGTGATCGTGGTCATCGCTGGAGCTTATAAGTCCGACAGTCATATAGCCCTCAATGCTCTCGTGAGGTGGGACTCCGCTTATTCCTTGATACCAAGTTTTACCAACGTATCTTATTGGGACACCACCACTGACGAGAGTCACAGACGACTTAACATCTTCTTACATTGTCGATCGCAAACTTTTGCTACCATGGGAAAGTTCTACGATCACATTCCCGAAGACCTTGCTGTATGGATGCTCAAGCAGCCCATGTTCTGGGTATCGTCTGCGCCGCTTAGCGGCGACGGACACGTTAACCTCTCGCCCAAGTCGACCCCGGATTCCTTCCATATGACCAGTCCCAACCAGGTGTGGTATGAGGATCTGACAGGAAGTGGTGAGTGCTTGACCTATCATCCCCGATAAACCCGTTCCGATACGAAGGCATGGGTTGCTCCCTGTGACCCTTTGGTGTCTGCTTTCAACTTTGCGATAGTAATGAGCTAATGTTGCTGCAGGCATCGAAACCATCTCGCACCTTCGTGAACCGGGAAATGGACGTATCACCATTCTGTTTCAGGCGATGGAAGGGGGACCAAGGCTCATGCGTTTAGTTGGGAAAGGTACGTCTATCATATCCTCTAAGTCTTCGCTGGGCCTATACTTCCCCCCAGTCCGAGTCCCCCTCCCCTTGGCCAATGCTGACCTTACGTCGTGTAGGCAAAGTGCACGAAGTCGGTACGCCGGAGTACGAAGCCCTGATCCCATCTGGACAGCGCAAGGCCGGCTCGCGAGCCGTTATCGTGATCGACGTGTTCAAAATCGGGACGGTACGTCTTTCCCATTCCCATCCTTCCAACTTTCATCTCAAGTGATCATCCATTCGTCCAGTCCTGCGGCTTCGGCGTCCCCAAGTACAAATTCGAGGGCCACCGCTCCGCCCTCGAAGGATGGTGCGAATCCCTCGAGAAAGCAGACCGCACCGTCGACGCCACCGGAGGATCACTCGCTGCCCAACGCACACCAGGAGGCGGGGAGAACGCGTCCGTCGGTGCTGAAGACTACATCGGCGGAGGCATGCGCGACTGGTGGCGCGCGCAGAACATGCACAGCCTGGACGGGCTTCCGGGGCTGAGCTCTAAACCGCTGGAGCAGCGCATGGAGGTGAACTCGTTTGATCGGAAGAGCGAGAAGTACGCGAGCGCGAGGAAGGCGCCGAGGGCTGTTGAAGCTGGAGTGGAGACGAAGGTTGAGAAGAATGGAGGTGCGTTAGTGGATGCGAAGACAGTTGGTGCGTTCGTCGTCGGATTTTTGTTTGCTGTAGGGTTAGTGGGCTGGAAAGAGGTTGTTGGGTCAATCGGATATAGGTTGCTGTAGGTGCGAACTATCAACGTTTTAACCTTCATACGCTTGGCGTACAAACGTCATGCATTGTGTATTGTACATCTTGTTTTGTACCTGAAAAGGTCGAATCATGTATACTAGTGGTATTGGAGCAGATATGGTATTGCGTTGGCGATGATATAATACCGCATCTTATCTATTTTCAAGCAGAGCATCCAATCGGATGAGAGTCGCTTCTGAATATCGCTCTGGCAGTACTGTAGTTACATCCGGTCAGTATACTTCTTTCAGCTTGTCAACCAACCAAGATCACGAGCAATAAGACAACTAGATATTAAGAAATACCTGACTTAGGATATTAGGCGCACTTTCAACCTGCAGCCCTCCCAATAGCCCAAGAATAGTAGAGCCTCAAATGTGTTTCAGCGACAGTGGCTGTTGCATACCATGAAGCCCAATGCATTCTGTTTACTATGCAACGGCCACTATCGCTGTCACAATGTTTATTCTCCTCATGCTCACATAAGATATCTGGTGAGATAACTGCTCCTTCCCGCCTACTTACCCTTGGTGGTTGTGGAGAAGACGTAGCGAACGCATTGGTCGCAGAGGTCACTCGGTTAGCGGATGAAGGAGCTGCGGGGGTGTACCCACCTATGCCCACATCCAATATTAAGAGGTACTAACCTTTGCGGATACCTCCACGCCGATAAACGATGGTAGTACGATACTCAAGGCTAGGCTCCCAATGGCTACCTTGAGGTAGAGGCACGCCTGGAAAGCGAATCGCCACGCTGGTAACATCCCCGATAGCATTTGAGAGATTAGTCAACTTTGAGCCAACATACCGTAGACCTCATTGAGAGCTTTGAGAAGAGATGATGAGATAGATATCGAGATAGTGTTGAATTTGAATGGGAGTTGCTGCTTTATGAAAACTGCGAGGCATGAGGCGATGAAATCTGATGAAACCAATGCTTTCGGAATCGAAGAAAGGGACGTCAGCAGGTCGCTCGTGAGGTTTAGTCCAGGAACAAGTTTTCAGCTTTACGTACACTATCTGTCTTCGTGTTCTACCGGGAGGCTTTTGGGGGTTCGAAAGAGAGATCGACTGTGCTGCATTGGTAAGAGTTTGAAAAGTCATTAGTGGGATCTATATTAGCTATCGTGCGATCATCGCAGGTAGGGCTGTGTTAGAAATATATCCGGCCTTGTTATTTATGTCAGAAATTTTTGGTACCCCGTGTCAGTTATTAATGGCTTGTTATTAACAGGCGAATAAATGACACCCATTTTGTTTATAACATGTAATAAATAATAAATGACAGCGAATGACTCGTCAAAAATAAACCGAACCAACCCTGCTGCAGCCTTGACGCGTGCATGGTACTGGCTTTCGTATTGTCTGGTATCAGTAACGAGTACCCGACGTGATTGCTATGGTATATACGCCAGTTTATTATGGGTTTACAGAAGGGGTGCATGTGCGTGAGTGCCGCCAGGCCCCGACTTTAGATTATGGCTAGGCATTTTACTCGAAGCCGGGCCTTGCCCAGAGCGCATGTACATCAGAGCCCGATTGCGAGCGGTAAAGCGCATTCTAAGTCTTTTGGGGCCTGATGAAGGCCTACGTGTGAGTGTTTGCGGAACGGGGCACCTGCACCCACCTCCGGTAGTGGCAACATGAGCGATATAACAGCTGAGTTTGAAGTAACTGGCCATATAGAGCCAGACAAACGCGCGATATTGACAATATTGCTGAAGCAACACTGAAGTCAACGCTATCAAAAGCTACAGTAGTACTATTAGCACGAGTAAATCAGAGACCCATATCTGCCATATCCCACTTTTCGTCATCCACCTCGTTGACACTGCTAATTATGCTGTTAGTGTGTGATTGCTGGGTAGTACTGTTGCCGGTGGAAGGTGAAATGAGCTCCTCAAGCCCTGGTTTGTCCAGTTTGACATACTCGGCCACAGCCCATTGTGTCGAAGCCCGGGTGACAAAGGGTGCTGGTCCGGAAGTGCACTCCTTGGAGAGTGCCTCGTCGAGACGAGCTGTCTCGAGATCATAGGGGTCAGGGTGAGCAAACAAGCATCGGCAGCTTCGGGCCTATGGCCTCCTGCATTTTGTGGATAAATAACAATAAATGACAAGTGCTCAGTGGCCAACCGTTGTCATAAATGTTATAAACATGTTAATAACATGTTATTTATTAGGGTGTTAATAACAATGACATTTCTAACCCAGCCCTAATCGCAGGTACCCTGAGTCAGTTTGCTGAACTCAAATATGAGGATGGAGATAGAAATGATGCACCGATGATCGATCACGAATGAAGCTAATCAGCCAACATCGATATCACCACAGATCCATCACATCAAAACGACACAGCACTGGCCCCTCGTGCGTTGTCGCTGTTATCACGAAAGTGATTTCCCCGCATCGCGTATCAGCCATCGCATCATAGAGACCATTAAAGCTGCCACCTGCTCCGGCGGCTCATGTGTGGGTCGGGCCGCCAACAACCGCCAACCATCAAACATCTTCAAACATGCAGATCATATGCAAATGAGTCCGCGGGAGAAGCACTGTCCAAGCGAGAGCATGCGCGGCCATGTGCAAAAGCACCACACCCGTGAAAGGGAGGAGGAAGATACCGGAAGCTCTGCGAGGAAGCTTTTGAGGCATTTTGATGGCTTCGGCAGACCCTCGCCGGCTCGAGAACAGCCGAACGCAACCTGTTTGCTTGCTTTACTTGTTCACCCAGTCGGAAGCGTCATCATACGTGTGCTCACCGGTTTCTGAGTTCACCGGCACCTTTTGTTCAGCACACAAAGCTGCTGGCAGCTTTCGGACTCGTCGAGACTCGTCGAGGCTGCTGTAGTGCCATGCGTTATGACGTAATGTTTGTTCGCAGCCCCTGACTTTGAGTTGTACCAAGCTGCAGCATCAGCGCGCTCGTCTAAGCGATCAAGGACATGGGAAGAACCAAGCCGCGGCCAGCATGAATTACCGAGCCAAGGTCGATGGGAGATAGTACTAGGATACATGAACCTGTAAGCGTCGACGACGTGTGTGAGACGTTAGGTATCCGCAAGCGTCCAGACGGAGTTCGAGGCTACGACGTTCATAAACATGAATAACTGTCAGTCTTCTGAGCTGTACGTGCGTGTTAGGACAAACGGCACAGCTAAGAGGATAGGAATCCAGACAAAGACCACGAGTCCTTTGACGCAGGTACACACTGGTCTACGCTGGTATGTGCGTAGCAAGCTCACCGTCGGTGTTAGCCTAAACATTCATCAAATATTCTGATCCGAATAACAGCCTATAATAGCACGCCATTCTAGAGTGAAAGGTACGAGGAGGCTCCACTTCGACAGAGGTACGGGTAGGAATGCAGGCCCTGGCGGTCTGTCAGTTGCAAGGCACCGGTCGATAGATATAGATCGACAGGAACCCGAGGTTCGGCCTTTTCTCTAGAGATTAAAAAAATGACATTCGTTGCCTGTAGACAGAGAGAAGTCAGCGAGAGTCGGAACCTCGGAAGGCGTTCAGTACGGTAAAGAAGTCGCTTTGAAAGGCAGAGCTAAAGGCACGACGTGGTAGCAGGGTTCTAAATTTGGAACGCACCTTTGCGTCCACGTGTGGGGGCGCGCGTCATAGCATACGTATAATCAACGCCATTGTTCCTTTGACCAGTCAGTAATAAACGAATCATGATACCTGCAAAAGTATGTTGGAGAGGCGCATCGTCATGTCTGACGCTGGGGCTCGCCGCTAGATATATGCGCGCAGCGCCAAGATGGCGAACCCGAACGAACACCTCTACCATACCCCACTAGCACTGGAAACGCTGGCACGTTAATGTTAACCATGGATATCAAGCAAGCCTTTCAAGAGCACAACATCACCCCCAAGTACATTCACACCGTCCCGGAAGTGCTGAGCGTCAGCTACGGCGGCAAGTCCATCTCACCAGGCGAAGTCCTCCCGCGGAGCCAAACACTCGAAAGACCTGCGGTATCATATCACAGCGCCAAGGTTCGTCCGTCCTCGACTATGCTGTTTATCTCAAGACGCTAAAGAGAGCTCGAACAGCAAGACACCGACTATGCCATTCTTATGATTGACCCGGACCTGTTCACGACCGACGACCCGACGGGCGAAGTCCGGCACTGGCTCGAGATTGTCCGATTCTCAACTGGCGACAGCAGCGGCACCGCGACGCCCGTGCGCACCATCACGGAGTATCTGCCGTGCACGCCCGGCCTCGGCTCGGGGCAGCACCGGTACATCTTCGTTCTCGCCGAAGGCGCCAGTGAAGGACCACTGCGCGACGGGGGCATCGAGGGGGTGCAGCCGGAGACGAAGAACGCGCCGAAGGAGGATTTGAAGGACCGCATGGGGTTCCATATTCAGGAGTGGTTGGCGAAGTACGGGCTTAGGCCCGTTGCGGCGAATTTCATGCTGGCGAGTGCTTTTGCCACGACGGGGTTCTGAGAACGTCAGGGCTAACGAGGCATGGTTGCATGCGCAGGTTTCGGCAGATGCGACAAGCACGCTGCAGAACGTTGCGGCTGGGGTTGAGGCGCTTGCGCACAAGGCTGTTGGAAAGTGAGCAGGGGCTCTGAGCAAGGTTGGCTCTCGGCCGACCTATTATTGGCGACCCTCTGGAAGACGGCGTTCTGCCAGTATTGCATTAACATGGGCCTAGTGGCGCATTGTGTAATAATTAACTCTGTTAATTATGGATGTTTGTGGGAGGCAAGCAAGTGTCAAGGTTAACTTGTAGCTCGACCTTGACGGCCAGTCACGTAAAGACGTAGTGGCGCGTTCTGCACAAAAACCAACACTGGGGATCCATCGTGTTGTGCACGTTCATTGAGTGTATTAACATTAGTCACACGTTGCACCTGCAATGCAAAACGTCCAAACGTTGGCAAGAATGATATAGCCGTATGTCAATGCGTACCTGGTTACCCTCGCACACCTTTTTGCGTCTATGACATTATCATCATCCAAGGCACGGAAACTGAATTGAAACCAAACCCAAGACCGATCTGTCGCACCCTCTTATGTATGTGCCAAAGGGATCGCCGAAACGGAGCGAGCACCCGAGACGAACGGAGGCGTTCAAACCCGGCTCTCTTCCATCCCGGATTCGCAGGGATTCGCTCAAAGAAAAAGAGTGGATCAAAATCAAAAACCGGCCTCGGAGTCGCGCTAGGCCGCCGGCTCGCCTGCTGCGCCCAGACCAACACACTGGGTCCGGCAGGCCCCATTAGTGCTGCCTCCGACTCCACCCAGGCGTTAATTGTACCTGTCAAAATGGCGCGGAAGGAATCGGTTAGCGCTGGACCTGGGCAACATTTTCTGCCTCTCGTCCAATGAGGAGACGCGAATGGGGGCGCGAAGAAGGTCCGGTTCGGTGCCTGGTCGCTGTTTGAAATTAAGATTTGCGTTTGCAGAGTTGGTAAGGGCTTCTGCCGTGCGGCATGTGCGGTTTGCCCATTCCCATCGAAAAGGGTCCACCCTCGGATTTTCTTGCTTGCTTCTAAACAGAAACGTCGAAAGAGGTCGGCAGGCTGACTGGCTTGCCTTCACTGTGCCTTTGCTGCAAGGCCAAGCAGGGGCGCTCCTTGCAGGCCGCGTGTTAGCAATAGACTGCGATTGGTCATGGCTAGCCGTGTCTGTGGACGAATGTCTGACTGACCTGCGAAGGAACGGACATCTGAATCATAAGGCGAACGTTTTAGGATTGTGATACGACATTCACGCACGACTTTGTTGGTGGCTGGCGGTCTAATTTGAGCACATAGCTATTCTGGGTGGTGTCATGGGGAAGAGGCAAAGAGCTCTCGAGTCTCACTTCGCATACGCGGTTCGCCTGGGAGGAATCGCGCAGAAATAGATATCCCGCACCGTCATCGTGCGGACACGGCGGGAGTGGTGCTTCAGCCACTAGCATGGAAAGCTGACCCACTCGCGTTAGCCAGCTCAGTCGTCCAGGTCCCCTTGGAATACTCCTCGTCCTTCCGAATGGCCTTGGCTCGTCTCGGCGTAACGACGTGCCCTGGCTCGCCATAGCTGCCTTGAGTGGGGTGTTCGGATCCAATGTGAGACGAGAGGAGGGAATGCAGCAGATCGACTGGGCAAGTCGTCCTGGGGTCATGGCAGGGACGGGATAATAATGGAGGCAGGCACGGCGCTGACAACGCCCGGGGTCCTTAGCTGCCGGTGCCACATCACATCACGACCGCTCACACTTTGTTAAGACGATCCCGCGCTTCTATGCTACTTCGCTTGGGGTTCTCTAGCATGAGTGTACGATGAGCGTCTAGTGTGTAGCTACGAGGGGCGGGTTGTGTGGGCAGAGGGTGGCCAAGGGTCGGAGCCAAGCGGAAGGGAAGGTGATCTGTGAAATTAAGGTCCGGAATGCGCTGTGCCAGGGCCAGGCACGGTAGAGAGGGTGAGAGCCGGGAGGAGATGATGGCATGCATCCGTGTGGTGCAGACAGCGGACAGCGGCCGGCCAACCCAGGCCACCTCTTCTTATAAAATCCCGCGCCCTTCCCTCCTCGCTTCGTCCCCACACAACCCGTACCAGCTCAGCACCCCTTCGCTACACGTCCATCCCTTTAGGATAGACTAGGTGCATCCTGTCAACCCCGACGCACACAGTTCTTTTTGCTTTTACATCTCTCAAGATGCAGCTTGTCCCGACTGTACTGCTTGCTGCCCTTGCAGCTATGGCCGTCGCCTCGCCAATTTCGGTCGTGAGTATCCCTCTCCTGTATCCCTCCCTGTCTATCCTTTCTATCCATCTTGCATCATATCGACGTATCTTGCCCCACTTTCCCCCCTCCATCATCTCCCTCAACACCGGCGGTGAACATCATCTTCCCACATCCCTGATCCTCTTTGCTTCTTCTTCGGCTATCTAAACGCCCCTTCCCAACGATTTGGAATTCATGGCTGACGTTCTCCTTCCCTCTACAGAACGCTGAGCACGAGATCCTGCGTCGCGAGCCTGCCCCTCCCCACTCCGATGGCTCGATGGGCGGCTGGGGCGGCCTCCCCGACTGGAAGCGTTGGTTGTCGCAAGGCGAGCCCACGTGGATCGAGGTGCCTGAGAAAGCGAAGCGCTGGTTCTCGTCGCCGACGTGGATTGAGGTGCCCGACAACGAGGAGCGGAGCGAGGACGTGGCCGTTGAGGCGGAGGCGGACGAACACCACGACCACCCGCACGGCGATTGGGACCCGTGGGGTTCGCCAGCGTGGAAGCGCGGGACGCAGCAGGGCAACCAGGGGTGGTGAGATGGGCGTAGCACGCGCTAGGCGCGATACCGATAATGGATTGTGAGTTTCTTCACCCCGATTTGTCTTCTTGGATTCTCCTGCTGACGATGATAATCGCAGATTATATTTATTGAAATGACCGTGTCATTACCACCCATCCGTGCCTGCATCGGACTTGGACCTGCACCTTTGCACCCTCGTTGCTGCCCGCTGTCCTTTCTGTCCCTCTCGGCCTGTTCTTTTAGTACCACTCTCTACCCCTGCCCGTACCTCTCTTCGCACGTTGGACTTTTGTATCCCCCCACCCCTCGCGCACCACGCCCAACCGTCAAGGTTGCAGTGGCCTTTGCCATACTCTCACACTTGCACTCGGACTCCCTTTGACTGCGGAACCTCCCACATCAGATCCAAAAGCCTCGCCTCAGACACACAGACACCAGACACACAGACGCGTACTTGTACTTTTTGTTCTCTTTTTTCGTAACCTCGGGATAATAGATGTTGTTCTACGATCATCTTCATTCGTTCACGTCCGAGCGATCTTGGCCTCTCGCTGTGTAGGGGTCGTGCCAAGTCTAGTTCTGAGGGCTTCTGATTCAGAACGGGCTGTTTCAGCCCAGATGAGTTGACCGATCAAGCCACCGTACTGTGGCACTTGGTTGTTCGGCCGCGTCTCTCGTATCATCCAGCTGGCCTAGATGCTGCCACACTGATGCGTTCCGGAGCGGATCCTAGCGGATCCCGCACGGTTTCTGGTTTAGTAACCTAGCTCGACCCCGGATTGACTCGGTCGCGGGTGGGTGACCGGTGTCTGCTTACTTGACTTTGTCGCCAGCGGGGCGATTGTTGCATTCGGGTTTGCTGAATACAAACCGTAACTGGAGTTTCAGGACACTGATGCGGCTCCATGGTTTACAGCTGTCGAAAGACGAAGCAAACTGTATCATGTACGAAGAATAATCACGGCCGCCCATCGCCAATTCAAAATTCTGTGATGGCGTTGAAATGGGCTTAAATATAACCTAATAGCCGACGATGGTTGACAGGGCTGGCGCACAAAGTACTTGGAGTCGCGCTCCGCTATTTTCCGGACCTTTGGCCATAAGCCTTCAAGGGTGCGTCCAGGCTTCTATCCTTCTGTCGATAATCCGACTTACGTCTTGTGCAAAAAAGCCGTATTCATCCCGAGTCTTGTGAGACCACACATGAATCGTCGATGCCTTCAGTGTGCATCTCATGCTTGAAGACTTCCTTTAGCGGCTCGATTTACGTGTGCTCTGGCGTCTGTTGCTTGCATCCATTGACTCTGTCATGTACTATAGGACGAAGGCTCGTGAGCAGGTAGTTCACGCAATCATGTTCAATATAACGTTTTAGCATCGCGAGGTCATGCAGTGCTCGTTAATCGACATTCATCTCACACCAGATTTGATGAGGGGAGGCTCTGATTCCGAGATCTACCACGTCCACCAAGGACAGAGTTATTAGGGGTTTCTGGGCCCACTTATTGTTGATGGACAATCCACGCCGGTGGTACGAAGCTTTGACATCTTAACGTGGACACCTACTTGTGGGTCTTCAAACTTGAGCTTACCGCAGCAGGTGCCTGCGCTCGAGGATACATAGACTACCGTGAATATTATTCATGTACAAAGGTAAACTTTATGTCATAAGCTGTGAGCTCTTACTCTTCTTTACTTTGTTCTAACCTGAGAGACCGAATGGCCGATCAGTTTCTCGTTAAAACAGATATCCATATGATTGGGTTACGTGGGACATAGTTCTTCCCTTATGTTCACTGCACATGGGCGTTTTACTCGTGCCAGGACTCTGCGCCGAGATCTCGCGAAGCTCATCAACGACCGACGCCCACGTGGGGCATAATATTATCAAGTCCGCCGACGTAACTACCCTCCGGATGATTTGTTTTCATGTGGATTCATGACTCATCCAAGAGTGTGTAGGATATTGACGTAGAACGGATCGAGAAGGGCATTTGATGCTTGAAATATCTTGAACTTCACGATATGGGGAGTATGATGAGGAAGTACCGTGGCTAATTCCCGGGAAGTGTGCTTACGGCAGGGTGGCGTGTTGAGAGTGAACATTTCTGGTAAAGACCCAAACATGAGCATGGCGTGCGAGACGCTTTGGTGGAGCTAAAGGCAGTGGCTGCACGCGAACATCGGTACTTTGGAGAAACGATCGTGAGAAGTGGCACAGCGGCCGACGCTTCCCGACGACTTGAAGGCTTCGGTTGACTCACGGAAGCCTACGGACCGCCTGGTAGTGCAAGTCCCCGTTTCCAACTCAAGTCAAGCTCCTACTTTTCTCGTGCTTCTCCTCTTCTTACTACTATGTGCAACTTTGATAAGGTAATCCAGAAAGGCAACAAGCTCATAGGGCGAAGTGGTACGAAATATTGAGCAAGTCTCTTTCAAGACGGGATCAAAAGTTTTTGCTTTCTGAGCATGCGATCAAATGTGTTTAAATGTGTATCAATTGGAGGTCCATATTCCTTATATAGACGCTTCTGTTTTTCCATAGCCACCTATGCAGTGTGATGCACAATTGAGTTCTGGTAAAAAATAATAGTCAATAGCATTTGAAAGGGTAGCAATCTCTATATAGTAGTGTGAATTTATTGTAAGCGCTTGATGCAAATTATATTGTGAAGCGCAAAAGGGCTGATATAGCAACGTCAGGACTCAGGAGCTCTAAGAATTGCGATCAGTAGATGTGCATCCGTCACGTTCCACTTTCTGAGGATGCAGTGCCTAAGCGCTGGAGGTTGGGTTCAGTCTCACGCACGACAGCAATCTTGAATCAAGGATCCGAAAACTCCTGTGTTTACAGATTTACATCACTGACTCAGGTATTCCGCCTGCGCATATAAGACATTCGTCAAACCCGTGGTGATACTGCACTCATATACCCCAGCAACATGGAAGATTCCACCATTACTCCTTTCAAAGGCCACAATGGCCGTATTCTCACGCTCGCATACGCACCCAACGGTGTTTCCATAGCCACAGGTTCGGCGGACGGAGCGATACGACTATGGGATGCTGGGACGGGTCATCAAGTAGAGACACTGGAGGGCCACACTCATGGGGTTCGCGCCATTGCCTTTTCTCCTGACAGACAGCATTTGGTTAGTGGGGACGATGGGTCTACAATTATAGTGTGGGACACAATTGCTCGCCAGATCAAGGGTACGCTTAAGGGTCACAGGAACTGGATTCGAGCTGTGCGGTACTCCCCGGATAGTGCATACATCGCAAGTGGTGGCGATGACAATCTCTTGAAGCTCTGGGCGGGCCCCGGTGCTGTTGGCTGCGCTGCAACAATAAAACATCCCAAACCTGTGAATTCGGTCTCTTTCTCGCCTAATAGCAACCTCATCGTGACTGCATGCGGCGATCACCTTGTTCGCGTCTATAACGTAAACCAACATCAACTCGTTCAGGAGTTCAGCGGACATCAAGGGGTTGTTCGATGCGTTCAGTACTCTCATAGCGGTTCCCTCATTGCCAGTGCTTCAAATGATCATAGCATCCGGCTTTGGAATGCGTCAACAGGTATCTTAGCTAAAGCGCCTCTCCGCGGTCATAGGCACTTCGTCTCAGGTGTACCGTTTACTCAAAATGACCGGCATCTAATCAGCTCCTCTTATAATGAGACTGTCCGAGTCTGGGATGCTACATCAGGAAAATGCGTCTCAAACTCGTTATACGGGCATAACGGGGCAGTAAACGCCATATCGTACTCTGAGGATCAAGATTATTTCTCTTCTTGCAGCGAGGATGGCGTGCTTACTTGGAGCGTCAAGGATACTGCAGTACGTCCACCCGTGAGTACTGTACCTACACGACCGTAGGTTCAAGGGATTTCTGCGTGACATGAAATCAAGATAAGTTCCGCCGAGGCTGAAGTTCAAATGTCCGGCGAACGCGTGATTTTGAACTAGGGTCACAGTTTGGTGACATCATCAAGGCATTATTGCTGAGGACAACGAAGGTGAAGAGGGTGTTTCATTGGAAGGAGAAGCAGGCAATGCGGACACACCTTTTACAACGACTGTATTGCTTGTCTGTTAGGCTTATATACAGGCGTCTCAAGCCCTTGCCAGACCGGTATGACCGACTCACTGAAGCCTGCCAGTGAGGAGCTCGACATCACATCTCCAGTCGACTGTGGTCGTGCCAGTAAGGGTCTCAAAAATCTGAAACTCAGTACTACATCAGAATATAAGTTAAGAGGATTAGTATTTTTCGTCACGCGGGGAGGTTCATTATCTTTTGTGATGGGTGACGAACCAGGTCTTAAGTTCATTTGACAGGTCAAGCGTGAGGCGTGACGAACCTACGGTCGTGTAGGTACAGTATCCTCCCCTTGGTCTTGTATTCCTGTTGTTCATACGCTTTGTTTTAGTTGGAGGCGGATAGTAGCTACGACGGCGCAAAGCAATACAGGTATGCCTCTTCATCACTTTTGCTGTTATTAGTGATTGATTCGCGCAGAATGAAAGCTTACGAGGTAGTCCGAGCAATAGCATGGTTTTCTGACGGCAAGCACTTTGTAAGCGCAGGAGGCGATGGTGCTATTCGGACGTGGGACTCCCAGACAGGATTAGAGTCCGCATTACCTCTTGTTGGACACGACGGAGGTGTCAACGGAATATATATATGTCAGGACGAAAAGCTCCTGGAGACGACGCCTTAATTCGTATCTGGGACCGCATACCCTATGAAAAATGACTCCGTCGCTACTCATTGTAGTAGGTTCCTTCTCTTTGGCACTCATTCTACTCCATTGGGCCCAGATGATAGCCTGAAATAGTACAGAAGATGTCAAAATGCGAGAATGGAATTTGAATTCCATACCAAACATCGTCAACCTGGTGTTCGATTCCAATCTGAATATTAGCTTATGATATTGATTCTGGCTCCGTTTCGAATCCCCTTGAACCAAATCGTGTCAGTGCAAACACAAATCCGTTCTATTAAGAGTCGCGACGTCGATGTCGGTATACTTGGCACAGTAGCACCATTAATCCTGATTGGTAAAAGGGTGGTGTCTTTTCTTATATCCACTGGGAGCTATATACAATGCCAGCTTTGCTTTAACTAGGTTATCTGAGATTGAGGTGGCTCTAATTATCTCAGTGTCAATTCCGAATAAAACAAGCCGGTTGCAGCAGTAACAGTGAAAGCCGAAGACAACAGCCTGCTGCCTTATGAGATCCTATGGGGGCTGCGCCACTGCGGGGTCTGAAAGAACTTGCCTAATCCAGTCGTGCTCCTGACTTCGTGATAAGGCGCGTTGGGGAAAGCAGATTTGTTGAAATGCACCTTTCTCCCCAACGTCTCCCACTCCCCTCGACGACATCCTCCTTGCCCAGCTAGCACCAACGCTGGTGCCGTCTTGCCTCTGTTTCAGCACGTTTTCTCCCTCTGCATCGGTCACGGACAGCATGGTTTCTCCCTGGTATGTGAGTACTACTTATTTCCCGTGCACCTGCGACTACTTGTGCTAATAAAGTATGCAAATAGAAATAGTAGTCATTATGTCACAGATGTAGACAAGCCTACTAGCGTGTCTCATCTGGAGAAGCAAACAGACGATAGAGGCGGGGGAAAACAGGATGGAGGGAGAAAGAGTAGCAAAGCAACTCGGGATTGAGGTAAGTGGTGTGTTCTGTCGCAATGCCTCTAATCTCAACGTGGCCAGTGCACTTCGCTTGCCCCTGTTAACGTTTGCTCCATTTTGGGGGTAAGTCTTAGATTTTTCTGTTGGAATGCACATTTTACTCTGATTACAGGCTCCCGAAAACCCATCGCACGAACACGTCAGCCAGCACGTCTGTGACACAGTCTCAGGAGATGCCTCGGAAGAAGAAGGGCCTAAAGATACCGGGAAGATAAGCACTGGATGGATTAGTATGCCGACAGAGATATGTACTATGTGAGTTCCATGTTCCTTTTCCCCTTTGCATGTCTAATGGTGTTTATAGGCATATATTTTAGCCTGGGCGCTCGACAAGACATGTACTTGGTCGTGACTTTCGCAGTCTCTCTGAGGACCCATAACAGGTTCGTCTTGGTGCCCCTCTTGCGTGCAATGCTCATCTGTATGGCAGATTTACGAGCAGCAGTTCAAGGACGCGAAGGACGAAAGCCGCTCTCGGAAAACGCAAGCGCAACACAATGTGATCCCATCCCTTTCCATTCGACGCTGCTTCATTCGACTTTCCTTGCTCTTTTTCACTCGTTCTCTCCGATTGCTATCATTTGCTGGCCTTTCGTACTATTTTGTTTCGGTGAGATTTTCGGTGCTATGCTTTCATTTTCATTGCTCATTGGCTCTCGTTGGCTCTCGTTCGTACTCTTTGGCAACAGGTAGGAACGATCGTCAAAGAGTGTAAATAGATCCATTCACTACCATTTCGTCGCTACAGTTTCGATTCGAAATAACATTGCTGCTCTTTGTACTCTATTGGCTTACTTTAAGGGAAATTTGAATATTGCCACTCGTTGGGATATAAGTACGAAAGAGTATCAAAGAGTGGCGACGGAGTCATTTTTCATAGGGCCGCATATCCCAGGAACCTACGCTTCAACCTCTTCTCTGGTCACGTCGAGCTCGTATGGCCCGGGGCTGTCAAATTCATTCACAATGGCACGCGCCTGGCTACAGGAGGAGACGATAAAACAATTCGCATTTGGGACGTGCAATCCGGCGCATCATTACAGATCCTCAAAGTACACAGAGACTCCGTCAGGTCACTCAGCCTTTCTCCCGATGGATCTCAGTTATCCAGCGGATCCTTGGACAGGACTGTCCGTATTTGGAGTACTGCCCACTCATGCGAGTTGTTGGCTGTCCCTCTTAAAACCAAGTCCCCAGTACTATCGGTCTGCTTCTCTCCAGATGGATCACAATTATCAGTTGGGTGCCTGGACAATACGGTACAACTATGGAATGTGTCGCAAAGAGAGAAGGCGGCCGATTTCATACACGGAGGAGGCTCTGTTCGATGCGTGCAGTTCTCACAGGACAGCTCCAAGATCTTGGCTGTGTCTGACGACAGGCAGGTTTATGTGTGGAATACAAGACATGCCGTGCTTCGCTACGGCACATTTGAACGCTGATGGGCGAGGACATGAGCATTTAGAACACGTATGAAATTTCGGCTGTTACATAACATGAAGACAAAGGACAACGAATATATTTGTAGCAAGTGTCCGTACTCAAGGTCACGTAGCATCCAGGCCTTCTTTCGCTATGGTACATCCTCAATTTGGCTTCATGCAGCGACTAAGCCTCTCTAACGCTTGCGAGTTTGTGCTCCATCGTTTCTTTTAACTCGTTTCGGATCAAGACGGTTTATAAAACTCGGACCCTCTCTAGTAATGTGTAAGAGTTGGTCAGGTACTGTGCCGAGGTCGGTTCGTACATTTTAAATCAGTCTTGTGTCTAACTCTTTCATTGACTGATACAATGCTTAGTGTACAGTACGAGAATGTAGATCGAGTGGAGTGATTGTAGTCCTCCTGTTCTCCATCAACAATAATCGACGAGGTGCAGACAGTGTGGGGACGAAGACGGGTGGATAGGCGCCCATCACATCAACACGTTGCACATACACGAGCGTCGATCGGGCCGTCCTAATTCCCACTGTCAGCGCAATGCGGCCTCATGGAAAACGGCTATACAGCACGTCCGCCTGCCGCCCGGGCGAACCTCCTCCTTTGCTCAACTCAGTCACTCGTAAAGCCCACACAGTCACCTACTCCCCAGAACACTATGGGCGACACCGCCTTCGAATCATTCAAGGGCCATACCCAGGCCATACGCACAGTTGCATACTCGCCCGACGGAGCGTACATAGCTACAGGCTCGGAAGACCGGACGATACGGATATGGGAGGCGGAGACAGGTCGTCGAGTAGGGGAGCCGTTGGAAGGCCACGAGAATTGGGTCCGTGCTATCGCTTATTCTCCTGACGGTCAGCGTCTGGTGAGCGGCTCCGACGACAAGACCATTCGAGTATGGGACACGGCTACCCATCAGATGGTCATGGGGCCGCTTGAGGGCCACATAGAATGGGTTCTATCTGTGCAGATCTCCCCTGACGGCGCGCTCATGGCAAGCGGCGGTCGAGACAGGCTTCTTAAGCTTTGGGATGCCTCTACAGGAGCCTGCATTGCGACACTGGAGCATCCTGACTACACGAGATCAGTTGCCTTCTCTCCCGATAGCAAGTGTATTGCGACTGCATGCGATGACCGGGCCGTGCGCATCTATGACGTTGATCAACGTCAGCTTGTTCGCGAGCTGACCGGACACCGAGGCTATGTTAGATGCGTTCAATACTCTCCAGATAGCTCCCTCATAGCCAGCGCTTCAGAGGATTTTACTATTCGGCTTTGGGACAGCTTGACAGGCAAACTTGCTAAAGCACCTCTCCGTGGCCACAGACACTGCGTCTCTAGCGTATCATTTTCTCGTGATGGTCAGAAGCTGGTCAGCTCATCTGAGGACGAGTCCGTTCGGGTGTGGGATGTCGCATCTGGAGAATGTACTTTGGGACCACTGCATTGTTATGAAGATCGAGTAATGGCCGTGTCCTGCTCCTCAAAACAAGACTGTTTTGTTTATTCCTCGAAGAATCGTGTGTGCACTTGGAACATGCGTGACGGGTTGTTGGTACTTCCACAAGTGAGTATCATATCTTCAAAATTCAACAGCTCTTATTCACGTACCTCAGATCAACTCGGAGTCAGCAGCGACTAAGGCTATCAGTATCGCGGAGCAGTGCTCGTATGTTCCACTCTTAAACTTGTCACAATGATAAAACTAAGATTCACAGGATGAAAGCATATAACGCGGTTCGAGCAGTTGCATGGTTCTCCGACGGAAAGCGCTTTGCGAGTGCAGGTGAAAACCGTGCCGTAAGGATCTGGGATGCCCAGACAGGCCAAGAGTCCGCAAGCCCTCCCGTGTGGCATACACATTTGGTCTGGGGGATTGATATCTCGAAGAACGACGGACTCCTGGCTAGTGGAGGACATGACACCCTAGTCTGCATCTGGGACCTCAAAACGCGCGACCTTGCCTTGGAGCCTCTTTCTGGTCGCCCCGGCCTTGTCTTTGCTGTCAAATTCACTCCCGATGAAACACGCCTAGTCACAGGAGGCGATGATAGAAGTATCCGTATATGGGATGTGCAGTCCGGCACTCTACTGTACGTCATTGAAGCACACGGTGACACAGTTCGGGCGCTTAGCATCTCCCCTGACGGATCTCGAATAGCAAGTGGTAGTGCTGACAAGACTGTCCGCTTCTGGGACACTAACTCGTATGAGCCCATCGGAGAGCCGTTCGAGCACGAGGGCTGTGTAAACTCGGTCTGCTTCTCACCCGACGGTTCCCGATTGCTCACTGGCTGCATGGATAAAGCTGGTACATTCTTGTGGGATATATCGCTCAGGAAGAAGATACGCGCCATCGAACACGAGAGCAATGTTTACTGCGTACAGTTCTCGATGGACGGATCCAAACTCCTCAGTGCGTCTGACGATGGAATCGCTCGTCTCTGGGAGACCAGTACAGGAAAGCATTTACAGTCTCTTCAGCATGCATATAGTGTCATGGCGGCTGCGTTCTCTCCAGACGACGCACTGGTACTAACGGGGGACTATGGTGGCGATTTACGCTTATGGGACTCGAAAACAGGGAGACTTCTTCTTCCAAAGGTTGGTGTAACAGTTCATCCTTCGTGTCACACATGCGTGCAGACTGAATGTATGTTCCCGTACAGCGTCTCATTGATAGTACGGAAGACTCAAAGAGCGATGCCTCTGATTCTAGCGTGAGTGTGTCCCAAGTGTGTCCGGGTTCTTTTGTAGACTGCCTGATATATCAACCGATTAGGGTCGTAGCGTCAGCAAAGGACAAGCTCGCCAGAAGGGTGATCCCAATTCAAGGGTAAGTAAGGACATAGAGATATCCTATTCTTCTCTCTGATGCATGAACAGATCAACGACGATGACTCGGATGAGCTCAAGGTAAATGCCAATACTTCACAGAAGCTCTTGAACTAACGCCATACATTGTGAAAGCTGCCAGCCACGGGAGCTCGTAGATACAATAAACGGAAACATGAAGACTTCTTTGGAGATATTGAGGTTAACAACGTAAGCACGGAGGATAGTCCGTTGTCTCTTCTAATTCAAGTACAGGGGACACGCTCCAACGCTGGGACAAGACATGTGACCACCAACTCTGTCCCGCGTTTGGCTGGTTTGTTGCAACGTACTATAGGAAGGCGCCCCAATGAGGCAAACGATGTACGTGTACAGCGTGTGCTGAATTTATCATTGTGCTGAAATGGGCATTGTTACAGTCTGATAGCGCAGAGCACACCATTCAACGCACACGCAGTTATTTGAAGAGAGTAGCAAGTCTCTTCCGAGGAAACTGGGTCAGTTCGACGCCGTGCACATTCCACCTTGTAAAGCAGGCTAATTATCATTCACCAATCTACTGCTCTTACAGGCCCGTGCAGACGCAGTGCGAGGTAACGACGAATTGACAACACCAGGTTCCCGTGCCTCCCCCCGTGCCTCGCGTGTCTCCAAATACATCGCTCCGGCAAAATCCAAGCTGGTACGAACGTTCTGTCTATCTTTCCCTGTTCCCGATATAATGTGATCCACCCAGCATATTATGGCTGCGGAATCATCGGATGGCAGAAGAAACAGGAGCAGAACAGATAACACAGACACTAGGCAGGGAGACGTGTACGCTTCTGACGCAGGCTCTGGTTCGATCCGGTCAGAAACGTCTGACAATCCGATCGTCAATGCGCTCTTCTTCTGCATCTGGCCGTGTTTTGGCACACGCACTGAACCTGATCATGCAGTTGGTCTCGCCAGCGCGGTTCCTGCACCTGCACAGACGAGCAGTGCTCCTTTCTCGGGAGCGGCGGGGTCATGTCCGGCTGGCATGCAAGGAGCCGCTACTTCGCCTCACCAAGGGGTGGGTATAGCTGAGATATCGACAGATTCGGCGTCCACTCCTAGGCACACTTATCCGCCTTCAGGTCGCATGTCAGCGGCAATGGAGCTATCGACTCGCGATCAGATACCGGGACTGTCTTCTGCTCAAGTGGAGACGGCCGAGGGACTTTCCCCTCACAGACAAACAATGGAGTCGCCTTCCGCGTAAGCAACTCAACAATAGAAATACATCTGGTACGTACGCTTGGCAGTACATGCTTATTGATCTTTTGACGAAAATAAGCAGTCATGTACAAAGGAAGTCGAGAGCGAAAACACGCCTGGAATCATTTTCGGCCTAATCACGGAGTGATTATGCTACTTCTTCTTGTATTAGGCCGGTCCCATGCATTTGTCTGTTTCATGCACGAGTAGCCAAAGGCTTTTTCCGAATTAATGTCGTAGCTCGTAACTTGACCTATGCGGAAAAGCTGATACCTCAGCTTGTTACGATATAGCGACGTCTCAACGAATACATGTCTGATTAGGTAGCAACCCGGATATCAGAGCTATCGAATTACGGACGAGTTATAAGAGCGAGTCGTGGATACATACCTTGTCCTCCTGCATCTGAAAGGATTCCCCGCGGACGCCGAGCGGGGGATTGTCCGGTGCATAAGAAGGCCTAATCACCTTAATAGACGAAAAGCGTGCCGAGAGAAACATTCGAGCCGAAAGGATCACCAGCCGTGAGTAGGACTGTAGTTGGTAAGAGAGGGCATGAGACGAAACCACGATCATAAAACGCTAAATCTCTCTCCAACACTAGGGATTCAACACACAGAAATACCATTCACAAGCCAGACCGAAAGACAAAGAGCCGGAGTAAGGGAAGGAATGGAAAAAAAGAGAACTTACGAAACGCAAAATCCATATGTTAGTCTTGGGAAACCGACGGGAGCGCAGGTGCTGGACGTGGACGCATGGCCAGGCGCAGAAGACACGAAGTAAAAGTATTCAGAGGACAGACCTTCGAAACGCGGCAATGACAGCACAAAAAGGACGAAGAAATGCAGAAACGCCGCAGAGGGGTACGCACAGTCAAAATTAAAGACTGACCCCAGCCGACGTGCCTAGCTCGTCATGGTACGCAAGACGCACGACGATCGAAGTGTTCGGGCTGCCTATGCTCTAGACCGTTCCGGCATCCTGCACCGGTCTCGCTGTTACCCGAAAGTCATCAGTTCTGTCGCGCCCGCAACACGAAAAGGGAGGATGAGGGAGAGAAGGGCACGTACACACTTCACACGCCTCTGCCCTGAGCGCTTTGAAGGTCAGGTGGGCGGTCTGTGCCCAGCGCCTGGGAGAAGCGAACAAGTACATTCTTCGACGGCTTTCTCGTGGATTAGAGGAGGCCATCGACGGCAACGGTGAGCCCAAAGTAATCTTGTTCGTGATGAGGGCCAAATTGCGGACTAGAAGAGTTTCAAGAAGACGCGCAGAGATGATACGCCGGACATGCGTAGCGGACTGCCGCAATTCCAGATCCCGTTGCGGCAGGAGCGCTTGACCTACACGATGGCAAACTCGGAAACGCGGGCGTCAGCGAGCTCGAGCAAACTAGCAGAAACGAGAAAATGGCACTGGAGGGTTTGGTACTGGAAAATCTGCGTGCTAAGCGACGATCAACAGTGAGCGAGGAAATGGGGGAGGCCGGGTGACGCTGCAAAGGCGATACAGACCAAAGAGAGTAGATGTGAAAGGGGGTAGTCTGAACGTCAGCGCAGCCAGGATGATAAATGATAAGTGGATCACCTGCATGTTGAGATGAAGCATGATGGCAGGCCAACCCCGTATGTTCCCGGAACGCAGACGCAGGGCATCGCGCAGAGCTTGTTACGCTTGGGCTTACCGTAGTGACTATGGTTAGAATGTACTTCGTTAACGATCCGGATATTCGCATATGACCAACTGCGAGAGGGCAGAACTCACTGGAGCAGATTCTTTCCCGTCCGTCTTCCCCTATCAGCTGCTGCACCATCCTCGTCTCCACCACCTTCCTCGTTATATCCTCGTCTATTGTCGGCTGCGTCACATTAACCGTCTGCGATTCCAATGAGTCTTGCAGCTAATCCACCCGTGACGGCAGCCTGGAATGTACGGTCAATAGCTGTCAACCAAGGATTGTCACCGGGCGAGCAGATGGCGGGAAACGTTTCGGATAGACGTCATACGTGGACCGCCGGGACGGTGTTTTGGCCATGAGTATTGATTCGTAGAGGAGGATCACATCAGCTACCTGCGATGTGAGCAGGTCAAGGTGATCTACGAGAAGACGTTCAGTTTTCTGGGGATGCACTTGATGAACTGACGGCCACAAAGATAATGCTTCGCTCAGACACGTGGTGCCTGACGTTGGTTCGGGCACTGACGCACACTGTGATAAAAAGTTGTATACTGACGGAGTCATGATGTCGGACAAGTCATTCGAGTGGTGTCAATACGCTGTTTGACAACTGGGTGCTATAGGAGAGGTGTTGGCAGTGCGTATCACTATATATGTTGGCGAGATAGAAGCAGAGTGGACCGGAATGTCAGTGAGAGACAGATAAGGGAGAAGAGAGGAGAACGCACTCTACGCTACACCTGTATCCAGTGGCATCCACCGCGTCTTTGTCTTCCCTGAATTCTCCAACGCCCTTAGATGACCTTTCAGCCGATCCCGGAGCTTGAAGGAGATACTCGCCCTCGATGACGACGTACAGGTTGCTAGCTGGCGTGGCCATCACCGGACGACGCTTTGCTGGCCTTGAGGAGCGTCTTGAGGCTAAAAGCAGATGAGCTCGTTGATATCCTAGGAGAGCGTGTGGGCGGTACGCAGAGGGCAGGGGGATGGATGACTGTGCGATGGGCGCGTATGGAAAGAGAGCAGGCGGAGTGGACGCGCGAGTGGCGGGACGGAGAGGTGGACGTGAACGGATGAGGAGGATCGGTGATGCTCCGGGATGCCCGGGTCAAGGAAGACCTTCGGAACTTCGGACGAAGCGTGAGAATCAATCGGCCGACGCTGCCTTTCGTGCTTTTCGCCACGCGCCGTTGCCTTCCAGCTCGGTTTCAGTCCCTTTTGCCCACTTACATCATTTAGCATGTAGAAAATCGAGGTCGCACGGGCTCGCGACGACGCACAGCGCGTTTGTCCCGGGCAAGAGGAGGGTGCCCGAAGGGCAATCGCGTGAAGATTACGACTAGCTACGACAAGAATATATACTACGAAAAACTCGGATATAATAAGATAACGTACGACACGTCATGATGCAAGCGAGATCCGAACATAATTCCAACATAGCACTCGATTCTGGTTGGCCTGTCCGCTACTTTTGGCACGTAAAGAGCCACTCATAGTGCCTCGAAGGTGTCGCTCAATCCCGATCGAGGCACCACTATCAGAATGAAGAGCCACTGCTGGATGCCGCCCCGCTCACTTCCAGCTCGCTCGACACACTGGCACACCAGATATTGTCCACCCACGAGTTCGCATCACATCTCGGGGTCAATTATATGACTGTGAACGTGCTAACCTCATGTTACAGCTTATCCGGGAGGCCAGTCTGACTGCGATCCAGCTGACGGCGACCCCAGCGAACAAGTGATGAGTGGAATGACTACAAAATTTCACGGTGGCGACGCCGTCGCTCACGCTGCTATTCTGTCACACTGGCGAACTTTCACCTGTGTTGACAAAATGCGGAAAAGAGCTGGCATTATGTATGGGAAGACCAGTTATTGGGTGGTAGAAACGGTACGCTGTATTTGATGTGCGCTTCCTCGCTCATTGTGTCGTATCAACTTGAGATTTCCAGATCCTCGTTCACCTAATGAACTCAGCCACGTCAATGACGGAGCTACCGGCATCATGCGAGGACTTGAGAACCAGCGACACCGAGTTCTGACATTTCAGTGCAGTGACGTACTGATAGTTTATCTGAGCCATAGAAACAATGATACACGGCAGCTGGGACCTTCACCGCTACGGCTTCCTCCTCAGCTTCAGCTTTCATGCAACAATCGAGCGGTTTGAGAGATTGTTAAGTTCTCGCTCCGTCTTTGTTAGTTCGTGGCGGGCTGCAAAGATCGATCATGGCATCGGATAACCTGTTTTTGTTTGCTTGAGTGACGGGTCCAACACCAAGCAGTTTATGAATGTCAAACTCTCCCTAGCAATACTATGCGAGGGCTGTTCGAACGCTGTGCCGAAGTCCGTTTGTACCGTCCTAACTAACCTTGTTTATATCTGTCAATTTCGTCTGACTGACATGATGTCTGGTACAGTATCCAGCATGGGAATTCAGATCTAATCGAGAGTTAGCAATTCCAGTGCGTAGTCAAACAAGCATTGACATTGGGAGCGAGGATGTCATAGCAGACAGGCGCCCATCTCATTAACACGTTGCACATGCACAAGCGCCGGTGATCAAGTTGTCCTAATTCCGCCATTATTCCAGCGCCTAACCTGTGCCTCGTGTGAAACAGTTGTACAGCACGTCTGCCTGCCGCGCGGGTGTACTCCTTAGCTCAACTCAGGCACTCACAATGCCCACACAGTCAACTAATCCCCAGCATACTATGGACGACACCACCTTCGAACCATTCAAGGGCCATACCGGCAACATACTCACAGTCGCATACTCGCCCGACGGAGCGTTCATAGCTACTGGCTCAGCGGACAACACGATACGGATATGGGAGGCGGAGACAGGCCGTCAAGTAGGGAAGCCGCTGGAAGGGCACAAGAATTGGGTCCATGCCATCGCTTACTCTGCTGACGGTCAGCATCTGGTTAGCGGCTCCTATGACAAGACCATTCGGGTGTGGGACGCGACTGCCCATCAGACTGTCATAGGGCCGCTTGTAGGCCACACGTACCCAATTCTGGCCGTACAGTTCTCCCCTAACGGCACGCTTGTGGCAAGTGGCAGCCTCGACAAATGTCTCAAGCTCTGGGATGCATCTACAGGAGACTGCATTGCGACACTGAAGCATCCCAGCTATGTGAAGTCAGTTGCCTTCTCTCCTGATAGCAGCTGTATTACAACTGCATGCGATGATCGGGTCGTGCGCGTCTATGACGTCAATCAACATGAGCTTGTTCGCGTGCTGACCGGACACCGAGGCTGCGTTCGATGCGTTCGATACTCTCCAGATGGATCCCTCATTGCCAGTGCCTCAGATGACCATACTATCCGGCTTTGGGACGCTTCGACAGGCAACCTTGTTAAAGAGCCTCTCCGTGGCCACAGATACTGGGTCTCCAGTATATCATTCTCTCACGATGGTCAGCAACTGGTCAGCTCATCTGAGGACAAGTCCGTGCAAGTGTGGAGTTTCGCAACCGGGGAATGCCTTATGGGACCGCTGTACGGTCATGAAGAACCAGTCACGGCAGTATCCTACTCCGCGAAACAAGATCGTTTTGTTTCTTGTTCTCACAATGGTGTGCGCATTTGGAACATATATGACGGATCGTTGGTAGTAATCCCACGAGTAAGTATCATATCTCCATCTTCTGACCGCTCCTGTTCACGGACCTCAGATCAATTCCGAGTCAGCGGCAGCTAAGGCTATCTATATGGCGGAGCAACAGTTGTACGTTCCATTCTTAAACTCGTAAAAATGGCATAACTAAGATAAACAGAATGAAATCATATAACACGGTTCGCGCAGTAGCATGGTTCTCCGATGGAAAACACTTTGCGAGTGCGGGAGATGATCATGCTATAGCAATATGGGACGCCCAGACCGGCCAAGAGTCCATAAGCCCTCTTTTATGTCATGATGACAGAGTCAATGGGATTGATATCTCGAAGAGCGAGGAACTGCTGGCTAGCGGAGGACATGACACCCTCGTCTGTATCTGGGACCTCAAAGCCTATGCTCTTGCCCTGGAGCCTCTTTCTGGTCACGATGGCGCTGTCTTGGCCGTCAAATTCACTCCCGACGAAACACGCCTAGTCACAGGAGGAGGAGACAAAACTATCCGTATATGGAACGTGCAGTCGGGTGCTTCGCTGCACATCATTGAAGCACACAGTGAGGCCGTTTTTGCGCTTAGCATCTCCCCTGACGGATCTCGAATAGCAAGTGGGGCTAGTGATAAGACTGTCCGCCTCTGGGACATCGACTCGTATGAGCCCATCGGAGAGCCGTTCGAGCACGAGGGCAGTGTACATTCGGTCTGCTTCTCACCTGATGGTTCTCAATTGATCACTGGATGTTGGGATAACGCTGGCGCATCCTTGTGGGATACCTTGCTCAGGAAGAAGATACGCACCATCAAACATGACCTGATGAACGTTGATTGCATACAGTTCTCGATGGATGGATCCAAATTCATCAGTGCGTCTGACGATGAAATCGTTCGTCTCTGGGAGGCCAGTACAGGAATGATTCTCCAGTCTCTCCAGCATGCAGGTCATGTCTGGGCGGCTGCGTTATCTCCGGACGGTGCACTGGTACTAACTGGGGACAGTGGCGGCAATTTACGTTTATGGGACGCGAACACAGGGAGGCTTCTTCTTCCGAAGGTTGGTGTAACAATGTTCACCGTGTACTGCTTTTGAACCCTACCCCATACAGCGCCTTGCTGATGCTAACGAGATGTCAAAAATCCCTGCGTCTAATTTCAATGTGAGTTAAAGCAGTTTGCTGCCGGCGTGCTCCTGATATGCAGAAATCGCAGGACAATGTCGAGGCGTCTGAGACGAGGAATGCCAATGCTATCATACGAGCATTTCAACGGTTGTTTACCAACACTACCGACAACAGCTTTCAACTTGAGAGCAACAGGTTGGCTCTATCTATGGTACGTCATTCATACTTGCTGTCTATGAACGATGTTCATTTTGGTTATGTAGGATGAAGATCGCGTTAAGGCGAGTGTTTCCATTCCAAGCACAGATTTAGTTCTGACGACACTATAGGAGGATGAGGAAATTACGGAAGAGGCTGACGGCCCACCGAAAACGAGACAGGTGCCTACATTTTCGCTGGTTTGTTTTCCTCAGTTTCACACGTCCCTTCAAAAGGCTCCACTTTTTGACAAGAGGTCAGTCAATGTTGAAGCCACGGATGGTAACAAGGGCAAGGCAAGAGAACCAAGGTCAAGTTCACCTGTGAGATGATACGTCTCTCGTTGACCATACCACTGGCTAATGTACAGGCCCCCGAGTCTACTGATAGCCTTGGGAGTTTCATGGACGTAAGTCGCTCTGTTACGGATCCCGAACTTACTCATAGTCAATTCTCTTTCGTAGAGGCCGGCTGTTGTTACCAAAAAGAAGGACGAAAACTTGGACGACGTTCTTAATGAGATCGAGACTAACGATGTAAGTTTTGGCCTTCGCGTGCTGTGAGGATTTATGCGACGTACCCCAAGAGCATGGGATGCCTACGTACCCCTGATAACACATCACAACAAGATATGCATCGTACGGAATCAAGGATGAGAGCCGCCATTGCACGCCCCTTCGCGTGGGTCTGGGAACACCTTCCGGTGCGCCGTAGTCTCGAAGCAGATGACGAGGCATGTTCTGTGGCTCTTGAAACTATTTGGACTGACCCTCCTTTTAGCAACGTTTTCCAGAGAGCTCTCCTCACCACGCTGTGATACGAGCACGACTGTCCAATATTTCAAACTTGGTCATCCAAGCCATGGTGAGTACAACACGCAAACTCATGCGTCCCACAGCGCAGCATACTCACGAAAGTTTCAGCACAGTACCATACCATTCCGTGACCGCAGCAGCCATGGGCAAGAACCTGGGATAGAATCCCATCGCATGACGACCTTCAGCCGACTCAGTGAGCGTACCACGGAAATTATCTCCACAGGAAGGGCAAAAATGGTGCTTTTCCTGTGAGACAACGTCTCAGCAGTACTCGATACTGACGTTTCTTGGCAGCGTGTCTTTGCAAGCGGAGATACGCCACGCAGGCGATCCCAGGAGAATGCTCAACCGCAGGATGACGATATTGATGATGACGATACAAGCACAATGGCCTCAGATGAGACCTACGACACGATCGTCAAAGCATTCTGTTTCTGCGAGTGTTCCGGCCTGTGGGATCGTCTGCGAACAGCGTCCACTCCAACTCACCAACATACGGGGCAAGCTTCCACCGTGACTCAGCAAACACAGACAAGCAGGTCTTCTGGGCCGAGGCGGAAGAGCCCAGCTCCAACGCGCTACAATAAACCAGCCTCCCCTCCCCTACGAGGCAGTGTGCCTGTCACAGTGCAACCCCACTCTGCCGACATGCAGGCACAGTCATCCTCTGCGCGCGGAAACGTCCAATCATCTTCCGTCGGCGTTCAGACTACGAATTAGAGTGAAGAGTCTGGCAGGAATATTCACGAATCCAATCGCTTTGTGCATTCACCGTCGCCTCGCAGAGGTCATATGTAACGATACATAAACCTTTTTCTTGTGTACTTCCTCGATGCCTCTGTATATTTATTCATGACAGTCTCCCGCAATCTAGAAAAAAGTGTAGTACATTCGTAGACAATATTCACGTACAGGAAGATCCGTGCTGGGCGGACAATACTCCGCCGTTCTATGACAAAGGACGGAACGGAGAACGTGAGGATATAACTTCTGTAGGTTTCCCGCCAGGTAAGCTGGTATAAAGTGACGGACCTGCCACTAGAGGTCAGCCAATACGAGAAAAAGCGGAGGAGGCTACACGGCGGTCTGTGCAGCTCATTACCATTACGGTATCTTCTGAGAGAGCACATCGAGCTCCATTGCTTCGTGTTAGTCTGCCTAGATACATGGCAACTCGGTGCCAGTCGTCTGATTGACACGCAATTGAAAGCGACTTTACCGGCGTTACCCAGAGAAGCGGTCTCTTACTGAGAGCAGAGCATTCTACGGTATAAAAGAGATACGGGTGAAGATGTCGCTGTGTGCATGGAGGACGCCATAACTTACAGTTTGCTGGGAACCAATAACGTGACTCCAACGGGAATACGTACATGAGTGAATCCGATATCTTGGACAATGGCTGGTATTTCGACTCACCGCGGGGTTGGGCAATCCCGAGAAATGAACGAGTGAGAAAGGAAAGAGTAACACAACTCGCAACAGAGTGTACCAGGTTGCTGTAGTGGATTGAAACATGGGCGCTTCTTCCGGGCTGTGAGGGTGAGCATAAGCGCCCGAACCAACCCTGACCTTTGCGGTTAGTTCTCGACGGCCTCGCAGAGCCAAGTCTTTCGGCATAGGGCAAACGAGACAATATCGAGCTATGCATTGTAGCAGTATCAGGTCGATATGAATCCCGCATCGACCATAATGAACTCACGCGTATACATGTGCACCCATTGGCGGTTGGGAGAAAGCAGCCACCGTATGATATCCTCACGGAACTCCACACACCTCGTCCAACCGGTCTGGTTGTGGGTTTCCATATGTCAGAAACTCGCCGTACGTTGCACCAACGCGATGTTGTCATGGTGTCTGAACCCCTGTGCCCGATAGCATGAGTACTTCAAGTAATCAACCAAGAAAACGTGGACGCACACAACCATATACCCGAATGTCTCCTCCGTGACGACACTTTGTCTCGACGATGCTCGCCATCGCAAGCTGCGATGAATCAAAGCGCTGGCTAGCTTTGAGGGGGGAGGCAGGTATGTCTACCGAGTCTCATGGCGTCATTCGTGCGACCAGGGTGTTGCACATTGACGGAGTGTCCTATCTCGCAGATGGTGATCCCGGGAAAATGAGGAACCCAGGCAGATGCGGAGCTCCAGGCAGATGCGGAGCTCCAGGCAGAGCGCTAAACCTCGGTGAATGTGGGTGAGTGCGGCGAATCGAGCGTGAACGAGCAACCTGAGCCACGAAATGGCCTTGAGCGGTATCGCGACCGTGACAAATAGATCCACGTTCGCGGATGGTCAATAGCAGGCGGTGGAACCGGAAGATGGAAGGTATATACACGATGTGATGAGGTTCAGGGAGCGGAACCCACCTGGGATGTCGTCCGGCCAGCCTAGTAGCGGTCTCGTCGCCCATGTGCGCACGGTTGACATCGTGCCTTTGCGGAAAGGACTCTGCTGGGAAGGGATATAATGGGTCCAGCTTCCACCTGTGCCCCAGTGAATGTCAGCAGAACGTCCCTTTCCACATGCATTGAAGTACCTGAGAGTCGGACGTACCCTAGCGAAACCCTTGTATACACCCTCACCTGCAAGACTTCCTGCCGCTTTACGCAACTCGTTCCTCTTCTTTAGCTCTCAACGGGCTTCTGCGGTGCAGGAATCTTCGCTCGATAACTTCCCGTTTAACCACTGCCTCCAATGTCTCTCGACGACGCCGTGCGATACGCCATCGATTGCTAACAGGCGAGCACCCTCGAAGCCTGGGTCAACATGAAGCAAACGACTAGCTGGAAAAGACATCAGTTATGGGTGCGTTGTATCTTTTCGTTTGAAGATTGCCTACCAAGCTAACGCGCATTGATCCACTGTGGAAGGGGAGTTTGGGACATGCATCCGCTATAGGATTGAGAGAGTCAGAAAAAAGGTGATTGTAACCAGCGCAGCATGAAACACAAAGTAAACCAGAAACGTAACGATGGGTGCGAAGTTATGTTTCAGCGCTCTCATTTCGTGTATTCGCGTGAATCGGGATAAAACCACATGAATTGACGGAAGGATAACACTGTATACATCCAGGAAATCAAAGATTGGCAGTGCCAAGGTTCAAAAGTTGCTGCTACGGGTCGTGCACTCGGAAGACGTATCAACCTGCGCGTTCGCCGTATCGCGTAAAACGCAGCTGAGCATGTGGTACTGGGGTCCGCCTGCATGTTGGCCGAAGAGAAGAGAAAGAGAGAGAAGAAGACGCACGTTAAGCCCTGTCCATTTCCATCACAGCAACTTTTCTCCGTCTTTCTCCCCCTACTCCCCATGCCGAGACGACTATCCTCCATCCCCGTGTGCTCCGTGAAGGGAAGCTGATGCCACTGAAACGGCGAGTCAGAGGTATATCTGATGTGGATGCACGGTCGAGCGGAACGTGAGCGCTTGTCGCAAGTACACCGAGGCTAGGACTAGATCGATATGGTGGTATCCGATGACTCTGCGTGGTCGATGTGTGGGGAGCGCGGGTGTATTATGGCGACGTGGGTGAGAGCGAGAGAAGGTTGTGTAGAGAGCGCGGAGATGCAGCGGTTGATGGTGAGCGAAGCCATGGCAGATAGACGGACAAGGGTAGCTAGTACCGCTCGGAACGAGAGGGTAGTGGCATCATGGGTCGAGAATGGAGGCTTGAAGGCGTTGAAAGCGGGATTGAGATGGATAGGAACAGGGAAGTCGGGAAACTGCAGCACTCTGTCGCGTGGATCAGCGAGCGCGAGTCGGAACATCTGCATCAGCGCTTGGGAAGGGGCTCTCACAAAGAGCGGGCATTGACAAACGCGGCTTTGGACACAGAGAATGAGATCAAGAAGCATCTGACGCTTGATTCTGCCTGGCCTGCCCGCTGCTTCGGCGTATATGGAGCCACTCATAGTGCTTTGATGGTACGGCTCAAGCCCGGTTCGAGGCATCACTATCAGAATGTAGAGCCACTGCACGCCGCCCCGCTTACTCCAGCTGCCCTCGCTCGACACATACACCAAACCATGCCGACCGCCTCAATCAGTTAAATGTGAATGCTGACCACTTATCATCGCCTCCGTGTACGTTTTAAATTGTTTTCTCTTTACTGACCTGCTCCACACATGACCCGGACCCTGGTACTGGACTCGTTCTTTGAGGCTGTCGTTAGTCTCGAACCAGACGCTCCTTTTAGGCGGAGCTGCCCATAGGGCCGAAAAAGCTCCGCCTAAAAGGAGCGTCTGGTTCGAGACTAGGCTGTCGTATACAGGAGCATCACGGCTGTGCATGTGTTACCGTAAGCACCACAAGACACGCCGCGCTACGCTCCGGCACTTTCTATCGACGTTAGCAATATTAATGGCTCGAGCTCACACCGCTACAGCATATCACAAATTTCCCGAGGGCTTAGCTGAGGACAAAAACGCACCATGGATAATTGCACGTATCACCAACAAAGTGTCGTTCTACCACGTTCGGGATTTGTTCGGAATAAACATCGCAGGCCAAGCTTAAAAAGGAAAACCCCATATCAAAACGTCAAACAAAGGTCAACAAAAGCCTACCATAATTTTGAAGATACGAGTTATCGAAGCAACAACGGTCAGCGTCTCGTATCCCTCTGTCATTATCCGCCCACGAGTTCGTATCACATCTCGGTGTCAATTATAGGGCTGTTAACGCGCTGACCTCATGTTACAGCTTATTCGGAAGGCCACCCCGGCCACGACCTAACGTCGGCCCCAGCGAACAAGCGACAAGCAAGTGTGTTGACAGCGAATGTCGAGGCTGGCGCTGACTCCATCTTCACGCAGGTATTCCATCACACTGGCAAGCTTTAACGTAAGTCGACAAAATGCGGAAAGGAGCCAGCGTTATGTTTGGGAGGACCATCAGTGGGGGATAGTACTGGGTATACCGTACTTGATGTGTACTTCCTCGTACGCTCCCGCATTATGGTAGTCCGAGGCTTTTCGATGCTCATTCACCTAACAAACTTCAGCCACGTCGAGGGCACGACTGGCCACCGTTTTGCGAGGGCATTGGAACGAGCAGCGCCGAACTGACATTTCAGCGAGTCCCGCGCTGATGAGTCGTCTAAGCCGTCGCAAGCGCTCGTAATCGAGGATGTACGATAGGTGGGACTTCCATCTATATGGTACTACCATCATGATCTTCAGCTTCAGCTTCATGCAACAAGCAAGTCGCTAGAAAGTCTTCTCGCACCATCTTCTTTAGCTCGCGGCGGGCTTCAATGATCGATCACGGCACCCGACGATTGACTGTATTTTTGTCTCCTTAAGTGACAGAAGGCAGAGTACAAATGTTGAACTCTTCCTAGTAATTAACGAGGTCCGAACGCTGCGCCGAGATCAGTTCGCACTTGCCCAATCGACCTTGTTTATGTATATCTATTTCATCTCACTGATACGGTATCCAGTGTACAGTACACGAGAATTTAGATCGAGTGCAGGAATAGCAAATCCAGTGCAATGAAACAATCATCAACGGAGTGATGATGACATGGCAGATAGACGCCCATCTCATCAATACGTTGCACATGCAGGAGCATTCATAATAATTGGGTCATCCACATCCCCGCTGTCACTCCAGCATCTACCCGTGCCTCGTGTTGAACAGATGTACAGCACGTCCGCCTGCCGCGCCGACGAACCTGCTCCTTAGCTTAACTCAGTCACTCGCAGAGCCCACACACTCCTCTGCTCCCCCGCGTACTATGGACGACACCACCTTTGAGCCATTCAAGGGCCATACCTGGGACATACTCACAGTTGCATACTCGCCCGACGGGGCGTTCATAGCTACGGGCTCAAGGGACAAGACGATACGGATATGGGAAGCGGAGACAGGTCGTCAAGTAGGGGAGCTATTGAAAGGGCACACGCAACACGGCAATGTCATCGCTTACTCTCCTGACGGTCAGCGTCTGGTCAGCGGCTCCCAAGACGGAACCATTCGAGTATGGGACACGGCCACCCATCAGATGGTCATGGGGCCGCTTGAGGGCCACACAGGATTGGTTCTATCTGTGCAGCTCTCCCCTGACGGCGCGCTAATGGCAAGTGGCGACACGGACAACCTTCTCAAGCTTTGGGATGCCTCTACAGGAACCTGCATTGCGACACTGGAGCATCCCGACTGCATGAGATCAGTTGCCTTCTCTCCCGATAGCAAGCATGTTGCGACTGCATGTGATGATTGGGTCGTGCGCATTTATGATGTCGGTCAACAACAGCTTGTTCGCGAGCTGACCGGACACCGAGGCTGGGTTCGATGCGTTCAATACTCTCCAGATAGCTCCCTCATCGCCAGTGCTTCGAATGATCATACTATCCGGCTTTGGGACGCCTCGACAGGCAACCTTGCCAAAGCACCTCTTCGCGGCCACAGACACTACGTCTCTGGCTTATCATTCTCTCGTGATGGACAGCAGCTGGTCAGCTCATCCGAGGACGAGTCCATTCGAGTGTGGGATGTCGCATCTGGGGAATGCGTTTTGGGACCACTGTATGGTCATGAAGGACCAGTAATACCCGTCTCTTGCTCCCCAAAACAAGATCGTTTTGTTTCTAGCTCTCTCACTGACGTGCGCATTTGGAACATGCACGACGGATCGTTGGTGCTTCCACAAGTAAGTACTATATCTCCAAACTCTGGCCGCGCCTGTTCACATCCCTCAGATCGATTCCGACTCGGCGGCGGCTAGTAAGGCTATCAAGATCGCAGAGCGATACTCGTATGTTCCATTCCTCAACTCGTCAAAATGACCACACTAAGATAAACAGAATGAAAGCATATGACATGGTCAGTGCAGTGGCATGGTTCTCCGACGGAAAGTCCTTTGCGAGTTCAGGAAGCGATTGTGTTATAAGGACATGGAACGCCCAGACAGGCCAAGAGTCCGCGACTCCTCTCGTATGGCATACTGGCTGGACCAGGAGTATTGATATCTCGAAGAGCGAGGAACTGCTGGCTAGCGGAGGAGAAGACGCCCTCGTCTGCATCTGGGACCTCAACACCCATGATCTTGCCTTGGAGCCTCTTTCTGGTCACGTCGGCTCTGTCCGGGCCGTCAAATTCACTCCCGATGAAACGCGCCTAGTCACAGGAGGAAGCGACAGAACTATCCGTGTATGGAGCGTGCAGTCGGGTGCTTCGCTGCACGTCATTGAAGCACACAGTGAGACCGTTTGGGCGCTTAGCATCTCCCCTGACGGATCACGAATAGCAAGTGGGGCCTATGACAAGACTGTCCGCCTCTGGGATACCAAGTCGTATGAGCCCATTGGAGAGCCGTTCGAGCACGAGGGAAGGGTACAATCGGTCTGCTTCTCGCCCGACGGTTCCCAATTGCTCGCTGGATGCTGGGATAACGCTGGTGCATCCTTGTGGGATATCTCGCTCAGGAAGAAGATACGCACCATCAAACATGACGAGGACGTCAATTGCGTAAAGTTCTCGATGGATGGATCCAAATTCCTCAGTGCGTCTGATGATGGAATCGTTCGTCTCTGGGAGGCCGGTACAGGAAAGCTTCTCCAGTCTCTCCAGCATGCAAGTCTGATCTGGGCGGCTTCGTTCTCGCCGGACAGTGCACTGGTACTGACCGGAAACATTGATGGCAATTTACGCTTATGGGACGCGACCACAGGGGAGCTTCTTCTTCCGAAGGTTAGTGTAACAATTCATGCTTTGTGTCACACATGCGTGCAGGCTGAATGGACGTTCCCATACAGCGCATCCTTGACAGTAAGGACGACTCAGGGAGCGAGGCCTCCGATTCTGGCGTGAGTGTGACCACGTTCTTTTACCAAGTGTGTTTGATATATCGGCCGCTCAGGGTCGTGGCGTCGACAAAGGAAAAACTCGCCAGCGAGGTGATTCCAAGTCAAGGGTAAGGAAGGGTACATTGATATTATATTGCTCTCTCTGATTCTTAAACAGACCAACGATGATGGCTCGGATGATCTCGTGGTAAATGAAGGTTTTCACTACTTCACAGGAGCTTCTGAACTAATGCCATAAATCATGATAGCTGCCAAACACGGGACCTCGTAAAGATACCAAACCGAGACCGGAAGACTTCTTAGATATTGAAACTAACAGCGTAAGCATGGAGGATAGGCCTTAGTGTTTTCTAACCCACATATAGGGGACCCAATCCAACGCTGGGACAAAACGCGTGACCACCAACTCTGTCTCGCGTTTTGCCGGTTTGTTGCAACGTACAGGAAGGCATCGCAATTTGAGAAGCAATGTACGTGCACAGCGCGTGCTGAATTGATTGCTGTACATACTCTGACGTTCAATTCGGCACTGTTACAGTCCGACAACTCGGAACACAACGCTCAACATACACGTGGCTATTTTAACAGAGCAAGAAATCTCTTCCGGGGAATCTGGGTCAGTTCAACCCGGTGCACGTTCCATCTTGTCAAGCAGGCTAATAATCTATTACCAATCTACTGATCATACAGGCCCATGCGGAAGCAGTGCGAGGTAACGACGACGTTAGGCGGCGGGAGGATTTGGTAACACCAGGTTTGCGTGCGTCCCCCCATACCTCGCGAGTCTCCGAATACATCGCCCCAGCAAAATCCAAACTGGTACGCAAGTTCTGTGTGTCCATTCCTGTCCCTGATATAATGTGGCCCGACCTAGTTTATCGCGATTGCGGGTCCATCGACCAGCGAAAGAAACAGCCCTAGAAGAGATTGTAGTCACACCACCCAGGTAGACGACAACGTCTCTGGGGCAGGTTCTGGTTCGATCCGGTCAGAAACATCTGACAATCCGATCGTCAACGCGCTTTGCTTCTGCATCTGGCCGTGCTTTGACGCATGCATTGAGCGTAACCATGCAGCTGGTCCCGCAGAGGTGGTTCCTGAACCCGCCCAGACGAGCGTCGCCCCTCTCCCGGGAGCGGCGGGGTCGTCTCCAGCTGACATGCAAGGAGCCGCTTCCTCGTCTCATCAAGCGGCGGGTGCAGCTGAGATACCGACCGATTCAGCGTCCACACCTCGGCACACATATCCACCTTCAAGTCGCATGCCAACAGCGGTGGAGCTCTCGACTCGCGCTCGATTTCCGGGAACGTCTTCTGCTCGCGTGGATACAGCCGAGGGACTATGCCCTCGCAGCCAGGCGACGGGGTCGCCTTCCGCGTAAACAACTCAACGATGGAAATACATCTGGTACGTACGCCTGAAAGTGCATGCTTGTTGATCATTTGACGAAAATCAGCAGTTAGGTACGGGGCAACTCGAGAGCGAAAATCCGCATGGATTCGTTTCATACCTGATCAATCCGTGATGATGCTACTTCTTCTTGAATGGGGCTGGTACTGTGCATTTGTCTGCTTTGTTTACAAATAGTCAGAGGCGGGATATAACTTATATAGAAAAGAAGATACATTACGATGGGGCGACGACACAATGAATTCCTTGTCTGCTTAATGAAGAAAGTGTGCAGCCCGAATATTAGGCCTACTGCTGTGGCCAACGGAAACGTAAGAGTGAGTCAGGGTGGTAGACCTTGCCACGCCGTTAGTCGAATTGGTCCTTCACCAGAACGCCAAGGAAAAGAACTTTCGAGGCAAGAGAGGCATACCCTAATCGCAATAAGAGCCGAAACGCAGTACAAGACGAAAGCTCGAGATGAAAGGAGGGCTAGTCTTTTGCAGGACCAGCATGTGTGAGTGAAAACAGAAGTCGAAGACATGGTGACGGCAGGCTAATAGTTTTCTGCAGAACAAAGAAGTCAAAAGGCAGAGTTAACAAAACTTCCACCGAGGCAAAGTAAGGAGCGACACCAAGGGGAGCGACGGAAGATAGAGAAAGCCCATGGGACGGGCAAAATCTATACAGTACAGCCTTGGAAAAGCACGTGACCACGGTCACCGGAGGCGAAGGTAGAACTAGGCGCAGAAAGTACGAGGTGAAGTGCTCATGAATCAGAAGCAAAGACACTTAAGATGCGTAAATGAATGGGCAAAGGAAGAACGAAGGCAGAAGCGCTGCAGGGCCGTACGCACAGCCAAAGCGTAAACCCCCCCAGCCGACGTACCTAATTCGTCCTTGCACGCAGAAAGCGAGACGATAGACGTGTTTGGACCACCCGTCCCCGAGAGAATTCCGGCATCCTGCACCGGTCTCGCTGTCACCCGAAAGACATCAGTTCTGTCGCGCCCGCGAAACAAAAAGGGAGGGTTAGAGAGAAGGGCACGTACACACTTCGCATACGTCTGCGATGAGCATTTCCAAGATCAGGTAGACGATCTGTGCCTTCGTGAGCCCAGCGGCTGGGAGAAGCGAACAAGCACAGCCTCCAACGGCTTTCTCGTGCCATCAGAGGGAGCCATCGATGGCGACTAGAGGCTATAACGTGAGTCCTACAGAGGCTCGGTCGACATGAGCGCCTACTGGTGGGCTAGGTGAGTTTCGGGATAAGACGCGGAGATGATACGTCGGACATGCGTAGCGCACTGCCGCGAGATAAGACCTCGTCGTGGCAAGGAGCAGCTCACCTACGCGACGGCAAACTCGAAAACGCGGGCATCGGCAGGCTCGAGCAGATTGGCGGAGATGAGACTATGGCTTCTGGAGGGCTTGGGACTGGTGAATCTGCATGTCAGTCAATAATCAATGGTGAGTGTGGAAAGTGGGAGAGGGCGAGTGCCGCTGCAGAGGATACGGACGAGAGAGTAAACGTGAAAGGGTTCGTTTAAGGTTACCTGCTAGTCGAGGTAAAGCGTGGACACCCCAACGCTGTATGTTCCCGGGCCGAAGATTCAGTGCGTCGTGCAGAGCTCACTGCGCTAGGAGTTACCGTAGCGGATATGGCTAGGTTGTACTTCATCGACGATCCTAATATCCACATAGGACCAAGAACAAGAGGGCAGAACTCACCAGAGCAGAGATTTTGCCCCATCCATGCTCGCTTCTCAGCCGCTGCGTCGTCGCCCTCACCACCCTCCTCGTTTTATCCTCGTCGGCTGCATCACGTTAATCTGCGGTGAACCCAGCGATAGCCTCGCATCGAATGTGCCCTCGACGACAGTCTGAAATGCACTTTCAATAGCTGTCGCTCAAGTAATAATGGTAATAATAACGTTACCATCAGGCGAGCGGAGAGCGGATGGAGGGAGACGTTTCAGAGACGTTATATGTGGACCGCCAAGACTAAGCTTCAGACAGGCGTAGTGATTCATAGCGGAGGGCCACATCGGCCATCTGCAATGTGAGCACGTGAAGGTGGTATACGAGAAGAGTTTCAGCTTGTTGGCGATGCAGTTTATGAGCCGATGGCCATGAAGGTGATGCTGTGTTCGAACGCACGGCACCTGGCCCTGGTTTATGCTCTGATGCGCAGTTTAATGGAAAAGAGTATATTAACGAAGTCATGCCGTCGCACATGTCATTTGGGGTGTGCCAATACGCTAGTTAACAAACGGCTGATGTGAGGGAGGGCGCGTACCGTGGGATAGGTTGAGGAGGAGATGGAAGCAGAGTGGACCGGGATATCAGCGAAAAGTGGAGAAGCGCGAAGGGAGGGGACGCACTCCATTCTCTGATCATGTCCACCGCAGCTTCAACTTTTCCTAATCCTTCCCTCAGTTCTCTATCCCTAGACCACCTTCCAACCGACCTCGGAACTCGAAGAGGAAGCTAATCCTCGACGATGACGTTCAGAGTGCGACCTGACGCGGCCACACCCGGACGGCACTTTGTCGTACTTGATTGAGCACCTTAAGGCTAAGACAAGATAAGCTCGTCAGTCCCCAAGAAGAGTGAGCGTGCGATATGCAGAGAGCGCGGGAGCCTTGACATAAAGATGGATGGGTGTAAGATAGATCCGTGTGGAAGGAGAGGAGGACAGGCGGAGCGGAAATTGCTGGTGGAAGGAGTCACGGTGGAGAGGTGGACATGAAGGGATGAGGCGGATAGAAGAGGTCGGGGAGAGAAGAAGACAGAGAACAAGGGCAACTCGGAACTCCGGGTGAAGCGTGAGGATTAGACGCGCCTTGGATGCCTTTCCACTTTCTTCTTCTCCCACTTGCATCATCGATCTGGCAGAGGCGCCTTCGAATTCAATCTCAGCCTGCCCGCGCTGCTCTCGCGCATGCAATTTAGTCCATATGCATGATGTCGATTCGAGACTACCGCTATCATCGATGCCGCGCTCAGCTGCAAGGCATGACCCTCGTACGACACGTACACCAACTCGCACCTACAACTGCAACTCACGAGCCGGGAACGCCGACGTAATCGATGCCTTTACCTATGTTTCACGCGATGCTCTCCTTGCTAACCTGTTCTAGACACGACCCAGACTCTAGTACTGAATCCATGCTTCTAAGTTGCAGCAGCGATACTGTTTGGCAACGGTATCTCGGGACGTTCATTGATGCACCTACGGTCAGCTTCTCGCGACTTCCTTTCTTTGTCTGATTTCTACTCTGCAGTGCACCCCGACTGTGTTGACATTGTTGGTGCGTCTCTCTCGTGTTAGCAGTACGACTATGATGTCGTTAACCTTGTGTTACAGCTTATCCAAAAGACCAGCCTCGTATGGTGTAACTCGTGTTAAGAGATGAACGACAGGTGATTGTACACGGTACATGTGTTCTCCCTCGATTAATCCAGTGCTTCTTTCTTTATTGACGTTAACCACGTCAAGGGCAGGACTCTCACACCCATATGCTACGTTGTGGATACATTGGGACTACCGCTATCAGACTTTCATGCCTCAGCACAGGATCGCGTCCGCCCTCTCATAACCTGCACTCTCAAGGACATCCGCAGGTGCGTCCTCCTTCGCCATCGTATCATCCTTAAGATAAAGACGTTCTATGAGATCTGAGTTCATGCTCCTTCTTTGTTAGTTCTCTCCGGATGCCAATACATAATCATTACGCCAGCAAGTGAAGCCTTCCGCATTGATAAACATATACAAAGGTCAAAACCTCCCTAGTGCGATGCAAGCCTTGAGCCATTAACTCTAGACAGTCTTTCAAAGCGAAGTCTTTCAGCACAGAGCATACGAGACACCGTCGAGCTACGTACTGTTCCGACATTAGTCACGGCTAGCCCCGCATCGACCAGCTGAAGACTTACAGCGTAGTTTGCCGAATTCAGGCCTACACGGGTTCATTCATGACCTCCAAAGTGCTACATCTCCCACCTCGCCCACAGTATCTTGGCAAGTGCGGATAACCGAATGTCGCTGAACTCAATCGAGCAAAAGCGGCTATCATATAATGTGCGGCTCTCGAGTGCCACGCGCTTCGCCCACCCGATCGAGTTGTGAGTTTCGGCATCTAAGGAACCCGTTGTGCGTTGCGCCAACGCGATGTCTGTCATTGATATCATGAGTATATCTGACTCAATCAGCCAAGGACGTGAACTCACGTCACTATATACCCAAACGTCTCCTCCGTGGCGACACTTTGTTTTGACGATGCTTGCCGTCGCAACCCGCGATGGTATAAATGGCTGGCTAGCTTTGAGGGAGGCGTCGAGCGTGTCGCCCAAGTCTCATAGAGCCATGTGCTCGACCAGCCTCGCGCATGAACAGAGTATCCCGGATTGCACATGGTGAGCTCGGGAAGATGCCGAGTTACATGCAGAGGCGAGTCTTTGGCCCGGAAAGAGCGCTAGACCTCAGCGATTGGGGGTGAGCGCGATGCATGGAGTATGAACAGGCAGTCCGAGTCACGAAGTGGCCTTGAGCGGTTTTGCTGCGGGGTACATGAGCGCACGTTAGTCGATGGTCGATAAAAGCAGTGGGATTGAAAGATGGAGGGTATGTGTATGATGTGACCAGGTAGATGGGAGCGAAACTCACCTACCAACGAGATTTCGTCCAGCCAACCAAGTGGTAGCACTACCGGGCTTTTCACGGTATCCTCGTCCATGTACGCACGGCCGATGGTATGCCGTTCGCAGAAAGCCCTGATGAGAACGGATACATACAGTTGCTCGATCTTCCATCTACGTCCCAGCGCATGGCAGCAGAACGTCCATCTCCGCATGCAGTGCGTGTGAAGCGCACCTTGGTGAAAACGGCCGCATACTCCCCCGCCCGCACGTTGTGATGTCCTCGCACGCAACTCACTCCTCTTCTTTAGCTCTCAATGAGGGACCGCGCTGGTTGGTACCTCGCCTGACGTCTGTCATCAGCGCTGCCTCTAATGCACATTGGACAACGGAGCGTGGCGCACCGTTTTTGGACAGTAAGCTTCCTTGGAATCAGCGTCAATGTAAGACGACCGACAAGCTAAAACGTGCATCAGAGACGAGTACACTGTATCTTCCCGTTTCATGTTTACCTACCAGGATAACGCGCATTGGTCCGCTGCGGAAGGGCAAAGTCCGACTCAGGGATATGCATGCACCGTAAGATTGAGACGTCTGGGGGCAAGCGGGAAGTACAAAGTAGATCAGAGCAACGATAGATGCGAAGTTGTATTTCGACGCTCCCATCTTGCGGATTCGTGTGAATGAGGAAAAAGCGCATGGATTGACGGAGGTATAACGACGTACAGGGACATCCAGGACTGGCTGAGTGGATAATTCGAAGAGCTGGTGCTATGGGTGAAGCGCTCGCAAAGCGCATTAAATTGCGTCAGGCTACGTTGCGTACGACACGTTGTAGTATCTATGAATGGGAACGCCTGAAGGCCTGCCACAGTAGAGAGAAAGCGAGAAGACGCACGTCAAGTCCTGGCCACGTCCATCACGACCTCGTCATCTCTCTCTTTTTGCCCTAAAACTCCAGATAACTATCTCCCATATCTGATCTGCGAAGGGAAGCTGATTCTGCTGAGACGGCGCGCAGAGGCATATCCGACGTGGATGCAAGGTTGGGCGGAACGTGGGCGCTTGTTAGGAATGTATCGAAGCTAGGGCTACAGCGATACAGCGGTAGCAGGTGACTCTCCCTGGCTGATGTGTGAGGAGCGCGGGACTGCTGTGGCGACACGAGCGAGAGAGCGAGAGAACGGTGTGCAGAGGGCGAGGTGATGTAGAAGTCGTTGGTGGAGGAAGCCATAGGACACAGACGGGAAAGGAAGGACAGTACAGTTCGGGGTGAGAGGGTAATGGCATTGTTGATCGACGATGGATGGGCCGTGACAGCGTTGGAAGCGGGAGTGAGGTGTAAAGGTCCAGGAGCAGGCATGTCGGGATGGTGCATCACTCCGTCGCACAGACCGGGGAGCGCCATTCGAGACACCAACGTGCAACAGAATAGAGCTCTGTGAGAAACAGAGAGCAGTCACTACACTTAGCAGACACGACGACGGACACCAAGTTGCTTCGCTGAGGGAGCAGTCAAGCAAGGACAGTGCACTGAGCTTCGGAACTTTGGACAAAGCGTGAGAATCGACCGACCGATTCAGATTCTGACAGAATCAGACGCTTTCGCTACTCGCGCCGATGGTTTCCAACTCGCTTTCAACCCCTTTTGCCCACTTGCATCATCTAGGACTCGATTCTGGTCGGCCTGGCCGCTGCTTCGGGTGTACGAAGTCAAGTGACTTGAGGGTCGTGCTCAAGCCCGGTTCGAGGCACCGCTATCAGAATGTAGAGTTGCTGCGCGCCGCCTCGCTTACTCCAGCTGCCCTCGCTCGACACACCAAACCACGCCGACCGCCTCAGTCACCCATATGTGGATGCTGATTGCTTTTCATTGTCTCCGTGTATGTTTTACGTTATGCTCTGTCCCAGACACGACTCGGACATTGGTACTAAGTTTGTTCATCCCGCTGTTGCTTATATGAGTAACGCGATGGGGCGCACCATCGAAGCAACAACGGTCAGTATCTCGCAGCCTTTCTGTTATTGTCCGCACACAAGTTCGGTTCACATCTCTGCGTCAATAATACTGGACTGTGAACGCGCTGACCTCATGTAACGGCTTATCCGGAAGCCCACCCTGGCCACGACCTGACGTTGGCCCCTGCGAATGATTGATGAAGTAAGCGTGTTGACAACAAATGGTGAGGCTGGCACTGACTCCATCGTCGCGCAGCTATTCCATCACACCGACGAACCTTAACGTAAGTCAGCAAACTGCGGGAGGGAGCTAGCGTTATGTTCGGGAAGGCCAATTATTGGGTGATGGTACAGGGTATGCCGTACGTGATGTGTTATTTCTCGTTCAATCCCATGTTCTGTCATCCGACCTCGAGGTTCTTGGATGCCCGTTCACATAGCGAATGCAACCATGTTGAGGGCGGGGCTATCTTGGGGCTATCACCTTTTGCGAGGATGTTGGAGCCGGCGGCGTCGAAGTTTGACATTTCAGCGAGTCCCGTGCTGATGGCTCGTCTCAGCCGTCGCAAGCGCTCGCAATCGAGGACGTTAGACTCGTGACCAGTCTCCCGAGACGCGTACCCAAAAGGGTAACAGGCCTGGGGGGCCTTCGCATCTGGGAGACTGGGAGATTTCGTCGACTCCCTGGCAGGGAGCCAACTGAGTTTGAATTTGGCCTCGGCCCGAGAGAAGCTCACTCCCGGATAAGGGAACTGAGCCCCTGAATCGCAGACGCATCGCATCTAAGTGCCGCCTCGTCTGTATCCTACATTGTCTACCCCGATTATCATCGCTATGTTGTGAATGTATTCGAGCATATCGACTTATAATTATTGTCTGATAATGCACGCCGATCGCTTGACAAGCACTCTCCCGCCTTTGTTGAGAACCTGACGCTTATTATGATCCTTCCCATTCCCTTTGGTGATCCCTTCTTGAAAATTGCACTTGCCACCTCGCCTCTCAAACTTTTGCAAGACAGTTGTATATGTTGTGCTCTGATTCATCCAACTACATGCTTACTGGCTTCAGTTTTCGAAGTTTGATAGCTTCGGCGTCCCTATGATTCAAGTCAACCAGGAGACCCCAGTGGATGGTGAGGAGCTTTGGAAGGTGCTCACTCTGCTCGTCTCTGCATGATCCCCCTCTCATATTTTATAGGATATTCAAAGCGGCAATTGTTGTAACATCCTCTGCGTACCTGACCAGTTCTTCCGACATAATGGACACGTTCCCCGCCTCACCAGCTTCATCCGGAGTGTTCGCACATTCCGTTAAAAAATCGGATATGAGAACAGTGTGCATCATAGATTTGTCTCTTACCATAGATTCGAGCCTCGCTGTCCATTGGAGAACATTTCCGAGCACGTTCCAGAGGAAAGTAGGCACCTGGCTGCCCAGAAAACTAGTCGAATAAGGTGTACAATAGCCTATCTGAGTCTTTGCTTATAGAATCATAATCAGTACTTTAGTCGTTGATTTTCCTGCCTTCGAGAACCATTCCAGCCCAGCCTTGATGTAGCACTCTTCCACAGAGTATCCAGGATCATGCCAAGAGTTGTGGAGGCCAATTTCTGTCGTATTTATGTCAGCCAGAGCAGCCAAAAGCTCCCTGAGCCTGGTTTCCTCAGAGCCTAACCAGAGGTATAGTTCATCATGATTGCAGCAGTTAAAATAACAGCAGTGGAGACAATGGAGGAGGCTGGTAGTAGTCAGGATGAGTCCAGGGTAACATATCGTGTGTTCACGCAGGAGGGAGAGGGTACAACTCATGATATTTCATGGACACGGCGCGTAGTACAGAGCGCAACGCGACGCGAGACTACAAGTGCCCGATCGGCTGCGGGGATGCCGGCTTACCTAACTGATCTCCGACGCTTCTTGATGCTTCTTTACTGCCAGTTTTCAAACTCAGTTGGCTCCCTGCCAGGGAGTCGACGAAATCTCCCAGTCTCCCAGATGCGAAGGCCCCCCAGGCCTGTTACCCTTTTGGGTACGCGTCTCGGGAGACTGGTCACGAGTCTACGAGGACGTACGATACGTGGGAATGGCATCTCTACGGTGCCGTCTTCAGCTTCACCTTCATACAGCAAGCAGGCCGCTAGAAAGACTCCTCACGCCATCTTCTTTAGCCCGTGGCGGACTTCAGTGATCGATCACGGTACCCATCCGTTAATCCTATTTCCATCTCAAGCTTGAGTCGCGCCAGGCAGATTACACGTGTAGTGCGCTCCCTAAGTGATGCGCGAGGGCCATCCGAACGCTGCGCCGAGGTTAGTTCGTATTTTCCCAGCTGACCTTGTTCATGAATGTCTATTTCGTCTGAATGACGTAGTATCTGCTGTATAGTACACAAGATTTAGAGTGGAGTATAGGGATAGCAAATCCAGTGCGTAATCAAACAATTACAAACGCCAGTGGAGCAACAGTGTTATGGCAGTTAGGCGCCCATCTCATCAACACGTTGCAATTGCAAGTATACAAGCACCCATAATCGGGTCATCCTCATTCCCATTGTCACTCCAGCGCCTATCCGTGCCTCGTGTGTAACAGCTGTACAGCACGTCCGCCTGCCGCGCGGTCGAACCTGCTCCTTAGCTCAACACAGTCACTCGCAAACCCCACACGCTCCCTACTCCCCCGTGTACTGTGGACGATACCACCTTCAAACCATTCAAGGGCCATACCAACGACATCACCACAGTTGCATACTCGCCCGACGGGGCGTTCATAGCTACGGGCTCAAGGGACCAGACGATACGGATATGGGAGGCGGAGACAGGTCGTCAAGTAGGGGAGCCGTTGGAAGGGCACGAGGGTTCGGTCGATGCCATCGCTTACTCTCCTGACGGTCAGCGTCTAGTCAGCGGCTCCAACGACGAGACCATTGGTATGGGACACGGCCACCCATCAGATGGTCATGGGGCGGCTTGAGGGCCACACAGACTGGGTTCTATCCGTGCAGTTCTCCCCTGACGGCGCGCTCCTGGCAAGCGGCGGCGTAGACAATTTTATCAAGCTTTGGAATGCCTCTACAGGAGACTGCGTTGCGACACTGGAGCATCCCAACAACGTGAACTCAGTTTCCTTCTCTCCCGATAGCAAGTGTATTGTGACTGCATGTGATGATCGGGCCGTGCGCATTTATGACGTCGGTCAACATCTGCTTGTTCGCGAGCTGACCGGACACCGAGGCTACATTCAATGCGTTCAATACTCTCCAGATAGCTCCCTCATAGCCAGTGCTTCTAGTGATCATACTATCCGGCTTTGGGACGCCTCGACAGGCAACCTTGCCAAAGCGCCTCTCCGCGGCCACAGACACTACGTCTCTGGCTTATCATTCTCTCGTGATGGGCAGCAGCTGGTCAGCTCATCCGAGGACGAGTCCGTTCGAGTGTGGAATGTCGCATCTGGAGAATGTATTTTGGGACCACTGCATAGTTCTGGAGAATTAGTAATGATAGCTGTCTCCTGTTCCCCAAAACAAGATCGTTTTGTTTCTACCTTCTACAACAGTGTGCGCATTTGGAACTTGCGCAACGGATCGTTGGTACTTCCACAAGTAAGTATCATATATCCACCCTCGGACCGCTCCTGTTCACATACCTTAGATTGACTCGGAGTCGGGGGCGGCTAAGGCTATCAATATCGCGGAGCAGCACTCGTATGTTCCACCGTTAAACCCGTCAAAGTGATAAAGCTAAGATAACCAGAATGAAAGCCTATAATGTGATCCGAGCCGTAGCCTGGTTCTCCGATGGAAAGCACTTTGCAAGTGCAGGAGACGATCTTGCTATAAGGATCTGGGATACCCAGACAGGCCAAGAGTCCGTAGCCCCTCTCGTGTGGCATAGTAAGGGAGTCAACGGGATTGATATTTCGAAGAATGATGGTCTTCTGGCTAGCGGAGGAAGTGACGCCCTCGTCTGCATCTGGGACCTCAAAACCCACGACCTTGCCTTGGAGCCTCTTTCTGGTCACGCCGGATTTGTCTATGCCGTCAAATTCACTCCTGATGAAACGCGCCTAGTCACAGGAGGAGACGACAAAACTATCATTGTATGGAGCGTGCAGTCGGGTGCTTCGCTGCATGTCATTGAAGCACACAGCGGCGCCGTTTGGGCGCTTAGCATCTCCCCCGACGGATCTCAAATAGCAAGTGGGGCTGATGACAAGACTGTCCGCTTCTGGGACACCAGCTCGTATGAGCCCATTGGAGAGCCGTTCGAGCACGAGGGCAGCGTACATTCGGTCTGCTTCTCACCCGACGGTTCTCAACTGCTCACTGGATGTTGGAACAAAGCTGGCGCATCTTTGTGGGATATCTCGCTCAGGAAGAAGATACGCACCATCAAACATGATGAAGACGTCAATTGCGTACAGTTCTCGATGGATGGATCCAAATTCATCAGTGCGTCTGATGATAGAATCGCTCGTCTCTGGGAGGCCAGTACAGGAAAGCTTCTCCGGTCTCTCCGACATGCATACCGTGTCTTGGCGGCTGCGTCCTCGCCGGACGATGCACTGGTACTAACCGGAGACCGTGTTGGTGATTTACGCTTATGGGACGCGAACACAGGGAAACTTATTCTTCCGAAGGTGGGTGTAACAATTCATGCTTCGTGTCACACGTGCATTTAGGCTGAATGGACGTTCTCATACAGCGCCTCCTTGACAGCAAGGACGGCTTAGGGGGCGACGCCTCCGACTCTGGTGTGAGTGTGACCACGTTCTTTTACCGTGTGTTTGATATATCGGCCGCTCAGGGTCGTGGTGTCAACAAAGGAAAGTCACGGGTAAGTTAGGACACAGTGATATTCTATACTGTTGTCTGATGGATATCTAGGTCGTCGGCGATGACTCGGACAGTTTCATGGAGGTAAATCGAAATCAAGAATGGTGTCATTTCAACGGCTAACCTCAATTAATCACTGAAAGAGGTCGGCCATACCAACGCGAAGAGATAATCGCTACAGGATAGACAATTTCTTGGGAGACGTCGAGGCGAATACCGTAAGTCATTAAGACCTACGCCAGCGGCATGCTACAATATACGTCACAGACGGGACAACCAAATTCTGGGAGAAGACGCTTCAAAATAGACATTTCTGGAGATTTAAGCCGGTTTCTTGGACGCCTCAGGAGGGGCAGGACCTATAACGACGAAGACGTACGTATTCTTCACCTTTTGCTCTCGTGTCTTGGTTTGTTATATTAGGTTACCCTCAGCGTCTAGTCGACCAGCGTCAAGAAGGCGGCCTCCGTGGTCGTTTCACGAATGTAACGAACGCGTTCGACTATATACGGGTTCGTACAACGCCTGCATTGCCTCGTCCACTTAACATCATCCGTGTGCCTTTAGAGTCGCGCGTCACGTAGCAGGGGCGACGACGATCCTTCCGGACAAGAAGACTCTGGAGCCCATGGATCATATATGATGCGTGCCCTGAACAGCGCTTCACGCGTCTCAGCCACCGTTTACGCAGCATATGGCGCTCCGGTACGATTGCACTGGGCGTTTCACATGACTGGAGCTAACAGTCTCATAGAGAGTGGCGGCTCGGGGTGGCGAGCCAGGAAGACGGCCTGGAGGAGACACTGTGCCCTTAGACACGGATGTAGACTCGGACTCGTTGAGCTCAGAAGAGAGTCTTCGCCACCCAATTGTGGAAGCGCTTTGTTACTACAACTGCGCTCCGCTTTTTGGTCGTCGGGACGATGACGCTCGTCATGCCCAAAGGCGGGCAGAGCCGACTTCCCCAGCTGAGGGAGCGAACGCGGCTGCAACGTCAGGAGGAACGGTGTCGCCTCCCGTTCGTACGCAAGCGGGCTCAACGGAGCAGACGGGATCGACCTCCACGCCTCGTCATACATATCCGCCTTCCGCGTGAGCCACAAGTGAAGACCTATGTCATTTTTTCGGTGCGTTTGGTCCACATTAGAGGCTCGACGAATCTCAAACTGACAGTCTTTAGTCAGTCGCATCAAAGCTCAGAAATTTCATAAATCATGCTATCGTGTTTCGCAACTTTGTTATCATACCTTTCTTGTTGCACTGGGCCAGCCCCATGTACATTCTGCGTCGTATATGAATATTTAAAAATAGTTCCTAGTTGAACAATGCTACGTAGCATGACCACATAATTATGGCGCGGAGCGTTGTTGCCTGAGATACACAACTGACGGAGCGCTTGCTGAGCCCGTCGTTCGAAACAATAAGCCAGCATAAACAGACTAGTGTCGTCCCGTTTAGTCAAGTCTGATGAAGCGACCGTCACGAAAATCAGGCGTGAAGTCGTTGGGAGGTGTGTATCAGCAGGTCCTGCAAGGGATATCCGAAGCGGACTGAACCATGACGCTCTTCGAAGAAAGACAATTGAATAAACAACGGACTGGCTCCACGGTATTACCGAGGAGCGGCGATAGGACAACGGCCAAAGCCGGCACTCGTAAGACCTTGAATACCACGTATCTTATGAGGGCAGAACAAGAGAGCGAGGGGGGTTCGAACGCCAGCTGAAAGGACGACGGTTACCAAGCGATGGCGTGTGAGGGTATCGATGACGCCCAGGGATTTCTCTGTCTGACCCACGGCTGGTTGTGGGAGCTGGAACGAAAGTGGCTGAGCCGAAGACTACACCGGGGATGTCAGCCAAGGAAGAAGACAAAGAGAGTGTAACGCACTCCATGTCTGTCATTCAGCCACTGCGACTTAGACCCTCCCTTATCCTTGCCTCACCCCAGTTCCCGAAGATGACAGACCTCCAGCTCCATACGCTTCATAAAGGAGCTACTTATCCTTCAGCTTCAAAGATGGCGCGTTAATTTGACTCAACGTACGCGCAGATAATGGCGAATTTGGCGAGTCTCTGAAGGCCAGGTCCCGAGAAAAAGTGTGACCGTGTGTCGAAAACCCGTCAGTATCTGGTTCTGCGCCATACATTGCCGTGTTGAGGGTGGTCGGAGCTGGAAGGAATCAGGGGAAGAAGCTGACATGGATGAACGAAGGAACTAGCAAGCAGGAGCGGGACAGGGGCAATACACAGCGGGAATAGCCCGATAAGTTCTCGGGACTTATGGTGGAAATATTGAAGACGTATTTTAACTTTGTTTTGCAGGAAAAGCGAGACTTATTTGGTACTTAGCGGGGAGATATTCTGATTAAATTATCTTTTGTGACCAAATTGGCCGTGTCAAGTGTGAATCGCCAAAATTTATTCAAAATGCGTCCTTGGTAAGTTCCAAAATAAGTCTCGCTGTCCTGGCAAAATTTCATTATATTGCATCCACAATATTTCCACAATAAATTCTGAGAACTTATTGGACTACTCCCCCTGTGAATAGCCCGAGTCGGCACGTGGGAGCGGAACGCAAATGACCTCGCCTCGCCTTTTTCTTCGCTCAACATCGACGGAATAGTTCCTTTGTTTCCGTGACAGTTAGCCTCCGCTGAGTCTCTGTCCACTTCATTTTTGCGCTCGTTTGGCATTCCGGGCTCCTTAACAACAATCCGACAGCGTGCAAGCGTGCATAGCTGATAGCGAATCCTCATTTTGTCGCAAGCGCAGAGTCATGGCCGCCGGTAAGGACGACGTACAAGGTGGCCTAATCTCTCAGGTTACAGACCTTAGTCTTCAAGAAACATGCAGCACGCCACTGCCAAATGCGCAGGAACCGGCTATGTTTTTTGTGAGTGATGCCTCTGGTCGTCGAGTTGCGCCATCCTGAGTCCTTCAGCCTGTATCACAGCTCCCCGAGGAGACCCTCATCGCTATCTTTGACATCGCCATCCGGCTTAACGATAGCCTTCACATTTGTGCAGCCTCGCCTTCGAACACGATTGATGCTCGCCCATACGCTTTCGTTCTCGCACAAGTATGCGCCTACTGGCGACAGCTAGTTGTCTCGACCTCGTCCCTATGGTCCCTGATCTCGTATCGAGCGCGAACGTGGCGCCCTGAACTCGTCAACCCCCAAATAGAGCGTTCGGGCCCGTATCCGCTCGATGTGGTCTTCATCGCGTCTACGATCGAGGAAGAGAGCGATATGGATGAAGAGGTCTCCGTCGCCAACGCGTTCGTCTCATTGGTTTCGCCACTGGTAGCGCGCTTCCGAGTTGTACATTTTGATGTCCACGACCACCGCAGCTTCGAGAGCATCCTCCATCTTCTCGGCCGCAACGATGCGCCTCTGTCGAAGGATTTGGGGGTGTTCGTTTCGACTGCGCCTCCTGCTTTCGATGTGTCTTCCCACATGCAGATGGATTGGGAGGACACCGAGGCGACTGCCAAGTGCATGGGTCTGACCCATCCGCTTCTGCGAAGCATTAGCCTGCAGGACCTGTACCTGCCATCATTCCCCATGCACATGCTCGTGAACGTGACACGCGTCGAGCTCAATTTCACCGGCTCGCAGTCTCATTCGCACCAGTACGAGCCCAAGTTGGTCCATCTGCTACAGTTCTTGAACGCCACTCCGCGGCTCGAGGACCTCATCCTTGAGTGTGGCTCAAAGTTCAAGTGCCTTTCCCCGTCTACCCTTAGTGATTCCTTTGGTCTCCCGGGCAGAGTCGAACTCCCTAATCTACGCAACTTCACATGGACAAACGCGCTTCCATACTCTGTGAAAAGTGTCATGAACTCGTTGTCTACGCCCCGTCTCGAGAGCTGGAAGCTCTCCATCCGCGTGAGGCAGAACACGGCAACAATGAACGTTTCAGTGCGGGTGCTCATTCCCTCGCTCAAGGAGTTGTACGTCGAGTGTGTCGACAGGGAAGGGCTTGAGACGGCGTTCGGCAGGCTTGGACTACCGTCTGTAGAGCGATTCGAGGTGGTGTATGTCCCGCTGTCCAAACCCAAGTCCAAGTTGAGCATCCAGCCAGCGCCCCCGGTCTTTCCGTACATCTCGGGCCTCTTCGTTGCCCCGTGTCTGCAGAACCTCACGCACTTATCTGTCTGCGGGTTCGCGATTCCCAAATCCTATGTGCCCGGCGGAATCGGCGAATTTGAGCTTATGTACATGCCTTCTCTACGATGCTTGTCCTTTATCGAATGCACGGGTGCCGCTCCGTTCTTGGGCCAGCTCGCAGCACCAAACGAGAGCATCAAAGTTGGGGTGAACGTGTGTCCGCGGCTGAGGGAAGTGACGATCGTGGGGTGTGCGGATGTGGACCGGGAGGACGTAGAGGAGTTGCTGAGGAGTCGGTCGCAAAGGTGCCAGCGCGAGGAGATCCAGAAGATCGTGCAGACGAAGGGAGACGCGCAGGAGGCGTTACTGTTAGGGCGGAAGATTGTGCCTTTGAGGAGGCCGAAGAGGGCTGGCCCGGGCGCTGCGACCCATGGTGCACCCACTCCACCGGCAGGTGTGTCAAATGCGGAGGCTCCTAGCTACGAGGCGTTTATACCGGCGCAACTCGAGCGGTTGCACATTGAAGACTGTGAACTGGTTACAGAAGGCGATGCGACTACGTTGGAGGACATGGATTATGGCACGATGAACTTCTACTGGTAGATGAACTTGGTGATATATGGCAAATACAGTACTTGCATCGATGCCAAATGTCACCATCCCACGCGGCGGTCGCGTGGATTACCGTTTCAACCATTATTGAATGTCTTGTCACTGCCCGGGTAAAAGACGATACGAGCGAAACGATCGCTCAGGACATGATGATGCTCGTGCATTCGCGATTGTTCTCGATATGTGGAGATGCTGTGGACAAGAATCGGTGGTGGATCCGCCGCTGAGTCACGTGTGGATAAAGTGAGGCATGCCTCCTGCACGTTTCGTTGAGCCTCGTTTCGTCTGATTCTCGCCTCCGTCACTTGTCCTGTTTCTCATCTATTTTCTTTCTATTCTATTCCTCTCTATTCTCGTTATCATCTCTCACGATTCCGGCCACCCACTACAGGGACACGCCGACCACCCTGACGACCCCACAACCACTGTACATCTCTTATTCAACGTCATTCAGCACACCAGCTACACTCATCGGTCCATGAATCCTTCCCGCCCTGCACTCGGCGGTATCGCAATCACTGCTCCAACCACAGCAACAACGACACTCAGCATTACCATTCCTCCCCCTCCTCTCCCCTCCAGCCTCCGCCTCGATCCTTCTGTACCCCACCACCACCATCGGGACGGCCCACCAGGTGCTGGCACCGCCGCCGGCAATCTCCCCTCTACCGCGCGTCACAACCAGTCTGGAACCCAACACACCCTCGTCCGGTCCAATTCCCTATCCACAAACAACTCCCCACCTCCGATCAGCCCCTTCTCGACGGACTCTGTCACGGCGAGCGAACCGACCTCTGACGGTATGTGTCAATCTTCAACAGGCTTCTCGGAGCGACTTAGCGCTGACTGACGCCATTTGTTTGCTTTCACTTGCTTCTGGATTCTCACTTCTTTTCATTTCCCGCCGGGTGGGACTTGTCAATGTCACATCGTTGTGTGCGGTACGCTCCCCGTTCATTTCACTCGGCTTCCTCCTTCCCTCGTCATTCCGGCATTGCTACTTTTGGGTTTTGCTTTGTCCTTGGTCCCGGGCTCGACGGATGGTGGGTGTGGCGGTTGTGACGATGAACAACGGACGACGAAACAGAGCTCCCAGACCTGGGCGCCTTCCAAACCGTCTTCCGCGCCCTCGCCGACTACCAGCCCGACACCCGTCTCCGCCACCTTCCCATTAACCAATCCCAACTTACACCGGACACCCCCACACACGATACCCACATGTTATCTATGCCCCTCGCTGCCGACTCTATATCTGGCCTGTCCATCTCCTTGCCCGAGTCGGCCTACTCAGATGGCCCCGAAGGCTCGACGGTCTGGTCCCGTCCGCCAATAGCACATTACCTGCGCTCGATATCGTCTGCGCGGACTGCCGAATCAACAGCGCACACGCGCTCGCAGGCCGAGTCGCAGTCATCAATATCAAGCTCCTCGCGGCATTCTCACACCCAGGACTCTCAATCACAACCTATATCGCGCACGCAGACGCGTTCTTCGTTCCTGAGCAGCACCACCGGTATCGCCGAAAACAGTGCCAACAGCAACGCCACCGCGAGCAACGCCAGCACCGCCGGTGCAACAGCTGCAAGCGCCAGCAACAGCACCAGCCGTAGCGTCTCGCGAACAATGACCTCTGATTCGAACATGACCGTCACGATCCATACTATCAACACCGACACTCCGAATACCCACACCAACGCGATCGCCTCGCCAAGCGCGGCGGACCTCACACCGTCCATCTCCACATCCGCCCCTGCATCCGTGTCCATGTCGCTTTCGGGCGGCGCGACCCACACGACACCCGTTATCCCGTCGGGGTTCAGCTCTGGCAGCGAAACCGAGGGCGAGCTCGAGCCTGCGAATTTTACGACGAGCGGGCAGTCTGACAACGACCTTGAGATCGAGCTCGACGGCGAGCTCGACGGCGACGTCGACCCCACGCTGCATCTGAGCGGCGCGGACCACCCCTCGCTCGGCCACTTTTCTGAGCCGTTCCAGTTTCTCGCTGCCGAGCGGGCTCGGCTCGCTGCGGCGGCTGCGGCTGCGCAGGAGCGCACCACCACTGCGACGGGGGCGAGTGGAGGATTCTCAGCGGCGGAGCATCATAGTTCGACGAGCGATGGTGCGTGGAAGTATAATTTGGAGCCGAGGAGAGGGAGGAAGCGCAGACGCAAGAAGCGGCTCGTCGCGGCTCTCGCTGAGGCTGGAGCGGGCGGTGTGGCTGCGGTGCTGTCGACGCCGCCGCGAATTCTCTCTAGGAGACGTGTGGATGGGGGCGGGACGGCGAAGGAGAAGGAGGAGGAAGAGGCGCTGTCGTCGAATGTGCATCGGGAAGCGACGAGTGGGGCGGACACGGGCGAGGGCGGAGAGGGGGGCCGGGGGGATAAAGCCGGGGATGGGGTGTCGGCGGACGAGGATGGGGCCCAGAAACACTCGCGCTCGCGGACAAGAGCGAAGCGGAGCCCGTCTCCGCCTGCTACTGCCGCACCGCACCGAACACGCTCGACGAAACGCGACACGCGGAGAGCCGCGCTCGCTAATGCTGTCGCCGCTAGCGCGAACCCGGCACCCGGCGCAAGCGCGCAGCTCAAGCACTCCAAATCCACGCCGGTCTTCACGCTGAGCAGCGCGCTCCCGCCCGACCCGCAGATCCTGCGGTTGCGGTGTCTCGCGCACAAGCTGCGATTGAGGTTTCCAGAGGACGACGCGGGGATCACTTCGCTGCTCACGGATGATTTCGGGAGTGTGAGCGGGAGTAGGGACGGCAGTGGGAAGGGCAGCGGTGGGGAGACGTCCGATTGTGTGTCGTCGTCGGACCCGGACCCGCGTGGGCCGCCGCCGAAGAAGGGGGATACGTTGATTCACGTTTTCATTGACCAGTACGTCTCTTGTCTTTCTCTTTCGCGAATAGTCTGACCGGGTGCGTAGCTCGAATATTCTCATTGGCCTGCTCATGTACCTCAAGCGGCACGCGCGCCGTCTGCCGCTCCCGCCGCGGACGAACAAGCGCATGTCGCACGCTGCGCTTGCGCTCCTGCTTGAGCGAGGGCGGCCGATCACGCGGCGGTGTCTGGTGACGAGCAGCCCGCTTTACCAGCCGATGGACAGCGCGAAGCAGCTGGGGTACGAGGTGCGCGTGTACGCGCGTGTGCCGGACAGCGGGGACGGGCAGGACCGCGCGAGGAAGGGCACGCAGGGGCACGCGCGGAGGACGTCGAAGGGGAACGGGGACACGTCGACGGAGAGCGACCGGTCGACGGGGAATGCGGGCGGGTCGACGAGCACGGTGCAGGCGGCGTCGTCGTCTTTGGCAGGTGCGGGTGCGCAGGGGGGCACGACGAGCACGATCGCGGCTACGGCTGCTGCTGCGGGTGCGGGGACTGCGTCGCCCAACCGCGTGCGGTACCGCGAGCAAGGTGTGGACGAGCTGTTGCAGCTGAAGCTGCACCAGGCGATTGCGGACGTGGACGTTCCGCCGCCGGGCGCGACGATTGTGCTCGCCACGGGGGACGGGAATATGGGCCAGTTCTCGGACGACGGGTTTTTGGGACCTGTGAGGACGGCGCTGAAGAAGGGGTGGCGGGTGGAGCTGGTTGCGTGGGAGGAGGGGTTGAGTAGGGCGTGGAAGCGCGAGTTTGGTGGGGCGGAGTGGGCGGGGAGGTTTAAGGTGATTCGGTTGGAGGAGTTTGGGGAGGATTTGATGGAAGTTGAGGGCGAGGGTGGGTGGGCGTAGGTGCAGTGCTGACGAGGATTACGAGAGGTGACGCTGAGGCTGCGAGGTGGCGGTGGGCAGTGGTGACGTAGGGCGGCATGGGGCGTCGGGGCCGATGCTCGCGCCAAGCTGCGTAACACATCAAGACATCATTCCGTTCGATGAAATCAGTTCGCGGCAGTGTATTCCAGGGCCAACGGGCTTGATTGAAAGGCTTGTACAAAGTCCAAACGTTCTTAGGCTGATAGTGTTGTTGGTGGAGAGCACCGCCCCCTTACGACACTCACTGCACTCTTTCTGTTGGACAACGTTAACATAGTCGATTGGATTCCTTGTAGCATTTTTGGCATTGCATTTGTAGCTTAGTTGTATGTGATAACATACGGAAGTAGGGCCCCGCGTTTTGTCACGATCGATGACGAGGATCGCTTCCTGGAGAGGCACAAAGCGATAGCGGTCGCGCCGGTCGTGTGGCAACGCAGGAATTCGATGGGCGCGTCGACGGAAATGAACGCGCCAATGTTCCTCAATAGGGAATGCGTCCTGTCAAAAAAGTTGTCGACATGTCACTTGCCATGTACGCTTTTGGAAGGTCGATTTTTGCTTCCGGAAACGTGTTTGTGTTCGCCTCCTCGGTGTCTTGCCGTTCAGGTACCGTGGAAGTGCATATTTTGGTATGTGCTTCTATTTTGCTACTCTGCACGTCTGAAACCAGGGGGATTCGTTGCTGCCTCGCTTTTGCTGCTGCTGGTTGAGGTGCAGAGGGCGCGTGATCGGAAGGGAGTGGGGGAACAGCGGGGATGGGCGGTATGAAGGTGGTTACGTCTGTGGGTGCGCCTTTGTATTGCATCTGGATTCCTTCCTTTCTGATGACTGCTTCTCCTTCCCGCACATCCGATCGATTCTCAACCGTATCTATAAATTCGTACCCTTGACAGATTTTCGTTCCCTTACTCTTCCATTTTCCATCCCCGCCACCGTCAAACCTTGTCAGCGAACGCTAGCCTGTTTCAGCTGATACCCGCCGCTTCCCACTTGTCATATATACCTCTTCTCTCTCACATCGACCACCAGCCCAGCCAGCGCAATGGCCATCATCTCAAGCCCCGTATTTTACTCCCTCCTCGCCGTTGTTTCCTATGTCGTCTACAAGTGCTCAAACCGCCCCAAACAACCTGCACCTTACCCACCTGGCCCCAAGCCGGTTCCCCTTCTCGGCAACGTCCGCGACTTGACCGCCAAGGAGCTCTGGCTCGTCGCTGAAAAGTGGGCAAAGGAATACGGTCAGCTTCTTATTATATACACTATGATCTGCATTCGCTGATACGCCAACACGCGCAGGCCGCATCAACTACCTCCATGTCTTTGGACAGGGCCTTGTTTTCCTCAACACTCCCGAGGCTGTCTTTGACCTCCTCGATAAGCGTGGTGCTATCTACTCTGACAAGCCCCATCTCGTTATGGCTGGTGAACTGTGAGTTTTCGTCTTTGAGTTCATCCCCACCCGCCATCTTTACCCTTTGCTTGATATCGCGCCGAACCTCCGCCCTCCACGGAAGGTGTTCTTCTTTCCAATTATATCCACCCCAGCGGTCATATGTCCTCACGGATTTACTCACCCGACCCCTCGGCTTTCATCTAGATGCGGCTGTGAAAACATGGTCGCCTTCACCCGCTACGGCGACCGTTCCCGGCGCCAGCGCCGCCTTATGCAGTCCGCCCTTGGCCAGTCCAGCATCCCGCAATACCACCCTCTGCTCGAGTTCGAGACTCGCCCCTTCCTCCGCCGCATGCTCGCAGACCCGCTCAACTACACGGACCATATCCGCCGTTACGCCGGCGGCCTCACCCTTTCCGTCGTGTATGGATACCAGGTGAAGAGCAACGATGACCAGTTCCTCGGCCTCGCGGAGGACTGTGTGAATATTCTCTCAAACAAGATCGCCTCGGGCGGTGGTATCTGGCCCGTGGATATCTTCCCTTCTCGTGCGTGCTTTCCTTCATTTCGCTCGCATGTACGTTGAAATTAATCAATGATTGCGTGTGTAGTCCAACACCTTCCCAACTGGATGCCCGGAGCTGGTTTCAAGCGCAGCGCGGTGACCTGGAAGAAGAAGATGGAGGAGTTCGTTGACCAGCCGTATGAATACACCCAGGAGGAGATGGTCAGTCGCCGTTTCCTGCTGTGTCGTATTCCGAGGACATTACGAGCATGCGGCTGATACCTGTTTTTGACTAGAAACGCGGCACAGCCCGCCCCTCCTTCGTCTCCACCCTCCTCGAGAGCGCGCCTCAGAACAAGGACGGCAGCATCGAGGCGCAGCACGACCACGATATCCGCTGGACGGCCAACTCTATGTACTCGGCTTCGATCGATACCACGATCACCTTCATGTCGCACTTTATTCTCGCCATGGTGCAGCACCCCGAGGTCCTCGAGCGCGCGCAGGCCGAGATTGACGCCGTTGTTGGCGGCACAAGGCTCCCAAGTTTCGAGGACCGCGAATCGCTGCCCCTATGCAATGCCATCTTTAATGAGACGCTGCGCTGGGGTGCCCCCGTTCCTCTGAGTAAGTACACCACGTTTGTTTGGTGAGAGTGGTCGTTTACCTGTGTGTAGACTTGCCTCACCGCCTGATGGACGACGACATCTACGATGGCATGTACATTCCCAAGGGCTCTCTGGTTCGTGGGCTTCTCTGCTTCATCTCATAGCCTTTTGATTTACTCTCTTCCACGCAGATCTTCGGTAACATCTGGTGAGCATGCTACTCCTTCATCTCATCTTCATTTCCTTTGCCTCGTGGGCAAAGTTTATGGGCGTTGATAGCTGACCAATGATGACAGGGCGATAACGCGCGACGAGAAGCTTTACCCTGAAGCAGCGCGCTTCAACCCCGACCGCTTCATGACCCCGGCCGAGGACGAGACGGCCGAGCGCCGTCGCGACCCTCGGAACTATGTCTTTGGCTTTGGCCGCAGGTGCGGCTCTTCCCTCACTCTGTAGTCCTGTTGCTGATGCGCTGGATATCACCTCGCAGACGCTGCCCAGGTGCCAACCTCATTGAGTCCTCCGGCTGGCTGCTGATGACCTCCATGATTGCCACTCTCGACATTGGCAAGTTCATTGACGACCACGGACGCGAGGAGGCCCCCGTCGTTGACTTCAACAACTCGGTCTTCCGCACGCCGGACGTGTTCAAGTGCTCGCTGCGTCCCCGCTCTGAGGCGGCGCTGCGGCTCGTCAGCCAGGAGGACGATGCGTAGATGCCCACTGTTTAGTCTGGGTTTTCGCTCGTATTGTTCTGGTTTGATGCTGGGCGCTCCGCGAGGTGGTGGAGCGCTGGCGATACCTTGAACCAATCTGGATACACATAGGATAAAGCTCGAAAAGCTTTGTTACTGGCGCGCCTTGTCGTGCTGCCAGCTGGGACACTGCACTCGTAACTGATCAATATCTCCTCAATCTCAACGTACAAACACGCGGACCAACCTTCCCTAATACTCGTCGACTCGAAGTCTTTTAGAGGAATACATACACTCGTTTATACCCCGTTGTAATGCATAGCATAACTCTTCTCCCGTCTTAGTCTCTCCCCTTCTCTGTTCGAACCCTACTTGTCTCCGTTCGTTTTTTGTGTGTCCTAGTCTTATGTTTATTTTCGTGTATATTTTACTCGTACGCCTTCTTGGGCTACTCTTTTTTTATTAGGTTAGGCTAGGTTAGGCTAGGTTGAATGGAATCTCAAGAGATTTCGATACATGCAGACACTGGTTGTCGTTGGCTTGAGTAAGAAGCGAATGCAATTCGTCGCTGACCATTGCTCGCTTAGGTTTGGTAAGTGAGGAGGAACGAGCTTCTCTTTCTGTACGAATGGGTGGCCGGGAGACCTTGCAACTTGTTGGGTTGCACTGTGCTCGATAGTATTCGTTGGGCTTGTATTTACTGTGGTCGCATCTTCGCAGATGATGTGGAATCAGACATATAGATTGGTATCCGGTGTGGTTGGCTCATCCCTGGTACGCCGGGCAGTCCTCAGATAGATACATAGCGCTGGAACGGCAGAGTAAGGGCGAGACAAGGAAGGCGGCGGGATGTATTAATGATGCCTCTCGCTGACACGGCTCGTAGTCCGATGACGTTGCCATACTGAATGTCAATGACAAGGGGAACGGGACTCTTGATGCTTCCAGCTTACGCCATCCATCCACAGGTGCACAGCAGATTAGGGCAAATAAATTGTAGCAGATCAGATGTTACTTGTACATGCGCTAGTTCCGGTATAGGCCACCCTTGTTTAGCAGATAGTCTGTCACAGATATAAGGGAAGAAAGAAATTGGCAGGGGGTTCACTGTTTAGGACCGAACCGTTGCTCGAGGAAGCCAGCTAAGATCTTCGCACAGCCGTGCTGGCAACTTCAACCCGGTGCAGGTCCGCGATGAGCTCGAGGATGACGAGCGACGCCGTGAGTTCGGTTAATTCTATTCTGAGGACGGCTCGTCGGGCTGGACGACGGGTCCGCCGACCGTGATGGCGGGGACCTGGGTGGTGAAAGGAGGTTGGAATACGGCGCGGACGGACGATCGTGTTCGACGGGCGGAGATGCATGAAGGCGCGGACGGACACTTGCCTGTAGGTTTGACGTTGGACATGAACTACTGATGCTTGTTCGTAAGGTCGACGTCTTTGAGTGAGGACTCGGCTTTAGTGTGAGTGAGAGCGATGGTGACCCGCCAGCGGGTTCAAAGGCTATCCAGTCAGCGCGACGCGCGACGTCAACGCAGCCAGCAGAAATTTTGCTTATCCTCATCGTATTGGCGCTAAGCTAGCAAGGCACAGGGCGTTAGCATTGGTAGGTAAACGATAATCAAATGCTTCGTCGAGCACAAGTCGGGCATACCTTGAAGCTATACAAAGCTGCTGGCGAGACATAACAGGTGTGTTGAAGAAGTTTCAGAAAGAGCTAGAGGATCGTTCGAGTGGGTTAACTGATTCTTAGCTTCTCCAGATGCATCCGCCTTTATAGCAATGGAGCACAGGACCCCCTATTCTTTATGACGATCCAAAACGAATGTCATGTTTCCTTCAAGCCACCGTGTACGACGGCCTCGCTCAGCGCGCGTGAGGTAGATGTGTCCGCAAGAAAGTCATACATTTCGAGAGAGAACGGTCGAGTCTTAATATATAGACATCCGCTCCTGACGCACCTGAGACAAACGTACATACGAAATCCGGATGAAAGCTTGCCGGAGGGTGGATTGGTGATCCATCGTCAGTGATAACCATGGTCAACGCTGATTCAGTGCACGTATTGAGTGTGTGTCTATAAAGAACCTGCGTGCCTAAACAATCAATATGTTGTCTGAAAAAAAAGATGACTCTGAGAGACCTGACCTGATGGCAACGACAGCGACTGGATCGCGGAGAAACTTGAGGCGAGGGAGCCCGGAACCCTACGTTTTCCTGGCGTACTTCGACGACTACTTCTGTCGTGAAAACTTTCGGGGAGGGCGTAGTATATAGTGCACTCAGTGCACTAGTGTCGGGAAGGACAAGGGTGAAAATATACAATATTTGCTAACATAACCTCGAGCCCTAGTCTGGGGGCATCATACGTGAGAAGCGTTTTTGAAGCCTGACGAACGGCAAGTCTGACTGATGACTAGGAGTGATGATTGGATTGCAGCATAATTACGAGGTGGATGTGTGTGGGAGACTTATCAAAACACATGCCAAAATTCGTATTGGGCCTTGCCAATCCTGATAGTTCTCGGGTGATCCATTGATGTTTCAAGACTTGAGGCTTCACTCGTATGATTGATGAGTACTGCCGCTTACTTGCGGACTATGAAACGATCACCCTTCCACAATCCTTCCAGTCTGTTATTCTCACGAACGTCTCGACGCGTTGTGTACATCCGCTTCTGTATCCTATCATGTCGTGGTGCAATTAACATCATATCAAGATAATATGTCTCATGTTCAACTTGTAAGTGCGGGAGCTAGTGAAGTCTTTGGTCGTGCCTTGAACTGCTAGGACTCATTCTCTGTGTTTCTGTAGCAAAATTACTCGATCGCAGGCCACCGTGGTTTAAGGGAACCGATACATGTGTACAACCTTACATGCTTACGACACAATGAAACAAAACACGCAAATCATCAAACACAGGATATATGAATTACAACACAATGACTGCACCTTGCTAAATCGTGCCTCTAACCTGCAGTTACATGTACAAGTTTCAGTTATCAAACTGGCGTTGCGCTTCTACTATTATAGCCGTCCGAGAAAACACGCCCTTCAGACGAGCGAGGCCAAACTCATATTACCTACATCAGTAACAATGCGCCTGAGGAAGCCGTACTCGGATTGTTTCCCGGTACACAATATGTACCCGATAAACGAGAAGGTTAGAGGTTAGGTACTGGCGCACACGCCATGAACGACCGGGATGCTATTATCTTACCTTGGATCGCAAGTGCGAAGAGCTGATGTCCCAGCAGGCGGATTTGGTGGCATAAGGATCGCACCCCGTTTGATTATTAATTAATCCGTGGGATGTTATCCTTCGCCACCATAAGCTTGCCAGAGGAAAGACAGTGCACGTAACAAGGTTTGAGGTTTGGAAGGAGTGAAGCTCTGCGATATGAAGGGGCATGAAAACGAGGGAGGGAGATGATGGGAAGGAAACGTAGCATGTTGGGTATAAGTACCTCACCCTCACCGCTCTCGGGCGTTTTAGCTCTGACGGCCATATGATTGTGATCGCGAGAGATTGAAAATATTATGCCAGTTACTAACCCTGGCATGCGTTTAGACAAATATGACTGGCTTCCGTGCAAGACGTCAAACAGGATTAGGCAACGATTGTGCGGCAATGGAAGTCTTGGACGTAAAGCGCTCCAATCAGGACCCATCGGATGATCTTCCTTGAGTGATCGTTATCAGCATCGGAAGAAAAATAAACAATAAAGCATGGTACTCATCAGAGCAAGAAACGCGGTGGCGTCGGCGGCTTCGCACCGTCACGTAACAGCCATACCATCGGTCGCACGGTTTTACACAAAGGAGACCGAGGTACTGCGGAAATGGATTCCTCGTCAGCAGTGGTTTATAAACTTTGTCATACTAGCGCGCAATCAGACCTCAGTTTCACTGATAATCAGATGCAATAGGACCTCTTAGGCGGCACGAGCGGCCCCCCGACGACCGTTTTGCTCATGATGATGATCCATGCGAGCATATATCTTGTCGACCGTGGACGCCGATGTGTACTAACGCCTATGCTCGTGAGACATTGTGCATATGGGCGATCATATCGTGGGTCGCGTTGCATACGAGACGTGATGGCTCGTTGGCTGATGCGGACTCTGCCCGACTAGATCTCAGTGGCTCGCCGGTACCGAGTCGTCTATTATTAATGTGCGCTGTAAATACGAAGACCAGTGAAGAGAGGAGCGCGAGAGGGAATATTTGAAAGGCAAAGGAATACGCATAGGCGACGTGGCGAACCAAACTTCATAATGATTAGAATATACATTTCGCTCAGCGATCAAACTTACTTTTGTGCAGATAGCGGAAGAGAGCATTCGCCACATCATCTGCCGTTTACAGGCGTAGATTGGATTAACTTGAAGTTGTCAAGAGTCTATGTACGTGGGCACAGCCTATTTTTATTTAAGCGCCCAATGCCAAATAAAATCGACAAGTGATACTTACCATTATTGCCACTCGCTGCAGACGCAAGATGACGGCGATCAACTCCAAAGACCGGGGATCTTCCAAAACCTTCTCAAGCGAGTAGAGCTCTCGATAGAAAGAAAATACCGATAGTTTCCAGAGAAAATTTTGCTTGTGCGATAGTGTATCCCTGTTCAGATTTAACATTTCATGTTGCGGTAAAGATAGGAAGGTTATGAGGTGTCCTATAATGGTGTGATGTCGGTCAGCATCTGGCTTGAGAATCACCAGAAGGGAGAATATATAGCTTACTATATTTGTTTCGGGTGTATCGAAGCACTGAAAGAACTTCGCTTCCCGACGGGTATAAGTCTGGTGTCCGTCCGAGAATCTCCAAGAATAACGAGAAAGAAAACACCTAAAGGGTGTCTTTCACCGACCGTGACGGTGGATTCGCACAAATGAGAGGTTACCCAGTTCCCCTCAAGCACCTCAAACCCGCGGAAGCCGGGGAGCGATCATGCAAGCTTCTCACCTGGGCCTGAACCTTGCGAGCGAAGTTACGTTGGGGGTCCGCTTAAGGATACTGCAGTGGAGCAGCCGCTCTGTGAGCGAGTTCATGTGAGGTGGTGTCGGAGGCTTCTGATGCGCAGTAGCTGTAGAGAACAGAAAAACACGATATGTTGTCAGTCGGCGTCGCTAGTGCCGTCTTCGAGGATGCGGACCAAACGTCGGTTGACAGATGACAAAGCCGTCGTGTGCCAGGGACCTCGAGGCCTGAGAAAACACGATCTCGGAAACGGGTCAGGGACGTAGCCGAAGCACACGTGGCAACGCTAAAATTTGTATGGGGTGCTGTTTGACATCACTTCATGAAATGGAGTCCTCCGAAAGAGTACAGTATGTAAGTGCCGTAAATCTCGCATGCAACAGCTCTTCCTCTTCTTTCCTTGAAACGATTCACTTATTGTCAACAAAGCCTCGGCTGATCCGACGCTGGTTTTCATAGACGTTGGCCCGACGTGTATTTACCGCCCTGAGGCCTCGAGAACATTCAAGATTGGTTCAGCTTTCGATCTCGAAGGTCACCGGTTATTGATCACACGGCTGACAGTAGCTACCCCGAAAGTGGGAGGAACACGGCATGGAGCGATGCGGTCACTGAGGATGCTCAAGCTTATGGCTCTGTGCTGGCGGTCAGTCCAGAACATTGAGAGAGCCACCGGAAAAACCGTTGCGGTACCTTTGCAGGGCGTCTGTCGTCACCAAAAGCACTCAACATCAGAAGGCGCACTATTTCTGTCCAAGGTCACTCAGAGCCTGGGGTACGGGGAGCTCAGACTAGCTACGAGGGTTGAACAGCGCATAATTGAAGATAGCCTCCGGTCAGCCACCATCATGTCTCCGGTTTCGTCTGCTCACTCTCACAGACTTCAACTACGCTCTCACGGACCTACAGGGTTCTTGAGGACCAACACAGAGGCGGCACGAAGGAGACGCAAAGGCCAGTGAGTGAAGCATCGCTCAGTGAATGCTTGCGGAGGTGTCAAAGGCTTGAAAACGGCTTCTTTCATTAAACCGAGAGCCAATGACGGAACTCTCCCATTCTAAACTCTCCATATTTCAATTCTGTCTCTTTCTGGCGACGGGTTCCCCTTCCTTCCTGGGTACCGTTGCCGTCATTTTCCGAATGCGACCTTGTGTATCGATGATTAAGCGGCTGTCGAGAGAAGCACGGTCCCCCTGCTCCCCCTGCACCATCTGGCTCAGGCTGCATGCATCCGCTCTCTTCCCGCGACCTCCGCCCAATGGCGTCTAACGGCCTGTGACAGGATCAGGAAACGACGTACCCGATCACCGTATGCATGTCCCCCGATCCACACATCCCATATCCATCCTTTACCTGCAGCTTTATAACTCCACACCCATCTTCAGGCGCTCCCGAATTCCCTTCCCCCCATCTCAGCCTAGCCACGCGGCACCGCGCCGTCAGCTGTCAACTTCCTTCAACCTCGGTTTATTTTATCTGTTAGGCCTCTTCGTTCGTCAACGTCATGTCTCTCCCGTTGCTGCCTACGCCTGCAGAACTCGGCATACAAACCAACAATACGCTGGGTTCATTGCTGGTTGGAGGTCTCGTGGCTGCTACGTGCGTATATTACCACTTCAAGTGCGATGATTGACTGATCTGGTTCAACACGGCCCCCTCAGGCTCTGGGGCGTCACGACCATGCAGACGTTCACCTATTTTGATCGTTATGGGAAAGATCGTTTATCACTAAAGATATTTGTGAGTATGGGCACCCACATCGCACGCTGACCCGCGGTTTATCCTTTGACTCACACGACCACGCCAGGTCGCATTCATTTGGCAAGTACCTCACGCGGGTCAAGGTTCGAAGAGAAGGCTAATAGGTCTCGTGCAGGATATTGGATACATTCGACTCGATACTAACGAGCCACATTCTTTACTGGTATTTCGTCGTCAACTACCTCAACCCCCTGTCCCTCAGCGAACCCGTGTGGTGAGCTTCGAAATTTGCTCTCCGAGAACCTTAAACCTAATTTATGGATGCATCGTCAGGAGCATAATGGTAAATAATTATACTAGGCACAGAATGTCGTTGCTATGCGCGTGCTCACAACGTCGTTACACAGGTCCATGTTTTGATCACGGTGAGCAGAACAGTTCATCCGTCGGAGATTTCCAGCGGGTTAACAAATATCGTCCAGTCAATAACTGACGTGATGATTCGAGCGTGAGCGATACTTGACAAATCGTAAAGACTAGAACTAAGTGCCCTGCAGGATGTTCGCCCGCCGGGTGTTCCAGCGTATGTCCAGGCATACCCTTACTTGATTTGTCTCTACTAAAGTAGGATCGCAGTCAGCAATCGTAACTACGTTCTGACGGGTATCACGGTGCGCTCTGTAGTTGACATATTTATCTTTCCATAAACTGATCTCTTCGTTTCAGGTAGCCATCTCGGCACTTGACCTGAGTATGTTTCCATCACCGCTCTAGCTGTTCGTGACAAACTGACCCTGGGGTCTCCTCCAAGTCTGTGGGATAAGTGAGTGATCCCGATATTCTTCCTTTTCCTCCTGCTCATCGATGTTCCGCAGCCATCACCGTGAAAGCGTGAGCATGCATTCTCAACTCACTACAACCCAATACAAGCAATTTCATAAATAACAGACTCCAACTCGGCACTTTCGCTCAGCTCGACACCATTTCGGTAAGCCGACGGGAGACTTACGATTGCAAAAGGTGTTCGCTCCTTCTAACTGCCACCCATTCATTCCAGACATGGTTCTACCTCAACTTCGCCGCAGGTTTTTCCGGAGATCTTTTTGTGGCCATCGTCCTATGTTACTATCTCTGGCGGTCGCGAACCGGTTTCCAAACGTGAGTTGAGATGTTTCGCTTGGTTCGCCGCGGTATCCTCGCCGGTATTCTAACATTGACCCGTTCGCAGCACCAACAGCTTGGTCAGGACGCTGATGACCTATATTATCACCACGGGTGAGCCCTTATCCCGAGTGTCTTCTCTCCATGATGATCGCTCATGGAGAATCATGTGCGCGCTTAGGATTGCTCACTTCGTATGTTCCTTCAATAAGCTTCGCGTCGCGGACGCCGTCTGAATATAAATCGTTTAGGGTGGACGCTGCGCTGGGGATGATCTGCGTGAGTTCGTTTTAGGCTGTCCTTCGAGGATAATGTCATCTGATCTTATCATCAGTACATCGTGATGCCGAACAACTTCATATTCATTGCTTTTTATATGAATCTGGCTAAGAGTGAGCGTGTCTTTCCCCTCTTGTAACAGCTACTTATACATCCTCTACTGCGTAGTGTACACAAACTCGTACCTCGCATCGTACGTTTCACCTAACCGTCGTGTGTCCTTGTGAATAAACGAACACCAGGTTGAACGCACGGGAGGCTTTGCGTGACAAATCGGACAACATGGTCTCCATCCACCTAACGCGCATCTCGGATCGGCCCTTCGGCACGGAGTTTAGCGCGTCCACACCCGCAGCCCCGGATACGACGTACGCTTCGACCATGCCAAAGGTGCGTTTCTACTACTATGCGGATGTCACGAATATGGCTTAAGTGCGCTACGTGCCATAATCAGCGGTCTGTGTCTATGGAGCACTCTCCCGTCGAGATGGAGACTGAGCCCGAGACTGAGGTCGACACTATGGGCGACGCGAAAGTGGACGACCGCTCGAGTTCATACGAGTATTATCGTCCGCGCGGCGCCCATGCTGTATAACAGGCAGAAAAGCACCAATGGTCAGGATCTCGTGTGCTACCATCGTATTCGGGACTTACCATTAACCTCTTCGGATGCTCCCGTTTCTTGGTTGCTTTCTTCCTCCTTTCACATCTTGTACCTCTTGGAGGCGCTCGGCGTCGACCGTCGATTCTCTGCATAGAACATGCCTGGGAAAGACATGTACCGTTCATTGGATGATAGCCACCCTTGAGTAAGTTGACCCGACGGCTTCTACACTTATAAAAAAACCACCAGCCACTACCCTTCTTGTTCCGCATTTATCTTCTAGCATTGTCATTTTGTTAAAGACGATTTAAACCATCTGCATATTTCACTTGTACCATTACTACCATACGTCCACCCACAGGCAATACACTCCTTTCTTGAACCGCTACGTCTGAATTATCCTTGGGTGCCTGATGTGCGAAAGCTTCCGTACGTGTGCGAAGTGGCTCGGACAGTCGGACGCGTCGCTGGCACGGGTGTGGAGCGCGATGACACATTGGCCAATGACACGGCTCGAGTTCCTGGCCTCATCCTCATGCGTGTGTGGTGCTAATCTCGTCATGGCTATTATTGGCGCCACGGGCATCCTCGAGACTCGAGTACCAGTAAGCTGCTGGTATGTAAGTGTTAGAACACGCCCGCTCCGCCTCCGTTCTTCTGCCTCTTACCGTGCGGATGTGCATGAAGTCTTACTTGTCTTACTCCACTTTGCCACCATGACTCCAACTACGAGAAAATCACTTCTCGTCGCCCTCGCGTTAAGCACGTTTCCTCATGCTTCGTTGGGTCTTGCCGTGCACGGGCCGGAATCCCCCACTACACCGGGTTCAGAAACGCTGCTAGTCGACTCATTGGCAGCAACGTGCAACTTCGTTCTCGGGAGTCTCAGGTTTGACCTATGTCCGCTCGTCCATGGACCAGCGCGGATGATTAAGGATACTCGAGGATCGCACAAGAGGTCGTATGAACTTACTCTCTCAGGTTAGGGAGGAGGCGAACAAGTACGTCGCAATCGGTCTAATAGCTGACTTATGTCGCTCATTATTCGGAAAGGCTAGAGGGCTGGAATGTCCGGTAGGAACGTGGGTTTGTTTGACAGGTGCGTCCACTTACTCTAATCCGGAGAGCCAGCCTTTCAATATGTTGCTAGCAGAATATAGTGCTTCTCCCGAGAGTAATCCATTACTATCTGTACCGATCGCTGGCGAGGGATACAACGCCCACATAAATACCGAAGAAGGGGTTGAGATATCGTTACAGCAACGAAGAGAAGGCGATGATGGTCGGTATTCCATTTGCCCCACTTTCGATGCTCCCATTGAATCCGATCGAACTCTATAGATTCAGTTTTAATTCGCATGGGAGGGAATCGAGATGACACATCTACAGAGGCGATCATAGATCTGCAATGTGGCTCGGGAGAAGAGGTGCGCCATTTCCATTTTTGAGAATATGTGGAAATGATCCGCTTACTTTGATCGACCGGGGAAGAAGGTCGAATTCCTTAGAGCTCGGCACCGACTACACGAGTTCCGTTGGACAAGCCCTCATGCATGTGGGCGTGCGATCAACGGCGCTTCCTCTTCGTCATTGATGATCGACAAGTCCAACGAGAAGCCTAAGGACGGCGGAAAGAAAGACTCAGGAGAAGAGAAGTCGCCTTCAGACGATAACGATGACAAGCCCGAGAACGATCGGAATGATGGTGAAAGGCAGAAGCAGCCTTCGGACGATGAAGAGCCGTCGAAGAAGAAGCCAGCAGACGACAAAGAACCCCCAAAACAGAAGCCGTCTGACGATGATAAGAGTCCAAAGGAAGGCGAGGATGGCAAGAAGCCCTCGGGCGGTGGTGGGGACAAGCCGTCCAAGGAGCCGACAAAGGAGCCGCCGGCCAAGGCGCCTTCGAAGGAACCCCCGAATGAAAAGCACCCAGACCACAGTCGCCACGCGCCCACACCCACCGCTACCGTACCGGCATCTCGCCCCTCGAGTCTGCCTTCCAAAGACAAGGACAGCGGGAACCCCATTCCTCCCCCGAGCAAGGACGAAGATCTAGAAGACGACCAGAATCTCAAGTTCCCCGGCACCGGCCCCCAGCGCAGCATCGCGATCACCACTCTCACCATTGCCTCGTTCAGCCTCGTCACCGTCGCCTGTCTCCTGTACGCGCCCCCGCGCCCGTTGCGGCGCTGGGTCCAGCGGCACCTCAAGCGACGTCAGTTCCGAGTGGGCGAGGTGCGTCTCGTCCGGTGGGCGAACGAGGATGACGACACGTTCGGTATGGACGAGGACGAGATGGTCAATGACCGGCGAGGCGAGGACGAGTACGTGTTTGACGACGAGAGCATCCCGCTCAAGCCGAGTCCGCGCAAGTATCGCCACGCGCACTACGGGAGTGCGAGCTGGTCTTGATTCGTGATTCGCTCAGGCATGGGCGTGGATCCGTAGGGGCATGATAGATGCGATAGATGGGCGGATAGAGTTTAGCGAACACCACCGAGGGTAATAGATGTCTATGGACATGGGAAATAGGTCACTTGTTGTATCTTCTAGCTTCGTGTATCTTGTTAGCAATATGTACTCCCTTGTAAACTTCTTGTTGATATATCTGATCTGTCGTTGGGCTTTCCATTGTGCGTCGAACGGGATGGTATTGGTCAAATGGGTACTGATACAAGTGAAAGCATGGTGGTAACGACATCGAGTCCACAAAGAAGGAACCAAGAAAGTGACAGGTAGGCCATCATAAGGACTAGCCCCAAGCCGCGGTAGTGCTGGATGGGACCAACACATGAGCGGAAACCAGACGATAGAGGCAACGACGCACCTGTAGTTAACTATAAGATGCCCATCCGTCGCAAATGACTGCACATCGTACGTCAGCACAAGCCGCCTTGAGCCGAGAAGGGACGCACCTTGTAGAGATTCGATACTGTATCGTCCGGTGCAGGCGAGAACGCAAGGTTGATGTACGTGAACTATCAGAAAGAACGTAACCATCAGCCAACTTTGCCCTAACTTCATCTCCACCTATGCGAGAAAACAATTAGATGAAAACACACCAGCGGATCCCCAGCCTTCCACCCCAACTCCTTCCTCAAGAACTGAATGACAGCCTGAAACCGGTTCGCAGCGGTGATCTTGTAGAAGTTGGTCTTCATGATAGGCGCATTCCCTACGGCCTTGAACCGCACAATCACTGTTTCATCACGTCATAAAAACAAAACAATGCATACAGGGTATGCAATGACGCACCTTTAGAGGGATACTTTTTCTTGTACGACTCCAGTGCTTGCAGCGCCTCTGGCGCATCGCCCACATCGCTCCATGGGATATTGCTTGCCTGGCCGGGTATCTCCGGACTACCTGGTGTTTGAGCCATGGCCTCTGTGCGAGCTGAAGGGGCTCAGAGGAAGCTTATGAGCGATGGGAGAGTAAAGAGGTCGACGTCGGATACAGGGTTGCGCGGGGTGCGGCAGCGTACCGACGCGCTGAAGGCTATCACGTGTTTGGAGGCCCCTATCTTAGCAACATTCGAAAAGCTTCTGGGGTGGTGTTTCTTGAATCATGCGAGGGCGGGACACAAAGCAGGTGACGATAACAATGACAGGAAAGCAGTAATGTAGTATTACAGATAGCATTTCGAAGTATATAACGGTCAAACCCTCTACGCATCTGAGTCACCTTCAATCGAATGTGATGGTGCAGCAAACTTCCCGCTTCCCCTCGCAAATATGTCCTAGAGATCGCAGAATATCAGGACCATGAGAATTCACGTCCAAATGTGAGCTGACCTTGATGATACCCCTCCCAATCATGCCCAAAGCGGTTCGACTCTCGTATAACGGGTATAGTACGACAGCGAACGCGGAGCAAAACGCCCACCCAATACCAATGCCAACCCACGCCGAGAAACCTTTGACTTCATACACGGTTTGTGCAAAGAAGAGAGGTAGTGGAATGATAATGAGAAGCACCAGCGTCTATAAACCAGTTTGCACGTCGTTACAAAACGGAAGGATATGTGCGAACATACCAAGACGACAGACGCCTGAGCGGCGAGCTTGAAAGCGCTCTTCAGTCTATCCAAGTCGAGTTCTTCGTCTTCTGCTAGCGGTTGTACCTCCTCGACAGATACAGATGCCTCTGGCGTCCTTGGTGATTTCTTTTCTGACATGTCTGCATCCATATCGTCGCTCGTCTTCGCGTCCCGCTTGTGGGTGGGGGCGTTGATAGCGCGTGTGCCAGCGAAGTCGTAGACATCGGGCCACTATCCATCCATTAGTCACTGTCGCCGAAAGCGCCATAAATTGATGCGAACGCACGATACACGAGACAACAGTGGCGATCAACCCTCCCGCACCAATAGACGCGAGGTTACCAGCTAACATTTCGTAGTTACCTCCGCTGGTCTAGTACGCTCATCAGTAAATGTACCCATGCATTGACCAAAGCGACGCACGGTAACGTTGATAACGCCATCGTTCAGACTTGACGTCACACCAAGCCACGCAGCAATACCAGCCGCGAACCCGACCACCGCACCGCCAATGCAGCCATACTTGTTTGCCTTGCGCCAGGTGATGCACAGCGCGATGGGCACGACCGCCGAGCCGAGAATGACACCCATGAAGGTCTAAAAATGACGTTAGCTCGTTCTTCCCCAAACCAATGAAAATGAATCGCATACATAGAGCCAACCCATGGAGACCCCGATGTAATAGAATATTATGCCAGCAAGGGCCATGACAAGGGCAAAAAACACGACCTAGGACAAGACCTCAGCGATTATGACTTTTGGCCACGAAACGAAGAAATCACTTACGCCAGCGTGGCTGACTCGCATGATCTGCTGCTCCGTAGCATCTGGATGGATGTATCTCTGAACAACATGGTCAGGGTACATGTCCAAATGATAGAGCATGCCAAAACGTACCAGGTAAACGTCATAAGTTAAAATTGCAGACACAGCGATAAGCTCGGCACTTGTCGCACTGGTCACAGCCAGGAAGAGCAGAACAAGCAGGGCTGCCGCGCCGCTCTGACCGAGGAGGCCAGCGGCAGCTACGGACGCTGGGAGGCCTTCCGAGATCTGGTCGTTCGTGAGAGGAGGGAGGAGCGCCTGGAAGCCGGCGGCTGTCGCGTTCGCGGTCGGAGAGGTGGGAGATGGTACAACGGAGAGGGCAACCGCAGCCAGACCAAGTGTCGTCGCGAAGCAGAAGGGAATTGCGAACCTTCTCTAAATTAGCCCCTATCCATCTAACCGCTGGAGCAACTGTACTTACCATGCAATACCCCCAAGCAAGTACGCCTTCACAGTCGTCGCAGGGCGACTAGCGATGGCGCGCTGCCAATACGCTTGGTCCTGAAATACAGTTGCGAAGTTGCCGATGAGGTTGATGACGCCGAAGATTAGGCCGTTCTTGGAACGCATGGTAAGGTAAGACCCGCCAGCGTTGCCTGAGACGGGTGAGATGGCGGTAGCTTCCTGCAGGAGGGAGTGCATCTTGGATATGGAGCCGATATAGTCCGAGGTCGCGTACACGGTAAATGCGAAGGTGAATATGATGGCGAAGAGCACAGTAGTGTGCGTACTGAGCTTCCATCGGTCATCTGTACGCGCTTAAGACACGAAAACTCACTAGTCGCAAAGCAATGTAGACCGCATCCCTCCAACAACGACATATATTGCCACTCCAAGAGGGATCAAGAAGCATGCAGCAATCGTACTCATGCCCGTGAGGTCCGTCACCGTCGCCGAGCCGCCAAGCACTAGCATGGACGAGACGATGAGGTTCGTCGCGAGACCGAAGAACATGAGGATAAGGTGCGCCGCAGTGCCCCAGCGCGCGCCGACGATCTCGAGCCACGTGTGAGCGTACGGGGCGTTCATCTTGAGTTTGGCGGCGAGCTGGGCGAAGAGAAGGACTTGCACGGTCGCGCCAGACGCGTACCACCATGGACCCGAGATGCCGTATCGGTAGCCCACCGCGCTCGATTGAAGCTTGCAATGTGTCAGGATTCCGATAGCACGCTTGCAGGAGTGATAACTCACCAGCGTTGCAGCCCATGTCCATGCAGAGACGATTCCTGACGCGATCAGCCCTGGCTTGACGCTTCGAGACGCGGAGGTGAATTCCTCAGAGTTCTTTGGGGAGTATCCGGTGTAGCGGGCTTGGATTGCTGTTAGGAGCACCATGAAGGCGCTGAAGAAGAGACCAATGCCTAGAGCGCGTTCACCATCACGCCTTCGAGAAGTCGAATGCCAACATACCGATCACTGTCGCGCGAGTTAGACGCGAGAACCGCTGCAGATAACACGCTGTACTTACCAACACCATAGCCAGCCCCCTGCGGGAGGACCTCTGCGGAAGACATGACCGCGCGAACACTGTGCTCTGCGACGTTGCTCATCGTCGTTTATATCAACGAACCGTGGGGGCCCGAACAGTGATTGAGTTGGGCCCAAACCGCTTATCTCTGCATTCTTGGATTGGGGGCACACGAGAGATAACGGCACGGTCATGAGCGCTTCTCCACTCCTTATCGCAGCTATTCAATCCTTACTGGTCCATCCACCGCCGTGTCCCTATCGAACATGGCTCCTGCAGGCATTAGTTACATACTCACCAACGAATACTGTAAGGACCTACACTGGAAAACATAGTCGAGGAAAGAGGAACGACGGACGACCCAGAGGTGAGGTGGGGTGTCAAGTTGCCGAACGGGAGATAAGGACCGCCTGAGCCGGTGGCCGCGCCAAGTAAACGAGCAGATGCTACGATGATGGCTTGGTTGTGTCGCCACACGGAGAGCCGTGCAGACCGAGTGGCACATGTAGCACAGGCTTGCTGGAGATTGCATCAAATGCATCAGAGGTTCGAAGAAAGCATGCATAGGCCTCTCACAGGTGTCGAGATATTGTAAGATGTGGTGGACAGTGAGAGTAACCGTCTTCCAGCTTTGCCCCGGCTTCTCCTCGTAGGCATGTTCCCAGAGCAGGTTCCCAGACTAAATATAGCCGACGTGAGTGATAAAAAGGCATGACCCACAGCAACAGAAGAGTTGATGTCCTAAACTTATGAGTAGAGAGCAAAAGAATTTGACAACTGTGAGATTCGAACTCACGCCCTTTCGGACCAGATCCTGATTCTGGCGCCTTAGACCGCTCGGCCAAGTTGCCTGTTGAAGAACGGGATCAAAGCGTTTATATAACTGTTGCTTTATTTTGCATCGGCTAATCTTATCTTCTCTGAGATCTGAACCACCATTGGCAAGCAGAGCTAACTTCAACCTGAGACAAGAATGATAATTTGAAAATTAAAGGCAGCCAGTAGCAGTGGCAATGGGTACGTTCTCAAGAAACATCACGACCTCGCAAGGTACCTCCGACTCAGAGACCTGAAACTCCGGAAGCTCGACCGACATAAATAGTCAAAACGTAATAAACCTGCAGGATCAAAGGTTAACTCTACGATGCCACCTACGTCATCATCTTTTGCTCAACCAAAAATGCTCGCTAAGGGTAGAAAAGTCATTTCATTTCGGCAAATACAGGTGTCATTTTCCTGATGTATAGCGCGAAGCAATACATGTCGGCCAGAACTAGAAGTGTGCGCCGTGGAAGCAGAAAACCTGTCAGGCTATCCACGCCCTGTAAATCTGCCTTTTTACGTGTAGAGCATTTAGAGTTGTCTTATGGCACACGGGGTCGCTTCGCCTTTACCAGGCCCGCCCGGTCCCTTTCTCCCGGAAGAGGGAATAACTTGGCTCTTCGAAGGAATCGGGCGCTGTGCAAGGGGACTGGTGAGCGAGCGTGTAAAACGTGGAAAGGAGCATCCCACCCAATGAGGTTTCGGCGATCCCACCATTCCCCGCGGGGGGCGCCGATGGGTGCTTCGCGAGTTCGAGTTCTCAGAACAACCGCACCGTCCAATCCTCGGCCGCGAGCGATTAGCTTAAAGAAGTAGCCCCACGCCGCGCTGGACAGAGAAGCCATCGGCTTCATGTCCGAACGAGCGAAACCAGATTGTACTCTACAGAAGTTAAGAAGCCTAATAATGCTAGACCAAGAAGCATTCACAAAACGGAAGGAGGTCTACTTTTTCACGCTCAGCGAATGTCGCTCTCGCACACATGCACAACACCAACGCCGGTCCGCGGGGCCCTGTTCTTGAAGGAAGCACGAATTTTTATCGGATTACGTTCGGACATTTGTGATTCTTTACGTTTCTTTAGGTGCGAAAACATACACGCACATGATGCAACGAGGCACAGGCTGCGGTCCTCCCACATCATCCTAGCCGGAGGAGAAAAAATCTCCTAAATGTCTTGCGAGTGATAAATCAACGGCATCACGCGTGGGTGCGCTAGCAAGTGTCATCTCAAGATGCACGAGGAACACACCGGAGGAAGATGTTCTTAAGTAGGAAAGATCGACCCGGCGGCTGGTTCGGGTACCAGGCAACGTCGAGACGAAGTTGACGACCAACGTCGCTTAGCTTCAAGCCAATCACTGTTCGCTAGATGCCCTTGATGGTGAAGCAAGCTTTGCAATGCTCCGGTCTGATCGTGCAAGTCCCTGAAACTGATACATAAACACTTATAGTTCCACCAACAAGCATCCTGACGCAGATGATCCTCCCGTCCTCGCTTGTCGGTACATAGCTGATGATTAACTGTGACAACGCATGGCAGATGCGCGCGTGCTCGAGATGCTTAGGCGAAGCGACCATAGGGCGTGCCTAGCCTTACCTCCGACGCAACGACACCGGTGGAAGCAGGAGGTGTTGACGTTGTCTCGCGTGTCCAACGGCCAATCACACAGTGCTTCGACATGCTTGGCAACCGAGAAGGCGGAGTCTTGCGGTAAAAGGTTAACGATGATGACCTCATCTCGTCCCGACCACGAACCCCGGCCTTGACCAGGAAGCAACAGTAAGCGACAACTGTCATTGGTCCTGGAGCCACCATCTCAGTCAGCTTGGGTCGAGGTTTTGCTCTAGAAGAGGTGCAAGAAGATGCACACCGTTTATGACTGTGACGTTACAGGGGTCAACAGGCACTCGAATCTCAGTTGGCGGTGCGGGGGCCCCAGGACTACCGGTGGAGCAACTTGGAGCGGATGAATAATATCACTTGACCGGTATATGTATTCGATCTTTTGGCTCACTCAGCGCCTTCAATGGAGGTCAAACCCCCGCTTCCACGATCGAGGGAGCTTGAGCCATTATTGCGAGAAACAGTCGGACTCTGAGCGCTACACATTGATATACTTTGAGAATGATCTTGCGCTTGAGAGATATTCGGAATTTCGTCAAGGTTTTTCTTTAAATCCGAATAGTAAGACACACTTTTAAGTTATGGGTGCGTGTTGACCAAAAGAGAAACTCGGTGGGTGTCACTTCCAGGCAGTGCAAGTCAAGTGATGATGTACGGACAATATGAGTCCTCGGATCGAAGAACCGGAAAGCCTGAACGTCTGACGGGACCGTGCGCGCGTGCTCGAGCCTCAGCGGAGTGAGAAGCAAGCGTACCCACAGACACGCTCTGGCGCGCTCGCACTCCAGTCTCCAACCCATTCATTCCCCAGAGAGGTATTTCCGTTATTCTCCGCGCCTCGCCAATACACTTGAACGAGCTCACCTGACGTCCTACAGTAGGCGACCCTGACCCGCACTGTCATCTGCTCCGCCCCGCCACGGTTAGACGGGCCTTGACATCCGCAGGCCTCAGGAGCGCGACTCAGGCGGAACTCGCTGCTCAACCTTCCTTTCCAAAGTGCATCCGACACCTGACCGAGGTTCGGAGGTCAACGTCGCCGTGACCCTGTACTAGTGGATCGTAGCGCGGGGCCCACCTGTTCGCTAAGTGCTATCTGCGTAAGCACGCAACACACACCTGCGCCAACGGAGGCAAGTGGCAGCTTTCACTTCCGGACAGCCCAGAGCTCGAACGGAGAGGTCCAAAGGTTACCGGCCTGCAAGAACGCCGTCGTTTTGACATGGAAGTGCCTTGTCAAGCCAGATCAGGCAATCCTTCCCGCTCCGCCGTGCCGAATATGGCCAAGTCATAGCCCGAAAAGGGGACCCGTCCCGCGTACGCCGTCTCCCGCTGTCGGATTCGCGGAAGTAAAAAGAAAAGAAAAAAGAAATCGACCGAGGCAAGGTCGCATAACCTGTCGAACGTTATGAATCTGCCGCGATCGCCAGATGCGACGCGAGGACACCCCAGAAATGTCAAGGACGTCAGGACGTCACTGGTCGCCGTCCGCGTACTGTATGTAGGCTCGTGCAGCGCCACGCTCCTAGGGTCGCCGATGACATTCATTGGTGCATCGGGTGATATGTCTTGTCAGACCCTCTTTCCAGACCCTAGGTCTGAGCGTCAGCTCTTACAATGGCCAGCACAAACGTCGAGGTAAAAGTGGGATAGTCAGGTACCTTGCGTACGTACGAGAAGACCCCTAGAATGTAAGGATAGCGTCACAGAGAACAAGACGTTTGGGGAAGAGCCGAGGATTGAATGTTGACCAACGGCCCCTGCACTATCCTTATTTCCGGGTTGAATACCGCACGTTGAGTTCATGAAATGCAAATGCTCAACATTCATATGAAGACCTCCTGACCCACAAGAGCACCCTTTGATAACGGATAAAGTTATGGTGTACAAAGTCGAAGGTCTTTCTCGGGTCCGGGCTCTAGGGTCGTTCGACAATGTCAATAATCCAGTGATCAAAGCGATTGACGGTGTCAAGATGAACACGACATGCTTACCTGCTGCACATTGTCTTGAGCGGTCTTGATGCGTAAGTGTATCCAGGATATCGAAAGATAGAACGTATGCTATATCATACCACATCACCAGGTAAGTTAGCACCGATTTATACGAGATCATACGGATATGCACCCCGACGTGTTTCTAACCTTTTAGCGGTGCCTCGCCTTGTGCACGTCGGGTTCTAGACTCGACACGCTCACGCTCTTGTAAGCTTGCGAGCGCGCGCCAGCCAATGACAAGCGAGCAAGAGGGTTTTTCCGAGGTTTGATGGGCCCATGCATCACCAAAGACTATTGGCCGCGCGGCGCGCGCGACCGACGACCGGGCAGCAGCGGGCAGTTGCATGCAGCTTGCAATTGAGATCAGCGCGTGGGCGGCCCGCGTATATAGGCGGGCAACTAACCGCCGAGTGTCGTACTGCTGCGCAGTTCGATCATCAACTAGTATTGATCACGCCCTGACGCGTAAGAATTAACTCCGTCCACGAATGATGACAGTGAATGCACAAGTGTAACATTGTCATATGCGATGCGTCAGTGCACCAGGGCGATCAAAGCTCTCGGTAAAATTGCTTGAACGCGTTCGAACGAAGAGTGCGAGTAACCCAAGCCAGTTGATTCATTAAATTAGTCTGAATCTATATGTAGCAGCGACCCAAGTACTATGCTACCGGTATTAGAATTCCAATAAGACCCATGTAGTACCCAGCAAAAACAGAGGACGCTGGTGAGACAAGACACCGCGACCGGAGGATAGAAAGACGCAAGAGAGATAGAGAAAGACGGACGGATGCCATGGTATGTGCGTGTACGAGGGGAATATATGCGATGATAGGTCTAAACTTGATGCAATATGATGAGGAGACGGAGGTCATGTGGGATGAATGAGGTGCCGCATAGTGGAGGCGAGAGAGGTAGAGGACGGCGATGCAGGAGAGAGAAAAAATCTACAGTACGATAGCATGAAAGCATGGCGACGAGGAATCAGGAGACAATCATGTCGAGAATTTTTTCTGCAAAAAGGGGGAGAGATAAGCAACAGGGGAGGAGACACGACGATTGGTAAACTTACTGATGACTTCATCATAAGAGGTGGCTCAGAGCCTGGCGAGCTTGGGTTTGGCTGGGGCTGGGATAGAATGTCAGCGACGAGAACGAAGACAGCGTGGATAATATACTCACGACAACCATGTATGGAGGAATGGCGTTGTGAGCCTGAGGAGACGAGGCAGTCTTTGAGAGGGCTTTTTTCAGCTGAAAAGAGAGACGAGACGCGGTCAGGTGAAAAGCTGAGACAGAGATGGCGCGAGCTATTCACCTTGGCCTCACTCTCTGCGGCGCGTTGAGCAAACATGCTGTGATGAAGCGAGATGCCGTCGAGGCTGGTAGCCTGAGGGAGACTCGAGAGGGAGCAAGAAAGGCTAGGGAGAGCGGTGAGCTTCTCGGTGCGCTTGGCGGTCGAAGTCATGATGGTGTTTTGATGTTGACGAAGATAAGGGCAGTCGATGACACCGAAGAGTGGTTTAAAGACTAAAAGCCTAAGATGGTGGGTAGTGGGAGGGGATGACGGAAACGTCTGGTGCGCACAGGACTTGCTGGGACGGGTGAGGGTGAGGACGGTAATGCAAAGAGACAGAGAACTTATATCAGTACGCGAGTCGCGGGGCGTTGGTGGTTGGGCCATAGTTGCCATACTGGGGATTCAGATTCGATCTGGACAAGAAGAGCGTATCAGATCCAACCCTGGCCATGGGGATTCCGGCCGATTGCGGAATGGGTATGCACTTTTCTCCCACCGTCGCGCGGTTCGCATAACGATGTGCACGACCAGATCCCGATTACATACAGACGACGCGCGAATTTGCAACTAACAATTCCATGGCATGTGTGCCCTGTCACCTTGAATCTGCCCCCATTTCGGGGACCATCCTCCCTCTGTGGTCTGGAACGCAACGGACGTCGATAAGCCTCGCTTAACCGTAACTGCAGATCCCCTCGCCGATTGACTCGGTGGCCATCTCAGGCTGACGCAGCAGATTATCCACACACAACCTTCTCCCGCCCCTCCTTAACTCGACAGCCGCATCTCCTAGCTAGCAACCATATCGCATATCGCAAAACACTCGTCAGCCTCTCCTCTTCCATTGTGTGATTGTTTCCCAATCGCGTCGGGGGTGTTTTGAAAGCGCTGCGGGCGTATTCATCTCCCCTCCATGAATAACTACACCAACTGAATGCGATCACGACCAACTCAAAATCCCAAAGTGACTTTTCAATTGGCGAGAAGCCCTCCCTCTTCGCTGTCTGACCCTCAAACTGCACGCAACGAGCCAACGTCAGCTTATCAGAGTTGCGACAGCAAATCGACTGTCATTGCGCAACTTGTCCCCATCCGTCTTTCTTACGGTACAACCGAACACGCTGTGAGTCGTGTTGTGAACCTTGAACCCACCTGTATCCCGGTCTCAACCCGTCTCATTCATGATTCTTGCGGTGCATTGCCGTGGTTTCCGGTCGGGTTTTCCCGCGATCGACCCCCCACGGTCGTCATTAACTTGTCTCATGTTTCATCCACGGCCGATATATGTCGAGCGCTCCGTGGAGGTTCCATGTCATCCCCCGCCGGCCCGCCCGTCAGCTGATTGCCCATGGGCGCTGCCATTACGTGCCTGCGCCCCGCACTCCCCACTCAGCACGACGTCGGCTACAGAGTTTGCGGGGTGTGTCGAACTCAGCTCAAGTTGCCTGGTGTTGCGGTGTGCAAGGGTCAGGGACGATATGTTGCTCCGATGACCTCGTACCACCGCACGCTTCCACGTGAACGAATCGCGCGACGTTCACGGTCAGATAGGAAACAACCTGAATTATACATGGTCCACCGAGCAGGATCCATCGGCGGAAGCTTTTGAGGTCGTCTCTCGCTCGCTGACGATGTGGGTTTTGTTCCGTCTGATCTGGGACGGGATGGCATTTTCGTTTCCACGCGTCTGGAATAACCTCACCTCCTTCGGCAACTACCGCCCCGGCTATCTATCTATGTCCTTCTGACCCCCTAGCCGCCTCCTCATCCGTGACTAGTATCCTCTTCCCTGGCCCGGAGGCGTTCACTATCCCTTCTTCGAAGCACTTCCTCGACAAATGACAGGCACGTTCGTGGCTTCACCGCCCGCTATAGCTCGCAACGTTCCATGGCAGTTACCAGTAGCACAACTCGCCGCTGCCAGGTCCGAGCTAAAGGGCCGGCTGATTCCCCACGGTGTCGGCTCAACACGCACGCAGCGACACAGGCTAAACCTAGAGTTATCCTCGGCGTGTCGTACTCAAGGCATCCACGCCCACGCCACATACGCCACGCCCACGACTCGTTCACGACTCAACCCACCTGGCTCGGGCCGCCGGACCCGCACTTAGGCTCAGCTCATAGAACTCGCTCATTAGCACCGCCGCATCTCTTGAGAAGACTTGTACACCTGGCACGAGCATCATCGCCGCTAAATCTACGCAGTGACTGTTCTCTCTGTGCGCGCCTGGCGCCCCGCCCGCTCTCCCGGGGCGCGCTGCCCATGTATGGTCTAGTGCGTCCCCTTCAGCGATCAAGCAATCAAGCTATCGGCGGCACGGTCCGGGCTCAAAACCTTTGAGTTATTGCATACCAACTGATCGCGCTGCCTCTATCTCGTCCGTTCTAGACGAGCATGTGTCGTCGCCGCGGACGTAGAAAACCTTGGATTCGATCAATGCATTCAAATACATCGAATAAGGCTTACCTGTATTGCTGCAGTGCGATGTTTTGAACTGGAAGGGGGGCCGGGCGGCCCACTTGAACCCCGGCAATGAATGTTAGCGTCCTGGGGTTGATACGCGCAACGTGGCGGTCAGGGTGCGCAACGAAGTGATGTCTTATCGCGCAATTCATTGACGAGAGCAGAAAGACCGATGTGTATTCAACTACAAGCGAGAGGGGAAATCAGCTGTGCGTGCCTCCTGTGATTCATTAGCGCGTTCTTTCATTCACTTCGCGTATTCATATCAGGTCGCGAAGCAATGTGAGCAAATAGCAGTTGTGACCTCAACCCCTCAACCTTATGCCAGTCCACACAGCGCAATGCGCGTTATCGCAGACAAACGTCTCCTGACACAAACTCAGGGGATCTGATACAGCCGTACGTGTCATGTATTGCGCCCAATGGTGTCCCCTTGTGCTGTTTTACGTTACAGTAAGATGCTCAAATTCAACAACTAAAGCATGATACTCGGTGCACCCTTTACGTCCAAACTGCACCGGGTTCTCAAAAACGTGGCAGCGCACTGTAAATACCCCTTGCCCTCCTCGCCCCGCTTCTGAATGAATTTGAAATTCCAACACTTTATCGACACCGAGATTGCCGGAAACGCGTCCTCCAGGAGAACAGTACTATGGACAAAGGTGGATCCCATGGTATATCCCTCCTTCGCTGGCCGGTGCGTGTTCGCATCTCCCGGAAAAAGCGACAGGATATACTTATCGCCAGTACTTCGTGTTCATCCAGAGTAGCCTCAGTCTCCGTCCCCTCGGCTTCGCGTTCGCAGGACGCGCGTTCCGTGCCTGCCAAATGAATGCTCTATGACTCGGATGACCCCTCCACGACCAATCGGACTCGACATCGGATCGAACGCATACGGGCGGGACGCCTCCGCAGAGCTGCCCTCGCTCGGGCCTCAAGTCGTATATATAGACTCATCCAACCGGGCAATAGCGAAGCTGCTGTACCGGCCCGCAGGGCTCAGTTGGCTTGATGCATTCTCAGACCTCAGACCCTCCGAGGCACATCCGCAGGCAGGCAAAACATAAAAGGACGCTTTTCACGAGCAACCGCTTCCGAGCTTGCTGAAAAGCTCTACGCATTTGAAATGAGAAGCCTGCGAGCCACCCTCCGGGGCGAGGTGAGCTTCATTGACGACCTCTACTTCCTGTGTTTTCCCGTTCTTCTGGCTGCCGCGGACGAAATATGTTTTTGAGGGTTCGAAGGTTAAACCTACATATTTCTCCGAACACAGATGCAACTCTGAGCGCTGGTTAGGGGCCCGTGGCGATGGTATGGCAATCAAAGCCACGGGTATTGACCTTTTCTAAAAAGAAGTTCCCGTTATAAAAAAACTCTATGAGGGAACATGGACGTCGAGCTCCGCGAGCTGTTTCGCATACGTATGTCTAAACTCGCGGTCTTTGAGAACATGTTTCGGAGAAGCGGACATGGAAACACACATGGCCAAAAAGTTTCATGTGTCGGAACTCCGCTGAGTCCCGTTCTGCATACTCTCACTTTTTCGGCTCTGCTTTTTCCGCCTGCTGCTGCGCAGAAGCACATTCGGGTATGTTCGGACGCGAGTGTATGTCGTTGCTTCTAGCTCTCTCTGTTGACCATGGTCGGTGTCCCTCGGTATACTACCCCTAGCATTATCCATGGACTTAAAGCTGGCCGCGCAGAGCTAACAAGCCAATGATCAACGTTCGTCGGCCATCGTGATTTTTCACATAAATGCTGCCTCTCTTCTGATCCTCCCACGTCACGCATCCCACGGTCGTTGCTCGTTGCTCGCTGACGCCCGTACTCGCAGGCGACCAACGAGATCGCAGGTAATGCCCTAATCGGTCTTCATCTGTGCGTTATCTGATCAAACGCGTCTTTATCAGCGCTGATAACACCAGCATCGGCGACTCGCCGTTCCCTGGGCTCACAACATCCTTATGGATCGGTAAGTATCGCTATCAGCCCTCGGAATCCTTCGAGACACCGACCGCAACAGCCCGAGCTGGAGGGTGCGGAGATGCGTGATCACCGCCGCACACACCCATACGTAATCGCGCCGTGCTGATCGAAGCCAACGACGAAGCATACCATTATCGGAGTGGTGTACATGACGTTGGTAGCGTCATCAGCGTCATGACCGGTCATTGTGCACTTCTGTTCTATTCTTCTCGCTGACACAATCGATGCACAGCTTGCCGTACCCGCTTCTATTCGCGCGGGCGCGTTCTTCTTCGGGCCGGGGTACCATCGAATGGTGTGCCTGGGGTTACAGTTGTGTTATCGCGCCTCAGGCGATCGCCAGCCTCCGGGCCTCCTCGAGGCGCGCCTCCTGGCGTTGGGGGCGGGGAGTCTTGCTGTGCGCCTTTGGGCTTCTAGTGCGTCATGCGGAGAACACGCGCCGATCCATGCGACTCAAACGTGCGTGTGAAGGGCGATCTACAATGTAAGCTGTCAATCGATCTTTATGAATGGGCCCTAGTGCCTTGCTGCAAGTTGTGTTTTGAGGCTACTTTCCGAGAGTCGCATTTTCCGAGGGCATTACACTCGATCATCGTGATGCGGCGCCGGCGCGTGCAAGCAGCGGACCGCACAATGGTGTCTGTGACAGATTCGAATAATAGGCGCCGGAGAACACACCCCGACGTGTGCTCAGGCACCGCTCTCCTGACTCGCTCGAGTCGGAACAATTGCATCCCTTCTCTTCTCGCTGTGTCTCGGAGCCACCGACTCGTTTCGAGGTCAGTGTCAAGTTTCAGCGCATGCCTAGACCAACGCGTAGACCAACGCGTGTAATCTTATGTACGTGCAACTTCAATGCATACGTGAAACAATCCTGTTTGTGCACTTTTGGAAGTAGACCTTCCATTATAGCAATCGTCGGTTCCCTCGCTTGGGAAGAGAGGCTGTATGTTCTACTGTAAGTGTCATGCGTCGATCTGTGAGTCCTCGCCACCCCACAACCCCGAGAGCTGATCATTTCGCATGTTGTAACACCCTCTTTCACTGGGCATATGGGCGTTCCACCGCCACCTTCTGCGGTCCAGACTCACTATTGTACACAGTGACATCGTACAGCAGTGTCTCTTACAACAAGGTCATAACGAGGTCGCCACAACCGACCATCTTAAAGTGAGATTGTTGCAAACTCTTTCCGAAAGACTGGCTTTGTACGATATGGGAGGCCTATTACCGTTCTTGACGAGGTACTAATACGTAGTTTAGGTCGAACCATATAATTTTGGACGATCGAGAGTGGAACCAGACCGCAGGCGAAACCCAGGCCCAGCGAGGTATTCTTTATGCAGAGTTCAAACGTTGATGGCACCCCCGAGTAACTTTAGCATGCTCCAAAAAAGCTCAAAAGCTCATCCCTGGCCCTTTCGAGGCCCCCTCAGCTGAGAATCAGACTCGGGGCATTCACCGTGATGCCTGAGCGAGTCACTTCATATCACGGCTGAGTCCTGTCAATCCGAGACCAGGCAAGGCTGATCCATGTCTTACGCGATAAGGTCGCAGAAAGAGCGCAAGCATAATCTTATATTGGGCTCCTGTGCAAGTTGAGAGCGGTGTATTTGCTTTACCCAATAGCGCAAGCATCACAAAGCAGCGGTTGAAACGTTGAAGTCTCACCCACTCGGAAGTTGATAAGGTCCTAGAGTATACCGCTGAGCCACTGACGCCAATTGTAGGAGACGGAAAACAAACGGTTCTATTCTTATACACCTCGATTTGATGCCCGAGCACCGCAACGCGAGCCGCGCGGTTAATAACTTTCGCGTATCCCGAGTAACTCTATCACTTGCCGACACCCCCGAAGCCGTACAAGGCCGGGGAAAGCCTATATGAAGCGTAAATTTTCATCCAACGCCACTTACATAGCGATAGAGAGTTGGACGCAACCTACCTTGACGGCATGCACGCACTGGTCATCCGGCGGGCCATATTGGGTGATACTAGTACCATATCCGTGAACTTGATGACTACTATGAAAATGAACTCGCTGGTTAGCCTGACTAACTGGTCCGTGGTATGTCCCCACGACTAAACGCACAGGGATATGAGCATATACGGAATCGTGTACACGGCGAAACGAGTGGCTGATCGGCGACGTCAGGGCTGTGACGACATGACTTTAGGCTCGCAGTCAGGAATAGCTAAAACACATTACCGAGGTAGTGTCAGGCTATCAGCGTGTCTAGTTTAGTACCGCTGTGGGAATGAGATAAGCACATTGCAAACGCGACCTTCTGAAAAGTGGTGAAGAATGCGTGGAGATCGAAAGCTAAAAAGCTATGACCACCTTCAGCCCGAGCAATCAGAAGTGAAGCACCATTTATCGGTCCGAGTGGCAAGGAAAATGAATGGTAAATGATATCAGAACATGCACATGAGAAAATCTGCGGCGTACAAGAAGTTAGTCCTTGACACAAACGACATGCATGTCGTAAAGCATACATTAGAGAGAGTAGGGGGGAGTTAAAGGTGATGAATGATGGCGAAGAAAGGAAATTGTGTCCTGCTCGCGTCATCCCATAGAATAGTGTGTGGGCGTGGTGTGTATCAGCCAACTACCCATTGGCTCAAAGCCACATTGCGACAATGCGCAAAACTGGATCTCCGAGGAGGTGCAGGCGCGACTTGCCGAAGACACATCCAGGATTGGTTAGTGCCGTCGGTAGTGGCACTGGGGGCCGGGGTGAATGTATGGTAGGCGCTGATTAACGGAACAAAGATGGGCCGAGCACAAGCGGAGACGGAACAGACTTCGGGATTACACGCGAGGGGGGGAAATCTCGGGTTCACGAAAGAGAAATCAAATGCTTCGACGTGAACGTGTTGTGCAGCCAAGGTGCCTCGACCCTGGCACAGAGATAAATGTCGAAAGTGTCTCAGTTTACTATGGAAGAAGTGAAGCACCGACGATGTAAAAAGGCGAGGGGTAAATGAAAGTAAAAGGGCGCACTGTGAGAGTAACAAAGAAGACAGCTGAGTGTGCATCGTAGCCCGAAAACCAACAGCGGGGAGATAATCAAGGCCGGCGCCTGTCGACTGGCCTATTCGACCCATCAACGCGCTAGGAGATGCTTCCATAGCTTGCTTGCTGCCAGCAACATACTTTCACCCCTCTACTCATTGAACGGAAGGGGGGAGGAGGAGGAAGGCCACTAAAAAGAATTAGGTGCCTCGTTGGCATTCATAGGCACCGTCGTGAGCGCGACGGGCAAGTTCGGGGTGGGCCAGACTGTGACACAGTATAGTCTGGATATTCTGCATCAGATAGTCACTCACATGTAAGCGTAAGCTACTTGCCTTTCCGCTCACCATCACCGACCTGCAAGGCTAAGTACGAGCGCATATTAGGTAGAACAAGCAGACTTACATCTCACCGATGTCTCCCTTGTGGTTGAAGACATTGAAACCTCCTGTCGTGGTAAGAACCTCCTGAACAAATACACTGTCCTTCCAAACTCCTTGACCTACGCCATCTTACTGGACTCTGGCTCAGCGAGTGGGCGGATTTGTTCGCTTGTAGTACCATTGCAGGCCCGCTCGGTTGACGCCTCCAGAGTACTCCGGTTACCCGGTCGGAACGTGGATCTTCGGTTGTAGCGAACCGTCAGCCGGAGCAAACAGAATCCCACCCGATCGCACACCGCTCTCAAGAAGAACAAGAAGAACAAGAAGAACAAACACTTCTATTCTTGCACCCACTTAGTTTTAACAATCGGATGCTCAAGGCGCACGGCTGATAACCATTCCCTACTCGAGCACCTTGCTCACCCAACGCCCGTACCGCGCGAAGCCAGAGGTGGCTTACGCTACGCCACGTGTATTTTGATCCGCCCCCAGCCATCTACGCATGGCTGCTCCCAAGGGCTCAGAGGAGCAGTTACTCGACAGCCTGCACGCCATCGTACTTGGGCAGCCGTTCGCACGCCTCCTTCCACTCGATGGTCCCGTCCACGAGCTCGGTGACGACGGCGATGACATCATCAATGGAACCAATCAGTTGGTCGGTCGTATCGCGTTCCCTGAGTGGCCAGTCGAGATCACCGAGATATGAGCGCATGAGGCAAACGGCATAGACGAAGGCGGAACGGATGGTTGATCGGCGAACGTGAGGGTCAATGACGTGAGTAACAGTTCCACGTCAGAAATAGGAAGAAAGGCTCACCGAAGCGTCATTGTCCGGTTTTGCACCGCTATCGGGGGAAACAGAGATAGAGATAAGCATAACGTGAACGTGAATAACCCAAACGAGCAGCGATGAGAGGACGTAGAGCGAAGGTTAAGTAGCCATGGCTGGCCGTAGATTGGGAAATTTATAATAAAGGAACGTTCGCTGGTCCGGAGGACGTGAAAGATGAAAAATGGATGATTTGAGAGCACAAACGTGAGAATGTCCGTGGCGTCAGATAGCTTCTACCAACGATACGCGGCGGACGGTGTATACGTCGGAAAAGGCACAGCGCAAAAGGACACAGATAAAGGAAAATGAAAGAAGACGACGAAAAAGAGAGATGCGCCGCTCGCTCGCATCATCTAAAGAATGATATGCGGATATGACGTGCTCAGCCCACCACTCAATAATCCATAAGCCCAAAGCGACAACCGTGATTGGTGGGTATCATCAACGGAGGCTTAGAGAAGCCCAGTGTGGATCCATGGCAAGGGCCAAATGACGGAACAAAAGTAGGGCCAATGGGCTGAAATGCGGAGCGGAACGGAAACACAGCAAGATACGTGAAGAAAGAAAGAATCAGGGCCAAGGAGCAGAGTGCCGCGAGCATCTCGGAGTTGTATCCTCGGTCAACGAGGGTATAACAATGAAAGGGCATGGAAGCCCAGAGCCCAGAACGCCGGGTAACGGAAACACCGATGAGACAGGGACAACAGGCACGAGGTACAGCATGAGAGAGAAAGCAAGAAAACCAAAACAACGCGAGGTGCATGGCAGCCTGTGGCTAGTCCCGACGACACAAAAATGAAAGGGGGAGCCTGCAAGACGCAGGGAAGAGGACCAGGAACGATGAGGAGACAACAGCTCTGACATAAAACATGACAGAGTAAGGGAGACAAAAGAGAGGACGCGAAACAGTAGAAACCGAGAGTGTGTGTGAGAGTGAAAAAGAAAAGCACGCACAAGCAAAGTCCAGCGTAATCCCAAACGGCGTGCCCAGCTCGTCATTGCGCGCATAGCGCTTGCCGATCGACGTGTTCGAGTCGTCCACACGCGAGAAGATGCCCGCCTTGCGCAGCTTGCTCGCTGTGTTCCCATTCGCCGTGAGCATTCCATCCAATCCTTCCCAAAAGAGGGTGGCACGTACAAACTTCCCGCACAAGGGGATCGAACTCTTCCCTTGCGCTCAGGGGCACAATGAGCACCTTAGTGGGCGCGACGACGGGCGGGAGCGAGAGCACACCGCGCTCGACGTCCTGCTCACGGGACCAGAAGGAGTGCTCGAGGAGGGTATAGAGGATGCGGCCGAACCCGAACGAGGGTTCAATCACGTTGGGAGTGAATTCGCGGACTGTCATAGGCATAGATGAGGACGGAAGAACGCTAGAGGAAATGAAACGACGCACTGGACTGCTTGAACGTCTTGCGCTCGATGGTGACCATCTCGGCCGTGAGTGTGAGCTCTTTGCCCTCCGCCACGATCGTCGTCGAGCTACGCACACCCCGTCATGAGCACACAAGGCAGCCCGAACAACAAACCCGGACTCACCCCTGCGCGAGCTCGCCCTTGAGCTTCAAAAGCTTCACATCGTCCATCTCGCCCACGACCTTCTGAATGAGGCCCGCGTCCTTGCCAAACGTCTTGCCCAACACCTTCTTGTTGAACTCCGCCGTCTCCCGCTCAGTCACCACAGGCTCCTTGAGCGCGACCCTAACCACAAGCGGCTGCCCCGTCTTGTTCGCGTGCACAGTCAGATCGTACGCCGCGCGGTCCGCACACCCAACACACTCCGTCCACCCCGTCGAGTTGTGGATCTCCGCGTCCCAGCAGTCCGTCGCATAGTGCGCCATCTCGTTGTCCATGTGCTGCCGGAACCGCAGCCGCGTCTCGTTCACGCCGATCTTGAGCAGGAACGAGTGGATGCGCGCGATGAAGTACCCGAGCGTCGCGTTCGCGACGATGCCCTTGTCGACGGCTTCGCCGATGGTCATGGGCACGACCTGCGACGAGCCAGAGAGCTGCACGTCGCGCGGCAGGAGCGCGAGCACGGTGTCGCGGACCTCGTGGAACCGCTCGTGCGACTTGTCGAGCGGGTCGACAAAGTGCTCGATCTCGCCCATCGTGAACTCGCGCACGCGCAGCAGCCCGGCGCGGGGAGAGATCTCATTACGGAAGGAGCGACCAACCTGGGCGGAGGCGAAAGGGACACGGCCGTTGTTAAAGTCGAGCAGGCGCGAGAAGTTGAGGAAATGGCCTTGGGCGGTTTCGGGCCGGAGGTAGCTGAAAGAAAGCGATTGTTAGTTCACGGTCCAAGGAAAGGGGTTCGAGATGGGAGGGTGGACGAATGTATGCATGGCTGCAGATAGAATATAAGCTCACCCAGGATGCTGCCCAGTAGGCCCAATACTACTCGCAAACATCAAGTTGAACTGCTGCGGCTCCCCAACCTCGTTGTCCGTGTCCGGGTTGCGCAGGTCGTGCTTCCTGCAAAGCTCACCGAGCTCGGGCCCACCATAGTTGTCCAACTACACGCCGGACCACACGTCAGCGATCCATCGACGCGTACAACCAACCGTACAAGCGCAGCACAACCCACCTGAGCAAGAATCGTCTCGTACTCCTTCACAACCTCGTCCGCAAGCTGCACCGCCGTCGCCTTCACCTGCTTCTTCTTCCTCTTCTTATCCTCCTTCGTCTCCTCCCTCGGCTCCGCCGCCTTCCCCCGCGCCTCCAGATCACCCGCGAGCCTTGCTTCCAACACACCTTTCACGAGATGGTCCGCGCGCAGCACGTCCCCCGTCTTGCTGTCCTTGACCATCCAGTCCGCGAAGCGCGCGACGTGCCCCGACGTCTCGAACACGGTCGCGGGTGTCAGATTCGTGCTGTCGAGCTCGAGCATGTGGTCCTCGATGACGAAGTGTTTGCGCCATTCGGCGATGATGTTGGCTTGTAGGGCGGAGCCCGGGGGACCGTAGTCGTATAGGCCGGCTACGCCTGCCGTGGAGGGGAGGAGGGTGTCAGCACGAGAACGTGCACGGGAAGGGGCGAGGGAGAGAAGGGGAGTGCTAAACGGTCCACCCCACGTCCGACCAAAGCCACCCAGCAAGACAGAGCGAACAGACACGCACCTCCGTATATCTCAAAAGCAGGCGCATAGAAGAACCTCCTGTTCAACACCGCATCGAACCTCGTCTTGTCAAACGGATGCGCCGTCCTGTTCACCACCGACATCTTCTCGTTCGCGTTCTTCAACCTAGTGTCTCCGGTTATATCAGCTGCGTACCCGTGCCTACACCGCTTAAGAATCTGCTGTCGAAACAAAGACTGGCGATAAGCAGATCGAGCTGAGAGGAGTAGCAACGAAGAGGTGTTGTTGCTGTTGTTAACGAGTGCAGTCAATCTGACTCGCATCGGAGTCCCCTGGGTCACGCCGATCATCCGCCGTGATAATCTCTGCCACCGAACAAGGCCAAACAGGGAAGGTCTCCGTTTTCACTTGTTTCCGCTTCCCTATGCTCATGAGCACGGTACAAGAACCAAAAACGCGAAGAACAACTCACCTGTCGAGCGACGCGACCGCGTTCCCGTTAAAAAGTACACGCTGCTCGCTTATTCCGCGTCGCCGTGGTCCGTCGTGTCGGGCATCGCCAGGGCCGCTCTTCAAAAGTCTCAAGCCCCTGTCCCTCCATTCCTTGCCCCACTTCGCCTCGCCACACAAAGTCAATCTTCAAATTCATTGTTATTCACTTCTTCTTCACTCACCCCCATATGATACTAATACATACATACAACCAAGAAGAAATAGAACGAAACGCGTAAATAGATCTCCAGATAAAACATCACAGTCTGAGTCACAGAAGTCCATGCACGTCAACCTGGTAGGGTCGAGACGGGTCAGGTAAGGTCGAGAACAAATAAATAAGAATATCCATGGTCGGGGTCGTATAGCGATACTGTAACACTGTAAGAGAAGAAAAAGAGAAACTGCGAGGATGGAAATTGAGACAAAGGAGAGACAGGCGGTGGTCGTGGCGGATGTCATGAATACAAGAACGTAGAGCCTTGGAAGATGCGCACGACACAAGGAACCCAATACAGGTAACAGTGGGGAAAATGATGGTCGTGGATTGGGATCGGATAGTGAATGTAGAGATGCGACGGTGAGGGAACAGATGGGAAACGGAACGAGGGGAATACGGCGCTCTGTCGGCAGGTGAATAAATAAGTACATGGACCATGGGCAGGCGCTCCGAGATCGAGTCAGGTCGAAAAATGGGGACACAAATACAGGTTCGATTGGTCCAGAATCGTTGGATACGGGGATAAGTGCTTGAACGTCGGTGTGCTGTTCGGAAAGTATTCAAGATGTTCAGAGTACATCGTCGGTGTTGGTTGTTCAGTCGATGAATCAAAAAGTCGATAGGCGGAAATAGTCGGCGATCTTGAAAGAATATTGATGTCTTCAGATAGGACGGACTGCCAGACGGGAGCATCTCAGTCCATATCCATTTCCATCTCCATGCCGTCCCACTCCCCGGGCACCTCCCTCTCTTTGCTGACGCGGGCCATATCCACGTCCACAACCTCGTCTTCCTCTTGGATATGCACGTCCTCCTCTTCGACTTTCCAGGGATACCGCCCGTACTGCGTGCGGCTGCGCGTGCCATAGGGGTATGGGTACACCTTCGGGCCATCCTGACCCTCCAGATCTACATCGGCATCAACATCCTCGATTGGCTCCTCCACGTCACTCCTGCTTCCCGAAACCGACCGGGAGCGAGAGCCAGAGTGCAGCGAAGAATGCGTGAGAGAGAGCGAAGCCGAATACGAGCGGGAATAGGAGTACGACTGCGACGAGGGCGCAACGCCGCCGAAGGAAGCAGGTAAGCCCCAGTCCGCCCTCGACCCGACGATAGGGACCGGCAGAGGCGCCGAAGTCGACGACGGGCCATCAACATCAGCCTCGTCATTCGACACACCGAATACTCCGGGCCGCACCTCGCGGCGAGTGGAACGCTGCGGGAGGGCATAGTCGTGCATACGCGGGCCAGCGGAGCCACCACGAGCATACAACGGAGAGTTGGCGGGGACGGAACTGGACACTGGATGGGAAGCCCCTTTCGGGGTGGCCGCAGACGATGGAGCGCCCGCTGGAGGGGGGACAGCACCGTTGCTGATAAAGGAGGGCCAGAGGGAGCGGTCCTCGGGAAGGGAGCCACTCGAGGGGGAGAGGTGGGATAGGATCGCAGCAGCCTAGAGGTGACAGGTCAATATGATCCCTCAGATAAAGGACGTAAGAGAACGGGCGTACCTCGAGTAACTGAACCTGCTGATGCTTGCTCAACACAAACTTGCTCGCCTCGCGCCACTGCGGGGTATGCTCCCACCGGTGCTTAATCAGGCACGACGGGTGGCGGTAGATCTATTCAAGCCGAACATCCAGGATTCTTCAGCGTTCTGCCCGTTTGACCGGTCTCAACACATGCGCACCTTGGAGCAACTCTCGCACGTAAAGATGGTGCCGCGCTTCTTACCGCCCTTGGATGTGCCCACGCTGCTCGAGGTCGGGAGCTCGTCCTCGCCCACGTCGGGCATGGCACTGTCTTCACGACCGGGGATAGCGATGCCGGCGTTCGATTCACCGCTGTAGCTTTGTGAGAATGAGTGGGTATGCGGAACGCTCGACGGAGGACTTGAGGAAAGCGATAGCGAGGTAAGGGCCGATGCGGCTGCTTGGAGTGCTGCCGGCCTAGATCGCATCAGAGTGTTAGCGTTTGAATGCACAGCATCGTCGCAAAGTAGATCACGGTGCAAAGCGAAACAAGATGGAACGGCCGTGACAGAAGAGGGGTGAAGTTGGGGGTGGTGTACGTCAGGGTGAGGAGGGTGGAAAGATGAACCAAATTGAAGTGAAACATTGTCTGATACGGCAATATCCAAGAATATACACAAGTTTTGGGAGGGTGGTAAAAGTGACACTCACGAAGGACGGGTTGCAGCGTCGCGGGCGTCGCTCAGGCGGCGGCGGGCCCTTCCCGCGGAGGAGAGCCTGCGGTGCTTGGGCATGTGAGGGGAGGACGCTGGATAAGGCGACGGATGGTCGAGTCAGTCAGCTACTTGTCCGGATACAATTGGGATATAGCAAGCGGGATAAGCTTACCTGGGGGGCGAGCGGTGGTATCATTGCCGCCAGTGGGTTGTGTAGGGTCGAGGGCGATAGGTGCAGCCTCTGAGGCGGCGATGGAAAGGGAAAGGAGGGAAAGAGACGCTGCGTCCTGGTCTTGCGTGTGCGCCATAACTGAGAGCACGTTAGCCGAAAAGCTGAGGAGCAATATGTGGTCATCGATCGAAATAGGCACACCTGAGGTTGACGTGGAGACAGCGATTCGTTGGGGTGGAGTACAAGAAGGCGTAGGAGGAGAAAGAGGAAAGAAAGTACGGAAGATGTTGGTTGGGTGGAAAGGACGAAAAAGTTGGGATGAGTGAGCTCAGTCGTTGTCCTGCCCCATCCCACCAGAAACGAGAGATAATGGCTTTATTACTTAATATTAATGCGGGGAGCCTAGATTCACATCAACCAACGAGCAGCCTCCATTTTCAAACCCCGCCCAAATTTCGCGCAGCCCTTGTTCGCCTCTCCCGCCTTGCACCACCTCCTCTGTCGTAATCAGGAAACATTTGCTCACCACCAAATATCCTCACACTGGCTCACACAAGCTACGCATACACAGGAAATTCAGGTAACACAGCAGCCGCCTCAATCGGTGCTCGGCCATCGGGGCATATGGCACAGCACGATAGCTAGCCCGATTTGTCGCAGAGTCGGTGTGCGCCGATTGTCCATGTCAGCGGACCTGCCGAATAGAGTCCCGCATGTCCCGGAATGTCTCGTCTGGCCCCGGTTTAAGCGAACCGTCATCGCTTTCTGTCCGCTTGTCACCCTGCTGTCAGGTTCTTTGTCTGCCACCCCTCGCTAGGAACGACATCGTCGCGAGTCTCATATCCAAGACTTGCTTGTCCCCAGCAGCAAAGACTTGCACACATTGCGAGCCAGATGGCAGTCTTTCTAAACACTGATGCTTCCGAAATTACTAAAAGATCACGAATACGACACCATAACACCCATACCCTCCAGCGCGTCCGCATCTCTCCTCGTCACAAGGGGACAGTCGTCGATGTACACACACACCAGTTTCGCGGGGCGCAGCGCCTCGCCCATCGAGAACATCGTCATCGGCATTGTCCAAAGCCCTCCCGTTGGAGCATGGCTACTCTGCGCACTGGGGTCTTGCGCAGTCTGCTTCAGCCTGCGCCGGAGAGGTACGATCTTGCGCTGGACGAGCGTGGGTGGGTCTGGAGGTGGAGGCGCATCACAGGCAGCGGCTGATGCGACCGTGTTGGGGTTCGGAGGACCGGAATCAGACAGGCAGGCGCCGGACGCTGGAGGAGCGCGAGTGTCGCCATTGGTGTTCACATCTAAAGCCACTAAAGGAGTCGTGCGCTGCTGGCCGGAGCGCAGGTGTACGACGTGGACAATGTCTGTGAAGGCCACATCCCGGCAGCTCATGAGCGTGATCTCCTCTAGCTTCGGGCACACGCGCGCGCCGACCCCTTGGTCCCAAGCAACTGAATTCCCAGACAACCTGCCGCTCGGACACGTCCGCGCAAGCTCGCGCAGCAGCACACCCGCGCCTGCACACACCACGAGCGTCAACGACACCAAGCCCGGCATGTACCGCAACATCGCCACATCCTCGACCTCCATCTCACGTTCACGTTTGCTACCCCGCATAGTTCCTCCACAACCCCGCCCACCCCCGAGCACAAAATCCGAGAGCACGAGGTGCGTCAGCGCGGGGAGACGCGGGTCCCTGAAGAGGCTACCCGCGCGCGGGAGGTCGAGCTTTGTCGTGCCCGCGCGGACAGCCATGTCGGGATCGAGGAAGCCGAGCTCGAGCCGCTCGAGCGCCGGGCACGTGAACATGCACAGGATTTCCCCAAGCTCATCCGCGTCGTGGCACTGTACAGTGAGATCGCTGAGTGCGCTGAGCGTGTGGACGCCCTTGGGCGGCGGGTTGCTGGGCGGCATTGGTAAGCTTCCCTGCCACGCGTGGCGGGCGAGGGCGGCGAGACAGTCGTGTGAATCGAACGTGCCGAGGACGATCAGGTCCCAGAACTGTAGGCGGGGCATGTGCAGAGAGGACATCAGTCTGCCAACGTGAACGGCGGAAGCGCCATGCCAAGTGAACCGATGGAGCCTGGGAAGGGTTGCGCTTGGAAGGTTATCGGCCTCTATGTTGGAAGAAGATGTTGCCGTGGATTGTTTCCAGTCGAACCAAACATTATCGAGGGTAAGGTCTTCAATCCGCGGTGCATAGGCGAGGAACTGAAAGAGTTCGTCGGCTGGTAGCAATGATTCTTTGGAATAGAAAGACAGCTTTAGTGCACGTAAGTTGGTTACTACATGACGCGAGAAACATCTGAGAGGGACTCTCTGCACGTGCATGCTGGTCAGGGAGTTGAACCAACTTGTCGGAGACTGCCGAAGAAAGTTCAGTGTTGACGTTTCAGACGATAAATGCTGATGTTTGGTGGGAGGAGCATTGAGTTCGAGCTGCTCGAGCATGGGGAAGTACAGCCGTGAAAGTGCCGTTACGATTGCGTCCATGCCTGCCATTTCGTGAAATGTGAGATGCAGTGAACGTAGGCGGTGTGAGTAGCGCCGGATGATCGCTCGAATCAATCGTTTTCCTGTGCGAACCTCTTCATGCGCGTCCCTCTTAGTACGAACGTCGCAAGCCCGGACAGAGTAGACGAGGTCGACAGGGCTAGTCCCGGCCCTCTCCAACGAATGACCAAGTGCTTTGGGAGACCATCGTCGGGTTCGGTACGAAATGTACGCCCACAAACGGGAGGTCGAAAGAACAACCTGACGCCAGCTACCGCACACGTGGGAGAGGGTGATGGCATCGGGGTAGAATGTGCGTCGCTGCGCTGAAAAACGCGGATCCTTGTCGTTCATAGGCTCTTGCCAGATGACGTGGTAGAATACGCGGCAGAGAAGTTCGCTGGGAAGCCAATTGATAGGTTGTTTCTGGATCTCGAGTTGGACACGTTGTTGTAGAAGTGAGCGTTTCTTGGCTTGAACCTCTGCAAGGGCACGGGCTAGCTCGTCCTCGCGTTGCTGAAGGGACTCGACCTGAGCATTGATGGTGCGTAGTCCATGGTCGATCTCAATGTGCGATTGCCGGCGGACCATGCAAAGCGATGAGACTGAGGACTAGTAGCAGCCCAACGTGACGAGTAGGAGCGCGTTGGGGACAAGGAGTTCAACGCAATTAGTCGACGCGTAACGCGTCTCCTGCCTAGTCGGCAATATCCGAATGCCACGCGTCGCTTGGCTTGGACCTGCTGTGAACGCATACCCGTACGACCTTGGGCTCATTGGCTGATCTATTTCTCTCCGTCTCCACCTGCCCTCTTCCTCCTCTAGGAACGACATCCACGACTTGCTTGTCCCCCAGCAGTAGAGGACAGATGTAGCAGTTGCTGTACACATTGCAAGTTGGCCTTTTTGCAACTTTTTGTAACATTGATGCTTCCCAAACATGCATTATCATATGCCAAGCATAACGACATGTAAGTAAATGTTAGATATAGCATTGCACCAGCAACTCATACGAACAAATCCCTTTACTCTATCTCCACATCAGACTAAAAATCTAGGAATACGACACTATAACACCCATATCCTCCAGCGCCTCCACGTCTCTTCTCGTCACAAGTGGACAGTCGTCGATATATACACGCTCCAGTTTTGCGGGGTGCGGCGCCATGGCCATCGAGGGTATCATCATCGACGTTGTACTAAAGCCTCCCATCGGAGCGCGGTTAGTATGCATGCTGCGCCGGAGAGGTATGACCTTGCGCTGAGCCTGCACAGACAGGTTTAGAGGCGGAGGTGCATTACCAACGGCTGCTGGTGCGACTGCGTTGGAGTCCAGAGGCCATGAACCAGCCAGGCAGGTGCCGAATGTCGGAAGAGCGGGAACATTGCCATTGACGTTCGCTGAGGGACCTGTGCGTAGCTGGCCAGAGCGCAAGTGCGCGATGCGGCAGATGTCCTCAAACGCGACGTCTTGGCAACTCATCAGCGTCATCTCCTCGAGCTTCGGGCACGCGCGCACGGTGATGCCTTGCCCCTGAGCAGCACAAGTGTTAGAGAACCCGCCTCCCGGACACGTTCGCGCAAGCTCGTGCAGCAGCACGCCCGCACTCGCACACGCCACGAGCGTCAACGACACCAAGCCTGGCATGTACTGCAGCATCGCCCCGTCCTCGTACTCCATCTCACACTCATATCCGTGACCTCCCATAGCTCTTGCATACCCCCGCCCACCCTTGAACGCAAAATCCGAGAGAGTGAGGTGCGTCAGTGTCGCGAGACGCGGGTCTCGAAAGAGGCTCTCGACGCGCGGGAGACCGAGCTTCGCACCTGCGCCGGCGGCTGAGATGGGATCCAGGAAGCCGAGCTCGAGCCGCTCGAGCGCCGGGAACGCGAACGCGTGTAGGACGCGCTCGAGTGCCTCCCCGTCGTTGCACTGCACAGTGAGGTCGGTGAGCGCGCTGAGCGTGTGGACGCCCTCGAGCGGGTCACTGGTCGGCGCCGGTCTGATTGCTAGCCAGTCAGCGCGAGCAAGGGCAACGCCAAAGTTGGGCTCCGGGAGGACGGTCAGGTCCCAGGACTTTAGCCGGGGTGTGTGCAGAGAGGACATAAGTGTCCTGACGTGGGCGGCGGAAGCATCATGCCAAGTGAGCCGTTGAAGCAAGGGTAGGGTTGTGTTTGGAAGACTATCAGCGTCTGAGGTGGTGGAAGATGGTGCTGTTGGTAAATGTTTCCCGTCATGCCGGACGTTGTCGAGGGTGAGGTCCTCAAGCTGTGATGCGTAGGCGAGAAATCGAGTGAGCTCTTCGGTCGGCAGGGATGATCCTTGAGCTGGGAAAGACAGCTCCAGCGTCCGTAAGTTGACAAGCGTATAACGCGAGAAACATCTGAGAGGAACTCCCTGCACGCGCATGTCGGTCAAAGAGTCAAACCGACTTGTCGTGGAATGTTCGAGAAAGTTCAAAGTTGAGGTTTCTGACCGGAAGTGTCGGCGATTCTTGGGAGGAACGCTGAGTTCGAGTTGTTGGAGCATGGGGAAGTCAAGCGATGAAAGTGTCGTTGTCACCGCGTCTACACCGGCCATTTCGTGGAACGTAAGATGCAATGAGCGTAGGCGGTGCGAGTAGGGCCTGATGATTGCACGAAGCAGCTGCTTTCCTGTGAGAACCTCTTCCCGTGCGTCCTCCTTAGCGCGTACATCTCGAGGCCGGACAGAGTACGCGAGATCAATTGGGCTAGTCCCAGCCCTCTCCAGCAAAAGGCTAAGGGCTTTGGGACACCACCGCCGGGTTCGGTACGAAATGTACGCCCAGAGACGTGATGTCGACAGAGCGACCTGACGCCAACGACTGCACACGTGGGAGAGAGTAATAGCATCGGGGTAGATTGTATTGCGCTGCTCCGAGAATTGTGGGTCACCATCGTTCACGGGGTCCTGCCAGATGACGTGGAAGAATATGCGACAGAGAAGCTCGCTGGGGAGCCAGTTGATAGGCTGTTTCTGGAACTCGAGCTGGATTCGTTGTTGTAGAAGAGATCGATTCTCAGCTTGAATCGACGCATGGAGAAGATACATGTCTTTGAGGATACGGGCTAGCTCCTCCTCGCGTCGCTGAAGGGTTTTGACCTGCGCGTTGATGGTGCGTAGTTCGTGGTCAATCTCGATGCGCGATTTTCGGCAGACCATTGTAAATCAGCTTGTTGATAAACAGGCAAACGACAACGAGGCGAATCCAAAGCGGACACGCGGCGAGAGAATAGTGTAGAGAGGTACGAGTGGGCGGGCAGGCTCGGATCGAAATCGAAATTGAGAGGAGAAGGGGGCTTAAATCAATATAGAGCAGCTGCAAAATCAAGTTGTATATATACGTGTTGAGGCTTGCTACCATGTCAGAGTGAATCATAAATGAGGACAAAACGAGTGCGTAGTGTACTCACAAGCGCTCGGAACCGGATAAGCAAAGGAACAAACGAGAGCAAAAGAAAGTAAGGTCAAAGCATGGGATCTTGCTGCTCTAAAGGGTTCGGAATCAAAGCGTACGCTTGGCAAACTCATAATCGTATTGGATAAAGGAACGTTGCCTAGAAGCGAGGGTCGGCGCGGTAGAACCGATGCGAAGCATTGATGCGACGAGCAGCGCTAGGGGCGCAAGCGTTGTGTCAAAGCGTTAATATGTGGCGTAAACCGAGGGGGGGTATGTTCATAGGCACGCTCAGCGTAGCCTTTACATTATGCAAAGCATCAGGATTGAAGCTTGAGGCCTAGGAATGGCAACGACGGGTAGTACATGCGCATTGGGGAAAGAGGATCGACACCATTTTCCGAGCGCGTAACGCGTCTCTTGCTCACGCGGCAATGCCCGAGTGACGCCCATCACCAGGCTGCCAGCTCATCCAAAGGTAAGGCGGCGCCCGTTTACTCAATGACGGACAACTCAAAGTACTTAAAATACACTCGCACAACATAGCTAAAGTAGAACATATTAAAGTATAACTAGCATGTAAAGACGCTGGAGGAGGGTAATTCGTGATATCGTTAAATGCCGTTATGTACGGTGCACTGAAAAATCATGGGCATATACGAAAATGACTGATACTACTCAAATATATTGCGTAGCTTGAACATCAATATAAGTTGAGTCCACTTCCTCGCCCTGGGAATGAGGCTTCGTCTGCATGCGAGGTAGAAAAGGCGGTACCCCGACGGGCTCGTCGCCTTGAGATACAGGGCAAGCTGGTGCTCCTTTCGATGCTCCTTGGTCGCAACTCGGAGTAGGGTTTATTTTCACACTGGCAGGAACAGCAGTCAGATTTGTTGACGTCTTATCGGGAGAGGAAGCAGGTTCTGTCTCTTGATTAATGGAAGGAGGCTTCGGGCGCCAGCCAGAAACCAGTCTGGAATATCTGCAGAAACAAAGCGCGTCTATAACTGGGCTGTAACTCTCCTCTGAAAGTATAGAACCGAGATCATCATTGTCAAGGTCATCTTCCATGGCTTCAGTGTTTCCATCGGGGTTCCTTCCGGGTATGTCTCCGCTTGCAAAGATACGCTGGTAGAGGTTGTACGCCTCAGTCATTACTTGAAACTCATTTATGAGTGCCCTTACCATGTTTGCCCAAGCAGGGAAGATGATTGCCGTGCGACGTGTACTGCATCGATGACTCGGAGGAGTCTCCACTTTGTTTGGCTCTTGGCCTACGTTAGGGTGGTTGCGGCGAGTGTTCAAAACTCCTGTGACCCGATGCTGCAAACGTCATTAGCTAAATTGGTTAGAGCTCATTCGTCGTGCTCACTATGGCATTCATGAAACGATCTCGTGGGTGAGGTCTATTGGAAATGCTTGCCGGATCACAAGGCTGAAATGTTCGTGACTGTATGAGCCTGCATAACTACAGTTATCAAGGATAAATAAAGGCGACATACGTCCACGCTCATCTCGTTACGACGCCATGAAAGATGTTTTCGCACCCAGGCAAAATTATGCGTCACGCTGACGGCTATATTCCTTTGCTCTGGAATGTTTGGGTCTTGTTGCGATGCCTCTTCAGGTGGAGGTACCTGCTGCACGCTCTGAATATGAACTGTATTAAATCATTCATCATATTCATGAATCAACTTACATCTGGAACGTCTACTTAAGCAAAGAAGTCTGTATTCTGTCCACCGCCCCTTTTATTAACGGTAGCAGGTCTCTTTCATCGAGACGTTACCATCAGTAAAATCACACGTTTAACCAGAATTACACACATTCATGAAACTTCCAAGGCTATCAATGGATTGAGACGCCTGCCACACGTTAGCCGGAGTACCAAGGCTGAAAGCTGTGACATTACTGGCGGGTTTGGTCTAGGGTCTCGTGTTTTCACTTTTTGATGCCTGTTATCGCCGCTTAGGGGCGGCGGGCGGGCCGGCCCGCCCACTATACCATTGCCTTCGCTTGCCCCATTTTCCCTACTTTCACTGCTCGTACCGCTGCGACGGCTGGACCGAATTAACGATCTAGTGACTGCAATTGAACTATAGTACGACTGCAACTTATCCAATATGATACTGACCTCTCTCCCGTCATCGCCCTTCCCCTCCCGGGCCTCCTGTACCCCCATCCATACCCTCATGGCCTGTTGGAATCCGGGCTCACAGGTGCGGTCTCCTCACGTCCCGGTACATCGTACCCCTCGGAATCAAATTCAAAAGTGAGCCTCTCGGCGTAGGATGCGAGAGTTAGCGTAGGGAAGTAGGAGCGGGTCCGCACGAGTTGGACAGTGGGTTGGTATGATACAAAAGATTGACTAAACGGATGGGAGTCGGCCGAGCGATACATGTCAATGTCCTGCGAGCGAGAGGAGACATTCGACCGCTGGCTGAAAGATTGCGTGAGCTCAGCAGCTTCGGTACTCTCGTTTTGCTTGGAGAATGACATGTACACTGGCGGTGGAGGGGGTGGTGGAGGCATGGCGTGTCGGCTGAGTTAAAGTCCCAGGCAAGACAAGAAAGGAGAAAGAGAGTGGACCATCCCTGACGCGGACGTGCAGCATGCTGGAATATCTAGTACTGGTGAGGACAGCCTCCGATCCACGCGGGCCGGCACGGGTAACATGATCATACCGTATCTTTACTCAGGTGCCCGGCTTTCGCTTGGTCGTGTTTGTCCTTTTCCTTTTCGCGTTATCTCTTCAACGCTTCTTGCTTTCTCTGCACCGTTTTCGCCGCAGCTGTCCATATCTTCCGTGCACGTTCCTGGTATTGTAACGTTTCCCTTGCATGTCAACATGCAGTCCGTCATGATGCGCTCTCAGTCTAAACCTCTTCGCAACTTAAATGCCTAAATTTCTTTTCGGTTGTGCATGGGTCGTGTCTCCGTTTGGCTGGATACTTATCTGTCACGCGCTGATTGGCCAATGCCTCTCCTCATGATCTCTCGTACGCTTTTCTGCTGTCTTTCCCTTTTCCCCTACTTATACCGCGGCTGCTCACGTCCTTCCGACCATCTTCTTCATTTCCTTTCCTCCCTCCCTCACATTCGTTTCCTCATCATCTTCATTTGTGTCTGTGTGCCACCTTCGTGGCTACGTCTGCGTCGATCGGCCTAGGTGAACGTCCGTTAAGAAGTCATCTGCTCATATCGCTCACTATCTTCAATTATGAATGCACTCTCCATTGTGCAGACAACTCCTCCGTTGCTGCCGAGTTGAGAGTTTACGCCCGGTACGCTGACCTCCTACTCCTGATGACAGGGGATAATCTTTTGCAGGAAGATTTCAGATCTGTGTTCGAGCAGGTGGTCGAGTGGTGCTTAACAGAGGAGAACGGATGCTTCGCATCGGACGCCAATGTCTGGGGACCACTGTTGCCCCATTCTGTTAACAGAAGCGCTGCTCGTTCAGATGTTGTCGTCGACCGTTTGGCTTGGGCTTGGAACTGGGAGTACCCTACCGGGACTTGGTAGCATAATGTATATTATATAAGCTCGTGGCCAGCCCGTGCATGAACCTATCACAACATTATTTTCTCCTCTAAGTGTGGGACTTAATCTCGGAGCGCAGCGACGGCTCTGCCTTGTACATCTACTACTCTTATATTATTACTCGTCACTTATATTCAAGCTCATATTCATACTTTTGCCCAGATTTTATTTGCTTATGTTTGGCAGGAATCTATCTGTGGATTAATGTTAGCGCTTTATTATCGACCTTCAGCTCATGGGCCAGGGCGTAGCGGAGGTAGGCTCTTGTAGTGGCCCAAAACTTACGTTCCTCCATAAATAGAGGCCCTAAAAGACGTTCAACCTATGGCCATCAGCTCGTGAAAGGCAGAAGCATGCTAGTCAATAGCCCCAAGGAAGATCCGAGGACTCCAGCTCGCAGCAGGTCAAGCGTTAGGGGGGTCCAAATTACCCGTATCTTCAATATTTATCCTGGCTTGGCGATGCTTCATGTTTGGCCTCCTTATCTCGGCGTCTATCTACTCCTTTATGGTCTAATCTCCCGTCCTCTCCCGTCATGATAATAGGCTAGCGCTGGCCATTGGTTGCTATCGGCGTCCTTTCTTCCCCCCTTCTCTCCTCCCCAATTTCGCACCATGGATCCCACTGCCGCAAAACCGTACGCTGTCCACGTCTCCCGCTTTTCATTCACTAACTTCGCTGCAAGGTTACAGGTCAAGTGCTGTTGACCCACGCCTCACCCGCCTGGCTGGCAGGCAACGGCAGCTACGTGACGTCCGCAGGCGCTAACAACCTACCAGCAGGGCCGTATTCCCGACAGTTGTCGCCCTCCATGCACGGGCTGAATGCTTATGGCCCGCCTGGGTGTGCTCGAAGGAATTGTAGCCCCGACACACTCTCTCTGTCATCGTCTCACTTGGGGCAAATGAATATCATTTCAGAAATATATCAAAAAGCAAAAGTTCGCTAATCAATTTTCACGAGGAAGGAAAATTCATCAGAGAATTCACCGGAGAAGGAAAAATATAGTTGATGACTCAGCCATTTGGCGGGGGCTCGGAGGCACTTAATCCGTATCAGGCAATCTGATAGGATAACTTTTGCAATGGATTTTCCTCGGGAAAAAACCAGTTGGCAGATTTTTGCACCTCGATGGATTCTTGATCGATATTCTGGCAGGTAATATCGGCGTTTGCCCGTAGTGTCTACATGTACGTCTGCAGCCGCTCCCGTGATGTGCACAACCTTGGGCTAATGCTATACGCCGCCTCACATAGTCCCCGAGACATCCCCCGCTGAGCCCGGGCTGTTATCAGCCTCGCCGGCCTCTCCATTTTAGATACCTTCCTCTTTGCTACCCCCACTCGTCACGGCAGCTTACCCGATCAATCATGTCGTCCATTGCGATACTTCACTTTTACTCCCTCCTATATTCTCGGACTCCACCGGCCAGCTCCGCACGCAGGGCGCTTTCACGAATTCTTGCGTTCAAAGTCTTAAGTACGTATCGTGTTCTCATTGTGCTCACAATTGGGATAGCTAGGTTTATGAGATCTACATGCCATTATGTAACCATTGAATGCATGTTTCTCGATTGAGCTCTTATCACGAAACTCGGAGTTCATATATTCCTGACCTTGATTACATGATTATTGTTCGCTGTCTGTCACTGTACTCTGAATTCTTATTCGCTGTTTGCAGTGCCGTCCGACTTTCTCAAATAGTGGCTACCGTTCGCTTATCTAATTGTATCCCCGATGCCCTGAGCGCTGAGATCTGAGAGCTGGGCCTCTGGCCGTAGCGGAGCGAGGCATGTCTTGTGGAAATGAGCGCCTTCAGTGTCCTTGCCCAACCTAACCAGCCTCGCGGCGAATTACATGGATATTGGTTGGTGGTTGTACAAGTGCGTAATTGATTATCAGTTTGAGCGAAACTGCCTGGAAGGTGTGAACTGATCGTAAGCGGATGGCTTCATGGCCAGTCCGCTAACGCACGCAACACCGCATCTGGCCGAGCGAGGCAGTTCAGAACGTTCAAGGTCCAACCACATCAGTAAAAGCGCCAATTTCTTGCCGGCCTTGCCAAGCTTGTGAGCTTGCCGACAAGCCGACAAGACACTGTTTGCATAAAGATCTATAGGCTGGTTGCAAAAACATTCTAGAACATACACTGATGGTGTTTGCGTCTCAACACTGATTTCCGAAGTCAGAACACGGCCTGTGGATGTCTTAAATAACTAAATTGAGGCGACTTGTTTGACTTGCAGGCGCTTGTCCGCGTAATCTCCACGTTGCCGAAGATCGCCTTGTCGCAAAAATAGACTTACATTGTCGGGCTTGGCGTCTTGGGCGTATTATTACCTTGCCGTCGCTTGTGCAGGGTTGCACAAGGTTGTACAAGCCCCCACAAGATTTTTTCATAGTTACTGATGCAAGGTCCAACACGAATGAGGCGTTTCCCTCCGTGATATAACAAACTTCGTTCCATCATCCATTATTTCTGGAGCCTTTGGACATCACGATCCTCTACCTTGATGACTTCCGTATCATCCACGTATGGGAACGTGATTTGTGAGCCTGCATCAACGGGCCATCGGCAGCTGGTATGTCAGGAGGTAGCCGATCACCGTCCTTCTCACTTCATCTTCCCATGGTCATGCTAATTCTGAGCGCGATGCTGACAGGGTGTATATCTGGAACTAAAACGAGCCGTCGTGCCTTTCCTGTACTTGCACTAGTTGCAAGTAATATGCAGGATACGTCCTCATGGTATATCTGGCAGGATACATTGTCCCAAATACGTGACCTGCGGCAGCGGCTTTGCTCATTTAAACACCGAAGCGAAGGGGACGGGTACTGATCGGTCAGCGTGCAACAGCATATATTACTATGGGGCTGGATGGGTGCGTCGGAGGGCGGTGCTCGCTGTCTGAACCGAGATATGTTTAACCTTCCGCTCTCACAAAGGGCTGATCCAGGGACGAGCATCTGGGAGCCGAGATGCCTCTATCAACGTTCTGGTGAAACAAAGCGTGCTCAATGCACGCTGTTCATTCTTCGTGCTATATATACTGGTCGACATCGCGACATCAAAACACTCCTCCAGAGCGAATGAGGTTAAGAAGCGAGCTCGGGTGGGCTTCTACTCCCTCGAACAGGGCTCCCCTTCAGCAACTATGGAAACGCCGAAGGAGATCGCGACTCTGACGCTCGATCAGAGGCTCAACTACACACAAGGTGCATCGCCCAGGCACTCTTTTGTTTCAAGACACTAACGATTTGAACGACGTGGTATTAGTCGCTATGGCTTGTCTGGCTGCATATGCATGGGGTAAGCTTTCATAACGACCTTAAAGACTATGTTATGATCCAGACCGTTGACGTGCGTTGCTCAGTCTGGGACATCAATAGGGAGGTGAGTAGTGCCCCCATAAGATACCAAAGGGAGCGGGAATCTGAACCTCAAACATTAGGTTGAGCTCATCTGGGTGAGCCACGGTTCTGTTTTTCGGTCCGGGATAGCTTATTATATATTGAATTGTTAACAGGGAAAGCAACAATCGGCATTCTCCAGACTTTCTTACATCGTAGTGTGTTTGCTTTGAATGGGTTTTACTCGCGTTAATGCACTGACTGGTTTCCCGTTCACCTTCACCCAGCTTCGCTACGGAGGGGTGTTTATGATGATGTACGTCCTTCGGCCTAAATACCTAGAGCGCGTCGTCGTCGTCGACTAAACTCTTCATCGTTCTTCGGTAACAGCTCAGGTGAGCTTTTGATACTGCAAGTCTAGCTTTCCCTTGGGCTAACAGGAAGTATTAGATATTCCGACGAGAGCCTCGTCGGTAACGGTGAGTCGAACTCATACATCTTCTTGAGAATGGGTTTGACAGATTCATTTTGGTAAAGTCGTAAGGCCTAGCTCACTTTGATCCTCAATCTCCCTAAAATTTCTCTACAGATGTGCGCTACTCCTTGACTGGCCTTTGAGTAACATCACTTATACCTCAACAGGCGCCGCCATGGTGGTGATAAACGACGTGATAATCAACTCTGCCGTGCATCTCGCTCTCAACGGTGAGAATTGTGTCGAACATTTACCCAGCCACGTCACGGACGCTGAAACTCTCTTTCGTAGCTATGATGGGGATGCGCATCTATGCCATTCTTGGCAAATCGAGGCGGGTGCTTTATTTCATTGGTGTCTGCTTCATCGCTACGCAAGTCACTGCAATTGTGCTGGCATTGCTGAAGGTGTTCCCCTTACACGTCACCACGAGCAGCACCAGTAAGACCTCTCCGAGAATCATCAGACTAGGCAGGGTACTAATTCGATACGAATGGGCAGGCCTCGCCAGCCCTGAAGAAGGCGACATCTGCGAAACGTGGACTGCGTCGCGGAAAGCGTGGTACCAGTCCGGCTCACTGATCTGTCTTGTTGTGTATGAAACCATTATGTTTCTGATGTCGCTCGTCGTCTTCGTCCGGAACGCATTAGATGAGACTCAGAGGCTTACCGCAACCTCAAAGACGTTGATGGGCATCATTATTCGGGACAATATGCTTTATTTCCTTGCGTAAGCCGTTGGATATCATTATCTCAGCCAGCTTTTAGATGCTCATACATATAATAGAGCTTTTCTCGGGCTTTCGCTTACCGTGTCCTCAAACATCATCTCTATCGTGGTCCCTTCTGTAAGAACCACGGACCCTCTCCTCGCGCAACATTATTGAAGCTGACAATACTACAGGCTAACACCGTCTCTCACCTATGGTACCACGCATTCACCGTCTTCACAACTGTATGCTCTGCACTGTATCAGGTCTTACTCGGCCCTTTGATGATGCTAAGCATCCGGGAGTACGACTTCAAGCATGTGAACGGAGGAGGGACTTCCGGCAACGTAGAGATGGGAACGCTCAAGTTTGCCACGGCTGCGTGGTCGCAGACGGGTACCGCAGACATCTCGAGCGTGGATGTATGACACAATATCGTCTGTACGAATAAAAAGCGGCGTTCGTGATATACTGTAGCAAATCGACCATAAGTTCCCGGTGGCGTGAGAGACCTGAGTTTAAACCCACCTTCCTAAACAGTATGTCCCACAATTTAGTTCCCGATGGTTGGTAACGGTGGGACAGGGTTCCCGGGCCGGGGCAAGTCCGGGCCGTGTCTTGTGTTCCTGGCTATTCAGTAAGACACAACGCACGGTTCCGCGAGGGCGGCTCGAAAGCTAATGCCCTTAATTTCAGCACCCTCGGCGACACGTCGTGTCTTTCACTGCTCCCAACTGCTCCCTATCGCTTTCCTATCTCCATGCAAAGGTATGTTTCCCTCGGACTACGTATGTCGCATCCTTTCGTTTGCTACTGATTTTCTATTTCTTTATAGCGGCGGTCGGCCTTGCAGCAACATCGCCTTGAACCTCGCTGCAAGCCTCACGTCCCCCTCACCTCTCTTTGACCTGCCCTGGCATGGTAGACAACGTCGACGTGGACTTAGCAACTGTCCAAGTGCCGTCATCCGACGAAGCTGGCCGCAGGAAGCGGTGCCGTGCGCCAAACAAGAAGTACGGAGACTTTGTAAGTCATTAGGATATCGTCTAGTGCATGTACACACTTTATTTTACTTCAAATTCTATGTTTTTCATGGTTCTACCGAGTGTCCCGCAGTTAAGTTCCCGGACACCCGTACACATGGGACTGTCCCACCCTCTAAGTTCCGTTCCCGGTCCGGTGGGACACGGGACGGGAACTTATGGTCTGCTCGTTACAGTAATCTATGGGAAAAGAATTTAGTCTTCAACACAGTAGAGACAGGCTGTTATTTGCTCTATGAGCGTCCCTTATCGTGATCTAAAACTTATAGCAGAGCCAAAGCGGCTCAGAATGCAAACGATGCTATAGTTAAAGTGAGATATACAAGACATGCTTCGCTGCGCTCCGGCTTTTACTACTTGATGTTGGGATACTTAGGAGTAATCATTTTGATGATATCAACCCTATCTCATTTCGCAGCCCGTCGCAACATACGATTACATCATATCACCAATCAATCAACAGAGGGATTTACAATAATTTTCGAATATATACCGGCCTATATTGCATTGTTATTCAATACCATTGAGACTACAGATAAACACACATACCGAAACATTCTTGATTTACTCTGGATTCACGCGGAATTTGACTCCATCTGTTTGTCGCGGGACGGAAGTTCTTCGGCCGTTTGCACGCCAATAGAACGTAGCTGTGGTATTTGAGTGTCAGTCGAGGGATTTCTGGTCTCCGTAGTGTGGGCAGCTGGCGGATACGTATGTCTGGGGATGAGAGTTGATCCCGGCGCCTGTGGATGAGTTGCAATCGTCTGCCCAGAAATCAATGGTGATTTTTCTTGACGACAAACAGAACGTGATTCCATCGTTCTTGGCGAAGGCGCCACTGTCACCCGCTCGGATGCCTGTGACCGTATGTGTGTAGTACGAACCTCCGTTTGTCGGCGAGTAGGAGGTGGGGGACAGATACAACAGAAGCAGAATAGAGATGGAGAGGGATCTTCCTCCAACGGTGCCTCGTCTACATTCATATTGTACCCAAGACGAGGTCCATCAGGTCGTGCGCCAAGGGTGGAATCTTCTCCCTGGGCTACAACGTTTTGCTCGATTTCGTTTGAACCCGTTGAATCCGTATCCGTGTCGGTCGTGTCTCCGTGTACCGGAGCATTGTCTCTGTCCCGTCGTCTTCCGGTGTCCTCTCGTGCAGCCACAATGCGCTGCAAGGACACGGTTTCACAACAATGTATGAGAAAACAGAATAAATCAGCTTACGGGTCTGGCATATCCTGGATAGACGAAGGCAAAGGCACGCGAAGAGTGACTCATGTGGGGCGTAGAACGCTGTAAGGAAGTATTGACCAAGAGTCAATGTTGATGGAAAAAGGCAGTTGGGATAATGAATGGGTTTACGAACCAAATTTTGTCGCATGTCACTCAGCACTGTATAGAAACGGTCGCGAAGGCCAAAAATTCGAGCGCTGCCTTCTACAAGATTGGGCTTAAACAACACAGAACGGAAGATCAGAATAGTCGTCGCGACAAAATAACGATAAGGGGAATGCGTACGTCGTTGATCTCGTCGCCTTGTCCTTTCACATTCCTCAATAATTGAACGAAAGCCCGGGTGATGGCTTTGAGCCGTGATTCTTGATCCCGTGTATCCCGTTGAAACGTCTTTTCAGCCACCCTCGGCTGCCCTAAATTCTGTAGGAAATTTTAGCTTGGATAGCATGTCCATTTCTCAGCTTACATTGCCATCTTCTACTCTAGTATGTAAAGCCGGTGGCGTTTGTCCATCGTCCCTTTTGGTGATTGTGGCTGGAATCTGACAGTGAAAACATGACTGTAACAGTAATCATGCGAGCTAAAGCAAAAATAACTTACGTTCATAAAACTCCCGAGGCTATCGCTGGACTGAGAAACCTGCGCGTATATGAGCTATGGGTCCGACTGATCCCAGTTTGTGGCATCACCGGTGGAGTTGATCTTTGAGCCCGCGCCTTGCCCTTGTCGATAATGCCAGTCGTTTCGCTGGCGTCTTCCAACCTCCCTTCTGAAGCAATGGATAGACTGACCTAAATAAACTTAAAAGGTTGATGACTATGAATAAGTATCTGAGTTACCGGGCTGCCTGTCAATGGTCCATGTACTTCTCCTGTCACATCTTCCGAGTTTCCCTGGGATTGATGCGTCAACCGAAGCATTTGATGAGGGATACGCACGCTTACTTCAATACTATGAAAGTCCTACTTGACGAAAAGTTACCGAGAATGATCAGTCAGAATATTATCGATCAGTATGTTAATGGATTACCCTGAACCACAGGCTATCTGGGCTCTCCCCACGGCGCATGGGATCGTTACCGCTACCCAAGAACCGACGAAAAGCTCTTGTCAAAGGCATGAAATTCCTTCGTGTCTGATGAGATATTAGACCATCAGAAATAGAGTGATACTGAGATAAACAACCGTAAATTGAAGATCGCCTGCTTGAATGACAAGCTCATGAATACGAGACTGGGTTGGCTTTATCGTATGATTGAACTCATATGCTCACGCGAGAGGCTGTGAGCGATAACTCACCTGGGCTCCGAGGAGTAGACGTCCAGTGGCTACATTCCACATGTACAAAAATCCATTCGTGGTTCCACTGACAACGCGCTCTCCGTCTGGAGAAAACGCAGCTGTCGTAACCGAGTCGTCATGAACGAAAACTTGGAGAAGCTTCCCTGTCTTTACTTCCCACACACGGACTTGCTGATCATAAGATGCGCCAAGGAGTTTTGACCCGTCCGCTGAATAATGTACACAGGTAACAGGTCTTCCATTCTTGAAGGAAACCAGTTTATCTGCCCCAAGTGGGGAAATATTCCACAAACATACCATGCCGTCCCAAGACCCAGTCACCATTTGTGTCCCATTAGGAGAGAAGCACATGGAACGTAGCCCGCCCTCACGTTGAAGCGGCTTGAAGATGCGTTTTTGCGTTTTTGCGTCCCAGATGCAGACAGTATTGTCGTGGGAACCACTTGCTATCCGACAACCGTCTGGAGAAACATAGAGAGTGCGAGTGGCGTAGCGGTGTGCGTAGATCACCTGTAGCGAAGCTCCAGATTGCACGTCCCATGTATGGATCGTCCCGTCATCTCCTCCGGTGACGAGACGCAAATCATCGGAACAGAATTTGACAGTCCAAACAGCGCCTTTGTGGCCAGAAATAGGCTCACAGGTAAGGTCGCGAGCTTTAAGGTCCCAAATACAAACTAAAGCATCGTCCGCAACACTAGCCAAAAGATTTTCGTTTTTCGAAATATCTATCCCATTCTCGCCCGATGGAACCTTTATAGCTACCGGCTTATCAAACGCCACGATACGATTATGGGGTGCGAAAACTGGTCAGCAGATCAGGGAGCCACTGGAATGGCGCGGCAACGAGAGTAATTCTACTGCCCTTGCTTACTCTCATGACGGACAGTGCCTGGTTAGCGGACACAACGACGGGACGCTTCGAGTATGGGATATAAGCACACACCAGATGGTAAAGGATCCACTTAAAGGTCATTTCGGACAGGTTCGAGCCGTACAATACTCTCCGGACGGCGCATTCATTGCCAGTGGTAGTGAAGACCGCATTCTAAAGCTCTGGTCTGTCTCAACAGGGAACATCATCGACATAGTAGGGCATACAAAGGCTGTGAACTCGGTCTCTTTCTCACCCAGTGGCAAACGGGTCGCAACGGCATGCGATGACTGGCTCGTTCGCATTTACGACGTCGATCAACACGATTTAATTATCGAATTGCGAGGTCATTGGGCCCCAGTACAATGCATTCAATACTCTCCGGATGGTTTGACCGTTGCCAGCGCCTCTAACGATTGCACTATCCGGTTGTGGAACGCCTCGACAGGTGATCTAGCGATGGGACCTCTCTATGGTCACGGATACCATATTTCCACCTTATCATTCTCTCACGATGGTCAGAAACTCGTCACCTCCTCAGTGGACCACACCATTCGAGTATGGGATGTCGCTTTGGGGGAATGCATTTTGGGACCATTGTACGGGCACAACGAGCCAGTCATATCGGCTGTTACCTCCTACGAAAATGAGGCCCATTTTATTTCCTGCTCCCGCTCTCGTGTGTATATTTGGAACATACACGATGGTGCGCCAGTGCTTGGACAGGTAAGTTTGGTGCCTGGAATTGCTGCCCACCCATTGAAGGCAAGTTACTGTAGGTCACAGGTGAAATGGTACCCAATACAAGTGGCGTTATCGAAGAAAAGCACCTGTAAGTTTTGTTTTTGCTCTTCAAAGTCTTGAAGACCAAATCAAACAGATTGAGGACGTATGACACGGTTCGAGCGGTAGCGTGGTTTTCTGACGGGCAGCACTTCGCGAGCGCAGGCGATGATTGTTTCATTAGAATCTGGGATACCCAAACAGGTCAAGAATCCTCAATGCGCCCTCTCGTGTTTCACGAAAAGAACGTCCATGCAAGCGTAAGGATGTCGCAAGGGATGTCAAAGGGATCACGGTAGGTTGCGCGTGGTTCGAGTAAGATGTCGTCCATGATATGCTAGGGCGTAGGAGAACAATATGATCCTGTGAACGATGAGTTGAGTTGTTAAGTGACTGTAGGCGGCAGGGCTGAACACAAACATTGTAAACGCTGCCCTAATACAGCATTATTTTTCCGGGATGATCCGAACTCTGATGCTTATACAGCATACATCTCAGAGGCTGGGCACGGAAGACACAGTCCTCATGGGCACATCTGGATCCGAAGTTTCTAGATTTTCAGCTTTAGCCACGTCTAAGCTGATGTATAAGTGCTGTGGAAGGGGCGTAGTTTGTGGCCGTTTGTTTCGCGCTGGCAATCGACTCAAAATATGACATTATCATACTAATACCTGCATGCAGAAGACACGGATAAGACATGGCGGAGATTACTGAGAAGATGACAACCATACAGCTAAGTTACATTACCAATAAAACATTGCCGTTCCAAATTCCATATCCTCCAACTCAAACACGTCGTCTTCCGTAACCATCTCGCAGCCGTCGATATAAAGCTTCTCGAGCTGCACCGGTACAAACGCCTCATAGTTCGGATCCTCCGCCTTCGGCGCAGCTGACGGCGAAGTGGGCATACCATGGATCGTGGCGCCCGGGCTTGCCCCCTTCGGCCTCCGTAAAGGCACAATCTTCCTCCCAAGCAACGCCATCTGCTGTGCATCTCCTTTTGATTGCACGATCTTTTGAATCTCCTCACGCTGGCATCTTTGCGACCTACTCCTCAGCAATCTCTCGATGTCCTCGCGGCTCACGTCCGCACACCCCGCAATCGTCACCTCCCTCAGCCGTGGACATACCTTCACCCCGACATTGATGCTGTCGTTTGATTCTGCGAGCTCAGCCAGCAGCCCACTAGCGCGCGTGCATTCGATAAGGGACAAGCACTGTAGTGAAGGGGTATAAATGAACCCGTAGTCGCCCCGGGTTATCAGACGGGATTTAGAGATGGTGAACCCGCAGATGGAAAGGTGTGTGAGGTTCTGTAGACACGGGACGTTGAAGAGGTATGTGATGTGCGGAAAGACCGGAGGCGCTGGCTCAGCAATGATCATGGACTTGGAGAGCGGGAACGGGACATGGGTGACCTCGAGCCGCTCCAAGGATGGCAAATCGAGCGCACAAAGCGCGCTCTCGAGCCCCTTCTTGTCTGTGCACTCGACATAAAGTTCCTTCAGAGATGGCATGCAGACCGATGCCGAGCCGTTGTCCGTTGTTGAATAACGCTGTTTTACGACAGCGAGCTTTAACGTCTCGAGGCGCGGCGCAAATAGCGAGTCCATGACGGTTGCCACAGAGCATGGGAGCGCGTCTTTCCATGTGAAGGTACGCAGATTAGGGAGATCAGCTCTGTACAGGAACTTGACAGCAGGGTCGGATTCGGGCGGATGTTGATAGAAAGCGTCTGACTCAAAGAAAACGTCTTCAATCCGCGGAAGACCTTTGAGAAATTGGATTATGTGGGGAAAATCGGGCTCGTATTTGTGCCAATGCCGGTGTGAGGCGGTGAAACTGAGTTGGACGTGAGTCACATTTGTAAGTGTGTGCGCGGCGACCAACACCGGATAGAGGTCGTGCAGGCTTACGCTCCGTAGGAATGGATGCGTCGAACCTGTCCGCTCGGTTGCGGTTACCTCGTCATTTGTCCAATCCATCTGCAGATGAGAGGACACGGCGAACGAAGCCGGCGCAGTAGAGACAACTATATCAATCTCTTGTAACAACGGTGCGCCGTGGCTGTTGAGGAGACCAATGATGCTCTTGAAGCTACGGTATTCGTAGACATCAAAATGCACAGCCTCGAAACGCGACACCAGAGGCGAAATAAGTGAGACGAACGCGTTAGCGGTAGAGACTTCTTCCTCCAGATCGCTCTCCTCCTCGATCGCAGGCGCGATGAACATTACCTGGAGCGGGCATAATCCCGATCTTTCTATTTGGAGATTGACGAGCTTAGGGTACCACGCTCGCGCGCGATACGAGACCAGTGACCATAGAGACGAGGTAGATATGACAAGCTGCCGCCAGTAGGAGCACACCTGTGCGAGGGTGAACACATATGGGTGAGTATAAATTGCACTTGATGATGAGGCTGCACGGAGACGGAGGCTGTCGTTCTGCCAAATAGCGCTTCCAAATATGACAATTAACGTCTCTCCGGGAAGTTGTGCTATAGGGTGCTTCGTATGAAGCGTTTAGAATGGCGATACTCAATTGATAGAAGTATAACTTACCGAACACAAGGTGTTAGGCGCCTCACTCTGAAGACTAAGGCATGTCATTTGAGAGGCCAAATCTCCTTGTCTGGTATTTGAGGACATGATTTTCTAGCAGTGCCAGGGCGAGGACGCTGCGTTAAAGTTAGCAATCACAAAATACTGTGCTTGAGGCTGCGTCCTATGCAGTCAAAAGAGCTCCAAAGGTCAGGAAAGTAGCTTCGAGCGCGCAAATTTGCAAAGCAGGTTTGGAAATCAAGTACCTTCAAGGGCTAGAGGAACCACAGTCGCGGACAATATAGATGCGGGTGAGTCGATGACGAGAGAAGATAGAGGAGAGCCGCAAGGTCCCCGTCAATTTGGAGTCCGCTCTTCGCATGCGCAGGTTCCAAATTCCCACGATAAGACCGTCTTGTAATCCGACTCTTGTTTTCATAACCTCAATAAACAGTAGAACAATAGCAAGTATATCAATGCAGTTCAGTGAGTTTTGTAACATAGTCTTCAGTTGCGTCCATTTTCATAAGCAGTCCCTTCAGTGATATACATATCAAAACTTTGCCCAAAGGTCCAAACCTTTAACAACGCGAGATCCATGTGAACCTCTGGAAATCTCAAGCCTCTTCCTGAATTGCGTCGCCCTCCTTGACCACACGCAAAAACACACTCTCCAATGATGCCTTCTCTACTGTATACTCTTGAACACCGCTCTCAGCCAGTAGCCGGAAAAGCCGCGCGAGCGTCAATCTCGGACCAACTTCAGGCATTTCAGACATTGACGCTTTCATTGCGCTGGCGTCGTTCGTGCCGACTTGCTCTCGGTGGATCTGAACCTCAAACCGTGTAGTAGCATCATCGGTGAGCATCGCACCGGGTATGCGGCTTATAGCATCCTGCACACGGAGGACGTCATCCCGCGTTCGGCAAGAAAACTGGACTTGGTAGTTTGCGTAGCGGCTCGCGAGATCGTCTAATGTACCGATGGCTAAAGGAGAGGGTTAGTAACCGTCAAAGCTCATTTTCAGTAGAAATTATCATACCTAAAAGCCTGGTTGACAAGATTCCGACTTTACTTGCTAGCGCAGATGCTTCTTCCATTGAGTCTGGTCGAAAGACAATCAGGCCTATGTGGCAAGATCTGAATCGAAAGTACTCACGAGTGGTGATCACCACCACTTTACCTATCGCTAACTTCCTCAGTATACCCCACATATCCCGCTTGACTTGAGCATCCACGCCAGTCGAAAACTCGTCGATCAGGATCACAGAAGGGTTACCTAGTACAATCAAAATCAGTATTAGTAAGCTACGGCTAGAGAACACCCAGGCTGAAACGTACCAATCAATGCGATAGCCAACGCCAACTTCCTTTGGTTTCCTCCAGACAGCTGACAAGCAAGCCTTTCATGATACTCCCATAAATCAGTCGCTCTCAGCAGAGAATCCACGTTGTTGTCGATCTCAGCTCCACGGCTCAGGCCCTTGAACAGGCCGTAGAGTAGCAGATGCTCACGCACGGTGAGATGTGCGTCGATAGCCGTAAACTGCGGGCATACTCCGAGCGACAAGCGTGAGGCGTTAGGCTGCGAAGCGACAGAGACATCGTGGACGAGTATATCTCCTAGATCAGGGGTTACGTCTCCACCTGTAGAAAAGTGAGCAAAGAGCGTCAAAAGTAAGAGGGTAATAAGACGTACGGATCATGTTAAACGTCGTCGTCTTTCCCGCTCCGTTCGGACCCAACAGTGCAAAAATAGTGTCCTTCGCAATGCCGATGCTCAGATCGTCAACTACAACCTTCCCCTTCTCGAACGCTTTGGTGACACTCAAGACCCGCAGCTCATCGCGTGACATTTTGACAGCATTACGCTCTCTGGCGACGTCCTCTCTCAGCACATCCATGCCAGTTCCCGCCTGCTGTCGCATCTTCTTTATCGCCCGAAGGCGTTTTCGTCGCCCACATGATAGGCACTTGAGAGACGTGCCGCCAAGAAGCGGACCACCATCGGCAATGAGGAGGATACAGAAGAGGGTAAGGGCGGTGACGGAGAGATACAATATTGGACCACCGAAACTGTTGACTTTTCCTAGCTCGGAAACGGATAGTTCTGACGTTCCGGAACAAAGAAGGGTGAAGAGATCCAGGGAAATGAAGGATGCACGTTCGAGACTTGCAACTGGGGCAAGCCATATAAAGGCGTAAGCTGCAAGGAGTTTCGTCAGCATTCAGACATGATACACACGTGGTGGGAAATCGCACTGAATATCTGTGTGACCCGGGATGTTTCCGTCGATTTCGTGCCCGACACAAAGATGGAATAACCGAGCATGTATAGCTGGTTGAATGAAGCGTCAGCATGATGCACTAGGAAGATGGAAACTCGCGCACAATGAAAATGAAGAATTGATATCCCGTTGAGACCGCAAATGCACCGAGGGGCGAAGCCATGAACAGAGTCGTAACATATGCCAATAACGTAGCTGAGACTCCGTACAGAATAAGCACGATCCACTGTACATGGAAGAATTGGTACCAGCGTTAGGTCGGCTCGAAGATAAGGCAGGAAGCGACGTACATAAAACCCGAGTTCGAAGAAGCGCCCCGATGCCGCGAAGGCAATTACCACGAGCGAACTGATAACCACCACGAAGGATGAATCAAACATCAGATGCCCCGTCCAAAGCCCCAACGCGCTACTCAGGCCGTTCGACCTCTGCATTGCCTTCACAGAAGTATGTCGTTCGGTGGAGACGTACACCGCAAAGAACGCTGGGTAGATTATCTGTGCACCCCTCGATTAGCATGAAAACGTTTGATGGAGATAAGAAGAATCGTACCATGCAAGTCCCAAAGATCGCCAGCCACTCCAGGCCGTGTAAGCTTGTCCCAGAGATCGGCGGAAACTGCTCATAACTTGCGTAGATGACAGGATTGGCTGTTCCGCTGCTATTACCCGCCGTGTTCCGAGCTTGAGTGTAGAGGAGGTTCGAGACAAGGTTAAGCATCGCGAGCCCTTTTAGACCACCGTCAGAAGACGCCTCCCATGCAAACAATGTGTCTCCGGTCTCTGCGCTTGTCGAAGTGGGAATGGAAAGTCCGCCAAGCGGTATGTTGAGGTAATCTCCAGATATAGTCGACACAAAGCTGTTGTTGTCCTGCAAGCTAACTATATCCACGCCGTTCAATTCTTGACTCATGAAAGAGGCGACGCTAGGAGGGGAAACGAGCAGCGGAGTCTCTGTGGCGTTTCCCGCACCTCCCGTAGAAGCGGCGGTGGCGAGTGCATCGGGAAGATAAAGAGGTTGACGCGTGACGGCGCTTCGCTGGAGCATACACACGTCGCCCGCGGGTTGGCGATAGACAAAGATGATGGGGACGCATGACCCGAGGATAGCGACGAGCGTGAGAAGCAGGGGAATATACCAGCTTCGACGAGCGATGAGATAGCGTTTGTATGCGACGATGAGGGCCTGGTAGAAAGGCGATATCCTGCGTCCATCCGCAAGGACTTTCGGTGGTTCGCTTTTAGGAGGAAACTCGGGTGAAGTAGGGGGAAGGTATAGCGTCCCAGCGCCGTCGATCGGATAGTGAGGTGGTTTTTCTGAGAGCACATCGAGAAAGATGTCTTCGATCGACGTTCCAAGAACATCGCACGATGAAATGGCTGGTGAGACATGCACGTCGTTCTCAAGGAGAGTCAGCGCTCGTTCGATAACGAGTGGGTCCCATGTATGGAGATGGTACCGCATGGTTACCGGCGATGCTGAGTTCATCTCCGCCTCGGGTATGACCCGCTTCAACCTCCTCAGAGCCTCCCGAGCCAGTGACTCGATCTCGTCCTCACTCCCTGCAGAAAACGTTACTTGCAAATTATACCCGCTCCCGTACCTCGCCTTGAGTGCGACCGGCGACCCAGCAGCAACAAGCTTTCCAGGCGACGCGAGAATCGCAATCTCATCCGCGAGCAGGTCCGCTTCATCGAGAAAATGCGTTGTATAGACGATCGAGCGCTCGTGCTTCACGCCGTTCAAGACGCGCCATATATCGCGGCGCGACAGGGGATCCACGCCAGATGTACACTCGTCTACGAGCAGCAAGGGAGAGTCACCAACGAGGCCACATGCAAGCTGCAACTTGCGCTTTTGTCCGCCAGACATAGTCATCGCACACGAGTCTATCTTCTTTGACAGGCCGCAGTCGCGCAGCAGCTGTCGGAGGTCGGCGTCAGAGGGAGAGGGAGAAGAACTGGAGTGCTTTATGGAACGCCAGACACGGAGAATCTGCAGGCAGGTAAGGTCGGGGAAAAGTATGTCTTTCTGAGGAACAATGCCAAGACCGCCACGGGGAGGGCGAGCGCGACCTCCCGCAAATACGATGCTGCCGGACGTAGGTGTGAGAAGCCCGCCAAGAACAGAGAGAGTGGTCGACTTCCCAGCTCTACGAGTAATCGTTAGAGGCTGCGAAAGGAAGCAATCGTGATAAACGTACCCGTTTGATCCAAGTAGAACAAATATACCCGACGTTGGGACGTCTAAAGACAAATCCTCAATTGCTACTACGGGATTCTTGCGACCGAGGAGCGAAGGCGGAAAAACCATCTTCAAATTACGTATAGAAACAGCACTCCCTAGAAGGTGGGTTTCCGAGGGCATATTAGCGTAGCCGCGTTCCGATAACCAAGGGACCCATGGTCGCTTTACGGTGGGCTTCGAGTCGTATATCGCAGATTCGAGCCAGATCGCGAGTACGGGCCACATAACTGTGCTGACCTATGACCGCTGATGAGTACTATTCCTCCTTCCCTTTCGACAAGGACTTACCGCAGCAGCAATAAACAACGGCGTCAGTACCAAACCGTTATCCGGGTCCCCTTGACCCGCTTTCGCGCCCAGCAGGTGACTTTCCCATCCACATATAGCCCGCATGGAAAACACGTAGAAGCCCGGGGGAAACACGACTGTATACACAAAAGCACCAGTCGTACTCGCATGCTTAGCGAGAAGCGCGAATGCTGCAAAGAGAATCGACAGCACGGTGGGCGCTAAAGCAGCTAACTGTGGGATGTTCATAAGGGGCACTGTTACGAAGAGCGTCCAGCTCGCAAGCGAGAGCCCTGTTAGAACGTGCGTAGCAACAAGGAGGCCGATCGTCGTCTTTGTGAACGTGACGTAGTGCCATATAACAGCGGCAGCAACCCATCCGGGGATGTATGCAACAGACAGTGTCACATGCCAGGAACTACATGAACGGGAGTGAGCTGTGAAGAGGTGGTCTCAGGAGAGAATCCTTACATGACGCGGGCTGAGTCGAGAAGCCCCATGGCCTTCATGAGTTCCGCCAGCAACGTCGCTCGTTCCGTGGAAAACCAGCCCCCAAGGTGGTACGCGATTGGGATAAACTCGAAAAACCTGTAGACCGCTCGTTAGGAGCATAAAACGGGTGAGTACTGCGCTTGAAGTACGTACATTACGATCATTAGGTAATTCCGTATATTCCGAATGTATTCTGCACGACAGGTCAGATAGCGTCGTAAGTACTCAAAATGATTGGCTCACTTGTCCTGAAATCATCGTTCTGCTCGCTGTCCGTCTCCTGTGAAAACGGCCACTCGAGGGGTGTGTCCACGTCCTGCCCCGTTCTTAGGTAGATGATGGCCTTAGATAGAGTCGTGAGACCGTAAGACCGTAATCGGCGAAACAACAAGAAATAAACTCACTTGGTCAACAGCCCACTGTAACGGCATGATGATATCCTCGAAGTCCGACGTATGCCCCAAAACATCAATGTATCCCAGACCGCTGTCCCCGCTGAGGGTATAGTTCACGATGGTGTTATCGGATGAGTCCCATGAACCCGGGAGCGCGTCAAAGGTGATGCCTGCGAAACAGGTCGAGTACCCGGCGAGGTTTGGCGTACAAGCAGTCGCGAATTCCGTAGACGACCCTAGATGCACAACGGAATTCTGCTGCGCGTCAGAAAAACCGTTAGTGATGCGCGACATCAACGAGTATGCGGCAGGAGAGCCGCTGCTGTTCGTGTTGTCGGCCCAGACAAGGATCTTGGAGCTCGAGAATTGGGTTTGAAGAGATTTGACGGGAATGGGACTGCCTAAGCTATACTATCAGAATGCAAGACGTCGTCTTCAGAAGTGATAAACGAGAGGTCCAGAGGGAGAGCTACCTCTTGAACGTAGTACGTTTCCTCTTGAGCAGCAAGCATGAATCCAGCGAAGAGCGCTGGTAGTAGGAGACAGCGAAACAAGTTCAGCTAGGCGGGCGTATGGTGAGTATGACGTGACAAAAACAGGGGACATTGAAGTACCCATTTATGCTTCCAGATGATGATCCAGTTCTTCTTCCATAGCGCCCAAAACTGTCGCAGGAATAAGCCAACTGACATCGTCGCAAGTTGCGGATGAGACTTTGCGAAACAATATAGGTGACGGCGGGCACATTGCACTGGGAGGATTTAAGTACTATGCATCGCTACCGAGTATCGAATCCCGCAGCCTAGTAGTGTTGCATGCGCAGCTCTTGGGTAACCGCGTATCTAATTAGTGAGCTGAAGTTAAGGGCATCATATCCCGGCATCACCTGTGAGGCGGGAGGTGTGATTGGATGGATTGATACTGCGGTAAGGGAAGGCCCTGCGGAGAGTGGTGACGCCAGAGTGGCTGAGCCAAAGTAACGGCTGGCTGAAGTTCGAACTTCCAGGAGTGACTTGATCGCAGCGATCCGCAGAACACAGCCCTATGCGGCCTCGAGCTGTCGTAGAGTGTCGCTGCAGCGCTTCGGTTTAGCGTGATGAGAAAAGGCGATGCGACCCACGCACTACCGAACGTTGGCACAACAAGAGAGCATCTTCCTTTCACGTATGACCGTAAAGCCTAATGAAAGCGCGTACGTTGTGGCAGACGGTTCGAGTTAACGTCGACATGATGGTGGTGCGAGCTAAACAAATTGCGGCAAATTGTAAGCCATGCGGCAAGTCGCGCGACACGTAAATTCTCGTAATTCCCACGGTCAACGGCACAGCCGCATAAAACAGCTGCGGTGGCAACAAATCTACAATAGTTGCGAGATGGAAGTATGTCTGTACTGTCGCCAGGAGCCCATCATCTAACTTGCGGGTCTGAGAAATAATAATTCGAGGATGTAGATAATACAAAATTAACAACCGACCGCATTATCGTGTGGCAGGAAGGAAAACAGACCACCCCAACTACTACTGTAATGATAACGCATGAAAGACCGGCATGTCTAGAGGAAACATCAAGCATGATGATGATGTCCATGGTAATTCACTACTGGGATCTCCTCGTACACGCTCATGTTCGAGTCCACGCTTGTCCGAAAGTCTATCAATCATATTTTGGCACTCACAACGCCCATCCGACGGCGAGGAACAGTACTCCAATCCCCAAGCCCGGTAAAACGCCATAGGTACTCTGAGCGCCACCGCTCGAGCCGCTTTGCCCACTGCCGGGTTGCCCCTGTCCAGGAGCAGCCGTAACGGGCCCAGCGGCAGCAGCGGTAGCAGTACGCGCAGCAGATGTGGCTGACTCATATCTAAAAATAATCGCAGTGAGCCTCTGCAAGGCAGGAAATATCGCGGAAAGGACGTACGCAGAGCTCGCCTTGCTGACATCCGACGTCGTATCGACCAGCACATTGTCGATGACATGGACGACGCCGTTCCTCGCGAGCAGGTCCGTGCGCACGACACGGGCGGGCGGGGAGCTATTCACCTGAACGTACAGCCCGGACGAGTTCGATGCAAGGTGCATGGGCTCGCCAGATGCGGTAGTAAACTCGAGGTAGCCGCCGCTCGCGTTCGGCGTGATGAGCGTCGAGTAGAGGGCGCTACCGTTTACGATCTATGATAGCGTACGTTAATTTACTCACAAGAGAGGGGATATAGGGGCCAATACATACATGATTTCCGATGAGAGAACTAAGTGCCGTCGTGTTACTTGCGAGCCCGTTCAAAGAGCTGTTCGCCCTCTGCATCGCTTCGTCGCTCGGCGCGAAGATGGTTATGCCTGGCGTCTCGTCGAGGACCTGTCCGAGGTTCGCTACGTCGGTAGTCACCCTGGTTTCATTACCGCCATTGTCAGACATCGCACCCATCGACGCGATGATCGCGCTGAGGTTCGTGATGCCGTTCCTCGGGTCTTGCAGAACCGCAGACATGTTGCCCGGCGGGCGGAGCACGTGGTCGATGACGTAGACCTCCATGTTACCTATGGTGGACGCGTTCGTCACTGAAACATTCGTGCTAGAAAAAGATGTCAGAACGCATGCTTCCGAGCAAGTCGCGCGACAAAGAGAGCTCACCCGTTGTTGAAGGCGAAAAGTGTCCCATTTTCCGGATAGCGCGACCATATCAAGACCTGGCTAGCGTTCCCGGGCATGTTGACATAAGACGAGCCGTTCAGCAGCGTGCGTCCGAGCGTCACGTTCGGGTAGTTCGTCGTCATATTGGTGTAGTTACCGGGAAGAATATGATATGAGAAGATAGCGCCCAAGTCCGAAGCGTTTGTACCCTGAGAGTCGGTGGCGAACGCCGTCACTTCGAGAACATACTTTCTTTAGCGAGAAATATGCGGCGCCAGAAAAATATGCGACGTACAGGCATCGTTGCTTGGCGCAAAAACTGTCGAGACATTGTTGCTAGCCAATGTATCAATCACCTGTCGTCCCGCTTCGGTCTGATTGAGCGACTCCACGAGCCCACCGAGGGCATTGAGGCCCGTCGAATTCAGCTGCTGGCTGAAGCTCGTCAAATTACTCTGCTGGGAGAGAACAGCTGGCACAAGCGCCAGAATCAAGGAGAGAGCTGCGAGCATCCTCGTCAGTAGGAATACAGTGGTAAAGGAATAAGAGATGGTTTAGGAGCTAGCCGAGCCCCTCAAGACGAGTACGAGTTTATATACGCACTGGGAGACATCGTGGCATGATCCGCAGCTCAGCGCCCAGGGGTCAAGTGAACATGCATGCCCCGCTTTGATATTGGAATGAAACGGAGTGAAATACTGCCAAGCCTCCCAACGTCGCTGAGCTCAACACAAAACGCCTATGAAAGAAGTATCAGACCACGGTATCTCACCGGCAAAGTTACACGTACTGGATTAGGTAGGGATATAGGTCTACACTTTAATGTCCGTGCGCATGAGGGCTGTCGCCCTATGAGGGGCAGCGCTACGTGCATCCTTGCAGTAGCATCTATAAATGTGCAGTTGCGATGTCGTCACGTTGGCACGTGCCACGCACCGGGTTATGCTAGAAGAGGCTTCAACATCGGTAATCCAACTATTAGGTAGCGTGCTTGTTCAGTATGTCGACCTGTAGACCCATGAAAAATTAGCCACATGTATTTGAAACTTAGGCGCTCGTGATGCAGATACAATGCTTGGGCCATCGTCATAGGCGCATCATATCCCAGTCTGTGCAATGGAAGGGATGCCTTGTGGCACGTCGTCTGGGATAGCTCCAGAATCGAGGCCTTGTACACGCAACACGGGCTGGGCCGAAGTCAAAGCCGAATTGTCGGTAGTTTCGCGCAGTGAGAAACGACCAGCGACAACATGACATTATCCAGTACGATATCAGGTAGATAAATGTTAGATCTAATAGAATTTCAACGCCGTCAATAGCTTCTTCACGGACGAATCGTTGGCCCACTCACCTTACGTATATCCTCGCTCACTCGCCCCATCCTCTCCTGCTGCTTCCCCAGACAATTGTAAGAGATCAGGAGTACGAAACCATAACACCCATCCCTTCTAGTGCCGCCGCATCTCCCTTCATCACAAGCGGACAGTCGTCGATGTACACGCGCGCCAGCTTCGCGGGATTTAGCGCCTCCGACATCGAGAACATCATCGTTGGTGTCGGCCCAGCGCCTACCGCTGCCTGGGCAGCAACCTCTCCATGGTACGGGTTACTAGTGTTTTGCGCCGCCCGCCGCAGGCTGCGCCGGAGGGGTACGATCTTGCGCTGGAGCAACGCGGACGGGTCAGGCGATGGAGGTGCGTCGCCGATGGCTGCCTCCTTCCCGTTCGAATTTGAAAGGCCGGGATCGGCCGAATGGATGTCGGACCTAGGTACACCGCCACTGCCACTGCCATCCACGTTCATGTTGGCTGCTGCAGAACCTTGGTACGGCTTGCGAGAGCGCAGGTGCGCGATGCGGTAGACGTCCCCGAACGAGACGTCCTGGCAGCTCATCAGCGTGACCTCCTCGAGCTTCGGACACGCGCGCACGCCCGGCCCTTCGTCTGGCCCAGCGGCGGGAGACCCACCCGTGCATGTCCGCGCAAGCTCGTGCAACAGCACACCCGCGCTCGCGCATGACACGAGCGTGAGCGACACCAAGTTAGGCATGTACCTCAGCATCGCCATGTCCTCGTCCTCCACCTCACTCCCGTACCCGTCTCCATGCCCGTTCCCAGCGGCCCGCCTATATGCCCTCTCGCCCTCGAGCGCGAAGTCCGTGAGCGTGAGGTGCGTCACTGTTGGGAGGCGGGGATCCCGGAAGAGACTGTCCGCACGTGGTAAGACGAGCTTCGCGCCCGGGTTGGGGTCGAGGAATCCGAGCTCGAGCCGCTCAAGGGCCGGGAACCCGAACTTGCGCAGGACGCCCTTGAGCCCTTCTGCGTCGTGACACTGCACGGTGAGATCAGTGAGTGCGCTGAGCGTGTGGATGCCCTCGAGCGGGTCGGATGTTGGTGGTCTTCCTTGAGGTTGGGAAAGGGGAACGGTGAAGTTGTGCGAGTTGATGTTCCGTTTGGACGCTGGGAGGACAGTCAGGTCCCAGGACTGCAGGCGGGGTATGTGGAGAGAGGACATGAGGCTGCTGACGTTCGCTGCGGCAGCGGCACGCCAGGTGAGTCGATGTAGCATGGGAAGGGTGGCATCTAGCAGACTATCGGCGTGTGGGTCAGTAGAAGAAGTCGTGGTTGATGAATGAGCCCAGGTAAGCCAGACATCATCGAGAGTGAGATCTTCGAGCTGAGGTGAATGAGTGAGAAATCGAAGAAGTTCGTCAGTGGGTAGTAATGATCCTTGAGCTGGGAAAGACAGATATAGTTTCCGCAAGTTAACGAGCGTATGACGCGAGAAGCATCTGAGAGGAACCCGCTGCACGCGGATGCTGGTCAAGGAGTCAAAGCGACATGGGGTGGAATGATGAAGGAAGTTCAGCGCTGACGTCTTGGATAAGAAGTATCGGTGATTGGTGGGAGGAACGATAAACTCGCAATGCTCGAGCATAGGGAAGTCGAGAGATGAGAGTGTCGTTACCACTGCGTCCATGCCGACCATCTCGTGAAAGGTGACATGAAGTGAACGTAGGCGGTGTGAGTAGGGGCGAATGACAGTCTTCAATAGTTCTTTGCCTGTACGAACCTCTTCCTGCGCATTTGCCTTGGCGCAGACATCGCGAGACCGTACAGCATAGATGAGGTCAATCGGACTAGATCTAGCCCTCTCTAGCGACATACCAAGTACGTTAGGACACCATCGTCGCGTTCGGTACGGGATATACGACCAGAGGCGCGATGTTGACAGAGCAATCTGACGCCAGAGACTGCACACTTGGGATAGGACGATAGTATCGGGATAGAATGTGTTGCGCTGCACCGAGAAACACGAGTCATTGTCACTCGCGGGATCCTGCCAGAGGACGTGGTAGAATATGCGGGAGAGAAGTTCGCTGGGAAGCCAGTTGATCGGCTGCTTCTGACTCTCGAGCTGGACCCTTTGTTGAAGTAAAGAGCGCTTTTCGGCCTGGACAGCTGCGTGGAGACGTTGCATGTCTTGGAGGATGCGGGCTAGCTCGTCTTCGCGCCTCTGAAGCGAGTCGACCTGTGCGTTGATGGAGCGTACTTCATGATCGATCTCGACGTATGACTGTCGGCGAACCATGCAAAGTAATTTCCAGTCTCAACAGTTGAAACCACGGACTGGCAGCCGTGTGCGACGTGGGGGACAAGGACTGTATTGAAGGCACAACGCGACCAAAATGATTTTTCAGCGCGTAACGCGTCTCCGCTCTATCGGCAACTGCCGAAACCCGCGCGCATTTTCGTCACTCGGCCGCACTCGTCTCTTTGCTGCCTCCCAGCGAACACACCACCAGACCCAACCACCAATACCTCGTCCTCTCGCTCTCGACATGTCCCGCCGCGCTGCTGCTCCTCCCGCTGGTGCCCCCGCCTTCTTTTCGCCTCCGCAGCCAAAGCGTCTCGTCGACCCCAACGAGTCTGCGCTCAGCCGGTTCATCCGTGAAGAAATATTCGCACCTGAGAAGTTGCCCGGGAACATCAGCATACTCACCGGTGTCGGCATGTTTGCCGCTGGCATTGTCCTCACGCGTTCCTTCGGCGAGCTGCTCATCCCTGCATGAGACCACAGCTCCGAGAGAGAGGGGGCGGGAGGCGGAAGTTGGAGGTTGGAATAACGGCTAAGAAGTCACCAGAGTCTTTTGTACGTAGCCCTTTTGTCCTCTCGCTCCCATTTTTATCTGACCCACCATGTTGCAGCTTAGCGAGCGTCTCTAACGCGTCTACCATCCAGTACCACCTTACCCACCCTGTGGCCGCCTCCTCTCCAAAAACCACCGCACCATTACATGTTTCTCTGTTATCCCAGCTCTTATAATCACTGCACGATCATGTCACACCACAATAGACCTAATGCACTCACATTCGCGTGAACAGTTAAGGCATCCAGTCAGGCGCTCTGGGGGCAGGCGATTCTGAAAGAGATTTTTCTCCACCTCCACGGTCCCTACACTAACATTTTCCCCAGCTTCGCTCGCAGCAGGCACGTCACTGAGCTGACATCTACTTCCCTGCAATAGTCGGGCAAGCAGTACTCTTGGTCCAGTGTGCGGTGACGCACCGCGTGCAATCTAGTGGCTGTGCTACATTAACTGTGACCCGCCCTTCGCTCTCCTGTTCTGCCCTTTTCATAAGATGTGCTGTATTCAAGGTATTACGAGTGGCGGCTTTGGCCACTGTCCTATCGCAGCTCCTCGGTAATACCGTGGAGCCAATCCACGTTTTAGTCGATTATCTTTCCTCGGAGAGCGTCATGGTCCAATCCGCTGATATATCTAATAGGACCAGCTGATATATGCTTCTCAGAGCACTCTCAGCGTCTCAGCGACTGGACGCCTGCTTTTTTCCGGCGATTACTTTGCCAGATGCCACCAAACGGGATGAGGCTAATACATTTTTGTTCGCTTGTCGTTTCGAGTCACGGACTGAGCAGGCGCTCACTCGGCTGCGTATCTCCCTCGGCAATGACGCTCCGCGCCATGATTATGTGCCCATGCTATACAGCATCGTTCATCTATCTACTCCCCTACGTGAGTTCTACTATCACCACCGTGATGGAGATCAACTCGGAAATATCTCTAAATATTTGTATACGACGCAGAAGTATACATGGGGCTAGCCCAGGGCAAGAAGAAAGACATGATAGCAAAATTGTGAAATAGGACAACATGATTTCCAAACACGTTTCGGAGCTTTAATCCGACTAAAGAATATTTGTTTGAAATTCGCCGAGCCTCTAAAGTTGACAAACGTACCGAACAATGTCATAGGTCTCCCTCGTAGCTCACGCGGAAGGCAGATACGTATGGTGAGGCGTGGAGGCCGATCCCGTCTGCTCCGTTGAGCCCGCTTGCGTACGAACGGGAGGCAACACCGTTCCTCCTGACGTTGCAGCCGCGTTCGCTCCCTCAGCTGGGGAAGTCGGCTCTGCCCGCCTTCGGGAATGACGAGCGTCATCGTCCCGACGACCAAAAAGCGGAGCGCAGTTGTAGTAACAAAGAACTTCCACAATTGGGTGGCGAAGACTCTCTTCTGAGCTCGACGAGTCTGAGCCACCATCCGTGTCTATGGGCACGGTGTCTCCTCCGTGTTGTCTTCCTAATAATCTTATACCACTCGTAAGGGCTAATCTGGACGGTCGCCTGGTCGCCGGATGGTTTCTAGGGAGCTGGGGACCCTGATTTCTGCACACAGCAGGGTAAACCATACCCAAATATGGTAACTTTAAAATCCCAGCCCAATCGGGTAATTTTTATCGGCGACCATGGGCGACCGCTCAGCCATCTATGGTCGCCGGCCAGTGTTGGGTGGTGAACCTTCTGGGAAGGGAAGTGGCTGTATAAGGCAAGTGTGATGACTAATGGAGCCAAACTAGGGTATCCACAGCCACATACATGTTAGTCATCCATCTGTACAGCCACTGGATAGTGCCAATCACCCATCAGCAGTCGCCAGACACCAGTCGCCGGTCGCCGACCTCACAGTTAGCAGTCGCCGGACGCCGGACGCCGGTCTGCTGGCAGTGACCAGTCGCCGGTCGCCGGTCAGCGGTCGCCGGTCGCCGTCAAGCTCGGTGAGTTTTGAAAATGAATGATGACAATTTTATAGGGTGAGATGGAAGTTGGAAGTGATGATGGGATGGGAAGATGATAAGGAGATGATACATGACCCAAACATAAGCATACAAGGCCATCTAGGTGATGATATGAAGTTGACAGAGGTGGCATCTGCATCGCGATTTTTCG